CAAGGGATGACCGCGGATACCCTCTGTACCCCCTCGACCACACCATGATGCGGCGACGTCTGACACCCAGCCTGAACAAACGGGTTTTCTGGGGGTGTTGGCATGAGCAAATGATTTGCAATAATTTTGCTTATCAATCAATTAAGCAAGTAGGGTTTTGAGAGGGATCGAAGTAAGTGCTGACGAAGTCGTCGAGCCTCTATTCTTGAGCGCAGCCGCACTTTCTTTCATCGTGCATGGTGGCGATGCCTCAAAGCTCAATATCACGGACCCATAGTCAGTTACAACAGCGCGTACCCCACAAGTGTGACGTACCGCTTCCACTACATTAACGACATTCGATTGATCCTTCGAGCTCTCCAGCAATGCTATTTTGGGGGCTGACGAGGGGGCGACAAGGGTGGTTGGACTATACGCCACTCACAGTCATCCACACTTTCCCGATTGGGAAAAAAGTCACCATGACGCCTGCGCCCTCGAAGTCGACCCGCCTCAAGCTACGACTTTAGAATTTGCAAGTGCCACTTCTAAAGTTGTAGCTTGAGATTCTATTAGTAGAATTCCGAGTCAGAACAACTCCATATTTGGTCGGTTTGCGTGAGAGAATTGCTCGGTTAGACCAACCATCCAGTGCTTCCAGAGAATTTCGTGGCACAACGATATTCGGATGGGAGTAGAGTCGCGCCGACTTCTTTAGTGGCAGCATAGGTTTATTTCCGTTGTAGGAAGGATTATGCTGATGAGGCTACACACATGCTGTTTCTGTCCTGTCGGGGGCCAATCATGATCGTCTATCATTCGGCCACGTCATCTGGCCCCAAATGAACGACTTGGCTTTGGTTGCATTTGTGATCTAGGTGATTAGGCCCAGCCAAGGTCCGTGGAAATAGTGGTTATTCAAGTTCGGAACAGTCAACTGGTGGAAATCCATGACAGATAGACCATTTCCGAACAAGCTCCTTCTTCGCGTTCCAATACGACTACATGTTCCAGTTGGCTTGATAACTGTTCCCCTTCTTCATCTGCGCTGGTGGTGGTTGTCGGCGAGTCAAGTGGCCAATTTCTGCAACGTGGCATAGTGACACACCAAGTAGTGTCCTTAAAATCGATGCTGTTGAAAGTTTTGTTTGCGCCATCCATTAGTTTGAACTGGGTTGCAAAACCCATATCTAGCCAACTTTCTTTCCAAACATGGACATAATACGGTTACTTCCTAGTAACTCGCGGAAATGAGTGCGGTCGACTTGTCATCAGGAAGCTGCGTCTCTTGTTTTGGGCAACGTCCTGCTCCAGTACCAGTCTGGGTGTGACGGAACAGTCTCGTAGAAGTCCAACTGGGAGGAAGCTGGGGAAAACGTGAGGTTTCACGGCGTGGATGAAGGTGCAACCAGGTAACGTTGGCGAAGTTCAACGTGGCAGGCCCATGGGCTTCCGCACAGAAAAGATATCGCAGGCAAATCGATCTCGTATTGAATTTTCGTTGTCCCACTCAGAGTGCCACGAAGATCTGTTCTCTGGGAAGGCAGCGACTGACGAATATGATATACAACCTCGCTGCCTGCTGTGACTACCACCATTCGTATCATTATTTTATGAAAGAAGACTACTGCGTTGGGGTTTATGTCCGAACATTGCACTTCTGAGCAGTTACACGGTGTTGCAGCGAGGATGCAGATATGTCACCGTCAGTACTGCCAAACTACCGCGCGGATGCTGGTCATACTTATTCGAAAAGACTTGCACCTACTCTCTGGTAGAATGCAATATATAGTATATCATGTTGCATGGAATCATGTTTGGCAATATGCGTCATGTTGAATCTAGAGATGCTTGTCTGCAAATAAGTTACGTATAGCCCCTGGACGGCGCCAGCGCAGTACAAAACACTCAGGCTTCATTGTCATGATTTGACCTTATATAAGTGTTGTGGGCATTTCTATATACAACCGCCACTATAGAACCAATCAAGGTAGCTACCGTCTAGTTACTTCAGATTCGCCGGTGTTTGGCCATCGAACCTGAACCACCTAGACAACGCCACACATACACGACTTCACATGGTCAATATAAGCCGGTTAAACTTGGAACTTCTAGTCTCACTATATTCACATGTCTAATTCCACTTCAATAGACTAGTTAGATAAACAACGAGTAGCATAAGGATTATTCAGATCATCTCTCATATTATTCTCTGTTTGGCTGCAGGGTTGGGAGAGGGATACGCTCACATTACGTATTTTACTATACCAACAATTCCGGGGCGGCGGGTATAAGTCTTTAGAAGGAGGCCTTCGATTAACATGAGCGAGTCTTCGGGTTTAAAAGCAAAACACGCCATTCCAGCGTGGCATTCTGGTATTTGGCACCTACAATATATTCAGAGTATGCCAGCATCTCGTAAATTCCAGTTACAAGACGAAAGAGGCAGCGAAAACATGTTACACCTATCCTAACGTAAGTCGCCCCATTACACAATATTCACAGCTAAGAGAGGACGCAATTCATTCTCGCCTGCTTCGTAAGCCTCACGATATTGAAGTTGATCCGTAAGTCCAGAAGTAGTGTGCCTGGATTATTCAACGACACGTACTCGTGTCACTGAGCATTATACTATACAATTTACAGAATCAATAGCGTCCACTAAGAACAGGTTGGTTGGGATGCGAATCTCCAATGCTTTCGCAGTCTCAGATCATCGTAGGATACAACACTTTCAACGCATGAAAGCATTTTACATACACGGAATTCTCAATAATCAATCATGTAAACCACGATTATTCAGTGTATCATAGTGCAATGGGATCATGACTATGGCTTCGCTCGGCTGCACCAGCAGCCACCCCTCCGGAAGAACACTCATATCGGGAACGCAACGAACTACGGACATAACTTCGGCACAAGATAAAAATGAAAAATAAAAAAAGATATGCATTGCGTTCTCAAGGTTATATGTACGAAAAACGAACAACAAGGGTCACTGGACATTTCGCATCCAAATCATTACTTATATCAGATGTCCTGAGGAGAAAGTTGGCTGTACCTAAAGCAACCAACTCAGCAGACGACTTTGTACACTTATTAAATGTTTCCAGGGGCTTCATGAAGACTATGTTTCCTACTTTCCGTATGAAATTCGTGTTAAACTAGTCATTTGAAGCAACACCATACATTATTCATCGTCTCCGGATTTGCGAATCATGTCATAGTTCATAGATCTTAGACAGTCTGTCATGCTGATATCATTACGCCCGGTGATCTCAAAGTATCCCGATGAGCTCAGGCACTAGTATTTAAATCAAGTTTGGGCATGAGAAGGTATTAATGCAATTTCTAGGTTGAGAAGTGTCTAGAGAGCTATCACGCTTCACTATCAGGGTGGCTCCGTGAAAATATTTACAACGCCAAATCAGATCATCTGCTAGAACTGATTGAAGTATTTATGATTGGATTTTCCCAGTCTGATTTCACAAGGGGATCTGGAGCTGTATCCAACAAACGTATCTCACGTATCGGGAGTCAGGACACACTCGTTGACTTCCTGGTACTCCACTGGGGACCACTACGATACTTCACAGTCACATTATCACACTCCAAAAATCCTGCAGGAGCAATAATTCATGAAGTCACCTTATTTATGATAATCACATGTGATGATTGAATCCCGACCCGTCAAGACGTTCAGGCTGGGATGACGCAGAGCCGTCCTTGGAACCTGCAGGGCAGTGTAGATCTTTGCATTTTCTCGGCCGACTGGGATATGGGTAGAACTTGTTCTTGAAACTATGAGCCTCGGCTATCACGACTGTCACCGCGCAGGTTTGCGTGGACGCTCCGATTTCGTCATAATTCGTGCAGGCCGCATTGAATTACTTGACTGACTTGTCATCAATGAGATAATTCACGCTGATCATATGATTTTAGCCTGAAAGAGAAAACAATCTCATTGGCAATCTGTAGATCGCATAAAGTCGTCTCAGCTATATAGGGGCCCGGATAGAGAGGTACTGTCAGAGACTTCGTTCGTCCAGGAACGTCGCATCATCTGCACTTTCTGTTGGATTTCTATGGGTACAAATCGTGGAATTTTACACAACCTTGAGGTCCTGGCTTCATTGTTTCATCAGCACAGAAAATCGTTAACCGGGGCACTGGCAGGGAAACAGCTTTGAACCTGGTGGGGAAGTGAAATTAGAAACTTGTAAAACATTATACGAAGACGAAAGGCCGCTGGACATGTAAAAGCTTGTCAAACGACGATCTAGGCCGCCACATATCGAGAGAAGCTGTTTTCTGGTTCTTGTGTCCATGTACGCGACCCACCAGTACAGTCGTCTGTGCCTCAGTGTATTGTCACCAATCGATCACATTGGAAAGAGTATTGGGTTTAGATGACGTAGCATTTCATGTGCCTTGGGAGCTTGTGGGCCGGCACAATCATTCCAGTGTTGAATACTTGGCTTGAGGCTCCTGCAGCGGGCATTAACATGAGAGTAGAAAAGCACATGAAGTTGTCACAGTGCATCACAGCGTGGTAGCGGATTTGCAAGGTTTGACTGATGATTTGTTGCGCCCGTCCGGACTCAGTTCGCTCTAGTAGCTTGGGAGACGAAGAGAGTTTTGTCGGCCATCAGCTTCCAAGAAGCTTCTTCAACGTCTATTAAATTCTGTAAGAGGCTGTTAGGTGAGACGAATGTTGCCTTATTTTTGGAACATGCAAACCACCCAGCCTGAGAATGCAGACTTCATGTTTGTTGCCGTAACCTAAAGCAGGAACCTCATCTGTAAAATGAGTGAACTGGATTGAAAGCGCTCGAAGCTTCCCGATGATTCTGTGTTCGCGCAAGTAATGGGGAATGGAAGTTGGCAGCAAGCTTTCACCGCTTGTGTCGTCTAGCTGAGATCAGAGGCAAACAATGCTTGCATACACTCATCAAACTATCACTTTGCACATTGGTATCATGTGGTCTAGGCCCAGCGCGGACTTCTAGAAGATATATGCACTGCAAGGCTAGCATACTGAGTTAAGTACCTTGGTTAACATGCCACGGCTGTGCTAGGCCTCGTGATGATCATCACGACCAAATTGGTATAAGTACCTTCAGAACAGGCGAGTCTCGACGTCATGGATCTCTTGTGGTCTCCGTCACACGTGATCAAGAATATTACAGCAGAATAAACAAAACAAGCAATCTCCTCACCACGAGAAGAGGTGCTGGGAGATCATTAAAGTATGAAAGGTTTTACGTCATCTTATGTAGTTGATGACCCTCATTACATCCCCATCGTAAATTAGTCGTAGTTTCTGTCTTGCAAATGTCGAAGTCTCACCAATACCATGTAATTGTAGATACGGCATCCCACTTCCACCTACATCCATAAGCCTGTCCACCGTCTTCGAGCCTCTACGAATGATATAAGATTGAGCAAGATCCCAAAACGCGGAAAAGATTTATGCTCGCAGAATATCTTGTAGAGGAATTCCCCAGTAGTAGCCTGCGATGGCCACGGCACCAATGCTCATGGTGAAAGCCATCAGGAAGTTGACATCATTGTTGTCCAGCAAGTCAAGTCCGCTTTCCACCACTCGGGTTGGGTTGTGGTCTCCAAAGGTAGATTTTCGATGCTTATCTTTTGGTTCGTAAGGGCCACGCGAAGCTTCCTCGCCTTTGACGGCGGAAGAAGCGTCCACGTTCTCGACGGCGTCCTTGCCTTCCCCCTTGAGTATATGAGCATGAACGTCGGTGCTCTTCTTGAAGCGCTGAGGGTTGTCGTCCGTGGAGACTAACACACGAACGCCGCCTTCCCCCTCAACAATCTTGCCGGTTCTCGAGTCTACAACGCTTCGCTGAAGCCAACCGCCTAAGAAACTGTCCAGAAGAGAACCTAATGCACCCCAAATGACCAAACCCCAAGCTAGCATCCCCTTTTGGGAGGGGCTCCAAGCAGGACCTCCAAAAAGCTTTCCATCTGTTTCGTCTGTACACAGGGGGAGAAATAGCAACGAGGCTGTAACTATAATCAAACTCCCAAGCGCGCCAGCAACCAAGCCCCAAACTGTCACTCCACCATTTGTTCCGGGGGGGACCTTACGCAGATTGAATGACGTGATGAGGCGTGGGGTGCTTCTGGACAATATGCCAAGCTCGGAACTGAACGTATCGGCACACACGGCAGCGTAGTTGGCGATGATGCCAATGACAAGCAAATCCCCGCTACCCCACTTGAAGCAAAAAGAGCCTTCGGGCATCTGTCCGGATAGAACTGCCTTCCGCCGCTGACTCAGCTGGTAGGCGTGGAGGAGCGTAAAGACGGACGCCATCAGGGAGTTGGCAAGGACTTGGACGTGAGTGCGCGGGCCTTCACCGCCCGAGCTTCCTTGCGAGTGTAGGGTAAGACTGGCCTTAACATCCTTCTTGATTTTGGTGACCCGTGTGCCAGCCAGGAAGAAGACACAGAGGAGGACAAAAGGTAGATTCCACGGGTGTATCGCATGCGCCACTGCCGTGAGCGTTGCGACCAGGATTCCGAGAGGAGTCAATGAGTTGTGTGAATAGGATCTCCATACCAACGCGAGAGTCGCTGGGACTGCGATGGCAGCTTTCATCTTGGCACCTTTGAACTTTGACGGCCTTCGGTACTCTGTTGGCTCCTATTTGGTGAGTTGTTGCGCTGACACGCCCGCAGGATTTGAAATCGTGCTGACGTTATGCTGTTGCAGTCATCTTAGTGTTATCTTATCTCGAAGACCCACCTACATACATTACCCATGTCTTGGGTGAGTGGAATATGATTTACCCGCTAAAGACTTGGTCAGGTGCGGGGGCCACTGACCCGAGCCGCCTAGCTGCTCGGTCCGTGCGAGAATCAACTCTGAAGTCGAAGTCTTCCAACGAATCATTATGACTCAACAAACCTCCCGGACTCAATAGCAACCAACCCCTGCCAAATCCAACCTTGAGTAACCTATTTGCGGAAACCCGAGGAACATGTCCACGCACTTCATCTATCGGCCCCTGAACTCTCTAGTCGATGCAGTGGGGACCGAAGCAAAAAAACAATCCTGCAGCCTTTGAAACTTACAAAACGTAGAGGTTGTAGGCAATCAAACGGCACGCCCGAGACTGGAACCAGTTCGCGTTGCTAACTTACGAGCCTCGCGTCGTGGATCGTGGAGGTGAAAGCCGGTACACCGCTCTGGAATCGTCCGGCTAGGCCCCAACGGCTGGAAAGCCAAGGGCAGTAAGCTGAGTCTCCCAGGTGCACCCATGAATTAATATGCACCATGCGCGACAGCTGTTGCATGGCGGTAAGACAAGTGTAGTTGGTTTGGCATCTCTCGGATATTCGTCTTGTTACTTAGTGGTTATCCGCTAAGCAGAATATCTTCTAAGGCCATATATCAGTCCGCCTAACCTTGTCGGCTTGTTCATTTTGTGCTGTCGGAGCTCCCCTACGGCGGCGCCATTTAGCGCGGCTCGTATTTACCACATGAGTGGACGGCACTGACAGGTCGGCGAGTTGGCCTGCATTGCAGCAGCTCTATTGATTACCTGCATGCGTAATAGGTACATTACAACAATCTTGAAAGCAATTTGGTCACACAAGTAATCTCAAACCCGGTTAGGAACAGTGCGCCTGGGATATTCTATGCAGCATAGTTCTTAGCATCATCGACCTCGACAGTATGGGATAGAGCGCATCATTCCTGCCCGGGTTTGAAATTGCCTGTGCGACCAAATCGATTTTTCAGATCAACAGCTTCACCGCGGCCAAAAGCAACCCCTCGCTAACGACGGCCCCATTCGTACGTGAACTGTGTGCTGGCAAATTCACAGCTGTTGGCATCAGGTGCAGCTGATCTGACTTCTGTTTGGCAGGCTTCTAGTAGGCTAATCGAAGATCGACTAGTATGCTGCATCGACATCGGGCATAGTTTGGCACTCTTTGTAGATGTGCTAGTGTCTTGATCGACGAATGCAGCTGTAATGTTCAAATAGCGCCGCTATTATGGGGTTACATTGAACACGACCAGTGGCCAGGGGTTACCCCTGCTCCGCGACTTACAGCTTTGTTTCTTTTGACGACACTCTGTTCGCCTTGAAGCTTATTACTGCAAATTGGCAACAACAACAAAAACGCCAAGATCGCCTGGAATTATGCTGCGGACTGGAGTTTTTTCATTCTGCATGTGCCTAACCGTGTAGAGGTGAAGATTTCCTTAATTTTGCCGACATTGCACCATTGCGATCCCAATGGTACGGGCGTTGATTTCGTCCCATCTCTCTTGGTCGACCGTTCGTCTGTGCTCTAGCCTTGAGATGCACCTGCTCAACGACCAAGTATGACCCCAGCAGTTGTCCGGGATGGTGGGCAGGTGATTACCCCTTTGGCTGCATGTCAAGATGAGCGCTGTAATATGCAGTTAGTCTCTGTTGCACTACTTCAACTCACGAAGACGAAGGCAAGTGCCATAGATCCATGATTATCAAAATTGCGGGGGCCTTTTTCTTGAATCAATCGAAATGGCCAAGTCGACTTCCAGGTTAACAGGATCAACCTACCGTTACGCTCAGAATCCCAGCGGCGAGGAACCTTTAGGCTTCCTGCAGTCTATATTTTCTCTTCATTGTGACACAAGCCTCAACTCTGGCCATGCTCCTTTTTAGATCCCGGACCGTTGACATACTGACCGTCTGTGGGGCTCTCCAGCCCTTGACCAATCACCTCATGATCTATCCAAGTTGACGCCTTAATCGTTCTCGAGTCAGAAGTTCTGAGTCCTTGATGTCTTCGAGATATGCTCATACTTTTGAAGTGCAGCTCTAGTGATTCGCCGTCTGTCGTAAGGTCTTCCCCATGCCTCCACTGACAAGCGCCACTGGGTAGAAGAAAAAGAACACGCCCAGCATGTCGGAGGATTTCTGATGGCTGTCACCACAGACGCTTTTCGGATGTTCTACGAGCAGACAATCAGAAATTCATTGTCAACACGTACAACGGACATCCGGCACGTCACTGCAATGGCTTATCAAGATTTTGTGGGAACAACCCTCATCCATAGTGCCGCAACCCTGTCTACTATCAACTAATCCTCTACTCTGTTGTCCTAACTCAACTGGGAAGGATCGAAGTTTGACTGCTATCCAGGGACTTTCCGTTGGAGCTGATACTTTCCCAGCTGACCGACTTGTCGGTATCGACTTATCGCTGGTATTATAAACACCTGCAGTGTCCCACAACAACAACAGAATCTCCATCATCATCATCATCATCACGCAGAGTCATCGTTTTCTCTAGTTAATCCCCTGATTTCCATATTTCTCTTAATTCATTCGTTGTCAAATCTCTCTCCAGATCGAGTGGATCAAGCGGTCTCCTTGAAATGATGTTCATCAAGACACATCTTGTCTCGCTCTTTGCGCTGGGCCAGGTCGTGGGAACCATAGCGAAAACCGTCTCGTATGACTGGGAGATTACCTGGGTCAATGCCGCCCCAGATGGTTTCGAGAGACCCGTCATCGGCATCAATGGCCAATGGCCATGCCCCACCATTGAGGCTTCTGTGGGCGACTACATCAAGGTCAACATGAAGAATAGTTTGGGTAACCAGACTACCGGTCTGCACTTCCATGGTATCAACCAGATTAACACCAACTACTTCGATGGTGCCTCCATGGTCAACCAGTGCCCTGTGCCCCCGGGACAGTCCCTCACTTACACATTCATTGCTGATGTGCCGGGTACCTATTGGTGTAAGTCAGGTGTTCTTCGAAATTCGAACATGTAAATACTGACGAACAAAAGACCACAGCCACAACATGGGCCAGTATCCTGATGGCTTCCGTGGCCCGCTGATCATTCACGATCCCAACGACCCGTACCATGGTCATTATGACGAAGAGGTCATTCTCACTATATCCGACTGGTAAGTTGAAATTTCACCATTTTTGATAGTATGTGAACTTGGTGAATCTGATTTGAGAATGTCAGGTACCACTCGCAAACCATTCCTCTCGTGCAAGCAATGCTTTCACCAAACAATACTCAGTTCCGGCCTCCTATCCCCGACAACATTATTGTGAATGAGGGTCAAACCAGTAACATCCAGTTTGACATCGGGAAGACCTACCGCGTGCGCATCCTCAACTTCGCCGCTTTGGGGTCCGCAATGCTTCATTTCGACTCTCACACCATGAGCGTTATTCAAATTGATGCTTCTTATGTGCAGAAGCAGGAGGTGTACCAGCTTCGCATCGCGCCAGCTGAGCGCTACGACGTGCTCATATCTGGTATCGATCGAGACCAGGGCCGAAATTATCCTTTCCTGGTATCTCTAGATATCAATAAAGATTTCCAAGTGAATCCACAATGGCCACACAACGTCACGGGTTACTTGATCACCGATTCGAAGTTGGCGATAGACAGCGTTGATGTTGTTGACGTTTGGCTTCCTTTTGATGACGCACATTTCGTCCCATATGACAACCAGCCGGCGCTCGGACCCGTCACAAAGTACTGGGAACTCGACTTCGACTTCGGTCTTGACGCCAATGGGTATCCTCGGTAAGCACCACCAGGCATCTGACACCAGGCATTTGATAAAGTACTTACTAACATTCCCCAGTGCATTCTTCAACGGCAAGACCTATATCACCCAGAACGTTCCAACGCTGTACACAGCGGCCACTGTCGAGAATAACACCAACCCGGCCATCTATGGCGAGGTCTTGCCGTTCTTCGCCGAGTATGGCGATATTGTTCAGATCGTCATCAACAATGTTGACTCGGGTGAGTAGAGCGAAGTTCCGAAGATTCTGTTACTAATGCCACAGATAGCAATCCATCCTTTCCACTTGCATGGTCATACTTTCCAAGTCCTCGACCGCCCTCAAAGCGGCGCAGGGAAGTGGAGCGGCAGCGACGGTGGAGCGAATCTCACTCCTCCCAAGCGTGATGTCATTTCCGTGAACGGTAATTCGTTTGCGGTTCTGCGGTTTGTCGCGAATAATCCGGGTATTTTCTTGTTCCACTGCCACATCGAGTGGCACGTCGAGATGGGGTTGACGGCGACCTTGATCGAGGCACCAGAGAAGCTGAAGAACTATCCCATTCCGCGCGACATGCTTGACAGTTGCTCAGCACAGGGTATTCCCACTGCCGGCAATGCCGTTGGGAATACGGACAACCCTTCGGATACAACCGGATTCATAACCACCCCTCCCACATCATACTATGGCGCTACATGGCCTGCTCCAGGTACGACCCAAAAGCGTCGCGAAAGGCAGGTGCGAAGCAAGTCTAGCCAGTCATCTCCTCGTGAGATCTGGTAAACAGCGTCAGGTTGCTGCGGAGAAAATTGAGAATACTAAGAATACTATGTATATTTATGTTTCATTTGTTATTGTTAATAGCAGAGTGGTGAAGTTTGGGCGATGATAGTTTTGTTTAGGCTTATGTCGAAGATGTGGTCGGTGTGGGTTGGCAGTGTTTTGGGCGACTCATAATTTAAATGTTTCACACTACCACCTTGGAGCTTACGGTGGAAGGATCAAATCCCACAATGTATGTGAGAACGAAAATGCGAGAATGCCTTGTTCGGTGTTGTCTGGGATATAGCTACGCCAAGAATGCTGGCTGTCTCGAAATATGTGCGTCTCGGCCATGTGAACCGCTTCATTGGTTGTACTGGCAACCACCTTGAAGTCATCCTTGAAGGCATTATAGGTTGATTGTACAGGTTGCACAATCGAGTAAGATATCCGTAAGCCACCGGAACTGAGAGGATTGGTTGTAGCCTTCTCTTTACGGTGTATAATTTTTGCATGAGACTATTTGAAGCAAACAACAACAAAGAGCATGGATAATTGTCAAGCTAGTTGCATCTCCAAATATGTCGACGAGCGCTTGCGGGAGTTTGAGCCAGTTGTTAACGAGCTATTCCGAGAGCTGAAACGAGTAAGGTCAATGACATGAAAATCCGCCAGTCAGAGTGTGCATTCGTTCCGTCCTATGTGTCTTGCGCCAAAGATACTAGACTTGGGCACAAAGATACCCACGAAAATGCGAGTAGTGTTTTGACTTTCGGTCCGGGCCTTTGAATGTACTTTTTGCAATACCGGTTCGGGCACCAACTCAAGAGTGGCGCCGCGAGCCACACCGGCAGGCAACGGCATGAATAGATCTGATCTAGCTGTGTCACGTAAACAACGCCAACGCCAGTGAGACCTGCCCCATGCCACGATGAGCGAATATGACGAGACCAATGTTTCACGGTAGTTGTAGTTTCGGCTTGTTTCCACAAGGAGGCAGGCTGTGATGGGATGAAAGTAGCAGGGTGAAAAAGTTTCAGAATACACGTTCGAAGTACCCTACGCGGACCTTTCAGACGAGGGAAATGGTCTTATCTCCATCACAATACCGGCACATGGCCTGTAGATATTTTCCAGCACCCAGAATGGATATCCCAAGTTTGCGGTTAAGCGAACACGAGCAGTCCGATGCCAACGTACGAGTCCAGATGGCATCATATCTCAAGGTAGGTTAGGCATCTGACCGGTCCGGAGTTCCAAACATGGAGTTGATCATTTGCATCCGAGATGGCGTTGAGTGCGCATTTGTGATAGATGCTATCTCTTTATCAGACCAATCGTTACGCCGGCCCACGCCGAATTGGGCGTAAATAGGTGATCTTGAAATCGCTGGTGGAGGAGACGATATTGTCATGATATGCTGCTTGGATGTGTGTTTCGAACCATTTGTGGCTGTGAACATCACTGTACCCATGACTGAAAACTTTTGATAGCTCGCATGACTTTCCATGCATGTATAGAACCACTTCGGCCTTGAATATGACGCGCAACTGTGGAGTCGCGGTAGCTTATACAATGCAGAACAGCTTCTGCCAAGATCTGGGTTTCCTAGCTGAATCTATGCCATTTTCCTTCTCAAACAAGCTGCTCTGTTTGCTTACTCATGGAGAATATTTCAGACCGTCGGCAAAGAGCTTGATGCGCTTGCCAAGGACAATGTCCGGACGACAGGCACCCGAGGGAAGGGTAGGCCCTGATGCCTTGCGAGCTACGAAGGGTAGATAACGATTTTTGGACACCTCCAAGTGCCTCGTATCAGATCTCTGCCTGTGTGATTTGGTTGTAACAGTTCGCTTCAAGCGTATCTAGCCTCGATCTACAGCAGGCGATTTCTGCTGTGCGTTACCGGATGTCCGTCTGGCACGTCCTGCAGGGCTGCTGTACCGTGACCTCGGTGCCTGTGAGCAACTGCATCATGTGTCGCGCTATTGCATTGGTCCTTTGTTCAAAGCGTCACCCTCACCTAGAAGGGATGAAAGGACTGAACTCTGATGTGGGAGAGGTGCAAGGGGAAAGGCGATAGGAACTCCGCCAGAGTGAGAAACGTACGATAGAACATGTGTTTGAAAATGGGCAAGCCAGAGCCCCAATTGGCCTGAAGGTACGCATTGCATTGTGTATAGAAATAGGGGGTAGCTTGATGAGAATCCTTGGTGAGAGACTTGATATACCCTCCACTCAGATGGGCGTCAAATGGATTCAGAAGGATGCAACGGCTGACCGGCTGCTGTGGCTTTGCCTTTGTCTGACTTATCAGACTCCGATTCTAATTTGCAAAGGATAACTTGTGCAGTGTTCGTCGGATCGGGAGAAGTCCAGGGTGAGAATACTAAGTACTTGCAGCTTACTTTTGACACTCGCTGCCAGGCGCAACCTTGGTCAAGGCCATTAATAGGTATTCGGGAATAATTAGCTTCGAATCAAGGCAAAATCATATCGAGAGGGTTGTGGCCAAAATGAAATTTCGTTCCTGACGCTATGGAATTTGGCTTTCCTAAGCCTAGTCTGTTGGGTTGCAAGTTGTTCAAGCGTGAGCTTGTTTCTCGGCGGGATGAAGAGCCAAGCATACTCAGCGCGCTACTATACGGCGCTTGAAATGCGGGAGTCTGCGAGGACCAGGAGTCGAAGTTTATTTTTGTGAACCAAGGGGGCCTTCTGCTTTCAGTACGATAAGACTAGGGATCGAGAGAAGCTTCATTCGAGCCATTAAGGAGAATAAATTGTTGTGTGGAACACTATGTCGAACGCGCGAGTCAATGAGGCTTTCCCAGGAGATTTTAGCACGTTCAATAGCGCCGGCTAGGCGGCAGCGCGGGGGCCCTCTTTCGGAGATACGCTTGCCCGTCCTCGCCCAGCAAAACCATGATCGTTCATCACCAACATGATAGAGAAGCGCCATCGGTGTCAACGGCCCAGAACACGACCACTCAATACCGACGCGCCATTTGGAGGCCCCAAACAAGCGTAGCTCCCGAGGTCCCGCATGAAGCATTTCCCTCGTTTTCCCATCCCCTCGAGCAGCGGGCAGGTGAGCCCTCCGCAAGACACGACGCGGCAAGCGAATTGCGCTTAGTCGCGAAGTCGACAAAGATAGTCCACTGCACGCATGGCCATGGCCTCCTACCTGCATTTTAGATCCATTGTTTGATAGCATGAACCGTTCACTGACGGGAATAATCTGGGTTGGCGAGGTGCATACGGCCCCGTCGCTGTGCTTTGCTATGCTGACACCTCTTTGCCACCCCCTCGTCTGTTCATATCAGCATGACTAATTGAGGCACCACCGCCGCCGATTGCAATGATCGAACATCTTCGTCTGAAACCGAAGGAAGCATCTCAAACAGCAAGCGCTACCAACTATCAGTCAATTTGCCAATTCAACACTCTTTTCGCGTTGTGATGTAAGCTGCCAGTTCGATCAATGGCAGGGACTATGCAAAGCAATACGTCAAATCGAAATCTGGCTCTGGTATATCATTGAATCCACTGTGCTGGGAGTGGCTATGTTTCGGGCTGCGGGTCGCTTCAAGGTGCGCGGGCAGATGGTGAGAGGACCAAGGGTTCAGACTCGGCGGCAACGCTTGAGGCTCGTCTCACATACTTTGTTCAGTGAGACAAGCAGTGGACATCAGCACGATTCACGTCTAATATCACCTTATTCTTTTTTTTATCGACGGTCCCCTGCGCACGGGGTGGGTACATCAGTCCAAGAATTCGTTTCTCGTTTCTGTTGCTCGCGGCCGTGCTGCGGTACTGTCGGCGGACATCCCCATCGGCCTACGACCCACCGACGCTTCTTGTGGACAGCACAGGATCAGCAGGGAAAACATTCGACGCGCTGATGTTTTTGTGCACAGTCTCAGGTGGGCGTTGCCTCTTTACGCCAGATGTTTCCCCATACTGACTTGACGGGTCAGCGGAGTGTTGTAGTGACCTAGCCAGGGAAGTTCTCATTACCCCAGATAGACATGAAGGCAGGTAGACGATATGTCTAATTTACTATTCTCCGAATGATAACAAAACTATGCCGTGTTGCAATTGCGGTGCACCTGCATGACGAATGGCGTCAGGAACCGGACAAAGACGCTGCACAGCCTGGCGCCAGTTGGTTTGAAATAGACGTCACTCGGGGCCCCCTGCCGTGACCTTAGTCGCATCGGACACGTCTATTGCTGGGGTAGCAGGCCTAACGGCCAAAGTCTGTCCCGAAATGGATACTTCATGATCATCATTCATGAGGCTTCGGTCACCGAGAAGCAGCAGCACCGGACAACTGCCACCACGGGCCAGACTACATCGAAGGATGGCGTTGATGGGTTAGGGCGTGTAAGTTAACGACATCCCATACGTACCATCGTTACGCACACCCCTCTGATGTCCCATCGCCCCACGGCTAGCCAGAGTATTGCGATGAGCTCTCTCACACGGAAGCTTTGTCCCAAGTTATATTTGGCCCCGGTTGTTAGATCCGGCCTGTATCCCTCATCATGTATATAAATCCAGGACAGCTTGTTCATGGCCTAGGCTCTTCACCTTCACACACAACAACACACCACATTCCAGGATACCCAACCTGATCCATCACTCACACGATGGCGGACCAGATGGCGTTTCTCCTCTTTGGAGACCAGTCACTCGACACACACAGCTTTCTCGCCGACTTTTGTAGAACAGGGAACCCGAGCGTTCTATCCAAGACCTTTCTCGACCAAGCAGGCGCCGCATTGAGGGATGAGATCGATAAGCTACCCCGAATAGAGCGACAGAAGGTTCCTGTGTTCAAGACACTCCAACAACTCAACGAGAGATATCATGCTCAGAGCATCAAGTACCCAGGCATCGACAGCGCCTTATTATGTGTAGCACAACTCGCTCACTACATTGAGTACATCCGCGTATCTGTACAGCCAGCGCGGCACGATGCTAACATGGTGGTAGCCGATCCGAGAAGGAATATGAAGATGTTACGCAATCCGAGAACACCTACCTGTCCGGTCTTTGCACCGGTCTCTTTGCCGCGACGGCGATCGCTTCAAGCCCATCGCTATCGTACCTTCTCCCCATCGCCGTTCAAGTCGTCTTGATGGCCTACCGAACTGGCACCCACGTTGCCTCACTTGCCGAACGGCTAAGTCCTTCGACTGGAAAGTCACAGAGCTGGACGTACGTCGTACCAGGAGCCAAGGAGGCTGAGGCTCAGTCCATTCTCGCAGAGTTCCACAAGACAGAGGTAAGAATCACTTGCGATTTCTTATGTTGTGTAACATCTGTGACTAACTAGTACTTAGGGAACACCCAAGGCTGCACATGCTTATGTTAGCGCTGTGTCCGCCAGCAACATCGCCATTTCTGGCCCGCCGTCCACATTGAAATCTCTCTTCAGCAAAGATTTGTTCGAATCGAGGCCGACGGCCATTCCCGTATATGGGCCGTATCATGCCGCTCACTTGCACGGCACCGCTAACATCGAGGAAATCCTCAAGCTCAACGATCCCGTTGTCACTGCCGCCTTGGCAGATTCGAAGCCACGCAGCGGTATCATGTCGTGCGTCACGGGCAAGTCCTTCACAGAGACGGATACGAAGTCGCTTCTCACGGCCGTCGTTCATGAAATATTGAACGAGCCTCTGCTGTTTCACAAAGCTCTTAACGGTAGCCTTACGCACGCACGCGAATTTAAGGGATCTCGTGTACTGGTGATTCCGTACGGTCCTACCCAAGCGGCTAGCACGCTGGCCAATTTGTTGAAATCACAAACTAAGTTGGAGGTTGTGCTCCGGAAACCGCCTCAGGTTTTGCGGGAAAGTAACGTTTCATCCATCGGTAACCATGGGTCAACTGGCCGATGCAAGCTGGCCATTGTTGGCATGGCTGGCCGATTCCCCGACTCGGCAAGCCACGAGAAGCTTTGGGAGTTGCTGGAAAAGGGTATAGACGCCCATCGCGTGGTGCCGGCCGAGCGATTTCCTGTCGACACTCACGTCGATCCCACAGGTAAAGCTGTGAACACCAGTCACACTCCCTACGGCTGTTGGATTGAGAACCCTGGTCTTTTCGACCCGAGATTTTTCAACATGTCACCCCGCGAGGCATTCCAGACGGATCCAATGCAGCGCATGGCTTTGACTACCGCATACGAGGCTCTTGAGATGTCTGGTTATGTACCTAACCGGACTCCGTCCACACGACTGGACCGCATCGGTACCTTCTATGGTCAGACCTCAGATGATTGGCGTGAAATCAACGCCGCCCAGGAGGTGGATACGTACTACATCACCGGCGGTGTTCGAGCTTTCGGTCCCGGCCGTATCAACTATCATTTCGGTTTTAGCGGTCCCAGCCTCAATATCGATACGGCTTGCTCATCGAGCGCTGCGGCTCTTCAGGTTGCTTGCTCGTCCCTGTGGGCAAGAGATTGCGATACTGCCATAGTTGGTGGGCTGTCGTGCATGACCAATTCCGATATTTTCGCCGGTCTGAGCCGTGGTCAATTCCTCTCCAAAAAGGGTAATTGCAACACTTTCGACAATGACGCTGACGGTTACTGCCGAGCCGATGCTTGTGCTTCCGTTATCGTTAAGCGTTTGGATGATGCGATGGCAGACAAGGACAACATTCTTGCTATTGTACTTGGAACTCAGACCAATCATTCAGCAGATGCCATCTCTATTACTCACCCTCACGGCCCTACGCAGTCGATCTTGTCATCGTCAATCCTTGATGATGCGGGTGTTGATCCTTTGGACGTAGACTATGTTGAAATGCATGGTACTGGCACTCAGGCTGGAGATGGTACTGAGATGGTATCAGTCACCAATGTCTTTGCGCCGGCTAATCGTCACCGTTCCGCAGACCGTCCGTTGTATCTTGGTGCCGTCAAGTCCAACATTGGCCACGGAGAGGCTGCTTCTGGTGTTACCGCTCTCATCAAGGTCCTGATGATGCTGCAGAAGAATGCCATTCCTCCCCACATTGGTATTAAGAATGTCATCAATCAGACCTTCCCTAAGGATCTTGGTGATAGAGGTGTTAACATCGCATTCCACAAGACACCATTCACCCGCAAGGACGGTAAACCCCGCCGCGTGTTCGTCAACAATTTCAGCGCAGCTGGTGGTAATACTGGTCTACTCCTCGAAGACGGCCCGCGATACCCGATAGCAACGGTTGATCCTCGCGCTGTCCACGTTATCACTGTGACTGCGAAGTCCAAATCTGCCATGATTCGTAATGCGGAAAATTTGATCGAATTCATGGATCAGAACCCATCTACCTCTTTGTGTGATGTTGCCTACACCACCACGGCCCGCAAGATTCAGCATTACTGGCGCATGAGCGTGACCGCGAGCGACTTGGCTGAGGCAAAGCAGGCTCTCAAAGATCGCTTGAAATTCAACTTTGTCCCCGTCTCTCCCGAGCAACCTAAGGTTGCTTTCATGTTTACTGGACAGGGCTCGCATTATGCCGGCCTGGGCAAGGATTTATACGCTCATTTCCATGTGTTCAAGCAGGCGATTGACGAGTACGATCAGTTGGCATGTATTCACGGCTTCCCCTCGTTCTTGCCACTGATTGAAGGTAGTGAGCTTGAGGTTCAGAAATTATCTCCTGTCGTCGTCCAACTTGGTTTGGTTTCTTTCGAGATGGCTTTGGCCAAGCTCTGGGCTACTTGGGGTATTACGCCTGGGGTTGTCCTTGGTCACAGCCTGGGCGAGTACGCTGCGCTCAATGTGGCTGGTGTATTGTCGGCCAGCGACACTATTTACCTTGTCGGTGCTCGCGCCCAACTTTTGGTAGAGAAGTGTACCGCTGGTACCCATGCCATGTTGGCTGTCCAGGGCTCGGTTGAGACCGTCCAGGAGGCACTTGGTGCGAAGGCCGACTCTACCAATGTTGCCTGTGTCAACGGTCCTCGCGAGACAGTTCTCAGTGGCACCTCTTCTGAGGTTGCCGAAATTGCTGAGCAGCTTGGCAACGCTGGCTTTAAGTGCACACAATTAAAGGTGCCCTTTGCCTTCCACTCTGCTCAGGTAGAGCCTATATTGGATGAGTTTGAGAATTTGGCTCGCTCTGTCCGCTTTGAGAGTCCCAAGATTCCCATCATCTCTCCTCTTCTCGGCAAGCTGGTTGAGGGTGAAACCCTTGACCCCGCCTACCTCCGTAACCATGCTCGTGAGGCGGTCAATTTCCTCGGCGGGCTGGTTTCTGCTCAGCAATTTGGCATCATTGATGAGAAGACGGTCTGGCTTGAAGTGGGTCCTCACCCCGTCTGCGCCAATATGGTGAAAGCCGCCTTTGGCGCTACCACGTTAGCCACGCCCACTCTTCGCCGTAATGAAGCTACGTACAAGACGTTAAGCGCTACTCTTTGTATTCTTCACTCCGCCGGTCTCAACTTTGACTGGAACGAATTTCACCGCGACTTCGACTCGTCCGTTCGGCTCCTAGATCTGCCAAGTTATTCGTTTGATTTCAAGAACTATTGGCTGCAATACACTGGTGATTGGTGTCTGACCAAGAACCGAGGTAGCATTACCGCAGCTGATAAGAAGATGATCGAGCCTGCAAAGCCCAAGCTGTCCACTACCACGGTGCAGAAGATTACCAAACAGGTAGTCCATGGCGACATCGCCCACCTTGAGACTGAATCCGAGATGACTCGCGAGGACTTGAGACAGGTGTGCTCAGGTCACCTCGTTAACGGTACTGCTTTGACCCCGTCCACACTTTACGCTGATATGGCTATCACCATCTGCGAATATGCCTACCAGCTGTTACGCCCTAAGGCAGAGAATGTAGGTGTCAATGTTAGCCACATGGAGGTACCCAAGACGCTCATTTTCGACACCAAAGCTGAGAGTCAAATTCTTCATATGTCCGTCATGGCCAACGCGGCCGAGGGCTTTGCTCAGTTGACCTGGACCACTGGCGAAGGTTCGCAAAAGACTGAGCATGCGAACTGCAAAGTTTACTTTGGCGACAACCAGCAATGGCTTGGTGAGTTCGAGCGTGTAAACTACTTGATCAAGTCTCGCATCGACTATCTCAAGAAGGCAGAGCAGCGCGGTGAGGTTTCAAAGATTGGTCGAGGTCTTGCGTATAAACTGTTCGCTGCCCTTGTCGACTATGATCGCCGTTACAGGGGCATGGAGTCCGTTATCCTCGATAGCCAAACTTGCGAGGCTACTGCCAAGGTCGTGTTCCAGACCAGTCCTGAAGATGGTATCTTCCACACTTCGCCCTATTGGATCGACAGTGTCTGCCACATCTCTGGATTTATTGTCAACGGGTCCGATGCCGTCGACTCCCGCGACCAGGTTTTCATATCCCATGGTTGGGGCTCATTGCGGTTTGCCGAGCGACTGGAGGCGACGAAGACATACCAATCATACATACGAATGCAGCAGGTGACGGGTAGCAAGATGATGTCTGGTGATGCTTATATCTTCGATGAGGACAATCTTATCGGCGTGGTCGGTGACATCCGTTTCCAGGCGATTCCTCGCAAAGTTCTCAACATCGTCCTTCCACCTCAAGGTGCCGCCGCTTCTCGAGCTGTCCCTTCAGCCAAGCCGGCTGCCAGAGCTGCTCCAGTCCTTGCTTCGGCCAAGGAGAAATCTAGGGAGAAGAAACAGGTTACTGTTCAAAACCTCCCTGCCGTCAACAAGAAGCTCACCAAGAATTCGGTCGTCGCTCAGGTCATGGACATCATTGCCAAAGAGACTGGTGTTAGCCACGATGAGTTGGATGATAACATTGCCTTTGGTGATCTTGGTGTGGATTCTTTGATGGGCCTTACCATAAGTGGTCGCCTTCGCGAGGAACTTGATCTTGACGTGGACTCGCATGCTTTCAACGAATATGCTACAGTAGGTGCCTTCAAGGGTTTCCTCGCCAAGTTCGAGTCTGCTGGTTCCGCCCGCGCTGAGGAGAGTATCGATTCCAGTGGTTCTTCTGACGATGAAGATAATGATACCGAATCGGTTGTCACCACTCCTGATGATGAGAGTGAGAAAGCTGAGACGAAAGTCGGAGCTGCCCCCACCAGTGACAATGCGAGCGAGCTCCGGCAGATTGTCCGCGAAACGATATGTGTCGAAATGGGCGTCGAGGTTGAGGAGATTATTGCGGCCCCTGATTTGGCTGCTTTGGGTATGGACTCGCTCATGAGCTTATCTATCCTGGGCATTCTTCGCGAGAAGACTGGTCTAAATATCCCAGGCGACCTTCTTGGCCACAACCCTTCACTGAAGGATGTTGAGAGCGCCCTTGGCATCGAGGATAAGCCCAAGAAGGTGTCTGCTTCCAAGGTCGTCGCTCCAAAAGTTTCCAAGAGCGAGAGCAAGACTTCGCAGGCCACGACCAAGGTGCAGCCTACTGCGGTCGACAATTATCCCCATCGCAAGGCTACTTCGGTTCTACTCCAAGGCAGTGCTCGCACCGCGACTCGCAATCTCTTCATGATCCCTGACGGCAGTGGCAGCGCCACCTCGTACACGGAGATTTCTGAAATCAGTCAGGACGTTGCCGTCTGGGGCATGTTTTCGCCTTTCATGAAGACGCCTGAGGAATATAAGTGTGGTGTCTACGGTATGGCTACCAAGTTTATTGCTGAGATGAGGCGTCGACAGCCGCAGGGCCCTTACGCTGTCGCTGGCTGGAGTGCTGGCGGTGTCATTGCTTATGAAATCGTGAATCAGCTCACCAAGGCCAACGAGGAAGTTTCGAATCTTATTATCATTGACGCTCCTTGTCCAATTACTATTGAGCCCCTCCCTGCCGGCCTCCACGCTTGGTTCGCTGAGATCGGTCTCCTGGGCGAGGGTGACAGCAATGACGCTAAGAAGATTCCTTCTTGGCTCCTGCCACATTTCGCCGCGTCTGTTACTGCCTTGTCAAACTATACGGCCGAGCCCATTGCGAAGGAGAAGTGTCCAAAGGTCACTGCTATTTGGTGTGAGGACGGTGTGTGCCACCTCCCCACCGACCCCCGTCCTGACCCATATCCCACCGGCCATGCCCTATTCCTGCTTGACAACAGAACTGATTTTGGTCCCAACCGCTGGGATGAGTATCTTGACATCAACAAGATGACATTTTTCCACCTCCCCGGCAATCATTTCTCCATGATGCATGGTGATCTCGCCAAACAACTCGGCGAGTTCATGAAGGATGGTATGTCTGTGTAATTGGTTTGGAATTCGGGTCGCATTGGGTTACCATTTTGACATTTCATTTGTTATGTTATACACACGTACAGAGCTAAGTATGTGTATATCAAGCACCTCTATGGGGTAAGGTTGGAAGGGCATGGATACGGTTTAATATCACATCGGGTATTGCGTAATAGGTTCCTTTGGGTACCTTTGGGTTACAAGCGTTTACACACTCACTGCATTCATCACCGAGATTAAGGTTGGAAGATTTTTCAGGTATAGACAATGCCATATCTGGCCAGTGGAGCTATTTTTATGCTAGACAATATACGAATCAATACACGAGTAAACATTCAGCACGATCAACGTGTGGATTAGTTAAGATAGATGCTAATTTCACGTAACCTGTCATACCTTCTATTTGCGTTTCATATTGGAGGTGTTTACTCTTACACTTGTTCTATCATCATTCGTCAAATTAACACCTCTCTGTCAGCTCAATGGACCAATAACGCCCATTTCTCGGAACCTATGGCAATCAAGCCTCTCATCCATCATCACAAAAGCGTTATTCAAAATATTTAATTCTGCATACTTCCTACACCCATCTCGAATGCTCCAGGATTTTCTTTCACACTTTTAGTGCATCACATGTTATTGCCACACCATAACAGGATTCCCGAGCGATTTATGAAATGAATCACTTACTGCCACCGGTATCACACAAAATAGATCGTCATTCCAACTGGGATAATCGGGTTATGCCCGTCGATTACACTGCATAGGATTGTCTGGCTGTTCCAAATCATTTCCCCCTAGCTCGTCATTATTCCCACACCAAATTACCCTTGTCTCGTAGTCAACAGCTCCTAGAGAGATTCTTGGCAGAACCGTGGCCGTATTGCCCCCAAGTCGATGCTCAAAAGCAAGTTGAAGCGCTTCTGGGCCAATTCAGATTCATTATTGAGCTATTTCTTGGAAGATTATTAAAGCCGTACAATACCAATACAGATTTTGTATTCATGCGGAGGACATCTGGAAATGGAGAAAATAGGGGTTGGCCCCTTGCGCACTGTCATAGTACCCAACTGTGCTAACTCTACAGTGCTCCGAGACCAAGCCATATTACTCTGAAATTTGAGGACAGTGGAACGATTTCTGTGATCACGGCAAAACCTGTCGACTCCTGAATATAGGAGCCTGGCCCGGCATTACGGAAGTCTTGCTTCTACGCATGTGCTGTAAACCGTGTTTTTACCCAATCGGGGGTTTTATCGTGGTCTTATGCTTGAAATATTATTCAACTCCTTTACAAAACACTGTTTGTTGCTTGACAGCAACCCTGCCTGCCCCTGATCACCACCATCTCAGCCACTCCCGTCCTATCTAACGGAGGCGTGGTAGGAAATCAGCGATCCCCTAACACCACTGAACCGAAATATCCTCTCGACAATGAAAACGGCGACTGACCGGTCGATTGGGATGGTATCTTTGATGCCTCGCCCGTCAATTGGATGATCTATCCAACCGAGTATCATACTGTTGGTGTCTCTCCGGCATCAAACACCAACAAAGGCTAACTTGAAGAGCAAAAATTTTCCCATGGGAACAACCTAGTAGAGGCAGCTATGGGGTGCAAAAAACACCCCGGCCCCCCTTCCGAGAAGAAAGAAAAAAGTCCAAGGCGAGAGAGATTCTTAGAGCGACAAGTTGGGGCGTACATACCGGTTGAAATACATGGATGCGTACATGGGGGGCTTCACGTGCAACGAATTCTTGCTGGTTGACAGTTCCGATTTACAGATTTTCATACAACCGATTCCCCTTCTCATTCAAGAAATTCTCGCAGTGAAGTGATGTTATCGAAGTCGGAATATACATGTCTGCGGACATCCTTTGGTGGTCAGCCGTGTAGATTACGACCAGCCCTTCAATAAAGAGTTCAGTCAGTTTCGAAAAAGCGAGAACAGTTGAGTATATTCATGTTAGGTGGAATACAAGCACGAATTTGTGTCGGATTGTCTCTAGATAATTTCCGGAGTCGAAAGAATTGGTCAAGACATATCAAGACTTCAGGAGTTACTTCGACCCTTGAGCTTACAGCTGGCTTCAGATGACCGCACAGGCCAGCCGTACTTCTGCCGACCCGACAGCGTACATACTTACGGATGGGAAGAACCCGATTCCAACTTTTTCCTTCTTCCACGGTGGACGAACAGTCGCACGGTAGGTGGATAGAAGAGGTTACAGTGCAGCGTATAACTTGGCTAGCTTTTCTGGGTTTCTCAAGCCTGCCCTCTTGGTTCACTACGATTAAAACTGTGCTGCGTTCGAAAATCTGAAAAGCCGGAACTTCTTGATGTGTCTGGCGGCGCAAACGCTTCGAGGAACACGCAGAAGGATCAGCTTTCCTCAGCTTGGCTTCGACTGGATTCCGAGCGACCTCCTTACCCATGTATTCAAGAGCTGAACTTATAGGCGTTTCATTGGAGAATGGCTCAACTCTTTGTGGGCCATAAAGGTTATGAAACACCTACAATCGTGTCTCTGCAACTAGCGAGTGTTTTCCATGCCTGTGGCGAAGCTGCGCAACAAATCCACCGAGAATGCGAAGAAATACTTGGCACAAGCTCACAAAGTCACGACGTCGGTCTGGCTGGATGTGGCTCAGCCCTGGTCAGTCTACTTGGCCGCCAGGCATTGCAGATCAGTCACAGGTACCAATCGAGGAAGTCTGCAGATCCGCCAGACACCCCTACTGCAGCAGGAAAACAGAGCTTCGTGCTGCGGCGACTAGAAGATATCATATCTATCACCTACTCCAAATTCTACGCTTTCCTTTTCAAAGACCTGCCGTACTGTTGGCGCCAACTCTACACAGACGCCAGTATTCTCAAATTCTGCTTGCTCGTTGAGCAGACGTCGCGCGTGCGGGAAGACGTTGAAGTAGAAACTAAAGGCCCTGATCGAGATGAGCTCACTGAAGTCATCAAAGTCCTCGATCTAGCTTTGATACTGGCTGGAGGAGCGGGGCAACAGCGAGGAAGGAAATGGATTGACCAGGCCTTTGAATTGCTTCATCGGGCATGGGCTGCAAAGCAGGGGACTGGTGATGATGCCAGCTTCAACATGGAAAGGCCTAAGAAACGGCTCAGGTCAGGCGAGGGGGAACTTGGGGTCGTTTCTCCTGATCGGGGAACGGCGACCAGAGTGTTTTCCACACGTGAGCCCTTCACACCTCCCGTGAAACACCCAATCAAGCGTTTGGAAGCCGTGTCGCTCTACGCATTTCAATCGCACCTGGACAACCCCCTCGATCGTAAAGTCGGACCCCAGCCGCTTGTTCTGACCAATGTGGTCGAGGGATGGCCGGCGTGCAGTACACATCCATGGAACAGGCCAGCATATCTACTGTCCCAGACCTTGGATGGTCGCCGCTTGGTGCCCGTGGAGATAGGCCGCAGTTACGTCGACGAAGGGTGGGGCCAGAAACTCATCACATTTGGCGAATTTCTTCGAGACTACATCGACCCATCGCTTTCCGAGCCCGAAATCACAGAAACGGAGGACGGCTTGGCTCCGCCACCAGACAAACCCATAGCGTATCTTGCCCAGCACCAGCTGTTTACGCAGTTTCCTGCTTTGCGGAATGACATTCTCATCCCAGACTACTGCTACACATCGCCGCCGCCGCACCCCACAGACAGAAGTATAGATCAGCCGGAGCTCGATGAGCCGCTGCTCAATGCATGGTTCGGTCCGCCTGGAACCATCACACCACTTCACAATGACCCCTACCACAATCTGCTCGTACAGGTGGTGGGACGCAAGTACGTGAGGCTATACTCACCTTTGGAAACGGAGAGAATGCACGCACGGGGGAAGGAAGAAGGGGTCGAGATGGGAAATACAAGTATGATAGACGTTGGGGTCATCGAGGGCTGGGACCATGTTCCTCAAGACCAAGACCAAGACGCGTCCGACCAGGAGAAGAACGAAAGAGTCCAACAAGCTTTCAAAGAGGTGCCATTCGTGGATTGTATCTTGGAGCCTGGAGATACGCTCTACATCCCGAACGGTTGGTGGCACTATGTCAGGGGCTTGAGTGTGAGCTTCAGTGTCAGTTTCTGGTGGAACTAGGAACAGATTGGTCATCCGGACTACTGAATACACGGATTCACGAACAGCGGTGGCGATTTTCACCGAACATCAGGAGATTTGAACTCTCAACGCACAGCTAGCTCTTCAAGATGACCAGTATATATTACTGCCGTCTTGCCGACGGTCGATTTTCGCCCTCCATTTCCTGTGATTGATTCGGTAGAGCTTTCAACGATATTAACAAAACAACAAGCCGAATTCCCGCTAAAAACTGCCCAAACGCCCAAGGATAATCTCCGAACGATCCTATACCCATGTAAATCCAAGACGAAGTTCCCTTCCGAAATCAAGCCGCTATCCAGAACATCGCATATTCGACTCAATATCCAAAGGAATATTTCCCATTTTCGCAAATCCAGGGTCTCGCTTAACTTTTCCTAGCCTCCGTCTTACATATGCTTCCTCCGACTATCACTTTCCCCGATGTGCCCGCTCCTCTTCGTAGGCCTTCTGTATATTCTGGTAGTTCACCATCTCTTCCTTCGGGATATACCCGCCCGATCCATCTTTCCCGACGAGGAGTTCTTCCTTGAGGTTCTTAAGCCATCCTCTCAGTTTCACCCGCTTCTCGTTCTCGGCAAACCGATCGTAGTCTCCTACCGAAGGCTCCCCTCTCAGCCTCAGGCGACAGTTTCGACGCGCTGGGTTTTCCTTCAGATAGCAGTTGTCTCCGCCGTAGTCCGCCTCCGCCAGCTCATAGCGTCGGATCTCGCCCACATTCCAGTCGGTCAGTCTCAGCTGATCGGCTTCCGAGTTAACGTTTCCGAGCTCTTCTGCTAAGAAGTTGATAAAACCCCCGTGGCCGAAAACCATTAGGGTGAAGTCGCCCGGCTTCTGTGCCCCCTTGCCGCGGGTCCCATTGCAAAGCTCACGACATAGTCGGATCAGGGCCCTATTCGCGGCTTGTCCTCGTTCGATGACGTTCTCAGGCGCCCAGAAGCGCTCCTTGACATTCCATAATTTAAGTGTCTTGCTGTATTCGAGGTCTCCCGGCACGCCATCGTCACTCCAGTGCCTGTTGAGTTCATCCCAGTCGATGTTAAGGTCATTAATGGTGAGTGGCATCTCTTTTGGCTTGTACTCTCGGTTTTCGAGTGCATCACTGATGGTGGCCTTGATGTCTTCGGTGGGTCGGACCCTGTCTGAAATCCAGTACGTCTGCTCGACCAAGACAGGATGAATGACGATCTGGACTTGTCGGTTGCCTCTGGCGAGCAAGTGATAGGGGGTACCCATAAGACAGGTCTGCAGAGTTCTGAGCAGGGGAGAAACGGCTATGAGCTGGGTTGGGGGCTCTTCCAGGTCGTTCTCCAAGTCGGCCAGGTGTAGGGCCACTTGGTTCCTAATCAGGTCAAAGCCTTCGCCTTGCCCCTGTTTCGGCCCCTCTTGGCCGGATTCCTGGGCCCATTGCGACTCGAGCTCCCAGGACAACAAAGGAGGGTCTATGTTGTGTACATTGGCATTGTATGGTTTGTTAGACTCGGACTTGACGTGGCGGACATACTGAATGTTGTATACCGCATCAGACATTTTGGAAAGGCTAGCACAGATTTCGTGTGAAATGGGCGTCTGAACAAAGCGACACTGAGGCCTCGACTAACTACTCCCTTGAATCCCTATTTATCCACGCCAACTGGCAGGCTTGTTTGGTCGCAAACAAAGAAAGCTAGAACAGTTTCTTTGGTCACACAGTCTTCCAACGGCCCGATCATATGCTTACTCCCCATCTAACAACTGGCCAGACAGGATGAGAGAGCTAGACTCGGCCAACCGTTTCCTGCCATTTGGTCATTCATCCTTCAGACACCTAGATGAGAACCCGGCTATGTTCATTCTTGGACAAAGAAAAGTTGATGAGATTGTACCAACAGTTTGTTAGAGTGTCAAGTATATCGGGCCAAAACCGGCGACAATGAGCTGCAAACATGACGAGATATGGTCCGTGATATCAATCAAGAACACACGATATTTACAACAATCGGGTTGAGCCACTGTTCTTAAAGTACGGTGTAATCAGGTAGATGATGTTTTTCTGGTTTGTGTCAGTTAGACTGCGTTAGTTTATCAACTGACTTACAACCCATCATGGGATGAGTACGAATCGGATAAGGGTTCAAGATGGCATGGCTATTGTCTATGGTGGAAAATTCTGCATCAAGGACCCTCGAATAGATCTGCGCCAATACCATGCTTGCTGGGATTGTACATATGCCCGAACAAGCAAACACCTGCCATGGAGAGTCCATAAATGGAATCAGGCAGGGTGATATCAACCAGTATCCGCCAACGGCAGACATCGGTTTGGAATATTGTGGCATAGTGGCAATTGCAAAAGTGATAACACTAGATATATAATGCTGGGGGCCGCGGATGTCACAGTCAAGTCCTGTCTTTGCTGGCCACGTCAGATATCAGGGGTATTCACAAGGAAACAGAAATAGCGAGTCAGACGTTATTCGAGAGCCAACCCAAAACATTAAACATGGTGGTGGGTACGAGAATGAGCGAGAATAAGAGCATACCACCAGGGATAGGGCTAGCAGCCAACGCGGTTAATGTCCAACGCGGCTGACTGCCGTTGCCATTGGTCGGAGCAGAACGGATAATATGTCATGTACAAGTCAGCAAAAAAGGCAGCCAACTTTCTTTGGACTGGAACACGTGGACTCCCTGCAATCCGCGGGTCGAAGACAACGTACTTCCTGTTGATATACTTGGGCGAAGCCCTCATGTAGGGATAAGTTTGGGGACTGACTTATTCACGACGCAGCAAGAAGGATATTCGTGTCGTATCGACACAAAACCAACTTGTCGACTATGCCGGCAGCAATATTATACCGATAGAAGTCAAGATGCCAGTGGACTGCACTACAATAATGACATGCTGTCGACAAATGCTCCTTGATCACGAATAGGGCCTTCGTGAACAACATGTTTGCGGCTTGCGCTTGCTAACATAACTGCCGAGGAACCATCACACCCTTTCAATGACAAATTTCATTCTAGCCAAGCTCTAGGCTTTTCGGCCTGTTGGGTTGCTCAATGCAGCTTGTCTGTCAAGCTTTTGGCTCGTTGGCGGTCGTGCCCAATGGAAAGACCACAGTTCCACCTTGCTGAGAGCCAATTCTCGGCAAGGTATATCAAATACGATCGTAGGGATTATCCAAGCTTCATGTCAATTTCAATTTCGCTAATGTGTGACAGTCCATAAATACACAATAGCGCCCCGTCTAGCCCCAGGTACCTCCACCACCACCAGATCTCCCGACCTTGCGTTGAGCGCTCAGCCGCCAGTCATCCTCAGCCGCAAACTTATTGTACAAGGGCTGAATCCTCTCCGCCTTCTTCCTCTTGCTCAACCGATCCGTCGGGGCAACCTTGAAGAAAGTTGGTGCGGCATCGACCAGCCACTTGGGCTCGATGCTAGTGGTACACTGCATGTACTCCTTGGTGGTCAGCACCAGCGTGTGGTAGATGACCCATTCCGCCTGTTTTCCAAACAGCGCCGAGCTGGGATGCAGGTAGACGGGTGTGCCTTCGATCAACGTCTTGTAGCCCTCCTGCGGATCTTTGCGCGCTGAGTTGCGGAAGAAGCCCATGCAGAGTGCTTGCCGCACCTTTTGCGTGTGGCGGCCACACGACGTAACTTGATAGCGGTGACGAGCCATGATCTGGACGAGCTGCTTACGGACTTCACCGGCGCGCTTCATGGAACGCGCCTGAATGAAATTTTCGAAGCACCACGGATTGGAGAAGCCGCTGTTCTTCCAGGCGTTGTAGACGTTGAGAAGCGTCAGATGGTCACCATGCGGATCGAAGAACTTGGCTTTCTTTTGGTCAGCTTGCTGTGCCTTCTCCTTGGGACGATGAAATATGTTGGGCATGTTTAGCATAGCTACAATGCTCAACACTTCATCCGCACAGTCCATATCCACGGCAGCGATTAAGACCTTCGCTAGAGTCGGCTCCATAGGAAAGTCTGCCATCCTGCGACCAAGGCGTGTCAACAAACCCGCGTCATCAAGCGCGCTCAGAGCGTAGAGTTCTTCCAGGGCTGAAAGCATGGTATTCGTAGGTGGTGGGTCCATGAAGTCAAAGTTCAGCAAATCGTTGATGCCCATTGCTTTAAGTGTGAGGATGGTAGACGCCAGGTTCTGCCGCTGGATTTCTGGTATAGTGGTTGGAAGCATTTCAGACTGGAAGGCAGCCTCGGTATAAAGTCGAAAACATTTTCCAGGCCCCGTGCGGCCAGCACGGCCGGCTCTTTGGTTAGCTTGTGCCTGGGAAATAGGGGTAACAATGAGTGCATCCATTCCCAGTTTCGGATCATAAGCGTTCTGCTTGACGAAGCCGGGGTCAACCACATAGTAAATGTGGTCAATCGTAATGGATGTCTCAGCAATATTCGTTGCGATGACAACTTTCCTCTCGCCGGGGGGAGCTGGCTCGAAGATGCGACTCTGTTGCTCGTTGGGCAACGCGGAGTAAACGGGCAGAACATTCAGATTGGGAACGTTTGGCCCCAAGACCTTCATACGTTCGTGCAAAATCTCACAACTGGTGTCGATTTCTTCCTGTCCCGTCAGGAAGAGTAGGATGTCACCGGGTGGTTCCGTTAAATGGATCTGCATCACTGTCACCAGAGCAGAGTCGAGATAGTCGGATTCGGGCTCCCTCGAGTATAGGATCTCGACGGGGAACGTCCTGCCAGGAATCGTGAAAATCGGACACTCATTAAAGTAAGAAGAGAACTTGTCAGCATCCAAAGTAGCAGACGTGACTATAATCTTCAGATCGGGTCTGCGTTTGCAAGTCTTTTTCAAGAGTGCGAAAAGAACGTCCGTGGCAATAGTTCTCTCGTGAGCTTCGTCCAGCATAATGACCGAGTACCGCCCAAGTTCGGGATCGAGTAAAATCTCTCGTTGCAACATGCCGTCAGTCATATATTTGATTCTTGTGGCTTGGCTTGTGTTGTCCTCGAATCGAATCGTATAGCCAACATCTTGACCCAGTGGGCACCCGACCTCTTCGGCGACACGCTTGGCGACTGACATAGCAGCCACTCGACGGGGCTGCGTGCAGCCCACCATCCCGTTCTCGGTGAAGCCAGCCTCATCCAGATACTGAGTGAGCTGCGTAGTCTTGCCGGAGCCAGTCTCACCAACGACAATGAGAATTTGGTTATCGTGAATAGCCTTGATGAGCTGGCTTCTAAAGGCAAATACCGGGAGGGATTCCCGTTGCTGTTTGATGCTCATGTCTGTTCGCCTCCCCATGGGCTCATTTCTCGGTATTGCCGCTCGCCTCCAATCTGCTCCATCATCCGGCTTGGGGATGTTCGCCTTGGCGTTTCTCAAATCGCTGGCAAATTTTCGTTGGTCTGGATCTGCCATCGGGTCGTTCCATTGCGAGGACAAGTCGGTTTTTGACTCTGCATCAGCAGCCTCGGCCTCCTGGCGTCGCATTTCCTTCCTTTCTTTAGCCAGATTTGTGCCTGACATAGCAGCGCGATTGAGGGAGCCGTCGGGAGCCTTGACCACCCTGATTGGAGACAGCTCGAGCGATTGTTTCGTCTGGCCGACAAGGAATGGGGGTTCCTCTTCACGGACTTCGATATCCACCTCCTCTTCCAGCTCCATTTCACCCTCGCCTTTCAGAGTGGCGTTATAGTCCTCCTCAAGGTCGGGGTAATCAGAAGCCTTGGCCACGCCAGATGCGATAAGTTGTCGTATTTCCCATCGCTCTGGGGAGGTCATCCTCTTTTTCTGCCGTCTAGGCTGGGCTGCGTATTCGGAAAGTGCGGCAGTGGTGTCAACGTAGCCGTTTCTGCCTCCAAGGCTTTCCATATTTGCCCCCGACTGTATGCGTGCCTGCGGCGCCAGATCCATGCCGGTCTCTTGGTCGACATCTTTCATGGAGAGTCCTATTCTGTTGGGCTCAATCTTGGTGACCTTAACCTTCACGCTTTGACCTCTCGTGAGTAGATCCGATGGATGGTTGACGCGTTGCCCCTGAACCAAGTTCGATATGTGTACCATGCCATCCACTTTGCCCTTGACGCCGTGGATGTTCACGAAAGCGCCGAAATCTTTGATACCTGTAACATGTCCATCGTAAACCTTGTATATCACTGGTTCGTCATCAATTTCAGGTTCCGGTGGGCGCATAAAATTGTCATCTTCTTTGCGCCGGCCCCTGCGGTCGTCGCGACGTGACTTTGTGTAGCCATCGTCGTAATCTTCGTGTTCGTCACGTTTGTTCCTACGTTTCCTCGAATATTCCCCATCTTGGTCTTCGTAATCTCGGTTCCGCCGATCACGCGACCGTTTTCTTTCCTTCTGGCGTGATTGATGGACTTCGGGGCTTCTAGTTCGCTTTTGTGATGTTCTTTTCGGTTCGAGACCTTCGAGTAACGCCAGGGTGTCGTCAATAGCATCACCGTCGTCTTCACCGTTCGTAATTTCCTTATCAGGGATTGCCAGGCCCGGCAGCAGCGTCTTCTTCTCTTGAAGAGATCGTCCGGTCAGCTCACTCGAAGAACCATTGGTGCCCTTATTCTTGCGCTTCAACTTTGGATGCATGGTCTGCACCAAACGGTCGATACTGTCAAACAGACTCTCTGGCCACTTCGCGCCTCCCATGCCCGCGAGCCGGCCCTTGAAGTCGTCGATGTCCTTGCATTCCAAGCGCTGGGCGATGATGAACTCTGCCAGTGTCTTCTCGGAAATACCCAAGTGATTTTGCAGTTCGCTGGTGACCTTGGAGACCAGCGATAGAAGCTCGAGCTCCTCGAAATCGTCCATCTTGGACTTCACAAGCGATCACTTGTCGCGGCAGCGAGGTTAGGTGCACGGCGTCGAAAGTGGTCGGAGTCGCGGCACCTTGGATGAAAGTTAAAGCTCTGGCGCCGATCATATAAGCCTAGAGCCTGCACTGCAGGTGGCTCTGAGCTCGACAGCTGGGGCTCGGATCAGCTTATCGTTATCAATGTGGGCCTGCATTTGAGCAATTCCAAGTCTGAAGGTAAGAATGATGATGAAGGCTTGATCAAACACTTGACAGTACAGGATTTGAGGATAGGTCGGTATTATTTGAGCAGATAACCATAGGAATCTACAAACAGCGCTGTGTTAAGTATGTTCGAAGAAACCAAGCAGAGCTGAGATGAACTAAGGTTGCATTGACAATGTTGAGGCAATGGAGGCCTTGCAGTACGAAGCACCGTAGTTCACTCTGTATGCCTACCATAGCATCTAAATAATAGCAACCTGATCTTACACACCTGTTGTTAACATATGGCCAAAATATGGTAGAGTCAATGACGTGGAACGGCATTTGCCATGTAATCCCCTCCCCGACTGTCATAATATGGAGCTGAGTTGTTGGTCACATTGTGATGCCCAAATGATACAGTAAATCTGATTTACGTATTGTCTTTACCTGTCTTATAGAACTACGAATCAACACTTCACAAGTAGATGTCCTAAAGTCCAAATCGATAGGTTCTGATCCAGTTTGTCGTCTCGCCTAGGAACAGGGTGAATCTCGTTTTCCCCAGACGAGTCCCACTTTAAAGCCCCCGTTATCCGGTTGCGAATCTGGGCCCTGCAGCTGAGCCACCACCGCTGACTCTCCCTACATAGATAGCGCTTATCGCATCATAAAGTGGCTGCCTACTTACTCTTGCCTCCCCGTCCATTTCGGCTCACAACCTTCCGCAACCGCATTTAAACGTCCAACCACAACACCCCACCTCACCATCCCAACTCTCTTTCAGGGATCTATCCATATCCAACTCTCTCAGTAAACTCCAGGCTCATTGAGCTCAGTAACCATGTGTTCGACCGATATATTCCTCGGTATTCTGGCCATCCTCTTCCCTCCACTAGCAGGTACGTCATCTCATTGCCTCGTGCTCCCCGCATTCCCGTCGAGATTCATTATCCATCTGCCTGGCGTCATCGTGAAGACCTTCGACGCCTGGGGGTGACGATGTCGATCTTGAAAATAGGACTCTGCCATTCGAATCCGCGGGATTCTTCCCGACAAATGTGACAAAGATACAATCACGCTAACTCACCCTTCTCAATCCAGTCTGGGTCAAATGTGGCATCTGCTCCGCCGACTCAATAATCAACATCCTGCTCTGCATGCTCGGTTTCCTCCCCGGTCTGTTGCACGCCTGGTACATCATTGCGAAATTCCCCGATTGCGACCAATCGTATGAGCGCGTAGCGCAGGACGTCGAGAATGGTCGCGTGACGTACGTCTTTGTCAATGGGCAGCCACAGCAGCAGGGCGGCAGAGGCGCTCGACAACAGCAGCAACCGCAGCAACAACAGCCAAAACCCGTCTCGCCTGGGCAGCATGGCGGTATGAGCTATGGCACCACGGCCAACGACGACAATGAGCACAGGCCATCGCCGACGGTGGCTGAGGCGGGAAGTAGTAGTCATGGAGATTCTGGGAGGGCGCCGCCATCGTACGCGGAGGCTGTCCAGGGCGACCACAAAGTGCAGACTAAAGACTAGAAGTAGATGGTGGGTCTAGAGTTGCGATCAGGTAGACCTTTCTTATCACTTGAGTGCTTGCTCAGGGAGGCGGGAGTATATTAGTCAGGGGACAGGAGGGAGCATTTGCAGTTCGTAAACTTCAGTGTCCCGGTTTGAATTCGAGAGCGCTTGGGATATTATGGCGTAAGGGGAAAGAAACAAAGGAATGACGTCAAGAAGGCACTGGCTGCCGTTGGTACGAACGGCTAGGAGGCCCATTAGCTCACCAATGCGGAAAACCTGCGGAGGCACCGACAGGATTTTGGCCTTTGCGACAGTCAACATCATAGGTACAGGATTGGCGTTGGTCGTATAGTGTGTGTATGCTACTTTTTGGGCTTTTGTTGTCAGATTCTAGGAATCGAGATCACTTTTGAGTAACTTCAAGTCTCATGAACCGCACTTAGTCTCCATTTTACAGTACCTTTTTCGGCGGCCCCTTTTCATGCTTTCCAACTCGGGTTCACCCAGAACCCCTTTCAGGGGTCAGGTTGTTCATTCCCACTGTTGAACACGTCATCCCTTGCAGGATCTGCTTCACTCCCCTCGAGCGTACTGCTCCTCTTCCTCCTGCCATGATAGACGCAAACCCCGGTGCCGCCCGACTTGTGTTTCTTGTTCGCCGGGCACATGGGGCTATTGGGCAGATGCTCAGGCAGGTCAAATTCGAAGCTTTTGGGGCCCAAGTCCTCCCAGCGCATAGTAGCCAGTGGCACCTCCCACCACTCCTTGGTCGTGTGCTCTGATTTCGTGGCTCGCTTCGATGGACATTTGAGGGCGGCTTCTTCCGGTGGGGTGAGAGGCGAAGACGCCGTTTGAGGGGCCCTGTTGATATCGAAGAAGAAGGACCGACAAGGACGGTCTGCTGTGCTTGCGCGAAGAGGGGGCGTTTTGATTCGTCTTGCTTCCTGGTATAGGTGTTGCCAAGTTTAGTGAGTGATCAAGTGTGCCGCACCAATTTGTTTTTTGTTTTTGGGGGCAACTTGGAAAGAGGGGGACGCTTACACCGCCGGGGTACGTCTCTGTCCAATCTCTCGAGTTTCTGCGATTTGCACCCGTCTCCGACGTGGGTGTGGCCATGGGTGTTAGGCCTCGAAGGATGTCGCGAATCGAGCTCGACACGCTGTTCTCGGAGCCATGCGAGGCTTTGCGATACCAGGGGCTCTTGCCGAAGAGCTTGCGTTGCCTTGGCTTGCCTTGAGACTGGGGACTCTTGGTTTCGTCGCGCAAAAGAGACGAAATGCGGCTGATAGGGTTGCAACTTGTGCTTTGCTTGAGCTGTTGCTTGGCGGCTTCGACAGTTGCGTCTGTGTCCACAACATCTGTTGGTTCAGCCTGTTCGGCTGTCTGAGAAACTGTCAGACTTATTCATTTGTAAATCAGGCTTCGACATACTGTCTTGGCTGGTGCCCGGGACCAAAATCCCATGAAAGATCGTTTCAACCCGTTGTTTGGAGAACCAGGAGATTTCGGCGGTGTCTTCCCCATCGACCTCTTTGGCGACAAGATCCCCAAGCTGGATCCAGGCCGCGAGGTCCTCTCGGTAGAAGAGGGCACACCGGCCTGTGGTGTGGTCGAGTCGGAAACGGTGACATTGCTCAAGGGGCTGCTCGGCTGTGTGCCATTGCTCAAGACCTGCTGCAATCTTACCAATGGCAGACTCCTGGTATTGTCTTCACTGAACCCCATTCGATACAATCTTGGCCTTTGTAATGACTGGACATGCGCCTCCTCGGTCAAATAGGGGCTGGGCAGCGGGGCATTGCTACTCTCGTCGATCCCGACTCGGTTACCATATGCGCTTTTGGGACTTACCTGCCAGCCGGTCGAGTCTGTTTCGCGACTTGAGCTGCCTTTGGCCGACCGCTTCCGCCACTTGAAGGGTTTTCCAGTGGAATAACTGCTTGGAGTGTCATGACGTTCGCGCTCAGCCCAGTATCCCTCGGGGAACCACACCCATTCGTAGCCCTCCTTTGCAGGGCGTGGAGGGTCAACACCGTATGTAGACGTTGGCGGGGCGCTGGATGGGAGGCCACTGAAGTAGAAATCCTTGTTGCTGCGACGGTCGGCTAGGCCAGGGCGAGCTCCTGGGACACCAGGCGGGAGGTACGGGGTGACGATAGAGGGCAGTCGACTCGTGGGGCCATCCATAGCTGAGATACTCCACGTAAGTGACCGCCTCTATCGGTTCATCACGACGGACTCGGCATCCTGGGAGGGACTCCGCTCGTGCTGAGGGCTGATGTCATTGTCTCGCTCCATGGTGGACGGGTCGCAAACTGAAAAGGTTCTCATGAACAAGCTGCTCTGGTGAGATGAGCTTCGGCTCGGTCGTTGCGCCATTGAGAGATGCAGTATGCAGTAACGAGAAAGAGGTCATTGTGAAAGGAAAACTTGAAATCTTGTCGAAAGGATATATCGTAGGGCTATGTCTTGTAGCTAGGCTGGCGTGGCCCAGCTTAGCGGCAGGACAAATATGATCTAAATTTCTACTTGGAATGTGTCAGAATCCACGCCCATGTGGCAGCTATCTTGCACCTGCCGTAGTTGTGGTCTCATCAATAGCAGGGGTCCTGCCTGCCTCTACTCCATCATCAGAATTACCCATGAGGAGAATGGAGAAGAACTTCACAATATTTGCAGGGTGAATGGCTTGAATGAAGTCTTTCTCGAGCGTGAAAGGTTCTAAAACTTGTGGAACTTCTTTGAGTCAAAAACGACGTCTACCCTTATTTGATGTAGCTGTCTCGTTCAAATACAGAAGTTGATTTCAAAACCCAGCCTTGACTTGGTAGTGTCGGGAGGTTGGCGACGAAGTACCCTGTAGTTCATCTACCTTCTTGAGAGTTCTGTTAGTCGCTCGCCCTGAGTAAGGTAAGGGCAAATAGCTGAGCGGCATGGCACCTGCCTCCCCAGAGCCTTCTTAGTTCGCTTTCATCACTTAGATTTTCTGACGTAAGGGCTGAAGCAGCAGAACAGTCCGATATACACAGAATGTCTTTAATGCATACTGGGCGCCACCTGTTTTATTGCAATGCTTTATATCTATTGCCTACATGACCGGAGTGTCCTGTCTACATTGCGGTGTTTATACATGTCTCATTAATCTACAATGTCATCCTGTTGTACATCGATTTTAGTGTATCTTTGCCGCGTCTGGTATAAAACTCATAACTGCGTAGTGTTGAAAATCGCCTCACACAATGGAACCCGCTTCTTTGCGGTCTGAGCCGAGTCTCGTAATCTGTTCGACCTCATTCGGGTCGTTATACGGTGGCCCTCCGAAATCTTCGTCAGCAATATCGTCAGCCCCCACGTCGTCAAGCAGCACCTTCTTCTTGTCTTCTCGTTTCTTGACCTTCGATCGAATAGCAGCAAGCTTAGCTTGGCGCGCCTCCTCACTGACAGAGAGCCTGCCTAGGTGGCTATCAATCTTTTCCTCCACCAGCGTTTTGACGTGGAAAGCCAGATGTTGGCTTTGGAAAACGCCCGAGTACCGGTAGCTGAGCCAAAGGTAAAGGGTGATGCCCTTGTGCAGCGCCTCGAGGCGACGGAGATATTCCTCAGGTCCAAACATGTAACGCTCCCCATCGACGTCCAGCAATTCCAGATCGATTTCGGGAATATCCAAGAGGTGGCCGCCATCCATGTTAGAGACACACTTGGCAAACGCTTGAACGACGACTGCACCGTTCATATCCCTGAGAAACACGGGCGCATTAAGGAAAACACAACGATCGTACACAGACATCGCATAAGGTTGAATCAAGTCTGCCAGATCGTGCATCTCCTTGGGACTGCAAAGATGGAAACGAGGTGACAGCCTCACAATGTCACGTAGGCGCGCGAGTATGAAGCCGAAAGGTGTGTTGGGTGGAAAGTAAGACGAAAAGCGCTCAACGACGGACGGCGGTGGCTGAATACCCGCGGTTTTGATGGGCTCTGGCTCGCTATGGAACGCTCGATGGACGGCCGCAAGATCGTCTCGATCCATAGCAGTGACTAGCCCTGGCTGTCTCTGCTGCGGTGCTGGAGGTTCTCCCGTCCCTGCTGAGTCCTCTTCGCTGCCTGCTTTGATGGCCGAAGACGCTGTTCTAAATCGGCCTGCACGACCACCAATCTGTTTGATTTCCGATGTCGTTATTGGGCGGAAGCTGCTTTGGTCCCGTTTCGACGTCGCCTCAAAAATGACACGCTTTATGTCGAGATTCAATCCCATACCAATAGCGTCGCTGGCAACGATAAAATCATAGTCGTTATCAGGGTCGTTAAAAAGCGCCGCTTGTTGAGTACGCGTCTCGGGTGGAAGAGAGCCATAGACAATGGCACAACGGCGATTAGACGCTTTCTCGACTTGCTTTTTCAGAAGATGGATACCGACTCGAGAAAAGGAGACAATAGCGTCACCCTTCTCTAGGTTTTTCAGTCCCCCCAAGACTTTATCCATTGGTTCGAGAGGACTAAGGCGTTCATATCGATGCACGGTACATTTATCTCCAGTTGTGTCACAGAGTGACTGTATCAGCTCGACGGACCGCTCCTCGCCGCATAGATGAAGCTCCTTGGCTTGGACTCCAAGGAACGCCTGAGTCCAGGCCCATCCTCGCTCACTGTCTCCGATCATCTGTATTTCATCAATAATGGCAACGTCGACGCGCAAATTAAGCGGTGTCATCTCCACGGTGCAACTTCGAAAGTACATGTCCTCATCCTCAGGGATTCGCTGTTCCTCGCCTGTGACCAAGGCACATGGCTTTCCCTTCGCCACAAAGCGCGTGTAAACCTCATGTGCCAGCATTCGAAGAGGACCGGCGTATATTCCCGACTTTGCATTCTCCAAAGCCTGCAGGGCGCGGTACGTCTTGCCCGAGTTAGTTGGGCCAACGTGGAGGTGGACGGTCCGTTGCATGGCCCGCGTGGCCGGGAACCACTCATGAGGGAAGCGAAAATCGGCAATTTTGCGATGCGTAGCGGATATGTTCTTGGAGAAGTGTGAGCGCATCAAGAAGTTCTGGAAGGCAAATTTGAGTTCCTTGACCAAGCCGCCGACGTCGCCTTGGACAAAGGCATGTCGAATACTCCAGAAAAGAGGATTTTCGGCCCGACTTATGGCATTCTTGTAGGCGGCAGCGTCGCAGGCTTTATCTATGGCTACGCGGAATAACTTGCTCTCGCGGTCGAAATCGACGGCGGTCTCGACACCAAACGCTTTGTACTCATGTTGCTTTCTGTCCCAGGTGCCAGACTCCTTCATGAGCTGGTCACATTTGGCCAGGGCGAGTGTACGGAAGATGTTGTAGGTCCTTCGGGTGACTTTTTCTGCGCGAGGGGCGCCTTCTAGGTTGTCCAGTCCGCGTAATTTGGCCTTAACAGGAGCATTGTGCTCTACCTTGATCCTTCGAATAGAGAATGGCTCCTTACTAGACTGAAAAGGGGCAGTTAGTAAGAGCTGTTTCAAAGGTCAAAAGAGCTTGTACATACTCCAGTATCCTTACGCGCACTTGTGGCAGTGGACGCGAAGGCGTGTTTGCGACATGCTTGCACCGCATAGCTTGAACTAGCCTGACTAGTTCTGAAGAGGGATCGCATGACAGCTACAGAAAACAGTGGGAATCATGTTAGAGCTGATTCCCTCGCATAGTTATCTGCACGAGTTGCGTCGTGCCACGGGATAAGATACTTATACAAGAGCCTTGGAGCTCAGCACATTCTACAGCCCATTTATGAAATGTCCACATGCAGTACGATAAGGGAAAAATTGATGCTTATCAGCCGTTTCCATTACCAGTCCACGGGTCACTCTGCTGGGGAAGTGGTCAATGCACGGTACCCACCGTCACCATGCAGGCCTAGGCCCAGGCCCCTACTGGCTCTCCATCCTCTGCCCCATCCTCGATTCTCAACAATGCAATTCGCTCTCTGCTTATCTACCTCCCTAGGTAACAACAGACTGCATTTCATCACTTGCGCATCCCCAGTACATCGGCCTCCTTGTACGCTCTTGCGCCCATAACACAGCAAGAACTTCGTCCTGCTACAGAATATTTAGTACCAAGCTGCGCGATCTGATCGCCAGGTGACTACCGTCAAAATGGCCTCTTCCTCATCTCAAACGCCGCTCCTCTAGTATGCTCTCCTCGTCCACACCCCGCCCAATCCGATCGAAACCCCATATGCTAACATATGCGCCCACGACAGCTCCTGCATCGCACATAACACAACTATCCTCTCAGAATGCACGACCTCGGCCTCTTCCCAGACCTCGTCCCTCTCATCCCTGATCCTGCCCAAAATCAACCACGACAGCCCCCAGAAGCTAACGTATACGCACGGCACGAACCACATCCACTACATATCAGAGGCGCCGGAGGGGCATCCGTCCAACGCCTCGGCGGGCGGCCTGACCTTCATGGTAATCGCCGAGTCGTCGCTAGGTCGCCGCGTGCCCTTCGGCTTCCTCTTCGAAATCCGCCGGCGCTTCTTCGACGAGTTCGACGCCGAGCGCTCTGACTTTGCCGACATGCCTAACTACGGTGCGGGCTCCTTCAACGCCGAGCTCAAGAAGCTTATGGTGGAGTTTGGCACCACGAGCGGGGGGCGCGAGGACGCCATCAGCAATGTCCAGCGCGAGATTGATGACGTCAAGGGCATCATGACGCGAAATATCGAGGGCCTACTGGAGAGGGGCGAGAGGATCGACTTACTGGTCGACAAGACGGATCGCCTGGGAGGTAGTGCACGGGAGTTCCGAGTCCGGAGTCGCGGCTTGAAGAGGAGGATGTGGTGGAAGAATGTCAAGTTGATGAGCCTTCTTGTGCTCGTGGTCGTCTTGATCATTGTGACCATCGTAATTGCCGTGAAGAATGCTACATAACGTGGGAAACACGATGGTCTCAGGGAGCGAAGCTACAGAGCACTGCGACATGCTTTAACGGCGTTCTTAAAGGCCCCGGTTTGGGCTGGTACTCATTACCCGGAGGACGTTGAATAGGACAGGACACGTAAAATGTCTTCCGAGGCACCATTCTTTTTGTTTAAGTGAATATCTCAACATGGAGGTCTCAACCCGAGTTTGCATGTATTAATCCATTGTATATAAATTTACCCTTTTCAAATTGCAGGGCAACAAAAATCATTATCACCAAAGCTGCTGCCATCCAATGATGTGGTGAGGGTCAGCAATACGACGCCCGCCGTTCTGTCATCCTGGCCAAATTGATGAAATAGACCCAGAAGCTGCAGCCGAGGGAGTCAAGGCCAAGTATTCATCAATTCCTAGATATCTCTCACGTCATGATACTCCTGAGCCACTCAATCGCAAAGCTTTGCCCACTCATAACCTCGATGACAGTCCCCCACCACTCCGCCTCTGTGCCTCCGAATATGTGTAGCCATGCGCGACAGGACTCGTGATTGCCGCCGCAGCAAGTGGCACGAACGGCGACCTATGCAGTCTTTGCGTGAAAAACACTGGGTGCAAAACCGCTGTGTCGCCACTATGCCATGCTGCTTGCAATACCGGTACTATCGGTGTCGTTGAGGCTATCGGAGCCAATGATGTTGTCGGCATTGATATCGGAGCCAGGGGGAGGAAGTACGGTTCGAATTCCGCGAATGGGTTTTGCGGCGGGACTACGTTGTTCAACGAAAATGTATGCGATGGAAACGATTGGCACTGATTCTGCTGTGGTGTCTTGTCAGGCCTGCTGTTTTACGCGTGCGATGGCGATGCGATGTGATGTGATGGGGAATGTCTTGCAACTGACTGCTGGGACTGAGGTGCAAATTGATATTGGCATGGATATTGATGAGCTTGACCCCTCTACTTCCAAAGTTGCCCTGCGTCATTTGCATGTGCCGGCGACAAATGCAGGCGAAGATCTACGATGCAGAATATCGTGCGTTCATTACTGTCAACCTCAAATCTTTGAATCGATCACATTGGCTGATTGTTTGGGCCAAACACCAATCTGTGTAAATTCTTGAGGATTTCAATTGACTTCTACTGTACTGGCAGATTGCTCCAATCCAGATGCCACTTTCCGTTAGCGGCGTTAACCGACGCGGATAGTCCCCTATGTCCCTCGGACAGGGTCCGACCTCATTACAGAGATCGGGGAAAGTGGGCCGCTTTCCCTAGGCATTTTCTAAAGTTTCGGCGGATCAGCCGGAACTCAACTCGACATAGCCGCTAGCCGACGAGGCTGAGAAGAGCAGTTCTACAAACCCCCTGGCACCAATGCTGGAGTATATTAGCTGGCACCTTTATGTATTTTCATTTGGCAAAACGTGACCCTAATCCACTCAAGAGGCCGCGGCCTTCTTTCCCTTCCTCCTCGATTTGGTCTTCTCGTTCTCCTTGCCCTTCTTGATAGCGTCGACTAATGATTGCAACTCTTTTGCCTTCTCGGCATCTTTCTTCTCCTTCTCAGCCGCCTCCTGAGCCTTCTTCTCGATCACCCTCAAAGCTGCCTGTTCTTTCTCCGTCTTCTCAATCAGTTTATCGCTAACCTCCCAAAGTTTCTTCGCGACGGCTTCGTCTTTGACATCAGTTCTGGCGAAGTCCACTTCTTGGCACTCCTTGACGAACTTGCCACCTGGCCCTCTTGCCAAATTTTGCTCCATAGCCGCGAATAAAATGGACTGGGCTCCCATCTCTGCGCTCTTGAGGAACAACCATGGGAGAAAGTAAACGCTTACGTAGACGAACAAGCCCCAGACCGTGCCGCGGGTTAACCACCGCCGCATGCCTGGCGTTCGTGAGAAACTCGGATCCACAAAAATGACCCTGGAGTTCATAGGTAGTCCGTCGGGCCTTTTGTACGCATCTAAGTGCTTCTGAAAAGCTTGGCCAAATACCATCAATGCCAACTTGCTTCTGGCGTATGCTTTGCGAGGCGTCCATTTCTTCTTATCGAGATCCTCGCCGAGCAATGGGGATGATATATAGGAAGAGCAGGTCGTCATGATGACCCGCACATCTCGGTCGAAGGGCTGGGCTCGAATGGCAGGACTCAGTATGCCGAGTAGATGGAAGTTGGCGAGGTAGTTCACCATCCACATCTCCTCTATTCCCTCGGCCGTCCGCGTACGTTTCCCGCCGGGCGGGGTGAGTGTCGCCGCACACAAAATGATCATATCGAGTCGGCGCGGGGGTGCATTGTCGATCCACTTGGTTGCAAACTGCCGTATGCTGTACAAGGAAGAGAGGTCGACCTGCTCAGCGTAGATCATCTCGTTGTTGGTGCGCTTGCGCATTTCGCCAATGTAGTCGGCAAGGAAGGCATCGGACGGCGGGAGGCGGGTGAGTAGGACAATTTGCGCTCCACTGGTGGCTAGTGACTCAACTGCTGCGGCGCCGATACCAGACGTCCCTCCTGTTACCATGATGACCCTGCCATGCATGTCTCTCTCAGCAGGATTCAGATAGCCGCTGCAGTAGACTTTGAGAATATATAGCAGCGCTCCGGTGGTGCCCACGGCGAATAGAATCCAGGGGTCTGGCATCCATTTTGGAGGGCCATTGAATAAAACCTCGGTCAAGAACGGGATGGGCATGGCGACGGTAGACCAAGAAAGTGGGATTGAAAGTGGGAAGGACTTCTCATGTCATTTTCTAGAAGGAGTTATCGACCTAAAGTTGCTGTCGTGGACAAAGTACAGGGTTTAAAGCGTATGTCGAATCGGGAATTAAAAAGCAAGGCCGGGAAGGCAAGGCTGAAGCTGACACAGGGGTCTGCTTGTCAGTGACCCACTTCTATTATTGGCATTAGGACGTCGAAACTTTGAATTCATCACTTACCAATAGTCCACTTCCACGATTCTCTTCTACGTGCGAATCCATCTATCGCTTTGCTACTCATCGTTCGCCTTACAGCAAGAGGGACGAAGAACAGACCTATCACCATGGCATCGGATGATGATGTGAAGGATGGCATCCCCCTTCAACACAGAAAGCCCTTCGGCGCGGGGCTGAGGCGGAAACAAGTTGTATTTGTTCCGGCCTCGTCAGGGAACCTGAACTCCATGGAGGAAAACATATCCGCTGCGCCGGCAAGGTCTGTTGCAGACATGTACCTGGACCTGGTACTACCGAATGGCTCTGCATCTGCTTCTGCGACGCCCGAGTCCATAACAACCCAGCTATGTGAAGTGTGCGACTGGCCACTGGATCAAGACCCCTCCGATAATTTGCAGAGAGATCGACCGAACCAAAAGCACGAAGCTTCAATAGCACACCAAGTGTGCTTAACGCACTCCCATCCACCGTCGGCTTTGGATCGATCTCGCATGGGCCTAGCGGTTCTCTCAGCGCAGGGCTGGGACCCGGATGCTCGGCGTGGCTTGGGCGCCACGCAGTCAGGCATTCAGTACCCTATAAAGGTAAAGCCCAAAAAAGATACATTAGGCATAGGGGTCAAGGTTCCCAGGGTGTTAGAACCGAAGAAGGAGAAAGTACAGAAGCTCGACGCAAAGAAGGCGCGTCAAATGGCGCTCGAAGACAAAAAGCGACGTGAACAACTGCAACGGCAATTTTACGGAAATTCAGACCTGCAAAAGTATCTGGGGACAGGGTAGAGTCAGGTTGGTCTGCCGTGGACATCACGATTTCAAACCATGCAAGCGCGAGCTTGTTTACGCTTTGGGACGAATATGCGACATAGGTGGCGAGGGCGAATTTGGCGAGTAGATTATGATACCCATCGCACACACAGGTCTGGAATAAAAACGAATAATAGACTGTTTCCGAAGATTCTTTGCCCATATATCAGTTTCTTGGCGCTTTGCATCACCGAGACTTATCAGTTGTCTACCAAACACACTGAAGCTACCTACACGATGCTATTGCAGTTTCATGCAAGGCTGACCACGGGGGTGGGTCGTACACATTTAAAGACTCGGCGAAACAATGCGCTATTCCTAATGCTTCCCAGAGGGGCACCGAACCTTGTCCAACTGTCGACGCCAAACCGGCACGGGAGGTGGGGCCAAGTCGCTCAACTCGAGAAGCGCATTGATTGTTCGGTCCATCCGCGGATTCTTGAAACCCCGCCAAGGGCAATGTACACCCATCACCCTCTAAATTGAGCCCTTCTCCGACAAACGCGAGTAGACCAGATCAAGCGACTAGCTCGAGAGCATCGCATTCGGGGCCTTTATAGCAACAGGCTGCAGCTACAAGCCGGACCATACTGCTCCCATGCCCAAGCTTTGACAGGTGCCTAACTCAACCCTCGACCATCGTACCTAGCTACGCCAGTCTCATTCCAGTGTCGATTCCAGCCCATAGTCTCGAACGTCGTACCCAGCAGTTGCTCCAGCTGCTCCCCACCCTCCGCTTGAATACTACAACGCTGAAGGACATCAACTGTAGCCGCCAAGTCGGCCGAGAGCTAAGATGGGCGTCTCCGTTATCCAAGAACAGCACGACAGTGAGAGCCCCCAGGTGTCTGCCTCCCTGTCTCAGCTTCTTGAGCTAACTATCTGCCTGTAGTCATCGTAGACACGATCAAGCAGATCACTCAAGGTGACGTGAGTTATTTCCCCCCCCCTTTCCAAGGCGGTTGCTCAGTGCTGACGGCGGATCTCGCGAATAGTGGAAAGTACTAGTCATCGACGAGAACTCCAAGAAGGTCATCGATAATGTCGTCAAGGAAGATGACATCCTCAACCAGAATATCGCCAGTACGTCAAAGAATTCCCGACTAGCTAAGTGCACCGACTGACCTCGGCCAAAACAGACATCGAGCGTATCGAGGAACGGAGGCCCATGAATCCAACCATGGATGCCATATATATTTTGTCGCCTCAACCGCATATTGTCGACTGTTTAATAGCAGACCTCGAAAGCAGGAGGTATCGGAAAAGCTTCTTGGTGTGGACAGGTGTGCTGGAGCCCTCGCTGCGACGGCGCATAGATTCCTCCCCCTTGGCTAAGCAGCAGCTGGGGGGGTTCCAGACTCTGTCCATAGACTACTTCCCCAAGGAATCCCACTTGGTCACCTTCAAAGATCCCTGGAGTTTCCCTGTGCTCTACCATCCTGCTTGCAATGGGCTTGTGGCGAAGCATATGCGGGACTTGGCCCAGAAGGTCAGCTAGGGATAACGAGAAAAAAAGAAAATATATGTGCTGACGACCTTCAGATCACTGGACTCTGCGTCTCGTTAGGCGAGTATCCAAAAGTAAGATACTACCGCCCACGAGCACCCATACATGAGGCCGCCGTCCTCAGCTCTCATTTAGCTAGATTCGTATCTGAGGAGTTGGACGAGTATGCCCAATGGAACCCGAACTTCCCATCGCCCACCTCAAGGCCGCAGGGTATTTTACTGGTCACAGATAGGTCAATGGACCTCATGGCACCCTTGATCCACGAGTTCACTTACCAGGCTATGGCGCATGACCTATTGCCCATCAAGGAAGGTGACAAAACGACGTTCCACATGACTGTGAACGAAGACAGTCCTGAGGCCGAAGAGAAAGACATGGAGCTGGGTGATAAGGACAAGGTCTGGGTGGACAACCGACATAGACACATGAAGGACACAATCGAAAAGCTGATGGGCGACTTCCAAAAGTTCCTGGACCAAAATCCTCATTTCACCAACAAGGACGGCGACACGACTAGCTTGAATGCTATCAAGGACATGTTGGCCGGTCTACCGCAGTTCCAGGAAATGAAGGAGACATACTCGCTGCACCTGACTATGGCGCAAGAATGCATGAACATCTTCCAACACCACAAACTCCCCGATATCGCCTCCTCAGAACAGACCTTGGCCACAGGGCTGGACGAAGATTTCCGAAAGCCGAAGAACGTCCTCGAGGGGGTAGTCCGGCTTCTCGATGATGACGCCATTACGCAGTCGGACCGCCTACGGCTCGTTATCATGTACATTCTATACCGTGGCGGTGTCATAATGGAGGATATCAAGCGCTTGCTCTCCCACGCTTCTCTCCCGCCGCAAGACGGCGAAATTATCGCCAATCTCGAGTTCCTAGGCGGACGCACTACCCACGGACTCAAGGACTCGAAAGGGGACCTCACCCCAATTTTCCCCATCGACACCAAGAACCTAGTCCCTAATGAGGAATACTCTCTGTCCCGTTTCCAACCCGTACTCAAGCCCCTGCTTGAAAATCTGTGCCGAGGCGCATTAGATCAGACTCAATTCCCTTATGTCAAACCTCCACTAGACCCCAATGAAGATGCCATTGTTGGCCAAGGTTCTTTGCGAGCCGCTAAGCCGAGCTGGGCTGGTGCAGGGCGCCGTGTTGTCGAAAATCGCCAACGCATCATCATTTTCATGGCCGGCGGCGCTACCTACTCCGAGAGCCGGGTGTGCTACGAGGTCGGCAGCGCATTAAGCAGGGACATATTCCTTGCAAGCAGCCATATGCTTACGCCGGAGCTATTCGTGCGTCAGGTTGGCGACCTATCGGTGGACAAGCGACGGCTGGATCTTCCCATGGACAGGCCAGCTCCCCGTGCGCCCGCTCACTTATTCGAGAGGCCAGCACCGCCTACCGCTGCAGCTACTCCACCGCCAGGACAGAGACTGCCCGGTGCACCCATAGGACGGGTTCCAGCTCCTGGAGGGTTACCGGGCGGTCCTCGTTTACGAGATGCCACCTCTCAACCGCCTACACAAGCGATGGGAAGCATGTCACTGGGCTCAGGGGCGGCGTTTTCGCCTGCCAACGGAGGGGCTCTGCGTCCAGCTGTACCGAGTCCGAGTCCGGCACCCAGTGGTTCCAGCGAGAAGCCACACAAGTTAGAAAAGGAAAAGAAGAAGCGGGGATTGTTCGGGATGAAGAAGCACAGCCACGGATGAACTGGAAAGGGTGGATGAGAAGGATGAGCCTGAATGTACTCCTTGGGTATGGCAGTGCATGGGAGGAGCTGATGTGAGAATGTGCGTTGTTAACATGGGTTAAAAGTAGCATATGGACAAACAGCATGGCGATGGCGTTTTGAGTAGACTGTATTGATAGTTAAATTGCCACTGCTGTTGAAAGACTGAATTTGCGGCATGGCTTGCAAGTATCTAGACACGTTGATCTCTGGGGGGGAGGGCAGAGTGGCGCGGAAAAGCGGCCTAGTATGCGCTTCCGGCCGCTTTTTGGGTGATGTATGGTGATGTACTCCATGAAGAGTTGTGAGGTATATGTCTAACCTAAGATTGTAACCAAAACATACGTCCTAAGCCTCAAACCCAAAATTCGCCTGTACATATCGAGTCATTAAATACCGTCAAAACTGCATGGCCAAACCAGCTTCAACTCGTATTTCTCGATATCAACATCAGTCACATGGTTAACAATAACATCATGCTCAGAAGGTAGCGTCAGGCGGTTTATGCACGTTGACATATTCGTTCCTCACCAATGTTCATTGATTTCCTCCCTTGTCTATCTAGTGATCAGACAAACACACCTTCCCAATGTGTGTCTATGATGATATTGTTCGTCGCACGAATAGTTCTTGAGCCCAGTTGCTTCCTCTCAACCAGTGGGTGTCAACGCATTATCAGGCTAAGGGTGGGAAGGATTGATTACATTGATACAATAATCTACTCGCAGTTGAGTTACCGCGGCTGGCCACGTTCTGACTAGCTCGTCCCCTTTTTTGAATATTTCATTCTCTTTTTTTATACTGTACTCGTTCTCGGAAAACCATGTCGTCGTCGCTCCCTTCAGTATCTGCCGTACCGTCAAAGATGGCGGCCGGTAACAGTGAGTCTAGAAGCCGTTCGCATGCAGCTTTTCCTGGGTACAAACCAGACCATGCTGTTTGCTGTAATTTGCTCTGCTTTAGTGCACCCTGCTCTGGTCTGATCTGATGCGGTGTCAATGTAGTTTCCTAGTTACGACGGAAGGCACCGCCAGCACTCGGAGGCGGCATTCCACGGCCATCGAAGCCATAAGCAAGAGCCTCTGGGCCAATACCCGGCGGTGGCAGGAAGCCCGGTGGGCCACCGAAGAACCCAGGGGGTGGGGCCATGTTGCGTGGATGACCGATCATCCCGTCTGGAGGGGCGAAGCCACCCATAGGATTAGGGAAGTTGGGAGGGAACATTCCCGGCATCGGGCCATTGCGGGGATTGCCAGCAAGCCCCGGTGGCGGGATCATAGGTCGACCTGGACCAGGAGGGAGTTGCTGGTTTGCGCCCTGCATCCACGTGTTGGGGTGCATCTGATCCAAGCCAGGGGGCCCTTGACGTTGTAGGATTTGGGTTGGCTGTTGTCGACGATTGTCTTGTTCGTGACGAAGCTGTGGTACATCGAAAAAGCTGGGCAAGCCTTGTGGCCGGCCTTGATGGTGAGATGAACTACGCTCACGCTGGTAGTCGGACTCGCGATCAGGTGTTTGAGGGATTTGAGCTGGCCTAGAGGGCTGGGGCATTCTAATGAGCTGTTCAGTCCTTGGAGGCTCGGGGACGCCACGTGCACTTTGCATCAACGTCATGAGGAACTCAGCATTGCTGTTGCTATTGCGGCTGTGGTTTTGGTCATTGCGGATAGGGGCCTGGTTCCGCATATGATGTCCAAGAAGTTCATGCATCATCTGGTCAGTACGCATTGGTGGTGGCGGCGGCTGGGCTGTCGTCTGTTGTGGTCTCGGTGCGTGCATCTCCTGCTGCTGAGAAGGTGGTGGCGGACCTCGAATCAAAGGTTCATCGCGAGGATGATGGAATGGCGAGAAGGGGCCGCCCGGAGACGCAACAGAGCTTTTCGATCCCATGTCCTGACTAGGCGGGGTTGGGACTGGGAAACCTCCAGAGGGTGGGGTATTGTTCAATTTGGAACCCTTCAGCTTTTGAAGAAGAGCCTGGAAGGCCACTTTCTCGTTGGGATCAGCCTGGGTTACGGGACTTATGCCTGGTTGCCCGCTCATGGCTGCGCTTGCGCCAGCGCCCGCACCAGCAAAAGCCAGAAGAGGGTTCGGCTCCTGGATCGGCACACTCGACGCAGGTGTAGTAGGCTCCGTCTGCCGGCGATCCTCTTGAGACGAGAAAAAGTTCTGGAATCTCGACCCCGTCTTAGGCTTGGGAACAGCAGTCTCCTTTGGACCTTCCAGAGGGTTGCTCATATCAGCGCTGGGAGTAGAAGCAAAGTTGGCGAAGAACTTGTCAGGGCCAAGATCGATAGCGGATGCCGACTTGACCTTGGATTTCTCGGGCTCCAGACTCTCTTCATGAGACGACGTATCAATGGGTGCGGCTTTGGCAGTCTTACCCGCCTTCATGCTCTCCATGAACTTCTTGAAGTCCTCCTCAGTGTGGGTCTGGTTCTTACCATCGGCAGGTTCGTCGAGCCATTCGGGCTCGCGTTCCTGGCGCTGGTCTCGGTTGTCCCATCTGCGCGCTCTGTCATCGTGATGGTCGTCACGATCTCGCTCACGGTCACCCCTCTCTCTCCAACTCTTGGCCCTGTCAAATCGCTCACGAGTTGATGCAGTCACAGGCGCCGGCGCTGGTGTTGCTTCGTTTTCGGCAGTGTTGCCCCTGGACCATGTGGGCTGGTCGGTTCTGTTCTTGTTCAGGCCGTTTCTGCGAGGACGCTCGCCGTCATCGCCATCCTTGTCTCTGCTAAACTCGCCAAAGTTGCTCCGGCGCGGCGGACGGTCGCCATTGTCTCGGTCGCGATCATCGTGACTGTCTCGAGGTCGACGCTCGGCCGCTGCAGGTCGTTCGGGACGCTCACCCATGCGCCCATGGAACCGCTCAGCGCCCTCATGCCCGAAGCTTTTGCGGGGCTTCACGGTGCTCCAGCCGTCGCTGTCCTGATCGGCAGCATCGCCACGGCGACGGAAATTGTTTCGGCCATCACGGTCGCGTTCACGGTCCCGATCTCCGTCACCATTTCTGGTGCGCAAGCTGGCGAAGCGGTCTCGAGCATCCGACTCCTTGAGGGTCTTTTCGTTATCGAAAGGCTTGCTACCTCGCGATATGGTAGCCGACGAGAAGGTTGTGCGCGGTGGCCCGAGGACGATATCAGCGGGATCTAGTTGGTATAGTTAGCGATAGGAAGCCAAGTAAGCTCAGCATCAGGGGATGCATACTTGCGCTGTTGCGCGGCACATGTCTTTCGACACCTGGCCGTTTGTTGGTGTTGTCAAGCAGTGAATTGTCGCCAGCGGTTCTAGTCCTCTCAGGTCCAGTCTTGCCGGCGCTTTGGCTATTGCGAAATGTCTCAGGGGGTGGTCTTTAATTGATGTCAATACCGTAGGCACATCTAGGAGGTACAGAACTCGAATATACATACCCCATCCATTCTTCGGCGGGAGGAAGGCTACTCGGTTTGGTACATAAAGGCGACTCGCGCAAATGAAGCAGGGCTTCTACTGTGTATCGTGTTGCCATATCATCTGAGGCTGCCGTATAGTCGTTACGTAGACCAAGGTGTATATGACATCAAGGTGTAGCGTTGAGAATCGAACGTCCAGTAGCTTGAGGAATTGAAGGGGCAAAGCTGGCAGTCGAGTAAGGTGGCGACGTCCAAGCAGTAGCTCAGCTGTAACTGGTGTACGAAATACGTGGTTTGTGCGGGGTGAAAGAAGTGAAGGGCCGAGATATGTTTGGGAGGTTTCCGGTAGGAGATGAGAGAGTCTTCGAGGCACAATCGATCTTGAGGTTTTGGAAGATGTAGGAACAACTGAGGATAGGGAGAAGAACGTAATGTCAATTGATGTGCGACGACCCGACCAAGTCCCTTTGGGAGAGGAAGAGTAAGGTGAGGCCCTTGCTGGCGAGCTGTTGTTCAATGGCAGGCGTTTCCAGGAGTAGGAGGGGCGACAGTTGCTTGGTTTTCTGTGGCAGCAGGTTCGACGATGAAGTTTCCAGATGATAGTGCAACGTTGATCGGCGTAGGGTCAATATTTCTGTGTTCTTGTTCTGGGATACTTTTATGAGGGTGAACTTCTAAAGTTGGGATACAACGCACGGAGGCATTGCAGGTCAAGTGCGAAAGGCTGGCTGGGCAGCTGGGGTGCATTCGTCACACGCCAATATTGACCCACTACACTTTACTTTTAGCCCGTTCTTGCTGCCTACGGCCTAACTTACCTAGAAGCGAGTAGTCCGCTGGTAACACTAGGTAAACCACGTGCATTAAAGAGTTCCCAACATCTATTTTCTATGACTCCTACCTTCAGATTCGCAAATATCTAATAATCAACATTGCGTGCACTGTCAAGGGCGAGGCAGGGTGACAATTTCCACACGGCTTCCAACTTAGTTTCAGGATGCAACTACTAGACATACAGACACAGGATTCCTTCACAGAACACTACTTAAGTACGATTGCGATGGACGTATTGTAGTTACCGCACGAGTACAACTACTAGGTCTCATTCATTGTACTCATTACTGGTGAGGCACGGGGCACACCCCTTATAGGCCATGTGTCGTCTGTGAACGTCCACGGGTACAGCTACGTTCTCTTACAGATTGGGGTGCAAAACGAAAGGCTGAAGTGTACAATACCAACGACGATATGTGATCTTGATCCAGCTCTGGGGAAGAAATTATTCGATACTTCTCGCCGCTACTGGACGCCCAGGCCACACCACGTGGAGGTGACAACGAGTCATAGCCCTGAGTGCCATATGCACTTGACGCAGGACACCCCAGGCAAGGGCGCCTTTGCTCTCCCCTGATGCAAGTGTGACGGGAGAGGATCTGTCTTCTTATGTCGCATTTGTAGAAGATATATTAGAGGAATAAAGCGAAACGAGATCAAGAAAGATGGGCCGAGAGAAAAAGAAAACAGAGGAAAACAAAATTGAGAAGGAGCGCAAAGGGGAGAAGAGAGGGCGGCTATGGGAGAGAGCGAGTGTGAGTAAGAATGAGAGAGTCAGGAGAGAACGACAAGTTGTATAAGGTGGAAGGATGAACAAGGGAGAATGACTTACCGGTACTTACCTCAAGCTCGAAGCCCTGGCTGGGCGAGGCCTTTTTACGTATGTACATGCATGTCTGTTTTACAACTTTTCCAGGTCGGCATTCAGTTTTGACGACTTGGCTAAGGTCAAGCTGCAGTTTTACATCTTGCCTAGGATGATAATTTAAAAATACGTAAGGACGGGCTTTAGTTTAGCGAGTTGGCCTAGGTCGCAATGCAGTTTGTCCATCATTGCCCTGGATTAGACTGTTAACATCGTGCCGCGGACGAAGGTGTGATGGAGGATATCAGGTAGTAGAATATGAGTGGGTTAGTGGTGGCAGTGAGGATAAGAGAGCTGAAGGGTAGACGTAAAGGAGACAGATGAGGAGAATAGAAAGTTGTTTTACAGAAGAAAAAGGGAATGAAATTTTGAAGGAGGAATATCTGCTACTTATAGTGCAAGTTATTTTGCCAACAGGGGAACCCATCTGTTGATACTTGGGCGCTCCAAACCTTCATTTACCCACAACGTTGACTCTTTGGCGATATGCTTTTAGGAATCAACGGCTTAGATGGAAGGTGAAAGAAAATGTTTATGGGGTTCTTGGTATACAACTGTCTTGTGGGAGATATAGACATTTCTCTGTAGCTTCTATATATACACGTCCATGCTTAGGTGAGTCGGGTCGTGAATTGAGTTTTATGTGCAACACCTCACGACCCGACAAGACAACTCCAGAAAAGTCAGATGTTTGAGTCGGCAAATCCGAAGGTACCAAAACTATAAAGTGTATGGCGTCGAAATGCAACAAAGCTGAACCATGACCCGAGACCATTTGAAGCAAACACGGCATACCCAACGTGGAGGTTAATTTTTGAATACAGGGTGTCCGAAGGACTGCTTCAAGCTGGCAACCACCAGTCGTTGGCTGCTGCCAATCAGGGAATCAAACATTCAAAGACCCAGGAGGTGCGTAAGAATGTACTGAACTACTTCAGTATTGGGTTTCTGTAGTATCGGTTGAGTTGAGACATGAACGACAGAAAGGAGATGACGAGGTTGGATTGAACTATATAGGGTAGCTCACATGTTCCTGAGTTGTAGAATAGAAGAGAGCTGAAGTATTATACATCACTTCCATCACAGGGCCAAGGCTTGGGATTGCTTGTTGAACCTTGCATGAGAATTGGGTATCTAGTTGTTGTTTCTCATCCTATTACCTGTTCAACTATATGTCACCCACAATCTCAATCGAACGCAGCCAAATTCTTGGCGAAGCTACTGCTCCAGCTGGTAATTCGTTCCTGGTCGCAAGTTTGCCACAGTCTCTTCATGAGGCCCTGGTACACGCTACTCTGGCCCCCTCCCATACCTTCCTGGATTTTGTTCCAGCTCAAGCCACCGAACCGCGTGATCAGAGTATCACTCCCTCCCTCGACCGTCGTGAGTCTGTATACGATTCTCAGAATCTGGGTACGTAGGTTGGGACCCATGTACGGATTGCAGTAAAGAGTAAGGATCCGCTCGAAAACCTTCCTCCTATGCAAAACCGCTACATCGGTCGGCGTGCGAAGGCCGTCGAGAAGATAAGATAGCAGCCAGCTAACTTCGGAGTAATATGCATTGTCTTCTTTGGGTCCCTCTTGAAGGATGTCCTGCACCAGCGGTAGCTTTTCCAAATCCCAGACTGGAACGCGAGTGAGGAATGTGTTGATCTTGGGGTAAAGGCAATGCGTTGGGTTCTTGAGAACATCAAGACAACGACAGACGAATGACAAGATAGTACTTGGCATTCGGGCCTCATTGATGGTTTTTCTAGAGGTTTCTGCCAGCTCTGATAGCAGGAGCCAAACCTGCTCACTCTCCTCGTAAGTTGATTCCTTGATTTTTGCTGCAATCTTAACGATGGCGGTGAGAGCTTCTTTACGAATGCTGGGATGCTCCGATGCCAGAAGCCAAATGACCGACGCTGCATATCCTTCTTCAATGAGGTCCTCTGCCGCTTTGGAAGACCACTTCATCAGCGCACTGTTGTCTTTATTTGCCTTGACTGGTACCGAGAGCATCTCTTCAAGCTGCTCCTGGCTGATTGGACCAGTCTCAGCATCAAACACGGCAAGTGACTTCTCCAGGCCTGGCTCTTTCTCCTCTTGACTAAATTCCATTTTCTCGGGAATCGACAAGTGCTTTCGGGCTTTCGAGTCTCCAAACCCAGTCATGAACCTTTGCAAGACGGCTGCCAGTAATGGTTGGCCGGTGCCCATAGCCCCTGAATTGCCAAGGAGTTCGGATAGAAAACCAGCTAAGCTGATGAGGCGAACCTTCGTCGAGGAAGAGACGGCAAACGGTAGTTGTTCTGCCATTGTCATCACCACAGGGTTTAGAGATACCCGCGACTGTACAGAACTACTCGACTCGAGCTCTAGAGCGAGCTCCGAGATCATCTCCTGGTACTTCATTGGTGACCTCGCACATCTCTCTGCACAATTGTCGAGGAAAGTCCAAATTGAGGGGTCAACGGTCTCGAGGCTTTGCAGAGTGACGATGATGGGGTTGATACCGGCAACGGCTGACCCTCGTTCCACTATATCATGCTCCTCGGCAATGAAGTTGAGGATTTTGGTCAGGTTGCTTGCCGACAAGTCTTGAGTCTTGTCAATGTACAACTTCATGACCGTTATGAATGGGGAGTGCGGAGCGTCCTTTCGGGGGGCGAACCACCTCATGCTTGGAGAATGTTTAGCCATTGCAAACATATTTTCTAGCTCCATCAATCGCAGCGTCGCATCCTCAACGCTCTCGTCCGGGGCCTCGAGTCTCTTCAGAGCGGCCGATAGCAAAGGAGAAAAATCAAACTTCGCAGCAAGAGCGGCTTGCGGAATGATCTCATGGTAGAGTAGCAACAGTCGACTAGCAGCTGCCCGTTGCAAGATATCCTCATCTGATATAGCTCGATAAGCGGTGATGATATCTTTCAAGGTAGGAATCCTCTGACAAAAGTCGTCAACCAGCCGATGGGCAGCTTCCATCCACAATTTATCTGACAAGCTCGATGCCTCCCGGTACATATCCAAAACGGCCGACAGCTTCTCCAAGGCTATTACGAGCAAGCGTATAGCAAAGTAGGAGATCAGCTTGGACTTTTGGTTCAGACATCGTGAGATGGACTTCAGTTCCAAAGGCAAGGGAATGATGTTGCCCAGCACAACGGCTGTAGGAGGTGGTATCCTGGCATACTTTCTATAGTGGCCAAAGAACGGTGGAACGTCCAGCCGAATAGTGTTGAAGAGCAGTGTCGCATAACCGATCCATGTCGCCGACAATTTCGGATCAAAGCTGAACGCTTTTTTGTTCGCGAAATAGTTGGCGATGAGCTCTGGACAAGCCTCAAAGATTGCGACAAGTAGCTCGTTTTGTTTCGTACTTGACCAGGGTCGTAGAGTCAAAATGAACTCTGACAACAAGGAATTTCGTACAGGCACGTCCACGTTGAATTTCTCCATCCAGGAAATGCTTTCCAGCCCTAGGTCTCCAAGTTTATCGACGTCTAGATTCGGTATTTTGTCGGAGTCGACGCCTTCGGGGTAGTACCCCTGTTGGGAGCGCAGGATGCCGGCGGATGGCTCAGTACAAGCAGCCATCAAGAAGTTGTGTGCTGCGTCTTCCACCGATGGTGTGCCGTCTTCTGACGACTTGGCGTGCTGGTACGAGTAGAGAGATGCGATACGTGCTAAAGACTGTGAATTCAAGATCTTGATTTTGACGTCTGAGCGCAGTTTCTGGTCCAGAACGACGGAGCTTCTGAGCGTGTCCAAAATCTCGAAGACGAGATACGGAGGGTCTTCTTTCAGAGCCCTCATAAGCGCGGCAACGACATCTTTTTGGGACAGGATATCTCTCTTGGCCTCAACACTGGAAAGCTTCAGGGCGCTCATGAGCACCCTGACAGCATTTGTCCTCACGGACGGTCTCTTGGGGTCCTCGAGGCCATCGCCAAGAAAACGGAGGCTCATATTCCTTGCCAACGATTTGAAAGTAAAGTTCCGGGCACGAAAGACATGCATTGCCAGAGCACCACCATCTAGACTGACGATCTCACGTACAAGGCGCAGTGTTGGTGATACAATGAAGTCCTTGCCCTTGTCGGCTGAGAGGTTTTTGGCTAGCAGCTCCAATTGACGACGCTGAAGGATTGTACGACATATCCCCATACCAATTGGAACCATATCTACGTGATTCGATATCACCTTGATAAGTAGAGCGAGCACAACTGCGACGGCGGACATGACATTCTCGTTGCCCATCTGGGCAGCCATGCTCCACGTTTCCATTATGTCGGGTAGATACACAGGCACATCTTCCGTTTCGTCTCGGGCCTGTCTGGGCTTGGTTATCTCAAGATATTCGGCCACTATATTCAGCTTTCTGTTGGCACCGTCGCCAGTCTCATTGAGAACGCCATCGAGCAGATCCTTGAAGGACTGAAGGCCATGTCTTGATTGTCGGAGGTCTTGTTCGAAAGTCAGTAACTGATGAAGCTGTCTCGCAGTGTGAATCTCTTCTGAAGTGGGTGCCTCGTGGACGATATTGCGCTTCCGCTTCGGGGGCCTGGATGTATCGATTTGCTCCGACGCGGCACCCTGTTTCCGCTTCCGTTCCATGGCTTAATGTGCGGATGTGTCTGTATTCGTTGAATTGACTTGTTAATGTAGGTGAAACGTAGGCCGAAGAGAGGGGCCGTAGACCGATTCGGGTTTAAATCGAATAGTTTCGTTGACAGGTATTACGTTGACGAGAATTACTCTCCAGAGCCAACACCGCGAGCCCATGCGCTTCGAACTTCTCCAGCTTCGAACCCCACGAAAAAGTTGGGTTCTGCCGATGGGAAAGTTTCACCGCCTGCTAAATACAACCAGCTGCAGTGCGAAGGACCCACCAAAAGCCTGGCGCCTGTCCCACCACCCTGCAGCTGCCCCTGCCCTCTGGAACCATCACCAACTGATACGGAACCGCCAACTTCATACATCTGTCGCAATCATCCACGTCGTCAAGTTTCGCTCATCGACCACAACGCTTGAGCATTTACGCGCAAATCAAGAACAAGCCATCATGGGTTCCGTCGTCCTTCCCCACCTAACCACCGGCTGGCACGTCGACCAAGCCATCCTCTCAGGTATGGCCCCTCGCTTGCCCCTCGCTTACCCCTCGCCTCTCGCTTACCCCTCGCCTCCCCTTCTCCTGCCCAGCACCCCTCGAACCGTACTAACCCTTTCGTCTTTAGAGGACGAGCGCCTAGTGATGATCCGCTTCGGTCGGGACTGGGACGCAGATTGCATGCGGCAAGACGAAGTTCTCTACAAGATTGCTGAGAAGGTGAAAAACTTCGCCGTCATCTACCTGTGCGACATCGACCAGGTGCCCGACTTCAACCAGATGTACGAGCTGTACGACCCGTGCACCATCATGTGGTTCTTCCGCAACAAGCACATGATGTGCGACTTTGGCACGGGCAACAACAACAAGCTCAACTGGGTCCTCGAGGATAAGCAGGAGCTCATCGACATCACCGAGACCATCTACAAGGGCGCTAAGAAGGGCCGCGGTCTCGTCGTCAGCCCCAAGGACTACTCGACGCGGTACCGGTACTAAATTTTTGGTGGTGACTTTAGAAGGCTGGGCTCGATTACCCGATATGATACGATACGAAGTCGGATACTACATGATGGATAGCGGAAAATCTGGCACGCAGTTGCTCGCGATCATCAATCAGCATGATCGTGCTGGCCGACCAGATAACCACCTACGTACGGAGTCGGTTTTAGATTCACTATGGGCCTGGAGAAAGGGGTTTCGATGGATTTCTTAGGGTTGGTCTCACAGTCAATCACACACTACACCGAACCTGATGATGCTAATGCCTGTTTTCTTCAAAGATCCCGTGACGATGCTTGCCGTCCATCAGGTATACTACCTCCCTCCGTCTCGCTAACCTGCGTGCCCACAGCCCGCTGTTCAGGTGACATGCATCATCATGCTTCTGGTTTCGTGAACGGAGATTTGCATTAGCCAAGAGGCAACATCCAACAGTCTTAGGTGTGTGCTGGTCGCAAAATAGGGGTTGCGTAAATGTCATCGCATTTGGTAATATCTCGTTTTTGCCAATCACTTCGGAAGCTAAGATAGAGATTTATTGATTCCTTAAATAACCCGAGCCCTAGCCTAGTGTTGTCCATCGCAATCAACCCATACCTCCCACCAGTTCGTATAGATTCGTTTCCATATTCTTATAACTCCAGGCTCCTGTAAATGTGATTGTTCATGACATCCCCGGTCGTTCCATGTGATACTGTACGCCCGTTTGTAACTCGCCTGATACAGTACGGCATTATGCTTCCTCCACTTCTGCATGCCAAACATGGTACAAAATAATGGCGGACCCAACTCCAAATTTGCTCGCTCGCCGTTGCGGGCTCCCCAATTTACAACATGTCTCCTGGGGAGTTCGGCATCATCTGCAGGAACGAATTAGGGACCTTCGGAACCTGCGGGCTGGCTTGTGCCTGGGTGCGGAAAAGATCCCGCTGGCGTTCGGCATCTCTTGATCGCCCGCCAGTCAGCCGACGCATGTGTGTCTTTGTCGCTTGCTTGACAGGCCTGATCATGTTCTCGAGGAAGAAGGAACCGTCCGCTGGCCCGCCTTGGCTCGGCCGCTCGTCATCTCCGTCCGAGAAGACGTCTTCATTGAACTCATCATCCGAGGTGAACTCGGCCATGTTGGGATTGTAGCTGGCTGGCGCAGACGGGGAGGTGACAGAGCGAGAATGAAGTACCGGGCGCAACGTCGAGTTGATGCTGAATGCGCCTGGGTTCATCGTATTGCTGGGACCATCGCGCGACGGAGGGGTAACGGTGGGACGGTCGACGAAGCCATTCTGGAACGACGTGTTGCTGCTGGCCTGGTGCAAGATGGGTAGAATTTGCTCGTCGTAAATTTGTGTTGTGGATTCATATCCGTCAGGAGAGAACTCGGTGATGGTGCGCGACGAGCGCCCATCGCTCGGGGGGCTCTGCGACATGTCGTCGAAGAAGTCATCGAGACTGTCAAGTTTAGTGACCAAGTCGGCACCCGCTTGGCCCTCCCCACGGACGTCGTCCGACATCATGGTGTCGGTTCGATCCGGCATTTGGAAGTAGCCATAGGGGAAATCATCATTGTGGAACTCGACCTCAGGCGTAGGAGTGGGATCAGTCGGAATACCGTCTTCAGCATCCGACTGGCACATGTAGAAGGCGGCGTGGATATTTGCGCGCGTTACGTCTGTCTTCTTGGCCGGCATGGGGATGGCCCAGCCAGATTCTTCGGGAATCCCAAATAGGCTCTGTGTCCGCTCATATTCTTTTCGGACTGTCTTGGACGACGAACGCGTCATACTCATGCGCAGGTGATGTTTGTCCATCGACGTTCCCGACATAGTCATGATGCTGCCCAGGACCTCGAGCGCCTCCATGCAAAATTCGGATTGCAGCAGTCGCAGCAGTGGCGAGATGAGGTCCGACCCGTGGCCGGCGATCTCTGCCTTGCTCATATCCATCTCCGGAATAATGACACAGAGGATACGCATTGTCATAATTTTGACCCACGACATGCTATTGGTCAGGAACCCCATCAGTGTCGTCAGCATCCTAAAGTCCAGCTGTGGCAGGTAGCATTCTCGCAGTGCGTAGAAGAGCTGCACGAGGAAGTCCTTGCTCGAACGGTATCCGCAACTGATAAAGCCATCCAACACCACGCAGATGGTTCTATATCCCAGAATCTCCGCAACTTGGAAGAGGATGTAGGCTGTATGTGTCAACTCGTCGCTAAGGGAGTCCAACTCCTGATCCAGTGCTTGCAAGAACCGCGGGAAATTGGCAACGATTGTGAAGAACAGACGGTTGTCGTCCCCAATAAGGTTATCGCTTGGTAGTTGAACAAGCTTATCAAGAGTTTTGAGCGTTGGCTCTAGGCAGATAGAGGATCGTAGGCCCTTATAAAGAAGCGGTTGGACGCCTTCAAACGAGCCATCCCACCTGGGTGGCTGGCCTTCGGCCAAAATCCGCCTGACGTTAGGGTCATGGAAGTCGAGCTTATCCAGGAACTCGTTGAGGATCTCGACGGCCTCAAGGAACTCTCTTTCATTGATGGATTCCAAGCAGGCACACGTAGTCCAAAACAGCTGAGGGAGGGATAGGAGCTTCTCCGAGTCGAGTTTGGTGATGAGTGTCTTCAGCGTTGTCAGGATTTCCATGGAAAATGTTTGTATCTCAGAGTCTTCATCGGCAATAGTATTAGACAGCCTTGCCAGCATATCTCCCAGCATCAACTGGTCAAGCGACGTCAGGATACACCGGAAGATCTGGAAAGAGCGACAGGCCAAATGCCGGACGGGGCATGATGTCGCCCAAGTCAGTGACAAGCGGCTCCACTGTTCTTTGATACCAGGGAAGGTCACTTCGAATGTCCTCACCACCTCGGACGTCAAATATTCCATGCTGTGTGGTACTTTGGTTTCCCGGTCGTCGGCTTTTCCATTGCTGTCTTCGTAGCTCCATACCACTGATCGGTCGTGGCGGCGGATAGAATCAATCAGGTCTTCAATCGACTCTTTGGTCTCAGCTGGGATGGCATCATCCATTTTGGAGATGACAAGCTCGTGGATCAAGTGTACGAGCATCTCACGAGCCTGCTCTTGAACAAGAGGTGTATAGTGATCCCATAACACAGTGACCACTTGCAGAAGCACGGGTAGGTTGTCAGCTGTCAACTGAACTGGAGAAACCATCAAGTCGACCAACAGTATCAGCGACAGCTGTCCTAATGAGAAGCCGGCTTGTTTAGTGCCGACAGGAAGAGCCTCTGCTAAATCGGCACAGTACGGCAATTGGTTGATATCTGGAGGCGGTGGAACGACCTCTCGTTTCTCATTCGGCACCATGGCCTTGGGACTTATCTGCAGGAGCAGGAACTCGACCACCTTGATCCCGGGCGTGCTCGGGGTGCTCGACAAGAATACAACGATCTGCTTGGCATACTCGACAAAGTTCTGCTCACGTCGTTCCAGACACAGTGAAATGATGAAGTCTAGAACTAGACGAACATTGCCAGGATGCGGCCCTGTCGCCAGTGCTTGCCAGAGCGCTTGGACTTCGTTGTGCAGAGCCGCACTGGACTTGATGGTGATCTCGAGCAGGTTGGCGAGCAGAACATACGAGTTCGCAATTGGGCCGCCGTTAGGATCAACCTGAAGCTCAATCGTCTGGATCCATGGCAGGATGACTGCAACTACGTTGCGCTGGGCGCCGGCCTGAAGACTCTTGAAATACAGCGTGAATTCGGAGAAGATGTGGAAGGCCTGTTCTGGGTGTTGTTTGGCAAGTCGCTTGGATATCTCGAACTGCGCAAGCTTGTACACTGCTTTGGTCTTGTCCGAGATACTTATGTCGAAATCTTGGATCTTGGAAGTACGGGCTGCCAATTGCCTCTCTTCGAGGGCTCTAAGAACATGTGCCGACTTGGATCGGATGTCGCTCGAATCATTGCCTAGTGTAAATAGGCAGAGACCAAGGAGTCTCCAGAACGGTGAAGGGTAATTAGTATGCTCCAGGAGCACCTCGGCCACTACCGCAAAGTAGCTTTCGAGGACTTTGGCGACGTCTGCCAGATAGCAACGTGCAATACAATGTTCCAAAAGGTACGGGTACTCCTGGTTGCATACAATAAGGTTCTTCAACGCACGTCTGCCGATAACATTGAGTCTGTCACTGCCAGAGTTGAAGATCATTTCCACCCAGGCAAGCATGCGTCGGATATCGAACTGCAGCGCGGCCCCACTCTCCGTAGTAACACTTATTGGGCCGGCGCAGAGAGCGGCCATGGAACTCAGGGCTGCCGTTCGAAGATTTCTCTTCTCGATTTCCATGGCGGCAGTCACTGTGCCTCGCTCGCCTAGCGACTGTTGGTCTATCAACGACTGTCTCATGGAGTCTTCCCGTTGGCGGATTTGCTGTTGGTGGGGTGAGAAGCCACACCAATCCTCCATCAAGGCGAATGACGACTTCCTCGATTCAAACGTCATCCATCTCGAAGGATCCTTAGTTCGATTAATACCTTCGAAGAGTTCTTCCATGAGGCCACAGTAATGGCGACGGAGTTTCTGAAACTCCCAGTCCATCTGCACCTCCCCATCCATGAGAAATAGTTTCAGATCCTTGGTGAATACACAGAGGTTGTTCATAATCCAGTCATCCTGACAGACCGCCGTGTCCTTGAGGAAGTGAGAAGTAAGTTTGTACACATGAGTCAACTCGGTCCGCAAGAGGTCCATCTTGCGGTTGCGCCGCGGACTGCTGTTGCTTCGCTGGTGAAGCCGTGCCCTCGCCTCATCATTGCACCGTGATACCTGTCCTGAGAGCTCTTCGAGGAGTGTGCGGTAAATGTTGACATTGATGGAGCCCATTGCGAGTACTATGGCCTCCCGAACCGATGCAGAGGAGACGGATAGTAATGGGATCAGATACTTGAAGAGTATTCTCGCTGAAATAATCTTCTCCGTTGATTTGGAGCCCCCCCGAGAATGCTGGCCTCCTTGGGTCAGGCCGTTCTGAGACGGCCCAGTATCAACTAGTGTTGTACAAGCAAATGTAAGATACAGCTTGAACTGTTCGACCAGCACATCTGGCTGCGTTGTTGGCGTTCTTCCAGTGTACCGGGAACTCCCGGGTTCGGGGCCGTAGTATAGGCCCCTGGTAGGTTCAGACATGACGACAATGCCCTTGTACATTTGAAGTATCCTGTTGCAAACTAGGTCACGACTGATGGTGACCGTAAAGGGGCAGCGATCGTATGCAACGCGAATGAGATTCGGAAATATTTTGAACCATAGTGTCGTGTCGTAGGATACATCGCTGGTGCACAATTCTATCAAAGCGCCACGATTATTACTGTTCTGCATGCCTCGTTGCAACCGGCTGCGCTCAGCGACGGAAAGGTGTTCGTCTTTAAAATTCATGACTTGGACCGAGTCGTTTTCCAGGATATCTATCAGGCGTTGGTTGTCATTTTCTTTGGCCGCGTCTTTTGCAAGGACAGCATCGAACTCGGTGATGAGTCGAAGTACAGTGACCGCATAGTATCGTACTCTTCGTGATTGCGAGCAGAGAAAAAACAGCCCACGAGCCTCAACGTGCTCAACCTCGGCCCATATACTGGACAGGTCGAGCTTCATTGCTCGCTTGTCAGATTCATTGCCCTCTCCAGCGTCGGATGCGGCCTCTTTCGTTTTCAGCCTGATCTCGTCCCTCCAGATCTGCAACAATTCGACGTACAGGCGAAGGGTGTTCTCTATGTGACCCGGCCCGAGCATTCCACCATCAGACATGGTGGAATAACGGTCATCGAAATTGAAAATAAAACGAGCAAATCCAGTTGTGACTTGGTGTGCATGAGACTGCCTTGCGATGGATTTCAAAGACTGTGCGGAGGACTCGGCTATGTTGGGTTGAACATGGGCTGTACCCGTACACAATAGGTTGATTAACGAGTTGAAGGGGATATCCACGGAAAGGCAACGGGGTAACGCCTGTACAGCAACGTGTAATAGCTCATAAAACGCTTGCTTCTGCTCGGCCTGGCTCTGGTGGTCTTCTCGGCGCGAGAAATTGAAGGTCTCGGCGATTGGCGTCTTGGGTCCCGGACTGTTGAACTTCTCGTCAAGCACAGCTTGCCCTCCGAATGTGTTGTCGCAGATGATTGTGACTTTGCCAAGAATTTCAGAGAATTTCTTGTAGTAGTCCCGAGCAACATCACTCAAGACTTGGACCCGGACGGGTTTCGACAGAGTATTGTCAGGGACTGCCGCCATGGCAAGGCCAGACGGCGGTGCGCTTTGGGTTGAAGCAGCACCGGGGGAGCTGGGCGCCAAACGGTCGGAATTAGAAGGGGCTGTGTTCTCTAGCGGAAACGGCGGCCGGCCCTGCTCACCCTTCTCTAAATCAGACATGATGGCAAGAAAGGCCCTTATTCCAATTACTATTCTGTCAGGGTCGAGCTGCTCGACCTTGAGCTCTTTATTGGAATTGAACTGCTCCGCATTGATGAGTGGAAAGATGACGTTCTTGAAGCAATACTCTGGATGTTTGTATCCGACCACACGGATGATCTGGATGAGAGGGCCAGACACAGCCGTGTCGGCCACCGTGTAGGTTCGTTTGTTAGGCGGCAAGACGAGCTTCATCACCTCATCCAGCTTTCGGACCACGCCCGTTAACGAATCATTGCTTCGGTATAGATAGGTCCACAGCAGCCTCGAAATGACCTGGAGGCATAAAGGTCGCACGGCCCGATCTTTCAACCGCGGCTGAAGGGGCAATACTAGTTGCAACCATTGAGAGACGGAATTGTCAGGCGGAGACACGCATACCATGGTCGCCGTGAGGGGAAATGCAGACTGCCAATGTCGCGGCTTGATGAACATCTGCGCCAGACGTGGGCTGATGTTGCTGATAACTTCACCCCACTTGGGATGGCTGAAGTGGCTATTGCTTGCTTTGGCCGCGATTGGGAGCAACAGTGTGTCAAGGACTTGACAGAAGGCCGATTTGACCTTCTGGCCATGGGATCTCGCAAAGAGCCGCCCCAGTGCCACTAAAAAGTCGCAGGACTGATCCCACGCTTCGTCTGGCGATAACTTGATGCGTAGATGTTTCATGCCACTCAAAACCAATTCCATCTGCCCCTCAGGGTCTCGATTGGCGTTCGTTGGACTTCTTGCGGCCAGGTCTTGCAGCGACCGGTCAAGGTCCGTGATGAACCTTTCGGTAACACTGACGAAGTTGATTTCGCTCATGGCCCCGAGCAGTTGGGCAAATAGGTTCCAGTTGGCCATCTTAAGTGGGGAGATGAAGAGCTGCTCGATGTCTGCAATCTTGAGTTGACCAAAAATGATGCCCTCCAGTTTGTCCTCCATCTCAAGCGTGATGGAGATGAGGCTGCTTTGGCTGATGACTTCTAGGAGGACACGACACAGGATGTATATAGACACGATTGAGCGTCGGTCAGCCTGAACCAAGTATTCCTGCCTCGATACAATGGATGTCTGCTCATTGGCGGCGCCATTGTCGGTTGGGTTGTTAGCAGCCACGACTTGGAGCGGCTCCGTATTTCGCCTCAACAGAGGGCCGCCAGGAAGCTGGCTACGTGATTGTTGGAGTTGGCCCCGGGCCTCACTGGCTGATTCGCTCTTATGTTTCCTCCATAGCATAATCAAGTCAATCAAGGGCTTTGGCTTCTGTTTTGCAATATGTCCCAATGCTACAATAAACTGGTCAAAGGCGGGATCGGCTCCAGGGCCGCATATCTGCTCGATCTGGGGCTCTGGATCAAAGGGTACTGTAATGCTTTCATTGAGCTTCTCTTCAGCTAGCGCAATGAACTTGATGGTCGTTAGCAACTGTGCAATATCTGGCTCTCGCAGATGTACTGACATGTGTAAAAAGAACATGCAAGGCATATTCGCCAACGGTCTTCTGCTCATTGTGGTGCTTGGAAGAATGTGAATGATGGTGGTTGTGATCGCGCCTGGCTTTGCTGTGCATCCGTTCCATCTTTCTCTGCGTTAGGGTGCTAGTTATACTCTCGGGTGCCCCGGGGTGGGCGCTGGAGGTTACGGCGGTGCCCGAGATGGCTGTCGGTGGTCTGGAGGTCATGGACATGTTGGACATCTCGGAGTCGACACGGCCCATTACATGCAAATCAGGCCTTTCAGGTCTTTCGGGCAAAAGACCAGCTCCAGCAGCAGCGATCATCTGCGGGCTGAGAGGACTCGAAGACGAGTTATTCCTCGAATGTTGGATGCCATGGACAATGGACGTCTGCCTGTGGTGCCCGTAGGCTGCGGTGGCCTTAGAATCAACCACTCTTTCCAATATCCCGGCCAGGCCCTGGCGCGAAGCGGGTGACTGTGCGCGCGGCGACGTAATCGAGACAGCCGATGATGGCAACGAAGACTCCGACTCGGGGATGCCAGCGAGCCCTGCCGACTCGAGCTTCTCGAGGGAGGATTGGCGCGAGTGGGCGATAAATCGGGCGGTAGAGGGGTCTAGCACAGCAGGTCGTAAGGTGCTGTCCCTGCCATCGTCCTCGTCGTGGTCGGGGACGTGAACGTGGTTGAGGCGCGATGCGGCTCGAGGCGAGTATTTTTCTGACAGCACCTGTTGCGGAGCTGTTGCGATGCTTCTGTTAGTAATGGCGTGCAACGGGAACGGCAACGGCATCAAACCCCCAACGCCAGAGTAGAAAGTAATGCTTCAGTTCACTGCAGAATCCCTTCTTGTGAAACAGTCGTGGGTAACATAGCTTTTGTTGGCTACACAGATTGGGGCCTGGCCGGAAGGTTTTTTGCTGCGAAGGATTCGTTCGCAGGGGGGAGGGGGGTTGCAATGGGCAATGACGCGAAACAAACCACACTCATCAACTCACCCATTGTTGGATTGGCGAAGTGCCCATGATCTATCCGAATCGAGAGTGCGATACCAGCATTGGCAGTTGATGCGTGAGCATCTTACTAAGTAGGTTACTGGACGGTGGGCACAAGGCACGATGTTGTCTTCCCCGAATGTGCTCAAATGCGACCTTAAGATAGTGCTCTACAGCTCTCAGCTCTGTGGCTGCTGGCCAGTTGTGTTCAAGTGTCCACTCCATCTTGATCACGTAGACCTCAAAATTTACCATAAGATGGCGCCCATCGCACTCTTATTTGCCAATGACGAACGATACTGACCAATGTCCCGTCTGAAAGATATGCGTTGTCCATGAACATATGGCCCGAAATCTGGTGCTTGGATGCTGCTCTTTTCTCGTTCTGGCAATGCATGCGCCTGAGCACATCCCGCTCCTCCAAAGCCCAATCAATCATATCGACCTCGGGAAGCTCTCCAGCTTCGAATATACTAGCAAGGGTAATCCGTCAGGGGCACTGGCCAATCAGACCTCTCGAGGAGTGGACTTGGCATTGGAGCATATGGTCGACCTGTCGAAGTCATGCAAGCCATATGTTGAACCATTCCAGAATTCTAGTTTTTTTATATCTTGACGAATAGTAAACGTCAATTCCTACCTTCCCTTCCAAGCTTAAGTTTCAATAGTATTATTTATTAAGCCTTATTCCCATTCCCGTAATTTGCGACGATATAAAGAGTTGGATGAACCAATCATCTTTCTCGTTGAAGCTATTCTCTCCGGCATTTTGTCATGCCAGTCGCTCGCCTATTACGAGAGCATCAATAATCACAGAGTTGTCCAAGTGTTTCTTCGAAAATCTAATAGTTATATGTAACAAATAACGATACAAGGTTTCCTGGAGTCTGCCTCGGCATTGCTGAGAGTGGTGGGAAGATGTCGGCACAATTGCCTTTCAAAACTACCTTTGAATGTTAAATGAATGCAGCGTAGACAGCTCAATGAAACACATAAGAATGTATAGGTTCTGCGTAAATATATTTATACTCTGGCATTTCACCCTCTGTAGTTTGGGGTTCTCCTAATGAATGACGTCGATAATGAGAAGTATAAAGTAGTCGCATTGCTTGGGCTTATGGGCTTAGATGCCTAATAATAACCCATACAATACCTTGACGGTTGCAAAGAGACGTGGGCAGAACTAAGAGCAGGGATATCCACGTTTACAAGATCGTCCATGGATTCTGGAGTTGCCTCAAACAGCAGAAAATACTTACTGAATAGAAAAAATTAAAGTACCTTAGTCCCGCAACAGAACGACCTAGCGGCCCGTTCAAGTGGAATCAAGTCAGTTCAAAATCGTCAACAGCCCGAGACCCACTCGGCATCCAAGTCTCAGTGTCGGAGAGTAACGCAGTACCGGAATGTCACATCTAACGTAGGCGTTCTGAACAACAGTCCATGTAAACGACTTGAGTAGTATTGAAAAGAAGACTGCCTTAGCCAAACTCGAATTGCCCAGGTCAACTTGCGGCAGCTCGCTCAACACGTGGCGTTGATGTAACATAGTGAGTGGAAATTGTCAGCGGCTAACCAACTCGGGGAGTACCGTCAGACACCACTTGATAAGGCTGCTTTAGGATGAAATACTTGGCGGTCGAGTACGATATGTAAATACGGATAATACGTCCTTAGTCAGGTGGTAATTAATGTTGTCGTTCCCGCGGTGAGATGAGATACTTGCTAGCAACGTCCAAGCTGGCCACCGCCGCTGCGCCGCTGGCGTCCGTAAGAACGGGGTTAGAATACTATGCAGCTGCTGATCCGGAAGGCCAGATCGTTCATATCGGGGTTGATGCATTGCCGAGTCTCCCAGAATTACCCCATACATCAGGACGTGGTTGGTTAACTAATACGCGGAACAGCTGGACTGTCATGCAAATTGAGCACAGGTGGCAAGTAGGCCTGGGTTAGCCCTGCATAATACGGTTGGCATTGGAGGGCTGGCGAGTGCTGACATTATGAATACGATGGTCCGAAATCCTGACAAGTCATAGATTCTGTGATATTGATGGATTGCACTATTTGTGGCATGGCATCTACGGATTCCTTAGGACTATATGCATTTGATGTGCATGGAAGGACGTGGACCCCTTCTCGGCAAACGCCGCGGCCTGTTGCAACATCAAGTTAGATTGGTTTGGTAGGATTCCCGGCGTGCATTTGACCCATCTGTCGGATAGCCCTATGTAGGTGATGTCGAGGTCGTGGCAACAACTCAATCTTGATATCGCGAATCAAGCACTGCCCGACATCAGGTTTTCTCTTGGCTTCGAAGGTTATTAAATCACTGGCCTTATTGAAGACAAGCACATAAGTGTGTTCTCAACATCGCAAGAGCGAACAGAACAAATAACCTTGAACCATGGAAATCGCTGTAAAACAGACCCAGTGGCTGTGGCTCGGTGGTCTAGCAAGCCCGCTGCATGTGAGCCCTAGCTGGAATTGATGAATCTATTATAGTACAGGGTCGATTTTGACTTGCCCAAACCCCCAAGGCCCTGGTCACGCCTAGACTCCAACCAAGACTCGTGCTGGTCATTAAATACCCTTTTGCCGCCAGTGAAGACAACCCTTTCGACATCCTCTACTTCGATCTTACCTAGCCAACAGGTCGTCAGTTTCTAGTTGCCCATAATTCCCTTTTGGGACCCCCACCTTTTCCTTTTCTGTCTTGCCGTTCTCTGTACCAGTTCCAGCAGCGCATTAACTAGGACACCCATAACTTTGGCACCCCAAGCGAGTCCGGCCGTTCCCACGTGCACCATTATCTGCTGCAGGAGCAAATTTTGGTCATTTTACCAAGCGCTGTAAAGTCAGTACGTGGCCTCTGCCGTCAAGCGAGAATCCGCTTCCCATAGAGTCGCGCCCTACGGTTTTCAATTTCTCTGGTTCGAGTTTATGTGTTGGCAATCGTGCAGTTGTTCCACCCCCCTTGAGTTCTCCAGTGCAGGGTTGAAGTACCCCGACGTGCGATAATCGGCGCGCCCGACCCGCCCAACCAACGAATATTTTCAAGGAACACGTTCGGTTCCTCACGGACAGCCTGCGATAGCTTCGAGTCCCCTTCCTGCCAGTTTCAATAACGTGCGACTACCTGCAATCATGGCGCAACTCGACACGCTGGACCTATTGGTCCTCACGGTGATCCTGCTGGGCACTGCAGCCTATTTCACCAAGGGCAAATTCTGGGGTGTCACAAAAGACCCCTACGCGAACTCGTTTGCCCACGCAAATGGGCTCAAGGCCGGCAAGACAAGGAACATAATAGAGAAGATGGACGAGAGTGGCAAGAACTGTGTCATATTTTATGGTTCCCAGACAGGAACTGCCGAGGACTACGCCTCGAGATTGGCCAAGGAGGGCAAAAGCAGATTCGGGCTCGACACCATGGTTGCTGATCTCGAGGACTACGACTATGCGAACCTCGATGTCATCCCTGAGAATAAGGTTGTCATGTTTGTTCTGGCCACTTACGGTGAGGGCGAGCCCACTGACAATGCTGTTGACTTCTATGAGTTCATCACGGCCGAGGATGTTTCCTTATCCGAGTCGCGCGACACGCCCCTGGATAACCTCAACTACGTCGCTTTCGGTCTCGGCAACAACACGTACGAACACTACAACTCGATGGTCCGCAACGTCGACAAGGCCCTTCAGACACTCGGAGCGCACAGAATTGGCGCTGCCGGTGAGGGCGACGATGGAGCTGGCACCATGGAAGAAGACTTTCTTGCCTGGAAGGATCCCATGTGGGCAGCTTTGGCCAAGAAGATGGGTCTGGAAGAACGCGAAGCTCAGTACGAACCCATTTTTGGCATCGTTGAGCGAGAAGGTTTGACAAAGGACTCCCCCGAGGTCTACCTTGGCGAGCCAAACAAGATGCACCTCGAGGGATCTGCCAAGGGACCCTTCAATGCCCACAACCCCTATATCGCACCTATCGCCGAATCGCGTGAGCTCTTCTCCGTCAAGGACAGAAACTGTCTGCACATGGAAGTTGACATTAGCGGTTCCAACCTATCTTACCAGACTGGTGATCACATCGCAATCTGGCCGACCAACGCAGGCCAAGAGGTTGACTATCTTTTGGATATCCTGGACTTGACAGAGAAGAGGGACACCGTGATCAGCATCAGGGCTCTCGAGCCAACGGCCAAGGTGCCTTTTCCTACCCCGACCACATACGATGCCATTGTCAGATACCACTTGGAAATATGCGCTCCCATCTCTCGTCAGTTCCTCGCCACCTTGGCCGCATTCGCTCCTGATGAAGCTTCCAAGGCGGAGATGACTAAGTTGGGTGGTGACAAGGACTATTTCCACGACAAGATCAGCAAGTATGACTACAATATCGCCGGTGTCCTTCGTATCGTTGGTGGCGGCCAAAAGTGGAGCAACATCCCCTTCTCTGCCTTCATCGAGGGCTTGACAAAGCTCCAGCCTCGCTACTACTCTATTTCCTCCTCATCCCTTGTGCAGCCCAAGAAGATCTCCATTACCGCTATTGTCGAAAACCAAGTCATCCCTGGTCGAACCGATCCTTTCCAGGGCGTTGCAACCAATTACCTGCTTGCTCTAAAGGAGAAGCAAAACGGCGAGCCCAACCCTAAGCCGTTTGGTTTGACATATGACATCTGTGGTCCCAGAAACAAGTACGACGGAATTCACGTACCTGTCCACGTCCGCCACTCCAACTTCAAACTCCCCTCGGATCCTTCGAAACCAATCATTATGATCGGACCTGGTACTGGTGTTGCCCCATTCCGAGGGTTCGTGCAGGAGCGTGCGAAGCAAGCTGAAACGGGTGAGACTGTCGGGCGAACCATTTTGTTCTTTGGATGCCGAAAACGCGGAGAGGACTTCATGTACGAGTCAGAGTGGGAGGTAAATACGCCCTTGTAAGCGCGCATGACATCGAGACTAACCGTTTTCGTAGGAACGCAAACAGGTGCTGGGCGACTCGTTTGAAATGATCACGGCATTCTCGAGAGAGGGCCCCAAGAAGGTCTATGTACAGCACCGACTGAAGGAGCGCGCTCAGGAGATCAACGAACTACTTGAAAAGAAGGCTTACATCTATGTTTGCGGTGACGCGGCAAATATGGCTCGTGAAGTCAACACGGTGCTGGCCCAGATCATCGCGGAGCAGAGGGGTATTCCTGAAACCAAGGCCGAGGAGATTGTGAAGAACATGAGGTCAGCAAACCAATACCAGGTACGTCAAAGTTTTGTTGCACAATCCATCTCTACCGGCTTCCCATCGATGCAGCCCGTCGAATCAAGACCGAAGCTCTACCCAGGGTTGGATTTGCCTACATATTTGGACAAGCGCACACTGACACCCCATCCAGGAAGATGTCTGGTCATAATGGGCTCGCTAGACAGGTGGTATATAGCCACAAGCGTTTCTGCATTGGTGAGGTGTTACGGGCTGAGGTCACTGTACTATCCCCGACGCCATTTGACCGTTCCGGGATCACGAATCAGAATTCTCTCGTCTGTTGGCATCGGCTTATACGGGTTTAGTATATAATGACATCTCCCATAGACATTGTTTTTTTCAGTAGTAGATTGCACAATAATGAGCGACTGTTTCGGTCATGTACCCCATTGCCATTTCTCGAAGACTTGTGCTCTTGTCGCATCAATATCTTGGAGCACCATAGGGCTTCGACACGCCCATTAGTTGCTTGACTTCATGATAAGATACTTGCAGTTATTGTATTTAACCTTGAGTCTCTTCTACCGTATAACCAACACCACCTTTGAGTTTGCACCGGAGGCTTAACTGTCTGGATCGTCAAGTCAGAATAAAGATTCAGCGGATGCACATCATGTTAAACGGGGAGCGAGGCCGTAATAGCGGTGCAGTAGTGGGATAGCTTCGTTGGGCTCGAGGTTGACGAGTGGAAAGAAAGGCGGCAACAATGGAAAACCCCCAAACTTCGATTGCAAGTGAAATGTTCCAGCACTCGAACAATTCGACTTTTTGGTGTTCCTACTCCGCCAGAAATTTGAGCTTCCTTTTCCTCAGCCAGGCACGGGGATCGGGACTTCCTGCCGGCATATGAACTAGATAGAAAACTACTCCAGAATGCAAAAGCAAGCATCCCAAACGAGTCCTGCGAGTTACTCGGTCCCATCTCAACGGGTCCAGGATCCGAACCGGGTTTTCTCCAAGGAACGTGGCTGTTTGACTTATTTGAGCCGTAAGCCACCACACGAGACAATATCACCGGGTTTGGAGGCTGCGCAGCTTGACGGAAACCAGGAGATGAACTTGAGCCATTCAGCCATCTTGTCACTGCACCACCCTAGCGCATACCAATGAGTACAGATGCTCTGCCCTAACAAGGATTTCTTTGGGATGCAAGTTCGTCTAGTTTCGATTGCTCGGTCAGATATCAGATCTCTACGTCAAGTGCCATTCTTCCATTGGTGCATAGAACGGTTTCTGTTCGTGCCAAGCTAAGTGTCACCGCGGAGAAATCCTACTAGCAACCTGGAGAAGCTTTATGTCTTAATACGGTCCCCGACGTCTGAGTACTGTCCCACGTCGAAGAGGCTGGTCCTCCACATGGCGGTTCTGCATCTACAACCCCTTTTCCTCAGTGGGAGACGATATATAGGAGTCAGTGTGCCTTCCACAGATCAAATCTATGGATGTCAAAGACAAAAGGCATCGTTGTCCTTTTGCGTGGTCTGCGTGCCCTATCATCCAGTACTAAGAAAGTGAGTGCATAATAAGCGATGAACTTGAACAGTCGAGCAATATTTCAGGTATAACCCAAGTATATCTTAACTGCTAGATGATCTGCAATTGGCCGCTACATGGGGTCTTAAATGGAAGGTCCGTTGCCCAGTATTCCGTAACGGGCGTTTTAGAGTATAACTTGCCCGGTTTAGGTACAACTTGGCTTCCATATAAGCCCTCTCAGTGCTCCGGTATACATGCTAAATAATTGTCATTATGATCCGTTTAGTGTCTTCTGTTCTATTTATATGTACACATGATTACCCTTTCTCCTGAACATCGCCATCAAATATATCCGTTATAGTGCCATAGACTCAGTCGCCTATTGAATCTATGAAAGACACAAGAAGAGTTGATGACAGGACAGGCCAAAGGTATCAGTATCAAAGATTGACAGCAGGTTGTCACTTCTGACTTGGCTTCTTGCTTGCTTACAGAGAGAGGTCTAGAATTGTTAGCAGAATTGAGGTATATTGATTATACGGCTGTTTACCCGAGCCTCCGCAGGTTTGCCAGGCAGCCAGCCTCATGAGATTTATCCTCCAAGGGCCGAAGAACCCCAGAGCAGCAAGTGTCTGGGAAGCAGAAAGGGAGCAGAGGCGAGGCAAAAAAGAACCACGTCGACGTGCATCACTTCTGAGCGAGACTTGTTGCTTTTGCGACTTGGAGATCACCTGGATCCAGTTTGAAATTGTCCCAGTTGCGGTGACCGCTCGCTCCTGCCGACTTGTATGATATAACGTGATTTCCAGATCCGGCACCTACTACAAAAACGTTCCCGACGTGCCTGCGAGTTCTTCTACTCTCCTACAACCTGCCAGCTAGGTATTCTCCGGCGTTCTAGCATTCTATCACATGCTTTGAGCACAAACTGCATTGGTGACCATTGCATCATTATTTTTGGTCAACATTTGTCAACCTCGTTGCCGCCGCTGGGCCTTCCTAACTTCCTCCAGCATCCGTACCTCCCTTCCTCGTTTGATCGCGACTGCTCATTACGGTGCAGTTACCAAAGGTCAGTGGATCTGTGTCTTTTATATTCTCCTTGTGCCAGTCTTGGAATCTTTCCCTTCTCCCCTTTCACGGCATAGCATCCACTCATCCAGCACCGACATTCCCACAATCTCTTCGGACTCCCATCTTGCTCGCTAGCTACTCTATCTTACTTGTACCCGCTCGCTTCATAACAATCGTCTTGGTGGCATTGCCAGATCCTGCAAGGTAAGCCTCCTGTGGTGGGCGACTCTTGTGGCGGTGGTGGTGGTGGTAGTGCTGGTTCAATTGTGCTGGTTTGAGCAACGACGACAAACATCTCCTTTCTGCCCATTCACCTATCCCAGCATCTCCCAACCAAAGGATCAATTGTTACCGCCTCACAAAATTCACCTTGTATGAGAACAACTGGGCTCAATCGATTTGTTATTCTGCCGGCAACGACGTCACCGCCCTGTTTTCTATTTAAGCAGCTTCCCAACTCCTCCAGGTCACACTTCTCTGCCTTCCACCCACAACATTCAGAGCACTCTGTTTTCTGACCTTTAGATTGGAAGCTCACGACACTCGTTTCTTACACTCGCCCTTTTTCGAGCCGAGCAGCAAGTTTCTTACATTCCTCTTCTACACACACGAGTTCACCTTGGCTAATTTCCTTGTCCAACAGTTCGTGCTTCCTCAGGTCGAGACCGATCGTCAACACTGTCAGCAATTGTCCGAAAGGTATACTTCAAATTCTTCTGTCGCCTGCTCCCCTCGCCCCATCCACGCCCCATTCCGATACCCGTCGAAACTCGGTTCCGTCACCAAGTTCATCTCGTTGTAATTGGACTTGTCTCGGTTGCCGGGTCGATATTGTGCTATGCGCAACTACTAGCACCAATCTTTCCTCCTTCACCAGCATTGTCACGTTATTTGTCTGGGTGTCCCTATACCTATTTACCACAGTCTCTGGATCGATTCGGTCTGTCCCAAATTCATGGTGCTGGTTTTTTCCTATCTGGAACTTCACGCTGCGCTCACACAGCGAGTCGAGACTTCAACCCCAAGCCACATCCCTACTGTCCACAAGTCCTTCATTCCGTTGACTTCTTCAGCTACAGCTTCTTGTCGCCAAGTTAGTTGATAACATTTCCTTTTCTTAACACTACATACAACCTTGGTCAGAGCCATCCCGGACTTGACCCTTGTGCCCCTCCAGAGGATAAGAAATGCTAAAACCCATCTCTTAGACGCAAGACTATGTCTTATACTACCAACATGTCTTCTGACGCCAACAACGGAACTGAAAACCACGCTGATCGTGTTCATGTTCCTTTGGGTCGTCCCTTGGAGAACATGACTTCCCAGGGCTATCTTCAGTCCATGGCCGTTCCTCGTGGTTCCGACGTTGCTAGTTCGCACAATGTCCAGCAGGACGGCATGTCGGCCATCGTCAACCAGTTCGCTGGACTTGGCGTCAGTGGTGCTATGATGTCCAACACCCCTCAAGGAATCACTGGGCTGTCCACTTCATACCCCTACGGAATCACTGCAGAGGGAGTGCCTTATTTTGTCGGCGGCTATGCTGCCGGTCCCAACCAACCTGCAATCCCCGGCAACCAGCCTTTCTACATGGCAGGTGGCCATGCTTTGCCTGCTGCTCAATGGCGCTACGCTGACAACCGAAACATGGATATGTTCAGAGAGATGTCGGCTAACATGGCGAACAATCCTGTCGCTCTGCAGGCCTTCTATCAGAAGTACAGTCCACAGTCCATGGAACTCACTGGCAACCTTCCCGGCTTAGAACAACGTCGATCATCGTACTCCACTACTGAGTCTACCCCTGCGACGCCTTTCTTTGGCAGCACGGCATCTCGCAACAACATTGCAATCTATGACTCAACCTACACTACTCCATCGCCTCCCCAGATCACTTCATCTGGCCTCGTCGAGCAGCCAAAAGGTTTCTCGTCAATCCCACCGGTTGACCATGAGCTGGATGCGTTGCTGAAGCGTGAACCCCCTATTCCCAAGGCTGTTCCCGCTGTGTTCACACCCGTTGAGAACATGAAGACCCTTGAACAGAGCCTGGTCAACCACATTCCCGGAAACCGCAATGTGTACATCAGAGGTCTGATGCCCACTACCGACGATGAGGTTCTCCTCAAGTATGCTGAACGCTTTGGTCCCGTCGAAACTTCGAAGGCCATCATTGACACCTCGACTGGTGCTTGCAAAGGGTAAGTTCCCCATGTACTACACTGCGGGCATCATTAACTAATGTTTGGCTTTCCAGCTTTGGCTTTGCCAAGTTCGCTAGCGTTCAGGACTCTGAGAAGTGCATCCGGGGTTTCCACCGCTTGGGATATGAAGTCGGCTTTGCAAGGGTACCTAAGCTTCCTGTCGTCTTGCCCCCTATGAATCACAATGGCATTATGGAGCCCCGCGGCAGTATGTATCTCCAGCCCCAGTCAGAGTTGACTCGATCGTTGGATGTCCATCCATACGTTCCGTCCCCTCCCCCAAGCGCAAGTGCCTATTATGGACCTAACGAGAATGCCTCTCCGACTTCTGAGGGAAGCTTCTGTGATGGCGAAGGTTTTGCCCTCGTCACATTGAAGTCTAACCCCAAGACCGTGTTCAAGCAGTGCATTTGCAAGTGCGATTTCCATACCATGGTCAACAGCGGTCGTTATCCTTCTCTTATGAGTGGTCTCTGCGAATGCCCATGTGCATTCCACCCGCCGCACTGGACTGACTTTGACCCGGATGATCAGGAGTCCTTCAACTCGCGCTTGAAGGCCGAGGGCGACGATAGCTCCACGAACCTCTACATCTCGAACTTGCCTAAGTCACTCACCGAAAACGAGCTCGCCGCCATCTTTCTCGGATACACGATCTTGTCGAGCAAGATCCTTCGCGACGGCTTGGGAAATAGCCGTGGAGTCGGTTTCGCCCGGTATGTTTTGGATCCCGTACTTTTCTTTGTGGCCTTGGTCGTCTAACTGATGGTTTCTACAGCTTTGAATCTCGTGATGTTTGCGATGAGATCATTAAGACCTTCACAGGCCAGCCCCTTGGCGAAGAGGGCCTTTGCATGCAGATCCGCTACGCCGACACCCCCGCCCAGAAGGAGCTCAAGCGTGTCACCGCTGAGCGACGTCAGTTCCGTACTAACGAGTACAATGTCGGTGCCTATGGCACTGCTGCTGTTGGCATCTCCCCGACCATCTATGGCCAGCCTGGTTGGAAGCAGAAGCCTACGACTGGTTCTGCGTAAGTTCTTGTCACATATATAAGCCTTCGAATTCTGACTTCTTATACAACAGTCCTCAATTCCCGGCCTATACCCATGTCGAGAGTTGCAAGGTTGGACAAGGGCAAGTACCGTACGGAACCCCCTGCAACTGCTATGTTCAGTTCCTCGGTCACTAACCGTCCTACCAGACCGAGCAATGATGCACCGTCTTTGGAGGATGGCTCTGGTGATGAGGGTGTGACGATTCATGTTGAGTCTCCCCTCGTGGCGAACGGAAGCACGCAGTCGTCTCCGGTGAAGCAGATCAAGCAGGAGAAGGTCTAGACATTGGGCCTCTGTGTTTTTTTGTCACCGTCCCCGGTATCCCTCATTTTACCCCTATCTTGATCCAACGGCATGATCTATCCACCATGAGACAAGGAGGTCTTATGTTGTTGTGACGACAGCATTCGCATATCCACCAAAAGGTAGCATTGATCAGTCATCAGGGTTTTTTGGTACCACGAACTCTTGTACCTCACTTACTACCCCATTCATCACGTTTGTCTTTGTTGTCTGCAGATAGACTCGGTATGTTAGTTGCCATTCATGAAGTTTTGAGTGGATCGGACATACTAGGTTCTTATCTTGAGACCTTTCAGTCATGATCATTGTACCCTCGACACTATCCCAGATTAGTCAGGGCATTAGTTATAAAGGGCCTTTTATAGATGTTTATAGACCAAGCAAAAAATAAAAAAATAAAAAGAAAAGAAAAGGATCCGGTCCCCTTGGGCCAATAATGTTATGCAGCTATGGATGACTTACGACGCCTAGGACTTTGGATTGTGACAGGAAGGAAATGTGCATACTCCTTGGTGTTGGCCGAACTAACATGAGATAAGTCGCATAGCTCTAACCTAGACCAAACACAAACACAATAATAGCCGAGTAAGCTTCGATCGTGGTAGGAGGGGATCCAGCGGACGAACGAGGACAAAATAAGACATGAATATATAGAAAGCAGAGGCGCGTAGTTCGCCGTGAACACGGGACAACTGATTGGATGGAAAACATCGTAGGGTATCAATGGTTTGGTTTTTATTCTTGTCATTTAGTGCTGGTCATGTCTGATCACCAATGGACAATCTGGCCATATCTGGAGCGTTGGAACCGGTAGCGGCAGGCTCCTCTTCTTCTAATTCACCCTCATCGGCTTCTTGCTCTTCTTCATCATTATCATCATCTTCTTCATCTTCATATGCCTCCTCATCGGCCGAGCCACCACCTTCAGGCGCCTCGGCTTGCTGGGCTCTGATTGCTGCCTCGAGATCCTTCAACATTTTCTTGGTAAAACCGGAGGCTTCCACTAGGGCATCGAGCCTCTTGGCGCCACGCTGACCCATCGCCTTTTTCGCATCCTTAAAGAAGGGGCCGGGCTGGGTGCCGACAAAGTGGAAACGCCGTTCAAAAAAACGTTTCACGCAGTTAACGTCGCGGTCAAAGTACATTTCGGCATTTTGGTGCTCCATGGAGACCATTTGGGGGAAGTCGATCAGGATGGGTATGACCTTTACCGTCTCGGTAGGTGGTGTCGTCTCGTTGTTTGTGACCGTCTCCTCTTTGAGCAAGATGTTGAACTCGTTGAAATCGCCGTGGATCAGCCCGTGCCGCGCTAGCCGCATGATCATTTCCATCAACTCGCCGTACAGGGTTGCGGGATCGCCCACATGCGAAATCTGGCGCAACGGAAAGGCATCGATCAAACTCATGACGATGGTATGGCGGCTTTGAGCTATTGGTTCGGGCACGGGAAATCCCTCCTCGCGCAAGGCCTGCATGAAGGCATATTCCTTCATGGCCGCCAGGCGGCTCAGGTACATCCAGCCACTGCCACCGCCGCCGTTGTTATGGTTCTTACGGCGCAGGTAGTCCCGGTTGGCCTTGACGGTACGGAAACTGATCCGACCCAGGCGGTGGATTTTGAGCACCTTCTGCGTCCCCTTGTTGTCCGCCACAATCATGATGTCGCTTTCTTTTCCCACACCAATGCGGCTCCCCACGCTGTAGACAAAGTTCTGCGAGGCGTACTGGTGCAGGGCCAGGTAGTCGAGCCCACCGTAGGTGAGCCGATAGCCGTCGTACTTTGCCTCCTTCATTTTTGCGATGAGGCCCGTCTTGGCCAGGGCCGAGATGGACTTGTGCACACCTGACACGCCGCCTCGTAGCCGTGAAAGCCGCTCGATTATCGGAGTGGGAACGAGTTCGTGGTTCTTGGAGCCTGTCTCGACTGCGGCGAGGACACGCCAGTCCTCCGCCGTGAGATGGCGCATCGCCTTGGAGTCCAAAATCATGATGGGCGGAGCCGGTTGGTACCCGCCGGTCTTCGAGGTTTCGAAATTTGATCAAGTTTGGGGGTCCTGTAGGCGTAATAGCGTGGTGTGTAGGTCGTATGTACCCCAGATTCGGGGGGTTCCGCTGGGACGTAAGTCTTGTTTCTTCAATTCCTCAAGAACTAGAATTAAAAGACTCCAAGATGAGGTCCTAAGATCTGACTTCACACGTAAATTGCTTCCAATGCCCCGCGATGAGGTTCAACATCCACATTTTAGAAATGTTATCGATAAAGAATATCAATCGTCTTATCCGGGATTACTGCGGTAATGATGGAATCCAATTGCTGAAGACTTCTGTTTATTTCAGCCTCATGGAGAGCTGCATCTGGGCACTGACCAGTGGACTCTTGTTATTTGGCCAGGCCAGGCGGCCAGACGAGGCGTAACCAACCTCTCTGGAGCTGCAACTCATCGACGTGACTCGGAGCTTTACAAAGCTGTCGTGCATCTATCACCTTCCATCCCGCCCCCAACAACGCCATTCAATCAACCACATCCACTGATTCCGCATTTCTGGTGTTTTAATCGCGGTGCTCGAATCTTTTCCACACAGTACCCGTTAGACCGTTGCTGCACGCCCCTTCCGCCCCGTCCCGACCTACGACCCACCTCCTTCCACTGCCCTGCGTCGCCTAATTGTCACCATGGCGCAAGACAGTGACGTCTCCAAGGCCGCCGACAAGGGCAAGGGAAAGGCTGTCGAAGGACAGAAGCCGGATCAGTCCAAAAAGGGCAACGACGGTCAACTGGCGGTCAACGGCAAGAAGGATGGCGATAAGATCATAGACGGTATGGCGTTCTACGGACTGGACACTCGACAATCAACAAATGCTGACTTTGTGGTAGCCGCCGAGGAGCTCAGTGAAGAGGATCAGCAGCTGAAGAATGAGCTGGATATGCTCGTGGAACGGTTGACGGTTTGCCTTAATCCGGCGCCCAGTTGGAATTCATTGCGGTTGACTGACGGAGACATTAGGAACCCGATGCATCGCTCTACAAGCCCGCCCTGGAGGCCATGAAGACGTCCATCAAGACATCCACATCATCTATGACTGCAGTACCGAAACCCCTCAAGTTTCTGCGACCACACTATGAGACCATGACCAAACTTTACGACGAGTGGCCCGAGGGTGATGACAAGTCGTCACTGGCAGATGTCTTGTCCGTCATCGGCATGACTTTTTCTGACGAGGACCGACAAGACACTCTCAAGTACCGTCTTCTTTCGCCTTCACAAGATATCGGATCGTGGGGGCATGAGTACACACGGCACTTGGCCTTGGAGATCGGCGAGGTCTACGGTAAGCGCATCACAGGCGATGAACCTATCAAAGACTTGATCGAGCTGGCCCGGGTCCTCATACCCTTGTTTCTCCAGAACAACGCTGAGGCAGATGCTGTTGATCTCATGAGCGAGTTGGAGATCATTGAGGAGTTGCCCAAGCTAGTCGACGATAACACGTACTCCAGAGTGTGCCTGTACTTAGTCAGCATGGTCAATCTCCTGACGTACCCGGATAATGAGCAGTTCCTCCGCACCGCCCACGATATCTACAAGACATACAAAGAATACACCCAGGCCATGGTTATCGCCATTCGCCTGAACGACCTCGACCTGATCAAGTCAGACTTCGAGAGTGCGTCAGGTCCTGCCCTGAAGAAACAGCTGGCCTTCCTGATCGGCAGGCAAAAGATCTGGCTCGACTTTGACAAGGATGACGAGGAGGCTCAAGAGATCGACGAGGCTCTGTGTAACATCAAGCTCGCAGAATACTTCAAGACGCTTGGGAAGGACCTGAACATTCTCGAGCCCAAAACGACCGAAGATATCTACAAGAGTCACTTGGAGAGCAGCAGGGTTGCCGGTATGACAAATTTGGACTCGGCTCGACATAATCTGGCCGCAGCGTTCGTCAACGCTTTCGTCAATGCCGGGTTTGGCAACGACAAGATGATGCTTGTGGAGCAAGACAAGGAAAGCTGGGTATGGAAGACCAAGGAAGAGGGCATGATGTCAACTGTTGCATCTCTTGGCACCCTGCTGATGTGGGATGTTGAGAATGGCTTGGACAAGATTGACAAGTTCACCTATGCCCCTGAGCCTCAGATTCAGGCTGGGGCTATGCTCGCCATTGGTATCATGAACTCTGGAGTTCGCATAGATTCCGAGCCAGCCCTGGCCTTATTGGGCGACTCGGAGAAGCTCGAGCACAAGAACCCACTTGTTCGCACGGCCTCGATCATGGGGCTGGGGTTATCATATGCCGGATCGCAGAAAGAAGATCTGCTGGAGTTATTGTTGCCCATCATCACTGATTCGAGCCAGGACATGCAAATCTCCTCCATGGCTGCACTCTCCCTTGGCTTGGTGTATGTTGGAACCTCTAACGCAGATATCAGCGAGGCGATAGTCACACTTCTACTCGACGATGAACGCAGGACACAACTCACAGACAAGTGGACCCGCTTCCTGGCTCTTGGTTTGGGTCTGCTGTTCTTTGGACGTCAAGAAGAGGTTGAGGTTATTCTTGAGACGCTGAAGGCCGTCGATCATCCCATGGCAAGGCCTACAGCTGTTCTGGCTGAGATCTGCGCGTGGGCTGGTACGGGTGCTGTATTGAAGATCCAGGAACTGCTACACATTTGCAATGAGCACATCGAAGATTCCGAAGAGAAGAAGGGGGATGAGCTGTTGCAGGCATACGCAGTCATTGGCATTGCACTCGTAGCAATGGGCGAAGATGTTGGGCAAGAAATGGTGCTCCGCCAGTTCGGTCACCTTATGCACTACGGCGAAGCCAACATTCGCCGAGCAGTGCCTCTGGCCATGGGTCTCATCAGCCCGAGCAACCCACAAATGAAAGTTTATGACACACTGTCCAGATACAGCCACGACAACGACAACGAAGTGGCCATCAATGCCATCTTCGCCATGGGTCTCCTTGGCGCTGGCACCAATAATGCACGTCTAGCCCAGCTACTGCGCCAACTCGCATCATACTACCACCGCGACCAGGAGTCTCTATTCATGGTCCGCATTGCTCAAGGTCTCTTGCACATGGGCAAGGGCACCATGTCACTCAACCCTTTCCACACAGACAGGCAGATTCTATCGCGCGTATCGACGGCCGGTTTGCTTGCTGTGCTGGTGGCCATGATCGACGCCAAGCAATTCATTACCTCATCATCCCACTACCTCCTCTACTTCATGGTGACAGCCATGCACCCACGTTTCCTGGTCACCCTTGACGAGAACTTGAAGCCGCTCACGGTAAATGTGCGTGTTGGTCAGGCGGTTGATGTGGTGGGCCAGGCCGGTCGGCCAAAGACTATTACCGGTTGGCAAACACAGAGTACCCCCGTCCTGCTGGCCCACGGCGAGCGAGCAGAGCTTGAAGATGAGGAGTACATCAGCTTAAGCAGCACACTGGAAGGTCTCGTCATCCTGCGCAAGGTTAGTAGTGGTTCCCATACCCCCCTGGTTTGACTTGAATACCTGAACGCTAATGCGCTCTAGAACCCGGACTGGGAAGATGGCAAATGATTGATGGTCAGGAAACTAGGAGCATACGGCTGTCTGTTGGGGCAATGGTGGCCAAGGGCTAAATCCATTGGCTGCGACGGTCTCGACTCACATCAATGGATTGAGACAAGATCGGGCATGGAATGTCATACAGTGTACAATTAAGATAATCAAGTAGCTAACCGCGTACAGGGGGCTGCGAGTTTCCTTCGAGAGAGCGACTTGGTCGTTCTACAATAGACGGTGGAGATTGAGCTTTTAGATGCCGGGCATCTCTTCTTCCCCCTGTGTGTGCCTGGGGTGAAATATGTCAAGGCCTTCTCCGTGTTCCTACCACACAAATTCCCTTCCGGTCTTTTCGACTGACACGGAATCGAATTTGCTTTTTGGCATAGCAGTGCACAACTTGCAGCTAAGTCTGGAACGAGCAGGATTTGACAATTTTACTCTCCACCATGTGACTGCGTACTTTATGTCTAGAGCTCATTATTTCACTGTCTTCTGAAGGGTGTCATCTTACTGGCATGGCAAATGGATTCAATTAAAAAGAAGCCGATGTCCAATATATTGTGCAGCGATTTTCGAACTTCGTACGTCACCGATTACGTCCTGAAAGGCAACAAATATCATATTGCATAGTGCTTACTCTGTAAAGTAATCGACGAGTGAAACAAAACGTCTATGCTTACATAACAAGAAGATGAAATGGGTTGATAGCGACTTCCATAAATAATTCCTCTGATTGGCCAGCTGAGATGATGGTTAACTGATTTAAACCCCCAATAGTACCCCGCAGATGCGCTATCGGCACCCTTGAACAAGTTCAGAGTAGCACAGAATTGACGATTTTGGCAGCAAAATCGCCTCCATTCCGCATGCCTATTCCTCATCCAGCTTTTGGGTTTTGCGACATCGTAATAGAAGGCCCTTCAAGCAAGCAGGCAACATGTCTACGACAACGACAGTCACAGAGTCTGCGCCTATCACGGCGCAGAACATGTTGAGGTTGTTCCCCGACATCGACACAACATCGGCCGCCCTCGAAGGTCACGACGAGGAGCAGATTCGGCTCATGGACGAGGTATGCATTGTTCTCGACAACGACGACAAGCCCATTGGAACTGCCAGCAAGAAGCTCTGTAAGCGACAGCCTGTACAACGTCTGATGGAGCCGCAACTAACTGTTCCAGGCCACCTCATGACCAACATTGACAAGGGTTTGCTCCACCGAGCTTTCTCGGTCTTCCTTTTTGACGACCAGAACCGTTTGCTCTTGCAACAGCGCGCTCCTGAGAAGATCACATTCCCAGACATGTGGACCAACACTTGCTGCTCACACCCATTGCACATCCCTAGCGAGACGGGGTCGAACCTGCCCGATTCCGTTCAAGGTGTCAAAAACGCTGCACAACGAAAGCTGGACCATGAATTAGGCATCCCGAAGGAGCAGGTGCCCATCGAGGACTTCCACTTCTTGACGCGCATTCATTACAAGGCACCCAGTGACGGCAAATGGGGCGAACACGAGAGTATGCGCCCCCGCTCTTGAGTTTGTGTTTGTATTTGAGATGGGTCCATTTTTGCTAACAGCAGGGGGTCAGTCGATTACATTCTGTTCATCAAAGCGAACGTCGATCTCGATGTCAACAAAAACGAAGTACAAGACACGAAATACGTGTCTCCAGAGGAACTCAAAGCGCTCTTCGCCGACCCGAAGCTGAAGTTCACCCCTTGGTTCAAACTCATCTGCGAATCGATGCTTTTCGAGTGGTGGAAGCATCTCGACTCCGGGCTCGACAAATTCTTAAATGAACAAGAAATACGGCGCATGTAGCCATGTCTCAAACGTACGATTATGCGATTTGCACAATGTGAATGGGAATGACGCGCAGGAGTTACAACACGGAGCTTTGTTGGTCGGTCGACAGCATATATTGTCTTAGATATCCATTCTTTTCAGCCGACGCAGAGCCGCTTCAGTCTGCGGCTGTGAAGCCTCCCTATATTTTCTGTTCCTCTCCTGGTCATCATATGGTCTTGCTCGGTCAATAGAGAAGAAAGTCGGTTGCCCACATCAGAGACAATAAGCCTTGCCTTGCCCTTCACCCCACGCTGTGATGAAACGTTGGAATGACGAATCGGGATCCCCCGAACTTGAACGGAGTATTAAGGTAAGCGGCAGGCTACACCTTTGAGCAAACACTTAAGAGTATCAAGTCATTAAAAATGATGCGACTACTGATCTGTGTTGTTAGCCAGCAGAGGCGTGCTACATGTGTGCTGTGGCAATAGTAGCACATTCACCTGACGGGCTCCCGTGCATAGGGAAGCAAACCACTCCGACGTTGACGGCTCCGAACCCATTTCCTGATTGGTCCCCTTCTCACCTTGATACGGCTTCCATCATGCTCACCAACCCCACTTTTGTCGTCCGCTAACTCCTGTGGGTAGGCCTAGCCGCATGACCGATGTCAGCCTAAGTGTACTCCCACCTTGAGGCACTGCATATCTTGGGCCGATATGTGTCTCTACTCCCCTCCCTGTGTACCGGCCCCCGTGGTGTTGGAAAACAAAGACAGCATGCCCACAGACCAATGGGGACGGCATAGTGTGAGCTTGTGACCTTGCCATTGTCTGTCGTATGCCGAGTATCCAGTTGTTCCCATCGAGCTGGGGTAACGACACACTCTGGACTACACCGGGGGCTAGTAGTGTCATCATGATGCTTTGCTCCCCGCGAGGTTTGCACTTCTCATTGAGGCTTGCTTCCTGCAGCCATCCCGCGCAAAGTGCCAATGATTGTGAGAGTCAGCAATCCTATACTGTGTAGTACATCAGATCTCCGTCGCTTTTAAAGTGTCCGCCTTGGCTCACGGCTCCGCCTCCCGTTTCCCTTTTACCTCTCTCGAAACTTGTATAACAAGTCTGGTTGTTGCATACGGTTTCAAGAATCCGAGGAAACAAGCAACGCTGATCGCTCTTGCAACGATCTAACCACCCATTCACTGGGATTAGTTGCTTTCAAGACGCATCTGCTTCTTGTTGCTAGCCTGAACTTATCACACAATCCAGTCCAACTACCAATACTACCGCAGCGGCTTACAAGCCTACACAGCACCGCTATCTCCATCTGCGTGACTACTTTTGTTTTTGTTCACACTCTCAGACTAGAACAACTTCACCTTCTACCAACTCACCCCCATCAAGGCCAGATTGATGTCTGTTGACCTACGAACGAGCCTCAACTGCCTGCGTCATCCGGCGAGATTTATGCCCGTCTCTCGAACACAACTGTCGAGAGTGCACACGGGTGATAGTATACAGAATATATCAATACACAGAGTGAGTTTTAATCTAATATACCACAATAGCTAAGCCAATCAACATGCCCATTTGCATTCAAACGAGACTAACTCTAGTCCGATCCCTACAGTCAAGCAAGTTTGAGTAGACCACCGCCATCATCACCAACCGGCACCCAACATGGAGCACGTAAGCAACAATAATGTCACCCTTGTTGAGTTCAAACGCTCTCTCATTCCCGAAAAGTGGGAGGACCACGTTCGTGCAATCGGGATTAATGAGTACAAAGAAGCAGCGCTCTCGCTCGCGCAGGCCTTTGCTACTGATGACCTGGCACAGTACCTCCTCGACGCCGAAGACATGTCGTCGTACTCGGACGAGGCCAAGTGGAGGCTCCACGTCGACATCATGAACTACATTGTCGCCGCCCACTGCTACAACGGCTTGGTCACGACGATTGGGCCCGATTACGAGGGGGTCGCGCTCTGGTGAGTTGACTCCGGGCTCTGTGTCTTGCGTCTCACAAAACCAGAAGTTCATGCTGTATGAGAATCCCCTTGAATACTAACGTGGTTGAGACATACAGGGCCCCGCCGGGCAAGAACACGGATGATTGGTGGACCACCGTACGCAGCGGTATGTGGCGACTCTACTATCAACTGTCTGCCGGGGGCAAAAAGCGCTACTATGACGAGCTTTTGCCCTTACTCCATGACACCAAACTCGAGGTCATGGGCGACCGGGACGCCGATTGCTACTACCTGGTGTACCTCGGTACCAAACCCAGTGGTCGCGGCCGAGGCTACGCCCGCAAGCTCATTGAGCAGATGGCCATCAAGGTGAGTCCAGTATCCATCCTCTCATAATTTTTAATCAATGTCTGTCGATCCTGCTATGAAACGTATGCACTGACTTGAGCTTAAAAACCAACAAGGCTGATGCCGAAGGTCGTGCCATGTACCTTGAATCAAGCTCGCTGAAGAACAACGCTTACTACAAGAAGTTTGGCTTCGAGGTCAAGAAAGACATCTTCCTAGGCACCGGCACTGGCTCGCGGCCTGTGCAACTCTCCATCATGGTTCGCGAGCCCCAGGTGCTGGCCAAGTCCATCCCCATCAAGCTCAATCGCAAGGTGTTGCAGTGAAATATGATGTTGCTTCCTGTCATCTTTTTGATGATAATGACGTCTGTGACGACTATTATGATAGGTGTGGTTTTGTTTTTTTTGGTGCATGGTTCCCCTGAGTGTGCCCGAATTCCCTTGCTTACATTCGCTCAAAGTCCTGATATATTGGTTGCGGTTTCAGAGTTTCTGAGTTGCCGAGTGTGTGGTGCTCGTTCAACACCAGTTACCACTCTACAGTCGTTACAGCACCCGGTTCGGACTATCTGATTTGAGTCTGCAGCTGTCAAATACACAGTCATTACACAGCCGTTGAATCTCATACGTGAATTGTTGGTTTTGCCTGTACTTGTCCGTGTACACGGTGTAAGCGATGTTAATTCTCGCTCTGAAACGCTTCGCCGGAATGAGCGGCCCATCATTGTGATCGTCCACGAGCTGTGTTCCAGTGGCCGATGCAGGATATCATTACAAGTATCCTCTGATGTACTCCGAGCCGTGAACAGCAGAATACGACGGAGCCCGCAGTATAGTCAGATCGACACCAAACCTCTGGTAACTACTAAATACCCGATATCAACCCATGGCCAATATCTAGTATGAAAATGGAGCGATTCCTCCAAGGACAGAGTCCAGCACCCGACTAGTGCTTATCCGACTAGAACTTCCTCGGCCTGTATTGTAGTGCTGGAGCCGGAAAATGTCATGTCATGTCTGGCGGCCTCAAACCCAATCCTTCCGAGTCACTGATTACGCCGCACCTCTATGTGATCGTCCCGACAATCCCGATCACCTATGGCCATCAAACGAATACTAACGACCTGTCAACATGCAAGGGTAAAGGATTTGACGTGACCAGTTTATTTCAACTGGCACAGCTCAACTGACAAGTAACTGGCCTTTTCGAAACTGAAGACGCTCGTCATCCAAGTGCTAGTATTGACTTATCTTTCCGTACCCAGCTGCAATATTCTTATTCTTCATCGGCGATCAACGTTGTCTTGAAGGACCAAGGCCACGAGCAAATATTATAGCTATCACCAAACCGGCCGACCATTTGCTTAGTTCCTCATACATGAATGCCACCTTGGCTCTTTCAGCCTTCCCAGTTGGCACCTTTGTAAGCGACATAGCGGGATGACGTGTTGGAGAACTGATCTTGTCTTACTGGGTATAATTACCCTCCTCGGTTCCCCTGACGCGAGACTAGGTTGGCCCTTTCACTATGCATAATTGGTCAACGGAGGCTTCTAGACAGCAACCCCGCATATACGAACCTCTTGAGCTCCCCGCATAAATTACAAATAGTGACGCAAGATATGAACCATGATCTGAACGAAAAGCAGCGTGTCTGATCAGGTCGATATGCACTTGGGCCGGATCTTGTGTCTAACGTAGCTGTGTTCATACTTAAGGGCTTAAAGTGATATTCACTTGCAATGGGACAAGCAGTGAGTTGAGCTTGATTTTTGCTCAGGTATCATTAATCTGTCATTCCGTCCTTCCAGATAGCTAGTATAACATTCATTTTGTTCGCATACTCCGTCAGCCGGTGTATGTACATTCCCGAACCGTGCCGTAAGTCGGTCAATGACCTAACTGAGTATTCCATTCTAGAAGCCATCCATTCCTTTACGCCCAGAAGCTTAATTGTCCAGAATCGCGAAAGTGTCGTCATCAACAGTCGTATAGATCAGTCCCGGCGAAATGAGCTCCTCCGAAGCTGCTAGAACATCCTGTATAGACATGCCAGTGCCCTGGGAGATGACGTGCACGTTGAGACCCTCATTCCCACCATTAGCGTTGAAGAGCCAATGATAAAACTTCTTGCCCTTCGCTGAGATATTCCTCAACTTGTCCTCGCTCGCCCCCCCGCCATCGGCACCGCCTCCATAGCCCCCATCGACAAACATGCTATCCCCGTCTCCGCCAGCGTCACCACCAGCAGCACCGGGCGCGCCCTTGGTGAAGAAGAGATGGACATACGTTGCCTCGAGCAGGTGGTAGTTGACCTCGTTGAAGTCGGTGACGGGCTTGATGACGTGGGCGCCGACGTGGCGGTTGTTGTTGAAACTCTTCAGACGACCCCAGACGCGCACGTACTGGTCGAGGGCGAAGGAGGGCTTGCTGTCGTCCTGTTTGTCGACGTCGAGCCATTGCTTCACCTCGAGCATGCCCGTGCCGTCGTCGAGCTTGAATGTGGTATTGGTGGTCTGGGGGCTAATGGCGCGCACCATGCCCACGAAGGTCACCTGCGAAACCTCGATGTCGTCGATGCGGAAGGGCGCTTCGGGGTAGGCTTGGTGGGCGTCGATGATTTGCTTGATGGTTACGGGACGGAGGGATTCATCGCTGTAGCCCTATGGAATGATCTGTCAATTTCGTCCATTGTCTCATGCCAATCAACCCATGATTCGGGTGCTTGGAAGTGTGTTTGTAGCATACCTTTCCTGCGCTTTGACTGCCGCCTTGAGATCCGCCATACATGAAGCCGCCTCCATCTTCAGCGCCGCCGGCGCCATATGATGTACGCGAGTAGCCGCCGCCACCGCCGCCTCCGTATGAATCTAAGCTGGGAGTCAGGACTTATGGGTGTTTAATTCATCTCACTGGTGTTCTGAATACTTACTGCTCATAATTATGGTGAAAGTTGGAATGGATGTGTAGATGGTGGTGGGGAGAACGTGTCGCTACTGGGTTTGACGCGACTTTGTTTTAATTGAGCTTTGAAATCGCGGGGTCGCTGCTGCAGCAAGGATGCCCTGAGGCTTACACAGGCGCAACTACTTGGTACTTCAATTTCGACGTGCAGTATTACCTGCAAGAGAACATCAAACTAACGGTGCAACACTAGTCATATCACGGTGCGATAAATAGGTATAGCCGTCGTGCAATACATCGGTATGGGCACTGGTATAACCTGGTCATGCTACTTTACTTACTGTAATCGTGCTGGAAAATCGGGCCATCTCACGCTATTCCACTCGGGAGGTAAGGCCTGGCTCTGTCCGCAACTGCCATGCAACGAGAGACCAGAGTTCGGGCTAGCTGCCTCTAGCCTGGTAGGAACGGTGTTGATTGTGATGAGCCCACGTGAAACCGTTTTCCCAAGTGACTGGATGCATGATGCATGATGCACACGAAGCAGAAGGAAAGGTCGCAATGGAACTCGATGAGGCGGTCGTCAAGGGGTAAAGGATTAGAAGGTGGTCTGCTCCATGTCCGTCACGGCACCAGACTGTGTCAGTTTTGTGGACATTGTCGTGTTGTCGGAAGAGTATGTGAAGTTTCGAAATTACATTTATGTTGCGATTGTGCAGAACCAAAGGTGTATTGCATGTGGTTTTCGTCATTTTCTAGAATAGTCTACGAAGTACTCCGGCGATAGTTGGTGATGCAGGGTGCCAGCTCGGACCTTGGGCCTCGGCAGTGACCTAAGGTTGGTTGGTTGCTGCATTCGGCGAACTTCCAGACCTTCTGTCGTCTCGTCAAATAAGTAACAATCAACCCAACTTGCGCCAGCAACAATATCAGTACGCATGCCCTTCCAGGTTGAGTTCCAAATCCACAGATAATCACCTGGACGTTTTTTCCCCCAGAGGAATAGCTCTTTTGTTCCATGGATTAATACTGTTTACCCCGTGAAATAACCGCGACTAACTCCGTGAAAGCATCAACACCGACACCCTCAACCTTTGGGCCTCCATAGCTTTACTGTGCATTACACACAGCAGACATTCACCAGCACTCAGCAGCCCGCGAAGCCCCAAACAACCATAGACGGCAATATGGGCCCTTCAGCTGTTATGGGAGTGGTACCACTTACCAAAGGCACCGTTTTGTTCCCCGGCTCGGTTCTGCGAATCCCTGTACCATCAAGCCGAGACGACATTCCGGCGCTGCTGTCCAACGTTTATACGCGAGCATCCAAGGGCTCCAGACGAGTCGACCAGATCCCCGTCGCCTGCGTGCCTCTGAGCTCACCTCTCCGAAGTCGCCGTGGCCAGCTGGTCATAGAGAACGACCCCGACAAGTACAACGACCTCCTAGAAGCCGATTCGCTCCAGATACGGAAGGACAAGCTATACGGCTTCGGCGTTACAGCTAAGATCACGGGGATACAGGGCCAAAATGGAGGAGAGTTTAATCTGCTGGTCCAAGGCCTCGATCGTGTCGTTGTCGATAAGATCACACAAGAGCATCCTTTTTACGAAGGCAAGGTCACGCCGCATGTTGATGCCGTCTCGTCGCAGGAGCTCCAGAGCACTGTGTACCAGGATCTCTTCGCCAGACTCAAGCAGCTCTCGCGCGAACTTGTGCAATACCTGCGCGTGTCTGCCTTTCTTCTGGCTAGAGGCACATCGGGTCTGAACCCACTTTTGTCGAGAAGACTGGATATTTTTATATCCAAAAAGGCGCCAAACGAGGGAGGGTCTCTGGCGGATTTCATGATGAACATTGTGGAAGCGACGTACGAACAGAAGCTCCAAATTTTGTCTGCGTTTGAGACCCGTGATCGGATGCAGAGAGTTGTCGACTTACTCGTGCGTCAAGTAGATGACATCAAGGGCAACATCAAAGTCACCACAGTCACCAGCACCACCTTACCGATCCACATCGACCAGAATGATATAGAAAATATCAATAGCAAGCGGACACCTCAGAATGGTCAAGTGTCCCTGCTGCCCCCTGGTGCCAAGTTCAACTTGAATAATCTCCTAGGAGGAGGCGGCGGCCAAAGAGAACAGCAGGAGTCTGAAGACATGCAAGAGCTGGCAAAGAAGATCGAGGAAGCGAAACTACCACCGGAAGCGGCCAAGGTGGCCGAGCGAGAGTTCAAACGCTTGAAACAGATGATGCCTGCCCAGGCCGAGTATCAAGTGATCCGTACATATCTCGAAACCTTGACTGAAATCCCCTGGTCGGTATTCACTGATGACCCAATTGGCCCGGGCACCTTGGACAGGGCGCGGAAACAACTCGACGACGACCATTACGGCATTGAAAAGGTGAAGAAGCGGCTGCTATCCTACTTGACCATTGTCCGACTGATGCAGTCAGCGAACGAGGCCGTAGATAAGCAGGTCAAGCAGGCTGAGCAGGAAGTTGTTGATCTCGAGTCTACGAAGGTTTCTGCCAACGAGGAATCGCCGCTTGACCCAGAGCTGCAAGAAAAGATCAAGGCCAGCGGCGTTAAGGTCCAGATGCTGAAAAGCAAGCGGCAAGCCGAGAAGGCCCCGATTCTCCTCTTGGTTGGTCCGCCTGGCGTCGGCAAGACAAGCATAGCCCGGTCGATTGCCACGGCCTTGGGCCGCAAGTTTCACCGAATCTCGCTTGGAGGTGTGCGAGATGAAGCAGAGATTCGAGGTCACCGGAGAACATACGTTGCTGCCATGCCGGGTCTCATCGTGCAAGGGCTGAGGAAAGTTGGGGTGGGGAACCCTGTCTTCTTGTTGGACGAGATCGACAAGCTGGGCATGTCGAACCACAATGGTGACCCGTCAGCTGCTATGCTCGAGGTGCTTGATCCCGAGCAAAATCATGCCTTCAACGATCACTATATCCAGGTTCCCATCGACCTGAGCAAGGTACTGTTCATTGCCACGGCAAACAGTCTAGATACGATCCCGGGGCCCTTGTTAGATCGCATGGAGACGCTAGAATTCTCCGGATACACAACGCTCGAGAAGCGGCACATCGCCTTGCGCCACCTGGTGCCAAAGCAAATTCGGGTGAACGGTCTGACAGAAGATCAGGTCACCTTCAGCGAGGAGGTGGTGTCCAAGATCATCGAGTCATACACCCGTGAATCAGGGGTCCGTAACCTTGAACGCGAGATCGGCTCTGTATGTCGTGCAAAAGCCGTCGAGTTTGTCGAAGCGAACGACAAGGGCCAAGCTGAGACATACCGAGCAAGCCTGACCGTGGAAGATTTAGAGTCTATCCTCGGTATTGAACGTTTCGAGGACGAAATCGCTGAGCAGGCCAGCCAGCCGGGAATTGTCACCGGTTTAGTAGCATACAGCTCTGGTGGTAACGGCGGCATTCTTTTCATCGAGGTGCTTGACATGCCTGGCGACGGGAGTGTGGAACTTACTGGAAATCTCGGCGAAGTTCTCAAAGAGAGCGTCAAAGTCGCTCGGAGCTGGGTTCGGAACCATGCATACGAGCTAGGCCTAACTCAAGATCCGACGGAGAATATCATGAAGAACCGCAGTCTCCACGTCCATTGCCCTTCCGGGGCTGTACCAAAGGACGGACCTTCCAGTGGCATGGCACAAGCCATTGCTCTAATCTCACTCCTGTCTGGCAGGGCCGTGCCGCCAACAATGGCCATGACGGTAAGTCCCCCACGCCCGCCAGACCCTTGAGCAGCTGCTCGGATACTAAGACTAAGAAATCCATCACAGGGAGAGTTCCAACTTTCTGGCCACGTAAAGCGTGTGGGGGGCATCAAGGAGAAACTGATCGGAGCCTACCGAGCAGGCGTTAAGACCGTTATGCTCCCAGCGCAGAACGAGAAAGATGCCAGAGAAGTACCTTCGGAGGTGAGAGAGGGCCTAAAGGTTATCTACGTAAGGTACGCACATGTCACTTTCCATCGTTCCCATTACCCCAAGTATCCCCTTCGGTGCTTTTACGAACCCACTCCAGCCCCTGCATTGCTGCGTGCCAGTCCACTCTCCCCAAACCATGGCCGCTAATCAAGTGTCCAGCCATATTTGGGAGGCGATCCGTCAAGTGTGGCCAGATGTACAATGGCCGCACGAGGCGTTTGCACCACCGATCCAGTCACGCCTGTGATGCTACTGTATGAGTACGAGTACATGCTACATGTTTAGCAGATGGCAGGCCAGGGTCCTGCATGCGAGATTTGGCGTAACCGGGGAAGGAGAACATCACCATAGCGTTGTTTGTTTATAAATTATAGTGCCGATGCATGGGCGACAGAACCGAATATGAGCATCGCCAGTATAAAAGAATCTTCACTCTTGGCCTCCCTCCAGCTCAGACAAGTGCAGCCAGGTGACGGACAGACTGATGTACGCAAAGACGCTGCTCCAGAGACGGGTAGCGTTTATCCCTAGAGCTCTTATCTCGGGCAGAGCCAGCGGGACCACAGAACAAACGGCGCATTGAAGGTGGAATAGTCTGGGATAGCCCGATATCCTAGTATAGTAGACAGGCATAACATTATGCCCTATGAGTGACACTGGAATATCGGGTTAGCCTATGCTACATGATTCCGCTATTGGATGCGTCTTTTATTCGGTCATCCGGTTAAGAGCTGCAAGCACCTGGTGTTATCCGAGTACGCCCCTAACAAGTCCCAGCACAAAAAGAAACACGTCTTGACCTCGGTGTGTATTGCTTTCTTTCCTTCAGCGTAACCGTGCTGTTTTCTCGTCAGTATCCAATTGTTGCTGTCACCACACTACTGGGTCACCAGTCTAGACGATAGATCTCGTGGCACCATGACACAGCCGAACCCACTCGAAACGGAGGAAGCGAGCAAGGAGGGCGTACAACATATTTTCCATTGCGCGATCCCGCATGATCCAGGTAGATGGAGCCCGACGAAGACGGAAACGGAAACGGGCAACGAGATAAAATATGTCCGTCGGTATGTAGTGTGCCACATGAGCTTCCGTGTGACCTCGCTGTGTTTTCCAAACGTGTAGTGTTGCAGCAGCGGACCTGATGTGACTGGAATGAACTATCGTGAAGCTTTTCGAGGAGAGATAGAGATAGAGAAAGGTGAAGTTATCGGCTAGAAAGGGGAAGGGAATGGGTGGTAGGTAAGGTCGGCAAGACCTGCGTGTTCTCTGGAATGTCGTGTGGCACTGAGACATGCGTTTGGGTGGCCATCAGCCGCTGACGGTTGCTGTCTTGTGCAACACGCGATGCTTCCGAGTAGAATCTGCATTGGGGGGGAGGGGGGCTGGGGGCTGGGGGCTGTCACCATGCGAAGCTGGTCTCAGCCAGCTTGCGCTGACAGCACATCCGACTTATACAGCGTCAGTCATACGGCATTTGCCGAGAAAAAAGTTGCCCGTGTCTCTCGCATCCGAGACACTCGCCTATCTTTTCTCTCCGAAAGGAGGCTGCGAAGGGAATCGCTGGCAAGTACAGAAAGACCAGGGCCAACCAGAGCCAAAGAGGAAGCGTGGCACAAAATCCTCCAAAACAGCACACACCACTACCCCGGATGTCCGACAACCTTGCCTCCCAACGGCCGTAAGAAAGGGTTTGTACATACGACCGCCGGAACACAAAACGGCTACCAACAACCCGGAAACCGTTTCATTTTCCCTTTGGAGCACTGAATTACCACGCACGCACACAGATACATACATATGCGCATCACCTTCGGTGCTCCCGATATAAGAAACCCTCTGCACAATTTCGTCATTCGTCGCACTTGCGTTTGTGGTCCACCGTAGAAGGAAGCAGGCTAGCTCGTCTTGTGAATGTAGGTACGAGGATGGCAGGTACAACTATACTCAAAAGGGGAACCGCCGAAATGTATTCTCCCGTTTTCATCGTTCAGCCGCGGTCTGCATGATCATCGTACACATATATCTCTGTCCTGCTTTTGGCGCCCAGGGGCAAGCTGTTAAAAATCTCCGCATCTTCGGGTAGATGCATAGCGGGATTCAAAACTGGTTATGCTGGCTTTTTACTTCCGGTGGAGGCCTCATGAGAAGGGCGACGTCAGTTTCTGCTGGCTGGCAGAAGGAGTTATTGGTACTACCAAGGTTGTGACGCCTTTATATGATGCCTGATTACTCGTTGCTACTACTATGGGTGAACGCTCTGCTCACCAGGGGGTAAAAGGTACCTGACTTAAGGTAAATGAGAGTAGCGTGTAGGGAGGAGGACATGGGTATGTTGGTGAACAGGCTGACGCCCTTACATACGAACCCTGAAAGTCGCTTCCAACGCGAATATCTCGTCTTGAACAAATTCTCAGAATCTGTATATTAAGTATCTGTTTCAGGTGATGGGGAAAAAGGCCTTTTGGTATAGTCCTTGTAATTTAGCCGGGCCATCGTCATAAGCTGCATCTATCAAAGTGGTTTGGCACCCTTCTATGTGAGGGTGACATATGCTTTGAGTAGGTAACGCCGAGCGCTCCGTATAAGTGAAGACGCTTAACACTCCCACGAATCAGAGAAGGTTTGGCTACGTTAATTCTTGAAGACGGTGTCAAGTTTCGTTCGACCAGAAGTCTTATCTCGTAACTAAACTACTCTCTCTCGGTCGCCTCCCATGTTACTACCGGATGAATTTCTACCTCCCTGCCGCTCCCAAGGCACCAGTAGTAAGTGGCCCTCGGAACTTTGCATCAGAGACAAAGTAACCCAGCCTGAAATGCCGTCTATCACTATAAGATATTATGGCCTTACAGCGGCTCCCAAGCCCGTTGGAGGCCATGTGAAAGCCACAAAACACCTCCTCCAACTTTTGATGTTGTAGCATCCCACATCCGGTTATTTGCGACACGATTTCAGCCAAGCGAGGAGGACATCTATAAATAAACAAATGCGAGCATTGCGGAACCGCTTCAGCCTATGCATCCAACTGCCGCAATAGGTGTGGAGGCGACCCGGTGATAGGTCAACCGTCTGCTTAGCACGCCGCTTTGTGCAACACGAGGTGCTCCAGTCCGCTGGGAGGAAGCAGAAGTAAATGGGCCAGCGAGGTAGCAAGCCGATTAATAGTTGTCGTGCAACTGGGACGAGCCCTATGCATGCAACGCCACATTCACCAAGTGGCGGTTCTGGGCCGTAGTACCAACATCTCTAAGATAACAGTTTGGGACATGTGTGGTCCCGTCAGAAGCGCTTGCTGGGTCGCAATGCAATATCCAGCGTCCAGGAATATACTGTGGAACCGGTCGGGAGGCAGGACATCCATCATGATGGTCTGAGTCGAGTCAGCGGATACCTTTTTACTTTCCACAGCACCACACTGACGACAATGACGATGGAACCCCCCAACAGAGCGAGTTCCGCCATCCTGGACTGATGGATGTGAACCTTCTTGACATCCCTATACTTTGTCCCTACCCTAATCTTCGATTTGGCGATGGCTGTCTACCTTGGTTCACGAACATTAGGCCGTCTCAGTTATTATAAGCTACCCTTGTGGACCGGCGGGAACATATTCGGACGGAAACATTGAGGGATAGATTACTGCTCTACCGCTCCGAGATTGGATTTAATATCTGGACCATTTTCTCACATCATAAGGGGACAAAGGTACATGGTTGAGCTGAGGTGCTAGCAAAATCCTTGTTGACGAGGGGTCGCCAATGGCACTAGTGTTAAACTCTCCGGGCCAATTGTTGATCGACGATGTTGACGGGTACGCTGATAACTTCTCACAGTCAAGAGTAAACAACATGACTTCGTAGAACCGTGAGGGTGAGGGGGGCCGGCGATAGATTGCAAAGCACCTCACAGTTGCAACTGCAAGAGCTAATCGAAGCGAGCCTGTCGTAGGCATCAACTGCAAACTGAGTAAGTATTGTACCGCGGCTCACTCGCTCACTTACGTCGCTATTGAAGACAGAGCAAACGTGTTTGTCATAGGCCGTGTGTGGAGAGCACGTCAGAGACCGGTTTAGACTAAGTTTGGAAGGACTCTCTGATTTGGAAGAAAGCCACACGAAATCTTAATGTAATATCTCCAAAACACTCACTAAATTGATCCGTGTGGCTGCCAGCTTTTGAGTTTGCATACCCAGCGGACGCGATGCAACATCAGGCCTGTTCCAGCCTCCGTGCAAGTAAGTCCTTGACCACGGTGGAACCGACTTGCCTGACTCGACCGGTGTAGTGTAGGCTTGTCTACTACTTTGTAAGTCATCGTGACATGAACCTGCTGAGCCACCATTGTGGAATGGTGGTAGCGCAAACGCGTCATGTCGGCATTTTGCTGACAAGAAGTCTGTGAATACCTGCCGCACAACTGGTAACAAGCATGGTGGATATCAAGAATAAGCTCAAGTCTCCCCGATGTACCCACTGTGTGGGCAAAGGGGCTGTATCTACCGCTATCCAGTGGTCGTGCTCGGGGTTGGGGTCCGTGTCGGGAGCTGGTCGGGGTTAATAAGAAGAACTTCGTCAGCCCAGGTCGATGTCGAATCCGCTGTGCATCTCCGAGTTTTCTCCATAGAATTCTCCATAGAATGATCCTATTCGTGCAAGTACGCAATTGACGGTCAATGACGAAACTGCCTCTGTCATAAACAGCGACGACAACGAGACCTTTGAGAAAGCCAAAGGCGCCTTAAACCGGGGTAAAACATGGCTCGGAGGCGCTCCTGTAATCTGGTTCAGGTCGAGCGAGGGTGACAGTTCCCTTTGGTGGGCTTGCTAGGTTTCAACGACGCCGAATGTGACGCTGAAAGGCTGAAACCCGATCGCTCTAAACCTTTCTCCGCTAGACGGCGCGGGTAGCCATGTGTTTGGGAATGGAATCGACAGAGTGGAGAGAGGATGGGCCATCCATTAAGAACAAGGACGCGATTGATATAGCACCCAAGCAAAGATGGACGGCAGCCCGTCCCGTTTTCAGACGAAAAGGCCGCTGTTCAATATGGTACGATCCCTGACATCAATCTGCTTGCCAATAAAGACAGCCAATGCCAATTTGGCGGGCGGTGCAGAAGCGGAGGGTGTCGATCGGTGCAATTGGGTCGGTCTAGGGTGGGAGGAGGAGGAACAAAAAGAGAGTAGCCAGCGCGGGCTCCAGAGCGCCCAGTTTTGCAGGCCCGTTTACCCTCGTTTCTGTACCTGGTTTTCGGGCTGTCAGCCCATCAGATAGCCGCCATTGTTCTGGATGCACGAGCTTTGACCGTAGACAGGGCCTGACTTGGTACGATGCAACATGCCCATGCTTGCAGCGAAAGATCCATGCTCATAGCCGAATGTACTCTGCTCATGCAGGTACGACGAGCTGGCTAACCAAAAAGCCGCACGGAAAATGAGCGACCAGTTCAGCGTTGCTCGGAAGAGACCGCCGTTGGTGGACCTGCCCACCGCCGAAAGTGTCGGAGAGCTGTGTCTGTCCCATGTCAAGTGTCTAGTATAATTATCCGCCGACAGGCGTCCACGCAGGAACCGCGAGCCCGCTGCCCGCGTGGCCGTTGATGGCAAGGGTCAGTATCAACCCTGAAGCTCGAGCTCAACAGTCCCCAGCCCTACCGAGTGTCTGGTAACTCACTACTGTTGAGCAACGGTGGCGCTTGCTCGTCAACTTGGGTTTCGATTGGGGTATCGCGGTGGCATCTCAATTCTCGCGGACTCGCTCATCTCGTAGCCGACGGCGATCATCGAACTCGCAAAAGCACGTAAAGAAACCAACTGGCATGTGACGGCGACTGTGGTACTTTACAGTAGTGCATGGGGTTCCTGAGTCAGGACCGTTGCCGTGGAGAAAATTTCCGGCTGGCTGGCGTTATTCGCATGAATTTGGACGAAATGACGGCTGCTCGACTGTAACACCGTCATTTGAGGGCCGCTATGAGGCCCGTGAGGACCGAGGTAAAATGCTCCGAGGGACGAAATGGAGCCCTTAATGCCTGCTTGCGACGTAGTTCATGCCGTCTCTTGACGCGTTGACGATCACTTACTTGGCGTATTAATGAGCAGTGCATTGTTCAACCGTTGCTGATACTTGAGGTCAAATATAGGGGTGCTGGCTTGTAGTTGGGACTTGAATAGTTATTGGAAAGAGCTTTCAGCCCCCCCGGTCTGCTTAGTGAAAGTAGTCGATGCAAAACCTTAATGTTCCAGAGGCAGCGTCAACCCCACATTACCAACTCCCGGACCACCTGGGCACTTTGGGATCATCCAAATTTCCATACTGGTACTGCTTGTGTGATGGGCCGTCAAGTACATGAGAAAGGGCAGGTGCAGCAACAATAGGCGTCGAGTTTCCATGCTGCAACTTGTTTTCCAATAGTTCGTCCCAAGCGACCATCGAGCTTTGTCAGACGCACTGGCGATCAAAGCAACTCTTCACGGCAGTGGCTACGTATCTGTGCGGAGTTCAGTTCCTCTCGGCACTTTCCACCTGCAGCTCTCGCTGCAGCGTCGTCTGCATCTGCGTTTTCTATGACTTTTTCGGCATATGTGTGTTTGCTCGTTCGGATTCTTTCAGGTCAAATTTCGATTGCAGTTGCTCATTCACAGCCAGGATAGTTCAGAACGATGCAGATGGCGCACGTTGCTTTCCATCTGGTATTTGGCCTGCTGATGCATTTGACGCATAAGGATATCAAGTTACCTAAGCCGTAGTAGGGTCGGGCAATGGGTCACGAATTCAATATATTGCAGGGCATCCAATCCAGGTGATGGGGTATTCCAATGTCGACTTGCTTGAGATAAGGGAAGGTGTTGGGCAATCACGGACATAAATGTATATCCATATCCTTCTTTGATAACACGGGGTCGAGATGCTAGGTTCACCACCCTGTTCCCTGCGTTATGGGCATGCTGATTGATTTTGATGAATGCTGCTCGAGGTGGATCGGCACCTTGAGCCACAATCTGCCACGGTGCACGATATTGTCCCGCTGTGAAAGTAAGCTGTCGAGGCCCAGCGCTGCCATTTCGTCATTCCGGGTTGAGCGCTGTCTCGATGTGGTTCTCTAATTGAGAGGACCTCGGATATGCGCTGGTGAGGTGTGATGTCTAGTTCATACCAAGATGCCTTGGGTTCTTATTTCTTATATTGTGAGTACGTACCTTGAGGTATTTGACGCGGCGAGGAAGGCACGGGAAAATTAGTAATAAAGTACTCATGTAGTCCGCAGCCGCAGCTGCAGATTCATCACGGGAGCTTAATCACGCCTACACAGGCCGCCTCCATCCAGTCTACTCTAGCTACACCACACTAAAGCTGCAAGGAATCTCGGTTCCTGACTTGAACCGACAGCCAGACAGAGCTCATGACATTGACACTCAGGTACGGCACCAGGATCTCGCCAAATTTGAGAGGGGCTCGTGCCGGGGTCGAGTATTGAGATGAGATGACAGCGGTCAACAACTCGTGGCGACCGGGACTGCGCGGTCGTCTAGTTGATCCAACCGGCTCGCTGTAACTTGGCGATAGGTCCACTACAATTTTGCGCATCTGATGCGAGATCGTTAGACGTCTTCCAAAGAATACCTTTGTGTTAGTGAGGCTAGGGAGTTCGCCTTTTGTGTGTTTGCCGAAGCATCAATCCGAGAATTGGTCCTGTGACTGACAAACAACATCCAGCATCATGACGTTGGGGGAGGGGGAGATGGAAGGTCAAAGGTAGTGAGGCCTGCACACCTCCAATGTGTCGGTGTAAGCAAGCAAACACCCTCAATATTCGTAACACGTCTATATGATCAAGGCGTGGCATGCTCGGACAATTGTGATGACTGGAGGAGGCTCATTATTACCAGTATTAATCATCCCGATCCGGGGCTTGGATGATAAGCCTGATGGCTTCAGGTTGTGTGTGCAGGATGTACAGGATGTATGCAGGCAGGCATAATGAAGATATTGGGGTTTGATAAATAGACATGGACACAAACACCCTGCCCTGGCTTCGGAAGTTGCCAGGGTCTACGAATCAGCTGGAAAAGGCATCCATCATGCACTCAAGTGTCATTCCATGTGGAGATCATTTCAGTAATCTTAAGCCGGCTCATCTCGGGGATATGATGAGAGGAGATCTCAGGTGAAGCGAATAATAAAGTGAAGAGATTGTGAAGGATCGCTCAACGTAAATCCGTACTTACGGGAACTACCATGGCGAGAGAAGGAAAAGGGTACGGAGACGCGGTGAAACGGCGTACAAAGCCGACCGAGATCTGGGCTCGAATACCAACACACATGGGCAAGGGACGGAACGATAATGTGGAGGAATGTAAGACGATGGGGCGGGATGAACCCGTCAGCGAAAAATCTGTCGTCGGCTCTGCACCCGAACATGTCATGAACAAGCAAAGAGCTGCGATTCCGTGACCCAAGTCTCGAAATCCGAATCGTCAGAGATCAGACGAAAGACAGGGACCAGGATGTGGTAGCATCCCAGGTGAAATAGATTCTCGAACACCCCAGTTTAGTCATTTAGCGATCCGAACGCCGCTGGAACTGCCACTGCCACTGCCACTGTCAAACTGAAGCTCATTACCTTAGACTTAGAATAAAGGACACAAGAACCTAGGCGCTCTGGGTGTTTAATTTATCTTACTGAAAGAGTTCCGTGAGCGCGGGAGAGTGCCGAGATGTGGCCTCTTGATCCAATAGCTGGATAGACCAAGGCGTTCCCCACGCAATAACGTTTTCTTCTTTTAAATTATGTTGCCGGCTCGAGCCTCTCGCCCTGCGCCCTTTTCGATCTTCAACAACGCATGAATGCACACAGACGGTGACTGACGGCTCTTACACCGATGGGACAATGTGCGCGCGTGCAAATTACGCGCCAGACGTGATTGAGCCTGCGGCCAAATTAAAACCGCACTTGTCATAATTCGCGGCCGTTTCTGCTACCAGCCGGGCAACCTGGTCGTGGGTCTGAGGATATCCTAGGTATTTCCTCATAGCATGGGATCAGTTTATAGGCCGAGGCGGAAGCGGAGGCTGACTCCAACTGACGTGCGAGCTTAGCGCAACCCGGCATAATGGACAGGTTATCAATGGGACTTGCCGTCCGAATGCTCGCCAGGGATCTGGATTGTAGTTGGACATCGGCGTTGTTACTGGACAAGTTGAGATGCTATGGTGGGTATATAATACATCATCCCTTCCCTTAGTTGCTGCATGCATTGATGACGAGGGCACATTAATGGTACTCCGTACACGTCGAGTTTCTTTATAGGTTCGTAGCTGAGGGCCGCGAAAGTGCAAGAAAAACGCTGCATGACAGCTCTCTAAATGAACCCACAACCTACGTGTCAGAGCGTCCCTCGGCCCGCGATCATTGCTTGATTCAGACGCGATTTTCTGTGGGTTCAAGCCACCGGAGTCACTATCGAATATCCGTTGAGTTGGAGCAGATAGGCTCGTTGCCCCGCTTAAACGCTTGCCTTACAAGACTTGTGAGTTGGGATCCCTTCGCTCTGTCTGCCGAATGAACCGTGGATACATTCAGTCTCGTACCCAATATGGCAATAGATTTCCCGGCTAGTGTTTGGGAATTCTTTGCCAATATTTCGTATAAAGTCTAACGAATTTTAGCGAACTGTGCGTGCCGGGATGCGACACGGTCACATCGGCGGCAGCAAGGAGAGAGCTTAAACTCCCAAATGACCACCGGGTATGCATACTCGTATAGCGTCGTTCCAGTACATCAACCCCACAATATGGTGCATGTAGAAGATTCTTTTCAGCGAAGTAGACATGTCCCCAGAAACGCGCGTTCGCTGGTGGGACAGTTCGTGCCAGTGACGCATCCCAATCGTAAAGACGGGACGATTCAACCCGTGCCAACGTCTCGAGTATAAATAGCTCCCGTGAACAGACTGCCGACGACAGCGGGGTGGTGTATGGCCTGCCTGACTTGAAATCAAAGCAATCGGATGCAATGCACGATATGCCCGCTCGAGTATGGTATCACTTGCTGTCTTCTCTTTCGGGACATGAACCGCAGCCATGCCGGCCATGCGAGAGGTCTGAGAACAAGGAGAAGCCTTGAGGGATCCCAAATTTAGTGCTTCAGTGGGCAGCAGCAGATCTTGTCCTTCAGGCGAACTCATGATCGTCGTTAATTGAATAGTAGATGGTTTTATTGCTGTCGCATAATGGTTCTGATAATTGGTCGGACGGAGTCTATGGGTCGCAGTTCGTGACGCTGTTCTCGGAGTCGCGTCGCTCGCGCTCTACGGGCGGCGAGACATGATTATTATTATTATTATTATTATTATTATTATTATTATTATTATCATTGGCGTTGTTATTGTTCGTCAACAGCGGCTGCGTCTTGGCCTCGAAAATAATATGGATCTTGGATGCTGTTGGACTCGCAATCATGATTCTGCCATGTCCACATCAACCCCAGGAAATCAATGACGGCAAGCCACAAGGGACCAATTGACGCACTACTTACTGCATGCCACCATCTTTACTTTTGAGCCCGACGTCAAGTGAGATTGTCGCCGGACTATTGATTGACAGCTTCCCAATGGCCACCACCGTCTGAGCGCTTTCAGACTTTAATTAGTACGTACTTCATAGTACCTGAGCTTGCCAACGTTTTCCTTGGTCCTTGGTAAAGTTCCAAGGCTCTCAACGAATTTCCTATCTGACTGATGGTCGATCGCATCAAACGTGGCCGAGCCCATCCCCGCCATGGGTATCTAGAATTGGCTTTCGGTAAGGCTGCAGACCCAGCTAAAAATCCGTCTCATCTCTCCTCTGCATCTGCCTTGCATGCAATGCAGTCCTCTGGGCCGGCGCCATTAGTTCACAGAGTGAGGCTCATTGTGCTATATTATCACCTGAGTAGCGTAGCCAATACTGGGATTAATTCAGCTCTGACCATCAAAATGCCCAGGATCTCTCCATAGCCAGCTTACTATTGCAGACCGGCGAGCTAGGTAGATCTGGCTATCGATTGAAAATCCCGAGACGGGACCTACGGGTGCAGGTCATAATACACGAGCATGCATACCTAGTTTGGAGAGACGGAACGGAATTTCCCCCTCCCCCCTTCCTCTCCCCCACCCCCCATTCACCCACATCAACACTCGGGCTGGCCATGCAGCCGCCGATTCAAGCGGTTCGTTCAGTATTATAGGTTGCTTGAAGGTCGAGTTTCGTGCTGTTCTCATACGCCGCATGTATCGCATCTCGCTCCTCAATTTCTTCACCTCCAACTCCGGCATGGTGTTCCTCCAATTAGAGTTGCTTCACAGGCCGGCTGCCGGCTATCGTGAGATGTGATACTCAGCTCATTTGTCTTGTCAATCTTATTGAGGAGCCTGCATGCATCAATGATACTTATTGCTATCTGTCTGGCACCATAACCCAGGGCTAGCCTGGGCTGGCGCCACTCGGATCTAACGCTTGCCTACCCTGATGCCATCATCCCTCTCAAGGTGCTCTTATTACGCTGCCCGCCCAAGACGGTCAACGACCAAGCGAGGAACTATACTGTAGTACTTTCGTACTTGTTGGATTGGCTGGTCTATCGAAGTCGATTCTCGGGATAATCACACATGCCCACCAGTCAGTCGCCGCCCTCTGACCGTTGCACCGCACGCCCCACTGCATGTCTTATTGCACGCCCCCCAAGTATACATGGAAAAGACAGTTGCGTGTCTCTGTCTCTCGTTGTTTTTGCGGCACCAAAAGTACTTCACTTCGTACCTCAGGCGCCCAGAGGAGGACCTCTTGTCGGCGCAAATTCACACACGGCCCGGGCCTCCCGACAAGCCAAAGGAGCCAGCTAGTCGTCCGAATTGCATATGTACTCAAGCACCTTTCTTTATGCTATCAGTCTTGTGGGCAACAGTCGCTCGCCGCCTGTGGTAACGTGTCCAACATATCTAGCTCGGCTGGCATATAGTGGCATACCATGTACCACGTGGAGGTAGTGGCATGGCAAAAAGTATTCTTGATTAGCAGCCAGCCCGCGTGCCTCTCCAAAGACCGGGGCGCCGCAATCCTTGCAACTTTTATTGCCGGGCAGCTCGAGGTACCAAAGTGCCCAGTTGCACTTGCACTGGACACACTTGACCCTGACGGATACTCCCTGGCCCCTGCCCTGGACGGACGCCCTGGCTGCCCTGGCCCTGGCCCTAGCACCCCCTGACCCTGGCACCCCAGCGGCCCAATTTGTACCACTTGCACTTTGTACCCGGCCCACTTGACGACTTCCATCACTGATGCTTGCTCTCTGCACTGCAATTGTCTTTTTTTCCCTTCCCCCCCCAGCGCCCCAATCAATCAATCGCTTTCGGCGCGCTGGTGCCAGTGCGGTATCAGTGGCCCCATCCCCGTTCAATGGCCGCTCAACGGACTGGCCCCAGCGTCTGTGTGCAGCGGTATTGCGCCCCATGAACCACCACACCCTTGCTCGCAGTTATTAGGCCAATCTCTAATAAGTTGCACAAAAACCTCCAACGATCCCACGAGGGCTCGACATGAAAGTCCTGCGAGCTTCCCAGTCTCCATCTGCCATCAACCCAGCCCCGACCAATAGCTTCTGATAATAGCCTTTATTGCCCCCAGACCCGAGAGACTCGCTCATGGTTCCACATGGGAAAGTCTTGTACCGGTCCTGCAGCTCTCCGTCGCCATCTGGAATCCAAGTTACTAACACCGCCGCATGCTGTACCACTTGGTCTTTGATCTTTACTGACCAAAGTATCACCAACTTCTTTCGTGTCCCACGCCTGTACTGGAGAGTTTAAGCCCCCGCCAAAAATCCATCGAGGGCCTCCCGTTACCGGTTGCCACCTTGCCGACTTGAACAGCAAAAGCTGTCCCGACAACCTCATTCGCAGCCCCCGACCTCTTGGCCGTTGGCAGAAACTCCTAGCTTGGCCGGTATAGTCGAGCAAAACGAACATCGCGACTCCACCAGCACCTTGAAACCACTCAAAAGATCACCCCACTACTACCATCCCACCCGATCTGCTTTGGCATGCTGCCCTGGGTTGCGCAACGCTTTTCGCCGGTTTCGCCGTCTCGAGAGATACGTCTGCTTTCGAGCAGGGCGCCAGGCCGCCGTTTGAACGCAGACGTTGGGAGCTTGCAGCTTCAATCGTCGGACGGCTTGTTGCTGAATCCATGCAAGTCTTAATCCATCGTAGTAGCCAGACGTACGTTCCACTCGGCCAGCGCCGAGGCACATCCGACCTGGCGCGCTTCGCTCTCGACCTGACTTGGGCCAGAGCAGAGACGGAGAGTGCGGCCGGCACAACGGCCTATCCCTCTCCGCCCATGTCAGGGTCTCCACCGCTCCCACCCAAGCAAAATCAAGAGGCCGGTGATCGAGGGCAAGGGAGCTTCCAAGCATCTAGCCACGATGCATACCGCGCTGGCTCGATTTTGCAGGGAGGTGATCTTCGAGCACAACCGGGAGCGCCGCCTCTCCCAGCACCACTACCACCCCGATCTGCTGGTAGAGGTGTGCGACCGTTCCAGCTAGAAGCTGCAGAACAAACGGGATACCCGTATCGCCGTCCTGAAGAGGCTATGGGCCGGCCGATGTCATACGCACTTGGCCAGATGAGTTCTCAACCGCATTACCCCCTCCCTCCAGTCGAAGGGCCTGTTCCCGGCGCCTCCCCGTACTCGTTGCCCGCCCGGCCGCAGACCTCGGAGAGTTCTCCCTACACCTCTCCCAAGTCGCAGAGGAAGACCAAAGGTCATGTTGCATCGGCCTGCGTGCCCTGCAAGAAAGCGCACTTGAGGTGAGTTCCCCTATTCGAATGCTCTAACCTCGAGCGCTCTCTCAAACTGTGACGAAGAAACTCAGCTGATTCTTGCCCCAGATGTGATGGTATGTATTAACGCTTTGCTTCCCCGGTGGTTTCAAGTCCCCTGCATTTCATTGTGTCCATCGGAATTGTACGGCCTGATGTGTTGCGAATTCGATCCGACAAAAAGTTGCACGTCGACGGCCAAACTTGCCAGCGAGAACTAGGTCGAGCGAATTCTGCATGCGTTTCTTTCCCGAACCGATGAAGATGCGTGGATAGCATTGTGACCTCAGTCGCTGCCGTGAATGACATGGTCTGCTCGCGAGCCCTGAAAGCTCGAATCGCGGTCGGAAGCTTTTGTTTGCCACGACAAGCGTTGTTTAGATTATGCGCGTGGGATAAGTTCAGGCAGCGTAGCCCGGGGGACATCAGGGAAGCTCTCGACCACTTCGTCAGCGTTGCGCAGACCGGCATTGGACAGTCGGTATGGTACCTGACTCGGGAGAGAGTGTGGCAAAGATGGTGTCTGAGTTGGCGAAGGATGAGCTGGCAGAAGTCTGTTATATCCCAGTCCGTCGGCGATGCGGAACGTTCTGCAGATGAAACTGTGCGGTCGCTGTGACCAAGTGGAAGCCGACGCTGGGGCAAGGTGTGCCACAAATCATCATGGCTGAAAGGGTTTTCTTCATATGCTTATGGGATCACTCGACCACTTCAGTATCAAGCTTTGACGATTCGCTGACACAAGTTTTATCGAGTAGCCCAAAGACCATGCTCAAGGTGCTTGAGCAATGGCAAAGAAGATGCATGCGTCGACGTGCAGCACAAGAAACGCGGCCGTCCCCGATTACGCGACGACAGAGAGACGAGATTCGAGAACCATCCTCGATTTCAACACCCAGACCCCACGAGACGACCGGTTTCTTTATATGCCCCCGTTAGCGCCCCTGCAATCCCGTTCGACGATCCATTGCGCAGGACACAATCGTATCGAATACTCAAATCGCAGCCGCCCGACCCTATTGCTCCAAGATATCTGGAGCGTGGGTCTGCTGGCGAGGCCAACATTTACCCACCGCCATTGTCTATACCTACAAGAGCTCTGGAGCCCGTGGCTTTCCTGACGGTAGACCTGGAGGTTACGAGAGTTTCAAACACTTTTGTTGAGGCCATTGGCGCTGGTACGGCGCAGACGATAGAGCGACGTAAACTGGTCGAGCTGATCAGTCCCAACGACCGGGAAAGAGTGATGGGGCTGCAGCGGTCGCTCCAAGATGAACAGGCTAGGAAAGAACCGAATTATCTACCACCCATCTTTGGGAGAGAGGAGGCCAACAGGGTGATTCAAGCTCTGCCGTTTGATCCGGAGTCGATCTCCAGGTTTCCCCTCGACCGGCAAGAATTCTTGACATTCATCTCGTTCGAGGGGCAGTTCAGGCCATATTCCATCCGTACTGGTCTTGCAAAGGAGGATTCGATCTACTTTGTGGTCATGGTCCTGCAACCAAGGCCATTCCCACACCCCACGCCTTCGCCCCACGCGAGGGAAGTGCCCTACTCATACCAACCTCAACCCTACACGCAACTAACTCCAGTCTCGGCATCCTTTGATCCAAGTCGGCAACGATTTGGGGATCCTCGAGATCATAGGGAAGGGGCCTTCACACCGCGCCAACCGCCCACTCCGGCGCAGCTGATGGCAGGATTGAGTCCCGGTGTAAGCCCTAGCATGCCGGGCTCCTCGCCCACGTCGACGACCCGAGCCGAACACCCATCGGGGCCGTCATACCACATTCCGAGAAGCGAGTTGCCGGGACAAAGACCCCCTCAGCAGCCATTTCAACTTCCGCCGATTCGCAGTCAAGGGCAGCCCGATCTTCGAGCAGGTCGTGTCGACATTGGCGGTCTGATCGATAAGCCTGACACACGGCGAGGACCATGAATCCGGAACACATACTGAAACCCATAATCCATCACTTTGACGAATGCAATTCGAGATTTCGATGTGTTTCGGCGAATAGCGCGGTGTCAAGAACAGAGCACCCCCCAACTCTGCCCACACCCATTGACTGTAATTGTATGCTGGATACCCCTTCATTGTTTTCAGTCGCGCTAGAAGATACCATGTACAACAGCAATGCTTCCATTTGCCTCACATTTCTGATATTTCATGACTCTCATTTCGGGTGAAGGTCTTATATAGCATCATTTTCGGCGTTCTTTTGGTTTATTTTGCCCCTCCTCCTCGCCTCTTCCGCATCCCTGGCAATTCCGATTAGGAGCTTAAGTGGCGTGGGACGAGGGTGGCTTTGACGCGTGGGATACATATTATCCAAATTTTGACATTACCTCCATCAACAATGGCGCTGGGAGGCACGCCATTTGCGATTGTACGGCGAAATGGCGAGAATACAAGATGACTCAGCCAAGTATCAAGAAGCGAAGCATTGCAGGCGGGGTTTGTCTTGCATTCAAGCTATTTGGCTTAGGGTGGTGTAGGAGATGTGAGGACGGCGCAGAGCTCAGTAGCCGGTTTATTAAGGAAGCTCGGCAGTCGTTGCACGAGGCGGGGGTCCTGCTTTGTCCAGGGGCCGCTTTGAATGCAAGTGCTCTTGTTGTGTATATTTCGTTAGCCCGACTGGGCAGCAGCACAGAATACCCGAGGCCTCGAGCGAGATGGAATGAGGCGTAATGCGGTGCTGGCGGAGGTGGAAAGAGGAAGTAGAAAGAAGATAGTTCCAATGCATGACGTGAGAGGAAACAAGAGACTTGGGATGAACGGCCTGCGAATGGTTGCGTGTAGGTACTGCAAACAAGCAAACGACCAAGAGGCTCAATTTCCGGGTCACGCAAATCCAGACCGCATCTGCACTTATATTCCGCGCCAACTATCGGAACAAGACAAGCAGCGGCCTGTGCTAGCGCATTATATCCCGAGACTATAGCAGACATAGGTTTTTTTTTGGCTTGGACCGATGCGGAAGACATTTCCGATGGGACACTTCGGTCGTTGTAGCACAAGATGGTTTAATAGAATACTCATAGTTTCATCGCGAAGAGAGGAATTGGTATATGTTCAAAAGTGATACTGTACCCACCGCTCGGATTCAAGGTCCAACGTCCCGTCTCTCGCACATCGCACATTGCACAGCAAAACACAACCTGCATCTTACCAAGGGTTGCCTAAAGCACGCACGATGCAGGCGAGAGGCCAGTACATGCTTGAAGGTTCAGTGACTGGTCAATGGTTGGGGAAGTAGGCCAAGCACTAGAGCAGGCGTGGTTGGATGGGATGAAGCGGGCCACGGCGGCACATCATTTGCAGGGGTTCGCACAGCAGACAGGGACGATAGTGCTGAAAATTGTCCGAGCCGCTTCGATTCGGCAAGCAAAAAACGTCGTCTAGTCTTCGCGCTAGATAAAAGAATTATCCCGACTGGTTCTGTGCTTCCCAGGCTGTCAGTTTGAATATTCGGGACGCGCCGACCGAGAGACAACAGTTCGCGTCTGTTATTCCTCCCTGTTGTTTCACTCATGGCTCCTGTGAAATATGCCCATTGGGCCCCCTCCCACCCCCTCCCCTTCTCCCTCCTCTTCGGGTAGGATCTGATGTCATTGATTACCGTGACAACTCTCTCGTAATGACGAACGAAACAACCAAGAATCAGTAGGAATCGCGATCGGGAATCGAAAAGGTGCTGCTTGGTGAAGATGAAAGAAACGCTCATAAAAACAAGGTGTTGGCCGCCAAGGAATGTGGTGGTTGGGGTGGTGGGTAAGGGTACGGTAGCATCAACATCTGGTGTAACCTCCAGCTTGCAAAGTGGACGAAGTACCAACTCATCAGTCGATAGGAAACAGGCAAACCCCAAAAACAATGCTGATGGTACAAATGCATAAAAGCGTTGACTGACGGTTGACCCAAGGCAAAAGGTAGGAAGGATGGAGGGGGAAAACCAAAAGGTATACTCCACAGGAAGTAGTGAAGTCACTTGACTTGGAAAGGACAGCACCACTCAGGAAGGCTCCAGCCACGCGCGCCGTTGGATGTGTAGGTTTCAGCAACGGGTGCTGTCTCCAACGTTTTGGCGTTACCCGAAGAACGTCTTCAAGCCTTGTGAAACTACGGAATTAAACGCTATGGACATCAGCTCGAAGTAATGGTAATGGGACGACTCCAAAAATCCAAGGCTCTTGTCTGAACCCGCATGGCGATATTGTAATCTGCACTCCAACCCCACCAATGGAATGAGGCAACGGGAGCATACTTTCATTTACTTCAAGTAGTTTCGTAGCCGAGTCCAAGGTAGCTTCAAGTACTGGTTCTCAGAGATTCGGATTAGGAACTTTAGCGCCGAGAGTTCTAGAAGCCAGGACAGTTCCCATGCATGCGTTGGAAGCCAGCTGCCCTGACATAGCCTTCAAGGCACCCAAGTCTGGTAAGTTCCGTGGGGCCCCTATCTGCATATGGATGTGATTCACCAATTAACCCCATTGTTGCACAGCAGGGCCGCCGTCCTCGCCAGCAGAGCTTTGCATCTCAATGAGTTGAATCCATCCGCCAGGCTTGACCAGGCTACAGAGTCCTCAGACTGCCTCACGCCCCTTCGCTGCCGTACCGGCCAAGACAAAACCCTGATGCACGAGATCGAATATGCCGAGCCTGTAGTGTAACTATTCACTTCTTCAGGTAGCAGCATTTGATAGCTACAAGGCCCGAAATGTTTTGCGCCGTAGCTATTATTGATAGACGATGTAAGCGTGGGTAAGTGATTGTTGTTATTCAGCAGTCTCTGTAAATTTAACCTGCGTCCTGCAACCATGTGCAATATCTACCAAGATAGCAGTATGACATTATTGCAGTCCTCAAGAAAAAAAAGGGCAGTTTCCCGGCCGAGATACCCATTGGAACATTATCTGGCTAAGCCTCTAAGCTGGCCGGCCAACAGGGGCTTTGCACTTCTTGCGGTCCAAAATACTTATACAGTCGAGCTGGGCACATGCTCAAGAAAGAACACAACGATATGCATCGCACCAAAATGAAACGCTACCGAAGCGATGAAGCCTACAGCAGACAACGGAATACCACAGCACTGGCTACCCAAATGCCACGGCGATCAGCATCATATTACAGCCCAGATCGAGGCCGAGTGGATGAAATATTCGGGAACACCGAAAGGCTCAAAAGGCGCACCCCATGATGGAGCTCGATGTTACATTGTAGTCCCCACGGCCAGTGCAGCCGCATAGAGGTCGGCCGCAGATGCAGCCAACGGCATACCAGAAACTCCGGATGTGGGAGCATGTGATGCCCAAAAGAGACGAGAGTTGGTGAGAGTATCGATGAGAGCTCATTGCAGTAGTTTCCTAGTCTTGCTATCAACACTTGTAAGCAACGATCGAGGGAGTGACTTTGTTTGGATTTTCCACAGCCTGGGTAAGTCTACCTGGGGAGTTCGCACTAGTCATTGACCGCCCCGCGGTTGTGTCTACCGACGCCTGGCAGGGCTTCGTTGCTCCATTTTGTAGGCTGCCAAAGAAGAAAGACAACACAAACATCAATAGGAGGCCGCAACAGTCCTGCGATACAGTGCCATGTCGAGGAAAGGTAAGCCTCGACATTGAAATCGGAAGCTTCGTTGGTACGTGCACGAGCTACGAAACGCTAACAATTTCGCGACTGCTAATGCAGTTTCCCCTGCTTTTCTAGGCATCTGCAACTCTATCTAGCAAGGCACTTGAGATTTCCAGGCTGATGAGTGGTCCCTTTCTCCCCGGGTAAGACGTGCACCTTGTCGCCAAACCGTCAATTATTGGGCGTGCCACTCCTCCTAAGTAGTCTCGGCCGAGAGAGACCTCGAATGCAGCTTCGCCCCGTCTTGAAAGGCAAGCCTTGTTCTGGTGCCGGGCGCCGAGTGACTGCGACACCAACCATGGAGGATAAGATGGGCATCGACAGCCCCAGAGGCACCAAAAGGAAGGCGGACGAAGCTTCATCAGATGTGATAGCTCCTCGTCGGATCAAGGCAAGTACCCTGTCCCTGCTGCCTACTGCTATTTTGAGTTCGTAGGGGCTGACTCGAGATGCCGGCCAGGCTCTGGATCAAGATGTGGTGAATAAAATTGCTGCCGGCGAGATCATTGTGGCACCTGTTCACGCGCTGAAGGAATTGATGGAGAACGCCGTCGATGCAGGCTCCACATCCCTCGAGGTCCTGGTTAAGGAGGGTGGCCTGAAGCTACTGCAGATTACCGATAATGGTTGCGGTATCGAGGTGAGTAGCAGCATTTGATGGCTCTTAAAATGGTAACTCACGGTGAAGCAGAAGGACGATTTGGCAATTTTGTGCGAGAGGTTCACCACATCCAAGCTGAAGACGTTTGAAGACTTGACTAGCATTGCCACCTACGGCTTTCGAGGTGAAGCTCTTGCGAGCATTAGCCATATAGCCCATCTTCAAGTCACTACCAAGACTAAGGGTTCCAACTGCGCATGGCGCGCCCACTATGATGGAGGGAAGCTCTCTCCCGCAAAACCTGGCCAGTCAGCCGATCCCAAACCAACGGCAGGACGTAATGGCACCCAGATTACGGTTGAGGATCTGTTCTACAATGTGCCGACACGTCGTCGGGCTTTTAGATCGTCTTCCGAGGAATACAACAAGATCGTCGACATGGTCGGGCGCTACGCCATCCATTGCAGTGGCGTCGCATTTTCCTGCAAGAAGCACGGCGACTCGGGGGCATCGATTGCGGTTCAATCACAAGCCTCAGTTGTCGACCGGATTCGCCAAATCCATGGTGGTAGCGTGGCGAATGAGTTGATCGAATACGCTACCTCAGATGATCGCTGGGGTTTCAAGGCTCAAGGATGGGCAACCAATGCCAACTACCACATCAAGAAAACCACCCTGCTGCTGTTCATTAACCACCGGTGTGTGGAGTCGTCCGGTGTCAAGAAGGCGATCGAGCAAACGTATTCGGCTTTTCTACCCAAAAGCGGGCATCCGTTCGTCTATCTCAGCCTTGAGATCGACCCGCAGCGTGTGGATGTGAATGTACACCCTACAAAACGCGAGGTCAACTTCCTCAATGAGGATGAGATCATCCAAGCTGTGTGTGAGAATATCCGTGACAAGTTGGCGGCCGTGGATACCAGCCGCACCTTCATGATGCAGACTCTCCTTCCTGGCTCCATTGTCCCCTCGAGATCACCGCAGCCGGGTGCTGACGTGTCCTCGATGCAAAATACTGCAGCCAAAGGTAAACCGCCAGTGCGGCTCTACGAGAACAATCTTGTCAGGACCGATGGCTCACTCCGCAAGATCACGAGTATGTTTCCCACCGCCCCCAAACCTTCCACGTCAACAGCAACAAGCGGTGCGGATAATGAGCCCATATACCAGACCACCGACAGGGAGCCCGTTATCTGTCGCCTCAGCAGTGTACGTGAGCTTCGCAGAGCGGTGCGTGATGACATGCATCACTCTCTAACGGAGATCTTCGCGTCGCACACGTTTGTGGGTATTGTGGACGAAAGGCGCCGCCTTGCCGCAATGCAGGGTGGTGTAAAACTCTACCTCGTTGACTACGGCCGCGCCTGCTTGGAGTATTTTTACCAAGTAGGCCTTACTGACTTTGGCAACTTCGGCACGATCCAGTTCCAACCGTCGCTTGATCTGCGCGAAGTGCTGACCATCGCCGCCGAGCGCGAAAAAGCCACGGCGGCCGGCGGCGAGCTCGCTGATGATGATGACTTCGACGTAGCCGAGGTAGTGGAGACAGTAGCCGCACAGCTGATAGAGCGTCGGGAGATGATGCTCGAATACTTCAGTCTCGAAATTAACCCTGCCGGCGAACTACTCTCTATCCCATTACTATGCAAGGGCTACATGCCGCCAATAGCGAAGTTGCCGCAATTTCTGTTACGACTAGGACCCCACGTTGACTGGACGGAAGAGCTTGGGTGTTTCAATACCTTCCTACGCGAGCTGGCTAGCTTCTACGCGCCTGAGCAACTCCCACCGCTACCGGGCAACAGCGAGGCACTGGAGAGCGAGGATGTACCCGACGAAGTCAAGGCACGGCGGGAACATGTACGACGAGCGGTAGAGCATATCTTCTTTCCGGCCTTCAAAGCTAGGCTTGTCGCTACTAAGACACTGATGAGTGGTGGTGTGCTCGAATTGGCGGATCTCAAGGGGTTATATCGTGTGTTTGAGCGTTGTTAGCCTGCCGTTTACGGGGAATATGATGGTGGTAGAGGTTAACAAGAGGAAGAACAAGTATAGGCAGTTGCCGCTGGCGCTCCGGGCTTCTATACACATTTTTTACGTCATCAATCTGGGGGATGATACATGAAGCTATTTCCCGAGAATTTTTCTCGATGCATAGTAACTAATTACTAACAAAGAACCAAACTGAGAGTGTTTTATTTCCACGTCGTTGTTGTTCTTCGCACTTGCTAACCCTGCTTTCGAATATCAACGACATATTCTCGGCTACTCCATGATCCTTCCTTAGTAGCGATGAAGTAAATACACAGGGTCTATTTTTTGTTCAACATTAGTGAAGACAAACTTATGCTGCCCCACTGGCGCAAGCCAGGCTCTACGAGACTGAAGCCTTCGCTTCTTTGTGGCCCATGCCGTTGAGGCGTTTAGTTCCATTTAAGTCAGAATAAAAATCATTTCGAAATCATTCCTCCCTCGACTTGTACACAGCCGGCTTTTGCCGTTGGGTATACACACTATGCCACGAGAACTCATCCGTTAAAAAGCCAATCAGCAGGCTATCACCATGTCTGAGCCAACTCTAATCAGCTTTCGGGAGGACCCCAAGCGCCAGAATACTATCCATCAAGTATCCGGGATGAGCTGGAGAACTACAGTATCTGGAAAACGGATGCCCAGGACAACTTCGAGGCTCGGGAAGCTCATTCTGTTGCAGCATCGCTGGATGCCGCCGAGGTAAACGCCATCTGGAACGAAATGTTCTATAATCCATGGGGTTACTTCCTCTCAGACACCGAAATAGGATGACTGATGCTGGGCATGTTCACAGTTGGTATTCTCAGTGCTTGGCACGACGAGGCACAGTACTGGAGAAAACTTGTCTGGGCGGGATTGGTGTTTGGACTATGGCCCTGGGCCTATATGCTGGCGAGTAATCCAAACAAACCCGCCCCAGCTGTTTGTTCACTGCTTCATGATAGAGACGAGAGGCCAGAAGATTTTTCGTAGGTGCCAAAGATGAAGCATCACGACGACGCGCCGCTGCTTTACGGCGTCGAAGGGTTCAGTCTGCCAATGGCTCGAAGAATGAGAAGGTTGCCGAGGAGTTGCAGAGTTGGGATCTTCTTGGTGATATGAAGAAGGGAAAGTGGAGAAAGGGGAAACGGAAAAGGGGTTGCGTGCTCGGGTAATGTGGTGGGCGAAGAGGGCGAAGGTGCACCTAATCTACCAATTAGACTGAACACTTTTTAGGGATAGCCTCGTACGACAGACGGATTCTATAGTCATAATACTGGGTACATGTCACACACATAGCCTGCTTCAATTGACAATGATTCCTATTATGATCTGCAGTCATCCCACGGTCATGCAACAGACGAAGCAGCCCTAGACGGCCTACCTGGTATTCATCCAGCCGCGTTACGACGCTCAGCCTCTCTCGCCGACTGCTTCCAGTCACTGACACATATGTACCAAAACTCAACTGCCGCAACCCTACACAATTACATATGAAGTCAGTAAAATTCCACGTTTACCGAGAAATACAACCCTCAAGAACACTTACACAAGTAAACCAATGGTCACCCCGAGCCAGAGTCCCTCGAGCTTCCAATCAAGTCCCAGCCCGGTAGCAAAAGAGATGGGTAAAGCGATCAAGTAGTAACTGATCAAGTTCGCGTACCCCCCAAAATGCTGCCTTCCTATCCCACGTAGCAATCCGTGAGACATGGCGGCCAAGCCATCGAAAATCTGCATGAACGCGCAAAGCGGCATAATTTTGGCCACGATGGAGATGACCTCCTCGTCCTTGGTGAAGAGCAAGGGTAGCTGGTACCGCAAGCTGGAGAGCAGGGTCATATTGAAGATTCCAACCAAACAGGCGCCGCCAAATGCGACTTTGGCGGACGTCTTGGCGGCCGGGACGAGCTTGGCCCCGATGAGGTTTGCGACGCGCGTCGAGGCGGCGATGGATAATGGAAAGGGAATTTGAAAGGTGGTGCTCGTCAGGGTGACTAAGATGCTCTGGGCGGCTAAGTATGACGTGCCAAACTGAGAGGCCACTAGAGTTAACACTTCAAAAGCTAGCCACTCGGCCGCAACCATAATCATGCCTGGGAGCGCGAGCCTGACCATTGGCCCTGTATCGAGTTAGTACTCGTTTCTGCCCATCGAAGAAAAGCAAGGGGACTCACCCCAATTTGTCAGAGCTCTCGAATTGAACCCACCCCAGCACTGCGACCCATCCACAAACATGACGTAGAGCAGTAATAATACCGCCATCAAGTTCTGTGTGATGGCTATGGAAATGGGTGCACCGACGAATCCCCAGCCCAAATACCAGACCAACAGCCAATTGAGGAAAACGTTAATGGGAGCGGCAATTAGTAAAACATAAGTGGTCGCGTGAAACAGCCCCTGAGCTTGGACGAACCGCTTTCCGCTTTCCAGGAAAATGAAACCTGGAAGGCCGGCGATTATGATTTTCATATAAAGACCAGCCAGTTCGGCCGAGAGAGGCTCTGGAATGATCTTGAGTAGAATGTCCTCTGCAAAAACCCACAGCATAGCGACGGGGATCATGAGGGTGCACAGAAAGTACGTCATCCGTTGGAACTGCAAGCCTACGAGATGTCTGTGACCGGAGCCATACGCCTGTGCACAGAGGGTGTCTAAGCTTGTTGCCAGCCCCTGAAATGGAGCGTAGCATGTGATGTTGGCGGTCATGGAAGCCACTGTTTTCCGTTAGTTCTGCATCGGAACGACAGGGGAAAGGAGGGGGGGTGCCTCACAGCTAACAGCGCCCAGCTCAATTTTGCCTATATGTCCAACAGCAAAAATACTGGCAATGTTGACGCTGTACTGCAGAACAAAAGTGACGATGAGAGACCGAGAATAAACGGTAAGAGTTTTGGCCTCCCTCTGCCATGTAGTCTGGATCTTGCCAGACGCCACAGCAGCCTCCCATTGCTCGGTCAGGTGCTCTTCTGGAAGAGCACCAGCAGTTCCCCCGCCTGGCAGGAGCGGCGAAGTCTCAGAAGCATCTACCGTGATCTGGGGAACATCGTCACCACCTGGCGTCTTGCGGACTTTGGTGCTGAACAACCGATTGTACATGCTCGTGAAACGACTGGGCTCCGCTTCCACGGCATGTTTAGGAGGCAGGATGTGGTTATCCCGAAGCAAACTGCGCTCCTCATTCCGGGACTGCTTCTTCTCCACTTTGGTGAGGACCGGTTCCTCCAAAGGCTCAGGGAGAAGGCTGGGTCGTCGATAGCCAAAGGCAATACCTACGGGCTGCCGATACAGCGTGGGACCATCCTCGGATTCTGTGTCCGACTCAGACCCGTCACGGAATGCGTCGTTGACGATACCGTCTTCTGAGCATTCGGCAATGTCTCTTGCCACTATTTCCTGCGCGATGGGCGACCCTGTCCTGAAGGACGAGGGGAGCGATGACGCAAAATCCGGCCCCGGCATCTTGCTGGGTGGGATTTGCCTTGAGCTGGCCATGGCTGCCGGAAGTTGTCGATGCTAGTGGCCTCAGTAGCAGCTCTGAAACAAGCAGTATAAATAGGAAGCAAAAGAGTGTTTCCAAGAGCAGAAACTTGTCATGAGACTGGGATGGCAACCTCCGACGGTAAATATGTCAAGACACTTTCGGCTTTGGGGTGTAATCGGTAATACGACATGTGTGGTGAAGCTGCGCGTTGGGAGATACGGCTTTATTAGCTAGCGTGGGAGACTGGTGAACATGGTTCCCGCTGCAGCTCGCGTCCGTCGTGCCCCACGCCGATGCTCCTTGTCACCACGGTTTACCTAGCATTAGTTACCTGCGTTTGGTAATGATAATTCGAGTCACCGAAGGTCGCCGGCTGCCGATAGTTGGATTGTTGATTGTTCGACATCCCATTCGATACACAGTCCAAGTCCTTCGCATTCTGACGCGAACGGCAGATCTTGAATCTGGGCACAAGGTTGGTTGTTGTTTTCCTCGGAGCCGATTATGACGTTGGGAAATTCCTGTAATGAGACCCTGTCTCCAGCCGCTCGGAGCAGCCGTTGAGCGGTTCTCTCTGGAAGTTCCGCTTCAACCCGGGATCCCATATTAGGGTTCGGTTCATAGAGTTCACCCCAATTCGTGGAGATTACGACATCGTGTTTTTTTTTTGCGCCGCTATCAACTTCCAACTTCAGCTGATCTTATCGACCGACTTGACGACGCAGATTGCGCCTTGCATCAACTAAGAGACTCTCCCGAAATTCATCATTGGACCGACGGCCCGTCCCTATCGTCCAACCATGCAGCGAGCCCCGCATTCTCACCTCGAGGATGGGGCGTCGTGTTGTGGCCCATTGTCCTTTTCGGAACTGACGCGGCCGGTCGAAGTCGGCGCTGATGATAGCGGGTTCTCGTATGCTACCCTTTGTGGAGCAAGACGCCGAGTAGTCAATATCTATAGATTGCTGACACCAAATCTGTCTGCCAGGTCTGAATGGAATGCGCCCAACACTTTCTGGACTTGGCCGTTTCTGGGTCCGTTGCTGTTTGAGAACGAGAGCAGCGATGCTCGGGATCATTGTGCCAATGAGAGGACATTTCTTTCGTACCTGCGGCTGTCAGTGTACATGGCAATTGTAGCGGTTGCTATAGTCCTGTCCTTCCATTTGAAGACGCAACCGTCAGACATCGAGTTGCGCATGGCACGCCCTCTGGGCATTGTCTTTTGGGTTCTTTCAGTGGCATGCCTTCTGGTAGGGTTTGGCAATTACATCGGTAAGTCGAACTTTGAGCACTATTCTTTCTTGCCACTCCAGCCTGCCGCGGGACTGACTTCTCCAGGGACCGTGAACCGATACAGTAGGAAAGCCGCCATTGTGCAGACGGGCTGGCGAACGCAGTCGGTAAGTTGCTGTTTTTTCCTGTGTCTTTCTGTGTCACGTTGGTGCTAAAGTCTGCGAGATCATGTCTCTTGTCGCTCTCGCCATAATAGGCACATGCATCATCTTCCTTGTCGTCGCCAAAGTGCAGACAGGAAACCCAGACGGGAACACCCTGAATTGGCCCCACGTCCTTTAAGTGTTTTCAAATTCTTGCCGACTCTAAGTACAAGTATATACATGTCATCCCCAAAGAGGTATGGACTCGTATGTCTCTATTTCCATACGAACCCTTCGCCTTGGCTAATTACCAAGCCTGTTGGCCTTGACCTTTTGATATTGTCCCCGAATATTTCTCCGCCTAGTGTGAGCTAGGGGATTGATTACTGGTTGGTCATCTCGACTTAGGAGGACTGGATTATTCATTCCCGCAAAATAGATCCTGGGCCGACATATCAACACGTTGCTTCGGGGTATTCTTGTCGCTGCAGCTGCCAACCTTCTCCTTAAATTCCGTCGCGTACTGCGCCGCGAGCTCGTCCAATCCCTCAACATCTGTACCTTCGCCTGTCCACGTTAGCATCGGGAGGTCACTGAATGGACTGAGTACCCCGTTGTCAGGCAAACCCTGAAGCAGTGATACCGGCGCTAAAGTGATTTCCGACCCCTGTCTGAATTTCTGGATGGCCTTCTCAATCTCAGCATCACTCGCGTCATCGGCCAGTACCTCGCTAGATTCCTCTGGCGTGGCGTATTCTTCCGGTAGATGATTCAGTTCGTTGTGCACCGTGGCTAGGTTGCTGGCTATGTCCTCGCCAGGATACAACGTGAGGTATCCTCGCACCCGCGCCAGTCTCAAAACATATTTCAGCCAGGATGGATGTCGGGTGCTGATCGATTTATCGGACAGTAATGATGGCACATTGCTGAAGTGCTGTTGTGCCTCAAGGCTTCGCGAAACGAAGTCGTGAAGTTCCATCCATTTCTCGCCGAAGAACAGTATAGCATTGCTGGTGGGTGCTTGCCAAAGGAAGGGTGTGGGCAGGTCCCCAGAGTCTTCGACCCTCAAAGGCAGAGATAATTTGTCTTTTCCATTCAGATGGACGTGTGGCTGTTCGAGACTTATCCCCAACAGTCGAGCGTCCCACCGCTGCGCGCGAGACGTGGTTGAGTATCTATACTCGAGCAAGGTGTATCTCAGATCTGACATGAGTCAGCTTATTACTTTTCTGAACGGCGGAGATGCCACACGAGGAAGAACTAGGACTTGGGCGTTGGGAGAAAGTTGTCGGGTCAGGAATTACTAGGCCACTCACAATGGAAAAATTGAGGCGAAAGCTCGACTTGCTGACTGAGAACCAGGATGTGGGATAATTGCGGATTCCCTGGCCAGAACGACTCTAGGAATCTCACAGAACTTTCTTCTTCGTTTATGCTCTGTCGTGGGATCCGATGTCTTATTGAGATGTATTTCGCGTTGGTTGGGTTGTAAATATGAGCCGGCGGCCACTGGAAATTCTCGAGGAAGCGTTTGGTTGGAGGATCAATGTCATGTGGCAGCTCAATAGTGAGGTGAGGTATATAGCTTGATGTGAAGTCAGCTTTGCTAAGTGATTTGAGCAGTCTGATAAGACTGCCTGAGGCTCCAGGGATAGCATGAATTAATATGTCGACATCATACTTGTTCCAGACTAGAAGCATGTCAATAATGCAGCTGAATAGTCGGCAGTCATAGTTCTTACCCCGCAAGGACGAGCTATCTAGTTTCGTCAACCACATGATGTTCCTTGCGGAACGTTCTGGCAACTCTATCAAGGTATTGCCCGTAGCCCTGGCCTGAGATCTCGCCCCTCTCAGGAAATGCGCCTCTTCCGATTCTGATCCGTCGACGAAGATGGCCTGGGGATGCATGTACATGTGGATGTGATCTACAGCAGATGTAAGCTTCAGACCAAGCGGGAATCAGAAAGACGAGTGGTACGTACGGAAGGCGCGGAAGGCACTCTTCTCCATTCGCTCCTCTGTTGAGATGATCGCATGATCCGGACGAGCGTCTACGCCAAGTCAGTATATGTATCAGCTACCATTACTACCGCCTCTTTGGTAATTCACCGTGCGCATTCAGGAAGGCCATTAATCGTTCAACGTACCGTGAAAAATTATCTGGCACCCCTCGTCGATGCCGTTAACCTTCTGGAGCTCCTCCATCTTGATCTCACTCCGGCTCATCAGCGCAAAATGTACGTAGTTCCTCTTCTCTATACCCATCGAGCATGCAATTGGAAGTAGCGCAGCCGCGCTTTTCAGACTCGACGCTGCAAAAAGCACATTCCGGTTGATTGTCATCCCACCTTTTGTGCTGGTGATGGCGTGAAGCGACGCCCCAAGCTCGAAGAATCTTGGAGGTCCATTGTATGTACGCTCAAGAGGACCGGAGACTTGGTTTGGACTGCCATGTTTCGATTCGGGGCTAAATCCACGTTCGGATGGAGGGGGATGCTGGTTTGACGCGGACCCGGGGACGTTGTAGATGGGACGAAGTGACCTTCGTGGGCCAATATCGGTCGGTATATTGTGTATAAAGAGGTAGACGAAGAAGGCGACTCCCAACAGCGCGGCTATGCGCTTGATCGACCTTCGCAGAGGCCCTCGCGCGGGTTGCCAGCTGCTAGGTACGCGCAAACCACCGTTCTTAGCTGCCAGCTTGTGGTCGTCGTCCTTCTTGCCTATCTCCACATCCGTAAGAAATAGCCCGCGCATTTTCCCCCACATAGACATGCTCGCTGAAGAGCCTTCCGGGGGGGAGAACGCTGGTATTATATCGCAGTCCGCGGCGTTATGTGTGTTGAGTTTCGCATTTCACGTTTGGTCCTGCTGGAATCTGGCTTGTGTGCTGGAGTGGGAGGCTAGAGGAATTGGGGAGCTTGCGAACAGAGGTTTCACTGAACGACCGAAGAAGCGCCTTCAGTGTTGATCTTGTTTCCCTTGGCCGCAAGTTGCGCAAGCCGTGTACGGGCAAAAGTGCGAACAGCACGGCAAAATAATTTATTGCACAAGGAGAACGCGACATTGACAGGTGGTCAGATCATCTTGGAAGACCCTAGTACGACATCTTGGTGTTCAGCAATCTAGGGTGCGTTGGCTTCATGCAGAGCAGGGCAGTCCACGCTGGCTGAAGTACGCTATAGTACGAGGTAGAGTGCCAGAGTCGCGTCGGTCCTCGGACACGCCCCTAACGGCTTGGACAGTCCGTGCTTTATGCACCCCGCCAAAGCTAGTCTATATCAGGGTAATCGCGATGGGACCGGCTTGATCTCGTCACCGACCCTCAGACGGGTTTTTCTACAAGGCTGATGATACTAAGAAGTTGCCGGATTTGTTTTTTAATGCAGTTGCTCTTGAGGCGGCATGAGATATCGCTAGGTGAAATGGACAAGCTTACATTGAGAACTTCTTATAACACAACCGACATTTAGTAATTCATCAACAATATCATCATGGGCAAGACACGTCGGAATAAGGGCAAGGGCGGCGAGCGCTCGGATCCAATTGCCAAACCTATCAAACCTCCTTCAGATCCAGCACTTGCTGCGTTGCGAGAGAAAACGGTGGTGCCCGCCCTCAAAGATCTTCAGAGTGCCGACCCCAAATCGCGTACGGCAGCTGCCGGCGCCATCGCCAATATCATCCAAGACACCAAGTGCCGAAAGTTGCTTCTACGGGAGCAAGTTGTGCACATCGTGCTCAACGAAACGCTCACTGATGCAAGCCTCGAGAGCCGTGCTGCTGGTTGGGAAATCCTCAAAGTCCTGACGCAGGAGGAGGAAGCCGACTTTTGCGTGCACCTGTTCCGGGTTGATGTGGTGACGGCTGTTGAGCATGCCGCCAAGAAGGTATGTATTTTCAGATCGTCCTCGGAAGTTGACCTGACTTACACGATCTTAGGTGACCCAGACTGTTACCAGCCCCAACGCAGCACAATTCAGCAAGGCAACCCAGGCAGAGCAAAATTTCGTTTGGAGGATTGCCGAGGCACTCGCGACCATTATTTCGGCCCTCGCAGAGGCCCAGGATGACATGTTGCAGGTGGTAGTCGCGAATAAGTACATTGTCCAGCTGCTGTTTGTGCTAATTTCAAGCGATTCGGCACCTCCAGAAGTTATCAATAGTGGTCTCTCGTGCATGATGACCCTGTCAGAAGACAACCCACGGTTCGTTGAAATGATCCTTGCCGACGAGGAGACCAGGTGCTTCAAGCTTCTTATGACCTTGAAGGGAGGACATGGACTACCGGCAGTATTGGCCTGCGGAGTGCTTCATAACATATTCTCGAACATGGAATGGTTCGACTCGAGTCCAGGAAGGGATAAATCCAGTGACGCGATCCTGATTCCCACTCTCACAAACTCACTCGAGGCAGCCCAATTAAACAGCGAGGCGGCAAATGATCAAGACGCTTCGAGTCCAGTGGAGATCCTTCAGCTCGCTCTCGAGATCCTGGCGTCTATCGGCACAAGTCTGCAGGAGTCCATAGTGAAAGGTGATAAGACTGGAGGCGGATGGAAAGGTATCGACGACCATGAAGACATGGCCTTGGATGCGGATGAGAACAGTGACGTTTCAGACAAGGAAAATGATGACGATGATGATGAGATGGACCAAGACGAAATCGAAGCCGACATGGATCTCGTCACCGCGGCTGACGACTACCCCGATGAATCGTCTGGTATCGACGACTTGCCGACCTTAAAGCTCCTCTTGCAGAAAGCAATACCTCAGGTTCTCAAGATCACCAAATTTAGCAGCAACGCCACAGACGGAGCCGCATCGCTCTTACGAGGCTACGCTTTGTCAACCCTGAACAACATTGCTTGGGCGTTATCGTGCCTGGATTATTCAGATGGACACAATACTGCAGTCCATGCGGCATGGGCCCCTGTAGCACGAACGATATACACTTCTGCCGTGGCGCCTGTCCTTGCAAGCGACACGTCGGACGTCGACCTGGCGACTTTGGTGACTGGTCTCGCATGGGCCATTGCTAGAACCCTCAAGGAGAAAACCCCTATAAGTGGAGACGAGCACAAAAAGTTTATGTCGTTGTACCATGCTTCGAGGAACTTGCCTGTCGATGAGGATCCTTTCCAAAGCCTTGGTGTCAAGTGCATTGGAGTCTTGGGGCAGTTGGCACTTGACCCCGCGCCGATAGAGCTTAACCGCGAAATAGGAGTATTCCTGCTCACAATCGTCGCCTCGCTTCCCGAAACGCCAGCAGCAAACGTCGTGGAAGCACTCAACCAGTTATTCGACATCTACGGCGATGAACGGCACGCTTGCGACAGGGAAGTCTTCTGGAAGGATGGCATCCTGAAGCATTTTGAGGAGTCGACGCCCAAGGTTAAGGCAATGGCAAAGAAAATAGACAAGAGAAAGCAAACAGAGTTGAGAACTCGAGCCGATGAGGCCGCCTTGAATCTGACGCGGTTCATTCAGTACAAGCAGAAGAACAAGCCATAGATGATGGCATACGAGACAAGAAGTATAAACCGGTACATACACTAGACGGGTGCTAGTCAACGGCGTAGATGACACCCGGATGTGGAGTTCACTGTGCAGGATAATTGACCTGAGTAGAGCTGACAAAACAAACACATGCAACATACACTGTCACAGCGATATACTGACGGGAAAACTTACCTTGAGGTCCAAGAGCCATATGATGTGAATTATAACCAAAGCGCTTGCGTGGCGAGCAGATATTTCCTCGCGAATGCGAATGTAACGTACAACCCCACCTTTCCGGCCACCTACCTTTCTGGCCACATATTGCAATCCAATTGAAGGTATTCGAAACAGTGTATTCAACGTACTATTATAGCTATTCAGGTACAACCAGGGTATATTCCAGTTGCAGAGAAGCCTGATTGTATATTACTGATCGTGAACGACTTCGTATATGCCTCGATGTATAGCGAGAGGAACGTCGACTTTTTAAATGGAATAGAACAGTACTCGATCGAGAGAGGTCGCTAACGAGCGATAGTACCGCTTTAATGGAGCAAATACGGCGACGTCGAGAGGTTGGAGCCCGTGAGAACAGTGTGCTGGCAAAAATAGTAACGAGATCTTGTTACAATAGGCTAACCACATAAACTCGACGTTGTTGTGAGCGATATGACCATGTAATATCAAGAGCCGCTGCTCGTCGGGATCAACTGGTTGTCTACGAGGTATAAAGATATCACGAAGCCATCGAACGGCGATATCTGTACTGATCCAACCGTTAGATGAATAAGTATATTGCCAATCAGGTATATCGTCGCAATCGTTAAACCATTGGGCTTGGAGGCCTGTTTCGTCCATATTCCAGACGTTATGTGGAAAGTAGTCGTGAGCTGACATCAAGGCTTCGTACATCTCGAAGAAATCGTCGATATTCTGCGTCGATAGGCCATCAAATCGCTGACGGTCGAGGCGTCGAGATTGGATACTTCCGACCTCTGGATGGCGTTGAATAAAGCGATGAACCCAATGGCGACCGAGGCCCTCTGATCGACGATCCTGAGGTAACAGAATCAACGCCATCTTAGCGATGAATAGCGCCGACGGGCTACGACCCTCGCGATCCATTTCGAGGATCCATCCAATCAGCGCGTCTCCCTGATCCCTAGATAGCTTCATCGACGCGATTGACGCGTCAGAATGGCTGAGGCCATCGCCGAGTCGTAATTGGAGGGTAGAGCGTAGAACGCCCCATCGGAGGGAAGTCTGGCGCTGGAATATCCCTTGATTGATATCGTTGAGAGCGCCTTGAATCGAATTTTCTGAATATCGAGGCATTGTATAATAATAGCCGATACCGACGATAATCTGTTGTGCCGAAGGTTGTTGTAGTTGGCAGATTAGGTGGCCAGAAAGGTGGGTGGCCGGAAAGGGGGGGTTTGTATGTTAACCGACCCATCGAGCGGAGCACCTGAGGCAGCACGTCCCCACGAATCTAGAAGACCCCTAGTCAAGTCCAACCCCTGGGACAAGGAAAACCCCAACCAACGCATATCCCAGGTCAACTGTCGCAGGTGCGTTTTGGCCATTTACAATTGGTGGGCACCGTTTCCAGCCTACACGGCGAAAGAAAACATCACTCTCTAGGGGAGTTAGGTTCAAGAGCGCATTCGTGACTATCATTTGAACTCACAGGAGACCCCGACGTAGCCCATGTCCATAGTAGCGGCAATCATACCATCATCGCCCCTCGACCCCTGTAAACGTGTGCTCAGCCGATGGGTTTCAGCTTCTTTTTCTTCTTTTCCGGTCCGCCCTTGCCCTTCTGGAATTGCCGCCAGCTATCGATGCGCTGGTCTCTCGTGGACTCCCAGTCCTGCTCATGCTGTCTCTTGCGTTTGCGCTCCTCAATCTCCTCGTCCTGACGCTTCTGTTCGCGGCCCTCCTCTTGCATCTGCGCCTTGACTTGCCGTCTCCGCCTCTGCTCGTTATCGATGAGCACTTCCGTCGTCTTGACCCGCCACTTCTGCGCGAATTCCTCCGTCTTCAGCTCCGGCGAGTCGACCGTCCACTTGTTCTCCCGGATCAGCAGCATGCGCGCGTCGGCAATGGCCTCGTCCAGGCGCTCGCGGTGCTTTTCGTCCATCAGCTCCGTCTGTGCCTTCTTCAGTCGGTCGAAGGCTTCGGGCGCTTGCGGGTTGCGTGTTTTGTCCGGATGGATGAGCAGCGACTTCTTGCGGTAGCACATCTTAATGTCGGATTCGGGCACACCTGGATTTAGGTCGAGAACTGCGTAGGCGTCTAGCCTGAAGGCCTTGAGAATTCTGTCGATTTCGGCATCCTGCGCAAGCTGTGTTAGTGTCTCGTTGTAGTTCATGTGAAGCAGGGATGACTTGCCTTCTCGAACTCCTTGGCCTCAGAGGCCAGGACGTCAAGAGCATCCTTGTCTTCCTTCTCAAGATTCTTAATATCTTTTTCTTCGGACGCCATGTTGTGGTCGAGTCGATTGTAGAGAGCGGGATGGGTTGAAAAGCACAAAGTGTCGCTGAACGTGACGGAGATGAAGATGGTCGGAGGTCGTCGTCTTAGCAGGGTATCATAGGCATGCAATAACGGTCGCGGTGATAAGATAAGATAAGCGCCGATAACGATTTACCAGAGTTCCTAGCTAAAAAGTTTTGGAGAGCAAGCGCCCACCTTCAGCCTGACAGTAATACAGCGTATATATGGTCGATAATTTCCAGCCCAGAGCACATCTTCAGTTTGCGACAATCTCAACGTGTTTGAGTTTAGACATGCTCAAATCCATATAATCCTAAGTACACCATCATGTCTCGACGCGCAGTCTCGCCTGCAGCCTCAGAGAATGAGGTTGACATCTTAGGGTCGTTGTTCACCGAAGAGACTGGCAATGCAATTGGACGATTCAAGTCGGGAGGTGCCAACCATGCACTCGGATTCGATGCGGGAGACTTCCTTGATGGCGACAGCGATGGTGCCGACGGGGACGAGGCTTTCATTGCCTTGAAACAGGCCGCTTCATTCAGGAAAGGAGCAGCTAACCAGAAGGGCAAAACGGCCAAGAAAGGCGGTGGATTTCAGGCTATGGGTACGGTTCTCGCGTGGTTCTTTCCAAGGCGACTTGCTGACTTGAGTTACAGGAATCAATGCGAATCTTCTTCGAGCTATCACACGCAAGGGCTTCTCGGTCCCGACGCCCATTCAGCGCAAAGCGATACCTTTGATAATGGAGAGAAAGGATGTTGTGGGCATGGCGAGAACTGGGTCTGGAAAGACTGCTGCTTTCGTTATTCCTATGATTGAGCGTCTCAGAGCTCACAGCGCCACCGTTGGATCAAGGGCCCTGATTATGTCTCCTTCTCGAGAACTGGCTCTACAAACTTTGAAAGTCGTCAAGGAGTTCAGCCGAGGCACTGATCTGAAATGTGTCCTCCTGGTGGGTGGTGACAGTCTTGAAGAGCAGTTTGGCTTCATGACAGCAAACCCGGATATTGTCATTGCTACACCTGGACGATTTTTGCATCTCAAGGTCGAAATGTCTCTCAACATCTCCTCCATCAATTACGTTGTATTCGACGAGGCAGACCGGCTGTTCGAAATGGGGTTTGCTGCCCAACTTACCGAGATTTTGCACGCGTTGCCGGCATCGAGGCAGACGCTTCTATTTTCTGCTACTCTGCCAGCTTCGTTGGTTGAATTTGCTCGTGCCGGTTTACAGGACCCAAGCCTCGTACGACTTGATGCCGAAACCAAGATTTCTCCAGACCTCGAAAGTGCTTATTTCACCGTCAAGGGAGCTGAGAAGGAGGGTGCGCTCCTCCACATTCTACATGACTTGATCAAAATGCCTGTCGGATTACCCGAGGGCGTGGAACCAGAGTCAGACAGACATTCCAAGAAGAGGAAGCGAGGGTCCGATGCACCGAGGGTAAAGGAGAAGCCGACTGAACATTCAACTATTGTGTTCGCGGCGACCAAACATCATGTCGAGTACTTGGCAGCTTTACTTACTGAAGCTGGATTTGCAGTCTCCTATGTCTATGGTTCGCTTGACCAGACGGCACGTAAGGAACAAGTAGACAACTTTCGACGTGGTCAATCAAACATTCTGGTGGTGACTGATGTTGCCGCACGTGGTATCGATATCCCTATTTTGGCCAACGTCATCAACTACGATTTCCCACCGCAACCTAAAGTGTTCGTCCACAGAGTCGGCCGTACCGCCAGAGCCGGCCAACGAGGTTGGAGTTACAGCCTCGTGAGGGAGACGGATGCACCATATCTAATAGATCTTCAACTCTTCCTGGGCAAGAAACTTGTTCTTGGTGAAGCAGGCGCAGGGTCGAACTACGCTGAGGACGTTGTAGTGGGTGCGCCCATGAGGAGCAAAGTGGAAAACAACGTGGAATGGTTGAATAAACTGTTGGCCGACAGTGAGGATATGCACGCGTTACGTCGAGTTTCCGAAAAGGCCGAGAAGCTCTACATGCGAACACGAAATTCAGCTTCAGCACAGAGCGCGCGGCGAGCCAGAGAGGTCGTTTCTTCCGCGGAGTGGGTGCAGCTCCATCCTCTGTTTGGTCAAGATGTTGGCGAGGCCGAGAATGCACGGGCTGCAATGCTTGCCAAGATCAGCGGCTATAGGCCCCAAGAAACCATTTTCGAAACGAGGATGATGCAAACGAAAGGAACTCGCAACGAGGCAGCAGAAGTCATGCGAAATCTGAGACAAAGGATTACCCCTCGGAATCAAGTAAAACAAGAAAAGGCGTCTGATCAAGTTGAAGAGGACTCATTGGCGTCAGATAATGATGACGCAAATCTCTTCGACGAGGAGGATGAGGATGAAATTGTGACCGATGACGAGGAGGTCAACATAGATGCAGGTTCTGACTCGGATCTGGAAGTGACCATCTCAAACAATAACAAAACCGCGAAGAAAACGCCGTTGGCATGGCAAGACTCGGAGGGCTTCATGTCTTACACACCGCGAACCATCAATGCAGCGGAGGAGCGTGGCTACGGAGTCCACTCGGGTGGCAACTTCGTCGAACATGCACGGAACGTCACAATGGATTTAGCCAACGACGAAGGAGCCAAGGGCTTTGGCCTTCCGACGAGATCTAAGATGCGTTGGGATCAGAAGAGCCGCAAATATGTGTCTCGGGACAACGATGACGACGGGTCTAAGGGTGCCAAGATGATCCGGGGAGAATCGGGTGTGAAGATCGCGGCGTCGTTCCAGAGCGGCCGCTTCGACAAGTGGAAGAAGGCGCAGCGACTGGGCAAGATGCCGCGCATCGGTGAATCGGAGAAGAACAATGGTCCAAATGCGGGCAATCTGCCGACCGGTGTCCGGTACAAGCACAACATGGAGAAAGCACCTAAGGAGGCCGACAAGTTCCGTGACGATTATTACCAGAGGAAGAAGAGAGTTGACGAGGCCAAGGAGAAGAGGATTGGCAGGTTCAAGGATGGTGTGGGTATTAATAGGAACGAGCTTAAAGGCATGGATGATATGAGGAAGGAGAGGAAATTGAAGGAAAGGAAGAAGGCGAAGAACGCCCGGCCTACAAAAAGGAGGTAAAGTTGAGTATGACAATCAATTCATTGATAATCGATTGTTACGTGCAAGCCATGTCCTAGTTCTGAGGGGCTGGATATCTCCAAGCAACAAGAAAGAAGCATGCGCGAGTTGCATAAATCAAATCGAGGCAGGCGTAGTCTCTCATCATACCTGGTTCAGGGCCTTGGCTTGGACAGAAAGAGTGCCCTCGAGCGCCATTCCCGCTGGCTTCTGGAAACAACACTTACCCAACTCAGCAAAGTACACTCATGTAAGCTGATATAGAAGAGTTCTAGTGCAGGTACTGCTGCATAAGGGGATAGATAGGTGCCACACTGCGCAGGCTTAAACCTCAATATCTGAAAAGGGACGAGCTCTGCATAGTCCATAGCGTGTCTTTGAGCTGCTTCAGGTGAGCGCCACACACAGACTTAACCAAAACATATACCTAGGTACCTTGTGTTGGAACTCTCTGCTGTGAAGTTATTGGGCACAACATCCTTGAAGGAGGTAAAGTGGCAGGCGCTATGCCACTCAGAAGAACCATCAAGAATTCTTATATACGGAAACAAGGCACCGTTCAGTGGTGGGTTTCAACTTGGATCTCACGAAGCCATGGTTCCTCAAGTTAAATGGAGGCCGGTAGTCCAGCTGGTGGGGCTTTATTCTACATAGAGCCAATGGCTATTAGTTCTGATGGCTTCGAACTTGACATAGGCAGTTTCAGCTGCTCTCGACGCTTATCCACGTCTAATCACCAGCAGCGTAACAATCATCAGTAACCGAGCAATTTCAGATTAAGCGGAACGCTGGCCAGCCCATGGAGCCCTTCTCATGGTTTCGGTGAGAATTCAGCAGGGAAAACAGCATCAGGGGCTTGTGTGTTGAACATAGTCACGCCACAGCGCGACAAGTTGGTAGTATGATGGGAGTCTGACAATTATTTCCGGGGCAAATGCCGTCTCTCTCTCGTCACCAATGTAAACATATCATTATTAAGTCTCAGAAAAGCTTTAAATTCGGCGCAATGAGTGGCATGAGCAGGCAAGGAGTGAGTGTGTCTCGGCAACTTCGAAGGGGTCAGAAATAACACTGAAAACTTGCAAGTTATAATTGAGAAGGGACGGAAAGTATCCTAGGAAGTATACTCGTACCGTTATTTATTATGATGTTGTGGGACGTGCGCGGCAAAGGGGACGCTACCCATGCTCTTCCCCCAACTTAAATGCAGCTAAGAAGGGCCTGCACGGAGCGTCGGGCCAGGCTGTCTTGCGAAAGTTGCAATCTGGGAATGCTCATCAAGGGCTGTCCAGCACATTTGGATTTAAAATTCACGAGCCTGACAGGGTCCAACAAGGTCATCGAAGTGGATTCCATTATTTGATGGTTCGTCTAAAGTTCAAGCGCATGTGTCGGAGATCCTCGTTGTTGCCGTAAACCAGCGCTGTGAATGAGGTGCTCCTTCCCCGTGCCTCCAGGTCTGCGCAACAGCTTCAGCTCCGTAAGTGTTGCCGAATTTCGCTCGACCAGCAGCAGGCACGCCAGATGCGTTTCAGCGTTTTCAATTCAATTACCATTACTTCAACACATAATTATAAAGCCACCGGCTATCGCGGGACCAAAACTCCATCACAGGTTCGCTTCCCAGGTCTGGGAACCACGGGCGCCAAGAGACGCCTTCGTCAAATCCGTCGAGATGAACGGCACCAGTCCAGCAACCCGCTCCAAACGGAAGCTCGAGATCTTCTCAGATGAGGAACGTCCTCAAAAGCAGCTCCGCCCCATCAATGGCAAGATTTCGCCAGGCGACAATACACCCGAAATCCATACGATAGGAAGGTCTCTGGAGGCCGCGGAAGACGACTATGACCACGACTTGGCCGCTTTCTACCAGCCCCAGCCAGCCGATACTGCGGAGTGGCAAGCGACGGTGGAAAAGGTTATAAGCAATGTTGTTTCAATTCGCTTCTGTCAGACGTGTGCCTTCGATACAGACCCTGCGTTGACCAGCGAGGCGACGGGCTTTGTCGTAGATGCCGACCAAGGGTAAGTGGCAACGAGGGTGAAGCAGCATCATGTGGTCTCTGCTAATACCCCGGTCTCAACAGATACATCTTGACAAACCGGCACGTCGTCGGCTCGGGCCCCTTCTGGGGCTACGTCGTATTCGATAACCACGAGGAGGTCGACTGCTTCCCAGTGTACCGAGACCCTGTTCACGACTTCGGCATTCTTCGTTTCGACCCCAAAGCCATCAAATATATGCCAGTTTCTGCGCTGACACTCCGTCCCGACTTAGCCAAAGGTAATTAAGTATATCGCCCGAGCGAAGTCAAAGTTTCGCTAACCCAATGCATAGTCGGTATTGAAATCAGGGTTGTCGGAAACGATGCTGGTGAAAAATTGAGTATTCTCTCGGGCGTTATAAGCCGTCTCGATCGAAACGCACCTGAATATGGTGAGGGATACAGTGACTTCAATACCTGCTACTATCAAGCGAATGCCGCTGCTAGTGGAGGATCCTCTGGAAGTCCGGTTGTCAACATTGACGGGTTTGCCATTGCCCTTCAGGCCGGCGGAAGATCCGACGGCGCATCGACGGATTACTTCTTGCCCTTGGATCGCCCATTGCGAGCTCTGAAATGCATACAGCAAGGAAAGCCGGTTGAGCGTGGCTCTATCCAATGCCAATTCCTGATGAAACCTTTCGACGAATGTCGTCGACTTGGCCTGACACCACAATGGGAGGCAGCAGTTCGAAAGCAGTTCCCCAAGGAAACCAATATGTTAGTCGCCGAGATTGTACTGCCAGAGGGACCTTCGCATAACAACATTGAGGAAGGCGATGTTCTGCTCAAGGTCAACGGAGAGTTACTTACTCAGTTCATTCGCTTGGACGATATCCTCGACTCGAGTGTTGGAAGGAGTGTTCGCTTGACCCTACAAAGAGGAGGCGAAGATATCGAGGTTGAGGTCCCGGTGGGCGATCTTCACAAAATCACACCTGATCGCTTCGTGTCTGTCGCGGGGGCGAGCTTCCATAGTCTGTCGTACCAACAGGCGCGCCTATACGGCATCGCATGCAAAGGTGTCTTTGTTTGCGAGTCTACTGGGTCTTTTCGTTTCGAATCGGCAGATAACGGCTGGATGATTCAAAGCGTTGACCAGAAGAAGACGCCCGACCTTGACACCTTCATCGAGGTTATGAAGCATATTCCTGACAAGAAGCGAGTTGTGGTTACCTACAAGCACCTACGAGATCTCCACACACTCAACACCTCAATCATCAATGTCGATAGACATTGGTCAACCAAGATGCGCCTTGCCGTGAGAAACGACACGAGTGGCCTCTGGGATTTTAAAGACCTAGCCGATGCTCTACCCCCGATCCCGCCAGTTCGGAGAAAGGGCGCTTTTATTCATCTTGAAAACACCTCCCACCCTGCTGTTGCCGACTTGGTTCGAAGCTTTGTGCATGTAAGCTGCACCATGCCCGTAAAGTTGGATGGTTTCCCTAGAAATCGGAAGTGGGGGATGGGCCTCGTTATCGATGCTGAACAGGGGCTGGTGGTGATTTCGCGAGCAATCGTGCCTTACGATCTGTGTGATATCTGGATCACCATTGCTGACTCTATTGTCGTTGAAGGCAAGGTCGTCTTCCTGCATCCCTTACAGAACTACGCCATTGTTAAATACGACCCCTCGCTCGTAGACGCCCCCGTGCTGGGTGCCAAACTTGGAAACGAAACCATTACGCAAGGCGCCTCAACTACGTTCATCGGCTACAACAGGAGCGGAAGGATAGTGCATGCCGCAACAACCGTGACAGAGATGACGGCTGTTGCTATTCCCGCCAACTCGGGAGCGCCAAGATATCGTGCCACTAATGTTGATGCCATTACAGTGGATACGAGTCTTAGTGGGCAATGCGGAAGCGGAGTGCTCGTTGATAAGAGCGGCACCGTACAGGCTCTCTGGCTTACATACCTCGGAGAGAGATCGCCTCACGGCTCCCGGGACGAGGAGTATCACCTGGGTCTGGCTACGCCAACCTTGCTGCCCGTCGTTGCCCAGATTCGGAATGGGCAAGTGCCCAAGTTGAGAATGCTTTCAATGGAGTTCAGGTCTATCCACATGTCTCAGGCTCGGGTCATGGGAGTATCGGAGGAAATGATATCCAGAGTCTCAGAGGTCAACAAATACAACCACCAGCTCTTCATGGTCTCCAAACGGACCTTTGAGCGGGGTGACCAGCCCCAAGTCCTTTTGGAAGGCGATATCATCCTGACATTGAACGGAAACATGATCACCAAAGTGTCCCAATTCGATGTCATGTATTCGCACGAAGTCTTGGACGCTGTCATCGTCCGAGATTGCCAACAAATGGAACTGCAGGTGCCTACGGTCTCTGCTGACGATATTGAGACTGATCGTGCCATCTCCTTCTGCGGAGCTATTCTGCACGCTCCTCACCATGCTGTTCGGCAACAGATCAGCAAACTACACAGTGAAGTATACGTATCCGCCCGAACTAGAGGCTCGCCGGCATACCAGTACGGACTGGCGCCTACGAATTTCATCACCCATATCAACGGGAAGCCGACGCCGGATCTCAACACATTCCTTGATGCTGTCACCAAGATTCCCGATAATACTTGTAGGCCCACTTCCCTCCCCCCCCCTTTTTTTTGTTTTGTTTTATCAAGGTCATAATGTTAATCAATGCTACAGATTTCCGTATCAAGGCAATCACGTTTGACAATGTCCCGTGGGTCATCACGATGAAGAAGAACGAGCATTACTTTCCAACCATGGAGTGGATCAAGGACAGCTCGGAGACGTGTGGCTGGAAGAGGATCACATACGAGGGCGACGGCAAGCCGGTCGAAGGCGAGCCAACAGAAGGCTTGCTGCCGGTGACTGCGGAAGACAACGGTGAGATGGACGTCCTCGAAGAGGTCTGAGGCAATATCGACGCAGATCCGTCGTGCTCTCCGAAAATGCGCTTCATATAGGCACCACACATGGGATTTTGATTCAGTTGCATAGGCGCTCTAATAAGATAAATGAGAAATGACCACACAATTCTAAGAGCTGCATCACCTCATTTCATTTCGGTCTTTCCATGCGTGATCTGAGTACACAATCTTTTCTGAAGTCGCGACAGTCTAGCACACTGAGTGTAAGAAGACCTTGGTCTGATCCGGTTATTAGTTACCTGGGCTAGTAGCTCCTCAATCAGCTACTCGACGAGTCTTACCTAAATGAGTAGGCGTGTCCAACTAATTGACTGAGTTTCGGGGCCCAAATTGATGAGATCTGGCTCGGTGACCTGTGAGCTGAAAGTGCCATTTTCAACTACCTGACCAATCTACGGTTCGAGTATGCGTTTACGTTTTCTAAAGTATCCGGCAATGAATGCGATCCAGTGCTCCGGTTGTCGTCCTGACCCCAACCGCATATTTCCGAATATTGCGTAGCAATACTACCCAGGTACCTATTGCTCGGGACGATGGCATGCTGTGTAAGATCTAATCACGACAACATCTCCTCCCCCTCTCGAAGTGCGATTGAGCGCAAAGTTGTGCCTTGGGAAGCAGGTTGTATCGGCCCCTTTCTGTCAGAAATCACTTTGAAGACTGATAAAAGGCAAGTCACAAGAATATTTGGTGTAGGCCTAGAATGCATACACACCTCCTGCACGAGACACGAGAGCTTCTTTTGACTTCATGTCCTCTTCTCTTGGCTTTGGAATTCCCTAGTTTCCGTGTGCCGCAAACCCATAGACTAGCCGTGTTAAGTGCCGGGTGTGGTGCTGAGTAAGGCCATGCCCCTTTTCAGAGCTCCTCCGCTCCAGTAGGTTACCCGGTCCTCGTGCTGGTGTTCGCACTTTATGTGGTCATGAACTGCCGGATTGGGTAACCCGTACCATTCTGTGCCTCGTATGTATGCGCTCAAGTCTATCTGTCGAGGTTGTGGTTATGAGAACAAACCTTCGCAATCGGCCTAAAGGTCTCATCAATTTAGTAGGTTTGTTAAATGGCCTGTGGGACGGCTTGTAGGTTCACGCCATAATAATTTGGCCCTCAAGGTCTAATGCGCAGTCTATTTGACCATAGCTAGTGTCTTTCGTAGGATCGACCCAGCAGTCATTCATTCCTTCATTTCTAACACCATTTGGGAATGACCAGTGCAAACTGAGATGCTTTTATCTACCTCCCCCTTTAAAATTATTACACGTTGAACCCGAGACAGACCCAAAGAGCTTATCTGGACAAGTCTTGGTGGGCTTCCGTCAATTCATAAATGCCGCTCGCTTACATCATATAGTATGCCCAATTTCTAATAGTACACAAATTAAAACCATCCCATTATCCCTTCTAGAAATACCGTCCAAGCCCCCGAATGCCCTACCTTGCACAGCACACACATCGCCAAGAACGAGAGAAGAAGGTAGTGAAGAGGTCTGTTATGAACAGTCCAAAAAGCACAACGGGCCGGATCCGAGTTTTCAAGATGGGCCTGGTCATTTAGAAACGCCGGTGCCTTCGTCTTGCCGTAGCTCATGTCGTCGTAGTGCGTACCATTTGCTGATTTCCACGTCCCTCAACTGCTTCTCAGCAGCATATCGCGCAAGACTTAGAGAATGGCAGCAAAGGCCAGGGCGGCCAGAAGGGCAACGAAACTCGTGGACCCCTTGCTGGCTGCGGCCTGAACAGGCAGGGTGCTTGTCGAAGCGAAAGTGGGCGACACACCGGTGGTATTGGAGCCAGCGCTTGCAGCAGTGGGGACAACAGTCTTCACTATCTCGGAGATGTAAGTCGTACGGTCAGCGGTAGCTTCAGCGTCGGTGCCAGTGACGGCAGGGGTAGCCGAGGTGCTGGCTGTGCTGGCTGTCTCGACGGAGCTGGTAGTCGGCATAGAAACACCAACGGGGGTGGACGCTGGCAACTCCGAGGAGAGACCACCGGTAACAGAGTACTGCTTGGCACATTCTTCAAGCGAAAGGCCGTCAGGGCAACACCAAGTCGCACCAGCTGAATCAGAAGAACAGAAGTAGCCTTCGTCACAAGAATCTGGAGGAAATGGTTAATGTCATCAACAACCCAGAAAGGCAGACCTCTCACCTCCAGTACCAGTGCCACAGCAGGTCTGCTTAGCCGTAGGATCGAAGCAATGAATGGTAGCGTCGGTGGAATCACACTGCTCAAAACCAGCACCACAAGCATCAGTACATGTCAAGCCAGTGCCGCAGAAGGTCTGGCTAGGTTGGTAGCCGTCCTGGCGACGTTCAAGACCAAAGATGTCTCTGACGGACATCTTGATGACGTTCAACTTGTATGGCTGGGGAACAGGTTCGGCCGCAGCCAGGCCGGCGAGGGCCGTGACGGCTAGCGAAGCGTGAAATAGCATTTTGGCGTTAATGCTCTAGAATGTCGGCCGACGAGGCGAAGCAGGAAAGGTGTCAAGCAACGGCTGCAGGCGCAACGCAAAACGATGGACTGGTGTAAGTAACGAAAGAGAGTGGATGCTCAATAGAGCGCAACGAATGAATGTGTGTAGGAAAGGAACGAGTATCAACAGCTGCGCATGTGCCCTTGTGAGGATGAAGGTGAGGGAAAGAGAGAGGGCCCCAGAAGGAGAAGGAGCACAGCAGAGTGCCGACGGGCGATGATATACAGAACAAAGACATGGGAGAATTGTTTATATGGAGGGGTACGCACCCCTCCATATAAACACTGGGCCAACAAGGGCCGTCTGGCGGCATGACTACCGGCTTGATCTCCTTAATCAAACTACTGCGCGCAACTAACGCCTTGTCGATGCTTACCACGCCCGAAAGGTGCAAGGTGAGCACAGGTAACGAGTAGTGCGCAAACGCGATTGCGATCCACAGCTAGGATGTCGAGGGCCGTCAAATGGCCCCGCGAGTAACAGCTGGTCAGGTGGATTGTCGTTGACGAAATGACGAGAGATTTCCGGCTCTGGCGCACTGCTGCGCGCAGGAGCAAACATGGCGCGAGCAACAAGGAGTAACAACTCCAGAGGGATGTGTGCTTGGTAGCCCATGAGCCTTCATTCTGAAAGAAGACGATGGCCAACTGAGGCCGCAAGTGTACGTGCTCATCCAAGCAGAGCGCTAACCAAGGGAAGGCATCGTGAAATGAGTGGAGGGCAAAAGCCGAAAGCTGGGGGAGATGGGCCTACTGGACCCGTTTTAATGAAAATCCCCGTTCAGGGACCTGCAGGTACAGAATCCAGATCTGAAATAGCGGCAGGCTTTGATTGGCGGTGCCGGCTTGAGGTCGCACCTGCCCCCTGTCGCCTTCGAAACAAGGTACCTATCGGCTATTTTCAGATGATCCATCTACCGACATACAGACTCCCCCAGAATTGCCAACATGCGCCGCGTGCATCCCGACGTCACCGCGTTTTGCGTGTCTTTTCACCAACGAATGCTTCTGCACGGCTTGCATCGTACGGCCCAGCTCGGTGGGACGAGACAACCGAGCAGCGCCACCCAACCCGCGACTGCATGATTCGCAGACAACACTCACCGTGTAAGCGCGGCGCGGCGCACTAGGCCATCGCGGCGGCTGGTTTGGTAGCCATCTTTCGTTGTGGGTTTTGCAGGACATCTTGCCTCGGGGTGGTGACTGCTATTTTGTTCTCGGTCAATCTCTCTTGTCGAAAGTCAATTCCTGCTTCGGCACCTAGAGTCGTTCGTCCCCTGTGCCGAATACTTGGTTCTGTTCTTGCACCTCGGACGTATGTGGACCCCGAAGTAATGTATTGACTTTTCTCCCGCAACGCTCTCTAGAACTTAGCCTGAAGCAATTAAGGTTCCTCAATCACCTTGCGGCAGGACAGGACTGACGAAATTTTGAATACATCATTCACTGCGTTGCGCGCTTACTGGGCTTGCTGTCTTGTAAGGTTTGCTGTCACCTGCTCAGGTTCGGAAAGCTGGAAGCACTCAGTGGCAACGCAACGTTGGGGGAAGGCTGTAACACCAAGGGCAAGATAAGTAGCAAACTGGCACTAATACAACAGAACACGAGAACTCCAATGCCTCCACCCGACTGATCGCGGGCCGTTCCAGCTTGGTCATATCCGAGCTGTCCTGGAATTCAAAACTGGAAGAGTTATCAGGCAGAGTCGTGGCTACTTCTCCGCGGCAGTCTACGCGGCAGCGTAGTTGGGTCTCCTTGAAATCACTCTCAGCAGTCTTGCCTTTTTCGGCCACCCCCAGGCTAGCTCCCTTGGATTCCTGGTTTAATCTCCAGTTGCCAGGTTCGTCCTAAAATTCAATTCTCTTCTCTCTCAAGCCGTCCGGTCCGCGTTTGTGCGGGGCATTTGGGTAGCTGGGAAAGGCAAACGCAGGGAAGAAACTACGATGATATGAAAGCCAGTCAGCGACGCATAAAGTGCGCGTCTGCTGAAAGCAATGAAAACCTACGAGCTCTCTTCCCCGCGTACTTCCAAAATCCACGGTCGAGTGGGCGAAAATAGTGGGAAAGACAGAAGAACAAGACTAGGCTGAGCAAGGTTACGCCACTTGTGCTCTCGATGCTCATGGCTAGGGCAATAAAGCCGCCAATTACTAGCTAAACAGTATTAGAGTCACCAAAAAGTGTTTTACATGATTGGCATATTTTCTATCATAATTTCATGGTTAAGGTCAATTCCATCAACGTCTTGCAAGCTAAGGACAAGACAATAGCAACAATACACATTTATTAGTCAATCCATTATAACGACATAGGGGAGTCCAACTTGAACTAAGTAAAGCTGAACAGTCTTGGGATTATCCAGATTCTATATTGCTACCTTGAGGTGTAACTCTCCTTATAGTAGGAATACGGAAAGTCTCGTACCGAATCCATTTCATTGTGATTCTCGAATGCGATTCTGTTTGCTTATTCCAATCCTCATTGCTATCATCGCCAGCCCAGCCTGTCTTATGCAATTCTGCCAATATTGAGGCCCAGGCATTCGTAGTACGGGCCGAAGCGCTGTATAGCAAGAAATGACATAAAACGGGGCATTCCGAGCAGAACGGCTCTTGCCATCGGAGTGGATACAGTAGTCTAGTAGCTAATTCTGAGTTCATGGAGTGAAGCGAGTATTCCGGTCGCGTCGTGGACGTTGGCATAGCATCTTGGGGGCCATAAATATTGCTTTTAGCCATGGACCCATACGAATCAACAGGGGTTTGGCGAATTGATGTGTGTAATTACAGGTCAAACTCGCAGCCGGTGTCAACTCAGGACTTTGAACGGTCAGATCCTTGATCACAGGAAAATCGCCGGCAAAGTCAGACTTTTGGAATCGTTATCGCGGACAAAGTTGCCATATTGATGAATATTGATGAAGCCGCAATGGCAAAGATGTGGATTAACTTCCAAGTTGGCGTACAGGTAACGGTGGTGAGCTGTTCGAAATAAAACGCCTTGCTGACTAGACGTAGATATACAAGATTGCCTGTTATCTGGCATCAGGTCCAAAAGCCGCATTAGAAAATCCCGAACATCACTGTTTGTTACGTTGCAATGGTAGCTCACAAGGCTGCATGGGTCTCGATAAATAACAAGCGCAGCTGTGTAGCCCTTCTAGAAGCTGGAGGCGTGTGTTTTTGTTTCTTTGCGAGTCCAACAGCCATCGACAGGGGCTCGGTGGTTCTAATTACTTTTATCTAGCGATATTCGTAGAAAATTTGCCGCAACCCGATGGCTAACTCACATCTTTCCCTTGTCGTGTCGAGGCGAGTCGGCTCTAGGGTCCAATTGCCAGGATATAACAGTCCTGCCACTTGCATTGAGAGCAGCTCGTCTTGAAAGACTTGAGCGCATACATACGAGGCACAGAATGGTACGGGTTACCCAATCCGGCAGTTCATGACCACATAAAGTGCGAACACCAGCACGAGGACCGGGTAACCTACTGGAGCGGAGGAGCTCTGAAAAGGGGCATGGCCTTACTCAGCACCACACCCGGCACTTAACACGGCTAGTCTATGGGTTTGCGGCACACGGAAACTAGGGAATTCCAAAGCCAAGAGAAGAGGACATGAAGTCAAAAGAAGCTCTCGTGTCTCGTGCAGGAGGTGTGTATGCATTCTAGGCTGCATTGCAGCGAAGCATGGCGTGGACGGCGTCCATCTCGTCGAACCGGATGTTGAGGTGAATCCAAAAGTGGCAGTCGAGACGGGGCTCACTGGGCAGCAGTGCTCGAGCTCTTAATAGCCTCATACCGTGACGTAAGCGAGTTTGGGCTGTTTACCAACAAGCAAAGGCACAGGGAGGGACGGTGGTCGAGTGGTTGTAATGACTTTCTACGGCGTTCCCCTCCGACTTCAGGCAGACCAATAAGCCAGTACCATTATATCTAGCTGAAAGACAGTTTCTCGTGCGATTGGAGATATAAAATTGTTTCGACTATCGAATCTTTTTTCTGTGTAGGAGTGTGTAACTGCCATTTGTGTCTCCTTGACATTCGGCTTCAGCACGCTGGACCTCGCGTCACAAGGATAACGTAGAGGGTAGGCCAGTTAGAAGAAATACCGGCAATCCCTCACCAAAATCCAATGATTGGTCCGGCGTATGGCATGAGCCATTACCGGGTCGACGCAGTGCCTAAACATTGCCAGTACCCGAAGTGCGACCGTCAATGCGTCTGCGTTCGGCATCAATGAACACCTGAGGTCTCTTTCTCTGTGTCAGAATGTGATTGTTGAAGACCAGCAAGCGACTGTTTCCCTTGAAAATTTCCGTCATGTCCTCCAGGGTGCGCCGCGAGGTTTCGGGGTACAGAAGGTAAACAACGGGAAGGTAGGAGTAGCAGAAGCACGAGAACACTAGTTTATGTCAGTAGACATGAGACTTGGAGATTTCAGGTTAGGTAGATAGATGGCTTACGGAGATAGAAGCCCCAGCCGAGATTGTTGACGCCAACCTTGGTGAACTGGACGGTGGTGAAGCCGCCCAGCCAATTAGTTGCGGTAGCAGCAGCAGCGCCTCGGGTTCGCCACCCTAGGCTATTAACTTCTGCATTCTTCAAACCTCACAGTCAGCCATAGTTCGACACGTAATTACTGCCGCCTGTGAGGTGGAGTTATGTACTCCATACTTTCGAGTAACTTGATACAGGAGCGAGCTTGAAAGGGACTGAACTTACGTAGACCCAAGCGACCTTGGCGAAGCTGGTTCCATAGAAGAAGTAATACAGAAAGAACATGGCCACAGTGACACTGCCCAGTGTCGTTTTCTGTTCCGGATGCAGCGACGCCTCCTTCAGGGTGACTGCGGCAATCAGATAGCATGACCCCATCGCTACAGAGCCATACATCATGAGCCTAAGACAGAGTAAACGAAGTGATACCAAAAAGGCGGAGTCCCTTCTTTCATTTTGGGGACTTACTTTCGCCTTCCAACCAGATCAACCAGTAGGAGGCACAGGAACGCTGCTCCAAGGTAGACGGTGGCGTTTGCCCCGGTAAGCAGCCTCGCATTCTCACTGGACACGCCAACCGACTGGATCAACAGAGTGGGCAGATAGTAGCCTACAGAAAACATCAGCCTGCACCTGGAACATGAGTTTAATGGGGGACCTTACTTAGTGCATTTACACCGCTGAACTGTTGCATGACCATTGTGCCGCAGCTACTAAACTGTCAGGGATCGCTTTCCGCCTTTACGCGGATGGGAGAAATACCTCAGCAGGAGTCGGCGGAAATTCCGATTGGGGTCTCGGAAAAGCAGGGTTTCTCGAAGAGTCGAGAGGTCGGCTCTCTCATCCTGGATAGCCTGCTGGATGGATTTCATGTCATCGTTCAGATCCTTGTCCTCGAGATTTTGCCCTTTGCCTCGCAACTGGCATAGGGCTCTCTGAGCATCGTAGTTGCGTCCTCTCAGCAGTAGCCATCTTGGCGACTCGATAGTGAAGGGTAAGAACAGGGTCACTATCAGTGGAAACACGAGCTGGAAGGCTAAAGGGAATCGCCACTGGAGGGGTCCGTTGTCGTTGAACAGGGCGTAGTTTATCCAACTCCCACTCGTCAGTTTACGCAGTTGAAGGGAGTGGATCCTTACCTAGCAAGACAGAATCCCGTTGTGTTGCAGAGAGATCCTAGAACCACCAGCTTGCCCCTGATATGGGAGGGAGAGGTCTCGGCCATGAAAACGGGACACGTAGACGACGTTAAACCCATGCCAAAGCCGTTGATAAGTCGTCCGACGATCATCTGCGGTAAGTGGTAGGCTGCAATCTGCAAGACTGCTCCAATTACGTTGGTGAACAGACCTGCCCAGACGGTTCGTCGCCGACCCAATCTGTCACCGAGAAGGAAGGCCGCGATGCAGCCGAAGAAGGCTCCCAGCTAGGATGACATCAGCCACTTGAACCATCACTAGACCATGAGGGTCAAGCACGAACCGAAAAACAACTAGACGTGATACCAGAAATGTTTGGATCACTTGTCTCTGGGAAAAGCTTGATGAAGTCGGCGGAAATCAGTGCCCCCGAGAAAATCCCCTGAGGGTGTTTTGAGTTAGCAACCGGCAGAGAAGCAGGACTGTGGTGAGGAACCTGGTCATATCCGAAATGGGCCATCGACACTGCTGATGGTGAGCTATAGTTGTGGAAGGCATCGAGTTGGAGAGGTACCTGAGTTGACGATGGCGAGGAAGATGAGCTGCAGCCTGCCCGCTGATTTCAGCGCCATGGTTTCTGAAGATGGCTTGCGACTGCTGGGTGGCAATATCGACAGCCTTAAAGATGATGCCGGGAAGTGTGGGTACTTGGGAGTAAAGCGAATGTACCAGGATCGAGTGATGGCCTTGCCCGTGTCAACTCAAAACTGAAGAGATCTCCTGCTATGCGGCATCGCCTACCCAGGGTTTTATATACAGATTCACAACATCGTGGCGTATTATCCAACTTGCATTGCAGGCCGGCTTTCATCCCGTACAAGTCATCCTCTCCTGCCAATTTGCTACCTGACTGAAGCTGGCGGACCGGAGGAAGCGGGATGCCAAAGCTACAGTCAGTCATGACTGATCCGACACCACAAGTAGCCCCCTCTAGACGGTATTTGGACCTTGTCGTCCCGCAGGAAGCGACCCTCTGTAGGGATAAGGGGTACCCCATGATGTTGTACCTTAGGCGGGTACGATACCTAATCCATATCTTCGCAGGAAATGGTGTTGAGCGACCTATAGCTACCATCGTAGCGTCCAACCCGTGTCCAATGAAGCCTGTGATGTGAGCAAACCGGGGCAGGGTGGGAGATTCCGCATGACAAGTTGTCCAGCATACAACCTATTACTAACCGGGGGCGTGGTGCTTCGAGGGGTGGAAATGCCGCGAACATGGCATCCAGCCCGGAACCTTAGGAAGTGAAAGTGTGCTGTCTCAAGCATCTTGAGGGAAAGGCTAGAGTTGTTAGTAAGTCATCATAATGATTTCAAATCCGAGGTAAGGTGCGAGACCCTGACTTTAGAAAGGCACGCCCAAATGCAGTGCTACCTAGTTGCAGTAGGGCTGAATGACGACATATCACTATGATTACTTAATAACTTGCAACCAATTCTAGAACGCTTTCAAGTGTTCTCAAGTGGGGTCATGGCTGTTTCGAGCTGCTTTGGAAGCGTGGTCAAATTCTGGCTAAGCAGCCCATCCCCTAGCCATGACGGCGCAGTCTTGGCGCCTTGGATCGGCCATGTCCTCACGAACGCTAGCATCTCCTCGGCGCAGGAGGTCATCCATCCTGGTGGGAGACATTGAACCTACAACGCTTAGATGCAACTCTTCGCATCGAGTCGAGGCTTTCTCAGGCCCGAGTTTTTGCCATCGTTGCACTGATGAGGTTTCAGTGGCTGTCATGGCTGGTGTGATAACTTTAGTTACAGGAGGTCATCACATAATGGCGGTCCATCAATCCATCGAAATTTGCTCTGTCCCCCAAAACAGTCTCCAGAAGACGCTAACTATATTGAAATCAAGGACGTGGTTTCCATCCACTCGGCAACTAGACCCTATTCGCGTTGCCCGTGATTGAACCTGGAGAGTTATAATTAGCTCCTGGGGTAAGCTGGTGTTGAATACCTGTCAATACGTCTAATCCAGTACGAAAAGATGACAGACACGAGGGAATGCTTAAAGCCACCTTCCATGACCCAGGCCGATGACGATAGCGTGCATATGGCCCAATGCATAATCGCACCGGAGAGCTGGTTCAGCATGTAAGTGGAAAGTCCGACTTGCCGGTACGCCATTTTGGATGATGCCTGAATCAGGACGATCCGAATGCCGACGTGCTCTGGCATCAGAAAACCACGGCGACCTGGCACCCAAGAGCCCGATTGCGACATGGAAAGTTGATGAGAGCCGGACCAGTACCATGGTTGCGCGAGCAATTGGCTGTATTGAAATAGCTTTAACAGAGAGCAAGTGGTTGATCGACGAAACTTGCTGCTCGAGGACTAGTAAGACTCAGCTGAATATGGCAACGGACTCAAGTGCCTGGCTCGTGCCGTTGGGGTACTTCGCAGTTCGTAAATTCCTCGTCCTCCGGACCCAATCGCGACTTCCTATCCAATTTTCTGCAGCCTGGACTAAAGGAGCGGGCGTGGCTCGCGAGCTGGCAGCGATTAAGGGCGAGCCAATATGACAAACCCATGATTATGAGAACAATTCCGGACTTAATGCTGGTCGTACCTACTTTGATCTAGGCACATGCACCCCCCAGACCCACCATCCGCCCTAGTGACTAGACCTCCCGCTCAACACCCTCGGGCATCTTGAATTGTATACTTGAGTAAGGGTCCTTCAGTCTTAGTAGTTTGCCATCCAGCTTCTGACAACAGTGACCCCAAAAGGTCGCCTTTCACTCCGCCACGCGCTCCATTGAGAATGACAAACCCGATGACTGCTGCAAGACGCCAATGACTGGTACAAAATCGAGCACTCGGATGGAACGTCAGTTCAACCCACCACTGCCAACTACAGATAAGTCGACTGCCCACCGTCAACACCCGTCCCTGTATTTGTCAGGTTGCTTAGATTCCTTGTCGTATTTCAAGACTTGTGTTCTTTGATTCAGTATACACATTTTGCTTCTGAAGACACCAAGAACCCCGTGCTCCTCAGCGTCAACATCATGAACCTCAATTCTTCAAGTATGTACGTGCCTTTTTGTTTTGAAGTCGGGACATATCTGGGAATGCCATGGCTCCTCTCTTCCTTTCTGTCCACCAAGAGCTTTTAAAAAAGCACGAGAACGTACATGCTGGGAACTGTTACGTCAAAGTCTACATCTGGCTTTCGTGAGCCGCAGATGCTCTAGCACTATTTGGTGATCCTGCCTCGCCACTGTGAGGTGATCAGATGACCTCGACGCCTCTGGAGCATACTACCCGTGGACCTCCTCGGAGCTAGTGGATGCACATATGTCTTGCGCTTGGAGTATTTGAGTACCCAAGGTGGAACACTCTACGTGCTTCCACTCAAGAGATGGAAGGCATGGCCAAGTTGCTGTTGACCTGGTGTAAACGCGCATAGCGGTTAAACCCCTCAGCCAAAACCCATCCATGTCAATGGGAAAGTGGTTTCGCTGGACGAGGCGACGTCAAGTTGGTCACCCGAGTCATAAATAAGTAGCTCATTATCGAGCGTTCTCCTGATCGGAATAAGGAAACACAAGTACCAACTAGTCCATGTCCCGCATCCATAATACTCGCCTCTTCTCCTTTTCGTCATCAAAAGCCCCAAAGTGGTCATTACTGACTCATAATTCCACCACAAAGCTCCTTATTGGAACGAAGGCGGGGGGGAACACGCTATATCTGTCCTGCCTAAGCAGCCCGCATCACCCATGAATTACACGAGAAAACGTAAGTTGGCCAGATGATCTGACTTCCTTCTTGCTTGAATGTCGGTAACATCTCGCCGGGTTCTAGGCGCTCTTCTCGCCTGCGACTTTTGCAGGTAACGTTCCGCTTCCGTGACGATCGGTAATTTATTTGGATGCTGAAGCATGGTGAATAGGCACCGGAAGCGACGTTGTGATGGCCAGAGACCTTGCTCGACTTGTAGAGATTCTAATGCAGACTGTGTCTATAAAGAGTTGCCTTACGACAGGTATCACTTGGGAGATCAGGGTGAACCGGGATGGCGTGAGGAAAGCTAACGTAGAAATAGGATCGAGGACGCTAGTCCGACGGCCGTTGTTGACCGCCTGGCCAGAATCGAAGCTCTACTGGAACAGCAAAGTCAGCAACTTCATCACCTCAGCTCGAGCTCGACTCCGACATCTCTGCAGACGGCCCGGTCGGACTACTTCTCCACGCCTTCTTTCTCCCAACAGCAGGGTTATCTAGGGCCGCTTGCGACGGTTCCGTTAGAGTTTCCCAGCGACAGCATGCAGTTCCTCATACCTAAGGGCCACACAACACTCGCCAGCACCTTACTTTCCGTGCCCAAGGTCCGCGACCTCCTCGGAGAGTACCCCAGGGATTTCTTCCATAACGTCGAAGAACGCCTACCGCTGCCGGGCGTACTTAATGACCTGCATCAAACACCAGTCTCTTGGCCTACACTACGACCGGCTGCACTCGGCACCCTGATCCAAAGCTACTTTCGTAATGCACACCCGCATCATCCCCTCTTTACACCATCGGCTTTCAAAACATGGCAGACAAAGCTAAACGACAAGACGGCAGCAGAAGACATCGAGACCGCAATGAGTCTCTGTGTATGTGCTCTTGGGGCGATATCGTCCCACCCCGCCGAAGAAGAGAAGAATGATGAAGTACCCGGCCAGGATTTCTTCAACCCGGCGCTGCGAATCATACTTCATCACTACAACTGGAGTTTCAAACCAAATTTACGGGTTTGCCAGGCGCTCATACTGGCTTCGTCCTACTTTGCGCATTTGGGACGGCCTCTGCACTCGTGGAGAATGGGCTTCTATGCGTGTCAGAAGTTTTTGCACTATATGGAAGTGTAAGATGCCAGTTGTCTCTGGAAACGATAGACGAACTGACCGGTCATAGACGAAGACGCCAGTCCGATTTTGTCGAGTATAGTGATGCCGAGTTGCGTGTCTTTTGGTTGTGTTTCATGGTGGAATGGTCAGTTTATATCTGGCAATTCTCTGAAGAGGCATAGTCTGACTCGAAAACAGTAACAGAGCAGCCGAACTTGACACCCCAAGGAGTGGCATAGAACCCATGGGAGACAAGATGCCTCTACCACACAGACTTGACCCCAGCGATGAAGAGGATACCATCAACTTCGTCGCCGAGACAGCAATACGACGATTGCTCAACCGCATCCACAGCTCGCTGTACAGTCCTGAAAACTCCGACATGAGTTCTAGTGCGGCGACGCCGTCCGATTCGGCCGTGAAGTGGCAAGGCCTCAGTCTTCAGAAGTTGCTATCCCTCAGTTCAGAGCTCAATCGCCAGTTGGAACAGTAAGTAACTTTCTGTGGTCCGTTCTTTCGCATCCGTTCTTTCTTAGGGGTGATGAAGTTTATCAGAGGAGACTCTGCTCCGAAAACACAGCCGCAATCCTCCTCATATGAATGAAAAATGACTTTACTAACGCCGAATGCTACAAGGTGGTACACATCTATCCCCGACGGCATGCGACCTCCCAGGGAAACAGAGCCCATAGCCACTGACCGAGGTAAGCGGCCGAAATCCATAACTATACGCAGAGGTAGATTCACGGTTTGTTTGCCCATTCACAGGTCGAGTACTGAGGATTCGCTACTACGCCGCTCGCCACATCATCCACCGGCCCTTTGTACTACACGCCGTGGTCCAACAGCAACAGGTTCCGCAAGCGGCCGGGTCCCCAAGTGCAACCCCGCAAGACCTATGCACTGGACTACCGCAGGTGGTCATCGAAAAGTGCGAAATTTGCATCGACTCCTGCGTGACGTACCTGTACAACGCTGTCGAGATGCTGGACAAGAGGACACTGTATCTTTGGTCCTTCTCGCAGAGTTGCATGGCTTGCTTGATAGTCTTGATGATGGCGTGAGTTCCCACTTTCATAATTTGCTCTCTGCGAGGATACCCGATGCTAATTTCTAATGTCAACTTGCAGACAAGGCTGTGCTCCGCTACGCCAGTTCGTCCCTCCGATGAAGCCCTTGCAGAACATGGTACTCAACAAGTTGAGGAAATGGGCCGTGAAAGGGTCCAGCATTGAGGCTGAGGTGGTTATATTGGAACATCTCGTCTTTGATGACTCGCACTCATCGTAACCTGACATGGACGCTTACGGTAGAAGTTAGAGATACCCCATAATTCCACGGTGAAAACAACGCACGGTCTCAAGGAGTTGATGAAACACTCCATAATATCCATTACTCTGTTCACATTAAGCTTCATCTTGCAATGTGCCTAACCTAGATACGTCGCAACGCTGTTGAGGGTAGTACCCCTGGCGGTCAACCGTTCACTAAGCCGCCCGCACCAATCAGTTATCATTTTCGCAGTACTAGCTCCCAGCCGCGCAGTCTTGCAGTAGGCTACTCATCCCCAGACAACATGCATCTCTTGCAGCGCCAACCAAATCCTATCCAAATGTTATCAACTCAACGGTGCGTCGCAAGAACACACCAGGAACATTCTTGAATGTGAAGTAGAGAATTCCAGAAGTCTGACCAGACGCCATATGACGAAATCTGACCATGACTGCCACACGCATGCATAAGACCCTGAACACCCCCATCCTGAGGTTCCGAACTATTGTGTGGACGGCATATTGGTGGATGCTGAGAGATTACGTGATATCACTTCGGTTAACGTAGTCCACGGTCCAATTGCACACTTTGGCAGACCTTATACGACAATGTATAAGTTAATTCAACCACAACGCCTATCATGAATTGAAACTACTCAGAATCGTTATCTTCAGACGTCTCTACATCATTTCCACAAGTGCGCGCATTATGTCCGGGCTCGCCGCAGATTCTACAGCGCCGTGCACGCGCAATTCGCCGCCTCGTACGACCACCAATTTGACGAAATTCGTCATGTAACTGCCCATCAACCTCTCGTTGAGACTGTAGGTCCTGTCCAGCTTGTATACGAAGTGACCCTCCACTCTGTAGCTGTTTTTTCTTCGCACGGCGACGTCGACTTAAGGTCTCATTTGCCTTTCGAAGTCATTCGACCTCGCCTTCTAAAAGGGCAAGCCGATGCATAACCTTCGTTGTACCTCGCGCAATCTGATCTATTCCAGCAAAAATTGACGTTGGTGAGCTATTTTGATGTCGTACAATCCTATTTTTCACATAATCGGTTTGTGATTGGGCTTCGGTTGGGTTGTTCGGAGTCTTTGATTCTCAAGGGATGGGGAGACCAGCCGAGCTACCCGGAGGTGTTGGCGTATGTAATTTCACATCGAGCTGTGATATGACATAATCTGCATCGTACGGAACTATTCCTACCCCTCGGAAACCTCCTTGGATATTTGAAACCGTGAAAGTTGCGTTGTACGCGTTTAAAAACGCCGGTAAAAAGTCTTCTTTCGAGATATGACCTATATGTGCTCGCATGAGATCTTCGATTTCTTTTCCGTACGCTCTTTTTGACCCGCAAAAACAACCAACATCAAGAGGCTGGAGCTTATGCGACGAATGAGGAGGCATACCAAGCGTGACGATATCGTTAGCTTTGCAATATACCTCGAAATCGGTCGAGTGATGGCTTTCGTGACCGTCGAGGATCAATAGGCGATGAGTACCTTTCGTACGAGACTTGGTGTGATGATCGAAGTGTTTTATCCAATCTTCGCCTCTCTCGTTCGTAGTCCAGCCATTTTTAGTAACTGCGATAACCCAACCAGGCGGTAATGGGCTGTTTTCGTACCATGACGAGAGGTGGGTTTTGCCGGCGAAAATGATGTACGGAGGGAGGGCATAACCGGACGACCCAACGCCTTGAATAACTGTAACCCATTCCCGATTTACTTTCTGGGCTTCTCTAGGCCTTCCGCGCCGATCAGAAGTCGTCACGACCATTTCGGACGAGATTTGGCCCATCACAAAACCGGTCTCGTCGAAGTTGTAGATATCCTCCTCCTGGATCGCGTATTTCGCAATTGTATTCCGTACCAGGTCAAATCACGCGCGATACGCGTCGGGGTCTTCGCAGAGGACTCTCTGATAGTCGATCCTTCGATTTAAACGCGCCCGGAGGTCTGGTTGTCGTCTTACGAAGCTCGAGGCTCAGTTGACGCCGACGCGTCCCGCGTCGCGACTTCGAAGTAATTGGTTGGCCATATCTTCAACACCACTCAATCGGGGAGGGAATTCTCGCGAATCTAGGTCGGTTATATGTCGTACGATTGCCTCTTCTTCGGAAGGAGTCAACTTTTGCGTTGGCGATCACGTAATCGCTCGAGCGGTTTTACCGTCGCGTCGATACGCAAGGGTTCTAAAAGGTACGTTATAGATCTGACCAGCGCGACGTACACTTAATTTTGGATCAGATTGAAGCGCATGTAATGCTAGAATCATATCACTTTCATTCCAAGAACCAACCATAGTTATGTGGTGAAAAACCGCAGGTCAAAGTGGTAGCGTACGAAAATCTGCCGAAGTGTGCAATTGGACCGTGGACTACGTTACTGGTACTCCAATGAGTGCCGTGAGATTCCATTCCATTGTCCGCCTGCCTCCAACAGAGGCCGAGGTTCCGGCCGTCGATGCCTTATCGACTCGACAAACTCAAGCACGCCTCGTCCGCTGTATCCGTACAGGACATATCGGAGATGGCGAACCCACGATTCTTCCTTTAACTCCAGGCAACATCGGTTTCATTTTTGCCACGATCAGGTTGCAACAACCATTTTCACTATTGCGGTGTAATGTAACCCAAGCACGAATCACTTTCGCCGTCTTGCCCCTATCTTGCCTTTATTTCATATTCACGTCAGCGACTTTGCAGGCGGCGGCGGGTTACTGCTCGATATTGCCCGGTGTTATAGACGGATATCACCAACAAGCAAAAAAGGCAACGGCAAGACACGCGGCCATGGTTGGATTAACACGCTGAATGGCGAATAATTGTATCTGCCGACGAGTGCCTTCGAGGGAGGCAAACATGACTACCCGTCATGATTACAATCATCTCAAATATATATCTTAATACTAACGACACCGAAACCTCGCGCTAGGCCTCAGAATCTATCTATGGCACCAGCTGAGAAAATTTGAAAAGGATTAAGCTTGGGGGCCTGCGGCTGGATTCCTGCACACATGATACGCAAGTAGATCTACACCTAGTACGCCTTGATCACCATAAATCGCCCAGTGCCATTGCCTCACACGGGGAGAAAGTAGACATCAAGCAGATGATGCCAGCCGCTCATTGTAGAAATGGGACACTATGACTTGTTTTTATGCGACATGTCCGTAAACGATTAGTTTGTGTGCGCAGGTGTATGGAGCTATGTTTACTCTCTATTACTTTCTGAAGGCGGATACTAGGCAGGGGCAAAGGAGGCCAAAAAGTATGTTCGGCTTGACTTGCTCGGTAGATATTAAGACGGATGCCATGATTGCTCGTCCAAGCGGTCAAAGGCCAAATTTTGGCCTCAATCAGCCTTGGACAAAGCTCTCCAAACGAGGGAGCTTGGAGCCAGGCCAATTGGGTTGTAGCAAAGTCCAGTTGATCTCCGTGGTATCTCTATTGCTTGCGTACTTTCTTCTTCTGCCTTGTTGGTGCCTCGTCTACATCGTGATTTCGTTTCTTGCGACTCTCTTCGAGCAGCTGCTTCATTGCTGGCGTAGGCTTGAATTTTGGATCTGAAGCATCGATCGCGAACTCGTGGCTTTCAAAGATGGCCTTGAATCGATCGACGTCCCCGTCGCCAATACGGAACCCTTCTTGTAAACCTCCACGGTCGTCCCCATCCTTCTGCTTCTTCTTGATGTGCTTGGCCTTCTTGGACTTCTTCTTTTCTGCCCGAGTAATTTCGTTCATGTCGAAATGACCCAGGCGCCCAGCGGCTTGCTCCATATCATCGCCCATGACCCGTTGCAACTGGGCTTTCTGCGCAGCACTTTCGGCAGCCTCGGCCTCCTTCTGCTGCCTTCGTTTTATGCGTTCCTCTTTCCTCTGGTTGTTTTTACTAGCCTTCACGGGCTCATCTGTGGTGAAGAACGGATCGTCAAACCCAAGATCAAGCCCCTCATCTGACGCCTTTGGCTCCTCTTCGGCAGCTGAATCGACCTCAATACCTTCTCTCTTGGCCAAGGCCTTTTCTTTTTTCAAGGCCTTTCTTTCCCGTTCTTTGCGCTTGTACTTCTCAATGGTGGTCTCCTCCACCTCAGTCAGTTTCTTCGCCTTTTGATTGCCACCTAAATCGTCGACGGTGAATGTCATCTCCTTCTCCCCAAGACCTTCAGCCTTTGAGGAGCTGGCAGATGAATCGGGACCCAGACCAAGTGCCTCGCGCATCTTTTGACGAGAAAGCTCCTTTTTGGACAGCTTAGGCTGATCTGCCAAATCATCCTCTGCTTCTTGAGCATCATCCTCACTGTCACTAGCTAGATAAGCACGTAAATCATTGGCTTGAAGCTCAGTGCGACTTCCCGAGAACGCCTTTTCGATGTCCTTCCGTCGTGATGCTTCCTCAGGATGCATATCCCACGTCAGCTTCACTTTGGAGTGTTGCAAGGCATCGGTAACGAATTCGTTCGGTTTGTAACCCGAGGGTATACTATCGCACTCATCACGCGGTTGATCATCGAAGGTCACGTCGTCCGGTACAAATCGAAGGTCGAGAAAATTAGAGGTGGTTTGATACTCGGTGCCATCAGTTGCCTCGTATATCTTCTGTGCCGTATGCGTGTCCGAGCAGCTCATGACTGCATAAAAGTAACGTAATCTGTCGAGTTGGTAGGATCTTAAAGCGTCGCTGTCGAAATCTTGGTCATCCCCCTCTGCGATCAGGTCCTTCTTTATGTTGGCTTCTTCATCCTCTTCGTCCTCCTCGTCATCGTCTTCACTGTCGTCTTCGGAATCGTGCTCAGGCTCTTCGTCAGACAGGGCACCCTTCTTGAAAATCTCCTTGGGAGGGCCCTCGAGTTCTTCTCGTTGCATCCGTTCTTCCAGTTCAAGTTAGTCGTGTCCCCGTGTCGCTCCATGTGCTTGTGGTACCTTACCTTTTCCGAACTCGCTAGGGTATATGCTGATACGTTCAATTTTCCCTCCTTTGGGTACAAAGCTAGCGAAGAGAGCCATCAAGTCTATCGCCCTGATATGGTCCCAATCTAGGTTGACAATAGCGATCCGTTTTGTAACCTCGCCGGTTTCCACATCCGACTGTTCTTGGGGAAGTTTCTGCAAGCTTATAGAAGCTTTCGCCTCTGTCCTCCCTTCTTCTTCATCCTCTTCCGCTTCAACCTCCGGCTCGGACTCAGAATCAGAGGAGGAAAAACCACCTCCCCTTGCGGGATCATAAGAAGCATCGGCCTTCTGCAACTCACAAGCAGCCACATCGTCTTCTTCTTCTTCTTCGTAAAGGTTCTTCAATGCCTTCTTCTTATGATCCGCCTTTAGTTTGCGTCCGTACTGGTCGACCTTTGCCGTTTGGATGAACTCGTCGTCCTTCAGCATGCGAGAAAACCGGCGGTCGATCTTCGTCTTGGTAGAGCTCTTCGATGGAAGTCTGAAGCGGGGGTCCGACTCGAAAGAGGCAAATCGCGCATCGCTGGACTGGGCCGAAGTCGACCCAGTCTTCTTGAGGGCGCTCTTCTTGGGCATTTTTGTTGAGGTGCCGTTCTTGCCGTGACAACTCTTTCGCAGGATTATGGATCTCGGAACTTCGTGAGCTCTCACTGATCGATACTCCAAATAAAATTTCCGCCCATTGCGATGATAAGAAAGTTTATCGGCACGTGATACTGGCGGGGTCCAGACGACTTGGGACTCCACCATTGAGGGGTCGCAGCAACAGTGCAGCGGTGAACACGACCCATTGGCCTTGAAATCAACCTTGTTGGTTCGAGCTCAACTTGTCATATCCATCATCGTATACACATGGAAGCTATTTCAAAGATTTACAACAGTATCAGCCAATGTTGGGCGTCAGGATCAGATACATAACCGTCATTCCGCTGTTCGCCCAGCCGTCCGACTCGTTCGAAGCTCACCACGAGCACATTGAGTAACGATTCTGTTCGGTACTCAGTGTCTGAGGCGTAACTCAAGATGCGGTGGATTCGAATCCTTGAGGACGCGTTGATGGAGCTGTATACGTCACTGGTGAGGGGTAGCTCCGTTTCAGACGTCAGATGTCAGTCTTGCGGCTTGCAGCTTGCAATTAGTTTATCTGAGCACGACTAGCCGAAGCATGTTATGTCCACGGTAGTTATGAAGTAGATACTGCAACTGTAGCTTCAAGTTGTGAGTTGGACCAGGCACCCAAAATGGGTTGAGCTGGCCATGGCCTATCAAACCCGCTATTTGATCAATTTTATGTAATCCTCACACACCCTTCGCTTCTGTTGTAGCTGTACAACAGTCTGAACTCTCCATTCCCCGTGGCAATTGGTCCATTTCATCCCAATCTCGGCCCGTAGTGCAATAGCCTAGCCCAAGGAGATGATGCATGCCAAGAGCTCCATGCCGAAGTTGTTTCATAAGTTGCATGTCAGGCAAATCAAGGTCCATTCCATAATAAGACCCCATTCTTATAATTCTCCAGACTATCCTGGCCCAGTGTGCCCAAACCGAAATCTGTAAACATCTTTTTACCCAGAACTTCTGAATCACTCCAGTTGTTCTTCCGTGACAGCTTTTCTCAGATATTTAACGGTGACACATTGAGCGCAGAATCTACAAAATCCCTTGCTTACTGTCTTGACCCCTCCGTTTTTGACCCTTTTGACCCCACCGCAACCGTCAAGATGGATGAACTTTTGCACAAGCTACAGGACAAAGTTGAAGAGAGCATCCAGGAAGTCTTCGGCATTAAAGAAGAGAAGCACTCTCACAATTCTGAACAGGCTTCCACTGAGGAACAGGCTTCCACTGAGGAACAGCACCAGGCCACCAGCAGCAACACAAACCGATTCCTGTCGTTCGCTGCTCCCAGCACCGGTGCTGTCAAGTGGTATGTTGATGGAGCCTCATATTTCCACGCTGTCTCCATCGCTCTCGAAGGTAAGCGCCGCTCCGTCTTGGATTTTCAGTTGGGCATGCCCTGACAACAGTGTGTAGAGGCGCAAGAGAGCATTTACATTCTTGACTGGTGGCTGAGCCCCGAGCTCTATCTTCGTAGACCACCATCTCGCAATGAGCAGTACCGCGTCGACAACATGCTCAAAGCTGCGGCCGAGCGTGGTGTCAAGGTCCACATCATCGTCTACAAGGAGGTCACCCAAGCTTTGACCCGTAAGTTTCCCTCATGCTCCATGCTACGGAATTGCTACAAGTAACGGTTAAGCTAACTGGTGTCTCAGTGGATTCGGCGGTATGTCATGAGTTGTATCACTTAGCATTCCTGGAGACTAACAACTGTATCAGCATACCAAACACGCGTTAGAGGCTCTGCATCCCAATATCAATGTGTTCCGACACCCGGACCACACACCAAACGTCAATGACGCCAAAGCAGATCTCGAGTCCAGCTTTGGCGACCTGTCGATTGCGCGTCTGAACGCTTTCAGCCTGTCAAAGGTGTCTGGGGATGCTCTCAAAGCGCTATACGGATCTTCTGACGACATGGTGCTCTACTGGGCTCATCACGAGAAGTTATGTCTGATCGATCGTAAGCTCGCTTTCATGGGTGGGTTGGATATGTGCTTTGGACGTTGGGACACCAACAGCCACCCTATTGCTGATGCCCATCCTGGCAACCTGGACGATATTATTTTCCCTGGCCAGGACTACAACAATGCTCGTATCTACGACTTTGAGGGCGTGGACAAGTGGGACCATAATCAGCTCGACCGCACCAAGAGCTCCCGGATGGGTTGGTCTGACATATCGATTTCGCTTCACGGACCCATCGTGAATAGTCTCATCGATCACTTCTCCGACCGGTGGAACTACATCTTCGACCAGAAGTATAATACGAAGAACCCTGGAAAGTTCGAGAAGATAGCATCGAGCAGTGGAGCCAAACTGACACCAGAACGCGACGGCCGCTTGGCGGGAGACTTCCAAAGCCGCCTCAACCGAGGTGTGCGGAGGTTCATGGCCGCAGAAGGGGAGGAGGGCGGCCAGTACGAGGCCGGACAGTCGCAGGGCGGTAATGCCTCGATCCAGTTATGCAGGAGCTGCACCAAGTGGTCTGCTGGCCACCCGACAGAGCACTCCATCGCTAATGCTTATGTCGATGCAATCTCCAAGGCCGAACATTTCGTCTACATTGAGAACCAATTTTTCATCACCGCCACTTCGGATGAACAGAAACCGGTGGAGAACAAGATCGGTCGTGCCATCGTCGACCGTATCAGCCGTGCACACCACTCGAACGAGGAATTCCGCGTCATTGTGCTCATGCCCGCGGTACCTGCCTTCGCCGGCGACCTGCATAGTGACGGTGCACTTGGAACCCGAGCCATTATGGAATTCCAATACAACAGTATCAACCGTGGAGGTCACAGCATCATGGAGGCCCTCCAACAGGAGGGCGTTGATGACCCTCGACGCTACATTACCTTTTACAACCTGCGTAACTACGATCGCATCAACACCTCGTCGACCATGGGTCGCGTTGAGCGGGAGAGCGGAGTGGACTATGAGGACGCTAGGCGCGAGCATGATGACATGGTTGAGCGTTCCGACGCCTACGAGGGTGGTCGTGGCGGCCAATACGACCGTTACCAGCGAGCCACCGAAGAAGCTCCTGACTTGACTTGGGACAGCATCTCCAGCTGCTACATGGACGGCGGCCCCGACTTGAACCGTGTGCCCTGGCAAGGCAGTGAAGAGTCCGAGATGGACGCCTTTGTCTCGGAGGAGTTGTACATCCACTCCAAGGTGCTCATCGCCGACGATCGACTGGTCATCTGCGGCTCCGCCAACCTAAACGACCGTTCCCAGCTCGGCAACCACGACTCGGAGATCGCCGTCGTCATTGAGGATCCCGAGCCAATTGAGAGCAGCATGAACGGGCGACCTTTCACCGCCTCCAAGTTCGCAACATCGTTGCGCCGCCAGCTGTATCGCAAGCACCTAGGACTTCTACCCCACCAGCGTCCCGATCACCCGACTGCCAACTGGACGCCCATTACCCGCGATCCCCAGGAGTACGACTGGGATTCTGCTGCCGACAGGCTCGTGGCCGATCCTATGAGCCGCGAGTTTTGGGATCTGTGGACAAGTACCGCCCGCACCAACACCGAAGTCTTCTCCAAGGTGTTCCACCCCGTCCCCAACGACTGCGTCAGGACCTGGCAACAGTACGAAGACTTCTTCAGCCGCAACTTCATCATCCCCGGCGTCGAGTACAAGGACGAGGAGAAGGAAGGCAAGGTCGAGTACGGTCACGTCGTCAAGGACGAGTTTCCGGGCGGTGTGCAAGAGGTTAAAGAGTGGCTTGGTCGCGTCCGCGGCACCCTCGTTGAGATGCCCCTTGATTTCTTGATCGAGGTCAAGGATTTGGCTAAGGAAGGATTGAGTTTGAACCACTTCACTGACGAGATCTACACCTAGTTGTCTAGCCTGACAGAGGACGGGGATCTGGATATGAGACTTCACGGGGCTGGACAAATGTTGACTGTATATAGGCTCAGCATATCACGGAGGCTTCTCTGGCTTGTAGTTTCACATAGCCAAGCAATATTATCTTGTTCCCAATGCTCCCCCGCTATTCATAATGATGTTCATCCCCGCGTGTCTGCCCTACTCCACTATCAAAAGGCTTCAAACCGGCTGCAGCTGACAACATAGGGCAAGTGTTGCCGCCCAGTCCTCAGACAACGAAGCAGCCGGTCGGTTACTGTTCATGCGCTCTCGCCTGGCCCAGTCAGACCTGTGCTTATGAAATGAAAGGGAACAAAGAAGACAGAAATAAAGTACAAAAATGTAGGCGAACATAGAGGTCTTAGTATGGCGAAGTAAAAGGGGCAAAGAAGACATAGAATATTATATTTTTTGTAAAAGCAAAAGTTTGGATCGGGCTCGACAGCCCGATCCTAGGAAAACCTATACATTTACTGCGCTACATGTTCTGCAGAAACGCCCCAGCACGTATAGCTGACTAAATCGTACTTAACTACTAGGGATTTAATGCGTTTTTAGAATCTACAAGACCTACATCTCGTCACCCACCCCATACATGTCTAAATCATGTCCATTTACTTCTATCCAATAGCGGCCATGAAACACCTTGCTTCTCGAACGTGTGCTCTCTTCAGAGTTGTACAAAGAAGTTTGCATGTATATGAAGCAAGTAGTGATATTAGCACCGTCAACTGAGGGACCTACTCAACAGCCAGACTTGGCCATCGCAGATGCGAGCTTCGAAAATATCACGAACAAAGAGGAGAACCCTCGTTTAGTATATGTGTATAAATAACATCGCAATTCACTACCTATGCGGATGTAGAATGAAGACAGAGTCCTCTAGAGCAAATTATGACGCTATCCTACCGTCAATTCCCCTCGACGGTCCATAAACATGTTCCCGATTTCCGTTTTCGTAGCCGATCGAGAGGTTTCGCAGATGGCGTAGTTGAGTCGATCTAGAAGATGAGTGACGCAGCAAGAGGGAAATCAACACAAATCAGGCTACCTGACACCAAGGAAAATGATATCGACTTTTTGCTCCCCTGACTTTACCCGCACGTGACCCAGAAATTGAAAGAGGTCAGGAATACTTATCACTCCGCAACGTCCAGATCATCGTGCTGTGGAGGGGGGCTGTCGATTACTGTGGGGGTTGGCGTCAGCAAGGGGAGCAATACAAGTGCCGACGGTATTGACCACTCACCTTTTCGGTCGTCGCCATTCGTGCCGTTCTCACGTCGGTCTCTGTCGTCACGTTCGTCCTTGGTGTCACGGTCACTAGTACCGAGTTTAGCGGATGGGGAAGGTGAGTTGATTGTTGAGGGGTGCGTACCGAGGATCTGGGCTTCTCGAGCGGTCTCGGGTGTCGCGTCGATCTCTGTCGTAGTCACGGTCTCGGTCACGGCGATCATCCTTTCTAGGGGAGTAGTCACGCGTGCTTCTTCTAGGAGACGGCGACCGACCACGACGGGGTGATCGAGGGCCGCGGCGCGTCTCACGCTCGCGGTCACGGCCAGAGTCGAAGCGCCACGAGGCAGAGGGAGGAGTGCGAGCCCACTAGATTCAAGTCAGCTTGAATGTTCAAGTTCTAGACGGTGCGCACGATACATACCTCGATCTTTAGGAGATCGTCACGACCGATGCGCTTGTTGTGCATCTCATGGTAGGCATCGTCAGCATCGCGTCGATCCTCGTACTCAACGAAGGCGAACCTGCCGAAACGGCATCAGTATTCATTTGGTGTAAGAGCTGGCCAGACTAGACTCACAGTCTGCTGCTTGCGCTGCGAGGGGCGGGAATGTCGCATCGGACAAGGCGACCATAGCTGTATAGTATCCGAAGTCAGCAATCAAACCCGCAGATCAACTTTCCATATTCGCATCGGGTGCGTCGATTCGAGATGCCGCCACGGTTGGCGGGCGCATGCGATGCAGGTAGATATGTCGTCCGACCGACCGCTCGATCGAAGGAGGACAAGTGTCAAGATAGACATGGAGGACGAGGATGGATTAGAAGGGCGAAGGTAAGGAGACGGAGACGACTCGAGGCCTCGATGACCCGACGATGGACGGAACGAAGGGCTCGATTAGGAGGACGAGGGAGGCAGGCAGAATCATAGATCCAGCATCGCAGCCGAAGGACGGTCGATCGAAACACCGACGGGCGAGAATACTCAGTTGACATACCGTTCGAATTCGTAGGCGAGGTCGCGAGCGCGAGTGCCGTGGCTGAAGCCCGTCACGTAAAGCGTGGTGCCGCCTCGAGACATGATGAGCTGCTGCTTGCTGTGGTGAAAAGTTAGGTGCAACGATGGATGACTAGGGTCTCCTCCTGACCAGAGGATTATGGGGGAAGGGAACAAATGATAGATGATCGCAGCCTTGGGTGTAGACTTTGATCAAGAGGATGGCGTTGCGTTGAGGTAAAATAAGATGCAATTTTGCGTGAGGTTGGCTCTGGGAAAGCAAATCAAGGGAAGGCTGCGATGGTCCGTGCCTTGTCTTCATAAAATTGGGGCCCCCCACAGTGACGTGTGGCGACCGTAGTGAATTGATTTGGCGGCAACAAGTTGATGGGAATGTGATTCAAAACGAAGTCCAACTTGAGAGGAAAGCGAATGAAAGCAGCAGAGAATTCGTTTACGGCTGAAGCAGCCCGCAAAATCACTGTTTGGACATGAGCAACGCTTTGTTCACTGGAGACATGCGAGTTTGAAGTCATTGGGTAATAGCACTGCTTGCCAAGTACGAAGTAAACGCAGTGAAGGGGTCACAACCAGTATAGCCAATATTATGAGAGCTTTCTCCATGCTACCAGGTGATAGAGTTATTCGTTATCGGTAGTCATCTCATTGCCATCTGGAATCTTACGTATCTTCCATAGCCGCTCTGAAGTCTCGGGTATGAAGCCAAACATGCGTGATAAGATATCAGTTCCTAGCTGTAACCGAGGTTATAGGTGCATCTTTTCAGTGTTTGGTTTTGATCCAGAACCACCGATGAGTGTATTATTGTTCAGTAAGTTCCGGCGATGCTGCCCAAAGATGCGAGATGAACCTCTTTTATTTTGCGATTTCATTGGTCGCCTATCTCTCTATAACATGTTTCTAGTTTTGTTTCCCTAGATTCCTGTCCCGCGAGGATTAGTCGCAATTGTTAAAGAGATGATACGAGTGGAGATCGGCCTGTCTGTTGTTTGTAAGAAACGGTTTCGAAATATGTATACAGGGCTCATCCAGTACCGATCCAGAGACGCACTATAGGTCGGACATCATGATTTGACCTTGAGCATATCTAGATTCAGTTTGAATGCCCTTGCTCACGAGGCAAAAGGCTGGACTCGCACATCATGTAGTGACCAAGGGGCCAGGAACTTCGAGGTACATCTATGCATTGTGTATCTTCGGGTATCTCCAGCTTGCTCTAAATGTTTATGCCTGCGTCCAAACTTGTGTCCATGAAGAACTTCCCTCGCCTCGCCCTTGTGATTACACCTCCCTCGGCGGTTTTCCCTCGGCGGTTTTCCCAGCGTACCAAACCCAGCCGCGACCAAAGAGAAAAGTGTCACGGCTTTTACCCTAGCGTACCAAACCAAACAGAAACGAAGAATCAGTATCGCAGATGACGCCATAGCAATCTCTCTGGTACAAACATAATAATACACTATCCATGCCTCCGATGCAATCATTTCATCGCTTTCATGGTCACATCCCATCCTGTCCGAGTCACCTCGTCAGGAGCAAGACGTTCAAATGGTGGCATTACGCTAATACCCACCATGTCGCCTTGCTCGCCCACTGCCAATGTCAATGCGACTCATCTCCTCCATTAAAGCCCAATCCTCACCGTCGCCCCTGTTCATCCCCGGGGACGCCCCTAGGCCCCCGCTCATCAATGGAACCTTGGCCGGTATTGGGGGGCCGCTCATGCCGCTACGAGAAGCGCCTGGACTACCTCCGTAGTCATGATTATTCTCGTAGTCAAATGTGCTGGCTCGAACGAGGGCACGGGGTGGCGTGCTGTTTCGTTGGCGACTGGTCGCTGGTCCCAATGGGCTCGACCCTGCAGATACTGGAGCTGGCAGAGCTGACACGCGATGTGCCTTCTTCTGTAGCCGATTCCGGCCGGAGCTTGGAGGTGGCGATGGTTCTACCTCGTGGTTTATGTAGCTCGGCGGCGGGACTGCCGCCATCGACTGCGGCCTTGCCGCAATACGCAGCTGCCGCCTACCTGACGGTGGCATTGGCTGCGCTCCTGCTGGTGTGGGCCTTAACGGCTCTGGCTTCTGTTTAGGTTCTCTCGGCTCTGGTTCAGGCGCCCAAGTGTCCATTGGCAAGTGGTCGGAAGGGTCTACCTCCCGTCCGTCAGGGGTGACTATCTTGCCGTAGGCGTTCGTGTATTCGTTTGATTTGGAGGATTGTTTTGCAGATGAAATAGAGGGGTTCAGTTCATCGTACGAGTCAGGCCCAAAGGGGACACCAGATAGCCGCCTACCTTCTTCTCGCGGAGGCGGAGCCGGACTGACCGACTTTCGCTTTATGGTGTGGTTTGGATTGGGGCTGGTGGAGGGTCCCCGTGAGTTCCCAGCAGCCGGTGGGCCTGATGGGGTATTCGTTCCACTTGCGTATGCCCCAGGGCTGCCGCCATAGTTCCTTGAATGACTGGGATAATACCCGTGAGACGAAGATTGAGCTCCATAGTTGTTTGGTGGTTCGCTGTATTGCCTGCCTCTGGTTGGTGTAGTCGATTGAGGGGCAGGCTGTGTATACCTTCGCTCTTGTCGCCTGTCCTCGTGGAACCGAGTCGAAATTTCCATGGAGAGCGCTGGATCAACACCGGGAACCAGAGTAGCTGGAACTGGCGGCGCGTAGTTACGGGGAACCAGAGCCTGCGAGTTATCCATCTCACTGGTATCGGCCCCATAGGGATCAACCTGTCCCGTGTACGCGTTAGAGTACGAGTGGCTGGAGCCACCACGGGGGTAGTCCCTCGCAGCAATCATGGCGGTCGAAGACGAGTTACCAAAGTCGCTGGGATTCCCCCGGTCATAGTCCCTCGTAGCCACCATCGCGGTCGAAGGTGAGGTCCCGAAGTCGTTGGTATTTCCCCGGGCATAGTCCCTCGCCGCAACCATCGATGTAGACGTCGTAGCACCAAAATCAATGGAATTCCCCCGGCTATAATCCCTGGCGACACCGGATGAGACCGAGGTGCCGAAATCATTCGAGTTCCCATGGGCATAGTCTCTTGCACCATTGGGCGACGTCGACATCCCGTAATCAATTGAGTTGCCGCGCAGCGGCTCCCTTGCAGCCACGGGTGACGTCGAAATGGCGTACTCATTGGACCCATATGGCCTCTGCGTCTGTACAGTTGGCAGTGTGTACTGCGAGGCCGCAACACTTCCGCGTCCGCTCAAGTTCAGTGGCGCGGGACTGGCTCCCTGACTGAAATGCAACTCGTCCTCCATCTCTTGGCGAGAATTGCTGCGCCTGGACCGTGCATTTGGTGGTGTCCATGACTCTGGGACGTCCTCTACAGTTGGTTGCAAAGACCGTGGTGGGGTCTCCAGAGGAGAATCATGCAAGTGATGTTGTCTCACGACCACTTGGTCATTATGTGGCGAATCTCTGGGCACATCAGGCACCGAGTCGTAGGGTCGATATGTAGGACGCCCGGGATAATTCGATGAACTCGAGGGAGATGGCACTGACGAAATTGAGTATCGATGAGCTTCACTCCGCAAGACATCATGTCTCATTGGCATAGACGGATTGGCTTTGTGGGGGGACGTATCAAGGCTACCGCGATGCACCAACTCCTGGGAGCTGCCACTGTTGTTTCGTACTCTGTGGGCAGGTGGAGGTGGCGGGCGGTCATCATCTGGCATGATTTGTCGCTGCTGCAGAGCATGCGGCGAGGGCGATTCGAAAGTCAGCTGACCATGGTTGTAGGGGGTCCGGGACTCGGGCTCGTACGACTGAGGAAACGGTTCAGGATGATACTGGCGGTCGTCACCGTAGGTACTGAACTTTTCATTCGTGTCCAAGGACCGATGATGCTGTACATCTGGTCGGTGAGGAGGTGTCCTATACTGAGTGCCGTGATCAGGGGCCGGAGAGTAATGCTCAGGCTGATTGTATCGGGCAGGAGGTGGAGTGTTGTACTCGACGGCCTGTAGCGGAGATTGATTGGGGATGAAATTTGCTGCTGCTGCTGCTGCTGGACGCGACTGTGGCTTGGACGGAGTCTGTACTTGCTCAGGCGCGGGTGCGGTCTTAGGTGGAGGAGCACCAGCATGTTCAGTCCCAGGGTTGCTGGGCAAAGGCCGTCGCTTCACCGGGCTCCGTCCATTCTGCGATCCACTTGACCCATCAGCCTCGGCAACGGAAGCCACAGGTTTCGGTTTGGCCACGGGCTTTTCTGGTTTCGGCCGGCTGTCGTAGAACGTAACCTCAATCCGGACCTCGCCTGCATATTTGCCTTTGAAGTTCAGGGTCTGCCATTGATCGTTTTGACCTCCTCCTGGCACGATGACATCGCGTAAGTCTACCCAGGTTTCGCCGATGAGATCCGTCTTCTTGTCGTCATTGAAGATAGAAATCTTCAGCTGATAATAGTCCGGAGAGTCATGAACTGTGAATCGAAGCTCTTGGTCCCTGCACCGCGAACAAAGAAGTCAGACAAGGGCACTGTCCAGGGGTCGGGCAGGTGTGGATTCTTACCATTTGGGAGTTTGACCACCGCGAATATCTGTTGTCGTCTTCTTTGCTTCTTTCCCGAGTCTTGCTGCACAATACGGGTCTTGTTTGCCAATTGTCTTCCTGTTGGGTAGGTTCTTCGCACGATCCGCGATCAGAACCAAGGTACCAATTTCTGGACCATCGGCGCTCATGTCCGAGAAGATGCCCGCCGTGTGCATCCCGTTCAATGGGTTGGACATCTTTGTTTTGGCGGCCATCCTTTGCGGATCACCACAAGACCATCTGACCCTAACGCCGGCGACAACTTGGAGCACTGTCGGGTTGTCGGAGAAATGAAATGCGACGATTGTTGTTATTGTTGACGTCGACCGTTGTGGGAACCCGGCTTCAGCTCACTAGGCGGTGGAGCCGTGATCCAATGTTTTGTTGATATTTACGTCGATCCAGCTAGCTTCCCGCGCACCAAAGCTGGAATATTTGGAATGACGATGATCAGTGAAGAAGTGTTGCAAATGACATGCAATTAAGAAAAATGAGAGGCAACTGCACTTCAACCAGTGCTAGATATCTAGGCAAATGCGCTGGATTGCGACAGACGAGAAGCAGAATGATTTGCAAGTTGGCAATTGGCGACTAGAATCTACTGCAATTGGGGGCCCGGATGCATGTGTACGAAGTTGCCGGTGGCTGGAGGAATCAGCTTTGGAAGTAACGAGGTTGGGGTGGTGGGTTGTTCGCAGGGATTGCCCCTCATGTGGGCTAGCCGGGCCTTGTTTAGCGGGGAAACCGCATGAGGCACCAATGAAAGCTCGGTAAGCGGGCTTTAGATCTGCTCGCTTGTTCCCTCCTGGCTAATTCTGCCCACAAGTCTGGAGCTATCTCTGTTTCGCGTTCCCTTCTGGGCTGAGATTATGAGTCGCTACGACTATTCGGAGTAGGAGTGGGACGTTGATGTCGGTAATTGTACGTGTGACGCCGACGATTAGATGAAATTCTTTCATCGCGTCTTCAATAGTCGACCGTCAACCTCGTTTCGAAACCCGCTCTAATGCTCGATTAATCGGGTGCCTGACGCGTCCCATTGAGGCGCAATGCCAGGAACGGCGTACCAATGACGTTCGGTTTGAGTGTGTTAACAGAAAACGCAATTCTGGGAAACTTGTCCAGCAAAACAAGAATTGCGCCATACAATGGGGAAAGCCCCGTAATTGATCGGAGATGTGTCTCGTCGATGTGGACTATTCTTGCAGGAAATACTCTGCATCTTCCACCCTTGCTCTGAGGCTGCAAGTGTCATAGGTCGCAGCGAGGAGCTGTCGAGGTATTCGTACTAGTAGGCTGATCGGCACCCGTCTTCCCCAGTATTCCGGATGCATACGAAGTACGCGGCGTCTGAAGTCGAAGCTTGGTCCACGTCAGCTCAGATTGGAGAATCGCATGAAGTATGTTTCAGAGTCAGCTCGCGGTTGAAGGCATAGCTGCTTTTTGAATCGCAGAATTCTTCCCCGGCTTGGACACAATCCCTTGCACGAAGTTTCCTCGAGTTCGATTGCTAGTGTTTACTGCGGATCCAGGATCACACATGCTCCACTGAAAATGCCATAGGGTCGCGATTGGACTAAAACCACTCTAGGCTGTTTATTCTCTCAGCGGAATGACTATTGAGGTTTTCCTAAAAGTATGCACGTTACAATTCCAATTGGGCGTAAGATTCTACCTATTTGCAGGAACTTCCGAGACGAGATGAAACAATTCGTATAGAGGTGACAGAATTATTCAAACGCAAACTACATTATCAACACAAGACTATGGAGAAGTTAATGTGATAGGTGTAATGGGTCGGTCGAATGCTTACCGACTTGATAGTTTCACTGCATAACAATTAAAATCTTGCTTTATTGAAAATAATCTACAAGATCACAACTTTGAAGTTGGTTTCATAATAGAATTAGGTAAACATTTTATTTCGCGCCTAATATAGTGTGATGTAAAACGTTGGAGCTGTGAGTCACAAGTATCTATTTCAGCTTAACCACACATCATTACATGTCATCGAGGCGCTCTTTGGCATTCTGCTTAGCCTCCTCCGATACATTAGGATTATTCATGGTGCTGGAAAGTGTCAACTTCTGAAAGTGCAGCATAGTCAGTAATGTACTCACGCCTTAAGTCCACCAGCAACATTATTTGGGTTTTTCTCCTCATTATCCCCAGCCTTGGGAACTTCATCCAAATTAGTTACAGTTGCATAAAGATGTGTAAGAGACGTACCATCTCCACCATTGAACTCCTGGTCAAGCACTTCCTTGGAGTGCTGCTTGCTCTCTTCCGAAGAATTGGGGTTCTTCAGGTTAGCCTTGTGGCCACCAGCAACTTGAGCATCGGTAGGCATTTTGATGTTTAATTCACGAATGTGTGATACAAAGATGAATGTTACTACTGCGTTGTTGTTAGGTCGGGAGGAGGGTTGATCATTGAGGAACATCGTTGACTACGCTGGAATCATGCCAGTCTTTATAGGAATTATTTCTGGGCTATACAGGCAGAAAAATCTCATGTCTAGTCCCTTTTTGTCAGCTGAAGAAGCACCAATCTACTCACCATATCCCAGATTCTCTTGGCAATGACGATTTCTGGGCTAAGTCATCTATCACTGTGCCACTCTGAAGGCAGAAACCTGCGACTTGTCGTCGTTTGACACTAGTGTGTATCTGCGAACAAAGAACCTTGCGAATGGGGTCGACGGTTGCTACACGGCCAGGTACCTGGTTAGCTGGCAGAATTGCAAAGTCATGACGTCTGTGAAGTTGAAGTTTGATTTTACCCCTGGGCTGGCACCGGACACACAGATAAGGTGAACTAGGGGGCCCGGAGAGGTCCCTCCGTGGTGCAGATCAAATCCGGGGAAATCCCACGTGCATAAGACTTCCACCTAATTCTTGAGTTCAGCCTCATGACATGGGCTACATCTGACGACGCAAGATCAATGACGAGCACAGTATGTAGAGCATACAAGCTGGAATTGTAAATTCCACATCTTTACCCTGAAATGGGAAGTGTAATCTGTGCTGCGTCTTTGGCCAGATAGGTATCAATAAGGCACTCATCTCCACAGGGGACTTGGCTAATGGCATCCTACTCTGTCAACGAATAATGAGGTTTCCTTCCGACACTTCTGACCTGTGAATACCCAGAAAAACAGCAAGCCTGGTCGGTAGAGTGGCAACAAATGGCAATATGCTCAAATATGTGTTCGCGTTTGCAGACCACTTGGTCCGCCGATGGGGCGCTCGGCATCTAGACTATGTCGTGCTCTTTGAACCTAAATTTTGGCATCATAAGATATCGGAATTAGGTGTTTCCCTATATTCTACTTGAGGGGCTTCCCGAGGAGCGCTAGTCCTGATGGAATCGAAAATGCCATTTCGGGAAGACCGCTTCCTGCGATTACCTGGTGTTTTCAAATGTCAATGATGTAAGTCCAGAAGCACGGACAAGCACTTGCACTTTGGGGATGGTCTTGAACTAGAGAAAGAGCATCAAGGAATGCAACTGACATACCACCATTTAGGTTGTTCACGTTTGCAGAGGACAGTGTCGTTCAACTTATGATGCGTCCGCTCGAGACATCGTTGATGACCAAACGGATTTGGAACCCAATTGGATTGTAACTTGCCTTTCGTGTGTCTCTGGGCTTCATTACGTTGCAGTTTTACGATAAATTCAAGAGATGATGGTGCAAAGACCAAGAGTAGTCATGTTGAGCCGCGTAAGTGTTAGCGCATCCAGACAAGCAGCGGCCAAATAAATGCGGCGCCGCAAGTAACTCCAGCCACTTGAGGCTGAGCATTGAGATCTGGCAGCGGCTTGGAACGACGACAATTCAAATCAACATCACTCCATGTCGTCGGATATAACATGGAACCTGTTGCGAAAATGTCCACCACAACGCCTTCTCCAGATACTGATCCGCAACCGCCAGCCGTCAACTATGTAATTGGATTCCTGCTGGTCGGGATAGCCTGGGGACTCACCACCCCGTTCATCCGCCGGGCCGCCAAAACCCATAACCCAGCACCGCATCCGATCATGGACAGACCAGATGTGAAAAACAACTGGTCCAAAAACAAGTTGTTTGGTGCCTTCTTTTCCGTCATGGACCTATTGAAGAACCCGAGATACGCGATACCGCTTTTGATCAATCTCACGGGGAGCATCTGGTTCTTCCTTCTCATTGGAAAAGCTGGTGAGTTGACTCCATCGAGATGGATGCGTCGGGTTTCGCTAAAATGAATTGTAGAACTGAGCTTGACGGTCCCGATTGTCAATACTTTAGCTTTTCTCTTCACTGTACTCGGCGATTGGTGGGTCGAGAAGAAAGTTATTAGCAGAGGTACAGTAACTTCGAAATTCGCATACCTAATGACCTGACTAAGTTGGCTGCAGATACTTGGATTGGAATGGTCCTGTCGATCTGTGGGATCGGTTTATGTGTTCATAGCAAGACAGGCTAATATTGTTACCTTCATGGTATCCTACAAAACATGACCACCTCTGAACAGGGTACACGTTATATAGACATTCCTGTGCAGTTTAGGAGCATTGCAAAAGTTCAGTTTCCATAAAATCCATCATGGTGATAATAACGGACCTCAAGTTTTCAACAGGACCACTTACAGGGCCAGCTTTTACAGACAATTTACAAGCAAGTGACGCATGGTGGACATGACATGTTCTGTTGCCAAACGATCGGAGCCATAGCTCGGGGCTTAGTGTGATGTCTCGTACTCTGGCCACGAGTTCTTCTGTCCGGGAGCCCGCTATGATCTTCCGCACTGTGACTGAGTTTAGACTTGGGTCCATGAGCTCTTCACAACAGATGAAGCGTGTCGTTCACTAAGACTCCCTGGGGTGGCGGCAAACCGGTATTTTTCTCTTCTCCGCCATGGACAACATCGAAGCGTATTCCTCGAGGAACTGATCGAGTGAGGAATCGAAATCTGTGTCTTTGGTCAGCTTTGATTCCGTCAACAGTTCTTCGGGATGCATACCCTTCGTTATGAGTGTCACATGTTTGACGCTTAAGTTCTTTCTGTGCTGTAACTTGCCGCTGCGACGAGATACAAGGTCTTGCTTTTCGCCCCTTCTCTGATGATTCTGATGAGTTCCGGATCCACCTCCATCTTTTCCCAAGGCTCGATTCTTGCAGCTGCAATAGCTCATCCGGCTTTGGCGAGAGCGACTTGACTTGTCTACATGCTTTGCTGATGATGATGCAATCTCAGTAGGTTGGTTTGAATGGCGGTTTTCCCGTGCTTACATGATCGGGCCGGAAGCTCGCCCGACTCGGTATCGAATCCGTCTTCTCTACAATATCTGGATAGGGGTTGCCGGAAGCGATGCCATCTGACGGTTTCATGGTCGTAGACGCAGCGCCAATTACTGAGGGATTACAGGCCATCCTGCAAGAGTCATCGGCATTTTTATGTGGATAAGATGAGTAGTTCTGTTCAAAGAGTGTAGTGTTGGCTGGTATTGGCATGCTTGATGTAGTTGAAGAAATCTCAACTCTGTGTACGACAATGGGTCGTAGATTATACCGGATTAGAGAACACGAAAATACTAAGACTTCGTTAGCGACAAAATTAGGGCGCAGACAACCATGAATAGAGAGCTATGGCAGTTTCTGTGACTTCATGGCTTTCCTGTAGAGTCGGTCCCGCGTTGCTGGGGAGAGGGAGGATGTCGAAGTTAGGGCAGGGCATGGGGTGCCAGGAACTCTGGATGATAAGACATATTCTGTTTGTCTCGAAAACATCAAGTTATCTGGTGCTCTACTGATCTTCTGTACCTGAACGTGTAGCCGAATTGGTTTATAAATTACCCGAGAGATTCCGAGTACTTGGGAGTGGATCAAAGGGGACGCAGCTTGATAATATGGATTTGGCGAACTATTAGCCCCATGGAAAGTGGTACAAACACCATTTCTATATACGCCTGGGACCTTTGATAGTTAAGACACAGGCAAAAATAGAAGCGATTCGGTACCTCCATTCTATCGCATAAGATAGCAGGGACCACATTGCTTTGGGTTTGGGGGTACTCAGACAAGGGAACCTGGTACTTCGTGCTCTTCCCATCTGAGCACTAAAAACGTAGGCTAGAGTCATCGATATATTGTCTTTTTCTCCATTAGATTGTTATCAATCCATATCTCATACGCCGGGTCTCATTGGAGTATGTCTACTGTTTGCTTGAGGCGTTGCTATTGCCGTACTACCTAGTACAAGCACCCTTTACCATGGCTTAAAAATGGGCTTGCCTCAGTCACTTTGTTTAACTATTCCCTCTCGCACTCCACTCACTCCATGTTGTTGCGGCCCAATTGCCACCAATAGCCTGGGCGTGACAAGGACACATGTCATATTATTCTTTCATATCTAGCTGCCTCCGAAGCCCTATTCATACGACCAACTGCATGACTAGTCTTTGAGGTTGATATAGAGAAAGGACTGCAATAAATTATGCTGGTGGGAGAAATATAATAAGAGAACCAGAGTTATACAAACCCAAAATCCAGTCACTGAAGCTATGTCGTAATATCAGAAGGTGTAAGCAACTAGCCAATCAGCATAGCCCTCCCTTCAAATCGAGGATATGTTTAATATATCCTTGACTCACATGCCTAGCTAGGGATTCTGTAGATCCTGCAGGGTCGGTTGTGAAGGGGCTGGGATTATTGTGTATCCCTTTTCGGTCCTTGGGTCATGGACTACAGGTAGATAAAATGTGCAATAATTGGCAATGGCCGATTGTCTCAAACTTCCCGTCATCTCATCATGAACTTGATGGTTAGCTCATCTCAGAACACGGGCTCTTGGCCCTAAATCGGATGGGCGGTCCGAACCGCTTTGACGTAAAAAGTGTCCGACGCATGTTTGCATTCCTGTTGAAGAACCATGGGTCGTACATACGAGTTTGTGACCCAGTCCGGTGTACACAGCTGTGGGCTGACCGAGCGCGGTGTGTAACACGGAAAAGGGTATGCTTGCGGTGCAGAGATCCCGATGATGTAACATGGACATTCTCTACAACCAACACGAACCTGACACGATTTGAGTTACCCAGATGTCGTGAGTCGGTAGGTTAAAGTTAAGTTGAATGAAGAGTTGCAAACGTTCAGTATCTCCTCCGCGCCGGCCCGTGTTATCGGGTGAATAGCAAACTCAAAATTGAGGGTGCCGGCAAGCCGGAGGCGGCGTATAACTTAAAGCGGGTCCAAGTAAGCCGAAAGTAGGATTCCGATCATCCCATCAAAGCCCCTTAATATACCGCTATGCTCTTGTTGATTCCGCATTGCGAATGGATCAGCGCATTAGATTCATTTAGGCAGAGAATAACTTGGCGCGCCTATGTTTCACCAATACAACCAATGGCGCTTCCCTCAGCTACCCGGCACAGGGATGGCATTGGCATTTCTTTAGCCAGAATGATGCAACCTCGTGGAGTTTGCTCCACCGGATGTAAACACTTTTCGCCAACAATGTGGAATGTCACGGGCAGTAAGCAACGTTGGACGCCGTATTGGCAGCCGCCAAATAGAATCTATGCGCAGATCAAGATACAACAGGGAACTATGTAAATAAGTAGTCCATGGTTTCCTCTCCTTTGTTCATGTATTAGACGCCACACCCAGCTTTCAACGTACCTTGTGTAAATACTACAATCCGGATTTTCAATCTATGAATACTTAATTTTGACTCATAAATATTGCCGAGATGCGTATCACTTCCGTCTTCGCGGTCCTGGCGGCCGCCGTCTCGGCCAGTCCTTTCCCGATGATGATGACCATCGAGGCCACCGATGACTATTCGTGGGACATCATAAACTGGGATTCAGGCTGTACTGGCAGCGGTTGCTTCTACAGTAAGCTCGAGCATCAGACCAAACCACGTTCAACTGCTAACACCATGTTGTTAGGCTTCAACATCACCGGCGAGGCTTCCACCGTTTCACGACCTCCGAAGCCAGCGTTCTTCGCAAACTGTGCTGGTGAAATCGAAGGCGCACCATACCGACTGTGCACCCTCTACGATGACAGCACAGTAGCCCGCCGGGTTGCTGCCAAGCTCCTCCCTGTCAACAGCACGGGAACTGGAGCCCATATTCAAGTCAGCTACCAATATGTTGACTTGGCGACGCCAACAACTTTTTGGAATTTCACGGGGAAGGCCAACACAGTCTATAATCAGTTTACGGGCCCTTGTCTCAACTTCACCATCACTCCCGACACGATTTGGGGCGTTGCATAAATGGCTATATCGTCGAGGAACCGTTGAGTAGGATGTGAGGTGTAAAGACGTAATTGTGAATACTTGGGACCGTTATCTGCACGGATTTGGACACTTGTACGACGGACGAAAACCTCTTTTGTCGAAAAATTGAAGTTGAGTTACCAAAATGGAAGGGTCAAAGTGGCCCATGAGATCAACTGACGGAAGATATTGGGATGATAAATGTACAGTTATCGCCGTGGAGGCAAGAGGACTTTAGGTTAAAGGTGTTTTTCGATTGGGATGAAGCCCAATGTATTGAGCGTCTGATCTTGGTCATCTGAAGCTTGTCCTACGTACCGTGTAATCAAACATGAAGACTGTAACAATATTCCAAAAGGCCAGGAAACACGAATGAGACTTATATTTAATTTGTCTTTCCCCGTGAAGTCAGATATTCACTTCCGATCTTAAGCTTCGAGGCAGTTGTGTCTTACATGCAGTCAATGTCCATATCTCGATGCTGGCCCAATCTTGGCTTGACAACAAGGAAGACAGAAATGTCTTGACGAGGCATAATACTGCGATTCGCTTTACGGCTCTCAGGTAATCGAACTGCTCTTGGTGCCCAAGATGAGATCGGCAGATGCTAAAATCGTCATGTCGCAATAAATAATTGAATAGAGGCTGCCTGGAGGCCTTACGCGTATTGTGGCTGGTGACTGGGTGCAGGGATAATCTGAGGTCAAATTGGGCTTGGGCCAGGGCTCATAGGGTCTAGCTTGGCCTTGGCAGTTACCTGCGTCATACAGCTGCTCCTGATCGCTCTTTCTCTCCCAAGCGCCCCGCCAACATTCTGGTTGTTGAAGATTATTTTGTACCTCCAACGAGGCAAACACCACGAGGCTCATCAGCACAACGAACGAAACGCTCGTTGTTACCTGAATCGCCCAGCCCAGACTTACGTCTTCCCTTCAACATTTCCCGAAGGCAACAACTTCACTTCGATTTGAATGACTGCGAGGAGCATTCGTGTAACGAACCCGCGCCGAGCAGATCGCCTCTTGCAATTCTACCAAGCCTTTCTCATCAGCCAATTCTAATTCCGCCATCATGAATGTGTTAAAGCTTCAGAGGTAAGTCGCAATCATGGTTGAATCATGGCGTCAAAGATCTGACAACGGTGGGCAATGGGCAGAAAATTTCCCCAGTTCCAGCAGGGCGACATATTCGCGCTGACCGACGCCTTCCGGAAGCTCGACGTCGACGACAAGGGTTATATCGAGGAGGCCACGGCCATCAAAGCGACGCAGCAGAGCGAACGCCAGCCATACGATGTCGTCAGACAGGCGTTGAAGGAAGTCGAGCTTGATTCTTCGCGACGAGTCGAGCTTGAGGATTATGTTGGGGTGTGTAGTACAATGTTGTCACCGACTTGTGCTCGGGTTAGCTCGGTGCTATATGCTAACGTGTTGTCCTAGCTCGTTGCCAAACTTCGCGACTCGTCTCCCGCGCAAAAGCGCATGAATACTGGCGGCGCTGCGCCGTCATCTCCAGCTGGTATTGTGTCGCAAAGAACAGGAGGCGGGCATGTCTCCAAAGGGAGTATTGGCAAGATCCATGTTCAAGGATCCAATGCCAATATCACCCACACAATCAATGAAGATGAGCGGACCGAGTTCACACGACACATCAATGCCGTTCTGGCCGGCGACCCGGATATTGGCGCCCGGTTGCCATTCCCCACTGACACGTTCGAGATGTTCGACGAGTGTAAAGATGGTCTCGTCCTTGCCAAGCTCATCAACGACAGTGTTCCGGACACCATCGATGAGCGTGTCATGAACGTTCCAGGGAGGAAGATCAAGAAGCTAAACGCCTTCCATATGACGGAGAACAACAACATCGTTATCGAGTCCGCCAAGGGTATTGGATGCTCCGTGGTGAACATTGGCAGCGGTGATATTATCGAGGTGAGAGAACACTTGATTCTCGGTCTGATTTGGCAAATTATCCGGAGAGGTCTCTTGGGCAAGATCGATATTAAGCTACACCCGGAGTTGTACCGACTTCTGGAAGAGGATGAGACGCTTGAGCAGTTCTTGCGCCTGCCTCCGGAGCAGATCCTGCTGCGGTGGTTCAACTACCATCTCAAAGCCGCCAACTGGCCACGCCGAGTTAACAACTTCTCCACCGACGTGAAAGACGGAGAGAACTACGCGGTGCTGCTGGCCCAAATCGGTCACGAGTATGGCTGCAGTCGAGCCCCCTTGCAGACCCGTGACTTACTGCAAAGAGCAGAACTAGTGTTGCAGGATGCTGAAAAGCTCGAATGCCGCAAGTTCTTAACCCCTACTTCCCTCGTTGCTGGAAACCCCAAGCTCAACCTTGCTTTCGTCGCCAACTTGTTCAATACTCATCCATGCCTGGATCCCATCACTGAGGAAGAGAAACTGGAGGTTGAGGATTTCGACGCCGAGGGAGAGAGGGAAGCCCGAGTCTTCACCTTGTGGCTCAATAGTCTCGATGTCCAACCCGCCGTCCAGTCATTCTTCGACGATCTGTGTGATGGTACCATTCTGCTGCAGGCCTACGACAAAGTCATCAAGGGCTCTGTTAACTGGCGACACGTTAACAAGCGCCCGGCTCATGGGGGCGAGGTGATGCGATTCAAGGCAGTCGAGAACACGAACTACGTTATCGAACTGGGAAAACAGAATGGCTTTTCGCTCGTAGGCATTCAGGGCGCCGACATCACGGATGGGCAGAAGACTCTTACGCTGGGTCTCGTATGGCAGCTCATGAGGAAGGACATCACCTTGACTCTAGCGGCACTTGCACAACGCCTGGGAAAGCGGGAGATCACGGATTCCGAGATGGTGCGGTGGGCGAACGGCATGGTGAAGAAGGGTGGCCGTACGTCTACCATTCGATCGTTCAAAGATCCTGGCATTGCAACAGGTGTCTTTTTCCTGGATGTGCTTAACGGCATGAAGAGCAGCTATGTCGACTACGATCTGGTTGCAACTGGCCAGACCGAGGAGGAGGCGTACATGAACGCCAAGTTGAGTATCAGTATTGCCAGAAAGATGGGTGCGACTATCTGGCTGGTGCCCGAAGACATTTGCCAAGTACGCAGCAGACTGGTGACCACTTTCATTGGTAAGAATGATTCCCCCAAAGACCCGAATTTACGGAACCCTTTCGTACTAACAATGGCTGCTAGGCTCCTTGATGGCAACCCATGAGAAGATGCAGTAGACTGTTGTTGATGGATTCCCTTGTCGTTTTGGAGATGGCGGCCCAGAATAACTGGAAAAGTCTTCGGTTTCTCGTGTACGCAGTTCTGAATTTGTACCGTCTTCAAATTATTGTTGGGCTGCCCACGGCTCTTAGATGCAGCCTGCAATTGATTCATTGTTATTGACAACCAACTTGGTACACTAACTAGAGTGCCGTGTAACTCTGGCAATTTGATGCACACCTCGCGCCAGTACTTGAGTCGGGTTGACTATAAATATATGCCAAGCCGCAGCAGCGAAGTAGCGTGCCCCCACTAACGTAAGTTCATGTGATTGCCCCAACCAGGAGCTCCCCTGTTTATTGATGCAATATGGTTATGATTTTGGCCTGGCGAGGTAATGTGGGTAATTTTCCTCGGGGCTGCATTGAGTGGTATTTTTCTAGATCTGACATGCGTGATGTGATCTCAGCCCAGCTGTTCCGAGCTTGCCGTTGGTCTTCCAGGCACGGTCGGAGAGCGGCCAAGTTCGACGACATATAAAACAGAAGTACCGAATCACAGTGGTCCCATGCTACCCACCACGCCAAGGTGACGTCTAAATGGAGCCTTGCCGTGGAGCCCGAGCAGACAACCCATCGCCCATTTATATCTCGTAGGAATTGCTTCGAAATTGGGCCACGGCTACGATTCACTTTGTCGAGCCTTTTGTCGTATGACACAGAGTCTGGCGCAAAACCAATCTTTTCGCCGGCAAGGATGATTGCCGCCGGTTAAGCGAATCTAACGTTGCACGACGTTATTACCAGCTCTTTGAGAGAAGACACATAAGCTTCCTGCGATATCATTGACATCGTCCTTTCTCAGACTTATGAAAGAAGGAATCGGCTATGGAGGAGGCTACGATGTCCAACGCGCATGATTCAGCCTCAGCAGAAGCCCACAGGGCTAAGCAGACCGAAAGACGCGGGTCAAGGCATGCCGGAGCGCTGGCGGAAGCCATGGCGAACGCCAGCCGGAGTTTAGACCAAACGTCTGAAAGCACAAGCGGAGAAGATTACGACGATGAGCAGCGGCGGCGGCAACGAAGGCGACCGTCCGTGTCGGTGCGCCTATGCCGCGCGCCAAAGCAAGCTCACGTCTATGACAGCTCAGCCATAGACACGCCAGAGATCGTGCCAACGGATGGGGGCGCCAGCGCTGACTCGACCGACGCGGACTACATGCATCCTTTGGGCACATCCAGATCCGATTCTTCGGGTGAAAAGATCAAGAAGACGTATGTCATCGCTTCGGACGACACCGAGCTGAGGGAGATTTTGAAGCGGGGGCTAGAACGCGTACAGTCATCCTGCAATGAAAACCCCCGTTCTTGTATTAACGCGGAACCATAGGAAAAAGAGAAGAGACAGCCGTCTCGCGGTAGGGAAAAGCTTCGAGATATGGTTTTCACTCGGCAGTTTTCGACGTTCGACAGGCAGAACCAAGATGCGGCCAAGAGCCTGTTTCACGGCTTCTACGTGCTGTTTTGGATTTCGGTTTCATTTTCCATTGTCAAGATGGCGACTGACAATTGGAGGAAGACGGGGAGTCCACTGGGGACTAACGAGATTATGAAGTCGATGTTTCGGAGAGATGGTAAGTTCTTGAAGTCTGTGGTTATTTCCCACGCCGAGTTCCAGTGCCTTCTCATTTGTCAGGCTCTTGGATAATGATGCTGATTTGCCGTTAGTCGCTGTGCTATTTGCATCAGACGGTGTCATGTGTGGTATAACCGGCTTAGGCTGGATACTGCAGAGACTCGTACTTAAAGGCTGGATCCACTGGGGTAGGACGGGTTGGATTATACAAAATGTGGGCACGAAGACACTTCTCCGTACGAACCATGGGAGAGTTGACTAACGCAGTGCAATCAGATATGGCAAACAATCTTCATCGGCGGAGTCGTCGGCCTCACCTTGATAAGAGATTGGCCATGGACGCATACCGTATTTTTCGTGTTACACGGAATTGTCATGTTGATGAAGCAACACTCTTACGCATTCTACAACGGCTACCTCTCCACCGTCTTTAAAAAACACCAACAACTTCTGTCAAGGTTAAAGCAGCTGGATAATATCTCACCAGTCACTTCCCCCTCCACAACGAAGCCCCCCCCTTCGGATCTTTCCGTCTCTCATCTGTCCCATCGCCCCTCAGCCGCCGAGTACCGAGACCGCCGCCTGTCCGTCTCCAAAAACGTCAGCGACGGCGACTTGGAGCAAATCTCCCACGCCATTGACTCGGGGTCACCCCTCGACATGGACCAAGTCCAAGTCTTCGAACGCATCATCAAGTGGGAGATCGACGCCCTGACGGAAGAGCTGAAAGGCAAAGCCACGAATCCGACGCACTTCTACCCGCGCAACCTGACCTTTTTGAACCACTACGAGTACATCGTCTTGCCCACCGTGGTCTACGAGCTCGAGTACCCCCGCTCTGATAGTATCAACTGGCTGTATGTGGCCGAGAAGGGCACCGCAGCCCTTGGCGTCGTATTCGTAATGATCATGGTTTCCCAGAGTTTTATATACCCCGTTGTTATGCGAGCTGTCATGATGAAGGAAAATGGGTGGTCTACGGCCGCGCGGTTCAGGGAGTTTCCCTGGATTTTGAGCGATTTGGTGTTTCCATTTATGCTGGAGTATTTGGTAAGTCTTAGTCCAAAGAATCAGTCTAGGTTGATCATGGCTCGTGGTGGCTGACGATCATTATTATTCCTATAGCTTGCCTGGTACCTCATCTGGGAAACGGTCCTCAACTTCCTGGCAGAGCTTACGCGTTTCGCGGACCGAAGCTTTTACGATGCTTGGTGGAATTCCGGTAAGCTCCTCACTACCATCCCCGTTTCATTCCCTTCGAAGAATGCTTCTGCTCACTCAAATCCAGTATCCTGGGACCAATTCGCCCGCGACTGGAACCGCCCCGTGCACAACTTCCTGCTGCGGCACGTCTACCACAGCTCCATTTCGTCCATGCGCGTTAACAAGCACACGGCGACCCTCATCACGTTCTTTCTGTCCGCCTGTATCCACGAGCTCGTCATGTGGTGCATTTTCAAGAAGCTTCGCGGATACCTATTAATGCTGCAGATGTGCCAGCTTCCGCTCGTGAGGCTGAGTCGTACCAGGTGGCTCAAGAATCAGAAGACGTTGGGAAATATGATTTTCTGGGTGGGTATTTTCACGGGACCGAGTTTGTTGTGTAGTTTGTACTTGATTCTTTGAGTGTGGGGGCAAGGAAAAGAGGGTGGAATGGGACGGGCGGATATGGTTGGACATGGCGTTCGAACGGGCAGCTCATTACTCTGTGAGAAAAGAAAGGTAGTCTCATGACGGGAGAATACTCCGAGTTCAGGCTCATATCGTATGCAGTTTTGGCCCTGGGCCACAATGGCAATCCTAATTGATTGGAGCCACAGCATTATGCTCGAGCGTTATGGATGAGCGGAAACTGGAGGACTGGTAAAGTTGATACAACAGATTCATGTAAGTAAAACCTCGTCTCGCTGAGTTGGGGTCTTTCATCATCCATGACTGCTTCGCGTTCTCTATCCAAACCGTAGATACTCGCTTCAAAGCACTGAGTACTGCATGCCGGGACGCATGTTACAGCAACTGTAAGCGGTCTATATACGCAGGGGTTGCTCGAGGGTAGCGCCGCTCATAGGGGGAGGTGGGGAGCAGGAGTAGAGGACGCTCGAATAGCAAAAGCGGGTTATAGCATTAATCTTGAGCTCGCATTAGCTTCGATCGCTCGAAAGCTATTGCTCCGCCGAAGTTTTCTGAATACATTTGGTATCATGTGGCCCATAGTGCACATTCCGTTTTACCATCCCTAAGTCTCGAAAACGCCAGTGGTGAATGTAGACACCGGCTCCCAGTTTTCCTCTTTTGTCCAGAACGCCAAACGTGATGCAAACATGCAAATGGTCCAGTACATTTTTCCTCCTGATAGGATACATGCTTTCTCTTTCGAGCTATTCCATCCCCACCAATAGCCCAATCAACATGCCACCAGTTTGTGTGGCCATCTGGGCTCTTTCGACCTCCTGTCGAACTCTCCTATGCAATAACCGAAACCCTTCTTCCATCTCCTTGCTTCCGCCAGTGTATTCGGCGTAGAGATCCAAAAGATGCATCGCGACATCCACGCATATGTCCACGTAGCGGGGATCCACAATATGTTTTTGTATCCAGTTGAGCACGGGTTGTACAGTCTCTTCGTCCCGCCCTTCGAGGGCTTCACGCAGGGCAGATCGGTGTCGCAAGGCGATCAGGAGGGTCAGAACTGTTAGCGGAGTGTATTCTTTCGCCGAGGTATCGAGCACACGGTCCAGAGCAGAAACGAAGCGTCCACGCCGCAGATCTTGCTGCCACATCTTCTCTTTCTTCGATCTGTTTTTGCCAGCTGGGTTACCAGCAATCACAACATCCGCTCCCTCGCCAAGAATGTCTAGGCGGTTCGTGGCAGTGCCTAAGCGCTTGCGCTTGTTCTTCGCTTTGTCATGGGATGCAATGTTGCCTGCCAACAGAGCCGCCATCTCCTTCTCCCGCTCTCGTTCGCGTGTTGCTTCGGGGCCAGTCAGGCGGGTTCGAATGGAGAGCACCCCAGACTGCATGCCCACTGCCAGATGACGGTCATCACCATTTGCCCCTGAAGTAATGACACTCACGGCCAGAACTGGCGAAGGATACTTGACGCCAGCGACGACATTCCACCCTGTCGTCTCAAAGATTTTGACGTGACCATCGAGTCCGCCGGAGACCACCCTTTTGCCGCCTGAAGCCAGGGAAAGCGATGTGACGGTCTTTTGGTGGTTCGTAATGAGGTGCAGTGGTTTTGCGGCAACGAGATCGAGGACGGAGATTTGCGATTCGGAGGAAGCTAGGACTTGAGTGCCCGAGGGTAGTGGCAATACGGCCTCGATTGGGGCGGCATGCTTAAAGCTCATGACGGCGTTGCGTGGTGCACGCGGATCCCAGAGCTTGACCGTCGAATCATAACTACCCGATACCAGCATATTGGACATGGTGCCAGGCAGGAACGTGCCAGAGCGCACATAGTCCTGGTGACCGACGAAGGTGGTCGTGGAATGCTGGCTCGGCAGATCCCATAACCGCACCGTTTTGTCATCGCTGGTACTCATAAGAGTTGTGACGTCTGCGGGGGAGAACTTGGTTGTCCAAACGGGCTGCTTATGCTCGGTCCAAGTTTTGAGGATCGCGCGTGACTGGAGAATATCGAAGACCTGGATCTTGCCAGAATCGTCTCCAGCCACAAGAATCTTTCCATCTCGCCGTACGTCCCCGCTCCGGGCGATGTGGCCAAACCTCGTGATCGTCTTGACTAGTTTCCGCGTGCGTATCGAAAAGAGCTGTACCCTCGTACCCGTCGTTACCGCAAAGAGGTCATTGCTTGCGAAGCCTAAGCTACTTGGATTCACCGCGGGGAAGTTGATGTGGGTGATGAAAGCTTGGGTGGGCGAAGGAATGACGAGCTGGTTCTTGAAGGTTTTCCAATACCTCTGCTCGGCGGTAATGGGCGCTGGCCCAGAGGGCAGCTTCAATTGCGGTAAGGGGACAACTTCTGCCGCCATTGTTGTCTCCGTCGCTTGGCTGTGGTGACTTGGGAAAACGGGCAAACTGGAAAACTTCCACTCAAAAATTTCGTCGGTCAATTGGGACTTTGCTGCCGACGGCTCTACCTAGTCTAATTTGGGCTTAGCTCTAACGATAAGCTAGGCTGATAACACAATTGCATATGCTAGTGCAACAGGGAAGTACTTAGGTAACCTTGCATACAGTTGCAAGTAAAAGATGGGATTCACTAATCGCGCATTATCTACACTTTTCCAGCTGCGTGCCGTCTGCCGTCTGTTTCCTTCAATTGGCTTTGTAAAATAAAGGCGCTAACTTATAATAATTGCTTATTGATATCTGATTTTTTTTGGGTGGCCAACCACGGCGTACGATAGTTAGAAGAGACGGTAGTTAGTGGGACTATTGTCAGGTGGCTGCTAAGGACTCGGACAACTTCAGGGCCCCGATAGCATCGATCTTCTCCGGGGGCTTTATTGGTAGGTTGAGAACCAACGTAGTACGGCAGCGAACGCGAGGTAGTCGTCCATTAGAGCACGGTTTGACATACGGAAGTAGAGGTACCGGGGGCTTCGAGCCTATGGTGTATTTAATAAAAATAATAATATTTAATAATCTATTAAGGTAGTTCTATTCAAGCTTATTTGTCACGCCGTGCCAGGGGTTGCATGTAATGAAACCTCTAATAGTCTAGCTGCGTAAACCACTAAAGAGTCTGTAAGGGTTTGTGCTAGTAAGTAAGTCCTGCTGCGGAGTCCTCAAGCAATAATATCGGGGTTTGACGTATGGAGTATAGGGCTCTGGGTAACTGAAGTATTCAAGTAGGGTAACTGGGAATAGAGTCATCAAGGCAGTTTGCCTCACTAATGTGACGACTGACACATGGACGATAAGCAGGGACATCCTGACATGGCCTGCCCTGATCTGGACGAGCGCGTTCCCCTTATAATAGGAGAACGGCCAGACATACTTGTAACCCTTTCCTTCTCTTTCTTCCCTAGTTTAGTATTCAACAATAGAGATGCACTGATATGCAACCTTGATTCGTACCTATGTGCCTCTGCCTCGTTACAACCAATGGGTTAGATTGATGCTTAGATTGATCACTGAAGTAGAGACTGTCTATCTATGAAATGCCTGGGAGTCCTGTCCCTTATATATCCGTCTCTCCTTCACTGATCCACATATCCACCCCTGTAGGTCACGTGACCTGTCGGTCTTTTCCTTTCTCCGATGCGGGGTCCCGTGATCCTAGCGTCTGTATCCACCTGGCCTGCCAACGGGCCTATAATGTTGGTCTAGGGCCAACGGTTCGTAACATTGCAATCCTTGCCACTACGCCACCGTACCAGGTGTCTGTCACGACCTGGGTTGCATCGCATGGGTATAGACCTCGATTAGGTGCTATCGACCAAGATTCTACTCTAAGGAGCGAAGGAAAGAAGATGACAACTTAGGTTTGAGGGAGCGCGACTAAGTCATCCACGCTTGGCGGGGCTCCTACAAGGGTTATGATTGGCTTCCCACCTGGCACTGCCATGGCAGGTGTTCCAGCTGTACGTCACCTGGTTGTAGTGAGTCTGCGAGGGTTGACCTTCACAGTGTCTTCACCAAAAGAGACCAATACCAAAGTCCCTGACCTTGGTATCTGCAACTACTTATCAATCTGTTCAGACCAGTGTGGGTCAATCACGTGACAACCGTCACATTATTAAGGCTTAGTCGATCACTCCTACCTCTAAGGTACTTTTGTTAATCTAAGTATGACGACGAGGCTCTCGATCTTTCTTTCTATTACTCTTCCGGACAGCTAATCTTGTCAAGGATCCTATTCCAGCTCTATTATTTTCACCTTAAACCTGCGGTCATCCATTGCCGTCGTTGGTAAATAGCTTTAGTTATAGCTAGCTTTTAGAAGTTTCCTATTAAGGTTGTACGTAGGCTGCTCTAAGACAGCTAATGTTGAATTTTAGGTGTGGATACACCAGGATTTCAACCTGTAGCCTATCCGCCGATACTGTGTTAGAAACGTGCTAGTTACTTACAGCCAGAAGCTCCGTAATTTTAAAGTTATTAAAAGTTCCTATAAAGTGGGCTTATAAGCACAGCCGGCTAAATTGGCAGCTACCGTAATAGGCCGAATAATACGCGAATCATGATTACTGTAATGCGCGAGTAGTGAATCCCGAAAGGATACATAGGCAATTCAATACTTGCAGTTGATCATGTTCAATGGAAGTCCCGGGATAAGTAGTTCGAAAGATATGACGCAAGTCTATCGTGGTTTTCATGATAAATGTGCTTTGTGTTTTCTGATCTCTGCACACTTGTGCTGGGGGTCTGTAGTGTTGTGAGACCCGAGATCCAGTTGCATGTGCCTCGGTTGAATCCATCCTCCCAGGTTGGGGGCTTTCCCAAACCACTTCACTTCAAAATGTACCTAGTAAACTGACACACTGATTCTTCCACTTCTTCTGAGAACCGCGTTTTCTTCCTTGCATCTTGCACCTCAACCCGTCTTAGAGTATTCATGAATTTTCTTAGACAATAAACTCAAATTTTGACACCCTTTGCAATGTCTCAATTACACGAGTATTCCGACTTCAAGCACTTCCTCGTCTCGTCTCCATCCGAATATGTGGCACATGTCGAGATCAACCGGCCAGCCAAACTGAACGCTTTCTTCGAGGACATGTGGGTTGAGCTGGGCAAGGTCTTCGACAAACTTTCCTGCGACCCTAATGTGCGGGCGGTGGTTCTCTCCGGGGCTGGAGACCGCGCGTTCACTGCTGGCCTCGACGTGAAAGCCGCCAGTGAGGGCTCAATTGTGAGCGCATCGGCAGGTGACGGCGCCAGGACGGCTACCCAGATGCGAAGGGGTGTTTTTGAGTTCCAGGAGTGCATAACCAGAGTTGAAAAATGTGAAAAGCGTAAGCTGAAACTCAACCCGTCACATGCATTATTCCTTTGTTGACCAACCTTTTATTAGCTGTGATATGCGTGCTACATGGCATCTCTTATGGGCTCGCTATTGACGTGTCCAGCTGTGCTGATGTCAGGATTTGCTCCAAAGACACCAAGTTGTCGGTGAAAGAGGTCGACATCGGTCTTGCTGCAGACATCGGCACCCTGAGCAGGTTGCCCAAGGTGGTTGGCAGTTTCTCCTGGGTGAAAGATGTCTGCATGTCTGCCCGGATATTCGGTGCTGACGAGGCTCTGGCTGTTGGTTTCGTGAGCCAAGTTCATGAGAGCAAGGCAAAGTCTATAGAAGCTGCTGTCAACCTTGCGACGCTCCTTTCCTCCAAGAGCCCGGTCGCTGTTCAGGGCACAAAGGAATTGCTTAATCATGCCAGAGAAAACACTGTCGCTGATAGTAAGTTCCATACTCTTACGTATTGATATCTCCCTGTGGGGCTGACTTTTGGCTTAAGGTCTCCGGTACACCGCCATATGGAACTCGGCCATGCTCCAGTCAAATGATCTCAAGGCTGCCTTCATGTCAAGCTTCCAGAAGACGAGACCAACCTTCGCGAAGCTCTGAGGCAAGGGTTGTTGGTGGGGTGGTTCAGGAATATTTCCGGGAGAACTAGCGTGGAATCCACAGACGTCGTTTACTATGTCCGGGCCGCGTTTACCCATCTCTTAGCTTGATCCGGCCTATGTAACCCCTGCGCAGGAAAGTTAGGTGCTCGCAATTTTCTGGTGTTCGTAGAAACGAGAAAACCTGAAGTTGTCCAAGGCAAATCGTATGTTGACCTATCTATTTTGAAAATATACGTCTTGTCCGAACAAGATTGGAAGCCGTGTAACTCATGTGGCGAGTTAGACACTAGAGTTCAAAGTATTTGGAATACAGGAGTCCTGCTGGCCAGCTTCACAGCAGCGACTACCGAACACCTTGGCCACATAGCTTGACTCCAATAAACATTTTTCGTTCGTTTGGGCCAACTCCTAGCCGCCAAGCTGTAAGTTCGACCAACCACTCTGCATAGTTGTTCCCGGCGTGTCTCTCATGTTCGTCTCCGACAGCTATCCCGTGCCAGATACAGGATTACAGCTACTTGTGTCTCCTTAGTTGCGATACTCTCCTGTCCTGTTGAAGTGGCAAGTCATGTAGAATGTGCTTGGCGCTACCAGCCCTTCTTGTCCTGCTTGACATCGCGATCCGAATCCGAGTCTCTATCGATCTCCGGAATGGTCTCCTTGAGATGCTGTCCCACCTTTGTGAGCATCACGCGCTTGGGGCCCAATGGTCGAGTTAGACTTACGTCGTCGAGCCTTCGCTTCAGGTCCTGCACCTTGCTCTCCTGGACAACCAGGTGGGAGTCGTCAAGATCCTCGATAACGTATGCGTTGGCCTCGCTCTCGTTGATGTTCATGATGATGGACTTAATCGAGGGATCGCACTCGATGAGCACGCCTATAATTTCTTTTGGCATGATTCCCACAACAAAGAGGATGGGAGATCATCATACCTCGAATGGCGCGCGGCATCTTGCGCAGAGCGTATTGTTTACTATCACTTGGCTGAAGCCGATGGATGGCAATGTGCTGCAGAGTCAGGCTGAGGCTGGAATGCTGTATGTAGATTATCTTGAAGATCGACGCATCTCAACTCAAAACTACGTACCGTCGACCAAGGAGTATGATCCGCGATACGCGAGTCAAGGCCTAAAACGTTTCCTGTGGGAAGGGGCGTGGGGCGTGGGGCGCGGGGGACCTGGGCCTTCGAATGGGAAAATCAAGCTTGTTAGAGCTAGGGCCACATAGTTCCCGGACTGCCGAACAAGCTTGAGCTCCCAAGACCCCTGCACCCGTTGGAAGACGTTATCGCCGTCAACTCATTGGTCTTGCACGTCACCCGAGTATACCTGATCACATTGCCATGACCATCTGGCGTTAGAAGAATCATCTGCTCCTTTTATTCGTACCTTGATATTCCTGCCGCAATTGTAGTCCACTGCAGACTATTGTCAGTCGGTAACATCTAAACACCAGCCTCGTTACAGGTGCCGACCCTGATCCACCTGTAAAATGAGATGCCGTTGTACACTCGGACCAAGCTAAACAAGATTAGATGAATTGACGTTGACGCAAACATCAACGTCATCTAGACTTTTTGACGAGGTACGCAGTTCAGATCTAGCCCACTGTTTCAGCCTCTTCCTCTGTAATTGTTTCCAGTATGTTCTGTATATGTACTCGTATGCCTGCTAGAAGAACCTTTCCCTCCTACCGTAGGGTTGCAATCGAAAAAGTCGCGTGGTCGGTCTCGTCCTAATCTTGAATGCTACACCCAGCATCACCCCGCAAAAGATTTCTGATGAGCTCCGAGAGTCGAGCTTTTTTTGCCACGGAAAGACACGACTCAAAGTTACATTGATACCTTCACAGCTTGCCAAATCGTACACGCCACCTCGTCTTCCAGGAAAGATCTCCGTTGGATCATACCATTCTCACCACCTAGGGCTTCAGAGTCCAGTATTACCACATATTCCATTTCTTCTTCCAAAAGTATCATCTGCGCACACCAAAAATGTCGTCACCACTTGAATCAGGAGACATGGATAGGTCGGCGTGGAATTCGCATCCGTTTAGGTGGATTCTGGTGCCAATTCTCATCCTTCTCGTGGCTGCCGCCATCATAACATGCTTGCGATACAAAAGACGAATGCAATACCGCGGGTACGGCATAAATGCAAGCGAAAGGGATCTGGAAGGTCAGGGACAGAATCGTCGGCCGAACTCTCGGTGGCAATGGGCTGGAGCGGATGCTCCTCAGGGGGCGGGTAGGAGAAGACCAGGCTTTGGCTTCGGTTTGGCCAATCGTGAAGAAGGCCTGAATGAGCTGGGCGAGGCACCGCCTGCTTACACACCGAGCCATAAGAGGGCGAATACCGAGGAGGATGTTGAGCTGGAGGATGTGACAAGACCGACTCCACAATCATCTTTGTCACAGTCGAATTTGCAAACCTTACCGGAAGCGAGACCTGACGTGGCTAGTCCACCAGGATACGACGAGGCTTCCCAACCTCCTTGGCCAGCATCACCTCCAGCTGCGGCTGTTGGACAGCACTAATGGCAGACGCATCTCACTCAAACAGTCCTTGTACCAACGGCCCGCCTCACCACCTGGGCATTTCCTCCAATACACGAGGGTGCGGTGCCACATAGAGTCAGGAAGACCTCCCTTCTTAGCCAAGAAGAGTGCACGAGAAGGAATGAGCACAGAAGGTTATCCTCGAAACATGAGACAGTTTGCAGGATTAAGTCAGTTGTTTGATCAAGCTAGGGGCACGTCTGATGGTCGGAAGCCTTTCTCCCTATCACAAGCGGGGACTCGAGTGGCAGGATACTTGGAGAATAGGTCACACAAATGGCAGACTACAAATGGTATACTACGACAAGTGTAATACCGAGAACAAGAATTGCCTGGCGTCGGCATTGTTACACATTTACATGGCGTAAGGGGGGCCCTATATACCTACATAGGTATTCATCCACTTTTTAAGTTCTATGTGCTTTCTTCCCCATACCACCCACAGGACATACTGTTGGTTCTAAAGTTTGGCTGCGATCGCGGGAGGCTTGTTTACGCCACCTCATTTACTTCGTCCATAACGTCGCCGTTAATTTATCCACCGCACCCACAGCGGCCACATCTCATATATATCTGGTCACATAGTATACGGTGGTATATTTATTCCAATGAGCTGTGCGGGTTCTGCCTAAAACTTGAGGCTTAAGTAGAGGCGATAATCCAGCTATCTAATGAACTAAACCTATGTATGACTCTATAAAGAATCGGTAGGTTATCTCTAAGAGATGGTCTCCATTTGCTGGGTCTCGAAGGAATCGCGCGGGTATGATTGAGCTCTTGGGCGACGAATATGATCGCGATACTGACGACAGGAACAATAAAGAGATACAAGTCACGATCTGAAAACGGCTGCTGCATGCCTGCTTATAAATGTACGAACCCTCCACTTTGACACCTTCCTAGTTCTGCAGCATCTATTCGCTGGAGCTCTTGCATCATGCAAGAGTCCACACGAGCTCTCCATACTTGGCTCCACAGTCACACAGTGCTTCCGCCTGAAAAGCCCCTGGCTCCACAGCTTTCGCTTTATTCCATACTAGCACTAGAAAGATCGCAGTACGATATATTCATGCCTAACACCGTTTGAACGCATGACTAGAACTAGCGTCACCCGTCTCCGTGATTGAGCGGTCCCGCGGCTGACATCAAAGTCAAATCTGACGAACAAGGCTTGTTCCAACCTCATCCTACAAATTCTTTCTGAAATGAGAGTGGATCCAGCGAGGGACTCCAGAAACATTGGAAATAACACATTTATAATGTAGGATTCTTGCTTATACCGCCCTCGCAGGGTCCGTCCAGTTTTCCGAGGCAGGATGCAAGTGTTTGATGTTGATAATCTAGGGTTCTGAATTCAACCATAAGCCAATTGCATCCAGAACTAGATGAAGGAGTTTAGACTACATGACAGGCACTTTCCAGCTCTTAGACTTATTGACTTGCCGTTCCCCTCGGTTGTTCTGTGAGCTCTGAGGTTGGGACAATCACCCATATGCGCTCTGGCTGAAGATGTATATCAACCGTTGAATACACAAGGGTGGCTCTTACAAGACTGAAGTAGGAATACTTGTTGGATATCTAAGGCTATTGAGAACGTGTAACATCATTACGTGATACAAACTGAGCTCATATGAGCTTGTGGTGTTCAAAGCAGCATATAAGAAGGATATAAAACCATAGGAAGAGGATTACAATAGTGTATTTAGACGATATCAACCCAATACTCCAACTTGGGCGTTGCTGACAAGACTGAAGTGTTTCTTCCCAAGGAGACCACATTATACCTTACTTTGAGCGGGCAGAGTCTGGACGCCATAGTAAAGTGTGTTGCAGGGCCTTTGTAACGACAGGATGTAGATCGAGATGCCATTCAGGGCTTTTATCGACGATACTTGTGACTCTTTGATCCATCCAACACATCCCATCCCATAGTAAACTGATATACTGAGGCCAGAGTTGCCTAGCAGGTCATATTGAAAGCTCATTTCTCCTTGATCTCCTTGTCGGCCTGAATTTACTTCTTCTTTCACCAGTGAAGATCTGCCAATGAAATAGTGCGTTTACTGTCTCAACGTGAAAGTCACCTCCCACATAGATAGGAATTGCAGCGAGCTGTTTACAAAAGGTGGTTACCAAAGGGAAGGAGCCTCCGACAACTCCCTGCTTTGACAAGCCCAGCGCAAGCAGTTCCCTGCCTTACCTACGGTAAATACCTCTTCAGGATCTCAGAGGCTTCCGCTGCTTGAATAACTCTGAAGCATCAAGACTTTTGGTCCCTCTGCCACCTTTTTAATCCCGCCTCCCGACTCTGTTGGATTGAACCCCAACCACCATCCTTCCTCACCTCACTCCCAAATCGTCAATCACCTTCTGCTTGACGCAACACTCTTCCACAGAGACATTTATTGTCCCCATTCACGATCGTCTACATCTACAACAGACTCCCAAGTACTGAAAGGTCAATATTCAGGCCTTTTCCATTCCAACGAGGTAAGTTCTTTTCTACCAGCTTTCGGATCGCCGTTCTTCCCGCGCTCTCCATCTCTATGCAACACGCTTCACGCGCACTTTACACCATTGCAGCATTGGGTGCTTTCCTCTTGCAGCCTCAAAAAAGAAAGCATCGTGTCTGATTCTATTTGCCAAACATTCTTGACCCCTTCATGTACCTTCCATATCTACTTCACGCTGCAGTTCGACAGTTTGTCCTACAGCAGTTGCCATCTTCGAATCCGAGCACGCGTCAGGCTTCTTCTCCCTTGGGCACCAACACTTCACCTGCCCTTCACGCATATTTTCGGAGTGCATCTCTTTCACTTTGACCCTCAATCACCCATACACGCAACTTTCCCGAAAAAGAAAAAGCTAGCTGTTACTCAACACAACTTCCTAGTTCACAGCCACCTTCCTCAAACTAGTCCTTCGTTTATCCCAAACCGAACATCCATGCTTCATGCAGAACCAATTCTATACTCGCATATCGCACAATCCCATACTAACTACTTGCGGTCCAGCAATCCACTCAATCATCAAGATGGCTAACTGGGGCAGCGGTACCGCCGGCGGCGAGGCTGGCCAGTGGAATGATAGCGGCATGACCAACAACTTCGGAGGTGATGACGGTGTCATCCACAGCTTCGGAAGCGGCGACACTGGTTTCGGAAGAGACGATGTTGGTGCTACTGGCGGTGGCGGCGGCGCTTGCTTCAACTGCGGCCAAGAGGGGTATGTTTTTTTATCTAGTAATTTATTTCCTGACTGATTCTAACTTCACTTCTCAGTCACATGAAGTCCGAATGCCCTGAGCCTCGTAAGCTCAAGTGCCGTCACTGCGAGAAGGAGGGTCACACCATTGCGCGATGCCCTGAGCCCGATTGCCCTCCCCAGGAGCCTCGTGAGTTCACTGGCACATGCCACACCTGTAACCAGGAAGGTCATCGAGCTGCTGACTGCCCCGAGAAGGGCCCTCTGGTCTGCAACAACTGCAAGGAGGAAGGCAAGCCCACCTAACTCACATCCTCTGTATACTCTGGCTCTTCATGCATGACTAATTACGATATTCCCATAGGCCACACCGCTGTTGAGTGCAAGAACGCCCGAAAGCTCAACTGGGATGTTGTCGAGACCGTCCCTGCAGAGGAGGCCTGGGCGACCATTGCCAATGCTGCTAAAGATCTCGACATGGACGAAGTCAAAGAAGGTGTGCAGAAGTACGCCAAGGCCGTCCCCACCATGACCTACAAAGAGCTGGAGAGTGCCTTCCGTGACCAGAATATTCCGGTCTATATCATTGCCGTCGAGAAGCCGTCTATGATGGCAACCTTCACCAACATGGACCTTCAAGGAAACCTGAACAAGAAGTATCAGGTAACTTTCCGATTCGAACCGCGCGCTGCCCGGCCCCGTGAGGCTCCCTTCTGGCCCAAGGACATAGATGAGAACAGTGTCCGCCTTGAGGATGCCGGTGAGCCTGTTAGTCGTGGTCTAATCAAGTGCAGCAACTGCGATGAGCTAGGTCACAGCTCGAGGAGTTGCCCTCAGGACAAGGTCGAGAAGGAGCAGGTTATAATCCGTTGCTTCAATTGCAATGAGGAAGGTCACCGAACACGCGATTGTACGTTGTTTTCGGGGATTTGGCACTGACATGAGGACACGCTGACTATTCTCCAGGCCACACGCCTCGCATCGACAAGATGGCCTGCCGCAACTGTGGTCAGCAAGGCCATCGATCCAACGAATGTAAGTCATCCAGCATGTATCTCGGCGACCATTAAGCAGTGCTGATCTTCCTAGGCACCAACCCGACCAACATGGATCTCGTCGAATGCCGCAAGTGCAGTGAGAGTAAGTCACGAAGTACACCTTTCTGTCTGTATTCACCTAATATGACATCTAGAGGGTCATTTCTCCCGCGACTGCCCCACTGGCGGTGGCGGTGGCAGTGGCGGTTGTCACAATTGTGGTGAAGAAGGTCACTTTGCGAAGGACTGCACCAATGATAGAAAGATGATCTGTCGCAACTGTGACGGCGAGGGTCATAATTCTCGCGAGTGCCCCGAGCCCCGAAACATGGCCAAAGTCCAGTGCCGCAACTGTGACGAGTACGGTCACACCGGCAAGGAGTGCCCGAAGCCCCGTGATAGTAAGTACACCCTGGTTCCCCCAGTGTTCACATACTAAATAGGTGCCATAGTTAGCCGCGTGAAGTGCTCCAACTGCAACGAGATGGGTCACTTCAAGTCCAAGTGCACTAACCCCACTACTGAGCCTGGCAACATGGCAGGTATGGGCGACGCTGGTGGCGATGCTAGCGGTTTCGGTGCTGGCGGAGGAGGCGGAGACGGAGACGGTTTCGGCTCAAAGGATGCTGGCGGCTGGTAATCAACCACCTTCATACCATCCTCGCAGATTGTTGCACTTGTCTCAAGGCCATCAAGCTCTTGGCTTGGGACAATTACACGAAACCCGAACCCCTCCATGCCCATCCCTGTTGGACCCCCCACTACTTTGCTTGGTTTCGGCAGGGAACATGCCGCCGACATCATAATCGCCATCGTCAGCAGCTTCATGACTCAGTTCAGCATATGACCCTGGATCCAGCACACCTGCGCAAGACTATTGAGGTCGTCATATCTCTGACATGATGATCATTGCTGTCCTGCATTTCGCATGCCGATTCGGGCAGTCAACATCACGACCTTTCCGAATATAAAAAGAAAACCCAGGAGGTCCCACCCCTCCGCTTTGCACCTTTGCCACACTACGACTACACCTTCACCTTTCGAGCTCTTCTCAGGACAGGACCTATCTCGTGAGTGTCTTGCACGATTGATCTGATATCACCTAGTTCACTTTGGCATTGGATGATTTCAGCTGATAGATTGGCAAGTCATCACCAGAGAAAGAGGTCAATCCAATAAAAGTTCTGATTTTCGTTTTCATATGATCTTGTGAAACTTTGTTACCGTTAATGTGCTATAAAAATCTGTGAATAATGCTATGACCTCATGATAACAAGTCAAGCGGCCTGACCCCGAGCTTCAATGCCTTTTGCCTTTCCATGTTGCCTTACTGTTACTTTGGTCAACACATTCGACCGTAACGGGTTTACTTCGCTCCACAGGGTGGCCCTAACGAGGACGAGGCGAAGGTCCATCTCATCAAATCGTCCGGCGCAGGTATCAATGCCCAAAATCTCTCGAGGAAGTCTCCCTTGAAACTTGCACTAATACCATGGTGCCGCGGATTCCGTGCGCCTACTGCTCGAAGCCGGCTCGGACGCGTCGAATTCCATACAAATGCCGCATGACCCCATCGCCCTGAAAGGGGCACCATCCAGCTGGTCGAGATTCTCTTATCGAGGGCCGTGTATGCTACCAGACTCTTCGACCGGGGAAATAGAAACCTACTACACGTCTTCGTGACATGTTGTCGGACAGAAGACTTGACCGACGCAGCAGCCGCCCGTGCTCTCATCCGAGCAGGCATTGGCATCGAACATAGAGACCATCTCGGCCGGACACCCATCGTGGAAGTCATCATAGTAGACAATTAAACTGCTCTCAAGTCGCTCCGACGCTGTGGTACCAGGGCAGCCGTCGTGGACAGCAATTCACGGACAAGATTGAACTTGCCAGCAAGTCGGCGACGTTTTTATTACTCGAGTATATTACCGCAGAGTTCGATCTGACCGAAGCTGACGCCGTTCTTGAGGACTGCAAGGGCAAGGTGGCAGAGCAGTATACGCAGGTGCGACAAATGTTTCCGAGGCTGAGATTGCAGCACTGTATAAGCTCCTGGAGTTGTAGATGAAATGCCATACCTCGGTTTCTCCTTCGAGGCCGATTACGATAAGTCATGTTTATCCAATGCGACCTGTTCCAGAGCAATGGACTACGTGGTATCAGGTTGCGCCAGGAATGCCTCCACGGGAGGCTGCCGATACGAGTGATGATGAGGAATTTGTTGTGATGTGGAGCAGCAGCAGCAAACTAAACAGGGTGTAAATGACTGAATGGACCGCGTCATCCTTAGACTGGTATATATTTATATTGACATTTAATGATTGGGACCAATACCTTTCTTATGTTTTTCATCTTCATGTACCGTGTTGCCATCCTGCCAGCTTCATCTCAAGCGGCTGTTGGAACTAAACCAGCTATGTTGGCAACACAACTTGCCGGTGCTTGTTTCTTGTGATTTAATTCTGTTGACGAGTTGCCCAAGAGCAATTATATTACCTGCTGGCCTGACTAGCTATCAAACTACCAACGACAGTAATTGATAAGATTGGAGAGATCAGGTACGATATCTACCCAACATCATTATCACGGAAGTCACTCTGATGCGCCAGGGCTTGACTTACTGAGAGTACTTTGGCAATATATTGTTCTTCTGCTTCGTCCGCATTGCTGACTTGAACAAGGGCAATCAATTTCATAGCTGGTGGGCCCCTGTTCAGTAATTGGAATTAGCGACTTATTCTTCAAACTTGAATTGCCACGCGTTGGCGTGCAAGGAGACCGAACATAGGTTGCTGTTCCGATTTGCAGAAAATCTGACTCCATCACTCACGTGGGCATAAGCATCATGGCGAACCACAGCATGGGGTCATCCCCCAGTACTCCAGTCCTAGATGCCAAGGCATAGATTACCGCTATCGACAAGGCCGGCCAGACGATGAAACGAATAAATAGAATAAAAAAAGTCACCGTCACCTTCGGAAAGGTATTGCTTCCCCCTTGTGAACCCTGCCGGCCCTGCTGATAGGATGTATATAGGGATACGCCCGCCACGACCACGGGCAACGGCACAAAAAGGCCTCCGATGTTCTTCAACGACGCTGTCAACCAAGCCGTAAAGATACCCCCGTCGGCGGCGTCATAAAAGAAGGCACGGTGAAGGGCAGGCGTCAGTCCGATGATAGCCCCTATGATGGCACCCAGCAGAGGCGCATTGAAGAAGTCCGAAATGAACAACAGCCACCACTTGGCCCGGACTCCGAGATGGACCCAGTGCTTCTTGGGGACAATGGATGCCCGACGTCGGCCAGACGAGCTGTGGGGTGTTGTAGACGGTTTCCGGGTCGATGGGAAAAAGGAGCTGTCCCGAACTAGATTCTCGAAGCGCGCCGCTGGCAGTAAAGTACTCCGCTCATGTGCCTCGTCGTCGACCACTGTATATGAATCGCTTGAATGGAGACTGTCACCACCATGCTGAAGCTCGTCCTCCGACTCTTCGTCTTCCTCCGGGGCGTTCTCCGAGTCAATGAGTCTCGGCCCCACGGCGAACGTCAAACAACTCGACACAGTAGCAAATACCAAAAAGTACGACTTAGCCCGCTCAATCGCTTGGCCCGTCGTCTCATCGCCATCCCCAATCAACGACTCCAAAATCCCTGTCTCGTCCAGCGCCCCGATAAGCAGCAGCGGGTAGCTCGTCGTATTGTTGAACATGAGCGCCACCGTGGTCCAATCCGGCATGCCCAGGAATAGATGGGCGACGATGCCCATGAGGAACGACACGAGGTGGCAGATGAGCGCCCATAACAGGATGATGCCGTACCGGTCCGCGGAATCCACCTCTAATTCCGAGCCAATTTTGGTGATGAGCAGTGCAGGCAGAAACATGCGCACGCAGATCTTGGAAATGGCTTTCGTGCTGCCCGCGTCCAGGATCTGGAAGTGCGCCGCCACGCCGCCGTAGAACATGACTAGGAGCACGGAGAGGCTCGCTTGGATGGCGGCTAGGAAGGATTCGAGGAGACCGGTTGGCGCCATGGCTTACGGCGGAGCAGCTATCGAACCGATTCAAATATGTGGTGTTGGCATTGACTGGTAGAGATCTGTCAAGGTGTGAATTGTTCTTTGGAAATTGCAAGTTGCGAGATGCGAGTTGAGGTACGCAAGTGACCGACGAGAGTGGGGGATCCCGGTTTCGCATGTGTAGCACCTCATTGAGTTGCTCCTTTAGACAACGCTTCCCAGTCACGTTATCAAGCTACGAATTGCCTTTGACAGGATAATCGTCCGAAGTTGCCTCTATCGTAAGCAAGAAATGTCCAGACTGCCTTTGCAGTGTTGTGGACATCCAGCTTGTACTATCGTTGGGTACAGTATTTGGCCAATCATTCCTGAAATCAAGCAATTTGGGACAATCGCTTAACCCAGATGAATTGGGGTTGCATACACCAAATGTTGGACGATTGACTCCATACATTGTGAAGTCTCAACCGTCTGATATGGGCCATCCGAGCTTCTCAGCACACGGCAGCATTCAGAACAAGAGGCATCGTTCACATCGATGATTCTGGTCAGCTGCCAGAATCTCAAAGATCACCGTTTCGCTCGCCACAAACAGTCTGTTATAATAAGACCGATATCAACCCTTTTCTCGTAAGCCTTCATCCGCGGAAGGGTTTCCGCAGCAAGCTTTGAAAGCGATCAAAAGTCCAATGCCTAAACAAGTTTTGGATACAGAAGCTCACGTTATCCACCATTGCTCCGTAGACAGATGACTTCATTTGCTGCTGCATAGGATGTGGGTTGTGCGTCCAGGGCCGTCTGAAGTCAACCAATATTGAACCTTGCCATCTTTCCCAGTGTCACTTTCTCAATATCCTCCCAGAAAGCATTCATGAAATATCGTAGCCATGGTCCTGGTGTATCCAGATTTGACCACCCGGTGCATGCAGTGGTGGCAACCAGTGGGACAGAAATATTGTACATAGAAGTTCGCGTGTTGCTAAGAGAGACAAAATCGCTCATTTTCTCCAGCTGACGCCAAATAGTTTATACTTCTTGGAGTCGCTTGACGTTTTGGTGTCCGCATTCTCTAGGTAGATGCGTGACTGGCCTGGGACATCCACATAGAGATACTTGTACTCGTAACTAGAGTGGCCTGCTCGTTTTACGAGATGCACATTGGCAGCGCCTGTATTCAAGGGTCCATGAACCTATTACAGGTGAGCATTGGCCATAGAATGGGAACACCACGACCACTTACATAGAAATGCAGCATCATGTGGTCGTTGCCTTGGCTGTCAGTTTTGTACGTAGCTCTATTTGCTCGTCAGCGAACAAACCATCAACCACGCGCGGGATGCAAGACTCCGTACGCAATGGGGCGGGCACGACGCCATTTGTTCCTTGTTTCTTCGCCGTGTGCCTCGATCTTCTTTGCATCTCCGAGTAACTTCAAACAATCGGGGTCTTTCCTTATTCGATCGACGGCGCGATTGAAATATGCGGTTTTGCTATCAGGGGAAAAGACATCCGAATACAAGAAGTATCCCACAACACCCTGAAGAGTCTTAGCAACTAGCCCGTGGCCTTGATCTGAGGAAAGACTCGTCATACGGTCAGGGCAAATCCAGCAATGATCAATCCGAAATTGAAGGATTGCTGTGTCGCTCTCGCCGTCTTCTCTCCCGCTGACAACTCGTGCCAGGGGACTCTACCGTCGTCGTTGAAAGGCGTCACTGTCTTCCGCCTCGGGCCGGATGATGGTATCGTTGTCGTTCCAAGTCCATGTTGGGCCGCATAGCAGCGTCTCTGCAGAATCGTAGGCAACGGGTGAAGGTGCGGCGCAAGCGTAGTAAAGCCCGATGGGCGGATTACGAGCTTCATTATGGTGGCTCTGCGTCCATTTGATGGTAGAGAGGCGAGCCCGCTATTGAAAACTTCTTTGGATGGAATTCAAGCTTAACTTAAGACGCGAACTTGAACATGGCTGTCCAAAAAAGCTCCTCAATCGCTGTGTACAACTGAAGCTTGGAGCTCCAGTCAATGGATCGTCATTCAAGTGGGGAGTTGACGCCAAACCCATAATGGCTTAGCCATCTTAGCTTAGTGGGGCCCCCAGTTCGCGGGAATGCCACCTTTTCGAATTCCTTTATTGACAATGCCTCAATCTCTCCCCGTGTCCCTTTTATCTTCACCCACTTTCGCGCGCCAACCCACGACCTCCATCTTGGTCCCTACCCGAACTCGGTCGCCTCTAGTCCGCATCGAAGTTCTTGCCCATTGATTTACACCGAGTCGCCAAGATGAGCGGACTCGCGTCCAAGCAGCAGTCGCAGAAGCTGTTCGAGAAGCTGAAGGGCAAATCCTCCAACAAGATCTGCTTCGACTGCGGCGCAAAGAACCCGACGTGGACCTCGGTGCCATTTGGCATCTATTTATGTCTCGATTGGTGGGTAACATCTCAGCGCCTCCCGTTGCCCATACGTAACGTTGGCTTGGAACCATGGGTCTCCGGCGCTCGGCACCCTCTACCCCGAATATCACGACCTACGAAAGTGTATACAGAGTAACCATTTCTGACTTGATGTTGTGTAGTTCTTCGAACCATCGAAATCTCGGAGTACACATGTCCGCGCATTCCTTCCCCGTCCAGTCTAGACGAATACTGACCTTGCAAACTGTAGCTCGTTCGTCCGGTCAACTAATCTTGACCAGTGGCAATGGGATCAACTACGTATTATGAAGGTGGGCGGGAACGAGTCTGCTACCAAATTCTTCCGCGCCAATGGTGGAAGCGCTGCGCTTAGCAGCAAGGACCCAAAGACCAAATACCAATCGGCCGCCGCCACCAAGTACAAGGACGAGCTTAAGAAGCGCGCCGCCAGAGACGCAATCGAATTCCCAGACGAGGTCGTTATTGCCGATGCCGCTGATGTTGACGGCTCCTCTACACCGGCTGGCGAGCCCGATGATGATTTCTTCTCTTCCTGGGACAAGCCATCCATCAAGAGACCCACGCCGCCCGTGTCACGAACTGCTACACCGCCAGTTGTCGGCCGCACACCGTCCCCCTTCCTCAATTCCGGCATTGCCAATGGCAAGGAAATCGGAAGGTCTTCCTCGCCACTTTCAAAGCCCGAGTCGGGTGATGCGCGACCTGCCGCTAGCCGCATTACCACTTCGGCTGCGCTACGGAAAACCGCCACCGGTGCCGGAGCGCGCAAGACGAATGTTCTTGGCGCAAAGAAGAATACCAAGCTCGGGGTCAAGAAGGTTACCGGCGACATCATCGACTTTGACGAGGCTGAGAAGAAGGCCAAGGAGGAGGCTGAGAGAATCGCGAAGCTGGGATACGATCCCGAGGCCGAGGACGTCGTGGCAAAGAAGGCAACTGCGACAAAGAACGAGCCAGACGCCATTGTCTCGCCGACTCCCGTCAGCCCTCGTGGATATGGATCCGGTCACTCGCGTGAAAAGTCGGCCGCCGAAGTGGAGCGACTAGGCATGGGCTTTGGACGGCTGGGCTTCGGCCAAGTTGGTGGTGGCGCTGCTAAGGCGGCTGCTGCGCCCAAAAAGAATGCCGGTGGCTTTGGATCGGTCGGCCCTGTAAAAGCCGCAACTGAAGGTGAGTTGTTCATATTTCCGAGTGATCATACTAGTACATGAAGCTGACATGACTACAGACGATGAGGAGCGCTATGCTCGCAACAAATTCGGCTCCCAGAAGGGCATCTCATCCGACGAGTTCTTTGGAAAAGGCTCGTTCGACCCCAGCGCCCAAGCAGAGGCCAAGACTCGTTTGCAAGGCTTCGAGGGAGCCAGTGCCATTTCATCAAATGCATACTTTGGGCGCTCTGAGGAAGAGGATCCCGGTGAGGATTATGGCGACCTCGAGACCGCTGCCAAGGATTTCGTCCGCAAATTCGGCATCACTGCTGGCGACGACCTGGAAAACTTGACCAGCGCGCTCGGCGAGGGTGCCACTCGGCTGCAAGGGGCCATTCGCAACTACCTGGGCAGCTAAATGATACAAGTAACGCTTGAGCAACGGTGTAGCGAAACACAAAATGTCAAATTGACATGGCACATCCGGATGCTAATGAGATGAGTAACACGCTCGGGAGATTGACCACCTGTGCAAGCCAAGAAGTTCAAGACTCATCACGGGGTTGACGAGGGAGTGGCATGGCATGATATGGTATAGGAGAACACGAGGGCACGACAACAATGAGGTTGAGGCGCACTGGAAGAAAGGGGCAAATCCTTCAAACCTGCGCACTGTCGGTTTTATAGAGAGAAGGCGTTATTGATGCAGATTGTATCCAAGAATCCAGATAATGATATTGCATGCAAATTCAAGTCGCCAAAAAAGTTGATTTGGTTGATTATGAGGACAGGTCAGGCTTGATTGTAAGCGAGCGCAACAGGGGAAAAGTGAGGTCGAGCAGGTTCTAGTAGGTTCGACAAGATGTCGAGCTATGACACTACGATGAAACGTTCTTCATACTGCACTGTAATCTTGTGCTTCCGACCAAAACATAGCTGCGTGATACTATTGTCGGCCTACCATCAGCTAGGTAGTGGCTTCACACGCAAAGCCATCTTGCAACATATAGGCTAGGACTTCCAAGGTACAAAGATTTGGCAAGTTGGCAAGCGGTAGGTAGGCCTTGGTTAGAAACGGATATTATATGCGAACGCTTCATAGGGGCGGGCTCTGTAGCACGGATATAGCTCCAATGATACTTGGTCTTCGTGGCCTCTTCTTTCTGGGTGGCAGTTCGTGAACATTCGGAACCAAAGATGATCTTTTTCATTTCCGGATATAATACCTCTTACAGATTCAAAATTAACACCAACACCGAGGGCAGTCAGCTGTTGTTCCATCAGGTTAGGTTCGACTAACCGGACATGTCACTGATTATAGATACAACACTGGTTAGCGCTTGACACTCGGTACTTCGCGAGCTGCTCTCCCCAACCATCTTCCGAAACGCATCTCGATACCTTTTTCTGAAGCTCATATCCCTCATCATACAGGTGGTCGAAAGTCGACTCATGAATGCATTCAGGATACAGCTTTTGGACATTAAGTACGATATGAGCTGTTCAAACCTACATACGACGAGGAAAGTAAGATTTTGTCAACGGTATTGGTATTGAGATGCCTGTAGCCCTGGACAGCCCTGAAAGTTCATCCTATAATATACATGTGCTGAAACCCTTTCAGCTTGATGCTACCCTGCCATAGGTGATAATCACCTCTATATGTCCATTGTGGCCTTCCAAAACCTATCCTGCCACCCTAATTTTGCCAGTTGTGCCAATGGGTTACCTTGAGCTGACTCTCAAATCAAACACCCGTGATCTCCCTCATGATAGACGTTGATAGCCTTCAATTCCATATCCCCAACTGCAACTAATGTCGGCGGTTTACCCTTGCCATCGACATTAGTGCCTTCCCTGAACCGAATGCAGCCCGCGGGGACGTTATTTTTTCTGGTGTTTCTTAATGCCGAACTTGCCGTAGTCAATTTGGGTGATTAACGTAAATAGTGATCGGTGATGGCGGCAATCAACCATACCCATGACCCCTATACCTTGCTTTTTGATCATTCATGAGTGCCTCAACGGCCTTTCAGTCATATCACATCTCCGCTTCCTAGGTTGATTCCTCTGAAGCAGCTCTCTAAGCTGCCTCCTCGCTACCCAGCTTGGACAAGAACTTGCTCATGCCGCTGTACTTCTCCTCAAAGGTCTTCTCGAACTTCTTGCACGTAGCAACCATAGGGGCCGTTTCGTCCCAATAGGTGTAGCAGTTTTGGAAGATCTGTCGTACGTCGGCGCAGAACTCGTTTTCGTCAGTGTACTCCTTGCGGTCCATCTTTTCCTTGATGGTGCCGAGATCCATTGGTCTCTTGACCTTATCAAAATAGTCGGGCACAAGATCCTCGCCGGGCTTGACCGGCTCACGGAATGGCCCTACCAGACGCGTCCAGAAACCTACGCGGAGTTAGCTGCGAACGCGACAAGAAGGATGAAAGGATGAATTTTGCAGACTAACCGGGACCGCTAAGCATGCGGCTGAGAAGATCGGAGCAAAATTCAAGCTTCTGCTCGGTTGTGAATTGTTTGTCGCCAGCGACATTGCTGCTAGCCCTGCGACCCTTAACAATCTTGTTGCTAGGCAGAGAAGAACGGGGGCCAGGCTTTCGGCCAGGTCTTCCGGGCAAAACGTCAGAGTGACGATGCTTGGGTGCCTTCTCTCTCGACTCGCCCTCACTTTCCTCGGCCTCGAGGTAGTGAACATTCTTTCTCTGGGTAAGCCCATCAGGCGTTTTATCCGGGTTGACTTGGATGAAGGGAGTCGAGTCAAGGCGACTCATTGCCACAACTAGTTCGCTGAGAACTTCTTGCGGAAGAGACTTGCTGAATTCACTACGAGATTCCGAAGAGCGTATGTACTCAGCCGTCCAGGTCAAGAAGAGATCCCGGATACTCGAACCTTCAGGGGTTTCCTTCCAGACGGCGGCCAGAACAGCTGGGGCCGGGATGTGGTTGGTGACGAGTCGAAGTTCCTTCATGGCGTCGAGCACCTTTTCGCACATGCCATTGATGCGTAGCTCGTTGCCCAGCTTCCATGCGTCAATAAGAACATCATATCCCGGGAGAGTCTCTTGCTGTAAAAGAATCTCGCCGGTGAACATGAAGTGTTGTGCAAGGCCAAAGGCTTGAGTGGTAGTATCTGGATACTTAGTGAGAGTCTCGAGCTGGGAGTCGCCTTGCTGAGCAAAATATTCGCGAAAGTAGGATGACTTTGCGCAGAGGAAATCTTGCTGGATTGCGAATGGTTGCTCGTCAGGGCCGACTAGGATTATGACGAAGGTGACATGAGGGTCGCTATGATCGAGATCAGCTCCTTGTCCACATCATCTACTCAGCAATGTCGCAACCTACCGCCATGAAAAGGCAACTGGAGTATCGTCCCCACTCTGGCTCGCCATGGTGGTTGTTGTCTGAAGTTGTTGTCTGAAGCTCTTGTCAGTAGATGTAAAAGATGATGGCCGGGTTAAAAAAAATAAATAAAAAATTCTTCGGAGGTATAAATGATTTGGGCAGAGGTGCTGGTTGATATTGTTCCTCCAAAAGCACAGCGAAGTACACGCAGGTGAATTCAAGATTGATTTTATGGTGAATGCCAGCTGCCGAGAGGTAAGAACGCTCAGCGCAAAAACAACTGTTGCGATCCGGGCTGAATATTCTCTTTTCATAACACTTGATCAAAATATGAAACCTGGTGGGGATAATGAACCAACGTTCAATGACTTGAGTTAACGATGTCATTGTATGAAATCCCTGCTTACCTTCACAGTTGACACTCAGCACAATTGATGCACCAGCTGCTTCTGCTCAAAAAATACGCGACGCAACGGTGGAAATCGCGGTGGGCGACCAAAATCTCATAGAAATACGATAGAAACAGTGCTTTTGCGATTTTTTGATGAACTCCAAGTGAGTGATGGTGCTGGTGATGAAAAGTCGTACACCGTGGGATGCTCTGGTCAATGTGAATTCTGAGAGGGAGGCTGAAGTTTGAAGTTGGGGGTTGACACACACTGGACCGTGCGCCTTCCCCATACTGCTCAACCTCCCTGCCCCCGGCAAAATAGTTTTATCTGCAACACTTGTCACTTGTCACTTGAGCTCTTCAAACCGCTCATTCGCCTGGGCTCAATTTGGCCATCCTGTAATCGAACATGGCAATCAAAAGGCAAGGCCCCTTTCCAAAATGGGCTACAGCTCATTGAATAGTAGTGACTGCATGGCTTCACCAGCAGCAGATCCACGCGTCTCTTTAGCCATTCGCGATAATGTACTGGCCAGAACTCAGCTAGGCTCTTCTTCAGAGGCAGCCCAACTGCCAACCCTTGAAGCTGGCGCGCGGTGTGGATGCATGTGAGGATAGGATTAAACCATCAATTCCGTCAATAAGACTCGCATGGAGGAGGAAGCCTAGATTGAATGGTTATAAATGTCACGCTTGGCTGAGATGTATCCATCTATCTGTGAACTCTTTCTCTTACCCACTTAATGTGTTCTCGCGGTTCTCGTGAACAAACACACCACCCATGAAGGCTCTTTCGCCTCAGTCCATCTCATCTGCACCATCAGACATGTGCGGACGTCCACCCAAGAAGCCTCCACCAGCCGGCTCTCAACCCAGCACGAGCGACTCATCCTCAAGCTACTACCCTTCAAAGACGCAAGGGCTTTCCCCGAGTAGCTGCAGAGTTCCTTCGTGCACGGCTTCTAGGTCGAATTCTACCGCACTTCTTTTCCCACAATTCTCTGGCTCCCGATCCAGGCATGAGCAAGACCAGCCAGTTGACCAAAGACATCAACAAGGAGTTGCAGAAGTACCTTATTCCATCCAGATAAGACTGACCGGGACGGTCAGGAGGACCATATGCGGTTCATTATGTCGATTGTGGGGGACAACATGCTCAAGAACCTGTGGCACAATTTGGAATGGGGGAAGAGGGGACTTGAGATCACAAAGGCAGCATATGAGGTCCTGAGTTTTCTCAGGGCATCGCAGATGGAGAGAGACCAGAATCCGCCGGGATATGAGGTTTAGGTCGGCTTGATGAGCTTTATAATGAATGTGTTCCTCCAAGGTGTAGAAAATGTCTGGGCCCTACAACTAACGCGGTGGATAGAATTTGGACGGCTTTGCTGCTTTGAACTTGACAACTTCCGCATTTTTTATACCTAATCGTAATTGGTTGTTAAACCCACCCAAAGATAACATTTTTGACATTGAATTGAGACTTAAAGACACCTGCATCCAGTAGAGTAGCTTTATTTCCAAGGGATCATTACAGAATAGAGATGGTTTCGAGCTGCTCGTGGTTGACAGGTTCAGTTACTCTTTGACACTAGGATCATTCTGAGACCATGCAACAAGACGATCTCAATGGGTACTACGATCAAGCCCCTTATTACCAACACCTTGTGATCCTGAACCCCCCTTTTTTTTATTTGACTTTGGGTACTTCTTCAAGCTCAAGGCTCGCATCACAGATGGCCATAGAAAGGGGCCTAGGCTCAGATTTCAAGAGATCTGGCCGCATCAGTTCGTAATGACGCGATTGCTTGAGTAAAGTATGATCCTGATTACTCTCATAGCTGTATTAGGAGTACACATAAGGTGGGCCTGCTTGCAGACTGCAATTGGTGAAATGCGCATCGGCAGTCCTTTTCCCCTTCGCGGGCGGAGATGCATTACGAGAGCAACAAAACCAATATGATCTAGATTGTGCCTTAGGGTATACACAATTGCAAAAGATCTGTTCATAGCTGCTACAACGACCTCAAGACTGTGATGACCTTGATACTCGCAGAATATTGAAAACGGGCCGGTCCAATGGTCTTTGGGGATACAGCAGTCGAACGCATCGCCCCTACCCCTATTCCCATCGGCAAGACCCGTGCTGTTAGTACATTCCAGCATCAATAGCAACAATCATTAGCAGGCTCCATGGACCCGAATATGGAGCGGTTGGCCTAATGTTCATTGTCAAAAGTCCCGGTACATGCCCACCATCTTCTATTGATGCCTGAGTACTGGAAACTAGATGATGGCCGTGTAAATCAGTCATCTCTAGTTCTGTCTAACCGGTGCCCAAACACTTGATGAAATGCAAGACATTCGATTTCGTGCATATAGTATATGCAAGACATCAGCCAACCTACCATCAAAGAAAATGAAAGTGCTTTAGTTGCCGTTTTCCATGTGATAATCACAAGGTACGTCCCGTCCTTCTGCCCGGCACAAAAATTGCTGCGTATGCAGGCGTCATGCTCATGCAAGCTGTTATGTTCTCAGGCGGAAGACCCTTGTCCTGGTATAGAGTTCGAGCCATCATTGTTGCAGCATCGAGTTGTTGCTACATTATCGAGTATAACGCTCATGCAAACCGCGCACATGCCGAGTTCCAACAAACAACATCGGATGGGTACTTCTTCTGAGCATATGGTACTTGATCTACCTCATCGCTAGGTTTCTTGTTGTTTGATTCGTGGAGGAGAAGCTACTGCGATATGATATGGCGCGGTCGAGACTCAGAGAGCAGGGGATCACAATTGGCAAAATAGGGTCTGCAGAACGGCCCGATACGCCAGAAGGAGATTTTTCAGACGAAGTCTACTTTTCATAGACGGAACATCTGCAGTTGCCCCCACATACCATTCAGACTTTGAAGTCCGAACCGCGGTGTTGTGCGAGGTTGCGTACAACAGTTGTTTTGTGTTGCGAAGGAGAAGTTGGGATGACTGCTCACCGGATGCAGAGATGCAGTGTGGCCAATCAGACTCAAAGGAGTATTGATGCAGGGTTTGGCATGGTTGGCTTGACCGAGTCTTGACGACCAGCTCGTGTAAGTCTACAGTAACATCCACCTGCATAAAAATGACAGGACTATGCGGGGGCGAACTTCAACCTTGGCTATGGAGTCGGGCGGCTATTGCCGCAAGGATCTGGACGCAGGAGAGACAATTCCTTTCCTGAAGGGAAGCGGATGCAATGCAGATGGAGGGAGATATTTGGAGTCGTCTGCTTGATGCTCATTTGTCACAAGGGTAGATCTGGTTGGTTTGTGAGGGGGAACAAGATTTGGCTGTCCATCCAGGCACCAAGGGGGTTACACAACAGTCTATATAAACGAAGGGACGTTATGAACCGAAGTCTGCTTTCGGCTGCCTGCTCCATCTTGCAGCACATTCATCAAGGGTAGGATGCTACCCAGACAAGCTTCCCCTCACGACCATTGTTGGTGACCAGGAATCTACAACAATTCTGCGATTGAATTGCCATATGAAGTACATTGCGGCTCATGAGAATTGAAGTTATTCAGGATCCCAGGTATCATGTTGCCGTCATCACACCTTTCCGTGAGTCTAGTACAACCACAGCGGAAAATAAGATTTACAGTGAATTTCGATGCGAAGATCGTTCAAACTTTTACAGCATATTCCCCATCGTGGTATGTTGATGATGTTGAGCATGTGCAGTTGGATAGGTGCTTTCCACTAGGTTACCGGATAAAATGCCCTGGCCGTGATGCATGCATGTCTGTTGTGACAACTACGCCTCACCCTTGGTTTCATAGGACATACCGGACAAACCTGTTGGTCTCATCCAGATTATCACATGTAGGCGGATGATTTGCAGATCCGTTAGTGAATAGAGTCGGATCGATCCGTCCGTGGGTGTTGACTGTCCCCGGCCAAATTGCCAAATCGGCTTCTTGCCCTCACGCTGGATGCGATCCAAGCTGCCCCTTTAGGAGGGACCACAAAATAATAACCCCCATGCAATGAAGCAGGCACAATTAATTTAGCTTCTGACAATGGTGGAGCGACCCAAATGTATCCTCCTTTTGGCCCAATTGTACCCATATAGATCTCAGGTGGTATTTCAACTAGGCTGTCGGAGCCTTTGGAACCACTTTTGATTAGTGGAATAAATTCCGTACTATACTAGAGACGAGTTGCTAATAGGCGACACAAGAAATAGCGTGTGCGAGTGGAATAGTATGGAATAGCTCGATATGCCAGGGTAGTGAAAAAGGTATAAGAAGACTTTTGCACCCGGGTGCGCGGTTTATTTTGTTATCGTCTTGACTAGCGCAATACATCACTGGTGGAGCAAGATGTATTGACCAAATGCTGATGTCATGGTCTCGTCGTTGGTCTTCAACCCGAGGCTAATCACGGACGAGGATGATGGGCTAGCCAACCGCCCCTGTCTGGAGAGATAACGAAATTGTCTGGGGCAGTAGCGAGGCTTAAACCGACGGTCCTCCCGCTGAATGGCTTTTATCCGCGCGCCTAATTGGGCCTCCAGTGGTCCATTTGGACTCGCTGCATCGTCCTGTCAATCACGTCAATGCCTGTGTCCTAACGAACAAAGCCAACAGTTCCGATGTCCAGTGCTGGAGATGTTTGGCGTTTCAATCTTGTGATTTCACCACACCATCTTCGAGGAGACAGGACCGCGGTATCAAAACCTGGATAGCAACTGAGTGATATGACTGCGCTTGTGTGTATGTCCAGCGCCCTGTAACGGTTATTTATGACCGTTTATCGATGGAGTCAAGCAGTAATTGAAACCCGATAGCCGCATAACTTCGAGATCTAATATCTGGGTACCCATAACTAACACTCATCCATAGCGTTCTCAGCCGGTTTGGGCATCTAGTCACTGTTTAGGTGCCTTCTTCATCTTCAGACGTTCATGTTAACTAAGACGCCAAACACCTAGACAGTCAGCTGGTTCTGCCTCGGGCGACAGTTGTTTCGTACGGGTTTGCTCTGGTCGCGCCAGGACTGCTCCGACCCAGCCTTCGCTTGTGTCGCTCGAGGCATGGGGGTGGAAGTTCATAAATTTATGCATCACGTCCTACGCAGTTATAGAATTGACAGTGCATCCCATCCCTGTTGAAGCACTGCAAGGATGATATTGACACCTCAGCGTAGTCGATCAACCAAGCACATTAATTAAATGATAAGACGAACAACCCCACACATTCCTGATGGACTAATCGGGTTATATTATTCGTTGTTGCAACTTGAGAGACAGGGTGAACTCGAGAGGATTCCAGCTCTGTCATACCAACCTTCTTTCATATATGTACCTGATTGAAGGAAGATGACGCCCCCAAGGCTCGAAATAGTATCATCTGGTAGTAGTTAGTCCGTCGCAACAACGTGTGGTCACTGAGGTACTTGGGGCGTGCATGTCGCAGTTTCCAACACGAGCTCGCTTCGAAGTCATGGATGATCTCGGTGAGATGCGCCGTGTATCCTTTCCAGAGTTGTCGTTCGTCAATCTATCTCCCACACATCCAACCTCTGACCTGTTGAGGAGGGTACTGACTGGGCAATCTAGCGCTACAGTCGGTAAAAAAAAACAGCGAGCCCCATTTAGGGCGCTGCAAGATCGGATGTGTATGCAGCAACGCCTAGACGAGACTCGTACTGTTGCCAAGTAGGCATTGGGAATTTGGAGATGGATTTTTCCGACACTTGGAGCGTTGCCCGATCCTGCGGATGAAACTGAGTATTCACTTTCCGCAGACCGGCCAGGTCGGTGAGGAATGATAAGTGAGGAGTGAAGGAAGATTGAAGCCGCCGATTCCGCGGAAGCATCTTGGACGGGGGGAGAAGCCGACTTGCCGATACTTTGAGAGAATGAGAGAATGAGATAATGCCGTCTCCTACGTTCCTACTTCCTACAGTGCCACGGTTGGCAGCCGGTGCTAATGAACCATAACAAATTGCACATCAACGACGACCAACAGTTGCTGATCCACTCGTCGGTACTTCTTCTCTTTCTCCACGATGCTGGGTTGACGCGGCGTTACGTCCCCGGAATGTACGGGCTGATGTGCTTCATGGAGCCCTGGATAAATCATGAATCTCCAAAAGTTCCTTTCTTGGACCTGGTCCGCAGGTTTCCAAGGTTGCGGTTGACCATTGCGTGGTATCAAGACAGAACCTCCTTTTTGCTTCGGGAAGGTGTAACGTGGTTGCAACTGACTGCTTAGGTGCAACGAAGCAGCCCCCCAGGTCTTGTTTGCGTTTGTATTTGTGTTTGCGGGGTCCCCAGGCTAGCCCCAAGCTTCGAAAATGCCAAGGCGTGGGGGACAAACAACCCTTGCAGCACATCTTGGTGTCCGTCTCCTGCAACCCTTGAAACCTTCCCTTTAATATACATTCTGATTACTTAGCACCATAATGGTTTCATGGCGCAATGTCACGAATGAGATGCGCATATCGCAACGCATATCGCAATCAGTCCAGTGCGAATAGCCCGCGAAGAACGTCCGACAAGTCACAGATACGAACATCAACATCCAGGATCTCAGGGATATTAGCGGCCAGTTTTCTTCTGTTCATACCACTGGATGCTGCAGTTCGGAATGTATTGCGTGGCCATAGGTCCAAATTCTCGTGGCGTCTCCGATCACGACGGTGAGCACGTTTGGGAATGCGCATGCGTTACACCGTCCGAAGTATGTGACTGCTGGGGGTCGTCGCCACCCCCACCCTCACACCCTCTGAAATTCCAGTCCTTCCGTGAGTCCCATGGCGAAGCTGAGAACGAAATGGGCCGCGGCCTACGACTTCAGCCTTCAACAATGATCACCCTGTCTGAAATCTTAATAAGCGCCCTGATGACTCTTCAGGCCTGTCATATGTCACCCCGTCGTCCCGCATAATTGGCATCCCTTATCCGGTATCAAACCCATGGGCCAGAATCTCAAAAGGCACCATCATAAACAACCCACTATTGACAAGGGGCCGTCATTGAGAAACATGACAGGACATGCACCAATCATCTTGCATGCCAAATATCCCAAATAAGCAACACTATCATCGCAGGGCCAGAGCAAGACACACCCCAAGACTCCCCCACATGCCCTCCACCGAGGGTAACAACAAAAAAGTTGCAAAAGCTACTCGTCATCAATGTTGGGTCATTGTCATCGCGGCCCAGCCAGCCAACCAGGCTGCACAGAAGGCCTGGTGGACATCCTATTCGCTCACCTCCAGAGCTAATGTCTCTCAAGAAAGTTGCGGTGAAGACAATCTGCTATTGCTTTGATTACACCCAAGTGCAACACAATGCGGGCAACTGACACCTTTTTGCCATCATCGTGATCACATCACCCGCGTCCGCCGACCGTTGGCAGCTTTCCCTAGCTCCCGCGCTTCACGTAGGATTTTTGCTACTCCAGGTTACCGTCTCAGCCGGTCCTCTGTCATGGGTCACGCTTTCTGGCGCCATCGAATGAGGTCAGTCCATTCAGAAATTTGCATTTACTGGAAGGCCACCGCCAGCTATAACAGGCAGGGAGCCAGTCCGTGTGCGATGTGACCCACGACTACCTTCGCACGTATCTGAGCGACAGTCTGTAATCGTCCCCACCAGCAGTGAACACAGCCTTTACACGTACGTTGCTGTCACTTTATTCTTTACTAATGAAGCACAACCTCAGACCGAAACTGACCTTTGATCCAGAAAGCCGAATCGAGAAAGGGGGCTAAGTGTGAGGTTGCCTTTCCGCCTCTTCGTAAACGTAAAGACGATCCTCCTCCTTACCGTCCTCCCCCCCTTCTTTTTGGACGAACAAATACATAAGTCGTGTAACCCTGGCTCTTTTTGCTCCGCCATGCAGCTCCGGCAAGCGGTGTATTTTTCGGAGAGCTGCGGAGAAAACAATGTTGAGGAGAAAATCGACGCGTACCGGACGCAAAGAAGCAGTGTTACAACGTGCCATGAAAGACTAGTTTTGTTGATGTACTGATGTGCTGGGTCTACAGGTTTGCCCCTTTTCTCCACAGTTGGGGTTTAAACCATGTACTGTACCTGGAACAATCTACAGGGGCGGGATTTCTGTGCCGATGTTTGCCAAAAGAACCAGCTACTTACTTCAGCACCACCACACATACTACAGGGCAAAGAACACGATGGCTTAAAGAGGCACAACGTACAAGGCATAGATGAGGACCAATATCCTTTCTCTTTCCAATTTTTCCACCCACTAAGCCCCCTCGTGGTTTCCAATTCTTGGGTTACATACAGCCTGGGGCAAAGCTGGGGCTGGTCATACATTGATCACGTCAGCTCCCTCCCGTCTTGCCCAATGTCAAACACGCAGACGAGGGAACGGGTACTGGGTGATGTGTAAGGAGAAGGAGGCGGTGGGGGTCGATGAATGGGAAAATTTTCTTAAGCGGCTGAGCAATCATTTCAGGTTTTATTGTTGTTGCCCCCCAGCCCAGGCAGGCACGCAACCAAGCTGATGTGCTGATGACGAGACTTACTCCCACGCACATACACTCCTTCAATCGTATTATTGAGCGCTGGCGCTACTTCGTGTGGGGATTGGGCACGGAAAGATAAGGTACATCGGAGATGTCCGTGGCTGGCAGGGCTGCACGGTAACTACACTACTCTGTTGTTGGGCTCTTGGTGTTGTGATTCGTAGCGCAGAACGAAGCGCAGTCATGTTCTTGGGTCGCTTGGAATGAATGGCCTTGGGGGGGGGGGGGGGGGGGAGAGGGACTTTGAGAAAGTGCAAATTCCACCTATTTGCACACCTGAAGAGCGCTGCGGGTTGGTGATCGAACGATCCAGGGTCCGGTGGGGGGGGGTTAAGGAGGGAAGATCATCGTGGATGGGTAACCACTGGGCTGGACGAGCGCTCAGTCCGTCAGTCTACTTATGTACATACTGCCGTTCCGAGCTAGCCTGGCGCCGCTAGTATATACGCCACATACAACACTAGACATTTATCACTTGGCGGCGGCAGCATGCTTCAGTTGTATACCGCTGGCGCTATTATGCGGGGTAAAGTATCGACATCGTTCGGTGCGTTACGATATGTCAACCGTGTTCACCTCGATATCAGTCCACCACCGTACGAACTGAATGAGCAAGCGCCTGTAAGAGCATTTGCCAAGTTAAGGGGAGGGCCGCTGACGGGGACTACCGTGCTAGAAATCTACCGAACAGTTCAAGGTTTGGTGAGAGGAGATGAATGTTTCGTTGGGGGGGCGGCCTGCTACTCCCAGAGTTCATGCCACTATTTTGGTTAACTCCGAATAATACATCAGAGGAGATTCTGAGTTGATTGTTTACTACATATACCCAATTACAAAACTAATAGTCCGTTTGTCCATTTTCTTACGGTCTGCTTGCTTTCACTAAGTCATGTCATACCTAGACTGATAGCAAAGAACAGCGGTGAGATAGAAACAAAACAGAGTATGCTCTCGTTCCAGCTTTCCGGGACTTGTAAATGAGATATATATCCACCTGTAAATAGCAATGCTCACTGTGCCCCAATAGCCAATTCCACGTTATATGACTCGCCAATGAAATTCCTAAAGTGGGTGGCAGACGCCGCCGCTGAGTGTTTTGGAGGAAAACATACAAATCGAAACATAGGGAAATGGAAAAAGTCGTTGTAAGGAGTATATGGTATTCTTGCTTTTACCGTTTCCACCATCCGTTTCAGAAATCCTGAGGGGGGAAGAACTTGGGAAAAGTAAAAAAAAAAAAAGAAATCCAATGTATCAGACGTCTATGCCGCCGAGGGTTTCAAATCTATGCCCATTCCCACCAGGGAGGAAACCATGGGGAAACCCGGCCTGTCGCGCCTTCTGGTTATTGAATTACAGAAGGGGATGGCGTTAACTCTTCCAAGCCATTCTCCCGTGGACGCCAACTCTTTCTATGTATAAATATATCCGTCTATAGCCGCTTTGCCAAGTCATCATTCATTTCGTAAAATCGAGATCATGGTACTCTGGACTTGAAGTCCTACGTCCGATCCATGAGATCGCCACCGGACAGACTGCCACTTGCTGAACTCCGGCCACTATGGTTGAAGCCATCATTGGGCGCCAGCAGATCGTGAACGGCAACCTTGGGCACCTGAGGAACGGGAAGCTTCCTGCTGCCATCTGGCCGGCTTATGATATCTGCCAGCGACATGCCAGTGCGTTGGGGAGTCGAAGTGCCGCTTTGCTGAGTTTGCTGATAGTGGTTAGCCTCGAAGCTCTGCGGCTCCATAGGAGCCAGAGCTGGAGTGTGGCCTAGGGTCAAGTTTCGTAAAGTGGGCAGTTCAACTCCAGCATAAGGACGTAACCGAGGCGAGTGAGCGGGCGTTGCTAAAGGCGTGTGATCCGGAGTGGGTGATAGCGAATCGTGGGAGAAGGTGGGCGATGAGGGGGCCGTGGAGTTGGGGGAATTGGGTCTTGACCTTTTCGCGTGCCTAGGCGCGTGGGAATAGTGATCATCATGATGCTCCTCGTTTGAATGCGATCGAGACATGTGGTAGGCGGAAAGAGAAGGGAGGTAGCCTCGAGAAGCGTGGACGCTGTGCGAGTAATAGGGGTGATGCCTCGACGTATGGTGATGATGGCCGGACATATTTTCTCGCTCAACTTGGTTTGCAGCGCTCGCCAGCATGCCGATATCCATGCCTTGGTTGGTCAAGGGGCTGCAACCGTTCATTCCCCGTGAATAGTGGTGAAGCGAAGATGCCGGGAGCCCATATGTCGAGTAAGAGTGGGGTGGCGAGACGTTGGGCGAACCCAGTGTCGAGTTGGGTGCCGACTTAATGGAGCGTGGTCCCGAGGGCGGCGGCATCATGGACTCCGGGGTGAGGGAGCCGCCCATGGAGTGATGCGACCCCTGGGGATTTTTGTTTCCTCTCCTTGAGTTGGGGTTGTTATGTATCCTCGAGTGGCGGGTGAGCTCGTCCGACCGCGAGAACTTTTTACTGCAGCCTGGGAACTGGCAGGCATGGGGCTTCTCGCCCGTGTGCGTCCTGATATGCCTCGTTTGGTGTTCTAGACGGTGGAAAGCCTTATCGCACAGGGGGCATTTGTACGGGCGCGGGAGTTCGCTGGGATTCTCGGCGGGCTGACCCCCTGGTAGAGGGCCATTTGGCCGGATTACAGTGACAGTAGCCATATCGACGTCTCCGTCCTGGTCTGTCTGATTTCCAGCAGGATAATTTGTTTCCCTTTGCGGGGTTGTCGTCGTCGTGGTTTCCGGATTCAGCAGGTTGGAAAAATCCACTGCTGACTGTGAGCGTTGCATGTGATCGCCGGCCAAGGGGGCACCGGTTTCCTCAGAGCGGATGTCCTAGATTTGGCGGCGGCGGAGCGACGGGATAAATCTGTCCCTTTTTGAAGTTCGGCCCTTGTGTACTTTTATTTGAAAATCGTTGGCAGTCGACCCAATTTCCAATGACCAAGCCGGAGCAGTTTGAGATTGCCGTCGAGGGTTGTTGTAAATTTTTCTTGTTTGCTGGTTGTGGTCGCTGTAAGTCGAGTCGATGTATGGTGTCTATGGGGGGTACGGCAGAACTTCAGAGGGGAATAATTTGGGGGGAAGGGGGACGCTGGTATGGTTTTAAATGAGTCGGGCGGGTCGGAAGACAGCGAGTGCCAAAAAAATCGTGGAAGGCAGACCTTGTCTACAGGTGGGAAGTACCCAAGTACGTACTCAAGTACCCCAATGCAAAAGCACGCCAGAATGTGGGTGGTCCCCCCCCAAAAAAAAGATCCCCCCCTTCGCTCCGCACCCTGCCTTGCAGGCCCGATTGATGATTCTAGGGGGGATGCGTGGGTGTTGAGTGGATGCCCAGAGTGGGTACTGGACACAAGGCCTGGGGCAGCCACCGGGGATCCTGAGACCCCTGAGGATGTGCCATTGTGGAGGGGAAGCTTGTGAACACCACCTCAGAATTGCACTGAAGCCGCCCAGCAAAGGCGTCACAGGCACACAGGGAACGTGAAGCGCCAAGCTCAGACTGCCCAGACACAAAAAAGACACATTGGGGGTGTGGTGAAACGAGCCGCTGACCTCGACATGCACACTCCCTTTGATCTTGCACGGGCGTGTGGACAAAGGGAGGGCCAGTGGCAGCGACCGAGGCTGTGAGGCAGTCATGCTTGGCTCGACGGTCGTGGGGTGAAGCTACAACTTTGAATGGCAAGTGTCTGATGTGGCTTGTTGATTTCGCATCCCTCACCGAGTCTCCAGCTGATCTCATTCTCATTGATTGGCCTCCCCGTCTTGTTGTACACAAGAAATGTCAATCCTGCCGGCTCGTGTGGGTGTTTGCTACTCGATCCGCCTTCCCAGGGTCCATACAGCAGTGTGGCTCCATGGCGGAGATTCGGTCTCTTTTGATAGTGTTATTCGGGCTACGTGCGCTTTGACAAGCGACATGGCCATTCATCTATCCTTCGGTGCATTGCTGAATTAAGCCTTCATGCAATCCAACAGCCGATTGGCATGGGCAACGTCTCAATCATAGGTTGGAGATTGTATGAATTCGGATCGTGGAGGATATTGAACAATACTACTGCGAAGACATCGAGGATCGCCTTCTCACCAACGTACCGCGATAAGCGGCCCGGATGGTGTATTTCACTTTTGATTGACAAATTATTCTTAATTGAATACAAGGAATCTGGCCATGGAGCAGGTTGGATCAGGTCATCAGATTCCATAGAAAATATTTGTTCTTTATGCCTGTGCTATAGTGTGCTAATTCTCAGAGTATCGCCGGTATCGATGAATTTCGTCTCAGATAACAATTTGAGTATTTTCGTGACATTCCAAAGCTGCAGCCATTGCCATTTTCAGTTCCGACACTTCATCCGTCCCCCACTAGCGTTATCATCTGCCTTCCCAACTTGGGTGGAATATTGACGCTGCGTCCGAAAACTCACGACAGTATGGAGAACGTGGGGCCGGTCCTCGGCGGGATGACAACCTAATGGGGGTGACATTAGCCGATAAGCCAGGCTTGCCAGAGCGAGTTGGAAGTGAAAGATGGAGTACAGCGGACCGACAGAGAGAATCTGGATATACTGGCGAGCCGACCAAGAGAGTGCTAGCGATGGTCGGCCATCAAATTTTGTCTGGCTTGCTTCCGTTATCTAGGTTGCGCATGGCTGAAGCCAAAGCGCACGCAACGAGGATACGATACATTCCGGTGAACGAGATAGCCGCGGACAGTCAAGCCGGCCATGCTCGAGGCCATCAGTCCAGCACCGATTGGGAATATGGGGGATCAAATTCTCCCATCATTACCTGTTACGGCCTCACCTGGGACAGCCCGCGACGACATCATTTTCGAATGCTGGCCTATCATCGAGGGTCGTGGCCTCCCCACAGAAACTAGAAACTTACCTCCCACTCTGAAGTTTCCCCGTACTATGTAGAGTTCCATAATCTCCCCATGGATCATCAGGGGCCAAGGAGTTACAAGGAACCAGGGCCCCCCATACGTGGCACATTGTAACCAGGCTTATCTGCCTGACGTTCGAGTCAGTGAAGGATTGGGAAGCTGGCAGCTGGTCCCCGGCTACATTCTCGGAATGCTGTTGACTCGATGACGATGAGGTCCGAAGTCGAGTCAACACGATACCACGAAATTGAGGCAGCTGAGAAGAAAAAACCACGGGGTCGCAATAGAGTAATCATCGGAAAACTATCGAAATGGGCTCCCGTGTCGCTTACGGCAACTTATTGCCAAGCCTTTCTTTCAAGCCAAAACGTGGGGGGACCCAACATGTCACTCAGCACCATTTGATCGGCGTGTTATGAATTATTGCATACATAGTACGGTGATGACGGGTCTCTCGCGATCAGATTGCCATTGATGACCATCTGACAGTAGGCACATTGCTTCCGTTCCAGGATTACTGACAACCACCCGTCGTTTTGTCATATTTGGTCTTGACTGCCACACATCGTACCTGCACGTGGGCATCGTTGCATTCACAAGATTCTGGGGAAGGGGAAGATCTCTACCTTATCCGACTGAAAAGGCGCGTTACACCGGACTGCAAGCCAGAGGAGATATCCGGGAATCTGTGACCTTCCGGCACAGACAATGATAATGCCGAAGCCTTGATTTCAATGCAGTAACACCGGGAACGTCTACAATGACAGGAACTCTTTTCTTTTTCTTTCTTTCTTTCTTTCTCTCCCTCAACAGACATATACATTTGCTTTCACAGCCGAAAGTATGTCTTGTGGCTGTGTGATACCCCACGGTAATGTTGGGTATATCCGGTTGCCTCCCCACATTCGTTATGGTGCCACTGGATGGTCAAATACGAAGCATATTTAATTACCACACTGGCAACGCCAGCAATATCGCGCCCCACCAACCACTCATTTACTGTGTATTGCAGCCACGGTGGACTCGTCCGCTTGTGGAAACGCGAGGCACAAGACGTGTGCCAGTTTGGCGCGGTGCTTTGATGCTCGTAAAACCAGCGACGTCAGGCAAGGCCAAGCAAGGAATCTATGGCGTCGATGAGTCGCGATCGTGCTGCTGTCATGCTTATTACAAGTATGGATACCAATCTGAGGGCATTTCCGTCGCGGGGTCACGATACCAAGGGAACCGGATCGCTTGAAGCCCTGTTCAGTTTGCTAGCCTCGCCCTGCTCTTCTGTTATTGGAGCGCTTTCCGAGCAGTATGCCCCCATTAGGTTATCAAAAATGCTACGACCAGGACACGTCTGGGCGGCTCCGGGAAAAGCTACGGAGTCTGGTTATTCACTAATTTACCCCGGACGACACGACAGACATCCATGGATGTCTGATTCGAATTGTTGCTGGCGCTTTCCAACGTCCTCCGCATTCCTTTCCCCTTTCCCCAGGTTGCTTATGTCTCTATCGGGGATATCCAGCCTAGTTCACCACACAGCAGACTGCACTAGACGCACCTAGGGTCCATCAAAAAGTCTTGGCCCTTCTAGAACTCTGCTTGCAGGAGCTTCAAGTTGACACCTCAGCTTTTCCAAGTTTCCGGGTGCGCCGATAGCACTGGGATTTACAAATACCGTGTCGTGGTACGAAGTACAAATACTTCGTACGAGAAGCTCAATCACCAACCCCAGACGGCTCGCCCCATCGCACGAGTCAGCGACGGTGTGTGTGTTCCTTCCCAGGCTGCGATGGAGGATGATGATGCGCAGTTCAGCAATCTGGACGCAAGCATTTTCCAAACCGGGGTCCGACGATGTCATCATGGCTCTATGACTTGCCCATTATTCCCATACAGCCCAGAAAATGTCTTCAGTGACCTCAGTCAAGGTTAAACCCAGTCCGGCAGAGAATCCGCGAATAGCTGCGATGGAGGGCGGCCAAGCTGGCTTTCAACATCCTGACGAGCCGCTCAGCCCGTTTTCTGGCTGCACTGATCTTCCGCTACACAAGTGGGCCGCATAATTCAATTCGCCGGCCACCTGCGTACTACCCGGAAATACCTTCCAAAGTCGCAATTGGAGGCTCGTCCCTCGTTCCGAGCCACTTGACTTGCGGAATGAAATGGCCTCCTCACCAAGGCCAGTTTTTGGAAACCAACCAGGATGTCCCCGCCAAGGAGATGCAACAAGATTACCAACCGTGGCCCTGGCTTGCCCTGGCAGCTTTCCCAATTTTACATTTTTCCCCACTACACCAGCCAAGCCCACGTCGTCGTCGTGCCGAGTTCTCCCGAGCCCTCCCGATTGTCCGCCTTCGGACTCGCGAAGTCCTCGCGATATCGATATTAAAGAGCCCGTCTGGGGCTGCAAGATAAGGCCGTTGTTGCTCCGCGCACGGGGAAATTGTGGAACTCGGCTGAGTACCTACACCATGCACCCACTCACCCACGCACGCATCCACGCACGCCGGCTCTCAACATGCTACGATGCCGTGCGAGTCGGCCGACTCAAGTAGCCCAAATAGCCAAACATCGTGTTACTAATATCCCTCAAGTTACGAGCAAGTATCACATCACCACATTGACGGCCCCTAAAACATGTGGTTTCACTGAATCAGAATTGAAACTATCCCCCGACGGCAGCGAACGTACCTTGCAGGAGCTGCAGAGCAAGCCTTGTCGAAGATCTGATAGGGCATGAACTTGGGGACTTGCAACCGTCTAAACCAGGATAGCTGGCCGCAATGGCCAATCACCAACGCCAGATGTTCTCCACGATGAGAAGTATATGGGGCTGTCAGCCGAGAGTGGAAGCGCCAGAATCGTGAAATTCAGTCCCGCGTTTTCCGTCGGCATTCGGCATCACGGGCTAGCCGCCAACCGCGCTGCTTCCTCTTCTCCGGCGTCTTTCGACAACGTACGTTCCTGACACGACCCGTTTCCCATTGACGAAACCAATGCTCCACGCTTACTGTCTTGCGTCGACTTACAACCCCGACTTAATAGCCCGTCGCGATCTTTCCCTGAGAAACATGCTGGAGAACGGGGCGGGGCCGCACAAGCTCCCTCGGATTACTGCAACGAGCATAGTCAAACAAGGCGGCTCTTTGTCGGTGCATTAGACCGTTATCAGCCACCTTGCTACCATGTTAGAGTAGAGTATATGGAGTACGCCCAGGGCACCTCGGGGTTATAAGAGGAGCTGCACCGTACTGTGGGGTTCGGATAGCTTCGTCGTTGTTCGAGATTTTGCCTTGGGAAAAAGGATTTCAATTTCCATGCGGGGCGCACGACCAGCTTCACCTCGGTCCTATTATGTCTGGCGCGATTATCTCCAGCAGATTGCAAATCCTGCCAGCGAAACTTCCCTGTTCAGTGGGAAAGTTATGGTTGATGAGTCGCCACTCATGCAGTAGAAGCGGTCGGGTATATGCTTCAGTCGTGTACGAAGTGTGCAGAAATAAAATAATGTATGCGTAGGGCACATGCTGTACTATTGTTCTCGTAAACCTGATGCTGTCATCTACAACTGATTGGTTTTCCCTGAATCGAGCACACGGAAGTATGGATCTTCATGACAATTTCATGACAATCTGCAAACCAGACCATTTGCTGGGTATCTTGGCACTTCTCCGCTGACACATCGGCTAGCAGGACATGGGGTTGTGGAATTTTTTTTTGTCCCCACGGTCACGACTCGAGAGTGACGACGCTCCCCAGGCCGGTATGGACTCTCAATGGATTAGCGGCGAGTAGTGCAGGGAGGCTGAAAAGAGAGTCGTCTCAAATGTCATGCGAAATCCCACGACAGTTATGCTGCTCTGTATGTACGAAATACGAATTATGAAGTAGCTTTTGGTGCTCATACCCGCAGTGTCAGAGAGATCGACGCCTTCCATTTTGGGAACAATACATTTCGTAGGCCATTAGCCAGTTGCGGGTTATGCTACTTCGTAAGTAGGTGATGTCAAGTGTGCGACGTAGAATCATGAGCAACCAAAACGGAAATAGCATTGGACGTGACCCCGGCCCTCCCGCAGCGGCATTGCCTAAATTGAACACAAGCAATCCCGACCGTCGGGAGATCGGCGCTGAGGCTGAATTACCATCACAACAATTGCATGCTCACAAACCGAGAAAGTCATCGACATTCTCGTTGCAACATCAGGCGCTCCTAGACTACATCTAAATACCATACCATTTACAGGCCTCCGACTCAGCTGCATCTGATTCGCCATGGATAGCCTTCCGGCACATGGAACAGAAACGCCCAAAGCCGACTTGGCGTCCACTCGTAAGTTGCGCCTGCTCTTACGGGCACTATAGACTTGCTGAATGCCTTTAGACCGGCTACCCACCGTTTCGGCTGCGGATGCGCTCGAGGAGCTGCGGATTGATCGGACGCGATTTATTTCAACTGGACTTGATGCGCTAGACCAGAACCTCGGCGGTGTTACTGCGGGCGCCGCCGACGCTGTTTCCTGTCCTCGTGGCATCCAGAAAGGCCAAGTCGTCGAGGTTTGGGGTCCGCCTGGATCTGGCAAGACAGCTTTCGGGTAAGTAGACATGCCCGCACAGCAGCAGCATCAGGATCGAACGAATGGGTTTCTGACCATCACTGGCAGCATCCAGGTAGCTGCCAGCGCCTTGCGGAATGGTGGCAAGGTCGTATGGGTAGGTCAGTTTCTCTGTGCATAACAGCACTTTCAGCAATACCTATATGATGGCTGGATCACGTGGGTGTTGATCTGTTGCGCCTCGCTGAACCTCGACCAGACGCATTTCGCTCCGTTTGTGGGACCAGAATTCTTGAAATAATGGAAGATGCCGACGAAGGCGGAGATGAATCAAACCGCAAACAGCTGGACAGTCTGCTTCATTTCACATGCCCCAGCCTTGCACACTTTATTGCGCTTCTTTGTAGACCCACCGCGTCTTGTATACCTGAAGCCGCATCACTGCTAGTGGTGCATTCCCTTTCAGCCCTTCTGAGCCAGTCTTTCCCAAGAGTCCAGGAGGCTCGCAATGGCCCAAAAGGCGGTAAGATGCTCCCCAAATACTCCCACCATGCCCAGCCAGGAGGCTGATGTAGCTCCTTTAGCCCGGCGGTTACAAGTGCTCCAAACCATCATCTCCAGTCTTCAAAAGCTCGCTGCGACTCGAGATATGGCGGTCGTCGTTTTAAGCCAATGCGCAACTAGAATGCAACCGGAACGCGGTGCTACACTCGTACCATCTATCAATGCTGGGGTGTGGGAACACGGAATCGCTACACGTTTGGTCACTTTCAGAGATTGGATATTCAAAGACGGTGCCGCATCTGGAGCCCATTCCATTGCTGTGCAAAAATTGAACGGAAAATCCCGTCGAGGACGGATCGGACCAACTTTCTGCTTTGATGTTCAGGCTGTAAGTGGCATTCCCTGGAGGATGTCTGCCATTGTCACGAAACACTAAGTTACAGCAGACAGGACTTGTTCCCATCGAGTATGACGATAACCAGCCCTCTATAACGCTCTCATCAACACCACTCCCCAAGAGGAAACTCGGTGAAACGGATTTCGAGATCGCCGACAGCGAGGACGAAGACTATGGATGGGAAAACGAAGATGAGACGGAAATGCCGCCTAACCCGGTGAGCAACCTCCACAAGCATATTCCCCATCTCCGGAGCAAGCGTGGCCTCGATTAATCCGGTGGACGATGCTTTGCTCTTCGAGACATGATATGGAATTATCACCTAGCTGCCGGATTGTTTTGACTCTACTTTGCACGTCAACTAATATTTGTGGTCGCAGTCCCAATGGCAAGGTAGTGAGGACCTTGACATGGGCCAGCCCGACGATGAAGGAAACCGCACGGACGACGCTCCTGAAGGCCACTCCACTGACGAAACAGAAGCTCATCTCGACCCCATCACCAACGAAAGTCCTTCTGATGACAGTTCAGTGGCCTGGCTTGGGCCTTCAGCTTCGTGAAGCTTAAACAGACTTCACCCGAGACCGCGGCCAGCTTGTTTCTCTTCGAAAAAGACTCGTCATTTCACCATACCCGGTATTATAGCGGGTACCTGATTGCTGGCCCGCCCGTTCTTCAGGGAGACGTGGTCGGGCGAACGGGCAAACGGGCGAACGGAAACCTCCATATCGATCTGGAACCATAAAATTCGGCCAAATGTCGGCTGCCTCCGGCTTTATTCCACCATGTTGGGCCGTGAAACGTGATGTTTCTAGCGATGCGAGCCTCGGTCGACACTGTCCCAGCCTTAACCATTCAAAGTCTTTTTCTGCTCGATGCTTACGACTTTAGTTTCCAGCAGCGGACTGGGACTGGCGCTACGTATACAAACTACTACGACCTGAGTTGATGAAATGATATGTATACTAGTATTACATGCATGATAGTCCCACACCTCCCTAAAGGACGGGCGGAAACTGCCGCTCTCATATTATATGCACGATGAGAAACAAGGTCGTTATGGGTCGACCCATGTGGAGACCTTGGACGATGTACCGTATGCATCTGGACCACGTTCGAAGCACCTCTATTCGTCGACTTATCAGTAGATACTCACGCACGGAAGAGTTCGAGGCAAGAAACCTGCTCAACCGCTGCAGTATCCTGCAAACCACCGTGCTAAACGGTTGCATTACATCGGCGCAAGTAAACCGGCAGGCAAGTCTGGACGAGGGGCAGCTTGTTTTCTTTTCAGCTACGATATGAGTGCCGATGCAATCTTCAGTGGGCCGAAATACAGGGAAGCTTCCTAAGTAGCCAATAGCGACATGTGATACCTGAATTTCCCGATGCAATGCATCAGATTGGAGCGATCTGTATTTTGGCTCATCGCGGCAGGGATGACTACGCTCTAGTGAGAGTTAGACTGTCTAGGTATATCGCGAACGTATCCAAGCATGCTGACTGCGCAAGGGAATCTGCCGCGGTCCTACGGCGCACCATCTCAATAGCGTTTCCCTACGCATAGTTGATGACTTCGCAGATAAGCAATGTATTCTGCCATGGACTACCTCGAGCTTCAGCGCAACGTAGCGTATGGAGGTTGAACTTCACTGTAGGCAAACACCCACTCGGATTCCTACAGTTCATGTCGAGTGATATCGCCCAGATGTGGTCGCTGAATAGTCCCCGTTCGGGTTGACGCTAGCCCTGATTGCTCTGCGATCTCGTTTGTTTGTCGTAGCAAAACAAATTCGGGCTCCGACCGTATCGACAAATTTCCGCACAGCGATGGTCAAACCGGCACCGAACGTGACCAAACCGGCAGAGCCTCTGTTTACCCTGTGCCATCAGAAGGATATAAGGGTTCACGCTAAACGCACTGGACTGGGCTCCGACGGGATGACAGCCAAAGCTCCTTGTCGTCACGGCTGGACGCACGGGGTATCGCTGTCGGCCAATCAAGAGGCATGGCATCCCAGCGGTTGAGGTCGCCAGATTGCTGCGGCTAAAAGACTGAGACTAGTGCTGGGCTGCATGCCATCTGCTGTTGGGCGGCAGTGGTCCTTCGGTAGAGTCATCAGTTTGGGGAACGTAGAAGCGGCTGCTGGGGACGGCTGCAACTCCGATGTCCCATAATGACGGATACTGCTTACTCTTGAATAGCGACGAGATTTACTGCTTAATTTTAATATTAGTAAATTCCTATAGTGACAACACGTAGTAAGGGCCCGCAGGTTTAAGGTGAAGATAATAGTAACGGACAAAAAGATTCTCAATAAGATCTTCTGATTTTTTCAAAAAAAAATAATCTCGTTTATCATGCTGTCCTATGCAAGGCTGCGGCTTATGAAGATCCTTAACGCCTTGTGTACTATGCAATGTATACCGGAGCATAAAATCGGACGCGTTTTTGATCCCTATATTACACGATTCAAGCTCTGTGGTTTTGTCGAATATCACATTCCGGTGCAAGCTCCCGTTATAAGAAATCAACTCCTGACGGAAAGAAAGCCTCCTTTCAAGGTGCTATTGTAAATGCCTACTTACTAGGTAATAGCCAGTGGATCGTGATTATCGGCAAGATTTCTATCCGTCGTCGCTTTAGGGCCAATGATTTGACCGCCGTAAACGCGGCGACCGCGAGACGGATGTCGTCCAGTACACAAGTATGGTAAGCCATCAGTGACAACGCATTTCAGATTCTGCCGCCTGCCGCACGCCTCAGGATCTTGCACCCTTGACACCTGAAGTGTAGGATTCATGGATGACGTCTCACACATGTGGATTCGCCGGCGGGAGAGACCTTCCAACCCACAAGTAGCATCTCTTCGACCTCTCCTTCAGTAATGAAGCCGGAAAGTGCGGCGAGAAACAGAGGTCATAGGCTGTGTTGTGAGTAGCTAGGTCTCAGTATGATAAGGCTACTTGCTCTAAGGTTGTACAAGTAGTGTCTCAGGGCGTCCAACTCAGCCGCAGGTTCTTGGAGGACGAGAGCGATAGCAGATCTGGAAGAAGCGATTTAAGTAGCACGACAAGCTGTTGAGGCCACCTCTCAAGGCTCTCTAGACCGGGCCGAGCGATTAAGCAATCTTCGAGTTCGACTCGGTAACAGGTTCTCGAGGACGGGAGCGATAGCAGATCTGGAAGAGGCGATTCAAGTGGCACGACACGCCGTCGAGGCCACCCCTGAAGAGCATCTGGACCGGGCTGGACGGTGAACCAATCTTGGTGTTCAACTCGGCGACAGGTTCTCGAGGACGGGAGTGATAGCTGATCTAGAAGAAACGATTCGAGTGCCCTGAGGTTCACTGTAACCTTACTGTGGGCGTGTATTTCCCCCGCGAAATTCTGTAGGCTAACCGGACTTCATTCCTTTTCTGAATATAACTATTTCTGGTCAGCTGAATCTTAAAAGGCTCAATTCAGGTCTCCTTCCTACGTACGCTTGAAAAGGCCTCCGAACAAGCAGTATGCAGTCCTTCTACACTTGTGAGAATCGCTGGGCTCGTCTGCATACTCCTTAGCACGTGCCTCCAAATCTGGTAGCTTGCCGCTTCCGTTACAGAGGTTGTTAGCGATAAATTGGCCTCCAGCCTTGCGTATTACTAGGTTAGACCACTTCTTAAGTGTTGGGATGGATTTTGCGTACCTATAAACCCCTTGTGGGAGACACAAAGAGCCTTATAGGAGCTTACAGGGCAAACGATATGTCTGCTGTAACTATATTAGTCGCAGATTTGATAGAGACCAGGCGGAGCGAATGTTGGCAGCTCTTAAATATCGCGACACTTACAAGGATAGTAGAACCTCGGCAACATTCTCCATAAACAATATATAGTCGTTATCTTGTCTATTCCGGACTGCGACGCGACTTATCCATTGCTCTTCACTGGACGCGGCTCGGCCGTATTCGTATCCACTTCCAGTCACTAACTACTTCGTAGTCCGCCGTAAAGTATACACTACTATTGACCCTTTCGATTACTGCGGATATCGCTATATTCACACTAAAGTCATAATTGTTTACTATGTTACATCAGCTTATCTTATTATTCAAAATATACACTAGGCAACAGGTAATCGAAATGCTCTTGCCGTGGTAGTTCGATACTTCACGAATTATCTATGGGGAATGCATATAATAGAACCCGGGAAGGATAGAAAGAATCGTGAAGAGTAAGCTTTCTGCTATTACTCTGTTCTGTCTACTGGCGCGTGAATTAGTGCTAGTTTAATTATCAGCGTTTCGAATGGTTGTGCCGAATATGGAGCTACGTTGATATAGAATGGTAATGATGACTGCAGTTGCTTACGTCGTTGATTGATTAACTCCTACTCGGTTCTGGCCGGTTTTATTCATAGCTTTGCCCGGCCGGTAGGAGCCGTTTAACCCGCTGAGGCGGCCTAGATAAAAGCCGGAACCACTTCGCCATATTCCGAAGAACATGACTAGCTCGTCGTAATTCCTACCTTGTGATCTAAAAGATACTAATGTACATTCACTGCGTTCGGTGGGCACGAGTTCAGCCGGACGGCTACGCTCGAGCTAACCCGCTAATTGTATTGTTGAAATGCTTAAGGTAGTCCAGCTGGATTTCGAAGTCGTGAAGCCATGTTCAGCGCTCGTGAACGCGATATTAGCGTCGATTTCGGCGTTGGCCTATGATGCTATAGGCCAGGTCTTGAAAATGCAGAACGCTGAAATGAGTTCGCTAAAAGCGCTGCAACCACTAATCACCGTACTGGACTCGCGGTTGGCGAAATCACACATCGCTGGAGGAGGCTTGTTATCGTAACTGATCACAGCCACTTCGCGATAGCTAGTTACGCAGCCAGTGCGAATACCGGTCTCGTCGACATTCCAACCACAGTGGACTTGTATGTTAAAATTCCCTCATCGTGAGCCTTCTTAGCTCAGAATGGCCGACAATCTAGTCATGCTGATCTTGCGCAATCATTTTCTTGATGTCGAGTCCTCTGCAGTAGCCGGAGAATCTCTGGGCGGTCCTTCCACCACTATGTCACCCAGGTCTCGCTATAAGACTCCCTAGGACCAGTATTGCGCGCCAGCAGTTCGTTTTACAGCTGCTTTCACCATCGATCGATCAGCTGGGAAGCCTCCTTTGCCCATCAAATCCACGCATTCGGTTATAGCGCGGTGACGGAATGATGACACCTAGAGCTTACTAGCAAAACACTTGTGTTCGCATCATTCATGACCCTGCGTCTTGATCTTCAGGAATGGTACGAGGAGCAGACTGGCGAAAGTGGACGCCATAGCGCACCAAAATGTTGCAGCATACGGCTCAAATGGATCATGTGCGTAGTAGCCGGTAGCCGCAGGATGCTCGGAAACACTTCTGAAGATTGCGGTATAGATGCTGAGGCCAATCGTGACCGAGAGCTTCGTAGCTGTTTGAAAAATAGAGCCGGCGATGGACTGTTGCGATTTCGGCAGCGAGGACATGACGTACATCTGAGGCGCGTTGAATTAGGCACAGTGTGCAAGCGAAGGGGAAAATTTACATGGCACTCACATTGGCGACGTTGAACTCGAGATCAGCGCCTACGACAACGATGGCCAGGGACGGGAACGTGAATGCCCAATACGAGTCACCGGAGCGCTGGACTGCGACGAGGAGGAAGGCGACGGTGTATGCAACGGCTCCTATGCCCATTAATAGCTTGTTCGAAACAGAATGCAGCACCAGTCCGGCAATGATCTAGTACGAAGTATTAGTATCATGGACGCAAATTGGTTGAGCCTTGAAACTCACATTGACGATTATTCCACTGATCACCATGGGAAGCATATGTATCGCTGTCATGAGCGCAGAGTATTTCGATAGCTCTTGGAGATACAGTGCGACAAACAACGTCATCGGCGGAAAGGCGAGGAACCCAAGCACCAATATTGCCATGAGCTGGACATAATTAGCACCAGGCCTACTCAGCAACATCGTGAACATACTAGAGAGAACTCCCTGTCGCGCCAGATATTCATCGGCATGAGGGGATACGGACAATGGCACTCCCACCATACGAAGACGATGATCATCAAGACGCCTAATATGAGGAATACTAGCACGTATGGAGTTTTCCACCCCTGAGGAGCATCAGAGCCGATACTGAGAAGCACTCGTCAGCTTGCATTGTCTGATTAGGTTAACTTGTGATACTTACCTGAGGCCGAATGACAAAAGACCAATACCGCTAATCGTCAAAGCAGTACCGGTGACATCGAACTGCTTCAGCGATTGAAGCGACAGAGGAAGCTTATCGCTGTAGTCCACAGGAACGATGAAGTAGGCTATAATGGTTACGACGAAGTAGATGATGGCAAGAAGCCAGAATGCCGCACGCCAACCGAAAAGCTGCGTCGCGATTCCGGCGAAAATGGAACCAAACACGAAGCCGAGCGGATTGCCGGCGCTGAAGCAGGCAAATGCGTAGTTCCTCCTCTTACAAGGCTGGTCGTAAATACTGCCGAGGATGCCTTGGCAAGTCGGGACAGTCGCTGCGCACACCAGGCCCAAAACTCCGTTCAGGACGTCTAGAGTGATCGCGTTGCGCGAGAAACCAGTGGCTAAGGCGAAGACCGCGAAGAGGAAAAGACTGACGATGAAGATGGTTCTTCGGCCGAACAGGTCCGCAACTTTGCCGAAGAAGAGGAGAAATGAGCCTGAAGTTAAGCTGTCAGTACGTTAGTATCTCAAACATCTTAGGGGAACCCAGTTCGAGCGACTAACGCTGAAGCGGCTGTCATCCATGTTATTTGAGACGTCGTCATGTTGAGGTCGCTCCCCACGAAAGAGGAGATGACTATGGTGCATCCTTGAAGAACACTGGGCATGGCCGCGCCCATCGTCGCTACTAGGATGAAAAGAATCTCCTGTGTAGTCGAGCGGAAACATTGTGGACGAGCGCTTGACCGAGGGAGCAGATCAAATACGGTGGTGAGTTGTTCTGGCTTCTGCTGCTTTTCGGCATCCTTGGTGCCGGCCATAACCATAGACGGCTCAACTGAAGCCATATTTGGAAACCTTGGGAAGGTAGGGACTAAATCAGGATACGACCACCATTGAAACGGCGTCAATCTGAGGAACACAGACTCGCCCCCACCGCGCTTTTCTACAAATCCCTTTTCTGTAGGTTGGTAGGTACTAGTACCAACGCGTAACATAACTGTGGGGCGCAAACGCCGACTCAGGTGTAGGATATCCGTAGAGGCCTGCAGTTGACTTGGGAGGAATCTGTGCACCGTGCCTTGTACAGCGGCTTTATCCAACAGTTCCCTTCGCCTGTTGAGGCTCCAGCTGTTTTAATGACCTGTTAAGGTCTTATTCTGTTCATCGTGCCTGCTGAGACCATCATTCGTACCTGTTGAAGTACTTTTGTTGTCCAAGTCGATCTGTTCCAGCCTGTTGAGGCCTTGTTCTGTTCATCTGCTGAGGGGATCCTATTCTAGAACCTGTGAAGACCCTATTCTGTTCAAGCCTATTAAGGCTCAGCCGATTATTCGTATCTACGTGTACTAAGGTACTTTTGCTAATCTGATTAGAGCGACAAGGCTCTTGGTTTATGTTTTGGCGTCCGTCTCCATCATCTTCACCTTAAACCTACGGGCATACACTATCCGTCGTCACTAGGCTTATCGCGTAGTACTTATAGCGTAGTGCTAACTGCTATAATAAAGGTGATCCTTCGCATATTAGCTGTCTTAGTGCTTACGAACTTCGTAAGCTAGTAGCTAGCAGTTAAAATATTATCGAGTCTAACTATTTAGAATATGGTTTGTGTGACGCCGGTCACGCGCTGCCCTTTTCCTTATAATGTAGGAAAGGGCACTTGCATTTAGATCTCTTTCTCTCTCTTCTTCAGTTTAGTATTCGTCAACAGAGATAGACTGATGTCGCAACCCTGATTCGAACTTGCAGTGCCTCTGCCGTGTCACAATTTGGCTATACTACGTTTAGGCACAAATATAGGTAGAACCATGGCGCGTTACCTGTTCCATGTCCCAGAAGCGCCCCTGTCTAGTGCGGTACACACCAAGTTTCTCGTCTCGATACAGCAAATACAGTTATAGCCAAAATTAATGCCAAAATAGGTCAAGTGGCATGTTGGCAGTCGACAAACGAAAAAGCTATGTGCCGAATCGACCCTTCAGAGGCAGCTGGACACGCTGCCGATCAGGACCTAACGCTACCCGGTTAGTGAAGAGGCTGCTTTCATATCCGATCGGGTTTTCCGAGGACGCGGGGATTCCCTTCTTCCACATATAACATGCTCAGCGAGGTCACCCGAAAGGAGGGAGAGTCATGCAGATCTCAGATTGATTATCACTAATTCTGATCCAGAGCTGCAATGGCCGCTTCTGCCTTGGCGCAGGGATTTTGACAGTGTCCTCAGTCTCCCTAATATACTATGTACTCTCCAAATCTTAAAGTTGTGGTTCCCGATCGTGGGGCGCAAAGCGGACAGGCATTTTCCTTGTATCTTGATTGGCTTTGCGGCAGGTCCCGGATTATCGGGCTCGTCTTCGTGCCGGTAAGCCACTTTTTTGAGTTTTAACAACAAGGCGTAAAACAAATATAGTCGTCGTTGTAGGAGATATAGAAGCTTGGCTACGTCCCTTCATATTCGGCGAGTCATGGGTGTGCTACCACCTTGGTGATACGGCCGCGGGGTCCCGAGTATAGCAAAGGATCAAGTACGGAGTAAGCTGAAAGGTTTGTTGATATAAAGGAGTATTCCCGGCTTCTTGGTGGCGCATTCTTTTTCTTCGTAGGTTATCCGAACTTCTTCAGTCACTCATTTATCCGCCTTGGCAACTTGGCATTTTCACGCACTCTTGTATATATCGGTTGTCAGTTGCTACGCAAGCGCATAATTGTCCAAAAGTCGTCACCATGCGTCATTCATGCCTCAATCTCCTTGCCGGCTCGGCCCTATACGCGGTTTCATGTAGCGCCGTCAACCTTTTCACCGCCGACTCGGGTGGCAATGTGACCAGTCTCACCCTTTCGGGCTCGGGGAGCAACTACAGTCTCTCTGTGGCTTTTAAGACGGCAGATTGCGAGGCCAATCCGGCGTGGTTGGGAATAGACAGCGCCAGCCGGGTGCTCTACTGTCTGGACCGTGGAGGAAGTTCATCGATCAATGGGTCGCTGAACTCCTTCTCCATCGCGGACAGCGGCGCGCTGACGCGGATCGCGCGTGTCGACGCTCCGTTGAGCGGTGTTTCAGGGGGGATCCTCACTACCAGTACCGGGGCGCGGGCTCTCGTCACTGCGTCATAGTAAGTCCTTCCTTTTGCCGTCAGATAAACTGGCTGCTACTCTGAAGAATCGGTTCATCCGTTACTATTGCCCTTGCCCAGTCGGTTATCAAATAGAACCGAGACAATGAAGCTAACCATCCCCCAGTAACAGAAGCGCCGCAGCGGTCTTCACCTTAGGCGATGACGGCGCCCTGCCCGGCACCGGCCCCGTCCAGTTGTTCTACCCTACCCTGAACCAGTCGGGCCCTGTCACTGCCCGCCAGAGCCTGAGCTACCTGCATCAGGTGCTCGTGGACCCCACGAACCAGTTCCTGCTGCTCAACGACCTGGGCGGCGACCGGGGCCGGGTGTACACTTACAACAACAGCACTGTGGCGCCCATCACCGAGGTGGCCGGCCTCGTGACGGACCCCGGCACCGGGCCCCGCCATGGCGTTTTCCGCAAGATGGCCAACGGAGACACGTTCTATTTCTTCAACGGCGAGCTGGACCAGAAGGTGTACTCGTACCGGGTCCAGTACCCAGCCAGTGGCGGGATGGCGTTCGAGAAGGTGTTTGAGATATCTGCTATTGATGCGGCGTTGCCCGAGACGACTTCGCCGACTAGTGAGATCGCCATGACTGTAAGTTCTCGTGAAGTTCAAAGTTAACAGGGCATCACCACCAGTGGCTAACTCTAATAACCAGCCCGACGAGCGCTTCCTTATCGTCTCTAACCGCGACATCTCCTTCGCAGAATCCACCATCTACCAGACGGCCCCCTCAGACAGGCTATCCACCTTCTCCATCGCCGAGGACGGCACGCTAGAGCTCGTGCAGCTCGCGCCCTCGGGCGGCTACTCCCCACGCCAGTTCAGCATTAACAAGGCCGGCGATCTGTTGGCTGTCGGACACCAGACCAACAAGACCGTCGTTATCTGGAAGCGCGATGTTGAGTCGGGTAAGATTATCCTCGAGGAAGAGGGTGGCAAGGTTGGGGAGGTGAAACTTACCGGGGCCGTGGTAGTCGCTATTTGGGACGAGTAGGGAGTTGTGGTACATAGAGTAAGAATGGAAACATGTCCTAAAGACATTTTGTGATTAATACTTTGAATCTGCGGCCGAGACTGGTTCCCCCACCCCACCCCCCATACTGTCTGTCTCTTATGGCTGGCTCCATAACCATGTCTCACATCATATACCCTGACGTAAATGCTTTTTGTATCTTCATGTCGTATAGCAATATTTCTAATCTGTGCTTCACTACCTCCCCCATATCTGCCCCTCAACACGACTCGTAGGACCCGTGGTACTCTGTGGACTCTTCCCCTTCTTAGCCGTCGCGCTCTTCCCCACAATCTTTTCAGTCCAGTTCCAAACGGGGCTCCCCGTCCTCTGCGGAACCTCCTTCCCCTTATCCTCATGCGACTTTCTCCGGGGCCCCCCCCGTAAGCCAGATCCGCGTCGCCGTCGCTGTCATCCCCGCTATCGGCCCAGTCGCGGTCGCTCCACGTGACCGAGTCGAGCCTATCGTAGCTCGGCCGCGGCGGCGACGATCCCGACGAGTGCGACGCTTGTTCGTAGGAGCTGTGGCGGAGCGTGGGTGCAGTCTCGGGGAGCTCTGGCACGGCGTCTTCGGCTTCTCGCGCCTCCCTCGTCTCGATAGGCGTCTCGCTTCTCGCCTGGTCTGACGGCAATGGTTTAAGAGCGGCAGGCAAACTAAGGTGATGCTCTTTGTCCCCCTTTTGCCCATCGATGGCGGAAGGCGAGCGAGCGTTCATCGGCTGGTGTTCTGAGTGATCTTGCGTCGTTGTCTCAGCGCCTGTCGCATCAGGCGGCTCGTTCATGGCCTTTGCGCGCTCTTTGGTCGATTCGTCATCGTCGGGTTTCCTCGCCGCGGCAGCATCGCTGAAATGTGCGTCAACGAGGTGCTTGACGACAGGCCACCCGTGTGCGTTGGCAAACATGCGCCGCACGATGATGTTGTTGTGCGCGTCCGGCTCGAGCTTCACCAGAACCTTGCGCCAGCTTAGCCCCTTATGGTAGGCTCGCGCAATCTTCTCCTCGACACGCATGGTGGAGCTGTCCACAATTTCACTGGGGTCCCGATCCGGGTTCGTGTTGACCGGGTCATCATAGTCCTTTGTCGAGAGGCCTGAGTCCTCGTGCATGACGCCAGGGTATGGCGACGAAGAGCCACTCTGGGCCGTCTCGCGCTTCATTGATTTGAGCGACAAGGCACCCGAGCCCTGGCGTCCGAAAGACCTTCGACGATTGGCAAGGGACCCGACAGGTCGTTTCTTGAGGGGAGGTGGTGGGATGTCAGACGGCTGGTAGATGCGGTCATGGAAGATGGTTCGAGGCCGGTGCGTCGGGTCAATAAGGTAATCCACTGTTGGCAACTTGGGATTTAATAAATCGCCCGCCGATTCGAAGAAAGTTGTCCTGGGAGGAGCAGACACCCCCGTTGTTTGATCATCGCTCAACTCATGTCCAGACGTCACTTTGGATTTGCTGGAAGAAGCCGAGCTCGAAATCCCGTCATCTACCTTCAGCGTTTGGCTCCGTTGGTAGATTTTGGTCTGCTTAGGCACGCTCTGTCGAGGGGACCGTGGTGGTGGCGGAACTGGTTTCGCGGCACTCTGGCTAGGGCTTTTTTGCGAATCGCCAGATTTGAAGAAGTTCCAAAACCCAGAAAACGGACCGTCATTGTCAGTTTCCGAATTGTGAAGCTGGTCGTCCTCTTGATAAGGGCTTGCCAGATTTATACTCTGCCTCTCATCCTGCTCAGTTGCATCAATAGGGGGCTGCGGTACCGCCCGAGCGTCCTCCTGCTCCATCTCTGTCTCAGGCGAGACAGTCGGTACCGGCAGTGCTCCTGTTCCTTCCGAAGTCCAAGGTAACCTCCGGGGCGACGTGACGTTGGCGCCCGTAAGCTCAGCCCACCCAAAGCCAATAACGCTCTCAACCAGACCAGCTTCTCGACGAGCCTTCTCCACCCGTCCTAGGCCCTGCCAATCCAGGAATAAGAGACAACTTGTGCGTAGTGGCACAATGCCGTCATTGACCACGTTCGAATATACTGTTCGATTGCGGAACTTTTTGAGCGCCACGTGAGCCGGACCTGTGGGCAGAATCCGAAGTAAAGGTTTGGACTCGGGTTGAACCTCCCCCATGACCTTCTTATGTGCACTTTCTCCAAGCGTGCCAACAATGGCGCTCCAGCCACTCCTGGCGATAGTTGGCGCCCTCCAGGTGAGTCCCAGATCCTGCCCGGTCCTTCCAACGAGGCCAAAATCCAAAGCAAACTTGACGTAAAGAGGGTTCTCATTGCTCAACCCCAGTAAAGGCGATGCCAAAGTAATGAAATTGATGGGCTTAATCATGTCGAAGAATTGGGGCGAGTGCTTCTGTATATATGCAATCGCGTACATTTGTACCAGCCCGCCCAGCGAGTGGCCGATAAAGCTGATGCTAGTGATCTGATACGCCCGATCCTCTTCATGATCGCCATGGTGAATCGTACTGTGCTTGTGAGCGAATTTCCCGTCTGGGGATTTTGTTTCTGATGCGAAAACGGTGGCGATGCTCTCGGCTGTCGTCTTCACGGAGGGGAGAAAAGGCTGGTCCGGGTAGGTCAAGGACAAAATAAAACGGGCTAGCCGCTTGCCTAAGAACTTGATGCCCCTTTCCGTTCGAGTCGTATTCCCCGAGAAGCCGCGCACTATGACCTCCTCATCGTCATACTCTTCCACTTCTTCCTCCTGTTCCTCCTGTTCCTCCTGTTCCTCCTCTGCATCCTGAGAGGAACTTGCATCGGCTGTGGCTGATTCTTGGACTGGGGTCGTCTCAGGTGCGCCGCCTTTCCGCCTCACATCCCGTTCGGCCTTCTCCCGAGCCCTCCGCACTTTGGCATCAATCTTGGCCTGCCGTACAGTGGCATCGATGCTCTGCTTCAAATAGAGCATATCAGCACCTAGATTACTATGCAATCCATGTGTCAGCACGACCAAGTGCACCTTTTGCCTCTTCGTCTTCGTCTTCTTCTTGTCGCTCTCTCCATCTTTGTTTTTCCGACTGCTGGCGCTCTTGGACCGCGTGACGCTCCTCGTGGCCACCTCCTGCGATCTTCCATGATCCCAGTCATCCCAGCCCGGCAGCCGAGGCGTATTCCATAGACTGGCCGTATCTTCGACCTTGAGCTTGACAGCCCTCGAAAACACTCCCCTCGGCTGGGCCGAGTGGTGCCCGTCCTTGGCACCCACACTCTGCTGATGGTCGCTGACTTTTCCTGGCTGAGGAACTTGTGCCTGGCCCCCTATGACGAGTGTGGTGCCCAGATTGAAGCTCTTCTCATCCCTGGCAAGCAGGATCTCATACCCGACGGAAGCCGAGCTTGAGAATATGACCTGGCTGGCGACCTCGATGACCCATTTCGCGCTCGCCTCTCCGTCTTCTTGTGTGGCCCCGAAATCACTCCGCGACACGCCCAGCCCTGCGCTCTGACGTATATCATCGGGGACTATAAGCTTGCAGGTCCAGGTGCCGCCCGCCTTGAGCATGGGCTCGAACTCGGGGACGCCATAACGGTGCGGGTTTTCGAATTTCTGGTTCGGGTCAAAATGTGCTGGGTACGCGGCCACGTCGAGCGAGTAGGGGCCGTGGACAAAGGCGGCGCGGAGGGCAACGGCGGATGTATTGCGAATGCGCAGGTGCAGGATTTCGGGCGATGGGAGGATGCGGTCGGCCGAGGGAGTGTATGTCACAGTGTACCGGATCACTTCACCGATCTTGACGCTGCCCACTTGGTGGAGGAGGAGCATTGTTCTCTGTAGCTTTCAGGCTACGGTTAGGTGAAATTGAAAGACGCAATCTAAGTCAGGTTCTGAGCCTGAGCCTGGTTGAGGTAGCCAGGGCGCGCCGCAACGCCAAAAGTAGACGTACGGTGTGGAGGGGACAAGAGTACAATGACGTTGCTAGGAATGGGAAGTCATGCTGAAACACCTTCAAACACAGGGAAGCGATAAAATTATTTCAGTTTGGACTGCTATCCACGAAACAGTCGGACATCAAGAGGATTATACAGAGGTTCTATACTTATTAGATAATCATCTCCGTCAAGTCCGTACACGTGGGAGCGCGATCTGAGCAGCTGATAAAGGTTCGATAGTTTAGGGGCCCAGAAAGGGAATCCACAGCGATATTCAGGGTACGCTAGTCCGCTGATGTCATAGCGTTGCTCTCCTAAAGAAGTTTCCCACCTTCCCAAGCGCAAGCTAGGCGATGCAAGATGCATTTTCCCTGAGTTGGACAAGTCGTCTGAAACCCGTTGGAGATCAAACGTTCCTGGCCGAAGTTAGACTCTCTCCAAATCGAATTTTGCCACGTTGACTGCAGTGTAATTGCTAGATGCATAAGTGTCACGTGTGAATCTGAAGTACTTAGATCGAAATCATAACATCAGATGAACGAGACACTATGACTTATGACTGTGGGTCTGAAGTTGTCAAAAGGGAATTAATTACCTTCTCCAAGCTCAACGTTCGATGGGCTGCCACACAAGAGGGGATTTCCAATTGTGCCGTCTCACGTTCAGGATTCAAAATTCTCTTACTTGAACTCATCTTCCAATCCAAATAAATGCCACCGTCACAGGCATGCTGAACTCAGATGAGTCTCGCAAATGAAATAAAATTGTGAGCACACATCAGTCAGGCTTTCAATCTCTCCGCTGAAGCCAAATCAGCACTCAGAACCTCGAGATGCCACGGAGAGCGTCTTACTGTATACACAAGTATATTCTCAAATCGGGCATGGCTGATACTACATGGTGCCCGCGTAAATCCCCAACCCCTGAATATCGCAAAAAGCAGTATGCCTCCGGTAGGTATCAATCTATTATACAAGGTAACCTTAAGGTCCATAAAATATCCAAAAACAAAAAAATGCTGGAAAAATCGTGAAATCATCAAGTATCATGAAATGGATGCGCTGCGTAGCTCAAAGCATAATTACAAAATTTTCAAAAATATCCAGAAAGAACGTTAACGGTCCCCTACCTACCCCACTCCAAAAAAGAAAAACCCAAAAGAAAAAAAAAGGAGCAGCCTTGGACCAGCCGTCGAGTCATCATCGCGCCCCGGCCGTGTCCATATCTGGGTTTCCTGGCGGCACATGAGTCCTCCATTCAAATACGCGGTTCATCCCGCGGCCCTGGCCCACTAAACCAGCGAGCACCGAATCCTTGGGCGGTTCTGGCGGTCGCTCCTGATGCCGTCTCCGCATTGAAGGGGAGTGTACTGGATCATCAACCATATACTCGGTTTGAACCCTTCGTGGCACGGCTCTGTCCGAGGGTCGCATGGCTCTTGGGCTGTTATATATGTCATCCTCCATCGTGTGCCTCCTAGGCAACGACACGTGCGGTGGCGCTGTTGCTGCTGCTGGTCCCCTTGCCATATGAGGGGCAGAAGGTAGAGGAGGAGGAGGAGGTGGTGGTGGTGGTGGGTGTTGGTGTGGATGAAAAGCCCGATGGGTTGGACTTGTGCCTTGACGCTGTTCTGAGAACCTGTCGGCCAAACGTCGTTCCATGGATGACCCGCGTACGCGTCGCTCCACCGACGAGCCTCGTACTCCTCGTGCCCTATTCACGCCCGAAACGTAGTCCGTCGTGTTGGCCCTTTCGAAAGCCGGTGGTAGTGGTGGTGGTGGAGGTGGAGGCTCTGGTGGTGAGATATAAGTCTGCGGTGGCCGTCGGTAGCTGTCATTCATGAAGTGGCCCGCTGAGTTGCCGATGCCGACAACGTCACCGATGCCACCAGCATAATCGTCGCCGTCGCTCAAGTCGCCGTACTGCATTCTTCGAGCGAGATTTTCGTCATGCTGCTCCTGAATTCGGCGCATCGATATTTCTTCTTCGTAGTTCTGAGGTCGCGCTCGAAGATTTTGTCCCGATGGAGCTGCCGCTCGGAAGTCTCGAAAAGCCTCTGGGGCTCCTCTTCCCAGGCGGTCCCGGTCCGTTCGAACCTGCATTGGCACCTGCACATGTTCGAGTCTGTCTTGCTCGACGGCATCGTAATTAAACCAGGGGCATTCGCACGATTTCCATTTCAAACCACAAATCATGCAAAACTCGGCCCCGCAGCGACTGCAAGTGGTCAGTGTTTCACTCCTGGTGAAGCCAAGGCGTGGTAAACTCACCAAGTCATGTGGTTGCACCCCTCTTTCAACTCGACCAGTTGTCTGCAGTTGTAGCAACGCTGCCAACCCTCTTCCTTGGCCTTTTGGAGGATCCGGATCGTCTCTTCGTCCCTGGGGCACGGCTTCCTTCCATGCCATTTGCCGTTGCAAAGTACACAAATCTCAAGTCTGCAATTACCACAGGTGGCTTTGCGGCCATCTGGGGTCTTCTTAATTCTCTCGGGCTTGACCCATTCTCCGCACCGTTTTCCCGGGCAGTAAATACGATTTCGAGTCGAGTACTCGGCAAATTTCTGGTTCCACATCCTCTTGAAGTTGGTATCGAAGAGACGATCGACATGCTTCAACGGGATATGGTCCTCCCCGCAACACTTTGGGGGCATAGACTGGGGGTCTTTGATAGATAATCTGAAACTTCGCTTCAAGCAATGATTGCACATCCGGTGTTCACATTTAAGTTTCGCCGTCTTGTGGGAAGGCATCTCCTCCATACAGATGAGACATTCGACCCTAGAGCAAATTAGATTATTCCGTCACAGGCCGTGGATCTGTGATCAACTAACATCTTGTCAGATTTTTCAGTGTGATGCGGACGGCTTGCTGAGCTAAAGAAACTGCCAAGAAGGCTGGAACGTTTAGACGAAGAGCTCATGCTATGAGACGAAGTCACATGGGAACCTGATGTGGTCTGAGATCGCTGTAGGGGAACCTTTTCGGGAATGATATAATCGGACTCGTAGAACTTCTTTAAACCGCTGCAACATCACGGAATCAGTATGCTCTAACAGCATGATGGGCCTCGAGTCCACATACCGCTTAGAAGACGAAGGTGGAGGGGCATCATTTCGACGATCGCGCCGATGATGCCGTCTTTGAGAGCTACTTCGCGAATCCGATTGATGCCTATGTCTTGCCCGAGAGGGAGTCTTGCCCTGGCGTACCGACTCAACGTATCTCGTTTTGTTATCATGGTCAACCTCATATATGACCTGCTCTGTTTCCCTCTTGCGGCGGTGATGCCGGCGAGGTTCAGTCGCCTCAGGAGGTTCAGGGTCAGGTATCACTCGACTCTTTTGTTTCGACTGTCGACGATGCCGCTGCTCGCCCTGTGTAGATATCGAAGATGCCGATTCAACGTTTGGGGTCCTACCCGACGAACTACCCGACGAACGCCTTGAGTCTGGGGTCGAACGGTTTACGTGGGCCGATTTCGGTGTCGCCAATCCCGATGCACTACGACTGTGGCTACGACTGCGACTGCGACTGCGACTCGCTGAACTCGACCTCGACCTCGATCTTGACTGCGACGATGTCGACCTTGAAGTTGACCTAGACGTTGATCTCGACGTTGATCTCGACGATGAAGTTGAGGTTGACCTGGATCTTGGTCTCGGGCGACGCTCGTTGTGTTCACGGTTGTCCCTGATTTTGGTTTTGTCGTTGCCCCTCCGATGCGAGACGGTGCCCGAGGCGCGGGCAGCCACAGCCTGGGACTGGGACGGTCGCTCGCGAACGCGCATATCCTCAGACGGTTGACGGCTTCGATGAGACGAAGACTTGGTCAGCCGGCCGTCGGGCATCTGTATATCACCTTGTTGGACTCGATAGGGCAGCGAATCGAAGACGGGGCCAAGAGGCACATGCTGCCCCTCCCAATGAGGCCGCTCGTGCGGAGAGGGACCGTGTCTATGGTCTCTAAAGTGCTGATGATGCCCGTGCCGATGCTTGCCTTGCCCATGCTGCGAACTTGCCATTCGTCCACGGCCGTCTGTGTCAGCCCCGACCGCTGTGGATTCGCCCTCGAGAGCTCGACAGCTTCGTGGTCTCGGAGTGCCTGGGCGAGTCAACTAGGTGGGAAGCCCCGCTGAAATTGATACGGTGCAGAGCAGAGACAGCTGGTTGCTCCTCACTGGTCCAGAGCATGCACGATGCATACCTCGACAGCGCTGATTGGAGCTGGCCCTCAGGATTTGCAACAAAGGAACAGCAGAATTTTGGCCGAAAAAGATCTTCCGGGCGGCTCGCAGGAAGCAATACGATATGACAGATGCAAGACTTGATTTGCAATTAATCTTCCGAAAACAGTTGGGTCCCTAGTCGTAAGTTGCTGTAAAAGTCGCCAGAAGAACCCACTCTCTTTCACTATCCCCAGACCTGTAACCTCAAATCTGCTGGAAGACAGAGGGGCATGTCCGGCTGAAACGTGGAGGAGAGGAGAGCTTTGGGACCTTGGGTCGGGAGCCACAAGTTGTTTGATTGGCTCAAATTGTCCCCTTTCAACTACCCCTCACAATCCACATTTATTAGTCCCACCTCAAGCTGGTCGGTCCAGACTTGGCCAGTTGCACCATCACGAAGTCGTTGGAGAAGGACTAGAGAGTGGCAAGAACTGTATTTGTGTAGGCACCCTGATTTGATGTGTATTATAATTAAATATATTGCCTCCCCCCCAAGTAACTCTCAGACCACGGCGGAATCGAGAAAGATGGCGCTCACAACGTATGACTGGCCACCATGATCCTGTCTTCCCATACGACACAAAAGGGGCTGGCGGGAGCAACTTGTTTGTTGCGGACATGGGAAAACTCGAACAACCCTCTCATACATCGTAAACAGATCCTTGGAAGTTCCAAGAAACTATTCTGTACTGCAGGTTCAGGTCGGGTTGGGTTGAGTATACGTTCAAATGAGGCTAGTAGAAGTACAGTCTGCCCGACGAGCAATCGTGGTTCACAGCAACCTCCTCAAGACTTATTGGCTGGCTGGTGCTGCGAGCCCATGCGAGGCTCGGCAAGATGCTGCACTAGCTGCATCTCAACTAATACAGTCTATTGGGGAGTTGGGCCTTGGGTGTGGTTTCATTTGGTCGATTGGTCAGCCTTGACATTGGGCCACAGGGTTTCGGTGGTAACGGTGACCTGAAATCACAGACCAATAACTTGCAGTAACTGGCTGTTCGGTATCATGGTTATCTCACTTGAGAAGTCACAGGAAAGCAGGCTGTGCAAGCAGTCGGACGGCGCGTGACTGAGTATTTGGGGTCAACTTGTTTGTACATAAGCCTAGTTTCGATCTTCAGTGCCCACAACAATCCAATCAAGATGATACATGGGCGAATCCAACGGGCCATACCTGTATTCGTACTGCGAAGGTGCGTGAGGGACCAATCCCAAGTTGGCCCCGAGGGGTCCCTAAATACTACAATCCGTGCCTGCCTGCCTCATACCCCGCCATACCTAAGGCCACAGCTTCCCATAAGACATGTATAAATCATAATAAACGTGTCCAAATACCCATTCAGAATTCGCTTGGAACCAGAAGTAGCAGCACCTAGTCTAATCTAGGAGTCGGGCTGAAATAAGAAGCAGCAAAACTACATCTGTTCAAAGAATCTCGGTCTATAACTGTAACATCGTAGCGCACCGATCGGCCTTCCAGTTGTTGCGTGGGGTATATCGGTAAGATGGCATGAATCCAGTTCATAATGACTGATCACATAGTCGGTATGAAAAAGTACATTTGTCTTCCAAGCTACGTTGGATGTACCAGAGACTGGATTTGTGTTTCCCAAACAGTATCCTACTTGGCCCCCCCTCAACTAATCACCGCCCATGGCCCCCAACTTGCCTTTGTACATAAAATTTTCGATCACGCTTGTGTCGATCATCTACAGCCACGGTGTTATCTAAAACTAGGCAGAGGGTAGGAGACAACGACACTCACAAATCAAAGCTCCTCCTTTCACCTTCTGGATCATGGTGATGCCAAAATCACTACCAATCAAATAGACTCACCAAAAGCAATGAGGCACGAGTAAGAATACTGATGATATATTTGGGTTACCCTGGTATTTTCGCGTTCTCAGAGAGGCCCCAAGAACTCCCCTTCCATTCCATCGCTTAAACTCTACCTCTTCCCTCCCAGCACTGTCCATTCGTCCTTCATTAAATGAACCCCAACCCAGGTACCATAGGAGATGATGGATATTCCCAGCATTGGTGGTTCTATCTGTATGGTATAAAAGCGATATGCGCCGCATCTGATCATCCATGCCAGATGACCCCCAGCTCCGTTACCTATGCCCACACACACACATAGCCTCTTGTAAATCGTGAAAAAGACATGAGACTTCTTGAGAAGGATTAGTTGCCATCCAGGCAAGATCGTTCCTTTAAGCCGCTCTGAGATCGTCTATTCCTTGGCGATTTGGATAACTTGGGAGGTTTTAGTTTTGATGTTTGGGATTCAAGATGGGGAGGGTTGCTCACCAGTTGATTGTTGCACAATAGTCTGGATTTGAGGAATCAAGCCAGCATCAATAAACTGCGTCAAGTCGATGCCACCAACAGCCTGGATGAGACCAAAGTTGAGCGAGTTGAGCTGGAGAGTGCTCAGGTCGAATCCACCAAGGACGCCGAGGCTCTGGAGCTGGACGAGCATCTGAATCTGCTGGAGCTGGAGTAGTGCCTGGACGTCGAAGACATTTTTTTCGAACAGGCTCTGGAAGCTGAGGATGTCGAAGTTGTTGACCGAGTTCAGCTGGGCGAGGAGCTGGAGGTCGACAGAGTTGATGCTACTCAGGTAGGCGAGGTCCTGCTGGGCGAAGGCCAAGTTGTTAAGCAAGGAGAGGTCGACCTGACGGGCCTGGTGTTTGGCCGGGGCGGCGGAGGTAACGGCCGCAAGGACAGAGACGATGAGCGTGGAAAACTGCATTTTGTATTGTGGTGGTGACGTAGGTGGAGAGTGTGTACAAGATATTAAAATATTAAGTCAAAAGGAGCACAGCTGTGTATGACTGTCAATGAGTGACCAGTCGCTGAATGCTAGTCCTGGGACTCAGATAACATACCTCAGATGTTCAAACGAAATTATTTGAAAGAATGGAGAGAACAACGAGCACAGCTATTCGAGCGAGTTGGCTTGGTGGATTCCTAGGCAGGACTATCGGGAGCTACTTACCTCTGTAGAAAAGAGGAGTGAATGTTTGAAAGTACCTGGGAAGTCTTGAAGAAGATAGTGGGATGAGTAGCAAAAGAACTGATGACCACGAAGATAGTCGTCTTATATACATCAGTTGACAGGACATGTTCGGCACGGCAATAAGGCACGGCAATAAGGCACGGCAGCATGAGACGAAGAAACACTGCCAAGACTACGCGGGGGCAATAATACTTCGGATGCACATCGAAGGGGAGATCCGATGTGTATCAGACTGCAGGCGTTACTGGACGGAAGAGCAGTATCTAGAACGGGGCCCAGGACGGACAGGAAAGCTCACGTACTAAGGGCTAAGCTTCAACCGGTTTTCTGGAAGAAAGCCCAAGCCTTTACCGGAGGCAACACAACCCCCAATGGCCAGAAAGCCCGCTCCTAGAGCATTCAGGGAGCTCTCCCGATAATATCATTACGTTCGACGGAACTGCAGAGACAGTGAGCCTGCGATGTGCCACATCCAGAAGCCTCAGGAAACCCCTAGTACAGATCGTCTGCCATGCACGGAAGACCCGCTGGCCGAAGGCAAACACAGAAGATCGGGTCTTGGAATTAACCTTAGAATGCCCTGGCCATCACGATAAGTCCTACGAGCGGCTCGTCTAGAGAAAGGTACCTGGAGCGAAGTAGGAGTCTGGTGTGGGAGGCATGTCACTTCCGGGAGGCTGAGGTACCGGCGATTCGCCTGTAATGCGTGTGATCACCTTCATGGGCAACAACCTGTTTCGTGACGTTTTAATGGGGCCGGAAGAAACCGTGAAAGCGGTGTCAATGTGTCGTTGAGGCTAATAGGATCTCAGCCTCAACATGTCTGTTGTCCACGTGGGGTGAGACGGTGCGGCCTACGTAATGGATCTTGTAGTTTATCGACCCGAATCACGGCCCGACAAAGATGCTCAACATCCGAAGTTGTGCGAGTAGTCTTGGCGGGGTTGAGCTTAACCCCGGCTAGTCTAGACCTGAAGGCCAGCAAGCTAAATCTGATGACAACTTGACCACGACGACTTCAGATGGTAAAAGAAACCTGGAGACGATGAATCTCAATCTCGGAATTCTCCCGCCCGAGCCGTAACGGCTGTCATCCAATTGCCGTCCTAAGCCACTCAGAACCTTCAATTGTGAACCCACGGACTCGCGGGGAGTTTCAGATCTCGGAGAGCTTTAAAACGCCACTGTCAGAGGACTCGCTAATTGACTAGTGGACGTTTTGAACCACACGAGGCTCTACAATATTCGACTAAGGGTGGTTGGTTTTCCCCAGGAACTAGTGAAGAGCACAGCAGCCGAGACCTTGGCAAGGATAACTTGGTGCGGGCTCCTTTAGGTTGCCATGCATAATAACCCCGATTTCCTCTTTGGAACGGAGATCCAGCCGGGAACTGTCACAGAAAGTCGAAAAGTCGATGCACACCTGGGAGAGCTTAGGCGTAACCTTATACGCACCTCTCAAGTTACGCAACATGTAGCAAACCCGGCCAGGGCGTCAGGAGGCAGATTTCATCGGCCAACGTCAAATGGTTGATACGAAGTCGTCCGTTTGGGTCTGTCGCTTGGGCATTTGTTCAACGTTTACCGCATGTTGCATCCCATTTTCCTGTCTTGCTTTGGCTTTGTTTCGCAGTGACATATCGGATGGTGATACCCATTTTGGAGTTGCTCGAGATCTGGGTTCCAATTCTGCATGCGAGATTAACAAGTCTGCCAGATGAAGTCGGGGCATCTGGTCAACGACATTCTCGTGGCGCAGAACCAACTTCGCCTGCAGCCGTGGCCCTCGTGGGGGCCGACGTGTTGTCCAGGTTCGGGACATTGTCAGTTTGTTCTCGGAGTGTATCATGTCACCCTCCTAAAGCTGCCCCGAAAATACTGCAACGTGAACCGTGAAAAATAAGCCAGGCTGCTTTTCAGCGTCTCAGTACTCTGTAAATGTCGACAGGACAGCCACTAACACGAATAAGCTTGCAAGAACTCATAAATTAAGGAATCTCTCGAAAACTGAAGGTACAAGAATATATCAAATCGGCAAGCCACCGGGAATAGGAGGAAACCCTTGAGAAAATGTAGTTCAAAAGACGAGGGCGGTCGACTGTGTGCTAGTGCGCGCACCAAGGTGGGGTTGCCTTTACTTCCCTTTCCCAACACTGAATTCCACTTTCCGGCTTTGAACACCCCGAATGTTGAGACACTGATGAGCGCGACCAAGACAACCTAACGGAAGACCAAAATAAATAATAGTACATTGCCAAAGATAAACTGCAGCAACCTGCTCTCCAAGAGCCCAAGACTTATTTCACAACTCTCGAATGATTCCATCAACAATCTTCTCTGCTGAAGCGTATACAGTACTCTGTGGGAGACAACTTTCAGTCCTCAATGCCATGGAAATTATATTGCGTATCAATAACACTCATCTCGTCGTTACTCATCTTACACATCCCCGCCGCATGCCATGCCGTTGCCAAACTGTACTCATTCATCTCAAGGATTTTTTTAGTGAGTTGGCCTTCTTTGCAGGTCTGGGATGAAATAGAAGCACTCGCAGCTCTTATCACCCACTAGGTCCGCCCATCACTTATACGCACCTTCCTACCACGTTGGTGCATCATGACATGCAAGCCTGAGCTTCCGCCACATACTTTCCATGCGTATAAGGAAGCTGACACCCATTTAAACCCGGCGGGGACTCCTTCACGAACCCGTAGTCCACCTTCGGGATCGATTCTAAAGGGTTGGAGTCAATGCCAACGATGTCTCCCACTGGCTGGGCGAGTACAGGCTTTCGATCTCATAGAATATCCCGGCCTCAGCTGGCCTCAAACCGATGGTGTTGCCCGCTGTACCTCCGCCAACATAGTTGGACGTCTGCCAACGCCTAGGTTACCTGCGAGTATATCAAGCGGACCTCGTACGGGTCCCTCGTCCCAAAGGATGGCCTCAATCATGGGTTTTCACGTTGCAATCAAAGAGATTGCACTTTCTGCCAGGGGCGCCATTGACGAAGCTTGAGAGTAAAAGGCGAAGCATAGAAAAAATAAATGAAAGAGAATGTGGGGAAAGCATTGTGATTTAGGAAGGAGTTACGATAAGGCTATATACGTGGAAACGACGATGCAGAAACCCAGAGCGCGAGAAGACGCCCTCTGTTGAAAGGCATCATTGCTAAAAATCAGGTAAAGGTCTCGACAGTTTCTACAACCTGGCATCATGCCCTTGCCAATAGTCTCCCCAGGTGGTAGTCCCAATAGGATAGAACATGGTTGATCCTCATCCACATTCTAGAGTGAATGAGATTCGACTTGCATATCAAAAAATTGTCTGTTGTCGACACATGAACTGAAGAGGACAGGGAAGAGAGATCATCACTCAATGAACGAGCACTTTGAGGTCCTCATTGATACTTCAGTTGAGCTATATATTGGAAGTGCAATAACGGATGATCATCACCTTTTGAACCCTAATTTAGGGTCCATTTGTTCATGTAACATATACCGACCGGGCGGACTTGGCATCGGGAAATGTGCCAGCGTCGTGAATATTGTCACAGCATATAATTGTGCTGTGTTCGGAAAATATCATACACGCTTGGTTGCTTACTACAAGTAGGCAATGGGCAAGTAGTAACGACTCATAGAAGAAACTGTCGGAATCCAGGTACTAGGGACTGTATTGATACTATGAAGGTGCGTGAGGGATGCGTGTCTGTCTGCCTCGTACCCCATTCAACCTCTAAGCAACTAGTAATATGGAATATTAAGGTATCGATTTCATGCAGTAATACCACGAACCGGGTAGAGATACCTATGTTCTCTGTAGATGTTCCAAACGACCGTGCCCAATGCCTCTGTAGCAAAGAAAACCCCCGAACCACTATCACAGACAGCGCCTACTAATCAGCATTAAGTTCAAGCCCCAGAGTTTTCTTATGGCTTGGTGGCACATTTTCGCTTGCGGGTAGTACTGCGCTTCTTTCGGGAGTTCTGCTTTAGAATTGTTAGTATGTCTCATTCCCACATGCGAGAAAACCACCACTTACACGAACAACTTCATTGACCTTGCGCTTGACAATGCTGAGATTGAAGTTGTTGACCAGAATCTCCTGCTGAATCAGCTGGTCGACGGAGACAGCGCTGACAAGACCAAGCTGCTGGAGCTGTGCAAGCTGCTGCAGTTGCGAAAGCAGCTGGATCTGCTGGGCAACACCGACGTTGGAGAGGATGTTTGCGTCGAAGTTGCAGATTCCCGTGCCGAGTATGAGCCCATTTATGTTATGTGCAAGGCTCTCTTGGATGTTGCTTGGGTCAATGCTGATGTTGCTGGGCTCGGCGGCTGCATAGGCGGTGCCGTTGCTGGCAGCAAGGGCGGCCTCAGCAGTAGACTGTGCGAAGACCTCGGAGACAGCCAATGCTAGACCCACAAACAGAGAGACTTGAAGGAACTTCATTGTGACGTTTGAATGTCAAGTTTCGTAGTAAAGAAGCCCGCTAGGACACAGTCAGTTAGAGCAACAGCTGTGCTGATTCGAGCTATCAGACCAACCTTCAAAAGAAATGACACGAAAGAAGTGATAGAGCACAGCTATGAGAAGTCAGATGATTATCACTCATACGTGAAAAAACAAGCCACCCATACCTCTATATTATTTGAAAGAAGCAAATGGCAGGAGTTGGATCAACATGAAAGAAGACCAAGACACCATCAAGCACAAGAGAACCAGACTAATATATCTTGTGCACTTGTTCGAAATGCAGATCAACGCGCAGACAGGCTTTGTTGCCTACCGAACCAGAATGGCTAAGCTCAGGGTATGTAATTCAGTACCAACTCTGGTACATCATTCCTTCAAGCTTGGTAAGCCGTTGTCTCAATCCCATAAACCATGAAGATCAAAGTTTACCAAGCCGAAAGATGTTGAAGGCCAAAATGGTTGGTTGAGTCTGTCGAAATAGTCTGGTAACGACCCCTGATCTCACCGGATGTCGTCTGGACTCCCAGCTTGGCCTGTGTCATCCAATGGACAACCGCTAGGTGACATGGTCGTGTCATTTTGGGGCAAGGAAGAGATATCTCGGTTGCCTGCTATGATTGCCAAGTGCTCTATTTGAATACTTCATTGTCGACAAGCTTTATTTCTCTTAGTGCTTGGAGCACACGGCAGAGACTCGAGACAGTTTGTCCCTGAGAGTCGCCCAACCCCGGCCGAGTCTCTGACAAAACAGGCCGCAGGATCGCCGTGCCGTGCCGGCACAGCAATGCAACTTTCAAAGGAATGGCAAGAACCTGTTTTTGAAGCACAAAGTCATCCCCATAGCGATTTTGCAGACGGCCGTCGCGAGCTTATTTCGTCCTCTATTGCTTGGTATAAATTGCAGTTTTTGATGTATATCACAGTGGCTCCAATAGAGACGAGTCCAATTGACTGGAGGTTCTTCACGCTGCCACGTTTATTTAAGGTAGCAAATCCTGAGATTTTCAATCCCTTTGGAACCTAGGCCTTTTCGAAATATAATCCCAGATATCCTGGGACTGGGACTGCCCTGGCTTCAGCAATGGCTCATGGAAGCTAGCATTAGCGGAATTGAAGAGTCCAGGTTTTGAAAAATTAACACTCCACCAGCTCGGTAGAGCGTGCCGTCTAAATGGAAGTGCATCGTCCTTCTTTTCTGGACTCGACCCCAAAATCACAGTGCCGTCAGCACAACTCGATCGTTACGTCAGCTGTACCTAGAACACGCTCCAAGTTTCGACTCGATTGGTCCAAGTATAGTTTTGCGCGTACTGATCGGGTCGAGCAGGACAATGGTCGCCTGTAGTCAGTCGAATGCTTTCAAGCAGATCCTTCGGACTGGCTAATTCCATCGGTCTCGATCAGGCTGACAGGTTTGTATCGTGACACCATTGATCTTGTACGCTTGTGGTATACGGTCTAAAGCCCGGCCACTGTACCCAATGCAAATGCTACCGCTCGTTCTGGCCTTGTGACTGTTCGCTCTCCGTCTTGCTCTTTTTGAATCCCATCAACTCGCCAACGACTCCACCCGGCTTCGGAATCGGACACGGTCTTGCGGGTTTCGTAGCCTTGAATGCCCTGTCAAAATCCTCGTTGCTGCTCTCGAACTGAGCTATTCCGTTCTTGACCTCGGCCGGCTCTGCCCTCCTCCGCCTCCTCCGCCTGCCGTCTGGTGTCCTCTCCGAGTCGGCGTATTTGACCCGTGGCGCCGGACATGGGAGCATGTGAGGTAGTGCCACGACGAAGAAGCTTGCTACCACGGTGGTCGCGAAAAGGGAAGAGGTCATGCGCGACCGCGGGTGGAGGTGTGGTGGCATCGTGGGCGGCAGGGACAGAAAGGTGGGTTTGAGATGGTGACTTCGGTAGAAATTAGCATGGCTCAGACACATGAAAGCAACGTCGTTTGGTGATGCGACCCATACCTAGTATAGCCACATTGGAGAACAGTTCACGACGCAGCTTGGTCGCAAAGCTGGGAAGATTGACCCGATGGTGGCCTTGTTCAATCGTGATTGCGGCACTTTGGGCAGCTCGGGTGGTGAGGTACAAACTTGAAGCGCTCAACTCCGCAGGTCTTTTTGTTCCTGAGCAATCCAGCAACGCTCATTGAACAAATCCACACCAAGATCTCCACCTGAAGACTCCGAGGTTCTGCCAGCTACAGGGTAGCTTCAGCGACTTCGAGCATGCTGACATTTGAGTTTTAAGCGAGTCGGTGGTGTCCTTCCCCAGGTGGATCTACAATAATAATTAAACTGAAGCTCGGGCCAGTTCTAAAAACTACCAGCTGCGGCCTGCTAGCGTCATTCAGCATGAGATCTTCTCGCGACCGCGATTGGAACCCACGCGTCCTGATATCGTGGTCTTATTGAGGATATCTACCACCAAACCCATAGGCAGCGCCACTGCTCATCATTATTGTCCAATATACGTGTGGTGAAAATCACTTAAAACATGATATAGGGACCCCTCCTTGATCCAAGCTACCACCAACCACCCAGAGGCACTTGCCGCCTCCTACACCAGGCCGGGGTGCTCATATCGTTGCCTCCGCCAACGTTGCAAGCATGAGTGACCTTGACAAGTGCGTTCTTCCTCAGCCGATACGCTCGAGTATCACTATGCTGACTTTCCATCAAGAGCCATCGCCCAATTGCGGGCGTGCCGTCCAATTCCAGAGTCCCAAGTTCGCGAACTTTGCCATAAAGCGCGGGAGCTCCTGATTGAGGAAGGAAATGTGGTGACTGTTACAGCGCCGGTAACGGTATGGGCATATATCTTGGACATCTGCTCAACCAGTGACTGATTGATGCGTAGATATGCGGCGACATTCACGGACAGTTCCACGACCTCATGGAGCTCTTCAGAGTGGGAGGTGATCCGCCAGACACCAACTACCTGTTCATGGGTACGTTCTGCCGAAACATGGTCCTGCGCAGTGTCTGACAGCTACGGGTGATGCAGGCGACTTTGTAGATCGCGGTTTCTACTCTCTCGAATCATTCCTACTTCTCCTCTGCCTCAAAGTCCGCTATCCCGACCGAATGACTCTGATCCGTGGCAATCACGAGTCCCGCCAGATAACGACAGTCTATGGCTTTTACGATGAATGTCTACGAAAGTATGGAAGCGCCAATGTGTGGCGGTACTGCTGCGACGTCTTCGACTATCTTGCCCTGGGCGCTATCGTTCTTGGCGCATCCAATACTCTTTCTCCGCCAAACGATGCTGTTTCGCGAGATGTTTACGTCGAAGAAGACATCGAAATTGAAGTTTGTAATGCAGACGGGGATGTCATGAGTCAATTCCGCCGACAGCCTAATGATCGCAAGAGTCCGAATGGAACAGCGGCAAAGACAGGCCCGCCAGGCTCAGGCGCATCGGGGTCCAGTGGGGGAAGTACAGGCAATTCAACAGGCGCAGTACTGTGCGTACATGGTGGTCTCTCGCCACTCATCGACACAGTCGATAAGATCCGCCTGTTGGACCGGAAACAAGAAGTCCCACACGAAGGCGCCATGTGCGACCTACTCTGGTCCGACCCCGACGAAATCGATGGCTGGGGCTTGTCCCCACGCGGCGCAGGCTTTCTGTTTGGTCCTGATATTGTTAAGGTCTTCAATCACAGGAACGACCTGTCGCTGATCGCGCGCGCCCATCAGCTCGTCATGGAGGGATTCAAGGAGATGTTCGAAGCAAGCATAGTGACGGTGTGGTCAGCACCCAATTACTGCTACCGATGCGGAAATGTGGCTGCCGTCCTGGAGCTATCCGAAGATAATGGAGAACAGATTCTGGCACGCAGCAACGGCGAATTCGGGCGAAGCGACGGAGGTGTTGCACGGGGTGTCATGATGGAAGGCGAGAATGGACTTAAGAACGGCCCGGCCAGACGATACCGCGTGTTCCAGGCTGCGCCACAGGATTCACGAGGCATGCCAGCGAAGAAGCCCGTTGCGGACTATTTCCTGTAAGGGAGTGGTTGTCAATAAGGGGAAAACGTGAATGCGGCGTCTGCGGCAAACTACTTCCTGGGATTTTGTAACTTTACGCTGAATAGTGATGCAAGCAGCCAGCCGAATCGGATAGGACAGATAGGGCTGCCAGCTACTTTTTGTGGATATGGCTTGGGAGTTCAGGTGGCCAGACGGATGGCCCGGCTTGAGGGAACTGGTTCGTATGGAATAGATTACGATATCAATGATGAGCTGTCCGTTCTAGGTATCGTGAGTACTGGAATCCGCACGCAAGAAGGGTTCGAAAGAGCTGAAATTTATCGAGCCCGGTAAGTTAACAAGTATTCCCTGAATAACAATTACGTTTATTGTTGACATCCGGTCGCTCTATTAGCTAAGACCCCGTGTCCTTCCTAATCTCCTAATATCTTCACCCTACACGAGAGCACAGTACTTAGGTACACGAACAAGAAAGAACGCCACTTTCTCAGACCTCTCTCGAATGGTCTGAGCTAACTCCAAAAAACAAAAAAACAAAAAAAAACATCCAAACCTTTCCGCCTCTAACTAGGGCTGCAAATGTGACAATGGAAGGTACGTTGTGCTACTTCCAGCGACCTCAAAGGACCCAATGCCAATCTCCCCTCGGGTCCCGAACCCACACGGACGCGAGCCAGCCGGGTCGTCTACTTCTGCTTTAATGTGCTTGACCTCGCCGCTGCTGGAGCCATCGCCTATGGGGCGCTGGCGATCTTGTCTTTTGAGGTTTTGGTATCGAGGTTCTGGGGCTTTGGGGTCTTCTTGCGACGTTCCCAATTATTCTTATCGCCATCGTCGCCGCCACAGCCCTCCAGTCGCTGCCGCGGCCTCCGCTTCCGCCTACCCCAATACCCGGGGATTCGCAAGAGTCGCGCAGGTTCGATGTGGGGATGGCGACCAAGGTGGGCTGATGTGGAGTTCAGCTGGTCCCAAGATAGGTTCAGTCGCTTCGGGCGTGGTGGCTCATGGATACGGTCAGTGTTCGTCCGATGACTGGCTCTTGTCACCATCCCGCTTGACCAGTTGCTTCCGAATCTCGACCAGCTTCGAAAGCGCAATGTATGCAGCCTGCGCAGGCCAACCTTGCTGCAACTCATCGTCTGCGTTGGTGGTTTGCTGGTGTGTTGTGTTCAGGCGGTCGCAACCTGCCTGCTTCTCTTTGAACAGCTCGCTGATGATCTTGAGAGCTGGGTTTTCTTGCCACATAAGATTGCTCACAAGTCATCCAGTTCCTTCGCGTTCTTCCGCGGCCGCCTTCCTTTCATCCAAGCCGGGATTACGAACTTGCCCGCTTCATAGATCACGCGGAACTCGTCGGGGGACGGAGACCACCTCCACTTGCTCGTATCGGTGTCCTCTTTTCCCTGCGACACGTTGACAGCACTACGTCCACCACCGCCGCCGCGAATTTTCGGCTTAAAGATGGTCTCGGCTCCGTCAGCATCTTCGTCGACATCGCTACTGTCAGTGTCGTTTCCTAAGAAGCCACGCTTGAATTCGTCTTCATCCTCCTGGGACCAGCCCTGAAATTCCGAGGACAACGTATTTGGTTTCTTCTTCTGCGTTTCCTTTCCCTTCGCCTTCTCTTTCTCCTTTCCCTTTTCTTTTTTTCCATTTTCATTTTGTTTTTCATTCTTTCTTTCCTTTTCCTCGTTCACCTTGAGCGGCCGTAGTCTTCTTACAGGCACTTCCTTCGTGCCGCGAAGTATTTGTTTTAACACATAATGCCATGAGGAGAGCTCCCGGTAACAGGTCCAGCCCTTTTACGTGCTGTTCTTTGACATCTAGAAGCGTGGTGAGACTCCGTTCTATTTTGTTTGTTTTTTTCATACGCGTCGCAACCCTCCGCAAACTCGTTTTGCCGACGCTGTTCCTCGCTGGAAGCGGAGGTTAGCGTAGAACCTCCGGTCATGGCTTGCTTCGTCCTCCGGGGTGGAGGCCTAAGATCTTCATCTGAGGCAGAAGATCCAAGAGGTCGCTTAGGAGGTCTATTGGTGTCTTCTTGCCCTTCCCGCCTTGCTGTGGGCCACTTAAGTTATTCGGCTTTCGCGTGAAGAGACCGCCGGGGCTAGGCAATTGGATAGTCTGGGAATTGCGGGTAGCCCCAAGTTGCAAGTGTCTCTTGTATCGCTTCAGTGAGGCCCCGATGACTTGTAAGCAGTTGTCCGGGTGGGTTTTATTCAGCCCTCCCTCCCAGAGCTGAATCATTTCTATGAACCAGTCCGTTTCATTCTCAGAGTGTGATTTACGACGGGGTTCGGGGCGGATGTCTTGACCTAGTACTCAGGAATGGCCTTGAAAAGTCCGCCCAGGAGCTCATTAGACGAGACGTAAGAAGGGCGGGTTTTGCCTGCTCGACAATAGCCGCGATGTTCTTTTCCCGGGACGCGGGCTGCTCCTCGCCCAAGAGCCCTTATATGCGGAGGTACGGATGAATATGTTGTAGAAGCTGGTGGGCTTGTAGGACGGGCCTGGAATGTGTCTCCATCAGCGTTGTTCGTGGCTAGTAGCAGTGCCCGGCCAATGGCTGTGCTGTTGGTGGCAACTGTTGGAGGCAATCCGCTGCTTGAGGACTTGCGGCACCAGCGTATCTCGGATTTGCAGGCGCCCGTCTTCATTATCAATGTCGTCTGGAGGAGCAGTTGTCACCGTGTCCTCGCGCGGCGCTTCATCGTCTGTTGGAGTGTCCTCATTTAGCTGAAATCGAGGCTTGCATGGGCTAAACAAATTTTTTGTTGCGTTATACGCCATCTCTTCAAGAAACACCCGGTGCTCTGTCGCCTTGGATAGAGAGACCTTAGGTTGAGTATTGCTTTTGCAGGCTCGACTGTCAGGGAGCACTAACGACAACGCTTGTTCACCGTCCACTGGTCTTTGGTGATCACAAAGTGCCATCGGTCAACTTCAATCAGCCCATTCAGGCAGGACATTTTACATAATGCCTGGGTTGAAACAAGGTCCAATTTTGAAGCTTTGTGTCCTCAAGACGTTCGATTCATTGCTAAATGGAAAGGAACCGACACCGAAACTCCTGGCTACAAGCGGTGGCCGAATGTGGACGTCGCGCAACTGCCACTGACTAATTGCCAGATCCGGTAATGTCTCAGAAGTTTCGCAAGTGACTAGTCCAGCGCTTACATTAGAAAAAGAATAGAGAAGAACGTAGGGTATACCGTAGAAACTATAAATCAATTGCTCCAAAGAATCAAGGGTGCAGCATCCGCACCAGAGCCTCCATGTCATACTCTGTAGAAGTGGGAGTATAGCGACCCAGCGCCGTATCCATGTTACCCGCGCCAGTTTCCCAGTTGCCAGCTGAGGAACAGGGAATCAAAGTACCAATCCCTTGAGGTGCCACAACTTCCAGTGATGTGATGACATCAGCTAAATCTTTGCATGTAGGAATTGTGGCTGCTGCTGTAGAAATCGGTAGGTAGTCTGCTGTGAAGCCCGTTGCAGGAGCTGATTGGAATGCAAGTGGATTGTAGTAGCCGTGGTCGTGAAGTCCTGGTGTCGGGTGGAGACTGAAATTCGGGTCCAGTCCACGGACTTCTGCGTTGGTTGGTCTGTCTAGTAGTAGTCGAGGGTGTGGAGGAGAAAGAGGAAGAGAGTTCTTTGGATATTGAGCCTCGGCCAGGGAGTTGAGGTCAAGCGATTCGATGCTGGTGACATCTGGCTCGGTTGTACAGCATCCCGACGCGGTATCCCATGCCTGGAGAAAGTGCAGATTGTTGAAATCAGGCGCCGTCGTCTCGGGCGAATGGCTGGCGGCCGAGGACTGCTCGTGGGGGTGGGCAAAACGCAAGATGGGCTTTCTCCAGTCGTCTTCTGAGGTATTGCTCTTGACGGAGCTGGTTTCGCTTCTTTGGCCGAGAGGTTCGGGGAGCGCACCGGGTGCAGTCAGGCTGGAGTCCAAATGGTTGGGCTGACGAGGTAACAGTAGTCGTTCCAAGGCTTGGGCCGCACTACCGGATTCGGCAGGAGGAGATCCTTGGCCACTCGGCTGACCCCGTCCCCCCGAGGATCGAAGAAAAGTGTCAATGGCATCATCACTGACGCCTTGCTGACTTAGAAGCAACCGCAGTTTCCTGTTCTCGTCGATGGCTCTTCTTGCCGCCTGCTGGATTTCTGTTGATGCCTCGATGCCTTGGAGCTCACAGACTCTCAGACGCTGTTCGAGCTCCTGCAGGTACTCTCTCCGCCGCGCACGAGATCGTCTCTGATTATCTCTAATTCTCACAAGGTTGCTCTTGTCCTAGCGTTGAAGGTCAGCCTCCATGGTATTGATGGAAGGTGTTAGGTCATGTTCGACTAACTGAGTTCGTTGCCATTATAGCTGTGCCGTTGCGAACGCCGCAGAACTGTCGATGGACGGGTGGCTTTGAGGGTCTCTACCTAATCTTCTATAGAAACCGACGATACCCCGGACAAGATCAAATACACGAGGTCAAAGTTCTGTCGATTGGTGTTGGCAGTCTTGGTTGGAAGAGACACCATCTGGTTGTAAGGGATAGGGTCCAATCATGGCCAAATCGTCGACGGGCATGACGGCTACATAAACCAAGCCGCCTTATTGTATAGTGACATGGGGGCTACTTCGACTCCACCAGTCCGAGTTTACAATTTAGTAAACCGGCCTGCACGAATGGAACCCCAGGGCACCGACACGTTACTGCTTCACGGCGGGTTGCTGACGTTAGTTCCTTAAATGCGCTGAAAAAGCATGTAAGTGCGTCTGAAAGGGTGTGGTAGCCAGGCGGAAGGTAGATTCGGGTTGGTAATTCTGTGTTGATGATTGGACGGAACTACCAGCTCTGTCACTGCGGCCCACCAACTTTGGGACCGACCAAATGACCGAGGTGTAGATCCAATCGCACCTAGTGCTTGATTGAGACTAAACCATGGTTTGATCTTCTGATGCAGAAGCATATACTGTCCAAGTCTACGACGATTGAGTCTCGTACTGGATGGAGAACCTCACCCTCGATGCCATCACGCCGGAGGGTCGCGGGACGGTGCGGTCTCGCTGTTATCACGGCAAGTTTGCCTGCCGGCACACCACTGAACGGTGCGCCACATGCCTCAACTTTACTTTGCTTTGCCTTCAAGTCACACAAGAACACCCTGGTGGAGGGTCTATGGCGAGGTCGAGCTGCCTCTTTCGGCGATTTCGGATAGGGTGCTAGGTGTGTAAGTGGCTTGGCTCTGCTAGATTTGTGCAAGAACAATATTGGCTTGAACGTTGAGAACATCTTGCAAATGAAGCGAATAATGCAACGGCAGAATAGAAGGGCTCCTCCCAGGGCCGGGTGCAGGCATGGTGAGGAGCCCTGCAAGGGCCTCACACTGGGTCTAGACATGTGAACCTTGATGTCACGAGCCAACCATATAGGTCTATCGAAGCACAGCATAATGGGGCATATGCAGGCAGCCCGTGCCGGAAATTATCAATCAGATTAGATTGATAATCTAGGTATTCCACATTAGGTAACCCGAGCGGTCTCTGGTTAAAAGATACGTAACGAGGCTTATTTATACGAATAATGAATGCTTTTTATCCACCTCGCTCTTCTACTTATCGCGGCAATGACTCGATCGAGTGAACTAAATGAGACTAAGCCTGAGAAAACAAGCAGCCTTGGTCGTGTTGCCACCTTATAGCAACTTTTGTACATGGGGCGGATTAAACCCGGTAAGAACAAGTATTCCCGAACACCCACAAGTAAAGGCTGAGCTGAGCACATGACGCGCTGAATCGGACGTACAACCAAGTGCTTAATCTCGAAATGTACACAATCTGCAAATATGTCGGTTTCTCTATGTAGTTAGATCTGGAAAGGGAATCATCTAAGGCGGGGTTGAAACAAAACTGCCGTCGTGAAATATGATATATCTAAGTTTATCGACGGCTGTGGTAGAATATGCATAATGATTGGACCCTGGTTCACAAGATCAAATCAATCTGTGGATAGCTGTGGCGTATCCCAAGAACCGGGATCCTGTTACAATGGGTACCAGATCTGTGTTACACACCGTTAGCCGAGATGCTACACGAGAGCTCAGTGCCTTGATTCCTTTGGAGGGCCGCCTGAGTGCTCTATGTTGGTGATTTCACCCACACTGGAGTGGCTTGGAATGAATGCCGGGTCACGACTAATGGTCATATTTTCTCGTCATAATCATCCTGGGCTGTGGACAATTCCAAGCATTCTTGTGCTTATCCCCTCTGTAGCGCCTGAAAAAGTGTATGATAAAGGGAAGGCATTGAATAGGAAAGAACGCCGAAACTTTGATATGCAATTGAACCAATGGTGGCTGTCACGAATAGTGGGAAAGTCCAGAAAGCCGTCCAGTAGGGCCTCTCCAACTGCCAACCCACAAGTGCTTGCCGCAAGACGGGGGTTGGCACTCGTGCAGAGAACAAACACTACGACTGGCTCGATCCTATGCATCTTAATCATTCCCGGTGTCCAATACGTCGACCAATCAAACGTCTCCATCGTGTTTGTTGTCCTGGGCTGGCTGAAAAGTAGGGCTAGTATGATTTACCATGGTGTCCCATGGATACCTCCAGCCCTCCTGGACGTCAGCGCTTATATGAAGCGGTTCACCAGTTAGCAGGCGGTATCAAGCCGACACTCGATCACGATCTCAGCCCAAGTCCTTGGATCTGACGAGACCAGCCGAGAAAGTTACTTTGGGGGCTGTCACTCACTGTCTAGAGCTCGAACCCTTCATTCGTACCGAACGCTACCGCTCGATTACGAGCCTTATTCTGAAAGAGGTGGAGTGCTCACATCTCCCTACGTCCACGTCCTTCTGCTGTCTTTTTCTTTTGTCCTAGTCAACTCTGTATCTAATCCTAAGACCCTGAAATAGAGAGGGAGAGAAGGTCCCAAGTACAACAAAGCTCTAATGTGTGTAATTCTGTTTCTCATTATGTAGTTGGGGTTGTCCTACTTCGTCAATTTCGCATCACTACCCAACTCAGCTGAAGCCCACCTCCAGAACAACAACAAAGACAACACGGGGTATTCATGATCCGATTACGGCGTGAGGGGTTTCAGTTTTCGTCGGATGTCCCGAAGACACATATACAACACCGTGATGAGATATCCCCACGTCGCCTATTCAAGCCTGATTTTGCAGTGTGAATGCAGGCTTGACAAGGGGCTATCGTTTGCTCATGTCTTTCGGGCAGATTACGGTAGAGCTGCTGTTTCCCCAGTACTTTGAACAGACCCGAATCATGAATGTTTCCATGTGTTTCCACGCAAGACTTCTCCAACGATGGGCTTACATCATTGGTTCGTCAGCCTCCAACACAATGATCAGGGCAGATCTGAGATCTACAGCCGAGCTGGTGCTGCAGAATGACTTGCATTTGATGAAGAATTTCAGGGGTAGCATCTCTGAAATTGCCTATGGGCTCAACCTCTCCAAATCCCACCCTTCACCGTCTTGTTTCTTGGTGTAGACAAACCGATCATGCAATCGGCTTTCTCGGCCCTGCCAAAACTCGAGCAATTCTGGAATCACCCGCAACCCACCCCAGAACTCAGGAACGGGGATGTTCTCCTTGCCTCTGAATTTTTCCTCGGTCTCCTTGACCCAGCCCTCAAGCTCGTTCCTTCCATCGTCCGCTCCTTCCCCAGGCCGCAGAACCTGACTCTGCCGACTAGACCATGCCCCAATCTGACTGCCCCTCACCCTCGTATCGAAGTACTTCTGGCTTTCCTCGCGCGTCATCCGCTCCGTCTTCCCCTCGATACGGACTTGGCGCTCCACACCCTCCCACCAAAAGGTCAGACTGGCCCAGGGGTTGGTAGCCAAGTCGGCGGCCTTGCGGCTCGTGCCGAAGTTGCTGTAGATGACGAAGCCGCGCGCATCCAGCTCCTTCAAATAGACCACGCGGGAGGATACCCGACCGGATGGCAGCGCTGCCGTTGAGAGACAGCATGTCTCTGGATGCGCGACGAGGTCAGACTGCTGCGCCTGCGCGAACCAGGCGTGGAATTGGCGGATGGGCGACGTCGCATCCAGGTTGGACCGGGTGAGGAAGCCTTTGGTGAACTGCTCTGCTTGGCCCTGGGCTTCTCTCCCTGCTGGAGCGACTGTGGGTGATGTGAGTCGGTGACTTAGTGGATGAGTGAGGGACGTACAAATGAGCTTGGCGCCTTCGTCTGTGGCTTTGGAAGCCATTTTGTAGCTGGGTCTGATTAGTCGCGATAGTGTTGATTGCATTAAAACAAAGTGGCCGCTGCTTCAAAAAGAAGGAAGTTGGGTCGAATACGAAGGCATGGAGAAGTTGTCAAGAATTGAGTGATCTCATGACGCATCATCACACATGGTCCGAGGGTGGAGTCTCATGCCGAAGACACCACCAAATTCTACAACACGGCCATCGCCGCGTTTTCAAGAAGCAGTGCAACTAGACTCGCGCAATGATGGCCATATTGTAAACCCATCTCTATACCAAGATTTCCTTCAAACTGAACGATACTATATTCTAGGCGGAGTTTGCAAGAAATACTGTAGCGCCTAAGACTTGAGAAGAAAGTATAAGTCGTCCATCCAACACATACCCCACAAACTTGTCTGATCTTCAACTTGAGCTTTAATACAAGGCATAGCTGTCATTATATGTGTAGGTGATTGATAAATGCACGTTCATATTGCCAAGTATCCTATCAATAGCTTGTACAGAGTGCTAATAAACAAAAGTATACTCAGAACATCCACCAAAGGCTTATTTGCGACAATTGTTGTACTTATAATCCTATTTCCACCCCCTCGGTAGGCTCACTCGTTTTGAAGAAGAAAAACCCAAAAAGTCATGCTTGACTCCCATTAAATCACAAATTAAGTGGGGAGAATTGACACAAAAGAAAAATTTAGGTCTCACGGGGATTCGAACCCCAGTCCCCGGAATATCCGGTAGGGAGTATTCATTGAATGACTGCCCGTAATCAGAATCCGATGTGATAACCAACTACACTATGAAACCGTATTGGAACTGCTGCTGTTGGATAATATATGAATTAATGAGTTATATATCAACCAGACAATAAGTTTGTGCGGGAGAGCACTGCAAAAATTGGAAAAACTCCACTTCTGCACAGCTTGGCCTCTCAGATGGATCAGTTCTATGTGGACTGTGTGTTACTTCGAATCCTCCTAGACACACCCACTTAGTCAAGTAAGTGTAAATGAGAGAACGTCGTCTCTGGCTTTTCTACCTGACCACACAGCCAAGTTGCTGAGTTGCTTAATTCATCTGGTTCTCTCCATGTGTTCTAGTGAAAAGAATACTTGTAGGTACTAGGGACACACAGCAGCTTATGAGGCTTCTTGCCGATCCCGGTGTAAATGAGTTTTAGCTTGGAAATAATTAAAGATAAATATTCTAAACTGATCTTGCAAGCATTAATGAATATGTAGTACTCTCTGCGAGTGCTTTCTTAGACTGGTATACATCTCATCTTAGGAGACCACATTGGGTATGTTCTGATCTATAGTGTAACCTTCATATCACCGCATCAGAAAATCATGCCTGGCGACTGACTGCCTGACTGCCTGACTGCCTGGATGTGTTTCATCTTCCTCGTTTCTTGTCAAGGGTAACAAACATCCGTGCTCGGATCATGAAATATAAGGTGTTCTAAGCTACAGCCCGGATAGCCAGCAGAAATTAATCGATAGCAGAACGAACCCCGCCATCGATCGGCTGCAAAAAAAAACCACCCCACCACGCAGAACAGTCACTTGCCCGCCGCGCAAGCCCGTCAAACTGACGATCGTTACGAAGACATTGCGACATTACCAACACACAATGGCGACTTCTACAGACAACGGAGCTTCTTCAGCCACGGCCGCAGCGACGATCCAGAGCCTGCGGGAGTCTCTGTGCTCCGAGGAAACCCCGCTGCCCATCCGATTCCGCGCCCTCTTCTCGCTAAAGCATGTTGCCCGTCATGAACCAGGCCCCAACGCCCTTGCTGCCATCGATGCGATCGCCGCCGCCTTCTCGTCGCCTTCGGCACTTCTGAAGCATGAGCTGGCCTACTGCCTGGGCCAATCGGCCAATGATGCCGCGATTGCGCCTCTGCAGCAAGTGCTGGCCGACGTCAAGGAGGATACCATGTGCCGACATGAAGCGGCGGAAGCTTTGGGAGCTCTGGGCAATGCGAGCAACCTAGAGATACTACGACAATTCAGAGACCGCGAGGGCGAGGACATTGTGATCATAGAGACATGTGAAATCGCCATTGACAGGATAGAATGGGAGAATTCGGAGGAACGCAAGAAGGAGAAGCTGCGTCAAAGGTATGTCGGCCTATCGCATCAAAGTCTTCCCTATCTGCGACGTCGCGCATAACAACTAACCTGTACAAGTGACTTCGCTTCTATAGATCCAGCACCTTCGATGGCCGAAGCCGAAGCCATGCAGACTGTAGAGGAGCTCGAGAAGACCCTAATGAACACAGAAGCTCCCTTGTTTCTCCGCTACAGAGCCATGTTCGCCCTGCGCGACATGGCCTCCCCACCAGACCTCCCAACGGCAGTCCCCGCGGTTCTTGCCCTTGCCAAAGGGTTCGCAGATTCGTCCGCCCTGTTCCGCCACGAGATCGCATTTGTCTTTGGTCAACTGTCCCATCCCGCGTCGATACCCGCTCTGACCGCCGCATTGAGCGATACCGAAGAAGCCAGCATGGTGCGGCATGAAGCCGCAGAGGCTCTCGGAAGCTTGGGCGAGGAGGAAGGTGTGGAGGACGTCCTCAAACGCTTCCTTCATGACAAGGAGAAGGTGGTGCGCGACAGCATCATTGTGGCCTTGGACATGGTCGACTACGAGCAGAGCAAACAGACGGAGTATGCTCTGATCCCAGAGGCGAAGGCGGTAGCAGCATAGCATTGAGGATGACAATGGGGCAGAGTTTCGTGGGGCATTGATTGTAGGATACCAAGACCAAAAAGTCACGTCTTTCATTGTCGTAGTTTTTAGACTGCCGCAACTTCAGTTATTTGCGCTCCACCTGTACGTCGTGGTTGATTAGCAAAATACATATTTTCCATACGCGCAGGAATCATACTTGTTACCGCAGTCGCAGGTATAGAAGATGGTACTGCCTTCATCAGCACTGCGCAACTGCACAGCAGAGAACCGGATGTTGCTGCGCCCGCATTTTTCGCAACTGACGGAGGTGTCGATGGCTTCGGTCTGAACCTTGTGGCGCTCAACCGTCTGGACTGTCGAGAGCTTTTGGCGTAGAAGGGAAGGGAAGTCGGAAGGTTTGCTTTGTGTGACGATCGTCTGTGAGGCCTTGTCTGTTGGGATACGCATGAGAATTTTCTGCTATATAACGGCATCGTTGCTAAGCCCAGAAACTGACCTTTGTTCTCTGCGCCGCAACATTCGCATTTCAGTATATTCTTCTCGTTGCCCATTGAGGCTGGCAAGAGGTTGCCGCAGTCCATACAGAATACTAGTGATCCTATAGAAGCCATTTTGTCCTCGACTTCAACGGAGTTTACAACGCAGGTGATGAATGTAGTAAAGGTGATCAAGTTTCGTATTGTAGCTGCCAATTCAAGATGCGGACACAAGTCTCATGGTCTTGTCAACATAACGGCGGAATTTGCTATTGTCACATCGAATCTTTGGTAAAAAGAAAAAGTTCGACCCCCTGTCGTCGTATCGGTAATAATTCCCACAATGGCCGACCCTCAGGTCCCTTGTCGGTATCTCGGCGCAAGACCGGGATTAAGAACCTTGTCCTCGAATCTGGGGCAAGTGCAACGACGGTTGCAGGTGAGCTTCTTAGCGCAAGGCTGTCGCGACTCCCTCAGTCGGAGGCCCAAATGGTGCAATCAGTGCTCAGTTGAACTCATTTGGTACCACCGGCCTTCTCAAGCTCGTATCTTTTACGTGGGAACAGAAACGAATCATTGCGCGACATCATCCCAGGAGCATAATTACGTTCCACTCTTCACAACCAGCACATGGCAAAGCAAACGACTTCCTAGCTCCACGTCACGGAGAAGACGCCCGCAATGCGCTTGACAACTGCAGAGGGTAACGAGTTTGGGTCAACATTCTGGACGTTTGAGCGCGAGGGTGTAAATAGAGGAGATGGCAAATCCGCAGTCCGGCAACCAGAATGGCGTCGTGCCTCATCATGGCCAAAACCCATATATGCCGTCAGGTGCCCAGCATCAGCATCAGCATCAGCATCATCATCATCATCAGCAGCAGCAGCAGGTTAGTGCCCGAAGACCATTTACTCTGAACGAGGCGCTTCCGTACACGCCGATAACGTCGGTGTTTCCCTTTGAGCCAGGTAAGTGCATCTGACCCTCGTGCCTTCCCTATCACCCAGGGTGCCTTCCGAATCTGGGAGTAGAAACCGCTTCTCTGCCTAAAACCCTTCCATCCCAAGAAGCATGCCGCTGACCTTGGGAAAACACACGCAGACATCATCAACACTCCCACAATCGGTTCTGGCCCCCTCGCACCCTCGATTGCCGGTCTGGTCTCCCGCGAAGACTACGATGCCCTGAACAACGAGGCAAGATACCCGAATCAATCCAAACGCCTTGAGGGAAGCTTGGAATATGTGCAGACGTTGTTAAAGCCGGAAAAGATCACTCGATTGTGGGTTCGCGCATAATCTATTGTCTCTGAAACAATAATCAGTATGGAGGCATTGGAGGACTTGAGCTGATAATGAACCCAATAGCCAATTCAAGACGGCGCCCAAAGCTACCAATCCCTCGAATGATAGCTCACAAAAAAGCCTCACAGAAGGCCTGTCGCCATTTGCGAGAATGGTATATGACAACACGGCTATATCATTCCGGTATCCCACTCCAGAGACACCACGGCCGCAGACGGTCAACGGCCAGAAGATGTCTCCCCATATCACGAAGGGATCGCCCAAGGCTCGGAAGCAGGAGCCACCCAAGGTCGTCAAGCACAATCCTGCAGCCCTCAATGCGCAGGCTGTTGCTAAGAACAAGTCTCAAATCGAGATCCATCTGCCAAGCCAGAGGCAACTCAGTGCTAGTGCCTCTCCGCACTCAACGTTTGGCCTTGTTCGTCAGGATTTGCCGGAAACCCCATCTCGGCCAGCTCACATTCCCCAAGTGAAACCGCAGACAATTTCACCAGCAGACTTGATGGTAGCTCAACCAAAGACGCAACTACTGCCTCCGGCGCCAGATCGAAGCTCTTCCCAGAGAATCGCTGGAGTGACAGATCAGTTACCACCACGAGCTCAGTCCCAGGAAGCGTCACAAGCGATATCCGAACCATCGCGGGCATCATCACAAGGCCTGAAAGCTGCCGGCATCAGAATTGAGCTGCCTGTTGCAAGTTTTAACAAGGACGATTTTGTTGTAGTGGATGACGCGCTGAGTGCCCCCTATCATCTCTCGACAAAGAAGCGGAAGCGCGCCCAAATGGGAGATGGCGATGATCTCGATAGCGGGCTCGACAACCGCGAGCGAGCAAATGCGGCTCTAAGAGAGTTGCAACGTTGTCTCCAAGAGATTTTTGAGGCTGAAGACAAGACGTCAGGGCAGCATAGCAACTCAAATGCTTTAATCACCATCGACAATGACCAGGAACCCACCATGACCACCGCAGCCCATTCCCGCGCCTTGAAGTTAATTCTTAGGACACTTGAGCTCGGCTGCTTCCGACTGGTTCCAGCCGAAGATATTCTTCGAGTACAGAACTTGTGTGACGGTGCGTTGAAGCAAGCCGCAAATCTTGAAATCAAGATCGACGACAGCTGGGGCGAGGTCGAGGTTGGGATGTGGCTCCAGCAGCTTCCCAACATCGAGGCAGGACTGAAAGCCGCACGTACCGCACTAACGGTCATGAGTGGAGGCCGAGAAGAAAGGCAGCTTTATTCCGAGGACTTGATCCAACAGGGGCTCAATATCTTCAAGAATGTCATTGACGGCATAATCGTACCTTTATCTGAGCTGCGAGGCTCCGATCCGTCCAAGAAAGAATTGTTCAGGCATCTGACAGCACAGAAAAAGGCGATCAGCACCATATTTACGGCTTGCCAAAAGCTTTTTACACTCATGTCCACCCTGATAACAAGTATCGACCTTTCGGAGACAGTAGTCAGCACACTGGAGTTTGCTTCGTCCTGTCTCATATTCGTTGAGAACGCACCTGAAAAAGATTCAGTGGTAGGAACTCAAAAATTTGACGGGCTTCGTCTAGTTGCCATGGACATGCTTTCTCAAATCTTTTTAATGAACCCATCCCAAAGGCAGGGCATATTTGATGACATCTTGACATCTCTCGAGAAATTGCCGCTTAACAAGCTGAGCGCCAGACAGTTCAAGCTCTCAGATGGTGGAAGCATTCAACCTGTCTCTGCTCTGATCATGCGACTAGTGCAAGCCAGCGCTGGAAAGGTTGATGACCGCAAGGAGAAGTCTCGTGGTCAAATGTTGAAGTCTCTCGAAGGGGACGACCAAGACGGCCAGGGAAATGCACCAAATGGTGGGAAAGGCTCTGCTGAGACATCGTACGCTGTCAAGACCGAAGATTACGCCGCCATGCAGCCCTCTACTGCTATTCAGGAGCTTGAAGCCCTCGCACCGCCACTCTTTGATACGGCCAAGCGTAATGCCGCGTATGTCGTCAACTTCATGGTCAAGCGTGCCCAGAAGTCTACCAAATCTGGCGATACCCCGTATCGTAACCTGCTTGATTTGTTCGTGGAGGACTTCACGACTTGCTTAGATTCGCCGGACTGGCCTGCGGCAGAGCTGCTGCTCCGCCTGTTGATGTTCATGATGCTAGAACTCGTCAAAGGCGAAAAGAATGCCGCACCAGCGAAGAACATGGCCTTGGAACTTCTCGGTGTGATGGCCGCCGCGATTTCGAAACTTCGCTCGCATGTTCGGAAGACTGCAAGCAATTTCGAGGGCACTGACGCCGACGAGCTAGGACGGTGGCTCGCTGAACTGACGACCATGGTTCTTGACCGCAAATTCTCCCCAGACAAGATTATCAATTGGCTTGGTCCTTACCGGGTGGTTCTAGAATACCTCGAGGGCCGTGTGACTGATGACCCGCACCTCAGAAGCGCCATTTCCTACTTTGTTACAGATTGGGCTGTCTCAGTGTGCGCTGCATATGACGACGATCAGGAAGAGTCGGAAGGCAGAGATGCTGAATACGGCAGGACCGCGTACCGTCTGCGTAACATGGTAGAAGACCGTAGGTGGCTTACCAATGAGTACAGTTTCAAGTCGGTCGTCGCCAGTCACGCCAAGCTATCTCATTCGATTCTCCTACTTCGGTCACAGTTCTGTGATTATTTCAAAGGAATTCTCAACATTCTCATGCAGTCGATGACAACAGATGCCGCAACTGTCCGCAGCAGAAGCTTGAAGAGCATCAATCAAGTTCTTGAGACAGATCCAACCATTCTCGATGGCGATAGCGTCGTCATTCACTTGATTTTACAATGCTCCAATGACTCGTCCCCGCAAGTCCGAGATTCTGCTCTTGGTCTGATTGGGAAATGCATTGCTATGCGGCCGCTCCTAGAAGAGAAGATGACCCAGACTGTCATTCAACGGTTCACAGACGCCGGAGTCGGGGTTCGCAAGAGGGCGATGAAACTTGCAAGAGACATTTATCTTGGCAACCAAAGCAAGGACGTCCGCAGTGCTATAGCGAATGGGCTTCTTCATCGTATGCAAGACCCTGATGAGGGGGTCCGCGAACTTGCTCGGCAAATGATAGAGGAAGTATGGATTTCACCGTTCTACAAGGCCAATGACTCGATGGCCTACAAGCAATCGCTCACCGACCATGTCGTTCTGATGGTGCAAACGGTGAAGCAAGGAAACGCTTCACTTATCCTCGATAAGGTCTTTCAGACTATGTTGGCCCCCGAGTCCAAACTTTCTGAGGCCAACTCCGATGTCTGTAAAAGATTAGTTGCCAATATGTTCGATTTGGTAGACAATCCCGACTCGGAAGATTTGTCCGTTCCAACGGGCAAAGATGCTCTTCAAGTCTTGATGATTTTTGCGAAGGCGGATCCCAGACTCTTCACCTTCGAGCAGATCCGTCTCCTTAAGCCACGTATTGCAAGTGTAGCAAGTGTCAGTACGAGTGAGGAATTCCAGGTGTCAAGAGCTGTGGTAGTCATTTATCGACGAGTGTTACCACAAGTGTCGAGCGTTCACAATCAATTCCTTGCCGAAGTCCGCCGAGATCTGATGCCTGCCCTGCCGAAGGTCACCAGAGCGCTTCTGGACGATGTGATGGCTTGCTTATGGATCATCAGTGGCTTATTAGAGACGTCGGAGCATCTTGCTCGGCTTGTCTCTTCAAGTCTAGCCGGTGTCCAGAAGATTAGAGCGATGACAGTCAAAGGACCTCTTGACAACGACACGACGAGGAAATTTGCGCGATATTCGCTCATTGTCGGCATGGCAGGCAAACACTGCAATCTTGACCAGCACGCCGAACTGTTCAAGTCCAGCTTCCCCAAGTGGCAGGGGAACTCGGTATCGAAACTAATGGTTGATGTTCTCGTACCATTTGCGAACCCCTCGCAGCCCGCAGAAGTCAGGAAAGCAGCGTTGGATGCTATCGGATTGGTGTGTCAAGCGAACCCAAGAAATTACGTCGCAGCAAACGTCTACACGACTTTCCAGCAGGTTTTTGACGAGCAAGATGCCGCCTTGGAGTCAATGATCCTTCGGTCTTTTAAGGAGTTCCTGTTTACCGAAGAGAAGCGGTCTGAACAGGCGGCGGCGTCTGCGAATGGAACCAAGGAGCCCGTCAAAAAGGATCTGAAGTCGATGGGCAGTACCGGATTTGACGACGTGGCGAGCGCAACTACTCAGAGATTTCTCAAGGAAATTACTCGCATCACCACAGCGACACAAGACGAACATGCATTCTTGGCTATGGAAGTGCTGGCTACGATCAGCCGACAAGGATTGGTGCATCCTAAAGAAACCGGAGTCACTCTCATCACGCTGGAGACCTGCCCCATTATGAAGATCTCTGAGCTGGCCTATCAAGAGCATCGAGCGCTCCATGAGAAGCACGAGACCGTCATTGAAAGAGAGTACGTCAAGGCGGTTCAAGCAGCCTTTCAATATCAGCGTGACATTACGGGGGACTCCCATGGTGCAACTGAGAATCCCTTCACTCCGAAGCTCCATTTATTAATGGAAGTGCTGAAAATCAGCAAGTCCAAGAATCGACAGCGCTTCCAGGAGAAGCTTATCGGCCAGATCGACTTCGAGCCGGCTAAATTGGAAGTTGGTCACGAAGGTATGCCACACCATGTCGAGTATTCTCGCTTTCTGGTCGAGAACCTTGCGTTCTTCGAGTACGTGACCGTGAGTGAGGTTCAAGCTACGATCACAGCAATGGAAAAGCTTGTCACCAGCACAGGCTCGGGCATCGCTCAATCCATTGAATCGGAAATCTTCCAAGTTCGGGTCGACACGATGCTCGGTGCATCGCAAGCGACTAATAGAGAGTTGCCACCATTGGCTCCTGTTGAAGCGCCAGTCAACAATCAGAAACTCCGTCAGCTATCTGCGGGATCAATCATACTTCTCGTAGTCTGGGAGGCACGAACATACCTCCGTCGAGCATATGGTCTCAATGCAAATCGCCGCGAGAGCAAAGGCAAGGGTACTAACAAGGACTTGACCAGGGCGCCCATCAAGGTCCAAGGTGTGACTGGTGACAAGTTCTGGGAAGATGTTGCCGTGGCCATGACAGGTCTTGATTCTCATGAGCGTATGGTCGATACATGCAAGGCCTTTGTTGAGCTGTTGAATGTCGACAAGGAATTTCAGATCGCCGAAGACGACGACGATGTCGATGGCAATGGGGAACCGACTACGCCCGATCCGGACGATGATGACGAGGAAGCTCTCAACTCCAACCCACGCGGTCGGAAGAGGAAGGCTGGTCATGCTGCAGGTGGGAAATTGAAGCGAGCTCGGTCTAACTCTAAGCCCCCGCCTCGCGGTCGCTCTCGGAAAAATCCTGTTGCTGCTGAAGCTGATTCAGACGCTGCCGATGATTTCTTCTAAGAACTCCCTTGTTTAGAACAAGGATCTTGCTCTACACTTATATCAACTCGATTTGTGGGACGTTGTAATTAGGTCAACGCTTCATTGCTGGCGTGGATGACCACCAATACTTGCTGCTAGGGGCATATACCAATGGGGTAATAGACGGCGTTTGAAGGATGGGGATATCTCGATTGCGAAATCTGGGTCATTACCTAAATGCCTAAATGGTCAAAGGCGAGGGCAGGTGTGCGTTTGCGATGATACCTATTTTGCTTTTATACTGGACTATGCATCGGGTATGGCCCTACCATGCTCTACCTAGCTACTTAGTCAACCAACCATTTGGCTATCACTCAAGTCATGAGTGCGAAGGAAGAGATCTCTTCTCCTATTTAGTACATGATGGTACTATTTGGTGTGCTTATCGACTTTGTTATGTTCAGTATGAGGTTGTTTTGTTTGGTCCAGTATCTTCAGCTAACAATGCTTACTCGCACTCATAGCATATGCTGCTGTTGCCTTTTATACGTTTTACCTGCAGCATCGCACAGCTTACACGGCCACCACCACCACAAATCATATAGAGGCACATCACACTTGTATTATGAAGGTTTCCACAATGGGGACAATGGTGTGATGTCTTATCATGATCGTGTCTTATCCATAACAAATGTATGGGTGCAAAGCGTACCAGGTGTAGGGACGATTGTGTCTTCCATGCAGTACACATGGCAAAAAGAAAATTAGAGCAAAAAGGAAAACCTTTCGAGGCAGTTGTGAAGAACGATGACCTCATTATGCGCCATATTCTTCACCCCCTGCTGGAATGTGTATAAGTTTTCATGCTTTTCTCTCTCTTGCCCAAAGACTTTTTTGCCCTAAATTCCTGGCAAATGTAGAATCCCAGGCTATCCATAGATTCAACATATGTTGTCATGAGACTTGCATTTTCGAGCTCTGAATGTCAACCTGTTAATTTCGCTTTGGTGTTCCATAGGTACCGTCATTGTGCACCAATCCTGCGTTCCGACTTAATTCATCCACTGTTGTTCTTGGTCATCGCTGGTCACAGACCACATATCTATGTCACTACTATCGCCCTGTACTGAGCCTTCGCTGAGAGTAAGCGCGGTGCTGAAGTCGGCTGATGATGTCATGTCGCCTGTGGTCGCACCTACAGCTGCCTGGCTGGGAGCTGCAATGACTGATCTCCCGGCAGTGGGGGACGACGTAGTGCCGCCGTAACTGATGGTTGGTGCAGACGGTGCAATGCTCGATGTGTACACCGAGATAGAATCAGCGGTATGGAACCCGGGACCGGGCCGTGATGGTCCCGGCCCGTTGTAAGGGTTTGCACTGCTGGCATGCTCGTACACATTTCCTCGTCCATCGTCCAAGCCTTCAGCCCACAAGGGCAGGAAGCTCATCTCTTTTTCGTTGAGGTTCAAGTTCAGGTGCGGGGTCTTCTTCAATGGGAGTTCAACATCCACGGACAGCTGAGGGCTGATGAATTGTCGCTCGAGCAGCTGTATCAGCTCGCTGTGGAACTGGCCTATAGAGAACATGTCATCCAGGTCGGTGCTGTCTAGGTCCGGGAAAAGGTGCTCGTTCTGTCTCAGCTGGACATAAAGTTCGCTGACAAGAGGCGATTTGTGCAGACTGCCACACGAACCAAGTAAGTATTCGCGTGTTGTTTCATAACTGGGTGTTCTGCATTTACCTAGTTTTTCCAACGAGTTGACGTAGCAACTCCCATGGACGACGAAGCAATAGGCGTTGTGGGCCGTTGAATCTTTGGTAGATAACATTATAATGAACCATTGTGCTTCTTGGGACATAACAACTTCGGGCCTCGTCAACCAACTCAAAGTGATGGTCGTGACCAGTGGTAGCTTCCGCTCTGAACAGCACTGTTTTCCACCTGCGAAGAGAAAGAATCAAAATGAGTTAGTCGAAGCCTTTCGCGGTGCTTAGAAGATGAATCCGAGAGCCTACCAATGGTTAAGAGCGTCGGCTAAAGCAATGAATGCCTCTCTGGTTCGTTTAACAGCGTCAGGCCGAGAAGAATCGAGGGCAGCACCTGCTCTAGGATTGGAATTGCCAGAGTCGCTAGGAAGGATCGCGCCTATCTTATGCCCAAGGACCTATCCATTAACAATGATTAGTTGATATTGATCAAATTGGAAACGGCATCACGTACCTTCAACTTGGCCCATTCGGGAATTCCAAGATCACTGAAGAGATGGTCACTTGTCAATAGATCCCAAGTCTCCTTGGTACGATCAACAAGCTCCATGCTTGCGTGTTGCACGGCATTCTGGAGATCATCAGGGAGCTCCACGCAGGTACGGCCAAAGACGGTTGCAGTAGGGTTTCGACGATGATTTGGCGCCGAATCGTTGGCGAGAGCTTCGATTGCCTTCTCAACGACAATGATACGAAAGGCAACACCTGTAACCATTTGTTAGCTGTGCGCCAGGTATAGGATCCACTTTTGCCACGTTGTCTGTTTCTGCACTTGAAGTGCAAAGAAGGAACATTGAGCCATGGGAAAGGCAACGTACGTGTAACGTCATATATGTGCAGAGTCCATGCGATCTGCATAGCTGCCTCTGGGTGGAACTCGGTGAAGAGAGTATTGGGCTCTGCCAAAAGCCACACAGCGACGGCATCACGCTACACGGGTCAAGATTAGCTTTCATCTTCGTTTGGAGACACATTATGGCCGAGAGAGTGGCGGAATGGAAGTGTCAGGGTGGAGCCAAAGGGGAAAACTCACTACAACGCTGGTGCACTCGAAATACTTAGCAATGGCGGTGATGGTGTGCACTCGAGGGGCTGAATTCAAGCAGAGTGGTAGATAACCCTCGATTGCCAGGAATAATCTTAGGATGTTGACTCTGTGTCGAATCGGGCAATAGTCCTCAATCGATCGGGCCGGCGAAGGTAGTAAATCATCCAAATCCACCGTGGGTATGTCCTGGCTGACCGGCCGGTCCCAAGGCTCACCCCACTGCTCCCAACGACGTTCGCTATTGTCTGTAGGCGCAAACCACTATAACAACCTACGGTCAGTGATAACTGTCTCAGGATGGAATATAAGTTGGAAGTCGCATACGGTCGGCATTTTGGTACAGTTGAGGGGAATTGCCAAGTGATCTACGCAATTGTCGTCGTGGCCCGACACTCTGAATCTGGATACGTAGAATCTCTCTTTGGATTGCCACCACTCCGAGACGCTCGTCGGGAGCGACAAGTCGACTAGTTGCGATGCCACATCATCGCCCTCAGATGCGGGCGTGAGATTGATGATGTAATCAACCCCTGGAGGTAGATCAGCCTCAGTCAGGTGGAGACGATGGAGTGTGCTCTTCTGCTTTCGGGGAGACAAGAGCTCTTCCAGGAATGCTGAGCCGGTCTTGTCAAGATTCTTTTTGTGCATGAGAAACTTGGTCGAGACCCATTCATGACAATTGCAATTCCTGTAATTCTTCGGGAACTCCATGAACATTAGCGTATCTCCAACGGTCAAACGCGCGTTGACAGTTTCCAGGAGCATTAGATCTATGGCTTCAAGAGATTGAAGCTGTGAATGGGACGACCTGACATGCTCCTGCCCTCTCGCGAGCAACTGGCTTCAACTTAGTGACAGTCTATCGTCTATGAGCCCGGTGAAAACATACCTGGATGCGGGCTTCAAGCGGGGACAGTGGCTTCTCTGCATCACTATCCTGACCTTGGCTGGCGTCATCTGGTGGCTGTTGATCCTGGGTAAACTCCATGGCTGTGTCCTGAAGAAAGATGATATCAGTGTCGTTGCTTAATTCCCGTGGACAGTGAATATATGTTGGCGGTCGTCCCTGGATAGGAAAAAATGGTCGTGATGAAAGATGCACTGGCGTTTTTCGCTGATGTATGAGTGCAGTGCGAAAAGAAAACACTGGCGTTGTTGCCTCGGGTGTGTGGAGGTAGGGAAAGGAATGCTGGCGTCCTTGCCTGATTTCTGATAGTAACCGAAACACCGCGTTCTTGCCTAGTTTCCCTTTTGATCTTTTTTTCAGGGTGCTGGAAGGCGGGTAAAAGGTATTGTTCTTGCCTGGTCTTCTACAGCCGGGAACGAAAAATCAGCTTCTTTGCCTACATAATGTTAGCGAGGGACCTGTGAGAGCAGACAACTAATATCAGCATCTATAACTTGCTTCTGTGAGAGGAAAGGCTGCATCTCAGCGTCGTATGTACACTGGATATGGGCAGGTAAAGAGATGCTGCTCTCTCGACTAACGCTAATTGATGAACAGAAAGGTGTTGCTGTCTTTACTTTTCTCTGCTGCGTTTGGATTATCCGAAGGTAGAAAACCGGCCACCGTGTCTGATGACCGTGATTAAGAACGAGGAAGCAGAGGGTCTATCGTTCTGCTGAAATTGGCGGAGACACAGGGAGAAGAGATGGCTCCGGCTTGGACACGTGAGGGAAAGAGGGCAGATATGTTCCTTGCTTAGATGATATATGGATGCAACAAACGGGCTCCAACGGAGAAGGCCACAATGTGCTTGGATAGTGGAAGTAAGACTTGAGGCTCAAATGCAGGGATACAGAAGTAGGCAGCAGTGCGGGCTGCCGCACTGATATTGTACTACAATCAAAATGATTGGGACAATTCATCCACGCCGCAATTGGCCCCCAAAAGATTGGTGTCCAACAAGCCAGTATGAGGAATAGCAATCCTTCAACAAACTACGCATGTCTGCTTACTGCTGCTACCAAGAGAACACCTTGGCAAGCTCTGCATCAGGGAGCGATCTTATATTGTCCTGCAATGTGCTTGGAGTCGAGGTTTTCAGATGTGACGCTGCCAGCAAAGAATTAGAAAGGGGACCGTTACCAGTGACGCTTGCAGATTACTAACGCGTCCATGAGGTTCGGCACTCGCAAAACAAACAAAGAAGAGAAATGTAAACGGAACCTTCCATACGGCAAACAGCTTGGGTTGCAGTAGATGTCGTCTTGAGCACGTACATATCGTCAAATGCATCACCCAGTGCTCCTGCCTATGATGCTGGCCCAAATCCGAGTTGTAGATCAAGTATTGTTCCCGGGAATAGATGGGGTAACAACGGCCTTCAATGTCAAGCCACTGACAGCCGGGATGGGGAAGATCGCCGACTAGGTACCCCAGATTTATAATGAGGATGCCATTTCTGAATATTGAGGTACATGAAGTGAGAGAATGCATCGAATATCATTTTTAATAGGACTGCAGTAGTATTATGAGAGCTTTACGGGTTGTTTTTTGACATTTGCAAGTTGAGATCAGCAAGTCGCTGGTTTTTGGAATTGTTGGCACATCATGATGTTGCTCTGCTTACATGTCGCGACCAGAGGACCCGCTGAGTTAAGGCTGATTGTGCACCTATTTAAGCCGACTCAAACCGTCTGTCCCAGTATTACAACATTGAATGAAGTAGACAGGGAGGGTAGTTGTCATCTCAACTTGCCTGCAGATGCATGACTGTTCATGACTATGCCAGTGAGGAAAGCTTGGCCCCTGGATCTCATACCTCGCGGGCAAAGGTTTCCCCTGAGTAGAAAATGGGCTCGTGGCGCCTTCATTGTTGGATCAGGTCGAAGTCCCCGGTATTGGCACGCTGGCAGCCAAGGAGCTATATCGGCTAGGTGATTCGGACCAAACAGAATACAGCGAAAGTAGACTCAAGCGATCTGGATCAACCCGAGGGCTGCGTTCGCTGAGAAACTTCTCCTGTGGTAGCTCTGTCTGTATTGCATGTAGCAACGAGGAGTGTTCCTAACATGTGGCTATCCGGTTTCCTTCTGTTCATTTCAAGAATGACACAAGCTAATCATGTTTTCTTTGAGGTGATTAGTTACGAAGATAACTGATCAGTTGAGAGGTCTACATGGATGGACTTGACAATCCCAGGAGGGCTGAGACTAGACAGTGTCAGTCAAAATAGCAGAGCATTGTAGTCTTAAAAGGGATTTTCTCTGGATTATAAGCAGCTCCGAAGAACAAATTATTTCCTCGGAATAGTGAAGAGGAAGTGCTTACAGTTTGTCGCCTCTTTTCATATTAGTAAGGATAGTCATAGCACTGACTGGTGCTTCTACAAGCCCGAGGTACGGATGTAATGTGATTACATATAACCTGTAATTGATATAGCTGCTCATGTTATCTATGACATGCCCGTTCCTCTGCCTGGCCTTAGCCGATGAAGATAATACGTCGCCTGTAGACACCAAGTATGCGAAACAAAATGAAGGGGTAGGCCAAGTGGTGTCAGGATCGGACACTTCAGACGCAATTGATTACATACCTACTGCTTCCTGGAACTCTCACTGCTGCAACATATTGCTTCATGATGATGCGACAGCTGTTCAGGGGAGTAGGAGAGCAGTCCAGTTCCCTGTTCGAAACTTGCCATATGACAAGTAGACAGCATGAAACGGGAGTTAGAAAAGAAACACAACAACCGGGACTCACATTATGACTACTTTAAAAATATCAATAACTGACCTGCATATAGGGATCCCTTTCAAACAAGCGGCTATGATGAGGATGCTCTCGTGCTAATCGAGATCTACGATGTTACCAAAGCTGGAACGAGGCCTCAGCTGTGGACTCTTAGTATCCACTTAAGTAGTTGGAATATCCTAAGACGATGTCATAGCTAGGGTCCAACTGATTATAAAGACGTGCAGAACTGCCGTATCAAGCAGCTTCCCAAAACTTCAGCACAAAGACTCGAATGACTCTCGCCGACCCAATTATGAATACTGACCCTCAAGGTATGAGAGAAATCTGAGTTTTAAGTTGTCGACATCCATTATCTGGCTCAAAGGTGCCAATTTCCTATCCTGGGTTGCTTGCTGTGTGTTTTCTACAATGCCCAGATCTTCCATGCGTTCGATGTCATCCCATGCCCTAAGCTAAGCAAGGCGGCCAATCATTGCTGGAATATACCAGTACTTACAAGTGCCATTTTCCATTCAAAACTCCTCCAGATTCCACATAGTTTCGGTAGCTTAGGGAGCGAGTCTTCTTCCACTGACTTGGAATACTGTGGTAATTTTAAGCTCCGTCAATTGAACACCGTGTGAAAATGTACCGTCATACATATCCGATGGTTGGCTATAACATGGACGTAGTATATGCGGAGCGAGCTTTGCAACTTTACTTGCAGTCTTCCCATATGATGTGGAGGATCTACATGAAGACGTGTTGTGTTTTCGATTCTAGCTAGGTTTTGAGAAAACTGTCCAGCCGCTCCGTAGCTTAACAATGACCCTGCAGAGGAAGAGGCGTATGCGTGTCTCATGCATCCTACACATACCTAGGGTATGTCCTCAGCTGGTCACACATTTTTTGGGGGTTAGTCGGCAGCTCATAAGTGCCGTTTAGACGCCCGCTAACCTAGTCACCACCGCCGTGAATGTTCGGTCAAGAGGGATAGTTTGAGCAACGTCGAGTTTCAACCCATAATATATGTCGAGTTCTGTTTCATAGATTTCCGAATTGGACAATTGAGGTTTAAACTTCAAGGTAGTACTACTTATGATAATCACCCTTTGACAGTGCGGACGGCACCAACTACGCACCCATCATGAATGATAGTAGGGACAGTGTACCAGCGTATAGGGCGTCTAGTGCCCAATTCTGAACTGCTCTAGTATTCATATACGGTGAGCTTATGGTTGACTTCTGAGTGGAGACTTGGCCCGAGAAGAACCACGAAGCATAGATTGCGGACCATCCTGATTCCTTCATCGAGCAGGCCCTTGTTTCTTTCAGCAGCAAATATCAAAATTAACATGATTTTACAAGCCCGACATAGCTTGTCGTGATAAATTTGTCCCTGGCTTTCTCATCGTAGCTGCGCGCGGAGTGGATTATCCCAATATTTACCCCATCCTCTATAGCCTTCAGCTGAGCGCGGATGTAGAAAATGACCACCTACGCATTGACGTCGAAAGCAAAGAGACAGTTCTCATCCGTCTCGTCCACAACGGGGGTTAGAAGGCATGTTAATGCCGGCCACGTTGACGGCGCCATCGAGCTTGCCTAGTTTATACACCGTCGGCTCGATCCAGGTGTTCACCGATTCGCGGCTTCGCACGTCCACCACACCATGTGCTTCTCCCTGGCCCGCAAGGACTTGACCACCGTCTGCAGTGCCTCGATACTGATGTTGGCGAGAGAGACGATTGCGCCGCGTGATGCGAACAGTTTCGCCGTTGCCAACCCCAGGCCTAAGGTGGCGCCAGTAATGGCTAAAGCTGTGGATATAGTGTGCTCAGCAGGTTCTGGCGTCGACCTACAGTCAGTAGGGTACTGATAACGCGGGTGACAGAATAGATGGCGCATCCAAAGGGAATAGCAAGTCTATACCCGGTTTACTACACAGGAAAATCGGGCAATCCCACACTATCCTGCCCTTGACTCGCCGTTTGATTTATCATCTGCTTGCTGGTCAAAAATCCTCTGATACTATGGACTTTGACCAGTACAAGCCTATGTAGAAAACCAGACTATGACACGTGTTAGCTATTAACGAATGTAGTCGTCATCAACCGGTAATATCTCTGATAATGATAAGATAATGAAGTAGCATGTATGCTGCAAGGTTACAATTGCTTGAAGTTCCCCGCACCACACACATATAGGAGGCAACACAATAGCAGCACTGCTACGCCGCCCCAAAGCGCCTGTGCACCAAATATAAAGTACTCTTTCAAGCAACTCTGTGTTACTCGAAAAATCCCAACAATTGTTTCGGACCTCCTCAGGGTGTTCCATCCCGAAGTCACTAATGCACGTTCAGTCCTAATATCCCTGCAAGACGGCAATGTCTACCCGGGGTCTGTCGGTATGTCTCGTGCACACTTTCCCCATTTTCGCCTGCCGTAGAGCTAAAACGCCCTAGCTTCAACTCAAGATAACCTAGGCAGATAGATGCACACGTTTTATCGGGGAGGTCCAGTGTACGTACCTACTAGGTATGACTTCATGTTTGTAGATCTTTCGCAAATTCCCGGGTGTGGCATGATCATAGATCGAACTTCCACCATCCATCGGAAGGTATATACCTCCCATATCTATCTCTCCTGACACAACTCAAGCTATTATACCGTCGAAGACGCGATCATTTGATTGCAACACTACTGTAAATCTCCTTCTGGTCTTGTATGCTGTTGCCAAATCCCGACTCGCCGGTTTAGCCGTGTTCTTCAGGATAGGATTCTCGTGGAAGTCGACGGAAGTCGACCACCAGCAGCTCGCAAAAACCGCCTCCAGACAAGATGGACCCTATTCGACCCAATGTTGGCGGACAACCTCTCCGTTCACCTATGTAAGATTGAAATTCTCCCCGTTTTCATTCCTTTCTCTGTTTCTTTTTCTTTTCTTGGTTTTGGGTTCTGTGTTGCTCAGGACGAGCCCTGACTCTCTCCATCCACAAGTAATTCCCCACTGACCGCCAATTGTAGTCGCCACCGTGGATTGGCTCTCTTCACTCTCGTGACGACTTTCACCATCTTTGCGGGCGCCAGATACAGACTACACAAGAACGAGCAAGCCCAGAAGAACTCGGCAGATCCCAACTTCTATGTCAGTGTTGATCGCAGTGGGGGTGGGGTTTGAGCTCTTGAAACAATTAGCCCCCAGACTTGCAGGCGAGGTGTCTGGTGATGGACGACACCTCAGGAGACTTATGAAATGACTGGATTGACCTGTCGAATGATATACGCAGAGTAGCACCATTCTCAACTACCTGATGAAAAGGGGTGAGCGGGGTTATCGGTGAGAGAGACGGTTAAGGACTGGCTGAGACGTGAATCTCAATTGTCAGGTTCGGCGACAAAATAAAGTCAAGGCATCAAAAAAAGAAAACAAACAGAGAAATTGACAAATTAATCAGAAGCTACCAGTGAGATAGATGCAATATAATCTTTGAATGTCATGCAGACAAAGCCAAGTGAAAAATGCTCTGTGTTCGCTATCTATATCTTACAGCTGTTGCGATATGGTATACTATGCAAATACAACGCGGAGCCTAAAACCAGATATCAAGATATTGTTCTACAGCAACATAACCCCATTTTCCTTGATAGCCGGTCAACGCGCAAATGCCAACCAGAACGCCTAATGCCGCAACCTATATGTCGCACAATGCAAGATCTACGCCCAGATCCCCTCTGCTCCGAACAGGGACAAAACGCAATCAAGGCATCATCAGAAAGAACTCCCTCTTCGTCTGATACGCTTTGTCTCCTGTTCTTTACCGCTTTCCGACTTGGCAACCTCCTTGCCCTTCCCCTTGTTTTTCGGCTTCACGCCCGACAATCCAACTTTATCTTCTCTCGTGCTGCTCGGTCGGCTTCCGCCGCCCTGCGCCTTCTTCACTGGCACGCGCTTTCGGTCCTTCCCTGCTACGCCCACCTCCATGACACCGTTCCAACTGCCATTCTCCGAGTTATGAGACGTGGACACCTGACTACGCATGCCGCGCATCTCTTTCGCCACTTCAGCGAAGCTCTCTTCCAGGGTCTTCATTCTTGCCAAGACGAGACGGCTCATGCGTTCAGCGTTGTCGCGCTCTTGACTTCCACGCCCAAGACCTTTAAGTTGACCCGTTGCCATGGCCATCTGTGTCGCGAAGGACGCCGGGACAGCACCAAGCTCGTTGTTAGCGTCGTGGTCTAGTCCTATGTCCGAGTTAATATCGACGTCTAGTGAGGGTAGCCGACGAAGACGCGCACCGGCGGTCCCCAAAAGAGCTGCACGAGTCGGTGCAGTCTTGGACGGAATCGGGCGTGGCCGCGTGGGTGGTGGCGCTATGTGGATGGTCCTCCGCGGAGAGCGGTGACCTGCACCTGTTGCCGGCGTTTCTACAGGGGTTTGGCGGCTACTCTTCGGTCGTGAACGGTTGCCTGAAGTGTGCTCCGACACCGATGGTGGAGTGTTTGTTCCTCGGCCACTCCCCTGAGGCGCGTAGAGGATCGTGGTTGTGGACATGGTGCGGCTATGCATACCTCCTTGTCGAGAAGTTCCAGTGCGCGGCGAGGCGTTGGCTGTGTGCTGATGTTGAGAAGAGTGTCTTGAGTTGAGTGATGACGGGGCTAGAGTACCGAATCGAGTTGCCATTGGTGTGGTGAAGTAGTCCTCTTCTTGCGGTACCGACTTCGCGGTTGCGCGGCTTTCTGTGGCATGTTCATCGTCTTCATCCTCATCGTTGGTTACAAGCTCGTCATCACCATCTGCATCCGTTTGGTCTTTGTAATCTGTGTGTTCCTCGTCCATGACTCCTGTAGAGTGGATGAAGTGTCGCCTCGGAAATCCATTGTTGGAAATTAGATCGGCAGGATCGCTTGCGGCGGATCTCACATCTGACACTGTCCTGTATCTTCGCGGTAGTTCTCGGCCAACGCTCGAACGACGGTGCCAGTCAATTGGCCGATCTAGTGACGGCCAATTCGAGGACTGTGGTTCTCCAACGTCATCATTCTGATCCATCCAGTGCCGGATGGCCGTCTGGGTCTTCCGTCTTTCCTGCCTTCGTTGATGTCGCAGAGTGCCGGAATCGGGAGGCCGCCTGAATACTTCTTCCAATGCGCGGTCCTTCTGCAGACCAGTGACCGACTCCTCGCGGACTCGAATGTTGGGGCTGAATATCGCAGTCCGGCTCGCAGGGTCGGCCAATGACAGAGTACGTCCTTGTCCACGTCCATGGTTTTCCACAAGATCAGTAGGTTCGTAAAGAGCTGACGCTAGGAAGTACTTTTCGTAAAAGTATATGCAGAAGAGAAGCGGCCAATGAGTGAGTTTGATGACGGTGCGGTTCAATCTCACGAACTGGCGGATTGGCATGCAATATCGTAAAGGCATCAACATCCAGGCGAAGATATTGCCGGGTGCAATGTAGGAGAACAGTGCGTCATTTTTGACCATTGAAATGGTATTTATGGCGAATAGAAATTGATGTTCTTGCGTAGCATTTGAAGCAATGGCCATGAAAGAATTTGTCAAGACTGTAATTAGAATGGTGCTACACATGACATTAGTAGGGAACAACTTAAACCGGCTGAGGTAAGACCTACACAACGACGAAATGACACATGATGAGGAAGAATACGAGCAGAAGTTTGCCCAAGAAGTTGTATTCGGGCCAACTGGAAGTTTTTGTTTAGCCAAGTCTCCAAGAGTTGGGTGATTTCAGCACTTACACATCCCAGGCCGCTGGCGTAAAGCCCATCAGGATTTGAAATATCTTGTATGCTACATCGGGAGCATCATTGCTATTCTTGGACAGGGTAAAGAAGACGAAAAACCCAGAACAGCTGATGAGCACAAGGACGAAAACGGCAGCGAGATCGACGGCCATGAGCCGAAAAGCGATGAGGAGCTGCGAGAAGTACTGATAGTGGTCCAGGACGCTGAAAATACGAGGTAAGAGTAGAATTGCATTGGATGCCAGAACGTCGTACGCCATGTCATTCCAATGGTGTGGATCTACAAGGAATACCCCATAGACCCTCATGCAGTAATACACGATGAGCAAGAGAAGAATCCCTAGATCGAAGATGTTCCAAAAGCTCATGATGTACAGAGAAAATCCCTGTTCATTGAAGCCAACGACCTCGTCAAGCATGAAACCAGCACTCCAGAACCAGAATATCAGTTCCAAGGAGGTGATGCGACTCGACCGTTCCACCAGAACGGCAAGAAATAGACATATCAAGATGAACAGTGAACAAGTCGACAGGAACTGTCTATACCGGGGAACACGAAGCCGAGACAGCTTGAGGGGAGAGGCGTGGCGGGGGTTGTACAAGGTCACAGTTCGTCTAACGGGCACCTCATGAAGTGGAAGACGGCCCTGGTTCTCTTTTCCAGGCTGGTAGCCGAGGAGAGGCGTTCTTGCATCTACCGATCTCCGTCTTGGCGTCTGTTTGGCACTAGGAGGTGTCTGAGGGGCTCGATGTAGTTGATCGGCCGAAGAGTAGAAGCTGATAGCACCATTCCAGATAGCTTCCAGTTGCTGCACAACAAGAGGGTGTGATAGAAAGTATTTGGCCGAGGCGCGAATGGCCACCTCAAGCGTGGAAGACCGCGCCGCAGATTGTCTGCTTCGGGGACTCGGCGTGTTTGGGGTTTCTGGCAGACCTTGCAGGGGATAGAAGTCGTACGACAGAGCGTCTATGAGTTCTCTGGTGTTGTACTCCTTCAACAGCTTCAGAGCAAGGAGCTCGCAGGCCTTGGCGCGAGTAGAACTCGTACCTGCATTGCCGGGGTATAATTGGGCTTCTTTGGCGAACTGTAGACAGTTGGCCATGAGTGCGTACAAGGTAGCCCTCGTGAAGTGTTGGGTCCTGATCTGTTGCTGCATGGGCTTGATGAGAAATTGGGAGACTTGAGGCGACCGCAGCTGCTCCCATGACAGCGACGTTTCGGTACGTGTTTGGACGATGATTCGTATAGCGTGAACGGTGTTGTAGACGGGCAGTGAGTCTTGCCATAATTGTTAGTTTCCAGTTCTTATTGCTTTTAAAATGCGCCTTTGCTTACCCAGATAGCTTGCGGCGAAGAGAGAGAGCATAGATGTCGAGCTCCTCCGCCTGCTGTCTTGCATGCCACCGCTATCTTGCCGGTACCGCGTCGTCAGCCTGGGCAGCTCGCCAGCTTCGTCCGCTTCGTCCGCTTCTTCGTTGGACTCATCTTCGTCGTCGTCGTCATCGGCCTCGGTGAAGTCGGCCGTCGCATGGCGAGACTCAAGGTATTGGCGATTGGTCGGACCGGGTGAGGGCGTGTTGGGGTTCGACTCAAACATGGACAAATTAACGCGACGATTCGAGTTTTCCCGTGACTTGTTGGGTCGCAGCAAGGAAGACAGCATATCCGTTGCCGAAGGCATCATGACAACCTCCGATCCCCGACCTCCTCGCGGCACCTACTGACTTAAGTAGGGTAATAGTAACATTGGCAAGCGGCTCGGAACACGTCAAACGAGGCGAGATGAGGTCCTAATCACCGCGACGGGCGGGAAAAACAGTGGACAAGCTGCAGAAGAATAAAAGCTCGACAAGATGGCGTCCTTAGCACAACGGCACGGTGGGTCGCCTCGTCAAGGAAAGCAGGGATACCAGGCTCTGACCTGGAGGGAACCTGCAACTTTATTAAATTCACCTGGGCAAGTCAGCACAGATCAAGCATGAAGTACATGTGCAATGCATCCACTGTTGCTCCAGCACAACCATGCCCCCCCGATGCCAGCAGTTTAGAGCATGGGTATGTACTGAAGCAGGTAAAGTGTGCTTCGATTTTCAAGGTTGTGCGTGCAGCAACCATTTAAGTTTGAGGAAGGTGGACGGGGAATGTTGTTGACGTCGAAAGCGGTCTAGAAATTATTGATAAGGACCCCTTGCTTTAGGAGTCAATCCTGTTTCCAGGTTGACCCTAGGAAAAATGAGTTGATGTTGACATTTTCTAAGCAGCCAGCAAAGAAATATCTCTCATAGCATCGATCGTCCGATCGAACATCCCTATCGATGGACCCGTCTTCATAAGGCATACTTCAAGCATCCATGTGGGTTTCGCTATTTTCCAAGCATTTGGACAATTGATAGATGTGTCACTGGCCACTCACCTTCACCGGTTCTCAACAATGTCCCGCAGGCGGCGGCTTGCCTCACCTAAGCGCGATCTTATTGCACGCATGACCACCCCTCCTTCCAAGGTGGGATTGCAGCCACTTCGAATCATCATAGCGGAGATCACCACATGCATGCGCTCAGCATGCAGTTTTCCGAGCTGTTTGGCTCCCATTGGTAGCGTAAGACAGCCTTTCCGACGATGGTCTGTCCCTCTTTGCAAGCTAAAAACCCCAAGATCGAAAATCAACACGGGCTTTTCACAACCGGATCTGAAACTGCGAAGCTTGGATCTCTACTATACGACTAGCTAGTGCCGAAATCGGTGCTAGCAGAAGCTAGTTGCGGAGCAAGCTCTCCAAGATGTTCTGCATGCACCCCCATTCCACAGTGTCACCGGATGCATGAAGCGCCGTGACACTGATAACGAACTATCTCGGCCTGCCTGTCGTGCTTAGATTACATCGGATCATTGTCAAGTTGCACCCAGCGGCAGTTGCGTCAATTCTCAGGTGAGAAGGAGTTTTCTATGCGACTATCTGCTTCGACGAGGCATAGACTAAATGGGAAAGCCTCAAGAGTCTTGTTCACTGGTATCGGCCTCACCGCTCGTTCGAGTCACAGTTCCAGTGTAAGAGGACGACGGCATGGGTGATATTCTGAAAGTCGGTCGTCTCCCTGGATCATCTCCATTGGATCATCTCCCCAACTTGCTGAGGTTGCCGTAGCACGTCGACGAGTCACGATCTCTAGCGTCTACTTTGATGCACGCACCATGCTCGCTTGCTAGCTTGATTGCATCATGCATTTAATAGCCGGACAAGCCTGAGGCCTTCAAGCTATACCCTTTTCACTCAAGCTTGCCGTGTAGTATCGTCTGAGGCTCGTAAAATCGGTGCAATTGACTTCGAGACTGGCAGTTCCCCTGGTCGGTATAAGAACAAGCCGATAACCTCGATGGCCTTATGGGTGCTCTTACCACTCACTCGCTGACCCTTCAATGCTTCGAAAATCAAGTTGCCATTATCGAGAAAAGAGAGACAACCCCACCAGACGGGGAGGTACGGCCAAGTACAGGGCTACAAAACCCCGCCTCAAACCAGAAGTAACCACCATAGAAAAAGAAAAGAAAGCATCCTTTTTTGGCCTTCATATAAATCTGGTGCTCACTATCGTTATTTGCAGTATTATTCTACAGCGGAGAGTCGTTACCGTCGACCTCAGATCCCTCAAGCCGGCGCTTCACACCATCTAGTACTTCAAGCTAATACGTCGGGCCAATACCTAAAGTCAAGTACCTCGGCCCTTCCAACTCTAAAAATACCTCATATCGACAGTCACATTGAAGAAGCACTTTGGAGACTAGGCCGGGGCTCTCGTAGGCTATGGATGGCGTAGGGCCGTGGCAATTGTGAGCCTAGCATCAAGGAGGTGGAGTCACCTGCTGTGTACGTTGTGGATGAAGGACTCAGAAGATGAGCTGTCAAGATGAGATATCTGGAGGTGGAGAGATCGGAAGCGTGAGGACGAGATTTACCATAAGGTTCTTGGTAAAAATGACCGAGGGCGGTCATTATGTGGGAAGGACTAGATGGGAAGGTACGGCCAAGTACAGGGCTACAAAACCCCGCCTCAAACCAGAAGTAACCATCATAGGAAAAGGAAAGGAAACATCCTTTTTTGGCCTTCATATAAATCTCCACCTCCCTCACTCAACCTTGACCCAAAGTAGTCGGCATATCTGACTTAGTTGCACTAGGGCTAGCGACAAAAACAACAACCTACTAACAGTTGTTCGCTCGTTATCAGCACCTGCGGTCCTCGTTCAGCAGCTATAAAACTTTACGAGGGGACAGTCCCAACATAAGTAAAGGTCAATGTACTTAAGTAGCCTTAGGTAGCTAAGAGCTGACTGACTGAGCTTGGCCGCGCGCGGGGTTCTCGACCGGATCGATTCCCATGACATAACTTCTCAAGTTTTTTCTCAGGTCTTTGTCTGCTCTTCTTCAATGCCGGCGTACATAAATTTCTTGTTTCTCTGGGCTTCACTATAAGCATGGCGACCTTGGCATATGGCAACGACGTATCCGATGCGCTTAGCTCCTAATCAAGACTCCGCCCTGAGAGAGAGGCTGCGATAATACCTGCCTAACCATAGGACGAAATTTGCAAGGGTTTGCAGAGCTAGAATCTGGTTGGACAATTGATCAACATGCCAGGTTCTGGCTACTTTACGTAGTAGCAGGCCAATGGGCACATGTCATTCGCCAGTCTTTGCAGATCGAAAAACTTTCTCGAAATGCAAGCCCCATGCATGGCGGGGTTGCTACCGAGAAAAAAAAAAGCTCTCTACAGGCGTTCACCGAGATTTTGAAATTTTTCTCGTAAAGTCGCCAATGTGAAGATCATTTGTATCAACTGAGCATCGGACTGGCAGTAATGAGCACTTGATTCAACTGCCGTTTTGCAGCACGAGATAGCTCTTTTCGTGAGCCCGTGAGCTGCATCTGCCACCCGGCATTGAGCCCCCCTCTTCCCCGAAGTCATCCGCAATCCCGCCAGTAAGCGCGAGTCCGCCTCTGTACGACTTCAAACCAACAGAATGGCTGCCGTTCAGCACCAGCCCGCCACGGCGAAGGTCGTCGACGCCAGTGACGACGGGTTCATGTGCCTGGAGCTCAAGGATGGCTCGTCCTATCAGGGCTATAGTTTTGGTGCTAAGAAGAGCATCGCTGGAGAGTTGGTCTTCCAGACTGGCATGGTGGGGTACCCTGAGAGTGTGACCGACCCTTCATACCGCGGCCAGATCCTTGTCATCACGTTTCCTCTTGTAGGCAACTATGGCGTTCCATCTCGAGAAAAGACCGACAAGCTACTAGGGGACCTGCCCGAATACTTCGAGTCAAACGAAATTCACATCGCCGGTCTCGTGACAGCCTCATACTCAGGCGAGGATTATTCCCACTACCTCGCCTCGTCCTCCCTAGGAACCTGGTTGAAAGAGCAGGGAATACCGGCCATATATGGTGTCGACACCAGGGCCTTGACAAAACGGATCAGAGAGAAGGGAAGCATGCTAGGTCGCCTCCTTCTGGAGAAACGCGACTTAAGCAACGGGGCTACTAATGCTGTCCAAGGAAACACCGTCCCCACCGCTGAGCATTGGAAGTCATCTTATGAACAAGTGGACTGGGTCAACCCTAACGAGAAGAATCTTGTTGCCGAGGGTAAGTTCCTACTGCTACGAATCCAGATCCCATGCTTATTTTTTTGTGATTAGTCTCCATCAAAACCCCCAAGTTGTACCAGCCCAGCCCAGAAACAGCGTTGAAACACGCTTCTGGGCGCACCGTCCGAGTTCTCTGTCTGGATGTCGGAATGAAATATAACCAGCTACGATGTTTCTTGAAACGCGGCGTTGAGGTCCTCGTATGTCCCTGGGATTACGACTTCTCCACGGATGCCGGAAAAGAATATGATGGCCTCTTCATCTCTAACGGACCTGGTGATCCGGCTGTCATGCAAGAGACAGTCAAGCATATTTCTGCCACCATGAAAGCCAATCAAACACCTGTCTTCGGAATCTGTCTTGGACATCAGCTGCTTGCGCGTGCAGCTGGGGCTGCAACCGAGAAGATGAAGTTCGGTAACCGTGGGCATAACATTCCCTGCACGAGTATGGTCACCGGAAAGTGTCACATTACTTCGCAAAATCACGGTTATGCCGTTGATGCGAAGAGCCTTCCCTCAGAATGGAAAGAGCTGTTTGTTAACGCCAACGACGGCAGCAATGAGGGCATCATGCATGTCAGCAAGCCTTATTTCAGTGTCCAGTTCCATCCTGAGAGCACTCCGGGGCCCCGAGACACCGAGTTTCTTTTCGATGTCTTCATCAACACAATTATGAAATGTGGTCAGGACCCGAAGCTTCTCAACGCCCCGGTAGAGTTCCCAGGTGGCACTGCCGAAGAAAATAAGAAGCTGCATCCGAGAGTCAATGTCAAAAAGATTCTTGTACTTGGAAGCGGAGGTCTCAGCATTGGGCAAGCAGGCGAGTTCGACTACTCTGGAAGTCAAGCTATCAAAGCTCTGAAAGAGGAGGGCATTTACACAGTTTTGATCAACCCGAACATTGCAACGATCCAGACGTCCAAGGGTCTGGCTGACAAGGTCTACTTCCTCCCCGTGACAGCTGAATTTGTTCGCAAAGTCATCGTTTACGAGCGTCCGGATGCGATATACGTTACGTTTGGCGGCCAGACGGCCTTGCAAGTTGGTATTCAGCTGAAGGACGAATTTGCAGAGCTCGGAGTCAAGGTCCTTGGCACCCCTATCGACACCATCATCACCACCGAAGACCGTGAACTCTTCGCTCGAAGCATGGAATCGATCAATGAGAAGTGCGCCAAATCAGCTTCCGCCAGTAGTGTCGACGAGGCTATGGAAGTCGTCAAGGACATCGGGTTTCCCGTTATTGTCAGAGCTGCTTACGCTCTTGGTGGTCTTGGAAGTGGCTTCGCCAATAACGAGCCCGAGTTGCTTGATCTTTGCAACAAAGCGCTAGCCGCCAGTCCCCAGGTGCTTATCGAGCGCAGTATGAAGGGCTGGAAAGAGATCGAGTATGAGGTGGTGCGAGATGCCCAAGACAACTGTATTACCGTCTGCAACATGGAAAACTTCGATCCTCTTGGTATCCACACAGGCGACTCCATCGTTGTTGCACCGTCCCAAACGCTTTCGGATGAGGACTACAACATGTTGCGAACTACCGCAGTCAACGTCATCCGCCACCTCGGAGTTGTTGGCGAGTGTAATATTCAATATGCGTTGAACCCAGACTCGAAGGAATACTGCATCATTGAAGTCAACGCTAGATTATCTCGGTCGTCCGCCCTCGCATCAAAGGCGACAGGCTACCCTCTGGCATTCATAGCCGCTAAGTTGGGTCTCGGCATCCCTCTCAAGGACATCAAAAACTCGGTCACCAAGGGTACCTGTGCGTGCTTCGAGCCATCTCTTGATTATGTGGTCGTCAAGATGCCCAGGTGGGATCTGAAAAAGTTTACTAGGGTGTCAACGCAACTTGGATCATCGATGAAGAGTGTGGGCGAAGTTATGAGCATCGGCCGAAGCTTCGAGGAAGCGATCCAGAAGGCGATTCGTGCTATTGACTTCCACAATCTTGGGTTTGGAGAGACGCCGGCGCTGATGTCCATCGATGACGAGCTGCAAACCCCGTCGGACCAACGCCTCTTTGCCATTGCCAACGCCATGCACACTGGATACTCGGTTGACAAGATCTGGGAAATGACCAAAATTGATAAGTGGTTCCTGCACAAACTGATGGGATTGAGCACCTTTGCCAAATCTATGGCCGAATATGACACTAGCTCCATTGCAAAACGCCCTGATGTGCTTCGTCAGGCAAAGCGTCTTGGATTCTCTGATCGCCAACTGGCCAAGTTCTGGGATTCCAACGAGCTTGCTGTCAGAAGAATGCGACTCGAGGCTGGTATCACGCCGTTCGTGAAGCAGATCGATACCGTTGCGGCGGAGTTCCCTGCTTACACCAATTACCTTTACCTTACATACAATGCATCGGAACACGACATGACCTTCAATGACCACGGTGTCATGGTTCTTGGATCCGGTGTCTATCGTATCGGTTCCTCTGTGGAATTCGATTGGTGCTCCGTAAGAGCCATTCGCACGCTCCGGCAGCTCAAATTCAAGACGGTCATGGTCAACTACAACCCCGAAACCGTCAGCACAGACTACGATGAAGCAGACCGCCTGTACTTTGAGAACATTAACCTGGAGACGGTCCTCGATATTTACCAAATGGAATCTTCGAGCGGTGTTCTGGGCGCCATGGGTGGTCAGACACCCAACAACATCGCGCTGCCGCTGTCACGTTCCGGTGTCAAGGTACTAGGCACGTCTCCGGAGAACATTGATAATGCCGAGAACCGATACAAGTTCTCACGAATGCTCGACAAGATTGGCGTGGACCAGCCGACCTGGAAGGAACTTACGAGCTTTGCAGAGGCTAAGTCGTTCTGTGCCACGGTTACATATCCTGTACTTGTTCGACCTTCCTACGTTCTTTCTGGTGCTGCCATGAATACAGTCTACTCGGAGGCGGATCTCGAATCCTACCTTGACCAAGCTGCCGAGGTTTCTCGTGAACATCCCGTTGTCATTACGAAATACATTGAGAACGCCAAGGAGATTGAAATGGATGCCGTGGCAAAAGATGGCAAGGTCGTTGGCCACTTCATTTCTGAGCATGTCGAAAACGCTGGTGTTCATTCAGGCGATGCCACTTTGATCCTGCCACCCCAAGATTTGGAAAAGACAACCATCCAGCGCATTGAGGAAGCAACGCAGAAGATCGGTCTTGCTCTGAATGTTACAGGTCCATTCAACATTCAATTCATCGCTAAAGACAACGACATCAAGGTCATTGAATGCAACGTGCGAGCGTCGCGTTCATTCCCCTTCGTGTCCAAGGTAATGGGGGTAGATCTCATTGAGATGGCCACCAAGGCCATCATGAACGCGCCATTTGCGGAGCACCCCCCTACCAACATTGCTCCGGACTGTGTGGGAGTCAAAGTCCCGCAGTTCAGTTTCTCTCGTCTTTCCGGAGCTGACCCCGTACTGGGTGTGGAAATGGCCTCCACCGGAGAGGTCGCTTGTTTCGGTAGCGACAAGTACGAGGCCTATTTGAAGGCTTTGATATCGACAGGCTTCAAGATCCCCAAGAGCAACATCCTGCTCTCCATTGGCTCCTTCAAGGATAAGAAGGAGATGTTGCCATCAGTTGCCAAGTTGCAGCGAATGGGCTACAAGCTGTTCGCTACTGCGGGTACTGCCGATTTCCTCCAGGAGCATGGTATCCCCGTCCAGTATCTCGAAGTTCTCGGGAAAGAGGAAGACGACGACCAAAGATCCGAGTACTCGCTGACGCAGCATCTTGCTAAGAACATGATTAATCTCTACATCAATCTGCCATCCAACAACAAGTACCGCCGTCCTGCCAACTACATGAGCAAGGGATACCAAACGCGGCGAATGGCCGTAGACTACCAGATCCCTCTTGTTACCAATGTCAAGAATGCCAAGATTCTTGTGGAAGCTATCGCAAGACACTTTGACCTTGACATTGGGAACCGCGACTTCCAAACGAGTCATCGCACTGTCGTGCTGCCGGGTCTCATCAACATCGCTGCCTTTGTACCCGGAATCATCTCCCAGAGCAGTAATGATCTCCAGACTATCACCAAGACCTCAATCGCTTCAGGCTTCAGCATGGTGCGCATCATGCCGATGGGCATTGAGGGTTCCATCACAGATGCCAAGACATTGAAGCTTGCACAGCAAAACAGCAAGCGTGGCGGATATTGTGATTACAACTTCTGTTTCTGCGACATCGGACAACGCCGACCAGATTAGCCATGTCACGAGCGAAGTGGGCTCTTTGTTCATCCCATTCAACCATTTGTCAGACAACATCAACAAGGTGGCGGCGGTCACGACGCATTTCGACTCGTGGCCGACGCACAAGCCCATCCTGACGGACGCGAAAACCACCGATCTCGCCTCCATCTTGTTGTTGGCTAGCCTTCACAGTAGGCGCATCCATGTCACTAGTGTGACAACCAAGGAAGACATTCGCATAATTGCCCTGAGCAAGGAGAAGGGTCTTAACGTAACCTGCGATGTCTCCATCTACTCACTCTACCTGACACGGAAGGATTATCCCGACTGTCTTGGCTTGCCGACTCCTGAAGACCAACAGGCTCTATGGGATCATCTTGCCACGATTGACGTCTTTTCCATTGGCAGCCTTCCCTACCAGCTTTGCCATGGCACCGGCTCGACCACGAACCCGTCAGTAGGCATTGCAGATGCATTGCCATTGCTGTTAACTTCGGTCACCGAGAACAGGCTGACGTTGGATGATATCAAGACGCGCCTGTATGACAACCCTAAGCAGATCTTCGAGCTTCACGAACAGGTTGGGACATCTGTAGAGGTGGAAATTGACAGGCCATACACTGTGCCGTCAACGTCACTTTGGTCACCGTTTGTGGGGAAAACAATGCGCGGAGCTGTTCAGAGAGTTACCTTCGGCGACAAGACGGTTTGCCTTGACGGAGAAATGCTCCCCATTCCTCCTCTGGGCAAGGACATGTCAACCCATGGTAGCATGCCGGTGCCGATGTCACCACCCATGAGGCCTCTGCAGCAATCCATTAGCTACACGCCTGACAGCCCCGGGGGCAGACATCAATCTATGTTTGGCGCACCAAGACCTCTAACCCAACCACGAGCTCTGGAATCGGCAATGGGAGATGGTCTTGGCCTAGGGTTCCCCACGCAGAACCGAGCCGTCGACTCGCTCAGAGAGCTTCTGTCACAACCATCCTCTTTCAAGGGTTCTCATGTTCTCTCCGTGGCCCAATACTCCCGTTCTGATCTCCACCTCCTATTTACCGTGGCTCAAGAAATGCGACTGGGCGTGCAACGGGAAGGCGTTCTGAACACCCTCCGAGGCCGCGTGCTTACTACTATGTTCTACGAGCCATCTACACGCACTTCGGCCTCTTTCGATGCGGCCATGCAGCGCCTTGGCGGTAGGACCGTTGCTATCAGCACGTCGACATCTTCAGTACAGAAAGGCGAAACTTTGCAGGATACGCTGAGGACCCTGGGTTGCTATGGTGATGCCATCGTCCTCCGTCATCCCGAAGAGAAGTCTGTTGATATCGCAAAGAAGTACAGTCCTGTACCTGTGATTAACGGCGGCAACGGCAGCAAGGAGCACCCGACTCAGGCGTTCCTGGATTTGTTCACGATCCGCGAAGAGCTCGGTACGGTCCAAGGCCTGACCATCACGTTTGTTGGTGACCTTCTCTATGGCCGTCCTGTCCATTCTCTGGTGTACCTCCTGCAGCACTACCAGGTGCAAGTGCAACTCGTATGCCCCAAGTCGCTCGGACTTCCTTCCAAGGTGCGTGAACAGCTGAAAGCATCGGGCCAGCTTCTTTGTGAGTCGGAGACTCTTACCAAGGAGATTCTGGCGGCGAGCGACGTGTTGTACTGCACCCGGGTTCAGAAGGAGAGATTTCCTAGCGTGGAAGAGTACGAGAGGGTGAAGGGGGCGTACCGCATTGACAACAGCACGTTGAAGCATGCGAAGAGCAGCATGGTGGTGTTGCATCCTCTTCCGCGGAACGAGGAGGTGGCTGAAGAGGTGGACTTCGACCAGCGTGCTGCGTACTTCCGACAGGTCAGTTTATTTGAACCAAACCATTTCACGACGGCCGACAACTAACAGATAACACTAGATGCGATATGGTCTATACTGCCGCATGGCACTGCTGGCTTTGGTCATGTCTGCTTAGAATGATTTGTGTGGAAGTATTTCTCATAGTTTTTTTCTTCTTTTTTGGGGGTGGGAAAAAACTGGATGTGATGATCAGATTGTGGTCGTGATGTGGGTGAAAAGTATGGATATTTATATATAAATGCGTAGTTGGGTTATCTGGCTTAGCACGACTGGTTGAGGTAGAAAGGCAAAAGTGTATTAGAAGTCGTAAGGCCCAGGCCGTTCATGAGTGCATTTGGATGATTAAACGTATAGGTTGGGAAATGGGCGTTACGTGTACATACATGTATTATATGTGTTGTATATCTGTATATAGTTTGTGTGTATAGTTGATATATGTATATAGCTGCTGTGTGACGTGTATGTATTGAATACAATGTTGAGTGGGGCATCCTTCCTACGTGGTGAAACAATCAAAAACAATCAAGTTAGGGCCATCTTGAGATAGATTCTAAAGCCGACTGCGTACTTTGCCATCAATTGCAACCCGAAATCGAAAGAATATGAGGGGAGGGCATTCGCGCCTGCTGCTTTATGACGTCATCCACTTACTTGTCTGAATTGTGTTCGAAAAGCGGACCTCTCAGTCTCAACATTAAATCATCGTTTTGTAGAATCTTTGGCGTGGCGCCGTTCACACAAATACATGTTTTTCACATTCAACTAAACACAAAAAACTCATTTTACTTGCTACGACGCATTGATGCGTCGCCTTGGACTTACTAACCCACTCGTACGAAGAGCCGTGCAACTCGCATCTCACCTAGGGTCCGGCACCATCATGATGTCAACAACGACTTCCTCTGCTTCGGGCTCTGCGGCGCCGTGGCGCAACCTCTTTGTGGAGCATCTCGAGGGCATGAAGTTGCCCGAATTCACACTCAGCACAGTGCGCTGTGTGCCGTCATCGGCATCAGCGGGGTTCGGCGTCACCGGCGGTGTCGGCGACAGGTCCGTCTACGTGCCGCGAGCGCGGACGTGCATCTTCCGGGGCATGTGGGCGTCGCTGCCTGTCAACCCTAAGAACGAGGCAGAGCTCAACCCGGAAGTCTACGAGAGCGACTTTCCGACTTTTACGACGGATGTGCGCATGGACAAGATGGCGGAACTATGGGGAGCGAGAGTTGACGATGGCAAGAATGAGTGGCAAGGGACGGGAGGCGGAGGGCCTGTCGAGGCCGTCTGGTGGGCTGAGGGGCCTAAGGTGCAGTGGCGGGTGAGGGGACGGGCTTACGTGCTGGGACCAGACGTGGAGACGTCAGAGAGCGGGAGGGAGACGCGGGAGATGCTCCGGGCGGGAATGCTGAAGAGGAAGAGGCAGGATGACGGGAAGGATGGCGAATGGAGCTTCAGAAGGGAGATAACGGCACACTTTGGGAACTTGGCCCCGGGCATGAGAGGAACGTTCAAGAATCCGCCGTCGGGCCTACCCATAGAACTACCCTTCGATGACGGACTGGAGCTTGGGCAGAAGGTGGACGACTTGCACGACGAGACGGCGAGGAAGAACTTTAGGGTTGTGGTTATCGTGCCCTACGAGGTCGACAGGACCGACCTCTTCGGTCCCGTGCGTGGCAGGAGATGGTTGTACCGTTTGACCACCGGGGGCCGGACGGAGCCCGAGATGCCGGGCGGGATAATGGAGGGCGCGTGGGAGAAGGTCGAACTATGGCCTTGAGCTGAGTGGACACTGCGTAGACAGGAAGCCTTGCATAGTTGCAGTTGCACATGATGGTGTTGCATTGTCGGGCACCACCTCGGGCACCTCGGCCATAGGCTTAACTCCAGAGGCGTTACAGCTTAATGATTAGAGATGACATGTCGTCCATGTGAGGTCGGCTATACGACGTAGTGTCTTTAGCCGCAAATCCGAACTCAACGTGGCGAGAGTATTATCGTTGAATTGGACGAATCTGGTCTCAATCTGACCACTTGAGAGGCGTAGGCGGCGTCATCGTCAAAAAATCAAGGCAATAGCCATCTGCCGACCTTGCTCGCTGTCCCGACGGTTTGGTAAATTGCCACACCTCGTCAACCTCATTCCCGCGAATTCCATGTTTTTCTCATGTTACACCTAGCAATGGGGTTTACGACGTTTCGAAAGCATGTATGCATTGAAAGCATGAAAAAATGTCGAAATGGTACCCCGGTCAAGTTTTTGGTGCGACTGTGCACTGCGAGCAGGCTGTCGGCCTGGCCTGGCCTGGCCTGCGGAAGTCGCATCGCATCGCATCGCATGCAATCCTCCCGATTTAAGATGATCGACGGATAACCATGGTTGGCACATGGCATACTGGCCGGCGCAGCGCGATGGACTAAAAAAGTATCACGCAGCCTTCATGCAGTTGGTTTGATGACAACGAGGCGAGGGGTTGCTGACCACCAACTTTGCCATAAGCGACTCTGAGTGGCTGCCTAAGCGCCAGGTTGGCTCAAGTGTCTGCCACATGGCCGAAGCAATTGGAAGCCTCCTTCACTTGCAATCAGGAATTTTAGAACGACTCTTTGCCGGATGAGTCGACATTAATATACAGAATGTATTCGTACTGCATGGCAAGATGTGTGAGAATGGACTCTGAAGAAAGAATGACCCAATAGTTGCTCAAAGTTGGCGGTGGTCGCCGGTTGCGAACCCCTCTCTAGCCCTTCCAAACCGCCCCCCTTCCCTTCCCCCCCTGCGACGACCGACGAAGTAGTGGGGGACACTTCACTATGCATCTATTTTGATCGGCTCTCCACGTGTTCACCCTGCTCTTCACTGCTACTATAGTAATGCCACCGCACTCTTACGGAGGCCCTTACGCAGGGATTACCACAGACCCCTTTGCGCCTCATGACACTTTTTTCAGGACGACCAACAACCAGCGAGTCAAAGGTTGACCGACAATCTCGGACTTTTGATCGTTGCTCATGTGCGAAAAAGTGACAGGTCTGACGAAGTGGGGATGTCGTTGCGGTGGACGTCATGGGTACTGTTAGATGAATGGTCGATAGTAGTGATTGTAATAATAATACAACTGTGGTGTATAGGAACAAAGTACACACGCGTACTGGTGAGGCTGCAAGTTGGTCGCGGCTTTTCGTTCCCTTTTTTTTATTTCCTGCGACGGATCTCGCAGTTTCAAACCTGTGTCGTTTTCTTGCCAGTCGTGTTCTTAACGCCCAGGACGCAAGATTGGCATGCCACGAATTCTCGACGAAACCAAATGCCCGTCGGCCCATACATCCGAAAGGCGGGAGGGGCTCGAAGGATTGCGTATGCAGCGCCGAAATCTTCAATATGGAAGGGGGCCAGGGGGCACGCCTGCCCATTTCACATCTTTCTCCATACCGTACACTTTGGCCTTGTATGGTTTGGAACCCGGTTGGTCTTTAGAAGCCCAGCGCATTATCCTGTTCGGTGTTTCTAGAAGGATTCCCGTCGTAGAGATGCTTGTTCGAAACGTATCATCGGCAACATGTATTATTACGATCCATTTGACAGGACAGGCTTCAGATCTGCCCGCCACCTGTTCTCCTGTTATGATTTTGAACCGTACTTCCTATCTCGTACGGGACGTATGCTGTGATTTTGTTCTCCAGGGTACTGCGGAGCACTCAATATAGAGTAGCATCAATTCCGTATTAGGTCAAGTTCTGCGTTCACTTTGTGGATCTATTAGTGCGAGAAGCCGGCTGTCGCTCGCAACATGGGCCCATGTTGGTCAGCTTTGTTGAATGGTGACGGTGCGAAATTTGGAAGATACGCAGTAACGCTTAGTTCTAAACCCATCATTTCGAAGTGCTTGACTTGTTACTGCAATTACACTTCGTATAATGTTCAACCGTGAGCTTGAAGGGATAAAGGCGCGAACCGGGTAGCCCGAATTCGTGGGGCAGTTGGTCGGTCGTCTATAGGCTGGCCGGCTACTTGTTAAGCCCAGGCGTTCCAGTCACCGGCATACGATGAATACTCCCCCCATAAAATGGTATGTTAACGACCCTCTAGCGGACCGCGTCGCATGCTGCTTTGCTCGATGCCGTTATACTTATGTTTCAGCTTCACGGATGCCATAACTCTGTTCCGGTACAAAAGTTATTGAGACTTGGTCAGCCCCGTAACGCGCCACGACATAGAGTGATCGGAGATGCCGTTGTGGGCTACATATATTTGCCTACCCCAGAGTGTGGCAACTTTGGAATATCGTACTCACGTTATCCACTATCCCGAGTGGAACCTCAGAGCACGAATCTCGACTGCATCATGATATCGAGAGAAATGGGATGATAAACTTATCAGCGACAGATTCGATTCAGGACGGTGATAGCAGCATAACTGCTCGATCATGGAAAGTATTCTCCTCGTGTTCTGAACTAAAACTGTAATGGATTATTAACTTCACACCTGGTTACATTTGCAATCTCTTGTGGATGATTGACGTTGTGTGACTGCAGTGGGGATGCAGGGCCGTCGCTACACATTGGTGGTGTCTGTCTTGCCCAACCGTAGCTTGCCGCTGTAACGTTGAACTTGGTTACGGGCGCCTTGACAGCTGAAAGGTGTGCCTTTTCCGTCCGCGTCAGGACAAGAGCGAGCGCAGATGCATCAACTAGCCAGCTGTGTACTATATGTACAGTGCGGGCGTGAAACATGCCCAATGTCAACCTTCTGTTCTCATTGCAGATCATACAAGGATGATGCATCGGGGTGCAGGGCAACTTGGACGCGGCCGTTTCGCAGGCATGCTCGAGCAAAAGCGAAGCTCGATGCTAGTGCTGCAGAGGCGGGAGCTGCCCTCCGTCCATGTAGGACTAAAACCCTAGCGGCTATTTTAGTTGTTCATGCTATTCGAGAATTCGAGTCCGGGCTCGTCATCGTCGTTAATGCAAATTTCTTGGTCGAGCTACGTCGGCCGGGGAATGCTGTGTTGCGCTATCCGACTTCAGATTACCATCAGATCTACCACGCGGCAATTGCGGTGAGTGCCGGAATTTCGACATGTGGGGATGGTCGATACTGGAGCAACCATCATCCTTGCGTCCAGTTTGATTGATGGCGCCAGACAGACTAGCCAAACGAAGCTTGTCATTGATGAAGAGACCTTGGCTACAACAATTATCCTCAACGGTTGTCTTGTCGCATCTACCCGCATCTGCAGCCACGGTTTGGCGTGTCCGATCGGCCTTGTCAGCAAGCACCTGGGCCGATAAAAAGATACCTTCGACGTTGCATCCGTACTCCCGCCGCAACGCACCGGCACCATTCCGAGCCACTGCCGGAAGCAAGACGTGAGATGCAGCAAGAGGACAGAGGGAATGGAAGGGATGGAACGGACGGTCAAGAACAAAGTTTCCAAAGCCGTTGAGAATTCGAAGTTGTTTCATCGGTGTAGTACTGTGTATTGCGGAAAGCTTCATTCAAGTCAAAGTCCGCTCCGACTACGAAGGACGACGTCGTCCAAACGTCTAGCCTCTCCACCCTCATCAGACTGACTGCATCTGTCTGCAAGTCAGTGCATGGGTGCTAAATGAGTTGATTGCAGCTAAGACAACCCTGCCATGTGGGCGTTGGCATGCAAGTGCAAATGGTGAGATTGGAAAGGGTACCTCGAGGTACTTTGAACTTCGTACCTCGTTCCTCGTTCCTCGTTCTTCGTTCCTGCAACTTTCCCCTCCTGGTCGGCTAAAGTCTTGGCGACCACTCCGACAGCTTTTGGAGTTTCTTGTCTACCGCAATCCACTTCTTCTCAATGCCTGCGGTTACTTGTCATATTATCAACCACGGCCCGCGAGACTCATTTATGAACCTTGAAACTTCATATCTACCAAGGATTGTCCGTAAGGTAGATTCTTACCACAAGACAGACAGTCTGACGGACCACCTGAGAGTGTAGGTCGTGACCGAGCCACTGAGAAAGGCATCTCATAATCGTCGGGCTCGGTCTTGTTTCTTCTGCCGAACGGAGTAGCTCGACACACGCACACACGCACACACGCACACACACAAGAGCTGCATGCTCGTGGACGTCTTCCCCCACCTTTTCTTCGAGCTGGCCATCAGTCCAAACGCACAACCAACTCACCTCTTTTTCTCTGGCAGACCACGACAACCACCTTACTCGACAATCCACCACACAACCACTACAGAGGAGACAGCTCATTATTACCTCTGGTCGCAACTTCCCAAGGTCGCAATATCCAAGTCGACCCGCGCCGCAACATTCGACTAGCAGGGGGGCCCATGCTCCCTATTCGCTCTATGCGAACACGCAGAAGTGTACGTTCGTACTTTATTAGCCTTGGGGTACCTCCATATCCGCCTGAATCAGATCGAATTGTCCCTCAATTTTCCGTGAAAGCAAAAACGCATCACCTTGCCGTTGCTGCTGCGCCCCCAACCCTTGCCACATTTCCACCGATTCGCCTTCTTCTCCGGACCAATGCCCACGCCCAGCTGATTAGCATCTTGTCGTCGACCAACCCGTCGAAGTCGGCGCAAGTGTGTGCTGTGCTACACCCCACGCATCTGACATCACCACCACCACCACCACCACCACCTAGAGGCATATCATGATGGAGCCAGCGCCTTTGAAGGGGCTCATAGCCAACATTCCGGACTGGGTCAAACGCCTCGATGATCTCAACGGCCAAATCGAGCAGCGCCAGCGAGACCTGGCCAAGCTCGGTCAAGAACACAAGCCCGCTTCCACCGCCCGGTCTCTCAGAAATAAGGGCTCAACAGAGTCATTGAAGCCCAAAGAAGATGGAGCAGCATTCCCTCCAGCTGCTACCGAACGTCGAGACCGAGATACGACGCCACCGCCAGCGTTACCAGGCTATCCGGCGCACAACGCCTCGGACCAGCAACCACACCCTTCGAGTCCTGCCAGCGATACCAAGTCGCCGTCCACAATCCAACGACAGACCAACGAGGTAGTGGCGGCCGCACGGAAGCGCGCTCAGGCGACTGTCCAGAAGCGCCAAAAAACAGAATCCATGATGAGTAGCGAAGGCCAGGTGCCTGCATATAGGTCTCGGAGCATGATAATAGTGTATTACGACAGCTACGTGCAGTCATTTTTTGAAGAGCTCGTCAAATTTGTGTCAGCGTCGCGGAACATGATGCGAAAGGCAAAGATGGCGGCCAAGGTCGCCCAAATCAAGCGATTAGCCGAACTCGAGATGCCCGAGGACGGCGACGACGATGACGACGGCGGCGACCTGCAACCAGGCGATGCCTTGATTGCCGCAGACCCCAAACTCGTGGCCGCCCGGCCAAAGGACAAGGCCGAAGAGAGCTTCAGGCTACATTACCTGAGCACGCGCGATATGGGCCCGACGATGCGGGTGACGGGCCCCAGCTTGGTCGCTATGCGCGGCACCGATCGCTTCGGTGGCGGTTTGGGCTTGTTTGGCCAAGGCGGCAATGATGTCTACGATGATCTGGACAAGGGACTCGAATATGTACAGAGCATGTGCGAACATGCGGCTCACCAATTTCTACGCGATGGAGAGTGCAGTGCCGAGATTGAGAAAATCAAGAAGCGGCTCGGGCTGACCAAGGAGGTGGCCGATAAAGAAATGGAACGCATACTCAAGGAGAATCCAAATGCTCTCAACGAGCCTGAACCTACCAAAACTCGAAGTTATCGGCCTATGAGCATGCGGCGGGATCCCAGCGGTGCGTCACACTTATACCCTAGCAAACGGGCCATTTTGGAGGTAGATGATGAAGGTGTCCAAGACATGGATACCTTCACAAACTTCATAACACCACTTCAAGTCGACAGGGCTGATGGGTAGTCGTCGCAGCTGCGTAGCTTGCCTGCACGAGGCATCTGATATCTGATGACGACGTCTGATTTGACGAGCGACGGAGCTATATACCGAATTGACTACTTATGCACATATGACGCATGTACTACTGTTGGACGGCTCGCCTGCATAGCATTGCGCTGGAGTTGGCATAAAGGATTCACCCATAGGCATTTTTGGGGACCAATTCCGACAAGCTAATTGGAAGTATATACGTAGTATGCACTTAGGTCGCGGCACGGGGAACTTGGGCAAGCAAAAGCCGATTACGACCGCTGCACTGGACGTTCACCGTGATTAGCATACGGGGGTATAGCTAAAGCTGAGGTGTCGGCAGCCAAGGTACCCATTAATGTGGGGTTCCACAGCACGTGGCTCGGAGGTTGGATGCCATGCCACAACGAGACCCAGCTAAGAAGTTGGTTCCGTTAGAAGTGAGCACTGCTTAGGAAGTCGGGGGCCGGTAGCTTCTAATATGCAGTGGACTGTTTGGACTTTGGGCTATTGGGCAATGGAACGGAACGGAAGCCGATCTTCCCACGAGAGCATTCATCCCTCGCCTCAGGCCCTTATGTATCTAACTCTGACTGCCAGGTAGAGCGGAGGTACCTCCAATCAAGCAGTCTCTCACACGTAAGCAGCTCCTGGGATCTCGTGAACCGAAAGAATATAAACTGGCCTGGAAATTACATGTTATCTTTGATGATTGATACACATGGGTAAGCATCCAAAGTTGTGTAGCAGGCATCATCAGACCAGCATACGTTCAACCTTCACGGACGAATCCCAATGTCGCCAGAGTCATCCGGTCAGACGAGCGGCGCCGGGCCGGCCAAGAGCTGTCCCGGCACAGAGGTTCTGTCTTCCTCAAGCTGGACTTCAGGTTCCTGCCGCACTCCTTTCCTCCAGACGCTTCGATCGCCTCTCATCTTCCCAAAGGCGTACACGTTGCTGTCGAAGCCATCGTCCATTTCTTCAAGCGACCTCCCCCGGCCCTCCTGGAAGAACAGAAACACGTGGGTCATAGCGGCGACGCAGAAGGTGCCGAAGATTATGTATACCCTCCACTGGATATTCTGGAATGTCGGGGACGTAAGGAAAGTTAGGGAGAAGTCACATGCCCAGTTGGAAACAGGGGGACAGCGAGACGCTCTTGGTACGGACGTAGAGGGGGGATGGTCTCGGACGGATAGATCCAGCCGATGGGGCTTTTATGTACGATAGTTAGCGTTCCTGATTGAGTGGTCGGAACTGAGCGGCGTAGGCGTTCGACTCAGCCCCATGTACAGGCATGTGTGGCGATGGACAGATAGGAGCAAGCAATGATAGCTTTTGAGGGACTGCCCCCAGGTACCACCCACGTGACGGTCGGTGTTATGTCCAGTGAGACCAGCCATATGGAACATGTACACGATGTAGTACGTCAGCGCATTAGTACCGCTGGTGGTGTCAACAACGCTGCACTGTGCCCAGATATGCGCAAATATGCCACAATGAACACGTACAATATTCCGAGAGCTGGCCACCTCAGCCCAACTTGTACGTGGGCACTGCCCTTCAAGCCTGGTCTTGAAATCAGGATACGGCGAGCTTCTTGTTGCGAAAGGGGGGTTTAGCCCATTGTATTTTCTCCCGCACAAGCTGCAACTCAGCAACAACTTCAGGGTCGGATGCATCTCCTTTAGCACGCAGTAGAGCGAGCACTTCCAACGCTTCATCCCATCGACGCTTGCTTGCTAGCCAGCGGGGCGACCGAGGCAGGAATAGCAGGCAACACGCCAAGAGAGTTGTACGACACGAAATACACGATCAAAATCTGTAACAACCGAATTAGGTTCCGCATCGAAAAGGGCGGGCTCGCTGGCTCGTGTATCATGACATACTGCCCATGTTATCATCCATTGCTGCAACGCAACGAGTCGACCGCATAGTGATGGCGGGCTGATCTCGGCGATGTAAATGGGGCTACTGCAGAAATCACATCAGCATGCCCAAGCAAAACGCGAATGGATGGCTTCAGCTCAGATGTGTATACTTGCCCTGACTCGACAGCATCCCAACCGCAAAGCCGTCGATGATACGGGAGACGAGCACCATGGGCCGGTTCTGAACGGCGCACATGAGTGTACTTGCGACGAAGAAAGTGATGCGGCCATAGAACATTGAATCACGACGACCAAAGTTGTCTCCAGTCCATGAAGAGAAGAGGGCGCCGAGTAAGGAGCCGCCCGCCATACTGGCGGTCACCGAGTCGGAGTTGTCAAAGAAGCTTTTATACTATTTACGTCTTCATTAGCATCCGTTTTGGCAGAGTAGCAATATTGAATTACCTGCAGTGTTGTCAATATCGCCAACTGGTGGCAAACCGTCCTGGGTTAATGGCCATGCATTTCTTGGGGACTCGAGGGTGCTGACCACGGACGATACATCGAAGCCCGTGCCTATTGTGGCCAGCACACTGGTGACGCATAGATTGGTGATCACGGGCTTCATTCTGGCGATTTCATGCTACCGAAGCCAAACTGTGGGTATACTAAGTGAGTAAACATCCACAGTGCCAGACAGCTTCGAATCTCCACTACTTTGTAGGCAGGACCCGATGAAATAGAGTTGCGGAACAAAAGCTTGACGGCCTCTATCCTTGGCCCACCAGCAAATGGCAGACAGCGCAGACTTGACCAACAGTCTGAAAATGGAAGCAAGACACTTTAGGACCTCTAGGACCGTAAAGTGAGTTGTAAGCTGACTAATTAGCTTGCTGTAGTGGACACTCGGACAAGCCGGCGGCCGCAAGACGAAGTGAGTTGTTTTCCCGCATTGCACCGCATTATCGGATTTGGGAAACAAAGCTGCTTCTCCCCGTGGACAAACTTGACAGAAGCACAGCTTATTTTCTAGGGCATACCACTAAGAAAAGATGGGTCCAGGGTGCGGTTGGCGGGAGCGACACAGTGGAGCTGGAAATGCGGCAACATTTAGACACAGTACGAAGAATTTGGAAACGGAAACCTGGTCTAGCTTTCGTGTTGAGTTTCCCACTGGATTACTCGCAGCCGTTTCGTGACTTCAGATGTGAAGGTTCGATGAAGCGGTCGTTCCCATGGGTCATACATATACTCGAATAACGAAAAGGCTAATCTATGAAGCAGCTTACTACCCGCAATTGTGGAGAGAGGCGGCCAAGTCGGCGTGGTCGCCATCTTCGCGATGGAACCAAGCCGACAGGTCCAGGGTTTGGTGGATGTTGGCAGCAGGGTCAAACAAAACAAACAACGTTCGGATATTGGTTTGCCCACTGTTACGGCGCCTCTAATGTGTAAGCAGGCTGTCGAACATGCCGGCAGAGAATACAAATAGTGCACGATAACGCAAGACGCTGCCGACGGGACTATCCATAGGTGAAGTGCGACGAGCGGCCCGGAGGCTGCCAGAACTGTAGCCGACTGAGCTTGCCTTGTCCGAGTGCCCAATACTGCCAGAGTAGTAGTCTTCAGCCCGGTGGGATACTCAGGGATGCTCGCAGGAACCTGCTTCGCACTCAATCTGGCCTGCGCAAGTTGAGGACTTGCAGGCCCTGTAGAAGCTGCAGAAACTCCAAGACACGTTGTTCAGGGCACGTCCCATTTGTCTCAGATGCCAACAGAGACAACTGGACTGCTTGTATGATGACAAACAGGCACCTGCTTCGGTTGAGGCTGTCGCCGCCGAGCTCGGTAGCTCTCACACGCCGCCCCTAGAGCCATTGGACAACTTGCAAACCCTCACCCCAGCGCGCACGCTGGCCGAGGCGAGCCAAGCAGCTCGGCAGGGTGACCGCAATGCCTCTGCAGCAAATCATTTCGGCCAAGCGCCGTCCCCCAAGTCTCTCAGCTGGTATTATTCTAGTGCATCAATGACTGCACGGGATACAAGTGACTGATCAATATAGGCTCGTTTCGTCTGAGCTGCCCGATAACGATGGGATAACTATTCTTTGGAAGAGTACTTCCCCAACATCCACAACCTCCGTTGCTTCGGCTTCGTTCACCAGCCCACGTATATACAACAGCTTCACGACCAATCCCGTATCATACAACAACAGAGCGCCCTGCTGCATGTCATATGTGCTCTTGGAGCCAAGTAAGCTGGCTGTAGCGGCACTTTGCTCGTGATGGGCTACCAGGTGACAGCCTTGTTAGGTTCTACGCTTTGAAATGCCGCGACCGCATGAACCTCCCGAATGGGTTCGCCATCTCCCTCCCAACCCCCTCCCAGGCTGGTAACTCATGGGCGAAAAGAGCCAAGGTCATGTTAACCTCCGACATGAACAACGTCTCAGTTCAAATACCATGGTATAGCCGAGTTTCTTAAATCATGTCTAGTCTGCATGACATGTCCTAACAGTACCCTCGCAGACAACGGTTCTTCTACATGAACATGACTTAAGGGTGGGAAGCTACGCCAGCGCCTTTATGCTTACTGGCTTGGGCGTGCGCATGGCAAAAGCATGGCAGATCAACCTGGAAAAGTCCACCGATGTCCTTTGCAACGGCAGTTCGGACGGCCAGCTCCACTGGTCCAGCCGTGCAGCCAGACGACGTTTGATGTGAAGCATATATGTCATGGACGCCTGGGTAGGATCAGGCGTCCATGAACTCACCCTCATCAACGAGTGTGATATCAAAATCCAGCCGCCCTGCAACGAATTAGCTTCATGTTGCAGGTCCCATGCGTGGTGGAGGTGCTCCAGCGGGGCGAATACCTGCCCTTTATATCTGTTCAGGATCGAATAAAGGGGCCCGTCGATATTTTGAATCTTCAAGCTCATTTCGTCAGACTATGAAGTCTACGAAGAAGAGTTCTCAGGTTGGTTAACCTGGTTATTGGGTATTCCCACTTTTCTGACTCATATGACAGCTTCGTGAAGCACCTGGACATCACCTGGATGCCGCAGCTACCTGACTCGGAGCTTGCGGCTTTAGAGAAGGAGCTGCTCGTATGGTGTGAGGACCTTATGAGTAGCTTGCGATTCTCACGGACCGCCACATATATGTGCAAAGAGTCGTCGCAGCTGGGCGGGCATCTACTCTTACACATTACCTATCATCAGACGCTTTGTGATCTGACTCGTATTGGTATAAAAGAGCTGTTCCAGATCTGTCAAGCCATCGCGTTTCCTGCAGAGTAGGGGGGTTTTCTCAAGAGAGTTCAGGACCGATGTTTTGAGCATGCCACAAGTCTTGCTCTTCTGGACGCCACTTGGTTTCCTATCGTAGCACATGATTCGTCGAGGGTCATCGTTCACTATGTATCTCAGCAGCTGGGGACGTCCAACGATACGGGCAGTGCCGTCAGACGCCATGCCGTGTCGTGTCTCCAAGCAAATATTCGAGCTTTGAGGAAGATGATTCCGATGTTGAGTTTATATCAAAGCCGGATCCTCACTTCATCGGACAGAAATTCGAAAAGCACGCCGCAACGTCCAAGATGTTAAGAAATGAGGGATTTGAGCTTGCCAAGCTTGCCGAGCTTTCCGAAGTGTAAGCCCCTGAACGGGCTACCATGGCGCAAGACAGCATGAAGTAAGTTTCGAGGGACTCTCATAAATCCTGGTCTGAATGATTTGTTGAAACTACTGACTCTGGAACCGCCCGTATCCTCTCGATTCACGCCCGAACACGTCCTCAACCCCTCGGCAATATATCGCATGGCACGCAGAGACATACAGGACAACAAGAAACACGCGCCAGAACGCAGCTCTTCATCTGTGGCAATTCCATCGACTACAGACTCAAGCAACAATCGAGCTTATGCGGCAGCCAGCCCCGATTCCTCTCGGATTCACGGCCTACGTTGAGGAATCGCAGCTGTTGACTGGGTTGTGGTTGGAACCAGGGACGGGCAACACGATCGCAGCAGGTGATGTCCAGCTCCCGAGCAGTTTTGACAACCTACAGGCGTATCTCCCTCTCATGTTCAACAACTTCAGCCTTCCATTTCCTGGATCATTTGGTGACCTAGCACCCAAAGGCAATGGGACCCATTTCGGCCACACCGGCGTAAAGAGCTACCTACCTCCTCCTACCAGTACTTCTAATATTCCAGGCAGTCCCCAGGCCTTTGCACCTATGGATAAATCATCTTCAAGGTGGGCTGTTTGATATATGGTCAAATGATGTTTATCCCCCCCATGATCCTTTTCATGCTGTGATCCAGCCGGATTGCCCCTTCTAGCAGGGACTCCCTTGTCAGCGCTGTTGGGGGAAAATGTCACGTCGCATACACGAGCTGCTGCTATACGAACTAACCTTGGAAGCAAATTCCAACGGTCTTGTGACCTGTTGAGCTGGGTCTACCTACCTGGCCTACCTTAGGCTTGTCCAGATTTCTGGAACTGAGGAACTAGTACCCCATAAGCTTGTGTTTTTGGGACGATAGCACGCAAAACTGCCCGGAGACTGATGTCAATTTGAAAGTACCCGACTACTGGCCCACGCGCTTTGTCGCAACCTGGTGTGGCGCCTCGACTTCCCCTCCGCGGCCGACATTTCCGGCTTCCTCTCCTGGGAAGACACATCCGCAACGCTGACACGAGCCCCAAGATGATCGGCAGCCGTCCGCTGAGGGATTACTTCTCCCGCCCGAGGAGCTGTACGATCTTGAGGCCGACCCTTTTGAGCGGGTTAATCTCGCCCAGGACCTGGGTTACGTATGTGCTGGTTCTTAATAAGTTGAGACGGGATTTGGAGCTCTGGCAGCGGAGGTGCAAGGATCTGTGGTCGTGTCGCGATGAGGTCTCGGTGTTACTTGTGAGGCACCATTTGGATGCGGACATGGCTATGCCGGATCATGGCGACTGCGATCTTGATCGGTTGGAGATGGAAGGGATCCGATGTAAAACTTTAACGTATTGTTCCTCTGGGGTCGCAGGCATCTCCGGCTAAATGATGGCATGAGTTCGTGCTACTCACATACGAGAGCACGACTATGGCCCCATGGTGCTGTGCATGTTAGAAGCTACTGTGATTTGTTTTGCTTGCACGTGGTGCGAGTCTTTTGTCATTTACATGAATTACTATAATAGTACATGGATGTGTTGAGAGCCTGGGTGACCAACCCGAAAGTGTTCGCCCTATTCCTACCCCTTCCGACTCCATGTACATGCCTTTTAGAAGAAAGTAGAAAAAGAAAAGGGTATCAGTACAGGCAAGGCGAGAATCCCCCCAAACAGTCGCTTGCATGCTTATATGCAACTCGCCCACCTACCCACTCTCGCCCGCGAACAGACCGGCAACAAACTCCCCTTTCCCCCTACCAGAACACATCTGCCCATCCAGTCCGCATCGTGAATCTTGATGGTTCTATATCACGCCTGAAAATGCTTTGTTTTATGCAAAGTTGTTGTTTTCGTCCACCAGATGCAGGAAATAAAACCAGCCAGCCCGTTCATTTCACCACGCTCTTCCTTAGCACCTTTCTACCCCTTTTCGTACCCAAAGAAAGTGACCGCCGTCGGCGCAGCAACCGGGAGCAGTACTAATGCCTCGAGTTATCGCTCTGCCACGACTCCGAAAAGCCGCCCAGCATGCTTCGGCTCCCCCCCTCCTTGTCGCGGTTCTTCTCGCGCATCGACGAGGGTGTAGAAGTGTGGCCCTCGCTCTTGTGTTTCTTTCCGCCTATCAACCCGCTTAGGAACTGTCGCGGGTTGATTCCGTTGCGGCGCAGCGTACCCCCCGTGTGCGATATCTCGGAGCTGTCCGACACTTGGCGTAGCGAACTACCATCGCGATTGCTCCGAAAATTGAGATCGCGAAAGATGGAGCGATCGCCACCCTCCTGCTCACTACCGGATGAGCCAGGAGCCCGGTACGGATCGTTCTCCATCCAGGCTGGTTGGTTCACATAGGCCAAATGGGCGTGGTCAACGAGCGACGTCTTCTCGAGACTTTCCGTAACGTCATCCGTGAGAATCGACATCGTCTCGGCCGCGCGAATGCTCTCGATCCTAGCCATGCAATCGTCTGATCGCTTTTGAAGTCGAACGCAGGCATCGTGGAATTGCGCCAGCTCACCTTCTAGTATGTGCGAACTGGGGTCGTTGGCATGGTGAGCTTCGAGCCAGAGCTTCACCAAAGCCGCATAGTTTCGGGGGTGGTCAATCAGGTATGGCAAAGCCGGGAAGCCTTCTCTGGAAATCGGTGAAAGACGGCCGAGGATGGTGATAGGCGTTGTGTAGGTGGCCGGGAGCGTCACACCGTTACGCTCCGCAGAGATGGAGCAAACCTGGTCGATAAAGTCCTTGAAAGGCTGTCTCTGGTGGTTGAGGAACTTATTCATGGGCTCCATGAAGCTTTCTTTCTTGCCAAAAGTCGCCAGGTTGCCTAAAGCTTGGAGGCCCTTGGCAATCAGCGTCAAGGTCCGCTGAGCTTTCGGTCGGGGGTTGTCGCGCAGTAGGCCAAATAGCTTCGGATTGAGGATGGCAGGGCAAATGAAGCGCAGGAACAGAAACCCAGACACGCTCGTGTACGTTACGGTCCGGAGAAAGTCCCCATAGCGGTCTTCGGCTACAGCCCTCACGTACTTCAGAATCTGTCGTAATTCCGCCGGGAGCTTTGTAGCCGAGCTTGCAATGCACTCGAAGACTTCATTCGTCAATTGCATCAACTGCGTCCAGTGTTGGTTGATATCTTCTCCGCGGACTTTGATCGGGTCTACCTCGCAGTCTGGATTGATCTCGTTGATCTCGAAAATCTTGTCGCTGAGGATCTCTTCGAGGTAATCTTTGCCCAAGCGTCGCATGTGGCACTCCAAAGCTTGCGTCAGGAGCGAGTTGCCACGGAAAAGTAGATTCGCTTCTCCAGCAAGCGACTTGCCCATGTCACGAACAAGCAGCTCCCTCTCGCTAGCCGAGGCATTAGAGTCGTTGGACTTCAGGCGCCGGCTAAAACGCATCTTTTTCATGCTATTTGGGCCGCTGAGACCATCAATTTCCTCTTCGACCAGCGCCATAAGCCATTCGCTGGATTTGTTTGTGACTTGAAAGATGTTCAGAAATAGCTCGGCAAGTCTCCGTAACTGTTGGGGCATAGCCGAAGCTATTTGGTTTGTTAAGCCAATGCTGAACTTATGTAGCAGGTCCGAGAGCACTTCATAGTCTTTTGTCATGAGCACAACGAGCTCTTGGTGGTTGATCTTGACGAGCATGCTTCCGATCGACTCATTCTTCTCATCTAGGATCTGTTGCCACTGCTCATGGTCTTTACCTCGCTCCAACTTGTCCAACTGTATATCGACAGATCCACACATGACTTCCGTCAGGTTTCCGGTTTTGGGCAAGCCTAGCGAGGCTTGAAGCTGTTGGCTGAAGCCCTCGAGGTTGCCATCGACTCGTTTAAGGACGATCGATAGATATGGTAAAGCGGTGGCAAGCTCTGTGAACTGGGCCGCCTCTCTCCAGAAGGGGTTGTTCGTGGGTTGCGTTGTCGTCCGCGCTCGCACTTCACCGTCTAGGATCACCTCTGCAAAGTAATTACCGCTGCCAGCGTCACGATCACCTCGACCATAGCGCTCGTGCTGTTCAGGTGCAGGATTCACCGTCCGAATCTTTGCCTCCGTGAGCCTTACCTCTATGGTCTTCTCTAAGCGGAACATCTGTCCATCAAACTCGGTTTCGAAATTGGTGATCTCGGAAACCTGGTCGGATCCTGCCCCGATGCCGTACAGATCCGGTACGGCAAAAGCCCGCAGGAGGACAAACCAAACTTCAAACAACACGCGTGAGTCGAGTGCAATGTAGACGGGTCTGAAGATGGAGAGTTGGCGGGATGTGGAGGAATAAATGGGGAAGATGGCAATGCAATAGGTCTCGTCAAGGACAGATTTGTCGAGCTGTTGCACAGCGCAACGAGATAGTTGAGAGAGCTCAATGACGGATAGAACCGTGACATCGTTCTCCGTCATCAGTTTGAATTCGCCGTTATCTTGCAATATGCACGAAACCCTTCTCCAGGCTGTAGCTGAGCCCCGCAAGTCGCGTGTGGACGGCCGCTTGACAATGGCGCGGGGGGAGTTGGCCACACCTTTGTCCCACAACATGACCTTGCCAACCTTGATGATGGCGGCATCCTTAGAACTCGTAGACCCGGTGGCTGATGAACCGCGCCGCCGCAAATCTGGTCGTCCTGCCACGGGCGAGTTGTTACCCCTACCGCTGGGAAGCCGGATTCCACCGGGCTTGAGCTGTTGCCAGCAGAGAAGAGCAGCAAGCCATAGATCGAATTCGGCAGCCAAAAGCGGCCTAAGGAGCAGTTCGATGCCCGCTTTGGAGTTGGCAAGCTCCAAGCACTTTGTGCCCGATTCGGGAAAGTCGACAGGGAGCACCCTGCACCCTCGAAGGTCCGCAACTATGGGCATGTGGAACGGCGCACTCTGGCCAGAATCGAATAGTAAGCTGCCCCTTTCCTCGTCGATGTAACATATACCACGATACCATGGGCCACCTTGCTCACTCTGGTATTCTACTTCGCCTCTCATCCGCCCGCATAATGTCTTCATGAGCAGCAGTACTTTATTAGAATCGTCGGTCGGGATCGGAATTGGTAGCGAGTCCACAGAAGGAGGCGGGGAAATCAATGGTGAGGTAGGACGAGATGATGCCCGCTTGATCAGTCGCCTGTTCGACAAAGACGAGGACTGGCCCTTTTTGTCCCTGGACGACGAAACGGTTATTTTGAGATCGGGCGGCGGTGCGGGCGTGATAGAGGGATATCCCACGGATTCGACATTGGTGACGGGGGGGACGCGGCTGCCGTCGACGTCGGTGAAGGGGATCGAGCCCGACGAGGAGAGCGAACCCACTCTGTGCCGAGATGTAGTTGACGAAGCTGCTGTCTGTTGCTGCCGAAGGGCGAGCGCCGTATCCATTGTTTGGGTGCGCGCCCTGACCGCCGTACTCTGGTGCTGCGGTGGACTCGACTCGGAGCTATCGAAGGAACCGCCGTATGCCTCTTTGAAAATGACTCCCTGCCGTCTCCGCTCCCCACCAGGTATCGGCCGGGGCGATGTTTGGGGCGACGTAGTGCCGTAAGCCCGGTCCAGTGGTGCTTGTGTTATGTTTGTGTCCGTCGTGGCGTGCCCATGCTCGGCGGGCTCAGGTGTGACAGTACGAATGGTGCTGCGACTGGCACTAGTTCTGAAGTTGGATCTATCCCCCCCTCTCTCCCTCTCTGAGCCTCCACGAGGGAGTGTGATGGCTGTACCTTGGGGCAATCTTCCAACGTGTCCACCACTGCGCGTCCCACCGTCCATTCCCGGCGGGAGAATGCCATTCATCGTCTGGTTTGGCTGCATTTATACCAGCGATTGAAATATATTCGCATTTGCCTTTCTCGGGTGCGGCCAAACCAAAAGCATAACGGGGAAGCTCTATGTCGTATTCGATGTTACATGTGCATGCGCCTCGGCCATCCACCTCTTTCTCCAGTAAGATCCCGAGAGCCAGATTCGTGATTCGCGTGCGTGCCCGTAGCCCCGTCGTCATGAATGGCGAGCGCCTTGCAGTATGTCCCGGAACAAAAGTTGCGGCTGCCGGTAGTCTATCATTCTAGGACTCGCCGGTCTAGTCTATTCTTGCTGTAATCGTCGTCGGCGTCGATATATGCGCATGGCAGGGGAATGTGCAAAGTTCGGTCAGTGGCCTCCGAGAGCGAGGCTTTTTCCCTCTTCAGCTGATGGGGTATATTTTTTTCGCCAATTAAGACATCACCAGTCCTCCCTGACGTCCCCAGAATTCAACACGTGGGACTGTCCGGACCCCAAGATCTAGGCACCCCCAGGAACTAGTCTAGATGCGATGTGCGATGTGCGATAAATCTCGAGGAGGGGCTGGCGTATTTGTCGGGAGAAACGCTAGCCTGTCAGGTTGGGCGGTGGTTGTTTTGGTCGCGCGCGGGGATCTGAATTCTATCCTTTGACTCGTTGGTTCGAAATGCACGAGAGCGCAGCTACGGAAGCTGCGAGGGTCGGAGGAATAAGACCTGCAGCAGCAGAAGGTGCTCGAGTAACGGGCGCCCCTTTGAAAGACCAAAGGGGTGCAATTATTCGTTCGTTCGGGGGGACGTAGGTCGGAAAGCAGCAAGCTGCCGAATGCAAATTGCAAAGGCGATGCACGACGACGAATGGGGAAGTCAGATGCTTGAGGAGCTACAATGGGAAAAAGAGATGGCTTTGTCTCGGCTTGCAGGTTGCAGCTGGGGTCCAGCTGGAAAATAGTGATTTCGCGACCGTGGTTTGAAAGTGTCAGCAAGGCGACGGGAACACTATTTGCGAGGCGGAGGACCCAAAAAAACAGAAACAGAGGCGCAGCGCAGGGTGAGGAAGGATATCGAGGTGAGGTCGACGAAAAGATTAATGAGCAGACCGCAAGTAGCAACTGGCTTCTAGAGGAATTGGGCACAGCACGCCAAGGTGCTCAAGTGAGCAGCATCAACCTGCCCAGGTCTACGGGCAGGCTGCTAGGATGATGGTGTATTATTAGCATGCTCTCATATATTATGCTTCTACTGTCTCGAGAATTGCCTTCGCAAGGTCAGGACAGGGTAAGATAGTCATAACATCGTTGTGTTCCTTTTCCTTCCGAAATACCCTGGGCGTACAAGGGGCACAGACTGGCCGTCTAAATTGTTTCGGTAATGAAAGCTGCATATGCATATACTTGACCTGTACGTATTATCTTGTCAGCACCAACCGCGCAGACCTATCAGATGGACGAGACAGCCGGTACCTCAGAAACCACATCCAACAAGACAACTCGAAACATATGTTCAGCATTGTCTCTTCCACTCTACTTCGAAACGCAGAGCAGGCCCGAAGTGCCATGGCCATCCGGGGATACGTGCACGAGTCGGATCGCTACCTTCTCCCTTCATTTTAGTTTATTGATATATTTACATTTTATCCTTTTCTTGCTTTGCTTTTTGTTTCTATTGTAAGACAATTCTGTTTGCTGTGATTCGTGTAGCTCATTTGCCGTTCGACCACAGAGCGCATTGATCAACAGACAGACAGTCTTGTAAACCCGTGTTTCCTGGTCACTGGTAGTGGTGTTGGCCTGGTGCAGCGGTGTGTGGACTCCTGTAAATAACTTCTGTAAGTATTCAAGATTTCGACAATACGAATTTCCACTACATCAACCGGGGAATGAAATACGTCCAGGGAGCTTGTCCGCAGGGGAGGCGACCACATCCGTGCCCTCGTACTGCCAGTGGCCAAAGGACAACCAGTTTCCCAGGCCAACCAACTTCTAACCGCATTGACCACCTTTTTGCATGCACCCCCATTTTGCAGGGAATTTCTACGCCTCAACAACACGACGTCTCTCAATTTACCTCGCAATTGCTCCCTATCTACGTACAAAATGGCTAATCCAGTGGAGAATAGTCTGGACGATTTTGAGCAGCGAATCGAACGCGCTAAATAGCTTGTCCGTCAGGGCTCTTCCCAGGCCGTAGCAGCTCATCGGTACGGTATCAAGGGGACTACACTGTCCTACCGTATTCGTCACGGTAATTCGCATCGCGACGCCGCCTCCAGGCAACAAAAGTTGACTCCAGAGCAAGAGGAGGTTATCGTGAACTGGATCCTACACGAAGAAGTGTGTGGACGGGCTCCTAGCAAGCGTTATGTGACCGACTTCGCTGCCGAAATCCTCCTTGCTCCAGGGGATAACAATACACTCGGCCAACACTGGGTGGATCACTTCGTTAGCCGCCATCCACAGATACGTACCAAAATTGGGCGCGTCGTAGATGCTAGCCGAGTTAGAGCGTCCGATTCGACCAAGATCCGAGACTTTCTGGCTGGCGGAAGACTGGTATATGGCCCCTAGGCTCCGAAGGACTAGTCGACGTATCTTGTGATCCTCCGGAGCCTCATACACCAGATCCTCCGCCTCATATATCACCACCTTTAGTTGCTTTTACTCCTCAGAAAGCGCACCAACTATCTAGCCAACTACAGTCGATAGAGAAAGCCGAGGGCCGGGTATCTCGTAAGATTCGTACCCTAGTAGGCAAGGCGGGCAAGGCCCTTACACTCCAGGCCGCCGAGAATGCCAAATTACGTATCGAAAACGAGCAACTATATAAAGAACTCGATAAATACGCTCCAGATATACACCAGCCCGTCGAGCCAGACCCGAATAAAGTATTCGTTAACTTATCAGCGATCCGAACAGCCCAGGACAAGCGAAATAAGCGAATACGGCCTATTTTACCCGATAAGCAGTTAGAAATTGATACTTTTCTCGAAGGAAGGGTCCCTCCTAAAAAGAGGGCTCGAAAGAATATATCTAAGTCTTCGGACACTTAAATTAAGTATGTTCTGTATATAAATAATATGGACGAAGTATTTAGGTTGATTCAGTTAGACCCTGCAAAATGGGGGTGCATGCAAAAAGGTGGTCAATGCGGTTAGAGGCTTATCAACAAGTTTGATCCATACTTAGATAGGTACTTTTGTCAAGTATGTGCGCTGCCTGCCGCGACCACGCGACGCAACCGTTACTGCTTGCTCCGCATCTCTTTGTTGTTGACCCCCGCCTCCCCCCATCTCCCCCCCCAAATTCTCAAAAGAAGGACAGTGCTGACAGGCGGACAGCTCCAGCCGCATCAACGACATCCAAACTCTCGACTCTAGCCTTGCACGATGGTGAATGGATATGTAGGATTATTCCTCCCTGTATTCGCAATTTTCCTGACTCGAAACGAGGTTAGCTGGCCATCTGGCGATCCCGCTTTCGCAACCGCTTTTGCGAATTTGCCGGCCGGAAGGCGAGCTAGGGAATGTCCCAGGCGTCATGCAATCCGCGTGGAAGTCTTGCCAGTTGCAACATTGAGCACAACGCAAACCCCACAGAAAACACTTGCATGCTTCACGGCACGTCCAATGATGTTTGTGGAGTGGACCCGGCACATCATGGCTGCAACGTGACCAACGTGGCCGCGATCCAGAGCCTTGGAACCGTCGCTCACGTTATCTCGGGAATGTATACAACCCTGTGGTCGGTACTGACTCAACGTCCTTATGGGGATAATTGGCATTTCGTTCTTTGGCTTCCTCCACAAGCGATTGGCCTATTTTCTATCAACCTGGCTCGGTCCGAGATGGGCAGCAGGGCAATCAATCCGGAAATCGCCCGAGCCGGGGAAAACAAGAAAGAGGAATCTGGTTAATTCCGGGCCAGCTTGAACCACCTCAATTTGCTCAAGACAAGGCCTTTCTTCAGCCCTATGTGTGATGCACGTTCGTGACTCGTCAACAATATGTCACATCCAAAGAGTGGCTGTTCAATGGAGAATCCTTCTCGAAGAAAATTATACTCAACAACTCTGTAGGAGTTACCTTCATGTAAGCCTAGAAAGACCGGGAAGGAGACGGAATCGATGACAGCAATGCTCAACAACCCTGAACACACTTCGACGCAAGACAGAGCTGAACAATCAAACTTACAATCGGATCAGAAATAGCCGCGTCTAGTTCATGAAAGTTCAGTAGATTAGGACATGGGCAACTAGGCTAATCATGAATCATTACATTGCGAACCGAGGGAAAGACAGTAATCCATCCGTCCCATCTACGGTCTCTCCATCAGTCCTATCACTCACTATGGGAAATGCCGGAGACATTGGAAGGGTTGACATTACAGCCAACAGTGAATCCTGATCCCATCAAATTACCGGCGATTTCTCAGCAGTTCTTTCCAGCCACGACCGACTGGACCAATGCACCACCAGCAACCTGGAGTCATCGTGGCGCCTATAGGTTGGACAAATCGCAGACTCTATGAACAAGAACATAACCCACAACCAACTACAAGCATCGAATAGACCTCCTCTGGGAATCTTCGAAAACTAGAGTTTACCGATGTTGCAAGTACACTTGTGGTCTGCAGCCAATGTTGTCTGCCTTGATTTTTGGTCATGACCGTGTAGAACCATCACGATAGTGTCACTTCAGCCAACTATGGATAAGTCGAAGTCTTTGGGGAAGTCCAGTTCCCTGCATGTTCAATGCAGCATAGTCCGTTTTGTTTGTCTGTGAAGACTAACAATGTCTTCGCAACCTCCGGAGCAACCGACTCAACTCACAATGTGTCAATGGAAAACAGAAAAGTGCCACAGCGACCCCGGTATCCTCAATGTCGATGTATTTCACCAAAAAAAGCCGACGGAATATTTTACCAGATATACAACTTGGCCATGCCTTTCACAGCTTGCTTGGTCCCTTCATCCGCTTGCTGTTTCTTTTTTCGGGATATTGATACGAAACAGCCCCCTGGTTCCCGTCCGTCATGCGGAAATCATGAAATATCAAAACTTGGCCTCCAATTCGACCTCGGAGCCTAAACGGAATGCGAGAATCGAATACATCGCCCTGAGTAAAATGAAGCTCCATGCCAGAATCATATCTTCCAACTCCAATGCCCAAGGCCCAAAGAAAGCTCAAACGGTATCCACGGGTTCAGTCAAAAACAAAAATGACCACCGCCGCTTTCGGCATGTTTCACTTAGGCCCTTCTAGCCATACCAAGCGGTTTCATCAAGCTGCAAATATTGAGTTCAAGCGAGACTATATCAGTAAACAATCCGCTTCTAACGGAACGGTCCCTCGATAGGGCTGATGGGTAAGCTGCGCGCTGCGCTGAGATCAGCACTACCAGTTCGTCGCAAAGCCTGAGACATGGTCTCAATGTTCAAGTCACCACTGCTGCAAACACCTAGGGTATTTTTGGTGGAGGTGGCAGAGCTGCCCAGAGGTTTTCGAGACGGTGACATGTCCAGTCCCTTGAAAGATCCTGATTTGCTCGTGGGGGGCGACATCTCTGGTCCTTGGGATGAAATAGGCGACCTGATCGGTGAAGGCGAGCGGTTGATATTACCTGAGTTCAAAGAAGTCAAGCCGGCAAGATGCATAGACTCGCGACTTCCTCCCGCTCCTCCGTGAGGGCCATGTTCTGCCTGGACGACGTCGGCGAAGGAGATGAAACTCAAACGACGCACGTCGGCCGAATCGAGCGAACCGTAGTTGGACGCGGCTTCTTCCTTTTCGGCCAATGATGCCAGCTCGTCAACCCATGAGCTCGGCGGCATATCGTATGGAGACGTTCCAGTTACGGTCACCGATGCAGGCTGATGAGACGCGTGGGTGACAATTTCGACACTGTCCGGGTTCAGATGGCCATCCGTGATAGCCTCTGACGATGCGTCGAGAGCTGGGGGAATATAGTTTTCAACCTGGATATGGGAAGGGATCGCAGGCGAAGCGGGCATAGCGACGGCGCTTTCTTGGACATCGCGTTCGAAAATTTGCGATCCGGCGGGCGAAGCAAGTCGTGGAGACCTGCCAGGCGAAGACGGTATCATGTGTGGGGTGTCCAGCGGGGTTGGCGATGTGGTCGTTGATCGATGTGAAGATAGCTGTGTCATGTTGTTGGTAGGGGGTGAACTTGGCAGATTCGCATCCGCTTTGGACACTGTTTTCGCCATAGTTGCGGTGTTATCGTCGGTCTTTTTCTTTCCAAAGCCAAACAAGCTTCGCTTCTTAGGCTTGGCCTCAGTCTTGCCCGTCTCCAAGTTGGTCGCTTTCCTGCTGAGTGGAGCAGAGCCGGATGCCGACTCGGCGGTTGCAGTGTGGTCTATTTCCCTCAAAGAAAGCCCGGGTCCCTTCTGTATATCTGCTGCAGGAGCAAGACTCATTTCGTCGAATGGGATCGAATTGGCGGAATTCCAGGTGTCAGGATGCACAGATATTGTTGGAATCTAAAGGGGCGCGAGTCAATGTCAGCGGTGATCGGATGAAATGACTGGTATGACGATGCCGGCTTTCGAGCGTCCGCGCGATAAGCGGAGGGGTCAGATCCTCGTTGCTTCGTAGCGGTCTGCAAATCCAAGTCAAGGCAAGAGGCGCTATTCCCACTCAATCTGCAAGTAAGGTATTGGATATTCTTTCTCCGAACTTGTCGGGTTCAACGAAGCTATCATTTAAAAGCAAGCAAGCACTTACGTTTGCTAACGCGCGGGTGGAGATGGAGACTTGGAAGTCACCGACCGCCTGTTGACCCGAGGACTCTTGCCGTGTGCAGAGAATCAAATAGCGGATGCGGTACGACGCAACTCCTTCCGGGAAAGATGGACTTGCAAGTCAAGTCTTAGTTAACCAGACTTCGCCGTTTAGATGAACAATGCTTGACTGTCTTGAGAGCTCAAGTCGGTGAAACGGCAATTGCGAGGCGGGGTGAGGCGACCGTGAAGGGTGACACTCTGGAGACTGCAAGTCGAGGTGTGTTTTAGATGCGCTGGAAGTTGCACGGCTTCCTGTGTGTATCCTACGGAAACAGCCACTGTTGATCAGGTGGTTGGAAGAAACTTGAGTATTGTTGCGAGGTGCGACGGACGTTGAAGGTTTGAAGCAGTCTTGGTGCTTCTAAAATGGAATTGCGCGATCACCCGTACTTGACGTAAGACCTTAGAAAGATTTTGAGTTCTCACGTTGTTAAGGGCCCTACTGATGACTATGATAAATGGGGATGGCAAAGCCAAGGACGAACAACGGACTTCTTTTGAGATGCGGCCGCAAATATCGAGGGTGTAGCAATGCATGCGAATATGTCAAACAATTCAAATGGCCGGCAGATCATGAGGGTTGCGAGGAGGCTATTTACGTCTCGTGACTTGACCGGATGCATTAAGAACTTCTTTGTCCCGGGGACGGTCGTTTCCAAGTTGAGGTCCCTGATTGTTGGCCACGCCGCCTGTCACTCGACACAAACTGGTTGGGCCGGATGGGAGCGATGACGAATTATTGGGTCTATCACGGCCCAGCGTGTCGCATAAATCAATGCAATCAATGTCAGGGTGCTGAAAATATCGACCAGCTTTGGAAGAAAGCCCAACACAGCCCAGGCTCCGACCCTGATGCAGTCCTATTCCGGCTCATCAACCGCGCCCAAGCCAGTCTATGTAACATATGCTGAGCACTCCAGTCAAATGGGTTTCCGAGTATCGCCGTCGTCCTCTTGCACCAGCATGCGCAACCAAGGCAGAAATCCCGACTCCCCGCCCTCAGCTTCGGATTTGGTGTATTGAATTTCTCCGATAGAATTAAAGTCCATTCTTTTCTAGAGAAGCAAGTAGCGCTCATTATTGTCCATCACCGATATGCAAATGCATTTAAGCATTTGGTTAGCTCGATCGCATTGTACAGAGATGAGAGGATACTGTCCCATACGATCCAATGGTTTGGTATTGATGGAGTGAGGGGAAGCCCAATCGAGATTGTCAATCCAGATAGTCATTCCAAGCCTACTGCCCATGATGCCCGCCGCGCAGGAGTTTGTGTGGCCTGTGCAACCACTACCCGTTGACTGAGGATCGGGCCGTTCTTTCTTCCGCAACCAATCTTCGACATCCAAATCGACGCTTTTTGGCTCTCAAGTAGGTGGTAGCTCCAGAAAATTCGAGTTGAGCTGGGCAGAACGATGTCGCGTTAATAAACTGCCAGCTCATTCCGCCTCACCAAACACCAAACATCACTCCTTCAACAAGTAGAGCACGGAAATCTCCGTTTCGATCCCAAGATGGAAGCCCGGCAAATCTTGAGACCATTCTGCTCCTTGACGAGCACAGTCATACGCACGACGCGGCGATGTCAGTCCACGACATCACGCACGAAAAAGGCCCTCAAAATCCGCCCCGATGTCTCCTTCTTGACGCCAAACAGCGAAGACCATATTATCTTCAACCCCCCTTCGTCAGCGCCATCCGTCTACCACACACCTTTTAAATTTCTCCCGAAGTCGGACCCGCGACGTCAAGCCAACCTCACCCACTTGCTGCGCACCTCGGATCTGCATAATGCACCTCTCCCACCGCCGGCTGGTAAGCTTGCAGAAATCAAGCCCAGAAGTAATGTGACCAAGGAGGAAGTCGAAGAGATGCGACAGCTGAGAAACGAGAACCCAGCGAAATGGAGCGTTGTACGGCTGGCCGAGAAATTCCAATGCACTAAGCTGTTCGTCATGATGTGCTGCCAGGCGAGCGATGAGCACTGGAAGAGCGAACGGGAAAGGCTAGAGGCTATCAAGGCCCGGTGGGGGCCAATGCGGACGAATGCAAGAGAGGAGCGCCAGAAGCGCAAAAAGATGCTCGCTCGAGGCGAGTTATAGTGAAGTAGTGTAGGAACAGAAATGCTTGAAAAATCCGCGGGAGACTGTACAGGATCTGCGCAGTACATTAAGAGCGCATTGGATGGACTCGGAGTCACATCGAGTCGCCGAAAGGGGGCTCGTAAGCATCTGGCATTGCCAACAAGGCGTTAAAGGGCTCGGGTATGCCATCTGTCATATACCAGTCCCCATTATTGTACAATCATATATGTTATAATAGATCTGGCCCCTCGAAGGTTTGAGAACTTGTTTATACAAACAAGCCTCGTCCTGTGACGGAGAACCGACAAGCTTGGGGTCCAACCTTCAGATCACCAACTACCCTTAGCTACACTCACAGGTGTACCGCTTGACACCATGCTATGCAGCCTATCCCATAATTGCATATGGGTAGTCAGACACTCGTTACGTCGGAGAAGCGGTCTTCGCCGTCTCATAGTCTTTCTTCCCAGGAATGACTCGCCAGCACCAACCGCACCAACTCCGGGCCTGTCCGCTGACTTCGCGACCCAATATCCGGCCACTGTTTTTCTCGTCCTCCCATTCGGGCACGCAGGCACCTACGCGGACCATAGTGACCCTGACCGTCTTGACCACGCCCCCTATCCCCTCGATTTCCTGCCGGGTATATCCCGGACCCAGCTGCGGCGACGGAGTTCTCTGCGACCCCGAGGGCGAAGGCGTGACCCAGGGCGGCGAGGGCGGCGAGCCGCGCTCCAGCTCGCGGGCGTCCTCGGCGTCGCAGTCTGTCTCGTGCTCTTTCTCCTTGGCGTTGCAGCATTCGCTGTCTCGTCCGCAAATTACGCCGCGGTCGCCGTCGCCGATCCCGGTGCCGAGCCCACCGAGTACTTCGCCGTACTGCATTCGCCAATTCCATAAGCTGAGTATCCATCAGCCACCAACGTTTGTTGCATTTGCGACGAAACTATGCGACTTACGATTTGTAATCTCCATCTGCACCCCTGATACACCTCCCACACGGTTGGCACAACCAGACGCCGTCGCTCTCGCACGTGCATATTTCTCGTTTCATGACGGGGGAATCGGCGGGCGTGCTCGCCAGCAACGGCGGCTTGACCAGAGCGCCGAGGGTTGCCTTAGTACATGGTACACAAAGTCGCCGGTGTCGATCGCGGACCATAATCGATGCCGGAGGCTTGATCGCACAATTCTGCCAAAAGAATCTCAATCAGCACTTATGATTTTCTCTGCGCCCGTAAATAGTCCACATTAAAAACGCGTGGACTCCTCCGTCGTGTGCAGCATGTAACCTACCCGACACACAACCCTCGAGCACCGTCGACACTCCGCAACCAAATCCCTGGCGCAATGCCCACTCTTGCCACTGTAGCTGTAGCCAGCGCGCCCATCCTCATTGTAGTAGTAATTGCCTGCGCGGGCACGATAACGGAAGGTGTCCTCAGGGTCGACAGCGACGTCTTCGTTCTCGCAGTGCAGGGTATGGGCGACGAGGGGGTTGCGATACTGCAGCAAGCCCTCGCGGACCTGGCGACAGGTGCGCGACAGATTATCGAGCGAGTTGAGGTCCAGAGACGATGCAATTGCCATGGCGACCCTGCGTGGCGTGCCGTGTTAGTGAATCCCGCCACCCCCCTCTCTACGAGTCCAGTCTGAGCCTTTATGTGACCAACAACTGCTCGAGAGAGGGGGGTTTTGTTACAGCGCATACAGAGAGAGAGAATATAAGGGTTGGCCAGCCTACGGATAGCATCCGAGAGCCTCCGTCATCCCATTCCTATTTGGGTTCTCGCGAGGCCGAGGGGGCGCCGCATCACTCCCGGAGGAGGACGGGCGGTCGCCATTGCTCGTGCTTGTGCCCGTTCCATTTGCTGCCGCGGCTGGATTGCCATTCCATTCGGGCTTTACGCCGTGATGGTATTGCGGCTGCGTCGGACTCAGCGGTTCGCCTTCCTCGTCGAGGTCCACAAAGAGAGCCATCTTTCAAGTGAGAAACTAAATTTAGTAGGCGGAAACGGGTATTGAAAGAAACAGATGGAAACGACGGACGAGAATTGAATGGAGCGGAGAATGGCAGAGGAATGGCAGAGGAATGTCACAAACTAGACGACATCGAACAAACAATTATAAATTCCTGTCCATCTGTAAGCTCGAAGTGATCAAACAAAGTTGCCCTCCCGGACCGGAGCTGTTGTTGGGTCTGAAGCTGAGTCGTTGGTGCTGCGGTCAGCTCGGTCTCTTTAGTCAACTGACCCCACCAAAAAGAGATCGTCACTGGTCTCCGTTGGGTGGGGGGACAGGGAGAAACTGGCGTCTTGCAAGGGTTGATTAGTCTTATTGCTTAAGTACCAATGGAGCTAGGGTCACTTATTGAACTGCCATGTGACGCCCACGCATTCTTCCTTCGCTTCCATTTATCCAGTTTCAAGGTTGACCCGGCCCTACTGGTTGTTGGTAGACTTGCATAACGGCTTCCGTATGTGCAACTATTTCATGCCGTTAACCGAGAAAGAAGCACGAGTCTATCCGAGGATTCTAGGAAGGTTCTAGGAAACATCCATTGCATGCCATCGAACTATGTATTACACGAGTATGGTCTCAGAAGAGCTTGGCAAGCTACCTATACCCCATGCATGTTGTGGAACCCCCAGGTTTCCTGTCACCATTATCCACCAGCTATACTGTATACGTCTGCAAATCTGGGGCGCGCAAATCGACTTCGAGCGAAACCGGAGCGGGCAGGTCCAAGCGACGGTGATGTTCACGAACTACACTCACAGAGACTTCCAAGTAAGACACATGTGTCTCATACCGTTGCTATTTTTCAAGGCATAGTCCGCACCGGCGCGAAAACCGGAGAATTGGCGTTCGAGAACGGTGAGACCCACAATTCAATATACTCGGTGTAGGCAGCTTAGATTCAGTAGATTCGGTATCTTTCAACATATTACTCAAGTTGGCTTATAAGCCTTTATCGAATTTGACCTTTGCGTTCATTTCCGCGAGATGGAATTCCTCGCCCCGGAGCAATAAGTTAATAAACGGCCTGACGATTCCAATCCAGCTCTGCTCAAGGGCCTTTCCTTCAGAGGAAAAGGCTCATAAGAGGGAACGAGATGAAGCAACCCCCCCAGTTCCCAGTAGGGTCCTGTCATCCCCGCGAGGCAAATATAGTGCGGGCAGTTGACGCAGTCTATGTGGTTCTGAGAACTAACTATGTTGACCGATGGACTACGCAAGTGGTTCATCCAAAGTCGCCAATCGCAAGTTGACGTCCGGTTCGTCAAACTCTGCAGTTCCGGGTAAGACGTCCAGCATCGGGTGTTTTTTCAATGGTATTCTTTCTTATTTTTAGACGTCGCTTAAGTAATATGGGGATGCCATGGATGTAAACATTCTGCCCGGGCATGGCTCGGAGGCTTCCAGGATTACTTTAGTGCTTCTGTCGGTGGAATGTAAAGTGCCTGGGACATAATATTTACCAATCCTTATTCACAGTGATCTATTCAACACATGGTCGAATGACACGTGAAAACCCCATCTAATTGTCTTTTTCGGCTATGAGAAACTGGAATGAGATGAATTATCAAACCCGAGTGAGAACAAATGAGTTTTGGTCTGATAATTTGCAACCTATCATGACAGGAATCCCAGTGAGCCAACAGCAATTTATTCAACAAGTACTACTCTCAATGAGCTTCGTGGTCACATAAAGCCATGGGATGACGGTTCGCAGTTTATGGTGTTGATATTCCCTTGAGTTTCCAGCTCCTCCCCGTTCTCGTTGAGTGGTGAGCCATGCGTATACTGGTTGTCCTGGAAAACCTTTTCGCTGTCTTTCCTCCTTTACAACGTGCAAGCTTTTCTTCTTGTCTTTAGATCGATGCCTGCAGACTCTGTATACTGGTCTTGCTTCCTATTCTCTGATGCCCGTTCCTTAGACTGATTGACCAATATTTCCAAGCAGATGTAATGACTAAACTATGACAAGGGATGGGATATTGCCTTGAGCCTAAGCAGAACGTCTTGTGGATAGTATCCTGGTGTTTCGAGTATTATTCTTCACAACTTTCGCTCTGGGCTGCTTGTTTAAGATCTCCAAGCCCACTCTCCAGCAGTACCTACTCTTTTCATCCCTTCATCGACACCCACTCACAGATTGGCATTCTGCCAACCGTCCGTCATCATGGCTACCGACCTTGCCCAGCAAGCTTTCCAAACCTCTGATGATGCAGTCCAGCAACCATCGAAATCTACTCGACTTCATCGATCAACTGCGATCCGAGGGCGCGGTATTTGGAGCTGCCGGCAAGAATCAATCAGGAGAGAACTCGAGAATGGTTGCAAGCCTGGTAATTTCTTGCATGCGTCAATCTCGCGGCATTATTTTGACAGTGGTTTCGGCAGACAACCAGTTCGCCAACCAGCCCGTCACCAACTTTGCTCGTGATATTGATCCCCTCGGGGAAAGAACACTTGGCCTAATAGCAAAGCCAGACAAGCTTGAACAGGGCACCAAGGGCGGGGCATACTGGATAGAGATGGGCCCCAATCCATCTCGTCCCACCCGCTGTAGTTGATATGTACTTTGCAACCGAGGTCATAGCATGAGAAGCTACACGACCGAGGCGCGGGGTCTTTGTGGGAGAGAGCTCCGGTCTGCTACCCTCTGGACATCTCTTGATAGTTTGTAACTCGGCATCGCAGCTATGCGATCTCGACTACGCAAGATTCACACGAAACTGGGGCCATTAATTTCGATCGTTTCTTAACGGAGGTTTTGGTCAGAAGACCAAATACCGTCTTCTGATACTGTTCATTGAACCACACCTGCAACGCCTGAAGCAAGAGCTCGAGAACAAAGTCCGTTCTGGGATCTTCTTTAAGCCCCAACAGCCTTGTCCCGCAATCGCTTACAAGCCCTACATGACCGGGGCCGTCCAGAAGGTGTAGGCTGCGCGGCACGTCCAAAAAAATCGAGACAATTGTCGGGCGGTCTTCTGCGATTGTCCAGAACACGACCGAACAATCCATATATGTTGAATTGGCTTACACAAACCTTAAGGTACTTGCCAATGCACGGCACCGAGCCTGACACGGAAACGTTCCAGCCAATTTGCTGCTTAGGGCTGAAGCTTATTACAAGGTATGCTTGGCTTTCTCCCCTGTCTCCTAACCCGTTAAGCTGGCTCGTGGGTATACACGATGACTGCTATCGAGCAACCGCAGTGGAGCGACGACGAGAAACTACCATCAGTTGAGTGGCTATTCCAACTGATGTTACGTGGAACTGATAAAATCCGTGTATGTTTCACTAGAAATTGACGACATATTCTTTTGTGAGCTGCATGGTTTCGCGTTTTTCCATTGTGGATGTGCAAGCGGCTTCGGCAACATATCGCCCATGAGTAACAGAGTACATCTGACTTTCCGTGAATGCTGTCGAACATCGGCTCATTCAGCGCTTGCCGGACGTGTTCTCGGCGGATGTTGTGGCAATTTTCAGACCACGCAAATCGGGCAGTTCGGGTTTGAAGGTGCCAAGTGCTCAAGGAAGACAGTTGAGCTGAAGGGGAAGCTGGAGGTTCTTGAAGGAGGCTTGAAGGATCTGAACAACTTCGCGGCGCTGCGAGTGTAGGGTATTGGAAACCGGTGTGACAGTTTAATCTGCTGACAAGCGACGGTCATGCCGCGGTATAATACTGTAGTTAGGGTAATAATGTTAAAATGGTCTATGCCACCATGGTATCGCAAATGAGGTGGTAACGACTGGGCTGCGAAGTTGCTGTGGTAGTTGCAATTTGAGTGCTAATGTGACCGGAGATGGGAGAATAATCCTCAGCTCCAGCCCTGTCACAGCCCTTCAGTCATGATCGGCTCACTATGCAAGTGCAGCCCGGGGACTAGACCCATTCCGGAGCTACCCCTCGTCTGCCCCACGATGCAAGACCCTGACACCAACATCTGGAAGTTTCTATTGTGCGTTCCTCCCGCTTCGATAGCCTTTCATTTTTTCAGCTAGAAACGTTTGAATTGCAAACATCTAGTCTGAATTTAGCCAGATTGCGTTTGCCTAATCCCAGTCTTATTCTGATCCTATTTATGTAAATCTCAGCACCCACGGTCCAGATACCTTCAAGCCGATCGACCATCTTTCCGCAACTTCATCTCACCGAGCCAGCCAATTTCATACACCTGTTGAAGCTACAGAACCAAAAACCCACTACGCCATCTAACACTCAAAATGGCTGACGACAAGCCCACCCGCAGCAAGGTCTTTTTCGACATCACCATTGGCAAGAAGCCAGCGGGGCGCATTACCTTCGAGCTCTATGACGACATTGTGCCCAAGACGGCTGAGAACTTCCGGGCCCTCTGCACGGGAGAGAAGGGTCTGGGCAAGACCGGCAAGCCCCTCCACTACAAGGGCAGCGGATTCCACCGCGTCATTAAGCAGTTCATGATCCAGGGTGGTGACTTCACTGAGGGCAATGGCACCGGCGGCGAAAGCATCTACGGTGCCAAATTCGACGACGAGAACTTTGAGTTGAAGCATGATCGCCCTTTCTTGCTAAGCATGGCCAACGCTGGACCTGGTAAGGAAGTAACAAATGAACACACGTCACAGTTGAAATCGAGTGAACTTTTGCTGACATGACTGGCTCTCCAGGCACCAATGGCTCCCAGTTCTTCGTCACAACCGTTGCGACCCCTCACCTCGACAACAAGCATGTTGTGTTCGGCGAAGTGCGCAGCGGCAAGTCCATTGTGCGCCAGATCGAGAACCTGCCCACGCAATCTGGAGACAAGCCGCAGAAGGATGTTGTCATCACTGACTGTGGCGAGCTGACGGGCGCGGCGGCCGAAGCAGCGGCGTCGGGCAACAAGCAGGCCGATTCTCTGGGTGACGCTTACGAGGATTTCCCCGAAGACAACGACGAGGCCCTGGATGCGCAGAAGGTGCTTAAGATCGCTGCGGAGTGCAAGGAGTATGGCAACAAGGCCTTTAAGTCGGGCGATGTGCCGCTGGCCCTCGACAAGTATCAGAAGGGTCTGCGCTACCTCAACGAGGAGCCCGAACTCAAGGACGAGCCCGCCGATACCAAGACCAAGATGGACAGCCTTCGCTTCACCCTCAACAGCAATTCGGCCATGATGAACCTCAAGCTTGACGCTTGGGAGGACGCCGAGCGCGCCGCGGCGAGCGCACTGCGCGTGCCCGGCATCACCGACATCGAGAAGGCTAAGGCGCTGTACCGCCGTGGTCTGGCCCTGGACAAGATGAAGGACGAGGAAGGTGCTGTTAAGGCGCTTGAGGAGGCCAAGAAGTTGGTGCCGGGTGACGTGGCCATCAGCAAGGAGCTCGACGCCGTCAAGAAGGCCGCCGCCGCGCGCCTGGCCAAGGAGAAGGCCGCTTACAAGAAGGTCAGTGACTTCCTCGCCTGCCCTGTCTCGGGAGTCAAGTTTGCCTCTCTTACATGAAGAGACAACATCCTGTCCAAGTAACTCGAGTTTCAATCCAGAGGATTTTTACTGACTTTTGTTGTAAACAGTTTTTTAACTAGGGTTAACACAAATAAAAAGGGCGAATGGTAACGGAGAAATTCCCGGTTCAAGGATTCTTCTGCATGACAGCCCATTTTGAGGGTCAACTGACAGGGCGTACGGACAAGACGTGGCCATGAATAAGGATACATTGAGCCAGTCCGCTTTCCTTGGCACAAGAAAAGAAAACTATAAAACCGGACTCTTAGGGCTAGATAATCTAGCATGCAACTAGGTTTGGCAAATAAACATGAGTAAAAGAGTGATTGATACGCACAACTTGCTCAACCCCCTTGCTCATTACGAACAGTGCATTATCTGCGAATAACGTGTGTATGACCCTCACAGGCTGATAAGGTGCACCGAGAAGATAGTACGCGGGCGTGATCAGTGACCTCTAGGTACAATATGCTGGCAAAGTCGTAGAGCATACAAGAGTATCCTATGTGTATTTGGTAAATTTGGTATTTGCTGCAGGACGATCTAGCCCACGTCCATAAACATACATATGTCCGTGTTGTGTACGTGTATTATCTACAGCGCATTAACAGCGCAATACAGCGTAATGCAAGCAGGGAGATAATAATCATGTTCGTCAATTATGACTTCGCCTGTTTGATTAAACCCAGCCGCTGGCTCACTCCTCTGCTCCCAGCCATGCCAACCTAGCAAAAAGCCCCAATGCTCAAATATAGATCACACCCTATTTGATTTGATAACCGTGATGATGTTGGGTCTTTTCACCGGCCCAAAGTCAACAAACCCTCCACATAACTCTTGGTGTCGACACCAATCCCCTGGACCAACCGGGTCGCACCGTCGGCCCAACCGCTACCGCCCTCGGCGTACGAGTTGCTAATGCCCCTAATTCCACCAGCGCCATGTTCTCCCGCTCTGCGTATTAGGAATATTTCCTTGCTGACCTCGTGTCTGCGTCTCCAACCTCTGCCGCGACCTCCAGCAGCATCACCGTGGCGGCTGCCGGCCTTGGTAGTCTTGTCCGAGGCGTTCATACTCAGAGTGGTTTCATCGGTCGACGAGTCTGTGGTCTGCGTACTGGTGGACTCCTTGCTATCTTCCGAGTAAAGCGGAGGCGGAGTTGTGGTCCCAGTCGTGCTGGATGACTCTTGGCCGACCATGATGCGAGTCCAGACAACCCACCACCCGCGGCTCGTCTTGCACGTACGTTCGACATCGGTGAAGTTGCCCCGTGTTGCTACGTAGGTATTCAGAATCTGAGTGTGGGTGTTCAGGGCCTCGGCACGGGACCATGTGCTCTGCTGCTGCTGTTGCCGACCGTCTTGAATACGCACAAGCGATGGCGGCTCTGGGATGCTGGGTATGGTCGAGTGAACCGTCAGGGCCCGCGGGTCCCACACCAAGTCGAAAATGTGGCTAGCCACAGCCCCGACATCTGGCTTGTCGGGTCGGTACTTGGTAGATGACGCGAGTGTCTTCCGCAGGGGTGCCAGCTGGTAGTGGAGAGACTTGTATAGCGGGCCCCAAGCAAGGGATTCTGTGCGATTTTCGAATAGGAATGCATATATGAAGGGCTTGCTGGCGTAGACCACAACGCGCATCTTCTTGGTTTTGTTCCGGTCTTGACTGTCGAAATGTGACTTGGGATCTGCTGAGCCTTTGCGACCAGATTTCGACATTTCTAGCTCGTTGTCGTGACTGCCGAAATCTCGAGCAATGTTGGCTTCCGGCCGATCATGTCCCTCATTCTCGAGCTCTACCGTAAGAGTTCGCAACAGGGTGCGCTGGTTCGACTCTGAGCTATCTGAGTCCCTGCTCTCTGGAGTCTCGCTGTCTGCATGGTCCACATCTCCTTGGAGCCCAATGAGGTAGTGGCCCAAATACCGGTCTACAAGCGTGGATGAGCGCTGAGTAAAGGGGTGCGTAGGTGTCGCATGTTCCTTCTTAGGTACTGGCTCGATTTCTCCTTCGTTCTGATTGCGGGTTTGGGCGCCTTGGGCAGTTTCTGGGGCATTTTCTTGGGTGCTCTCTGTACCAGAATTGCCAAGTGACCAATGAGTGCCGTAGCCCATTCTCAAATAGCTCATGAACTTATCCATGCGCCCATCATCGTTCGCTTCGACTCCATTAGATATCGAGGCGGAGGGACTTCTATCTTTCACCTGATCACTTGGGGTAGAACCCACGGTTTCAATCGTTTGAGGCGCCGACAGCTTGCTGAGAGCTTCGGCACCAGACTGGACCCTGACCCGTCTGGCCTTCACTCTCGTTGAAGTCGCATTTTCCTTGACTCCATATGCATTCTCTCCCCAAGTATACAAGTCTTCCATCCAGTAAGTGATATCTCGTAAAGACTTCCTGGATAGAGCACCAACACCCAGAAAGACAGCACCGTCTTCTGCTCCGGGTTCCTCACCAGTGCCGAGCCACTGGGAAGACTGCGAGTCATCGGAATTCCTATCCCTGGCCGAATCCGATGTCTTCTCTGGGTCCAAGTCCCCAAATTTGGAGACGACCAGATCCACAAGTCCCTCGACTCTACCAACAAAACCTTCGAGTACCTCTCTCTCGCCACTCCCACGTTCTTCCTCACCCACACCCACGCCGAGCTCGCCGCAGGCCCCCAGTTTGATGCCACCGAGCACAGCACAGGCCGGGTTGCCGTGAAGCATGACATTCCACGTCGACAGAAACAGGTCCCAGTAACGACTCAGTATGATGACGAATTTAGACCTCTTCGATCGCACAAACAGCGCACTAAGAGATGCGGCATGGTGTAGCAGGAAAATAGAGTGCGCCCGCAGCAGGTCCTGCAACAGCAGGGCTGCCGGCTTGACCTCACGCGAAGAGTACTCGACATTATCGGACTCCTCCTCCTTCATCTTCGAAGCCGAGGCGCCCAGTCGCGGTGGTAAAGGTAGTTTTGTCAGGTCGATGGACTAAAGGTGGCAGAAAAACGCGTCAGAGTCTCGGTTTTGTAAAGTGTTTGCACCTGCAACAACCAAGCTATTGTTTGCAACTCACAGCAAGAATCCACCAGCCAGGTTCCAGCTCATGCAGGACCACCCGACTCTTCTCCGTCTCTATTGTGTTGACCGACTGGCCGCGGGCAAAGCCGCGACTAAAGTCGACCATGCCCTGCGCCAACCCGATCTGCCTCAGTCGCTCATTGCGCTCGTCTTTCGACAGGTTCTCTGTGGGATTCGCGCGCGAGCGGTTGCGCCGCCGCGAAGCCTGCGTATTCACAGATGCGTAGTAGACAATCTGGTCATCGATGGTCTCGTCCGTGGTGCCGAGGGTCGGGTTGAAGATGGCCAGGAAGCCCAGTTGCGCCGGCACGACCGAACCTGGCAGGGAAGAGGCTGGGGTCACCATTGAGAGTCAAGTCTGGACATGAACGCCGAACACCTCCCTCAAGGCCGGGAACACTTGTACGATTTGTTAATTTGAAGAATACTGACCGGCTTCTTTGCCCGAGCTTAGACGCGTGGTTTAATCAGGTGATTGAATGCATGGGATGGGGATCGAGATCAAGAATTGGTCTAGACTCTCAGGAGCAACTACTTAGGAGGGGTTGGCGCGCTGGAAAGCTGGAAAGCTGAATTCAAGCCCTGTATAGTCTCTAATAAAACAAATTCACCAGAAAATATGGGAAACCGGCGCGATCTTCTTTCAGAGAGGTTGCAATTATAGTAGTAAACTACGTAGATGCGTGGATAGAAATACAGAAATATATTTTCATATGGGAAGCAGTTCTTACAGAGCTTTGGATGTTTACGTCATGCTGAAAACCAGCCTGGAGAGGAAACGCCGATCCAGGGTGTGGGGTATGGAGTATTTGCCACAGCTGTTTTTCCGTTACTTCTTGAAACGATCGGCCATGGCAATTCTATGAAGATCCAGCATGAGATATCGCGATCTACCAAAGCCGTATCGGTCCGTCCCCGTATCCGGCAGCCACGTTCCAAGCTGACGGAACATGGCTGGGAGTCACAATAAAGCATAATTACCTAGCTTACTGTCTACTGAAGTAGTCATACGACATGCTACAGCAGTATCAGCACTCGGAATGAGGCGTAGAGCTCCGATATCTACTTGGAATGCCTCTATAGCCTGAGTAATTTCGTAAACGGAGGCTTCAGTCCAGTATCTCGCCCTGTCACCGTCAATGTGAAGGCCTCACGATTATTTCGCACCGAACAGTGTACACAACAATACAGTCGCATGTGGCGATTTTCAGCAAATACGTAATAGCACTTATAACTTTGACTGTAAATCAATTAACTATTTGTTTCTGCCGCATCTGAACGGCAAATCTAATACCACCAAGCTCAACCAGTTCCCTACCCCAGTCCAGCTGTCCCCAGGTGCTGCTTGCCCCTTCTGCTAACGCGTGCATTTACACGAGCGTTGGTACAGTGGGTAAGAATCTTCTGACAACTCTTGCCTTTCCGGCGCCTTCCTCACGCAGTCAGAAGAGCTCAAGTAGCCAGCGCCAAGGGATAGAGAGTGAAAGAAGGCTGCGCAACCATCTTGGGTTGTTTCTTCTCCGGAGCCTGATGCGACTTCTGCATCAGGGTTTCCAAGGCCACCTTGCGGGATTTGGCTGTTGGTGACAACCTCCACAGCTACCCAAAGACCGATCCAGTGAAGCCAAAATACCCCCAATGGAGGGTTTCCTCGACCATGCAAATGAAAACAATTAACTCCGAGCCCATTTGTCATAATATGAACAAACGTCTGGACAAAAGTCCAGTCTAAGAAATCTTTCTCATTCGGGTCATGATACCCAGCTTAGTGTTCGTAACCAGCACCACGTTGCCACGGACTGAAGTATTGTTAGTTACTATATTCATATTCATCATTTTCATCATTCGACTCACCTAGCATTATTTTGATTTCTGTACCCTGAGGGGCTGGCGTTATTCTGTTGCCGGAAGACGGACGCGTTTGAACCACCGTACGGACTGGGTGCTCTGTTCATGGAGCCAGGAGCGGCAAGAGGCCCGCGCTGCCCGTTGGCCGGGAATAGCGGCACGGACGGATCAACCGGAGATCGTGATGGTTCGCGTGGACCGGTATGAGCAGTTTGCAGCGCTGCCATGTTGGGATCAGTTCGGCGGCGCATCGAGTCGGAAGAGATGGACTCATTGTCGTCGTCGAGATCTAAACCTGCTTTGTATCCACTCTTGTCACCGCGAGCAGTGGCCGCCAGAGCATCCAGTTCCGTAGTTCCGGTAAGCTGGCTCTGCGACTTCATGAAGGATGCTCGGTCATCAGCCATGAATTGATATCGGGTATCCGGGTTCTTGCGCACAAAGACGACCACGGTGGTAGCGATCACCATCAACAACAACACTAGGGCGAAAATGGCATTAAGGAAGAAAAGAATGAGACCAATGACACCGTTGACGAGGGCTGGCTGGTTGAAGACGTCGGAGAAAATGAGAAGGAAAATAGCGTTGATGAAGTTGATGGCGCAGATGGCGATGTTGAACGAATTGGTGCTCTTGTCCATCCATGGCCGCAGAACACTGGCACCGATAAGCGCGCCGGCCTCGATCAGGAGGAACCCAACGGCCTGGGCGGTACCACTCTTCTGGGCAAATGCGATGAACATGCTCTTAATGAGAGTGTATCCCAGGACTGGAATGATGAAGTAGTAGGCGGATGCTCTGAATTGGATGTACAAGAAACCCCACTTGTTCAGAGCCTGAGGATCCGAGAAGAGGATGTAGGCAGGGTTTCTGTGCATGGCAACAGACCGGCGAGCGATGCGTATAACCTTGGATGCAGCCCATGCCAGAGTGGCGGTCATGCCGAAGAAAAAGAAGACGGCTAACACGACCTCAGCAGGCGAGTCGATCTGGGTAAACTCCCACAAGCAGAGAATCGTCATCTGTGGGTAGCCAATAAGAGTCATGCGGAATAAGATGCCCTTGAGCACAGTAAGCCAGCCGTTACGGAACTCAAGGAATGTGTCGTTCTTGATCCACTTCTGCTTTGCGGCCAGTTCACACCAACCCTTGAAAGCGGTCACTCCCATAATGGTGAAAATGACAAACAGGCAAAAGAACGTCAGACCCGTCATGAAGAGGTTGGTCGTCTCAATGCCAGCCTTGAAGGCAACGCGCTGAATACCGTAGACGATGAAGCTTCCAGATCCAGTTTGAACATTGGCTCGTCTCATGAGGGAGGCGGACGCCTTAGGCATCATTGCTGCGGTTCTTCGGAAGAGGTTCATCGATGCGTCAGCCAGCGATCTCTTCTCCACTTGGACGGAGACAGTGGTCAAGGAGTCGAAGATGGTCGAAGGAGTTCCGCCAGTCGCTCGCTGGTACCAGGTAAAAATCGTTTGCATGAAGTCGATGTTGATGATACCCATGGACCACTGGAAATCTTGCGTCCATGATTGCACCACCGGGGGCAGGTGAACAGCCGTCAGACCAAGCATGGCCTGAGCCTGGAAGAAACCGAAGAGGGATAGGGCCCCCGAGGCGACGTGAGCAGCGGCGTTAGAGTGGCCGAGACCGTTGATAACAGCAGAAGATACCAGGGCCAGGCCAGCGATAATAGCCAGAACCCACTTCACACCAACGAGGTCGACCGTTTTTCCATTGGAAATATCCGCCTCAACACAGGCCACGCTCTTCCCAGTTTCCGTCATGTTCAGGAATACACGAACAGTGGCGTCCAGGTCGGGAAAAGTGTAGGCAATACCGGGGATTTGAGTGATAGCGTCAGCACCCACGGGCAAGTTGAAGTTCAGAGGGATCTTGCCAGCCGTCATAGGGCAGAGACCAGCCAGTCCAGCATCGCAAGGATCGACTGTCCTACGGACAATTTGATAGCCATAAGCTGAAATGGCGACATCGAACACAACCTTGCCTTCCACTGATGAAGTAGCAACGATATCGACTGATGCTGAGTTGTTGTTTGGCGTGAAGACAACCTTGAATAGACTGGCCGTGAAACTTGAGTCCTCCTGGCATGTGTTTAATGAGCTGGACGTGAGCATGGGCTCTGCGGCAGTGCCGACCGCAAGGGCCGTGAGAAAAACGAGAGGTTTCAATACTGAGAACCTCATGATGGCTGATTGATGTTGTGGGTCCCAAGGGAATGTTGAAGTGGGTGAGTTGGGAGTCGGGCCCTCTGATGGGGATGGAAATGGTGGCTATCCGCCGCTGGCTCCTCGTGATTGTCCCTTTCTTTTGTTTTGCCTTTGATCGATTCAGATGTGTTGCATTCGTCGGGGGCTCCAGGCTACGATGGTCAAAAGAAGCGACCGGACTTCTCTATCTCTTTCTTCCGTCTCAATCAATCAAGATGGGGCTTGGACATGGACGTGGGCAGGAGTTCAAAGTAGTGAGGGTACTCTGCCCCTGGGGGAAGCTGTCCGTCCGGCTGGTCGACTGACTGTGCGAGAAAGTCTAAAAAACGAGCGCGGCGGTGGTACGTCACCAAAGGGGGTAGTAAAAAAGGAACCAGATTAGAAGCGAAGTGTATGGATGGCACTTTCGAAATGTCTACCCGTTTCGCGGAAAAGGTTGATGTCTTGAAAGCTGCCGTTGAAGAGGGAGAGTTGAAGAGTGAGTGAGCGTTGGAATACGAATAGTGGAGTGGACAGAGTGAAGAGAGACTCCAGCGCTTGTGTTTGATGGACAATGGAATGATTCGCTTTTCCAAGGGGTCACGAAAGGAAAGGCCGGGGTCTGGCTGGATACGGGGGTTGGACATGTCGCGCTTGAACAGAGTGGACGTGCAGGGTGGGAATGGAACTCCAAATTACGGAGTACGTAGCCAGCCCACTAGTCGCGCTTCATCGAAGTACTTAAGTAGACCCTGCCGCATCCAGGGGAAACCGGTGGCGTCCATAACAAAAGTACCTCCCTAGCCAGGCCAATGCATGACAATTGCGACAGTCGTTCCGTTAGGGAACCTTGAAAGCGGGTAGATCTGTTACGGCAGCTACATCCATCTTCCTGTTTTGAAGGGCCTGGGCGACAAGAGCCAAGACTTTCTACTGACCCGCTTGACCTTTTTTTACATGGAGTACACAAACCATTGATGCAACGATGCTCGCAGCACAATTTCGTGCACAATGGACCCTCTCAACTTTCTTGTCTCTATTCGCTGATCTATTCGCTAACAATTGTCAGCTGCGCTCTTGTCGGTTATTGCCATCACGAGTCCAGCTGGTTGATCACTTGATGTTGCTCTCCCTTACTCCAAGACGTCAACAATGGCGACGCCACTCCAAACAGGGAATTGCCCAAAAATAGGACGAATGATGGCATCGTTTATGCACGCCGCACTGCTCACTAGACGACGCCGCCACGCCCACCACACTGGATTTTGGCTGATTTTCCAATAGACTCAATCTTAGCTTTGGGATGAAAATCCCCAGCCCTGCCCGGTTCAGCAGGCTTTCGAGGCTTTTTTTTACCACACACCCCCCCCAAACCAAACCTTTTGCGGGCGCAAGTCACACAGCAGATCGTGGAGAATGGACCTGTCGCGCAACAAGTTCTGAAGTGATAAAGTCGTCTGCGGCGCAGAGTGTCGCAGATGCAAGAAATGTGTGTTTGGGGGCCCGGACCAGCAGATCACTGATCGCCCAGAAGCCAACCACTGTTTGCGCTTCTCGCACATTACACGGGTTGCACAGCCTCTTCAGATGTGACTGCCGGCCGACCTGAGCCGTCCAATTGTCATATATCCCGGGTAGCTCGGGGGTGGCCAGGCGCGCCCTGGAGATTACAGACGACGCGAGAACAAGCAAATTCAGCAACCTCCAAGCCTTGTTTAATCTCGCCCGTGTCATAGCAAACTGTCATTCAAGAGGCGGGAGGCCTAGAGGGATGAAAGTGTGACTGCTTGTTTGAAGGCATGTGATACTATTAGATGCTTTTTTATCTCTGTTCAATGCGGTGGGTCTGTAGGCGCAAATACTTTTCACGATCGATTTATTAAACCATACTTCAGCTATGTCGTGGTATTTTCCGATTAGTACGCGCGTTCCCACCTTCTCAGCGTTCCTGGGCAAGTCATTGGGCCGGCTTGGACCAGTTTGGTCCGCCAGTCTGGATTCCAGTGGCACTTCTGTAAGCTACGGTGTCGTATCCGGTGGCAGCGTATTGTTGTCTGGAATTTTCAACTCAATGGTAGCTCCATCTACCTGCCATCCCGTGTTATCATCCACCTCTCTACTGTCCACTAACTCAACCCTGTGGGCCTTCTGTCTGAAGGTCTTCGCTACGCCCCTAGTTGCGATAGTTTAGCGTACCCTCCCGTACCTAGTTACCCTACCCCACCTTTCCTAACTAAAACTCTTCGTCTGTAATATAAAATCCTTACAAAAAGGTTTAATTCTTCCTGAATACACTGATTTCTCAACGTTATGACTTGCTAATCGGTATTGCAAGGTTGATCGTACTTGCGAGGCCAATTGGGCTAAAATCCCAACTCACAGTATGTTCACGTATTAGCAGGCGCGCAGGCCTCCATATCTTATCTAATCCTCCGTATTGTGCCGGCGTATTAGCCGACACTTATAACTATACCTATACTGTGTCGGATTCCAAACCCCAGAGGCTGTATTGGTGCTACGAAGGGTCCAATCCCAAGTTGGCGCCCGAGGGGTCCCTAAATTCAACAATCCGTACCTGCCTGCCTTGTACTCCTCTATACCCAAGGCCAGAGCTTCCCACATACGATCTACAATATATTCATTTCTTGTAGGTTAACAAAGAACACAATCAAGCGTAAATACCCTGAGCTCATCCCAGTGAAATTGTCATAATGATTAAGGACGATTCTCTACGATCTGGGACAGTCCCTAAAGTATCTAGGTACTGTACGTGCACGGGCCATCTAGCAGGTGTAAAGTTTTCATACTCAAAATACTTCCCATTATGGAGGGGCAGCTCATGGCGGGGTGATTCATACCACAAAGTCCTCTGCCGCAAAAAGATTAACAACGTTGAATTCAAACTCTTGAACGCTCTTTGCGACATTGGCTTTCACCGAACATCTAGTCCTAAATGGCCGCCAATATTGAGGAGGCCGCCGCGCCTCACAGCACCTTTGACGTAAGTCGACCTGTTTGTCTGTCTGTCGCTGAACTCGTTCAGAGCTAATTCCAAGTTACGCAGACCGTCTTGGTTCTGGATTTCGGCAGTCAAACAAGCCATCTTATTCTGCGACGTCTGAGATCACTCAATGTATACGCCGAGATGTTGCCATGCACCACCAAGCTTGCGAACCTCACCTGGACCCCTGTCGGAATCGTCTTGAGCGGAGGTTTGTGCCCCATTGAATTTGCCCTTCAGGACGTCACCAGGGTTCAACATCAATAACTTAGTGCCTAGGTCCCTCTTCCGTTTATGATGAAGGAGCTCCTCGTAAGACTGCTCCCTCTTGCTTGGCAAACCTATACTGATCCAGGAAAGACGTCGATCCGGCCATCTTTGACTTGGGAGTTCCCATTCTGTAAGTGACTAGTGTTGCTTCTCGGAGAGATAACAAGTTGCTAAGCAGATCACAGTGGAATCTGCTATGGGTGTCAAGAGCTTGCTTGGCGGATTAACGACAAAAATGTCACCCGTGGTGAGGCCCGCGAGTATGGCGAAACAGATCTCACCATTCACAAGGTCGGCGGCTCTAACCATGTCGACCGCCTCTTCGAGGGCTTGGGGGACTCGATACACGGTAAGCTCGCGTCCACACAACAACAGCCCCAGCTACTGCTCTAAAGAACTTCGTAAAGTCTAACTTTTAGACAGTCTTCATGAGTCACTTCGATAAGCTTGTCCGCTTGCCCGAGGGTTTCGTTAGAATTGCCAGCACGAAGAATACGGAATTCGCCGGCATTGCCCACCAGACGAAGCCAATCTTTGGTTTGTCTCTCCTGCTTATTTTCCTGGCTTGTGTGGCAACGTTGCTATCTTGTTCTGCCCCTAAACCATTCTTCGTCCGCCTAATCAACCGCTGACTTGGGCTGTTGGCAGGAATCCAGCTACATCCCGAGATATACCATACGTACCGCGGTACAGAGATACTCGACAACTTTTCTACTAAGATCTGCAAAGCTCGCCAGTCCTGGAAAATGGAAAATTTTATTGAGAAGGAGATTATCAGGATTCGCAAGCTTGTTGGCGACAAGGCCCAAGTTGTGAGTCAAACCCTCTTACATACTAGAGTGTTGGAAACTAACCACAATTCGACAGATTGGGGCGGTTTCCGGAGGTGTTGACAGCACGGTGGCAGCTCGATTGATGAAAGAAGCAATCGGTACATCCCCGGATGGTCATGATAGATATTGAGGGCAGGCTGACATTTGCTTAGGTGATCGATTCCACGCCATCCTCGTGGACACTGGTTAGGACCCAATTCTTAGTCGCTAGACAAACTGGCACTAACACGCTCTCTGTAGGATTAATGCGTCTTAACGAATGCCAGCAGGTCAAGGAGACGCTTCAGCAACATCTCAGCATTAACCTAACGATTGTTGATGCGGCAGAGCTATTTCTTAGTCGTCTTGCCGGCGTAGTGGAGCCCGAGGCTAAGCGCAAAATTATAGGAGAAACCTGTTTGTTTATACCCTGGAATCCCTCTGGGGGAGGTATAGCCGGGTCCTAGCTCGCCTTGCTAACCCAATAATAGTCATCGATCTATTCGAGAAGGAGGCGATCCGAATCGAGGAAGAAGCAAAGAATACCCCCCTTTCTGGCAAAGTGGAATGGTTTCTGCAAGGCACCCTTTATGTAAGCCTACCCCTAAAGCAACTTGACTAGGTCATCTGGAGATCATAAGCTCACATCATCAGCCGGATTTGATTGAGTCGTTGAGTTGGAAAGGACCTTCAGCCACCATCAAGTGTAAGTCTATGTTGCGTTAATATCCAGCCCTGCGACCATTTCCCCCCGTTCGACCTCTCCCTTTTCCCCCGGGGCCCCTTAAAAAAGCAGGTTTGGAAGAGTTGCGCTACCAAAATAACTGCGTCTCGATACTTAATGCATCGTCTCAGATGGAAGTTTATTAATAATGGACATAGCGCACCACAACGTCGGCGGCCTCCCGGCTCGTATGATGAACGGTGTCAGTAAATCCGAGAGTGGCCGTCTCTGTATGATGATAACTAACATTAACACCAACGATAGCAAGGTCTCAAGTTGATTGAGCCCTTGAGGGAGCTCTTCAAGGATGAAGTACGCGAATTTGGCCGCCAACTTGGTATTCACCAAGACCTCGTCATGCGTCACCCATTCCCAGGACCGGGTATCGCCATCAGAGTACTTGGGGAAGTAACCCCCGAACGCGTAGAAATTGTCAGAAAGGCCGATCATATCTTCATCTCCATGATCAAGGAAGCGGGCATCTATGATCAAGTAAGTGCTCGCGGCGTTGCTGACCTGAATCGGCTACTAACGTTACTCTAGATGTCTCAAGCTTACGCCGCCCTTGACACAAACAGGGGTATGTATTCCAATATTTGTCGACTCGGATGTCAGAAGTACCAGTCACGCAAACAGGGCTCACATCTCTAAACGATTGCTAATTTATGACCGTGTCACAGCCGTAGGGGTGATGGGAGACAGTCGTGTCTACGGTGTGTTGGCACCCGAAGAGAATCCGTCGAGTGATCAAAGCTAATTTAACTGTACTAGGAATGATAATTCTTCTTCGAGCTGTTACTAGCGCTGATTTCATGAGCGCCGAGCCGTTCGAATTTCCGTTCGATCTTCTTAAGGCGATCGTACGGAGAATCGTGAATGAGGTTGATGGAGTCTCTCGGGTGGCATATGATTGCACTAGCAAGCCTCCCGGTAAAACTTTTCAAACTTTTTTATTTTTACTGCTATTTTCATTTTTGGAACTTCAGTTACTGACTCTGAATAGGCACTATCGAATTAGAGTGAATGGGTGTCTGTACCACGGAAGTGATCAGCCCCCAGAGATGAACACAATTTCGGCCCTCAATCAACATTTCAAGACCAACAACACTCAATTTTCTGTAGATGGCAGTAGCAGCGCAAGCTCTTCTTTGGCGCTTCACCTTCTCTGTCTTCTCAATTTAACTAGGGATCAATTCTAAGCGGTCCCCTTCTATCTGAGCCTTCCTCTCTGTGATACACAACGTTTTGACAATCCTTTCTGACTGTACGTTGGGGCACTGCGGTCAGTGCTTCCTCCAGCTTTGAGTTGAGCACACTTGACATCCAAAACGTCGATTTTTGCCGTCTTCTGGTCGATGCTTTTGGCAGCATCGGTGAAGAGCATGCGAAAGTCGCGTCTAGTGCCCAGAGTCTCGCCCTTAAGCTGACGTGATTGTTGCTTCGAGTTAGTGCCTTTCCGCGGAGTCCACCAGGGGCGCCTCTTATTCCGAACTTACCGAAACACATCTCGCTGCAAAATGAACTCCACTCCCCTGTGGAACGTCGTCATCACCCGACGATGACGACTCGTAATAAATTCACAGCCTCACATCCGCAGGCTAGCCATCTAGACTGGCATGACACAGCAGAAGAGACTTGCAGACACAACAGTCGTCGTGGAGGTTTGCTCGCGATGTACGCAGCAAGACACGAGTTATCGCTGTCCTTGGATCTAGTTTCTGATATTTGGGCCTCTGCAAACTTATGTAGTCCGTGGTCGATTCTCACGATTCTCATTGGAAAGTATCCCCAAGGGCGACGTCCCGAAGCTGTAGGCAGTGCAAACGCTTGGGGAAGCGTCGGATTCAAACCCGATTTCGTTAATTTCGTTACGGGAACAATCCCCTGCGCCGGTACTGTTGGATTGGTGCAGTATTGACGCCATGCTACGCTAATTTCAGTTAGTGGTACGGCAGGATTCGATGCAGGTACGAAGTCGATTCCCGTCATGTCATGCCGGAATCTGAAGTCGAGTATCCTTGATTGGTGTGACGTCGCCTTTTCAACTTCATGCTAAGACTCAAATTACGTCATTTTGAACAACATGAAAACGTTCTTGCCATTGTTCAGCATACCGAAATTTTTCCATCATGATAGACCAACCTATCATTATCTCCATGGGAATAAACAATTCTAGTATCATCCACATTTGACGCTCCTTGAACAGGCAGGCCAGGGCGCTATTTACCATGGTATGCAACATAGGCAACATCGTTTGAATTGATGCAACCAAGGGGGTTGATTATCCAATATCCAAGTACTTCGTAGGGCTGTATGATATCCAATTTATCCATGTACACCTCCTTACCGCCGACTCACAGCTCTTAGAATGTCTGCCACTCCGTATCCCACGGCTTATTCCCCTGGGAATAGTCAATACCGTGTTTGTAGCTTCCCGTCAACTCCTCTTCATCGACACCACAATGCGTCTGGCCGTCCCGGCCCTCAAACCAGCCCAGCCCGTACGTTTTGCCAATTCCCTCAAGCTTGCGCACCATTTCAGCGTTGCTGAACTTGGCCGTACCAACGAAATCGTAGAGCATCTTGCTCTGGTGCATGAAGGCGAGTACACTGGCGATGGTGTTTGGCTGTCTGGGCAGGAAAGGATGTCTTCTTCTCGTGAAGACTATAGTTGAGACAAAAGCCATGTAGACCAGGATGAAGACGGTGAACAATACAGAGACGGAGGCCGAAAGAAAGGTTTCTTGGCCTCCATTTAGCGACTGATCAGGTGTTTTGGATCCTAGGCCGCCGCCGGCGTGATTTGGGTCCGGCGGAGCTTGGATCTTGTCGAGAAATAGTTTGCCTTCGACCGTCGCTAGGCCCGTAACGAAGATGGTAAGTGTCTCGGCAAGAACGGTACCAAAGCCCACGAGGGCTACCATCCAGTGCTTGTTCCAAAGGGCTCTCAAAGCAACGTAGCCAAACGGCACAGCAGTGTAGTCGAGCGTGAGGGTCTTCGCAGACGCGTGCCGCTTGCTCAATATGTAATAAGGTTCCATCATACGGATGGCCGTTTCCAGGCTTCCCCAGCTCAGTTTGATGGCGACTGCAAGTGCCGTCACCACCCAGGGGGCTTTATCCGTCAACACGCTCACTGGCGTAAAGAGAAACAATGGAATGAAACCAAGGAAGAGTGCAATTGAGAAGATAAACGGCATTCCACCTTCGGCACGCAGCATGAGAGGGTGAGGGTTTTCCGGCAAGTGCGAAATTGTGTATCTGTCGGCCTCTTGTGTGGATGGCGGGTTTTCATCGTCTGGAGCCAATGAGGAGTTTCGTAGTACGTAGCGATGGTTTCTCAGCCTGTAGTGGATGTCCTTTGGCTTCGACACGTCCATGTCTTTGAAATCCGTCATGATATGACTTACAACGGCCATGGAAGCGAGCCCCGCAATTCCCTTAACATCGGCGAGCAGGCCAGAACGTCGAGACTGCAGTTGGTATAACAGCCCGCTTCCTAGCAGCGCTAGGAGCACGAAGGCGGAAGAGAGAAGCCGAGACAGTACAGGGTTGATTATGATGGTCTTCTCAACATCACTGCGCTGCCTTCTTTCTTCTCTGCTCGGATTCAAGACAAGACAGGCAGTGCCAAGGGTCGGGACCAAAGAGACGGCCAGGAGTGTTGAGATAGATGAGACAACCACCGCGTAGTGTCGTCGCTGGGAGGCACGGAATGGCCTCGTGAAGTTGAATTGAGTGATGTAGTCGACGTTGATGGACTCCGCTGCCAATGCCCCCCCTTCCTTGCTCATCTGGTAGAAAGCCTCAAGTCGCTTTACTTCATTGTCGGTAATTTGCCACAAAACACCATACGAGACGGTTATGAGCGTTGGCACAAACTTCAGCACGAAGTAGTCCAAAGGACTGATGTCATCGCCGCTCTTGAATCTCATCAACGGTTCCAGCGCCGACTTCTGGCACAACAACTCCACGCCTATGGAGAGGCCAAGCGATACCAGAATAAGGCTTAGTAGGTATGGCCATCTCATGCTGAACGGCTTCCAATTAGGTTGAGGGTAAAATACCTCCGTCTTGCTCTGCGCCACTGGAAGTGTTGTACGCCTCATATGATTTGGATCTATACCCAGGGGACTCGGGCAGACCATCGAGCTCAAATCGATATCTGATGGTTCTTCTATGATGACCTCAATCACCTCGCCTCGCTTGTTGGCCTCGGTTTGTCCCAGGCCTTTGATGGTGGGTTTTTGCCTGAATGACAGGGACCGGGAGAAGCTACGCTTCAGAGTGGGACTGGTAGTCAAGAGCTCTTCACCATTGATCCTCGTGTTGGGGTTCATGCCTAGGCCAGCCCCCAAGCCTCCTGTCAACTTGCCGTTCGCTTCTTGCTGTTGCAAGTTCCGCAAAAACTCCTCGTCCTGAGAGCCCATAGGCCCCGAAAAAAACGACACATCAAAGACGGGCTCGACAGGCTCGTTAGCGGCGGCAGCATCTTGAGGGTCTGACGATCCAAGAGGAGCAGCCGACTTCAGCAATGACATATCGTAGCCCTCATCGTCGCTGATTGTTTCTCGCGATCTTCTGAGAAAGCTTTTGCCTCGACCCAAGCCCGGCCTTATTTTGAATGTTTCATATCTGGCATTGGGGGAGCCTATGAAAGGAACTGACCACGACGACGAGGCGCCCGAGTAGGAATGTTGGTGGTGTTCAGGGACGGATCCGAGTGTGGGCGATGTGCAGTGCGACTGTAACGACACTAGCGACTCTCGGGCCCCAATCCTCGCCTCGAGTGGCTCATCGTAAACACCATCTGAGAGGTTCGAGACTTTGTGTACCAAACTCTGACCAGTCTGACCGGCCCGGCACGTATCCTGCGACTTGTTTTGGGAATAGCCGTGATTTGACATGATTGCCGCTGCATCATGCAGCAGAGTCAAATCGTGTCGGTGGCCTTCTTCTCTCTATTGCAAAGAGAGATGTGCAAGAAACATGCAATGGTAGCAGAGATTCGGCCCGGGTTTCGACCAAGATGCAGGTATAAACGAAGGACTCAATCGCCAGCTGGTTTGTAGTCGAAGACAGTGGTTCGCAATCGTCGGTCAACAGCATTGCCTGACTGCCGCACCCGGGCTTTATCTCATGAGAATGATTGTAAGCCTCGGTCAGAGTCTCTGCTGGAAGGCCAGCTGAAATGCAACAGGCTCGCGGCCTATCGCGTCGGCGCAAACACGAGACACGATAGTTTCTGGAATTCTGGTTCCTCGCTCGGGTGATGACGGAGATAGCACTTTAGAAAATTTATTCCTCGGCTGGTAAAATCAAACAAGGCAAGGCAAAGAAACTAAGTAAATAAAGTCTGATGGACGAACGAACAGAGAAGATCAAGTACATCTGTGACGCAGCCATGTTCTGGGAAACAGACGGTCGGGTCTGCCCAAGCAAGCCCTGACATCCAACCGTCCTTCGACCTGGGCAGACAACCGCGAAGAAACCAAGATCGATCCCCTGGCCGTTGCCATTTTCATGCATGTTGGCCCAGTGTTCGGAGAGGGGTGGAAGCGAGGAGGGCCGCAAGGATGGTAACTGGAAGCCACCACGCTGAGCTGATACAAGCGCCTGCTAGCTGGGCAGCCAGGCTGCAAGCCTCCCCCTTAGCGCCTTAGCGCCTTACCTCCAATAGACCTGAAGAACTGTGGGGCTGCTTGTCCAATATAGCGAGTTAGCGCAACCTTGGTGTGAACTTTTGAAGCCCTCTCCAATCGCTCCCGGTCAGCAATCAGGATGCGACTTTATTTATAGACAAAGTGCGGGCGAAACAGTAATCCGTGGACTAAACGGAATTACCCAAGATGGACTTGGTGGAGAAGAAAGGAAGCAACTATACCATTCCCCTTCAGAACAACCTATCTGTAGGCGCGCGGAGTTGTAGCCCTAGGATGACCTTCCCTAGGATGACCTTTGCAGTCTGATTCTGATGGTACTGAAGTGTATCGATGCCAGCTTCCCGTGGGTCATAGTGCCTGTCGAGTGGCCCTCTAGCCGTCTAGCCGTGTGAGTACAGCAACCCATCGGGTATCGTCGAAATCACTTTGCGAAGGACCGAATCGCGCAGCTTCCATCTAGAAAATGGAGTTTCAATGTATGAAATCAATCGGGGTATACCAGCATGGGCTTTCCTACCCTGAGTAATCGTGCTTAACTACATCGTGTAACGCACAAGGGACGCGGTTCTATTTGCAGTAAGGATGCATCACGTCCAACACACAACCTCGAGAAATACCATGTGGCATAAGTCAAGCCTAGCTTGCCGGACGTTTCGTACCTCTCAGATGTCACAGCCAGCTGTCAGGCCGACAGATTGTTCCAGAAATCACACGAATTTTCTGGTATTCCATCTTATTCCGTTTGACTGCTATTGTGCGAAGAGGTTCATAGCTAATACAGGATTACCCGGAAACGAAAAGAAGCCATTTATTATAAACAAATACAAAACGCCTTGAATCTATTAGGAATGTAAATGATAAAGGAATTTAGAGGATAATAAATCTAGCAAACAAAATCTTGTACCTAGACGCATAGGCCCAACCCCCATAGGTAGATGATGCAAGTGCATATGGGGTGTAAAGTGTGTGTACAGGCTCTCTTAGGCTGCCTGTCTTATCTATAGCTACCGGGTGGCCCTCCTTGGGGTCACGTATCAGTAGACTTAACATATACACTACCACAATACACAATAATAACAACCTGTTACACTCTATTACTCTTTTACCTAGTGAACCTGCTATGTAGCTACCCGGTAGCGATCTACCAATATCCGCTGCATGCTCGTCACCTTCTAACATGGTCGGCCCATCTCGGACAATAGACGGCTTCCACTGCCCGAGCATCCTTTCCAGACCTCCTCTCGATGGCGAATTTTATATCAAGACATGTCTGATGTCTAAGTAGTTCTGAGGCTGGAAGTTAGTCTTTCTCCACACGAGTCGTAGTCCCGGTGCCCCAAAGTGCCTTTACGTCAATCAAGATGCTTACCTTCATGTCCTAGTCTGAGGAGAAAACGATGTACTTACAGGTTTTTCTTTCATTTGATAGTGCCAGAAAATCGTTTGATGGAGAATAGCTGCAGGACCTTGAATCTCCATCTCACGCATGGAGAAGTGCATGGCAAGACGCAAGACGTTAACGCTCCCCAGACAAGATGCTGCTATATTTCTATGAAGTCTTGTTTGTGGCTGTAAACAGCTTATTCGAGACACAGTACGGATAAATTAAGCTCCCTGATCTCTGTTCTGAGTTGGTTATCCGTACATAAGCCAGAGCGGGTTTGTTTTCTGCACGGTCAACGACCTTCAAATTTCTGTAAGCATATACTGAGTAAGTCGTACGTCAAGAAAGCAATTATTTGATTGAGCCTGTTTTTCTCAGGCATCACAAAGGTCAGTAGCCCCTCAAGTTTAAAAAGGCATTCATAGGCTACCTTGGGACGAAATAATAACCAGGGGTACAAGTTCATCATGGTGGAGATTCAGACGGATCGCGATGCGCGAACAGCAGTAGCCCAGCCTATAAAGTAGTCGATGGTGAGGTCGAGTACAGCTTGCCATGCAGCCAATTTTCCATATCTTATAAGACCATTGAGAGTTCAAACCCCGCAATATGCGAGTGATTTCTTCAGAGCCTACTCAAGCAACCGGTGTTCTGTAGCCTCTACTGGATGCTGCACAGCACTCCACTGCTCCGATTTCAACTATATACATAATATCGCACCAGATTCCTCTCAAATATACTCACTGAAATTTTAGTTATTTACGTTGAAGTCCAATCATCTTAGTGTCCATATGCGGCAATAGCCGTGCGAGTGTCAATGAATAGGCATACTATAACCGTTGTCATTTTTGCTAAATCCGAACCCCCCTGAGCTCCGGCACCACCAGAGTGTTCCTTGCTATCTGAAAGTTCCCGTTGCTGCTGGACTGGAATGAGCGATAGCCTTCAAGAGTGGATAGACCCGTAATTGATGTATAGCACATATGGCGAGTAGTTACCGAACACGGTCAACAGTTCCTGACATATAAATAGTTCACTTATAAGTAGTGTGTCGAGTCACGAGTCTTCAGGCTGTGGGTACTTGGTCTCATTTATGACGATCGTATGGGAAGGGTATTCCTGAGCTCGAAATGTCGGGACGCTTTATTTTCATACGTCAGGCTTTACACTCGAATGAGTGAGTCAGTTGAGTTACAGTGTCTGTCGTTCTGTGTTCCCGAAAACTATAAGACGATTTGAACAAATAAAACCGACGTCAATACTGCCAATTGAGCTGTGTCTTCAGCGGGGCTTCTCAGTATTGCTTTCCTGCAATCCTGTCGATTCACTGGTACAGGACACCTTAATTATGGCATGTACTCACTCCATGTTGAGTCTCACAGCATTATCTCTTTCAGATGAGAGAAGCCTGAAATCATTTTGAGTCCAACAATTCACCAGTTTCGACAATGCCTCAATACACTCTTCGGGGTCCCATGACTCCCATTTCGCGGTTACCAATGTGTCTAGACCTTGCCACTCTAACCTAATCAAGACGTCGATGGCATGTTTATAAAATATGAGGTCGGCTGGTGTAGTTGGTCACTTCGCTGGTAGATAAGTCCCGATTTCAGCCTCGCCCACTTGGGTCGGTGACGAGTCGCGGGTTCGAATCCTGCAGCTGACACACAAGGGGGTTTAGTCAACCCTTATGGCGCGCTGCCCACCTTGTTGACTTCGCCTACCTAGCGATAATAGGGAGATTGGTGCAGTTTAGGATTACGAGCATCCTAGCCAGTCGACCGTCAAGCACTACGTCGGCGGAATATAACTCGACAGCCGGTCCAGAATTCGAATCGTTAATCCGGCCCCTTATCGGACCTCGCCTATCCGATAACGCTCGTCGGCGAACCCGTCCCCTCACGATAGAAGGCGCGCAGCACGCCCTCTCGCCGCGATTCTTGCGAGCGTCTAGACCACGTTACGGTCTATCCACTTGAGCGTATGGTTGAGATGTATACGCTCGACGAGAACCCCAATTAGCAGATACTACGACTTGTCGCGACAAAAAAAATAGTCGAGCATCTTCTGCACATCAGCAGCATCCCACCCCTGAGGACGAATTTAAGTGCCACATTACCACACTTATCGGTAGTTCAGGCAGGGGTTGTAGCACAGACTTAGGGAGGGACAGGAGGTTTAGTAGTCGTTTGGCTACAAGTTTACCTGTATAACCGCCCGACGCGGCTTAAGGGCCCGCTATATCATCTATAGCCCCTTAAGGGAGTACTTGTAGAGGTACCGAGGGTTAACACCTACGGCGTATTTAATATTATTATTAAAATATGAGATATTGTCAAGAAGTGGGAAGAAACACATTGTGCAGTGAACCTCTTATTCCTGTCCTGCAAGTCTCACAGGCGCCGCCAGAAAGGAGCAATGGCCTTATGCATCCATAGCACAACCCACACGAACATCCCACGTTGCACAGCCCTCGCAAATCTAGTCAGTAGTAACAAGGCGGTGCACCTAAAGCCGCCATGAACACGCAATCTCGCAATCTCGCACAGATTGACCAGAATTCACAGCCTACCGTGCTCGGGACGAACTGGTGCTCTGTGCTGTCCCATCGAACCTTCCCAGCGAACCTTATGTGGGCCGTAAGACTGTCCACCCCCAACATGTCATCCGATCTCACGAAAAGTCATTACAGTGGCAGAAGATGTATGAAATAAATGTCGAATGTCTTAATGTTATTTACAAGAATTGAAGCCGTGAGACAGCGTAGAGTTAGCCAGTGCTAGTCCTAGGCACCGCTCGTGTTTGGTGCCGCAGCTGTGTTTTTTCTTTTTTTCCCATGCCCAATGCCCGTTCTAAACAAACAATACTCCAAAACATCCGCTGTTTTGACCATAAGCCCCATTTTTCGGGCAATGTGATACAAGAAATTGTAGCCAGGTTCCGTGTTCCTAATATCGGATTTCGGATGATATTGTCATAATTGATGAGCAAGTGAACCAGGCCAATTGCGAACAGCAGCCATTGAAGAAATTCGTTACGCCGTTCGTCGTCCAGCGTCCAGCGTCATGTTTCAGATCCATAACCATGATGCGCTCAGTAAGACACCCAATGAAAACCAAACTACCCAGTTTAGTTGTACCACCATGTGACGGGTTCGCGACCGCCATCAAGACTGCCAAAGAGTTCCATGAAGGTCTTTGACGACACATCAATTGAACCCAAATCACAGCCCGGGCACTTGTCACGAATGGTGGCAGTGGTGGTCTTGCCGTTCGCGCTAATGGTAATAGTTTGGTCGCACAGAGGGTTGGCAGGTTGGTTTACGCCGAGACTGGTGAGCGGGCCAAAGTCATCGGCCGCGATGGCCACGATGTTCTTCGTTTCGTCCGCACCACTGTCGTCATAACCACATGCTCCTGGGCCAACGGTGTAGTAGGTTATGTCGCCGCTATGAACGTCGGCGCCACCACTGGAATCTCCGCTGGAACTACTACTGCTAGCTGCTGAAGGCGCAGCCGCTGCAACGATTGGAATCTCAGTAGTGCTAGTAGGCAGGGCAACGGGCACAGTAGTGGTAGGGTTCTCAACCGCGGGAACCTTGGTGGTGCTTAAGGTAGTAGGCAGTACAACGGGCGCAGTCGTGGTAGTGGGAACAGTCAAGGTAGTTGGAACGGAAGTCGAGGAGCTTGTCGTGGACGAACTCTGAAGGAAGTTTCCTGCAGACGTCTGGACGGAGGGCTCGGCCCCGTATGTCGTTGAAGGTAAAATGGTCTCGATGCCGGTCTCATCTACGACGACCGTAGCGGTTGCCCATTCAGTCACCCACTCAATAACCACATCGCGCTTCTCATGGTGATGACGGCGGTGGTGATGACCATGAGGTTGGGCAACGGCCATGGAGGCCATGAATGCAGCAGAGATGATGGTGGACTTCATCTTGAAAATCGCAGTGTAGGTTTGGCTTGGGTCTGATTTGTGTCTGGTTGTGTAAGGACCGTTTTTGCTTCTTGTAGGCTGGTACAAGCAGAATGAGGGAGAAGGCTTCAAGCCTAGTTCGTTGATAGAGTCGGTAGTGTCGTTTACTACTTGAGTGAACGTCGTGAGCACTCGCTTGAAAAGAATGTATACAGTGAGCACTGCTCAGGAAAGGAATGTAGTGGTAAAGGTATTGTCAGGATCACGACTGACTGAACCTCGACGAAGAGAGCGACGGGGGTGCCCTTTATTACCTCCCAGCCTGACGGGCACACGCCGACTTGGCAGACGACAAGACGGGGAACAAAAGCAGTCGAAGCAGGATCGGGTTTAGAACACCCTTGCTGCTGACCGGGCCAACTATTGGACGAACTTGCATCCAAGCGTCGCTGGCCCGCTAGGGTAGGGGCTGGCCATGTCTATGTCTGCACCTGACCAGTGAGCATCAAGTATCTGAATGCACATTCTAGGGCGCCAGGCAAGAGGGATGGCACCACCACCACAACTTCGTGTCCAACTGGATTTGTGGACATGCCGGGACTGCAAGGCACTGTCCGCACTCCGTGATGACGAACCAATAGGAATACTGGAGCCCCTGAAATAGGCACAGTCGTCGGGCCTCTTGTTCCTGGCGATCCCTTCACGTGCCCGAGCTGACGGATGTTCTAACTGTCTTGCTTGGCAAGCATCTCCTTAGAATCTTGGATCGCATCAAGGTGTGATGAAGGATGCGCAGGAAAACTCTTCAACTCCACAAACATTGCCGCTGTGACCTGGCGGTGGAGGCAGCCGGCAGCTAGCCAACGACGAGTATGCTGAAGTGCAATCGCACAGGCCCAGAGGACGCCATAAGCAAATAGTTGTTAACGGGGTGTTGCATTGGGAGCATGTGGCTAGAAAGCACGAGTGTGTCAAGATGCCGCCTCAGTACAAGTCTTCCAACGCTGGATTGGGTTATTTGCACCTGCATCTCGAGCCTGCATCGAGGACAACCACAACATGCATTGGTGCGCACTGGCCTACCCTAGGCAAAGATAGCGTCTCTGTAACTGGCAACTCGATCTTTATTATGCTCAACGAGATCTATCAGGATTCAAACGCTTAGGACTTGCTCAACGTTTGTTTGGAACTCGAAATTGTGTTTCGTGATTGCCGTTTGGTTATATCCACAGCAGGTGGATTCAACGGAGTCCGGTAGATCTCGACCGGTCGCAAACTTAGTCATAGCGTCTGGTCGATCAAAATGATGCCAACAGGTGTTGGGACGTAAGAAATGTCGGGGATGCATCCCGAACAGCAGTGGCTTACCACTTGGTAAAAATAGCCGAACCTCCTTTACGGAAAGTGGGAAGGCAGTAGATGAAATCGGCATAGCGCAAGGTAATGATTTGCGTTTCCAAGGAACCATATGATGACACTCCTGAGTTCGGACCAGTCTCAATTCGTCTTTTAAGACCCATTGCGTTGCTGTGTCTTAGCCGTGAAGCTGTAAAGAAACAAGCCCTGACGGCTGAACACTGGCCGGTCTTCATCCATGATTTCTACCACGTTGAAAGCCTTCTGGGCCTTCTTGAGGAATTGCATATCAGCTCGGCGCCTTTTCTTGAAACAGAAGAAGACCTGTGCCGAGGGGCACAACGTCAGCAAGTCCGCCAAAGTGGTCAGCAGCAATGGGAATGCTGGTTCGAAATAGACGCAGTCGGCAGCGAGTATAACATCGGGTTTTAGATGCAGGATGTCCTCCCCGAGCAGCTCGCCCCTAGAAGACGCAGCCACGAGTTAGTAATTATACGACCTGGGGAAAAGATCGTCACTATGGGCAAGGAATCAGGCTTACCAATCCAGTACCACAGCTTCAACTTCACCATCCAGCTGATTCAACGAGATGTTGTGCTTCATGAGCGAAAGCATCGCTCGCTGGTCAGTGATGACGAGCGGCTTCTCGACATTGCATCCCTTTGCCACGGCCAGTCCCACGAGACCACCGCCAGCGCCAAGTTCGAGTCTGCCACAGTGAAAATGTCAGCTGTTATGGACTCCTCCACCCCGCCCAAATACGTAGTGCAACACGATTGCTGGAGTGACAGCGCATGGCGGATTTCAGCGAAAATTTAAACCCACATTCTGGACTCGCGCAAGTCATCTCGATGGTAGCGGAGCATATGCTTTGCGAGCAGCATGCCCGCCGGCCACGTCTGACCACCGCATCCAGACGACAGATCTTCGTGCAATAGGAGAGGACTTGAGAGGAGGCCCGCGAAGTCGACGCTGGTAGTCCCAGCGGCTTTGAGATGCGGTAGAGGTGACAAATCTGGCCCGATTGCTAAAGGGCAAAACTCCGGAGAGGGCGATCTTTGGTTGAGATTGGTCATTTCAAGTGAAGGTCCTCACGCATAGTCAGGGGAATGAGAAGTGTCAGTTTGATTATCTTGAAGACATATCTCCTTGCGTTGTTAGCTTGAATACCTCAAAGTTATGGCAGAGACGTGAAGGCGATGGCTTCCGACTCGAGCAACTTTTTCCGCCGGATATCGGCCTTAAAGAGCGTTGGCTTCCGTTCCCTTTCTTCACTTACCCAATTCGATGTACCGACTGACCATGCCGCATCATTTTGCTAGGAGCATCAGTATAATTTCCACAATCCTTTGGGCAGTAGTCCTGTCTGATTACAATCTTTGGACTGGAATTTGATCTTCTGCCAGCTGCACGCTCTAGTGATTTCATGCCTATGCGTGCGAGACATCTAAATCCCAACATGGAGAAATTGGTGCTCAACGCGCTTGTCAGTCGCGAGGCTTCTTAGCCAGTATACACGCTCTCGCCATCTTCAGCGTCTTCCCCTACGCTGGATATCGTTGAACGCGAGTTGGTAAGGTACAGTAGAAGTTACACCTGCCACATTGTCGAAAAGCCGCTTCTCATCGCGAAGTCGTTTGTGCGTTCTTATTCTTTTCATTTCGTACTCTCGACAATGCCGTTGCGCTTCTCATGGGACGCCATAGTCGTGTATCACGATAGTAGATAGCTAGATGGGCAGCGGCGCTCGGGATCCTGTGCTTTCCTCATCTTGTCAGTTTGACGCCTCTCAACTACCTCCAGTCGCACGCATATCGCAGACTTTCTCCGTCGTTTTCTCCCCGCTAACCTCGATGTTGTACTCTCTGGGCAACGCACCCGAATGACTGTCCCCCGACGTCACTCCGGTACATCAAGTGAGAGTGAGGTGCTTCCAGGCGATATTCTTGGTCGCGAAAAGACATTCTTGGTGCGGCTACAGTTAGCTCGACTCTGAATCTATTTTGAACGCGCCTCCCACTGTCGAAATTCCCTTCGAGACCCAAATCCCCAGTTTGGGGCCCATTCAGCTCCGTCATCGCTGCTACATACCCATTAGATGCGTTCTCCTTTGCTTTTAACGGCGAAACGTCTGGAGAAACTGGGGGATCGAGACTGAACTGCTACATGGTGCCAGATAATGTACCACTTCCGTCATGGCTTCGTTTAAACGCAAAAACATGTCTTCAGGAGGGCGCCTCCATTCGGGTCTCATACAGTCCCCTCAGATCGTTGATATCCAGCTATTGGCCTCCAATGTACTTGGGTTTTCATCTGTCTTCATATCTTTCAACATTGTTGTCGGCAACCCCGAAGTGACGACTGACATCCTGACAATCACGCTCAGTGCAACCTGTGGGATGCCATTGCAGCATGATGAACTACCACATATTCTCAAGTTTGAAACAGGCCGCTGAAGCCCAAATAAATCCAATCGATAATTGCCTATGGACTTCCCAGATAGCTCACATTTGATTTCGAGTCATGGAAATACAGTGGCACGCCGGGGCCAACAGCAGAGCCATTGAATTGTCAGACAAGTTCGCAGATGCTCTCAACGCTATGTTGTCCATCCACATCCTGCGTCTAAATCCCGCTGTTATCATCGCTGTCAACTGCGTCTATTTCGGACTAGCATTCACATTGCTGCTGATCGCCTTGGCGAATCTGACGTGTGCTTTTCTTCTCCCCAACCCAATTGCTTCACAACGTGTTATTCGTTAGGCATGGGCTTGAGATGAGCGCCGAATAGCGAACCACCTAGTGCAAAAAGTATAGCGGGTGCGAGAAGACATCACATAAATACCTACTATTGTATCTCACTGCGACAGTACGTCCTCCTCGCACGAAGTATGATTGGTATGAGCACCCATAGCCATCCGAAAAAAGCTCAATATGAACCCAGTGAAGAATCGATACGAGCTCTAAAGCTCGCTCTGGTGATTTGGTATGAAACTGTTTCTAGGAATATCCTATTGATTGTCTAGAGCTCGTATGGGCATGCTAATTGAGTTTCTTGACCAAGGCATTCATGTGATTTTAGAGCTAGGGACTAGTGATACAACATGATTCTGGTATACTATCGGCAATGGGGGTAGCTGTATTGTGACCATGAAGGCGCGTGGGGGACCAATATGCCAATTGAACCCCGGGAGATCCCTAAATACATATTCCGTGCCAGCCAGCCTGCCTTGAGCCCCTCCATACCTGAGACTACACTTTCCCACAGGTACTATAGAATGGCACCTGCTGATCGGTCAGGGGTAACTTATGGCCTTATTATCTAACAGTGGTTTCCAACAGATCTAGAAAACACAGCGCAGCCAATTTCTGCTCAATACTCCAACCATGTCTTTCAATTCATTAGGTATATCCTCAGCACTTATCATTACAATCTATATCAAAACCGAGAAACTCTCATCCAGAATCACCTCCCGGTGTAGAGTCCGGTCTAATGTCCTCCAATTCATCATCAGTATCGCCAAATCCACTCTTTACAGTTGTCTGTGATTTCCTCGACAGATTATTCCTTGTGTTCAAACCGGTAAACTTTTTGGGTCGATCCGTCAGCAGAGCTCTAGATGGGGTCTCGGGAAAGGGTCTCAGTGGTGCTGGGGCAGGTTGGGTCAGCTTTCAAACGATGAGGTCTTCGCCGTCGTAACTTTGAAGTTCTCCAACTGCTGCTGATCGTGAAAGCGGCTTGAGCGTAGTTGACGCCATCCCCGTCAATCGCTTGCCGGCTCAGTGCGATGGTCTTCTGGTCGTATTTCCTTTGCTTTTGTATTTTGGGGTGGTGGGCGCAGTCCCCAAACTTATCGCAGGAAGCTGCGATGCTCTTGATGAAGTTGACCTGACTCCTCCGCCCGTATTTGGCCTCGGCCACCGGTCCGGTGACATTAGGTCCTTGAACTGCTTTGGTGCAGGTAAGATGAACGCTTGCGAATTTCTGGCAGTAAAAAAGGATATCATAGATTCACAGCCTGGATCTACAAGATCCTAATACACTATTCCCAACGAGTTACGCGCAAGTCCATCCCGCGATGCCATTGGCGTCTCATATATCAAAGCCTCAGGCGATACACCCAAGTTTGCAGACGACTTGATGATTGCTAGCCCCCCAAAGAGCGGGCTTAATTATCCCACCTGCCTACTGATCTGCCGCACCTCCCCTGGCCGGCTCTGTAAGTGTATGATCGAGTTATGTCTGCTGGATGTCGCACAAGCCATTTCTGGCGTTGCTGAATACGGAATGGCCCCGAAACAAAGAGCCCGGATACCTTCAGCAAAGTTCGACTATCATACTGGAAACAAAAACTGGGGTGAAGCACCCTCCGTCAACCGGAACATGCTGCAAGATATACTGCGAACATTACTCGGCAGCACTCCTCGACCGGTAGTGGAGGATCGCTGCGGAGCTCTGAACTGGTCTCGATCCCGAGAAAATCATGTATGTTCCTCCAGACGTTCGTTATCTTCGAAGATCGCCAGTCGGTAGCATATCACGTTACCCACACCCAAGGTTTTGTGCCCTTCTACCAGGAGAATCCAAACTTACGTATCAACTGGCGAATCGACCTCTGAGGAAACATGTTACAAGCGTATGAATCTGGCCTCTAGTATTTAATTGGAATTTTCCAAACCTGTTGTATGTAAGCTACCTTACCAAGAGTGAGCCCTGGAAGTGCAAATGTGTGCGTACCTAAGTAGTAGTAATACAGCTTTACCACGAGATGGATTCGGCCCACTGCCAGCTGGCAACGGGTCTTTCCCAATAATTTTGGAAGCTCGAACTTAAACCCGCTTGAGCTCCTAGACCTTTATGTAACCTGAGGTATAAGATCAAATTACCGTGCCATTGAATCCCGCTCTCATCTACAATACTCAAGACGCTTTATCAAGCTTGCGACCCCCGCAATGCTTCGGCAGGTTCGCCTTCGCGCTAGGCCGGCCGTCGCCCTTCGATGGTCAAGGGTGTTGCACTCTCAATGTCGCCAATTCTGGAACCGGCAACAGCAGATTCCCCCAGATGTACCAACGTACTTCTCCCCTCCCCCGCGGTCAAGGGGCAGCCGGATCAAAGACATGGCCATCGGTTCAGTTCTCACCATCGGCGCATTCTTCATCTACAAATACTACACCCTGCGTCAAGCCTTTCGCGAACTGCAGGAATTTGCCGAGGACAGCAAGGAGGTCATCGCCATTAAGGAGGAGTTCAGGCAACTTTTCGCCGAGGCACGTGAGTCAGGTGACCACGATAGACTGCGGGATGTCACCTTTTCGCTGCCACGACGTCTCTTTGACAAGTACCCCGGCGAGATTGTCGAGTCAGGCCCGCTGCCTGGATATGCCGTGGACGACGAACTCTACGGCAAGGAGAGGGTGCCAGCAGCGGACACGTTGATGTTTGTGGAGGAGGACCAAGAAACTGGCCTAATCGGTGTCGTCCAGATTGCCATTAACCTGGAGCTGGAGGATCTGCGCGACCGCCACTCGGCCAAGATCGCGTTGGACCCCAAGGAGGACAAGCTGGCAGAGCTGTTTCGGCGCGTAGCACACCAAGCGACTATGTGGAAGAGCGAGGGGAAGCTGGACGATGATGGGCAGATGATGGTCGTGTTTCAGCTGAGGGATCAGGCCATGACTTGTTTGCTCGTCAAGGGAGGCCACTTTCAGACGATTGACGTCCATAACTTGTGTTTATAGACGAAGGGGAGAAGCCAATGGGTCGTTGAAAGAGGGCTGGCTCGAGATCCCACTCGATCGGAGCATGTATAACACTTGTATAGTATTCGACTTTGGGGGTGTATAAACAGAGGATCCATCGCAATCCAGGCATACGAGCAGCACAGCTTCACAGCAAGGGAATGTTAATAGTGAACTGCCAAGATGGGGTGGCATTTCCACGTCTGAAGTGTATGTATTGTTCAACCCTAGCATCTGCCCCTCTTCCGCAAGTGCTTTCATGTGCAGAATACGCTTCTGTGGTGATTAGACCACTCACCTGCGACAACTCGACGATGTCCAACATGCACCACATTGTTCCCGAAATCCTCAAGGTTCTCTTCAAGTTCGCGAGAGAAGAGCAGGGTCATCGCTTAGTTTTTGAGTGTCTAAGCGTGTGCCGGCAATGACTGCCCACGGGTCGGGGTTTACTCTGGCAGCACGTTGTTCTTGACATCGAGACAAGTGGCGTGGACAGTCAAGCTCTACCTGCGGTGTTGTCTGTCACGATTCACATGTCTTCCAGAGTTGAGGGACCACACCCTTACCGGTCGGGACGTTGGCATGAAATGTGCAGAAGAGGCGAACATGTGTTGACGCAAGTCGAACTCGTCATTGAAACACTTGCCCTCGCTGTGACCATCCCCTCTCGCCGTATACGGTACGACGCTCGTCATGATCTAAGCCGCATTCATCATCGACGAGGACATTATAGTCGGCTGGCTCGAGGCCCTCCCAGCCAACGTCCGCAAGCAAACACACGTAGGACAAACCAGAAAAGGAAATAAAGGTGACATATCGGCTCTAGAGCACCAATCCGATGGTGGCCTATCTGTTCGTGGCGACTTTGACGGGTGCTTAGGTCTTGACAATCGAGAATGGCAACGAACGAACTTGTGGCACAGTATAGGAACGTACCTAGTCAAAGATGCCGTAGTAAGAAAGCAATGTTGCTCAGATGCTGTCCCGTTTCCATAAACAATATTAAGATGGTGCCAACTACTTCGCTTCGTATGTCAGATTTCACACATATTTCTCCGTACTTCCAGTTTAAGTATCTATCACTGTAAAAGCATGATGGTTTTCTCAGGATCACGCTTCCTTGAGGTGTTCATACTCTGTCCGAGTCTATTATAATGTACAGGTGCTTTGACCTGTGTACAGGCCAGGTTTGTTGTGTTGACGTTGATGACTGATGCCTCGTAAACTGGACATTCGGTTGCCTGCATTCTAATGAGTGTAGCCGTCTAGGATGACACCGAAGAGAATCCCCGAGACTGGGACTTGCTGTGTTGCTTATTAACGAGTGTGATGTAAATGTACTAGCTTCACCAGGGCTGGGCATCGGGAGTGGTCCCAATGCAGTGGACCAGATACATCATAACCCCAGAGCTCTGATTCCTATAATACACAACTTGAAGTTGTTGATTTGAAACGGCAGGGAACATAGCACTCTGCTACCGACAATGTGGCGATGCTATCTATTATATCTATCACTTAACTCACTCTATGTGTGAAAACCCAGGTTGCAAACCAACGTCGTTAAGCGCGTATGTCAAGGCTGCATGAATTCTGCATCGGCTTACTCGTTATGGTTCTGATCACCAACACCGTTGGGGCTCGACCGTTCTAGAATCCGGGTTCTGTTGATTGGTTGCTGGCGATGATGGACTCCGAAACATTTGTCTCCAAGAAGGAGACTGACGACACAGGTAGTGTCCAAGCGGGAATCTGATGCAACCATTGTATCCATTAGTTGCTGACAACGGTTAGATATGACCGCATATGGACAACAGCTTTGGTATCAAATGGTAGCAGGGTTTCTTATCGCAGTCCAAAAACGAACCCACGGGCCAGCTAATGCCGCCGCCGCTTTCCCCGAATTGATGTTTGGTTTGTTCCTAGCTTCCCCAGGTTTGCATGATCTCATTCTCAGCAAGCTATCTGGCCAGCGGGTAGCTCGCCTCGACGGCAAGGGCAATTTGAGCGATGCTCGGGAGTGGCCGATGATCCCACCCAAAGACACGCGGCCGGCTACGAGCTTGACTTGTGTTCGGATGGTTCCATTAGTTGTTGGTCAGTTTTCCTCCAGAAATATTCCGTCAAGAAAAATAATTCAAATTGTTGCTGCGCAAGGATGTTCCGCATAGTGTAGAGCCAGAAATCCAACCCCGACAAAGGCCCGAGTGTAGTGATTGACAAGGGCGAGAGGCGGCGAACCGAGAGCGCGAGACAAGACAGCGAGACAATTCAATACGCTAGGTGTATGTTTCCCATTGTCTCCGTCCCGAGTTGACACGCCCAATGAAGTTGATTTCTTGATTGCGCTTGACACAAGTGCATGCTGTCTGTCTGTACCCGCAACACAGATGTAATCATATTAAACTGAATTTCAAGTGCTGAAGAGATGCTTATCATTATACACTCACCATGGCAAGTAGTTCCACCCTGATTGCCCCCCCTGAAGCCCGCCGCAAAGAATCTAGATCAAATTTAGACAGTGATCAGGTAGCAAACCCATCCCGTCATCAGCCTACCCACACGGCGATTTTTGGAGGAGGCAACCCCGCCTTGGCCCAGCTCTGCCTCGCCGCCCACCACTCTGCTTTGAGTTCCCTTCTTGTGTGTCGTGTGCCTTTCTTCGGTGATCAAAACGCAAAACGTTCTTCTTGCACACCACATTGCGAAACCACATATTCCCGTTGTGTCAAATTTTCACTCAACAACTGGCGACCGGCAAACCCTTCCGGATCTCAACCACCCTCCGAATCTTTACTTCTCCCATACCCAGACAGAATCCGTAGCCACGCGCCGCGGTGAAAGTCTTTTCGCCATGGGTCAAACGCTTTCGGAGCCTGTCGTTGACAAGGTACGTTTTACTACTTACTTTACTTTCGACTGAAAACCGTGTCGTCATCCCCTTCAATTGCGCACACGCGCGCGATACCGACCGGTGCGGGTGCCAGCCTCGTGGTGCTCGGGTGACTCCCATCACCACCCTTTCGCTCCCCTCCCCCGAAACAATGTCCACACGCCTGATGCATCGCGGCGCTGCATGCCCGTCGTGCTTTGCTCTACTCTGCTGTCATGCAGCCGTCGCTGATATCATGTGATGCAGGACTCTTCCCGAGGCGAGGATGATCGCATGCTCTATGGCGTGTCGGCGATGCAGGGATGGCGTATCAGCATGGAGGATGCCCACTGCACTGTGCTTGACCTCTTGACCCCCAAAGACGACGATTCCAAGGCACACCCCTCGAGACTGTCCTTCTTTGGCGTCTTTGATGGCCACGGAGGCTCCAAGGTTGCCGAATTCACCGGCGAGCACATCTACAACATCCTCTTGAAGCAAGACACGTTCAAGGCAGGCAACTACGAACAAGCCCTGAAGGACTGCTTTCTCGCGACCGACCGCGCAATATTGAGTGGTACGGACCTTTTATCTATGACGCTATATTGGCTAGTGGGGTGACGCGAGGGCTGACCCATTCTTGTAGATCCCAAGTACGAAGATGAGGTGTCCGGCTGCACCGCCTGTGTGGGCTTGATCACTGGCGATAAGATATACATTGTTCGTTCCTGGCTTGCGCTGCCCTTTCCGAGAGCACTATTTTTTGACAATTCATAGGCAAATGCTGGTGACTCTCGGAGTGTCTTGGGCGTCAAGGGACGTGCCAAACCGCTTTCATTCGACCATAAGCCCCAGAACGAAGGTTGGTACTCTATCCTACTGCGCCCCCACCAGCTCCGCAATTCTGACCGAGCGTAAATCTGCAGGTGAAAAAGCGCGTATCACCGCTGCGGGCGGGTTCGTTGACTTTGGCCGGGTCAACGGCAACCTCGCCCTGTCGCGCGCCATTGGAGACTTTGAATTCAAGAAGAGCGCCGAACTTGCGCCCGAGCAACAAATTGTCACGGCCTACCCTGATGTTGTCGTACATGAGCTGAGTGAAGATGACGAGTTCTTGGTGCTTGCATGTGATGGTATGGTACCTCGTGTCCTGCAAGCTTCGGCGTATCTGTGGCTAATTATTACTCTAGGCATCTGGGATTGCCAGTCCTCCCAGGCCGTCGTCGAATTCGTCCGGAGAGGTATTGCCGCAAAGCAAGACCTGGAGAAGATCTGCGAGAACATGATGGACAACTGCCTGGCTTCGAATTCCGAGACGGGTGGCGTTGGCTGTGACAACATGACCATGATGGTGGTTGGATTCCTTCGAGGAAAGTCCAAGGAAGCATGGTATGATGAGGTTGCCAGCCGTGTGGCCAAAGGCGACGGCCCCTGTGCCCCTCCGGAATATGGTATGCCATCTTCGAGTACGGGACCACTGGGAAGAGACTGACAGAGGGACTCAGCTGAATTTAGGGGACCCGGCGTTCATCACAACTTCGACGATAGCGATAGCGGCTATGACGTCGACATGGAAAACAAGTCTAAACCTTTCGGAGTCGGTGGGTACAAGGGGCGAATTATCTTTCTTGGCGATGGCACTGAGGTCTTGACAGACTCAGACGATGCGGAGATGTTTGACAACGCCGAGGAGGACAAGGACCTAGCCAGCCAGGTTTCCAAGAAGTCGTCAACCGAACAGGGCGACGACAGCATTGACCCCCCGCCCCGGGCGCCTTCGCCCCCATCCCGCGAGAAGAAGGCAGCTGGGTCGACAGAGACGAAAACAGCGCCAAGCACACAAGATACCCCGACGAAGGAAGAAGCCAAGGCGGAAGTAAAGGCAGAGACTAACAATGAGTCGAAAGACTAAGAGACGGGTTCATGTTGATTGGTTTGGGCATGGTATCCGCACCCACTGGATTCTTGAACATTTTGGCCATGTTCCTTCCGAATCAGTTGAATCACCTTTCACGTTCTTGAAGAACGACTACTTGAGCAGAAAGGTCATGGTCATTACCAGGCAGGGGGAAGTGTTGTTTGGAATCATGTGGGATTATTAGAAGGACGGGGGATGAGTGTCATTATACGGACGAGGGGTCTCCTTTTGCCCAGGGGATGAAGATTTGCGAGACCCCAGGCGGCACGATATACCAGTATTGGTGCTACCCTGAAATTGAGACTTCTCGAACGAGGGCTTTTAGCATGTCGTCTTTCTTCGTCTTTCTTAATGGACCTTCGTAGTAAGAATAGCAGACTGCCCGGCTCTTCCACACACACACACACACACACACACACACACACACGCACACACACTCATACACATACGACTTTATGGATTCTGGACGAATTTTTTTTGGAATGAGCAGCCGTAGCATATTTCGAGGAACGCGTTGATTCCGGCTACTGCTGACTGTGGGTATGAAACGTGACTATAGATGCCTCCCTAAGTGATGTACAATTTTCACCAATTCCGGTTAATGCTGACAGCATACAAGTTTCATAGCGGACACAGTTCATAAGCTCATTGAAGACTCTTGCTTAAAGTCTGAAATAACGATTAACTGCATTTTGGACGTTGAGTGAGTGGTAGCCCAAGTTTAGAGATGCCAAGGCTCCGAGATTCGGCGTGATCCGCCATCGGGTCTTGAAATCACCGACTTGCCGACCTATCGGCCAAATGTGGAGCCATATGTGTGCTATTGGCCCCTGTAACGGTTATATCGAAATTTTTGGAGTCGCCCATTAACAGCATCTTGCAGACCAACGGACCTGCCAAATTTACCAGCTCACCACGGCCACCCTACTCAAGCAACCTAGTCCTGATTTCCACAGTATAGGATGCTTCGATCCTAGCCCATGTCCCTGGGAGTCGCATTGAGATGGAGAGCTCGTATCGCCCCGGGTGTCAGTGGGCTCTCCTGGATTCCCAGGGAGTGTCCAACTCCATTTCACAACCGCCGAAATGCTTCTACTGGACCCCCCGAGGTATTCCGTCGAGTCCAAACGTCCGCGGTGATGATAAAAGAGACCGCACGACGCGGAAATGATGACCAAGAGCCTGTGAACCGCGATGCACAACACATATATCCGTCATCGTACCGGCGCGCAGCGATCCGCCATTTTATTAAGAAGAAGGCCTTAGATGGAAACACCACACACGACAATGTGCTCATTAAGCCCAGCATCCAGTATGCTAATAAGCACGAGGCGCGACGTAGCGCTAGGGAACGCGTGCGGAGTGTTGCACAACAACATGTCTACAGTCGGAGACGCGAGCTAGAAGACACACCGAGACCCGACTGGCGCATGGTTCTGTCTCTCTTGTCGAGGAATACTTCACCAGTCAATAGCCTCTTCGAGTTCAAAGTGGTGGTGGGAAAGAAATATGCCCACGAAACCATCGAAATACTCACAGGCGTGGATACCAATGTCCGGCAGATCCAGGAAAGGACGAAATGTGTCATCCGACTTGACGAGATGAACAGATATGATGGAACTCTTGTACTGTCCTTTTCCGGCTCCGAGGAGTCCTTGCGCAAGGCCTTGCTCGAAGTGGTGAAATCTATGGGCAAACTCACCGCTGTTCGTCTCATGGATCCAGATTCGAAGAAACTATTCCGAGACCTATGGCTTTCAAAGAGCAACGAGCTTACTCCTGTCAAGCTTGTCGGCGAAGAGACTCAAGGTGGCGACAGCGAGTTCACGGTACGCAGCTGCGCCCAGGATTTCCTCCCGGAAGCCAATGTGTACCACTGCTACCAACTGACCCAACGCGCTGATGCGATCCCTCGGCCGTCCCAGTGGACTCAGGCTTCGCTCGAATTGTATGTCGCCTCTTTGGTCATGGGCGTGATACCACCTCATCTGAAGCATCCACTGTATAAAAACGGGCCGGATCACAAAGAAACAGTTGCGCTGATGCTTGTCAATATCTTCAAATCGGATGACACGCGGATGGCCTTGTCTAGGAATACCCTTAGTCTGGCCTTGTCTTTCATTCAACGCATGAGCTTCACTCACCGATTCTATGCGAGGGCAATTTTCAACGAGGCCCAAGCACATGATGTACCAATGGATACACGAGTTTGCAACCAATTCCTCAAGGGCTGCGAGACAGCAAAAGACCTTGACGGATTCTATTCGATCCTCAAAATGATGATCAGGAAACGTTATTATCCTGACAGCGCCTCGTGGCTTTGTTTTCTGCGGTTGGTCGAGGATGTCGACGTCAAGCGCCGGATACTGCGGGCAATGAGGGAAAAGGGATTGAGTCGGGTTCAGTCGACACTTGTCAAAGTCGGTGGCCACATGGCACCTTATGATCTCGAGAAAGCCCTGCCGCAGTTGCAGAAGATGGAAGAGTTCATATCCTCACAGGACAAAATTTATGGGCCTGGCTGGCTCGACAGGGAGACACTCAATAGGGTTCTCGAGGTGCTAGGCAGAAACGGCAGGCTCGATTTCTGCGAAGAGCTGCTTGAAATAGTTCGCAAGTCCCGGCGAACGAACCCTGATGTTGTTGCTCTGAATACACTGATCACCCACTCGAGAGACTTGACTGGAATCATATCAAAAATGAAGTTGATGCAACGTCGATGGACGTATATCCGGCCCAATGAAATCACATATCAACTGTTATTTCGGATAGCATGGAAGAAACGAAGTCCTAATGTACTTGGAGTCGTATGGCGATACGCTAGTTTCGCCCGGTTGACGAGCCACAAAATGAGAGATCGTCTCACTGTGTTTATACACAAGGAGACGGATCTCGGTCGTTTGTCACTACTAAAGAGCTGGGAAGGGGCCATCGTTGGCGAGGGCGCCTTGGAGACGTTGCGGGAAATGTACGGAGCGAAACTCGATGCGACGGCGCTCGCAAAATGGTACGGTGCCCAGGCCTTGGTTTACTCTCCTGAAGTTCCCTTTGAAGAGAAGCTCGCCGAGGCAATGAAACTAGATCGCGAGATACATGGGCGGATCCGGGAGGGACAGCTCATGACGGCTCCCGAGAGTAAGTCCCTTACTATCAGGTTTCCGCTTGAGGCCCGGAAGTACGATGAAGACATACGTCGGTTGCCGACATTGTGAAGGGAGGAGGAGCCATAGCGGATTAGGGAGTTTATACCACCGGATACCCGTCTATCTTACCAGAGACTTGTGCTAATTTGTATGTATGATGAAGAGCGTCAAACACACTTCAAGCATAGCCTTCGAGGGGGTTTGCGGCTACTGATATATCGATCACCCAAACCAGTCACTAACCGCATTGACCACCTTTTTGCATGCACCCCCATTTTGCAGGGTCTAACTGAATCAACCTAAATACTTCGTCCATATTATTTATATACAGAACATACTTAATTTAAGTGTCCGAAGACTTAGATATATTCTTTCGAGCCCTCTTTTTAGGAGGGACCCTTCCTTCGAGAAAAGTATCAATTTCTAACTGCTTATCGGGTAAAATAGGCCGTATTCGCTTATTTCGCTTGTCCTGGGCTGTTCGGATCGCTGATAAGTTAACGAATACTTTATTCGGGTCTGGCTCGACGGGCTGGTGTATATCTGGAGCGTATTTATCGAGTTCTTTATATAGTTGCTCGTTTTCGATACGTAATTTGGCATTCTCGGCGGCCTGGAGTGTAAGGGCCTTGCCCGCCTTGCCTACTAGGGTACGAATCTTACGAGATACCCGGCCCTCGGCTTTCTCTATCGACTGTAGTTGGCTAGATAGTTGGTGCGCTTTCTGAGGAGTAAAAGCAACTAAAGGTGGTGATATATGAGGCGGAGGATCTGGTGTATGAGGCTCCGGAGGATCACAAGATACGTCGACTAGTCCTTCGGAGCCTAGGGGCCATATACCAGTCTTCCGCCAGCCAGAAAGTCTCGGATCTTGGTCGAATCGGACGCTCTAACTCGGCTAGCATCTACGACGCGCCCAATTTTGGTACGTATCTGTGGATGGCGGCTAACGAAGTGATCCACCCAGTGTTGGCCGAGTGTATTGTTATCCCCTGGAGCAAGGAGGATTTCGGCAGCGAAGTCGGTCACATAACGCTTGCTAGGAGCCCGTCCACACACTTCTTCGTGTAGGATCCAGTTCACGATAACCTCCTCTTGCTCTGGAGTCAACTTTTGTTGCCTGGAGGCGGCGTCGCGATGCGAATTACCGTGACGAATACGGTAGGACAGTGTAGTCCCCTTGATACCGTACCGATGAGCTGCTACGGCCTGGGAAGAGCCCTGACGGACAAGCTATTTAGCGCGTTCGATTCGCTGCTCAAAATCGTCCAGACTATTCTCCACTGGATTAGCCATTTTGTACGTAGATAGGGAGCAATTGCGAGGTAAATTGAGAGACGTCGTGTTGTTGAGGCGTAGAAATTCCCTGCAAAATGGGGGTGCATGCAAAAAGGTGGTCAATGCGGTTAGTGGAGAATATACCATACCACAGCAGCTACCTCTCCACAGCGCCTTGTACTCTTTCTAAACAACCTAAGAAGTAGACTAAAGTATGCTATTACGTACTGCGCCTTGTCAAGTAGACTTCAATGGCTATCTTTTGGTACCCTAGTTGCGCCTAGCATAGTAGGAACCATACTTCCAAAAGAGGCTGAAGTTGGAGACGAAGGTGCCCGCTTGAGCGCACATAGCTGCATTGGCATGATTGGCACGGTCAACCCCCTGGCCGCTGCTTGCTCCCAACTTCCCTTATTGGAAGGCAACAAGCAAAAGCCTTGGAGGCGCCGGTACCCTGTTGCCCCAGCTCTCCCCTGGAAAGCAGCAAAACGGGCCTTGCGTGCAGAAGAAGGCCGCCAGACGCCGCCGGGCTATTGTCATCAAGGTACTTGGTACTCGTACTCAATTGCGCTCAGGGACCCCTCTAATCAACTGACACCAGAGATGCCCCGCACCCTGCTCTCGAGTCAGCAGCTTCAAAGGACAATACCTCAGAAGCTCTGCGCCCTCACCAGTCAGTTGTACCAGAGACGCTCTAGCCCTTTCTTCTTTTCCTGTCGCCGTCGCCCAGTCTCCATCTCCAACACGCACACGAACAGACGAACATATCTCACTCAGCAGCTGCTCGCCCACCAATCTCGTAAGATGGCGCCCCAACTCGACGGTTACTTCAAGCAGGTCGACGACCTCTCGTCGCACTTCATCGACCGCCTCGCCAAGGCCGTTGCCATCCCCTCCATCTCGTCCGACGCCGCCCGCCGTCCCGATGTCGTCCGCATGGCCGAGTTCCTCGCTGCCGAGCTCAAGGCCGTCGGCGCCAGCGTCGAGCTGCGTCCCTTGGGCAAACAGCCTGATAACCCCGAGCTCGACCTCCCGCCCGTCATCCTCGCACGATATGGCAGCGACAAGAACAAGCGCACCATCCTCGTCTATGGACACTACGATGTGCAGCCGGCCGACAAGTCCGACGGCTGGAACACGGAGCCCTTCACCCTTACAGTGGGTGACGATGGCAAGATGTTCGGGCGGGGCAGCACCGACGATAAGGGCCCCGTCTTGGGATGGTTGAACGCCATCGAGGCACACCAGAAGGCCGGCGTGGACTTCCCCGTCAACCTACTCATGTGCTTCGAGGGCATGGAGGAGTACGGTTCCGAGGGACTGGACGAGCTGATCGAGAAGGAGGGCAAGGGATACTTTGCCGATGCTGAGGCCGTTTGCATTTCGGATAACTACTGGCTTGGCACAGAGAAGCCGTGTCTGACGTACGGTCTGCGCGGGTGCAACTACTACAGTGTTGAGATCTCAGGTCCCGGCGCTGACTTGCACTCTGGTGTGTTTGGTGGCACCGCCCAGGAACCCATGACGGACCTGGTGCGTGTGCTGGGTAGCTTGGTAGACACTCACGGCAAGATCCAGATCCCGGGCATTATGGAGCAGGTGGCCCCTGTGACGGCCGAGGAGGAGAGTCTGTATGAGGGCATTGCGTTCACCATGGACAACCTCCACGAGTCGCTGGGCTCCAAGACGACTATCTTTGAGGACAAGAAGCCCACTTTGATGGCACGGTGGCGATACCCGTCGTTGTCAATCCACGGTGTCGAGGGTGCCTTCTCGGCGCCGGGAGCTAAGACGGTTATTCCCGCAAAGGTGATCGGCAAGTTCTCCATCCGAACTGTGCCAGATATGGAAATCGAGCAGACCAATGAGTGCGTATACAAGTTTGTCAAGGAGGTGTTTGCCAAGTTGGGAAGCAAGAACACATTGAAGGTGTACGCACAGCACACGGGCAAGTGGTGGGTTGCTAGCCCGAACCACTGGAACTTCCGGGCAGCTGGGAAGGCTGTTGAGAGAGTATGGGGAACGAAGCCTGACTTCACAAGAGAGGGCGGCAGGTCAGTCACCGATTACTCAAACCTAACCCATGGGGGTTGTGCTAACGAGACGACAGCATCCCGGTCACACTCACCTTTGAGCAGGCAACTGGCAAAAATGTCTTATTGCTTCCCATGGGTAGTTCTACGGACGGCGCGCATTCTATTAACGAGAAGTTGGATAAGCGCAACTACATTGAGGGTATCAAGCTTCTGGGCGCGTACTTGCACTACGTTGCCGAGGAAGTCCAAGAGTAGGCTCTATTACCCCTGGACGTCCCATGGTGGACGTTGCTCCGAGTGGTCAGCATATCAAAGGTGTTATTCAGGATGCAGATGGGTGAGAATCCACCGCCGTGTCCGAGGCCAGTAGTACATGTACTCAAGTCGGCTACGTATCCAACAGGCCTCCAAGGGAACATAAAATGCGAAATTATGAGAAACTTCATGATAATTTCGACCCGAGTCCGAAACCCCAGGTCCTACTTTCGCCCAACCATGGATTCCTTATGTAAAACCACAATGTCCGAACTCAGGCTAAAGCACTGTTGTTCAATACACATGGATAGCAATTCAATCCTTTATTCATATCACGGTGAATTGCAATGGTATAAAACTTCACATGCTCCATTACAATGTATCCTAGCCGACCATCACCACCGTCAATAGGTGTATGCTTGCCACGGAATAGTCTATTATCCCGTACTTAGGGTATCCCAAAAAGAAAACGCTGCTGCCAAAGATGAAAATGCTGACGCCTCCTCTATGAAAAATCAAAGTTCCTTACGGAATCTCCTTCTTGTTAGCTCCGACAGGGCCGCTCTTGTCTATACCTTCGAAACCACCTTTCCATCCCTTCCCGTCATCCACCGCACCATGAGACTCACCATTTTCAGCCATGCCCTTGACGTCACTCCAAAACTCAAGCCTCCGTACTTCTTCGTCAGCATGTTCTACAGCCGTTGCCAGGTTCTTTACCCTTTCCCCCAGCTCGGAGGAGCCGTCCGTTTGTTGCTGCCTCGTAGCTTCGTCGTGGAAATTGGTGAGTTTTGTCAGCAGCAACCGCCGGGAGGCCTGGAAGACGAAAATGGACATAATCTCGTGCATGTGTTCCTGGAGTTGAAGCAAGTTGTCCGTTCCGTGCTCGAGGTAGTTCTGCACGACATTGAGCTTCTCACGGTCGATGCGTGAGCGTCGCAGCATTTCCATCAATGTCCCAATGGTCTCAATGTCCGCCTGCTGCTCTTCGTCGAAATCTTCTTCGTAGACTTGGCATGAAGCTCCTGTGCTTGCGACGAGACTGCTGGCGGCACTCATACTCTTGCGATGCTTCATGGGAGATGACACTGTGAAGTACTCCGGGTTAAGCAAATGCGGGTCATTGGCTTGATATCCGATACCCTTCTTTACACGACGTCGAATCCAAGCCCGCCTCCGAACAAACGAATTCCACCATTTGGGGCCATGCCAGGAGAACTTCTTATGGAACATGAAAGAATATTCCCAGCCTTCCGCATCGGCTTTGGTTTCCGGATCATGATTCACCTGCCACTCTGGCCATGCCCATTCCCAGCTCGGATCTGGCACTTGGGCGGTCTTGGGGTTGGTCGGGCTGGGCCTATGGGCATAGTTGGTCCATGCTGGTGGATCGAGGTTGCCCAACGCAGCAGCAGAGAAGAGTGGTATGCCGCACAAGAAGCCACCTCGCTCGTTCTCGTAAAGTATATCGATCGCGGTCTCGGAATCTTTCGATGGGTGTGGGGGCTGTTGAGGGCGTCGCCTGTACCGATGGCTTGTTTTCTTGTACCCATTCCGCGCCGCTGATAACTGCTCTATCCCGGATGATGGACCAGCTTCAGGAGTACCAGGCCTGCTGACTTCTGCAACACCTCCTCCATCTGTCGAAGTCTTGTCCGCGGCCGAAGCAACATCGTTCGTTGGCGGTGGTGCGGCGCCGTCCCGCAGCCAAGCCTGGCTTCCCTCTGATGTCAGAGCAGTCAGGGGTGGGTCGGCGGAAGAGGCAGAATGATCGGCCATGTCTTCGACAGCATTGTCTGTTTCGGCATTCAGAGGCTCCGACGAACCTTGTATCGAGGCCGAGTGGTCGACGAGTTTGATTTCATGGTCGATATCACCGTCCTCCAGGGGCGGTATGCGACGCGACGTACGAACTCTGTGCATCGTGGAATCGCGACGGGCATGCTGACCTGTGGGCGACGAGCCTCGATGGCAACAGTCTGACTAGAAACCGGCCATTACCTGACAATTAAACCGTTGAAATATCGGGCCAACTAATGAAACTGCGAAAGACAGGAGACACGCCCCAGAGGAAGTAAATGGTGGAAATGAGGAATGGAAGAAAAGTACGGCTAGAGTTGTCGTGCTTTTCGAGGCGGAACACTAGCACCAATTGCCCAGGCAAGTGCCGCGCTACTAGCAGCAATGACGAAGGAGGCCAATAAAAAGGAGCTCAAGCTTGTTGCTGGGCAGAGAACTCGCCCAAGCTCCTTCAACATGCTCACCGGTCCAAGCTGCCAATATGGCGGGGAAAGCCGTGGCAGAATCCGGTTTCGCAGTTCAGATACTCGAGCTGCAGATACTCACGCAACTTCACAAATGCCTCCAATGACGTAGTTGTCAACACATGATGAACAGCTGAGATTGGAGCCTGGAACTGCCATTTAACTGCAATGTGAAGCAAGCATTCGGACGGATCCCAAATTGGCACTAGCAAAATTGCGTTGATGGCGGCCAGGGCATGGGTTCAAAACGCCGTCACTGATACTGTACTTGCTCAGTACCCCCTGTGGAAGTGACACGAGCCGCAGAAACAAGTGGTGAAGCACGTGTAGACCAAAGTCGATGGTAAGTCACTCAGCTGGGGGGCCCATGCTTCTAATTCAAGAGAGTTACATCCCTTCCCCGCATTCGCCAGGTCCTACGTCATGTACTTCTTTAGCTACAAGCAAAGCAAGCACGTTCGCACACACCACGCAACTCAGGCTGGGATCGATTCGGGAAGCCCAGGAGCTGCAGCAGCTTGGCGTGGCCTGGAAACAAGCCCATTTTGATGTAATCACAATGCCAGAGATGGTTACCCCCCTTCTCTGACCCTGCTGTACGTGTGACGTCCAACTTGATTTTTTCTCCTCTAACCACCATCGTCTGATTATTCAACGACTTCTAGACAACTCTGTTCACCAGAGAACCTGACTTTACTCGAGTTTTTTTCCATCACAAAACAGACCATCCGTCAAATCATCATGTCCAAATCAAGAGTCCCGTTGGCCCTTGGCTTGACTGCCGCTGGCGGTGTCGGTTACTACCTCTACTCCGCTGGAGGTGACCCGAAGGTCGCCCAGAAGCAAGTCGAAGGTACGTCGCCGCGTTACTTGCATTAATACACGTGCCTCGCCTTCCTCCAAACACACTGATGCTGACCCGATCCACCAACAGCCGACGCTCACAAGGTCTCCGCCAAGGTCAAGGGAGAGCTCCCGGGCCGCACCTCGGAAGCAGAGAAAGATGCCGAGAAGTGGGGAGCCCAAGCCGGCGCCAAGCTGGATAGTACTGTAAGTATAGCTTGTCTAAACGTTGCGGCACATCTATTTGCACTGATACTAATACCCAAGCAGTCTCACAAGACACAAGCTGAACTAGCCAAGGTCAAGGCCGATGCCGAGGCGTACGCGAGGGACATCAAGGCCGGTACCCTGAAGAAGATCGACGAGGCCGACCGCAAGATTGAGGCAGAAGCATCCAAGGCGAAGGGGGGCATCTCGAGCTGGTTCGGCGGTAAATAAACCAGCAACGGAACGGAAGGGTGACTGTACGAATTATAAGGACTCACAATAATTCCTGTGGGGTCGTAATGAGATTCCAGTGTGTCGTAGGTTTCATGACTTCGCGGGAGTTACTTGGTACAATTACATAACAAAAATGAGCTGACCGTATACGTGAGACCGGTTAGTTGCACATGTGCGCTGACGGTGCAGTGAATATGCTCGATTTACCTGAAGTTATAAATAAAAGTCCGTGGATCTAGCTTGCCTTACTTGCAGTCGTGTCCAGAAATACCGATGTGCCACCCGAGGCTGTATATAAATGTTGCTTCGCGTGGAGGTTTCCACGGGTGGGCGAAATCCATATCTATGTCATACCAATGCTGAGTCCTCTTTTCGGCATCCTGGCCATGGTTGGTCTCCATACCTTCCACTCCGAACTCCTATCCCTTTTCCGTTTCCATAACGCCGATTGCAGAACATGGCTAGGCCCAGCCGCCCTAGGCAAAGTGAATCCCTTCGGCATTGAATGCAAAGAGGAGTTTCAGATAAGCATGCTCGTCCAGCTTTCCAGCTCTCTCTTTCCCCAGGTCCGTCACATCCTCCAGGACTTTCCTGATTTTGTTGCGTACCAGTGCAGCCACTTTCGTCTTTTGCTTTTTGCTTTTGGTCTTGGGCATTTCGCTGCCGGCTGCGTTCAATTGCTGGAAAAAGGATGGGGTGTCATCAGCCTCGGCGTCGACCTCCATGATTCCTCCCCATTCATCCTCATCTCCAGCACTTGGCCCTACATTGTCCACATCCATGTCCTCATTCTCCTCCTCCTCCTCATCCTCTGCTATGCCGTCTTCGAGTGGTATGTTATTCATCTGCAATCAGTATGAGTCGCGCGCATTTCACAAGCAAAGTCCCCCAGAGTAAATTGACTCCGAGACAAACCGAAACTGGGATGGAAGAATGTAGGGGTTGCATACCGAGCAGAAGAGCCTGTAATTTCGTTCTACCATGTTGAGCACTTCTCGTGAACTCCAACTGGCCCTCAGAGTCTTATTCCTTCGATTGCTAACATCATGGTCAGATTTGCCGCTAAATTCGGCTTCATTGGTGAGAGAAAGTCTTACAAGCAAACGCGCAGCATGCCATCCCACTGGGAAGAAATTGTCAGCATCACTTCGTCACTCTGCGAGGACGCAAGCACTTACTTCATCCCAAGACACATTCGGACGCTCACTGCCGACTTTTGGCTCGATGCGCACCACACTACTCTCGACTTGGGGAGGTGGGTTGAAATTTCTAATTGTTTCCGTTAGCAACGACGCCATTGAATCATGGAGGCCACCTCTATAACCCCGGAAAGGGTCCAGGAGGCACAGAGCTAACTTACTTCTTGCCTACTTTCATGATGTGCGTACAACGGGCCCAGAACTGTGCATTGACCGAGAGACGGCAGTATAAACTATCACCCGGTTGCGCAGTCAGGCGCATGGCGAACTCGCGTTGGAACATGAGGATGGCAACCCTCGGGGGATGGGGCATAGCGAGCATCTTGAAAACAAGCGGTGAACTGATTTGGTACGGGGTATTCGATATGAGAACTGTCCAATTGCAGAAGTCAGTATTGACGGAAGAGAAACTATCATTCTCGAGGCCTGACCGTCAAATTCGGGCAACGTAGACATCTTTATACTAGAACGGGGTTAGTAAATCGTACTCGGAGAGCCCCGAGACAGTAGTGATAATCCCAGGCGGTGGAAGCTGCTTACACGTCGCCGAGTAAAACTTCAAGTTTTTTCTGCTCGGGCTTGCCTTGTACTCGCTTTGTGACCTCGGCCGCCATGCGCGGATCGACTTCGACGGCGATACATTTCTTCGCCTTATCAAGGATGCGAACCGTGAGATTACCAGTTCCCTGGGAAGAACATACTCAGCATTTGTTTAATAGGTGAGTCTCGTCATATATCGGGGCATTGTGGGCATTGAAAGGCCTCGGGGACTGCGTACGGGACCGACTTCGAGTACGGTATCGGTGGGCTTCAGATTAGCCTTGAGCACAATTGCTATAGAATTATGTCAGCAAGACGGCCAAATTAACATTGTGACGTATCTGACCATCAGCTACTCCAGGGTTCTTCAGAATATGTTGTCCGTAACTGGATGTGTTGAATTTGAAGATATTGTTGGCGGCCTGCTGTTGCTTGGCTTGCTTTGAAGGTCGGTCGTACGGGCTCGATGAGGCCGCATTGGAGCGCTTTGGCGCCTTTGATTTGGCCATGGCGGGTTTATTGCAGTTTGTCTCGGGAAAGTCGCCTTTCACGTCGAGGATATCTGACTATACGTCTTCTTGCGCTCGTTGTCGGCGCTGTGACGATGAGGGGCAGCGATAGTTGGGTCTCACGGCAAAATTTTGGCGGTGTGGTTTGGCATAAAAAGTACCTGGATGGCAATGCGTACTCTTCGAATTGGTTGGAGCTCTTTTATCTAATTCACGTAGCTGATCGACTTGGAAAATCAGGGGCCAGTTATTTTGTCAGCCAGCAAGGTATCCTAAGTTAATCTACGGTACGGTATGTTTCACATGAAAATTAAATAGGGAAAGGTTCGCCCTGTGGTATTTTCGCATGGTATTCTCGAAGTCCCATTGTAGGCCGCGGCTTACACTTCAATTGTTGCAATTCGTTGTCGAGAGTGGTTCTAGTCAAAGTGCTTGTGGCTTCATGAGCTCAGCCACGCGCCACCATTCCCAAAGCTCCAACTAAGGCAACTGAGACTTTATCACCTTCAGCATTCAAGCCGTAAGGGGCTACAGTGGTATCTCATGCTCTTGAATTATTTCACATTGGACCTCCCCCATCATCATCGCGCTCAGGAGACGTATCTTCTTGATTGCGCCGACAACAACCCCCACGCAACATGGCGACGACGCGCCGCGATTTCCTTAGCCAGCCTGCCCCAGAGAACTATGTCGCTGGTCTGGGGCGTGGTGCCACAGGCTTCACAACACGGTCCGATTTAGGTCCTGCCCGCGAAGGACCATCCGAGGACCAGATCAAGGAGGCACTTGCCAAAAGAGCTGCGCAACTGGGCCTTGGCGATGCCGCTGGCAAGAAAGATGATGCCGAAAATGACAACGACGAAAGATATCAGGACCCGGACAACGAAGTAGGCCTCTTCGCTGGTGGTGTTTATGACAAAGATGATGACGAAGCAGATCGCATCTACCGTGAGGTAGACGAGAAGATGGATCGCAGACGGAAGAGGAGACGGGAGGCACGCGAACAAGAAGAACGAGAAGAGCACGAGCGCAAACACCCAAAGATCCAGCACGAGTTTGCTGACCTCAAGAGAGCCCTCGGCACCATATCCGACGAGGACTGGGCCAAGCTGCCCGAGGTCGGCGATCTCACAGGAAAGAACAGAAGAAGCAGGGAAGCACGGCATCAGCGATTTTATGCTGTTCCCGACAGCGTTCTTGCTGCCGCAGGAAGTGCTGGAGAACTTGGCACAACCGTTGCCGACGGAGGCGAATCCAGCGCCAACGCTGAGGGCACGACGACGGACTTCGCTAAGATCGGACAGGCACGAGACAAAGTACTTCAGGTCAGGCTTGATCAAGCTTCCAGCGCTGCATCGGGGAGCGCATCTAGTGTCGACGCCAAGGGATACCTCACAAGCCTGAACCAATCGCAGTTGCCCCAGAGCGCTGCTCAAGTGGGTGATATCAACCGGGTTCGAGAACTTCTTGAGTCTGTCATCAGGACGAACCCCAACAACGGCCCAGGATGGATTGCTGCTGCGAGAGTGGAGGAGCTGGCTGGGAAGATCGTGAAAGCGCGGGACCTCATCGCTCGAGGCTGCCAGCAGTGTCCAAAGAACGAGGACGTCTGGCTTGAAAATATTCGCCTCAACGATGCGCAGAATGCCAAGATCATAGTGGCCGCCGCCGTTAAGAAAAATGACCGCTCGGTGCGCTTATGGGTTGAGGCAATGAAATTGGAGACTGCTCCCTTGGCCAAGAAACGTGTTATTCGACTGGCGTTGGACCGTATTCCCGAATCTGAGGCATTGTGGAAGGAGGCAGTCAACCTAGAAGAGGACCAAGAAGATGCGCGTCTACTACTAGCAAAGGCAACAGAGCTCATCCCACTTTCTGTTGACTTGTGGCTGGCATTGGCTCGACTGGAATCGCCAGAAAATGCCCAAAAAGTATTAAATAAGGCACGCAAGCATTGCCCCACGTCGCATGAGATCTGGATAGCAGCTGCAAGACTGCAAGAGCAGCTCGGCAAAGCACAAAAGGTCAACGTCATGGAACGTGCAGTGCAGGTGCTTGCCAAGGAATCAGCCATGCCGAAGCGTGAAGAATGGATCACCGAGGCGGAGAGATGCGAAGAAGAGGGTGCAATCATTACCTGCAGCCTTATAATCCAGTCGACACTGGGGTGGGGCCTAGACGAGGACGACGATCGAAAAGACACGTGGATGGAAGATGCACGCGGAAGTATGGGCCGCGAGATGTTCGTGACTGCCCGGGCAATCTACGCCTACGCCCTTCGTGTCTTTCCCACGAGCAAGACGATATGGCTTGCAGCAGCTGATCTGGAACGAACCCATGGGTCCAAGGAGGAATTGTGGCAGGTTCTCGAGAAAGCCGTCAACGCTTGCCCTCGTTCCGAAGTGTTGTGGATGATGCTGGCCAAGGAAAAGTGGCAAGCTGGCGAAATAGACGCTGCCCGTCTCGTGCTCGCCCGCGCTTTCAAGCAAAACCCCAACAATGAGGATATTTGGCTCGCAGCTGTCAAGCTCGAGGCTGAGAATGGCCAAGTTCATCAAGCCCGAGAGCTGCTTGCTCAAGCGCGTACAGAAGCACCTACAGACCGCGTCTGGACGAAGTCCGCGGCGTTCGAGCGCTCCCTTGGCAACCAGGACGCGGCACTCGACCTCATCAATGAGGCACTAAACCACTTCCCCGGCTCACCGAAGCTCTGGATGATGAAGGGTCAGATCTACGAGGACCTAAAGAAGACGCCCCAAGCCCGTGAAGCTTACGCAACGGCCGTAAAGGCAGTTCCCTCATCTGTTCCCCTATGGCTGCTCTACGTCCGCCTGGAAGAAAAGGAAGGACAGCTCCCCAAGGCACGTAGTGTACTGGATCGAGCGAGATTGGCAGTCCCCAAGAATGCTGAGCTGTGGTGTGAAAGCGTGCGAGCCGAACGCCGGGCGGGCAATTCCAAACAGGCCGAGAGTTTGCTGGAGCGTGCCTTGCGCGACGTGCCCAAAGCTGCTCAGGGGCCCCTGTGGAGCGAGAGGATTTGGCACCATACGCCCCGGACCAAACGGAAGCCGCAGGCCCTCGAAGCAATCAAGGAAGTCGACAACGACCCGACGCTGCTTGTGGCCGTGGCGCGCATCTTCTGGGGCGAACGCAAACTGGACAAGGCACAAAACTGGTTCGAGAAGGCCCTGATTCGAGACTCGGATTACGGCGACTCGTGGGCCTGGTACTATAAGTTCTTAGTCGAGCACGGGACCTCCGAGAAGAGAGAAGAAGTTGTGAAGAAGTGCGTTGCGATCGAGCCACGGCATGGTGAAGTGTGGGCCAGGATCGCGAAGCACCCGTCAAACAGTAGGAAGAGTGTCGAGGATCTGTTGAAGATGGTGGCTGCCGAGCTCAACTGAGGTGGGTGTTTGTCTACTGCCCCAGAATGGCATAACCGGATACGAAAAACGTAACATATGATGTATGGAATCCGATATACTTCGAGGCGGATTCGTTCAGTAACTTACTCGTGTTCTTTGTTGATGAATCTCTCGTATCCTCTGTACTTACGATGCGGCCGTGCAGTTGTACACTTCGGGTTGTTCAGTGTCTGTTCGGGAATTGAAATCTGAGTTTGGCTAATTGAAGACCTCGAGCTTGAGATGTGATGTTCAATCCTGCCCATAAGCCCCGCGTACGATAGCCCGTATGGCCTTGCGTGACTCACATGAAATAGGGATTCATTGTGGATAAACCTGTAATTCCTGTCGGGCGAGAAAGGTTCACGCCGGCATGTAGATGCCGTACTTCAAAGCAAGCCCGTATCGCTACACATCAACATCTACTATTGACTGCAAAGTTGTGCCCTTTTCTATTGATCCTTCATTACAAGTACTTACACAAACACAGACCCGTCCCACCCGTTGCGTTGGTAACATTGCCAAGGTGGCGGGAGTCTATAGTGTGTATGCATGTGTCTTAAAATCGTCGCCCATTGCTTCTCCCGTCTATCGAACCCAGAGTTCATGATTTGAGTTTTTCTCTTCTCTGCTTCTCCGCAAATTTGTTGAACCTCGTAATGTGCTCGCATGTTTAACTGCTTGCTTGCAGTACAAGTAACAGCAGCTGTTCCACGCCGTTGTGCTATGCTTTTCGAATTCCTTCCTATGCAAATGTAACTTCCAGCGCGAGCCTTCTCAGTCGATAACACAATGACACAATGACACCTCGATGTGTGTGATTGAGTGAGTGAGTGAGTGTGTGTGTGTGTGTGTGTCTGTCTCGACATAATCCCATTCTTTTGAGTAAACGCGTCAAGAAAATCAAATGATGTGTAAATAAGAAACCCGCAAATGAATATCGCCATATGAAGAGGGGACCCGTATCGTATCCATATCTCAAGTACTGTTGTCAAGTTTCCCCGCCTCCCTTCCCGTGTCTAACGTTCTTGTAAAGTGTCCCAGTACCCCCAATTGCAGATAATTGTTCGGCATCCAACGCCCGTGCTCCGCGAATGCCATGCTATGCTCGCTCAATATACAGAAACAAAGACACAGTGCACAAATGGAAAAGAAGTATGGTGGTCCATGGGGCTGCGTATGAGCCCCTAGAGTCGGCTAGGATATGCCAATGTCAAAGTCTGTACCGTTTGGCCGTATCGTAGGGTCATTTGCCGAATTGGGCTTGACCGTCGTTTTACCGGATATCGCAACACTCCTGACTCGCTGGCTGAGAGGGAGCGTGTATTTGAGGACACCCTTGATGATCAGGGTGAACTCGTCTGACAGAATCCGCTCCCATCGCTCAGAGCCACCGTCAGTGCCATTCCCGGGACGAGCCAAGCGTAACTCGCCCGACGATATAGAGTTGCCCGATTGGAAGAAGCTGCCCTCAAAACTGAGAGGGCTGTCGAGCACAATAATGCTACCCAGTCGCATGTTGGGTGCTTTGTCATCCGAAGGTGGATCTCCAAGTTGATCATCGGACGGATTGTCAAGTTCGTTCACATCGTCTCCATGAGGATGGCGCCACCATTCAGAATCAAAACCGGCGTGGCGGGACTTGGCAAACACCTCCAAGTCAGCTGAGTCAATGGTCACCACCACGACGTTGGGGTTATGTGCTCTGACAGTGACGTCCATCATTAGTTCCTGCTCGCTGGCCAGAACATTCTCAATTTCGATAAGCTGGATCTCCGTCAAGGGTTGAGATGTTGCAAACATGAAGCCAATCGCGCCCGTTATGACAAGTAAGAGCATGATGGTAAGCACCAAGCAGCTCGCGAATCTATTGAGGAACGAAGGCCTCTGGCGGAAGGCCGCCGCTTCCATGTCGCGTCCTCGTTGATTAGAGCGCCTGCTTCGGTTAGATCGGAGGGATCTATTGCCATTGAGCAGAAGAGGGGTTCTCTCATCGTCTGGCCCCGTCGTGGTATCATCGAGGTCGTAGGGGCCGGCGGCAAGCAATTGACGTTTACCATTATTGAGCCCAGGCCGCCCAACAGGGAATCGGGGGCTGGTTGGGTTTGACGATTGTCTAGACGCGTTGCCAGAAAGTTTAGATCGTGCCGGGTTGGAAAAGGGCGAATCTTGGTCGAGTATGGAGGAATGACCGTTGCGGCGCCAGTTTTGATGGATATGATGACGGCCGGTACCTCGCGCCGAACCAGCGTTGCTACGGCTTCCCGTACCTTTGCCATCATCGTCGCCTGTCACACTGTCATTTCCGTTGCTGTTGTAAGTGTTCACAAATTTCATATTCTTCTTCACGACGGCATTTGATATGCCGTTCTCGAGCACACTGTGTATTGACCGAAGACCATTGCGATCTACCTGGCTGACCATGGACGTCGCGCTCGGCGTACGAGAGTGATAGCGTCTTGGCCTGTCACTGGCATCAGGTGGGTTCGAGTCGTAGACAAATGTTTCATCCGAGTCGGAAGAGTTAGCTTCTTCCACGGCGCTGGCGACTTTGGCCTCGAATATGTCTGCTTTTGAGGATGCTGTGCGTGGTCCCCCAGTTAGCAAGTTGGTCATGTGAGCAGTTATACTTGGAGAGCGCTTTGGTAGGGTGGACTGCCGCCGAGGACTCGGAGTTTCGTCGACGTACGGACCTTGACAGGACGACTTCTTCGGTGAAGGACAAAAGAGAGATGATATAGACCTTGACGAGGCGCTATGACGAAGCTTGGGTGGGTTTACGTTAAGAAGATTCGGTGGCTCACCAGTGCCAGAAGTTACCGATGGTTGTTTCCGACTCGGCTTCTTCTTTTCCTTCTTGGGTCTGATTGTCTCGGAGCTATGCTTCGTCTTGAGACTTCCGTTCGCTGCTTGACCGACGGGTGCAAGGCCCAAGGCCACCCGTGGAATCGAATTGACCTCCTCTTCCTCGACCATAATTGTTTTTGAAGACGACTCGCCCGTAGTGTGTCCTTTCCCTCCGCCAAATTTCAGGGTTGTGCTAGACTGGCGACTATGAAGCAGCGGTGGGGGCGCAGCGGTGCTGAATCGACGTGTGCTCGTCTTGATACTACCACTTTCGCTGCCACTCTCACTATTTGTACCATTTTGTCCAGACTTGCAGCTTTTGTTATGAGCGCTGTCAGACCTCGCAAGCCCCGAACCCAATGCTGCAGCTTCAGAAAGCTTCTCGACCGCCATGTCTAGGTTTGGACCTGGGGTATTAGGTTGGCTGACTTCCTGGACAGTCTCCAACGTTGAAGACCCGCCACTAGGCCCTCGCGCAGGGGTTCTCATGCCGGGCAACAGGTGTGCGTCTTCGCCGTCATTATCCGACGCAGCCTGTGATGGTGGCTCTGTGGACAGCTGCGGCTGCGGATTTGGTGATGGCGTCGCTCGCTGCACACTTATTGCTGGCGGCTCGGCGTCATGCCTTCGTGAGGATTGCGAATGGGTTGTGGCCGGTTTGTTCAGAACGGGTGGCGGCGATTTGAGACGGGGAGACACAGGCCACCTGGGCGCATCTTTGGAAGAATCGGCTGCGACCGAAGGCTTTAGAGGGACGGGGGCCCGCACAAGTGGCTCTGACGCCGACGGTGGTGGGAGTGTGGGCGTCGTCGCAGCGGATAGCGGTAGTCGGACTGTGGTCGAGTGTGTTGATGTGGACTTGCTTGATCGAGTTCTCGGTGGGCTCGGGTCCTGTGCGCTGTTCTTGCGCGATCTGTACCCTGCGGCTGCCGAGGCCGAGCCGCTCGACCTGCTCGTTTTCGCAGTTGGTCTGGTCGGGGAAGCTTCTCGGGAAGCCAGGGGCGACGCCGTTGATGAGGTCGCAGTGGACGGCCACTTGGATTGTTGAGTATCGATGTGGGCACTCGAGGTGGCCGAGGACTCGGGGTCGACCGAGTTGAGGCTAGAAATGCTGGCATCTAGGCCGGTACTGGCGCTGTGTGGCAGTGGCAGGGTGGCCGACTTGTCCATGTTGGCGGTTGGGGATGGTGCAAGATGCCGTGTCTGGTAAGGAATGTCTGTCTAGCTCGAGAGTTCATGCCACAAGTCCCAGAAATGTTTTAGCTTGGAATACAGATGGTCGCGGTTCGACACCGGTTGAGCATGGTGATGGGGCCTAGACGACTTGACCCCGGGCTTGGTGAATAGCTGACGAGTCGATGCTGAACTGCGACGTCAAAACCGGCTCTTGCCTTGTTGATTTAGGTTTCTGCTCGCTCTTTGCGTTCCTCCCACAGTCCCCGGCGTTTTGTCCCATCCAGTCACAGCGATTCGTCTCCGAAGCAAGAACCTAATTGTGAGCCAGTCACCGCGGCTGCTCCTGCAAGTAGTGTCGACGTTGCGTTGCGGTTTGCAGCTTGTTAGCTGGTGAATGGTCGGGCGGCGTAGAGGGTTGGGCGTGGATATTGTCGTCCTCGTAGCTGGACAATCGATTGACTGTTGATGACGGAATAGGTGGAGTTGTTTGGGGGGAGGGGGGTTTGCCAACCTGTTGGGATGTGTACATCAACTACTTGAAAGTAGGAGGAGAGCAATATGTGTCGGGAATGACCAGCCGAAATCTATGAACCGAAAGGAAAAGAAGAAAAAGAGTTAATGGTGGTCGATTCGATAATAGAGGAGTAGACACGAAAGTATTGACTCCAGTCGCTAGAGTTGAATGGGTGATGTACTGACGGCACGGTATTTTAGTGCGCTCTAACTACGTTGGCTGTTTGTGGCGGAAGTGCAGCTATCAAATACGTAACGTACACCAAGACGCCAGTTGAGAAAATGCGAGCCCAACAAGCAGAGAGTATTTACGCCGTAATAGAACGGTTGAGACGTGTTTACGATTGGTTGGCAAAATACGATTTGCAACGATTCGACATCCTCAGCCACTGTGGGCATATATACCGTATACCGGTCCTCGGGTCGTCCTCGGGTCCATGAGAATGGACCGAAACTCAGGATTTGCGTCGGGATTGATTTCCCCCCCAAACTTCCCCCGTCAAGTCCACGGATGTATTTTATCACGGATTCCGTTTCTGTTTCTTCCCCGATTTGGCACCTTGCAAGAAGCAAGTGTATAGCGAGACGAAGTCCTCCTCATTCAGTTTACTCAAGAGCACTAATCGATCCGTATGCGAACACACGCAGTAAATGCAAGGTCAATCAACCCACGGCGTCATATATCAAGGATGTGGACTGTAGCCCGCGACCCACGGCACACGCATAGTGATGAGCTGGCGATCATGTGAGTAAGGTAGCAATGCCTTTTGCGTTGGGACTCTCTGAAGTAGCGTACTGTAATGGTACCTCATGGTACTGCTCGGGGCAAAGGCGCGTCTTACTTGCACATATTGACAAGACTATCTCATCGTGCCAAATGGCTTCGGAGGGAAAGTCTTGTGGTATCGAAACCATTGTTCTCAAGGATATTCCCGACTTTCTGTTTTAGTCCAGACACTGGGCATCTCATGGTATTCTTCACGAGCTTCTGGGGTGCCACACAGAGGCAGCTGTGGAACAGAAACTACGATTGTCTTGCCAGTTGGCTTTATTCCAGATGTCGTTATAATATTCTGAACTTCTGTTGCTACCAACTGTTTCTGACAGAAGAGCTCTGTAGGAGCCTTCAATGCCAAGCTGTGATCCTCTACTACCGTTGACACAATCCTCTGCAGCCGTCTTTCGATCGTAATATTGCCTGAGGAACTGTTTTGATATTTACAAAACGGCTCGGTATTGTGGCTCTTCTTGAATCCGCTAGTTATCACATCTCCGTAATGCTATACTGTCGATATGCGGTGTGTAAATTCAACTAATAGGTATACTTTTTGTACAGTGCTCCATCACGATCAGGGAGGTTTGTTTTCACAACAAAACCCAGTACCTTTGTTTGGCCTAGCGCTACTTAAGAATACACATCGGACCTGCGACAACAACAGATAGATAAAGTATTCTGTAAGTATCTCCTCACTGACCGCAAGTTTCTCGCCAGCGGACTCTTTGCTCCAAAGAGCTTGGAACTTTACTCTCCCCACTTCCCTGGATCCCCGAACCGCTTACCGTTGTTCTATCCGGCTTCTACTGGCTTCTTCATCCTGGGTTGCTGGGTTCTCCCCACTTGATTGTTTATGCGATGTCAGGCATCGTCTTGCAGCGCAGCGCTGCGTGGCAGCATACCGCTTTCTCATCACTTGAGCAACCGTGGGGTGAATTTTGCGATAGCTTGTATGTATATTGTCTCTTACTTTGGGTTAATGCACCACCGTTACCGTTCTACACCGAAGATGCCGGGTGGTGCGAGGCATCATCGTCCTCGCCAATGCAAAAAGGCCGAGAGTTGTCCTTTCTCGTCTTACCGAAGGATGGTATGGTTCCTAAAACGGCTGATGCCAATGAAACATGCAGCAGTCGGATGGAAATAGCTGCGGGCACCGCCTGTGCTACCAGCACGACTGTCAGATGAGAAGCGGGAAGCGGGAAGCTGTACTAGCCTATTGCGACCTTGGTTGGATTTTTGGGCCTCTCAGAAATGGACAAGTGGACGACGTGGCACGCACACGATATCTGCCCCTTTCAACGCAGCATTCGCCTGACGAATTTGACCTGTCTACCGTAGTAGGTAAGTCTGTTCATTTGGACGACTCGTTTGGAATGGGCTGCATATCTCTTCTACCCCAAGCTAACCATCGTGCCATCTGCCTGTGCCTCCGATGCTTGTGACCGGTTGCTTATCTTCAATATCACTCTTAGTACAAAGAGAAAGTTCTGTTATTCTCCCCCACGGCCTGCCCAGGTTCAGATGTAGGGTTCATGTAGATGCTTACAGGTCCACTTAACACAGCAAGTATTAGTCACTATTTGATGGCCTAGGCCTTGGGACTTGCGGCTTCATAGGAGCAGCAGAGCGGGATCTTGGCGATATTTTCACAAATGCAAATGATAAGCAATGGCAGCGGGAGGATCCGGACTTCGTTGGTACCATGTCCCAATTCTCCAAGTTGGCCTACATCGTCTGACGGCTGACTTGAGCAACTAAACTCGAAAGAAGGGGTGACAAACCGGATTCGCCCATTCTTGTCGAACCAAACGCCTAGGCCTGACATTTCTAAAGGTGACGGGCAGGCGACGGACGACGGACGACAAACGACAAGCGGGAAACCCAAGTTGTTGGGGGTGGTCATCTGCGCAGGAACCCGCGATGCCGATAGGCCGGCGTTGCATCAGAACATGGAAAGAGTCCGTCGGGATCCATCTGTGACTGGACTGGGACCATATCAGAAAACATGCCATCCCACCCTTTTTTTTTTTTCGCACAAACCGGTCAATGCCAACTCAGTTCGTAGTCAAAGAGAGTTGCATACATTCTGCAAACTAGGTGGACCTCCAGTTCCCAACTGTCCGGTGTGAGATTGCTAGCGCGGGGGCATTTGCCATGTGTCACCGTTGGCGGAATGGTTTGGGACGTCAAGATAACACTACTTGTGGTTCACAACATTGACAAAACTTGATCGTCGGCATCGTAGGAGTTGCCCACGGGGTCACTTGTAGTCACGCAGACTGTAAATAACTGCAAAAACTTGGCTTCATCCAGGCTTGGCAAGTTTTTTTTGGTGACGTTTGGCTGGTTGTCAAGGATGCATACAAATTTTCTATTGTACTTGGTAGGCAGCCTTGACAGATGGTGACGTTCTGTGAAGTTCTAAATTTTGGATAATCTGTCATGATGAGGCAAGTCACGATCGCAAAGGGAAGGGATTTGCTGCCAACATGCAGGATTGGGGACCAGGCCCAGCCCGACTCTATTTCTGGCCGTCTTCTAGTGTAATACTAGAAGACTTGCTGACCTATTCCTGGGCAGCATCCAATGCAACACACTATAACACATTCTGACTTTGAGCTCGACTCTTGCTTTGGAGATATCGCCCACATGAGACATCTGTTCGGGAAAGAAATTATGACCGTCTAGCGTCGCTTGATCTGAGTCACCGGCTTAAGCGCACTGATGCGGTGCAAAGCTGATGAGTTGGCTTAACCTCTTTCTAACTTACGCAAGTAGTTAATACGCTAGAATCGATACTGTTGGAGTAAGTCGGCCACATATACGGCATCAGCACGTCGCCCTGACTGCGGGTAACATCACAAGATGTGACTAACGACTGTAAATTATGTGTCGAACAAGTATCCGCGTCTATTGTCAATGCGGCAGCTATGTGAGTGAATGGTAGCATCATTGCCACAGCTTTCACCGAACTAGCTGTTCTGAAAGGCAGAAGGCCCAAGACTGTCAAACTAGTACATCACAGGCTTTTGCTGCTTCAATTCTCGAGGTTGAGTATCACTTCCTTCACATCAAACGAGGATGAGTATATGACGAGGATAACAAACACCGAAACATGGAAAGTTCAATTCCCGCGCTTCGACGCTTTACAACATAGGATAAATTGTTTCTTCTACAACAGGGCCTCGTAGTTCGTTCAACGATGTGAGTCCAACCGTCTTTGAAATAACACCTAGGTACTTTACCCTCCAGCAACTTCCCTTTGCCTGCACCCATTTCTCAACATTTTGTTAAGCACATATCACAACAGACCATTCATCCAAACCCCCAATATTTCTAAAACATATACATATATAAGTAACTAAACCTAGTCAACTAGGCGAATAGTATCAAAAGTCGTTGCAGCATGTGTGATGTCCAATCGTCGGCGTTCAGTTCAGGGTATCCCAGACTCCCAAGCAGGCATCGTAATCTTCATACTCATATGTTGTCATTGGAAGGGCGTTCGGAATCGGAAAAGGAAAAACGAGGTTCAATCAACCGACCGAAACCTCACTCAAAAAACCTCTCTACGTCGTCTCCCAATGCTTCATTCTACGCATATTCGCCAACTCGAACAAACGAACCGCCCAATGCTACTAGACCATGCATGTCTTTTTTTTTCTTTTCCAAATACACCTCCCTATTCGAAGCTCCTGAGAGCAAGGACGATGCTGTTACTGTACCCAAGCTTGGGCGACCCTTTGACCGACAAGAAAACCCTACTCCTTGATCGATTCGCCGGCACCCGCGCCGGCGTCTTCCTTCTTGGTTAGTGCCTGCTGTGCCCATCCGAACCAGCTGGCTCGCTTGTCCTTGTTCTGGACTGCTTCCGGGTGCTCTTGCACCAGTCTGAGCGGCCGTGGCTTGTTTCCCGCAAAGGTGGCACCCTTCTCGGCGCCCGAGTAGCCACTGGCTACGGTGCGGGGGGGCTCTGGCTGGCACTATTCCTGTCCTCGGCACTGTCGCCGCTTACGCTGCTGGTTTCGCTGCGCATGCCTGGAAAATTGCCGGCGCTGGGCACGCCATTGCTTGACGAAGTCTGGCGGGGCGTCGCGGTGCCCGAGAAGAACTGAGCACTGTGGCGTGGGTTGGACAGAGTCGGGGAGATAGGACCGTCGGGTCCTTTGTACATGGCATTCACAACACCAGCGGGGCCGAAGTACTGCTCGCTCATAGGTCGGCCGCCCCGCCGTGTCGACGCCGTCCGGCCCAGCCCGATGGGAATACTAGGCGCCGTGTCGGGGTTGTTGTGGGCGGTTGGGTTGGTCGAGGGCATGTAGGACATGGGTCTGGGCTTGGGGCGACCAGCTGGGGGAGGGTTCGCACCGGTGGCGATGGACTTGGCGCGCTGCAGCAGAGTAGCACCGGGTGCTTGCTTGTCTGCCGGCGGCGGGGGCAGGTCCTTGTTGACATTGGCACCGGGCTTGAAGTCGGAGGACTGGTCCAAAATGTGCTCAAATTCCTGGTGCTGTAGCAGCCGCTCGATGATCTTGTTGATGTAAAGTGTCAACGCCTTGTTTTGGTCTTTTAGGGCACGCAACTCTCCTTCCAGGCGACGTTGGTGGTCCGAGTCATCCACATGTGAAATGGCGCTCTCGTCGGCTGTGTCGTCGCCTAGCTCATCGGCTAGGCTGGCACCAACGGCAACGGCAGCGTCCGCCTCCTCATCACCTGAGCTGGGACGGCCTTCGAGGGCGTTGAGGGCATCCTGGTTGGCAGAAACGCCCATGTAGCTAAAGTCGCCCTTGCCAAAGTCGCCGTGCAGCGTCTTTTCCTGCAGCAGTAGTTGGTACGACTCGTTGTCCTCCATGAGACGAGCATTAGCCATACGGGCCTCCATCAGCAGGCGCTCCACTTCATGCAGGCGGCCGCCGCCTTGGTTCTCCGACTCGACCAGCTTGATCTGCGCCTCGGCTAGTTCCAGACGCAGAGACTCGATCAACTTGTCTTTCTGGAGCAGTAACTTCGAATTGTTCCTCGAGTCGCTGCGGTTTATCGATGATGGCGGGGCAAAGCTTCCGTTGTCGACACTCGGGGACGAGTTGCTCGCTGTGCATCAATGTCAGTCGGGTCTGGGTGAGGTTGTTTGATGCAGCTGTGTACGGAGCACTTACATTGTCTTGTTGGCCGATACTCATCGTCTGCGTTCCTCTGATTCAACGTTTCCTTCAGTCGGTTGATGACGGCTTGCATTTCCTCTTCCCGGTTAGACATTTCTTCCTTCTCTTTGAGCATCGAGCTTCGCTCGGCCTCGTAGATGGTCTCCATCTCCCGAATCTGCCTGGCGGCCTCCCGCTTTTCATTTCGAAGTGTCTCAATTTGCTCTTCGCCCTCGTGCACCCGCTCTTCCAGCTTGGCTTGCTCTTTCAAGGCGTCATCGAACCTTGACTGTAGGACCTCGGCTTGCTTCCTGTACTGCTCCGACGCTGAATCTGCCTTTTCTAGCCTTGCCTTCAAGTCGTCAATGAGTGCAACTGTCTCAGCACGCGCTGTCTCGTCTGCACCCATCATGTTGCCCAAAGCCGAAGGGCCTCTTTGGTGAGCGGCAGCGCGCGCCGAAACGGGAGTGACGCCTCTGGTGGACCGAGTCCTCGTCGGGGTGCTGTTGAGCGTGCTAGTTGCGCTCGTGGTCGGTGTCGAAGATCGTGCTTGTCGTGGAGGCGGTGTCGTTGAGTTACTGTCCGACAGCCGGCCAACCCCCGCCGCTGGTGGTTTCTTAGTTGCAGCGGACATGGCGGAACAAGGACCAAAATGAGCGTAATAATGGTGCTGCTGTTGATGAGCCCTGCCAAATGCAAAACAAATTATGTATATAGTGCGACCGGTAGTTGACTGTTGACTATTGGCTGCGGGCTGTTGGCTGCTGTAGTGTTTGAGAAGAATGTAAAATACTCTAGCTTGGCCGGATGGACGTCAGGTCGGTCTTGCCCGCGATTCGACGATTTACCCGTGCCTAAGTCGCTGCTGTCCAGTCAGGTAGACGTGGGCCGTTGCTTTGCTATTTTTGTGTATGTACTGCCAGGTGGCTCGACCTCCGATGGCACCAAACTTGACAGACTGACTACACAATGCAACTGTCCTCGAGTGAGTCGAGTTTATTCGAGTTTAGCTGCGCTTGATAATTCAGCCCGATGACCTTCGGAAACTGTGACCGGCGGCCTAAAATAGGTGCAACTGAATACTTATCCAAGCCCTTCGCCACAAGACGAAGACCGACTATCCTTTCCAGGCGCAATGTGGGAACGCGGGGCGCAGTTGGTTTGGGCTGATTAAAAGCACCGAGACGCGAGCAACAATGGAATTGCCGATGAGCTGCTGATTGTGGCTAGCTTCCGTTGCCGTGACACAACAATCCGGTACTGCAAGAAGCGGCTGTCTTGTTTTCGAGGACACTCGACAGTCGGCAACTCTTGAGAGTCGACAACGACGATGCAATCTATTATAAGTAAACCCGCTCTGCTGGAGAATTCCTGTCGACCATCTCCTGAAGCTGGGCCACTTTCGTAATGCACTGCCAGATCCTGGAACGTATTCGCTATATCCCAGTCTCGCGTCACAATAATACTGCATAGTACCTGGATAGTAATTTGACGCAGAATCGAGGTTTACTGAGACACCCATGCAAGCACATGCCTAGAGATCACTAGTCACACTCGTTTGTGCTTCAAGACCATTGCCTTTGCAGACTTGTTACACGTTTCCGAGTTAGTTTCTTCAGCAATTGCCAATCGGTCAAAGCTAGCGAATTCAATTCGCTGCATCGAGTCCGGAGCAACCCGCCATTTCTGATTACGGCAATCTCGACGTTTATGCAACTCGACAAATCCACGCCAATGTTTTTTTTTCAACCGTTGGTTCATTTCCCAGAGGTTTCTTCATTAAAATTGGCTCAATTGGACGATCCGCTCTGGATGTTATGGAATGAATACCATTCGAATTCTGAAAGCGGTCAGACTCGGTCTCGGTTGCCCTGTTGACCCTGCTGGTGTCAACATGAGGTTGCTTCCATCGCATACTGCGATGTCTGGTGAACACTACATACTGACTGGGACTTCTATAGCTTTATAATACCACAGAGACCGACTCATGTATCAGTGCTATTAAAAAAAAACTTTGGATTGTCTCATAATATAAGGCTGAGCTTTGTAGAAATCCGAGCAATTCGCTCTCGAGTGATCTATAGCTAGGTATGATTGTATACTTGCACAGCCCACGCCAAACCCAAACTTCTAGGCTAGGTGTAGCTTCATGATGCAAATATAACCTAGATGATTGATTACATATAGTAAGCCTACTGGGCCATGATTGTTGGCAGGGTGCCCGGCATCTGCATATTCGTATTTCATTGTACTCAACATGACCACCAAATACACCAGTGATTGATGAGTACTGGACGAACGATTACAACCTACTACGGTGTCGAAGAATATAAAATTTTCGACGAATGCAGTGGCACGAAATATCTACTGGGCTGTTCTAGAGCAAAGTAGGCAGTTGCTGGTAGTAATACCGAAATCTTATTGCAAAGCAGTGGTCCATGGCAATTGATCTACATTCTAATTCACTTTCGCAAGCAGTAGCGTCAAAAGGATTCGTCTCGCTGAAAAAAAACAACTTCCATTGGGTATCACGTATGTTTCATTCAGCCAACGCCTAGTAAAGTGCGGGTACTAGATTGTCCCTATCTGCGAATGGCCATGATATTTCCCAGTCATGACTGACGTAAAGACCTTCCTTGCTGCAACGCACAAGTCTGCTCAAATCGCGTAAACCGGCAGAACGACGAAGCATGTCCATTTTACCTCAGACCAGAAACCGCAACGCCATCCGTTGACATACCAGGGTGCTCTCTCTACGACTGCTGGTCGGAAAGGATGTCGGAGTCACCAGCGTCAAGGACGGCCATGGTAGAACAGCGAAACAGCTTTCCCAGACTTGTACCAAGTTCGATCTGCGCGTGAAAATACGTAAGCAAATGTTTACTACCCTCCAAAGTCTGCAAAGACTTTTTCGCGGGGTAGGGGTAGCTAGCACGAGGCCGGCCAGTAGCAAGGTAACCCCCAGGTAGGGCCATGTGGCCAGACTACTCAGAGCCAAACATATCGATGGCCATATAGTATCAAGGAAAAGACCAATCGAAGGCCCTCAGCTTGAAGGAACATTGTTGAAAGGGTAGATGGGTCAAGTCTCTTAAACATTTGCAAAGGAAACCTGATATCGACTTACGTTGGTGCCCGAGAAATGGTGGACTGCGACCTTGGACAACATGCTGTAGTACTCCAGCTCACTCTTGCGCAATGGCGGAGTGTTTCCTGCAATGATAACCACTATACAGTTATTAGTCGAAATGCAACTGCATAAATTGAAATATTATGTTTTCCCTTGGGAGCATAGCTATTGCGCGGGGATCCTGCGAGACAACTGTACTCCCTTGGACAAGCCAAGCAGGCATGGGCGAAATGGGATATGTAGCAGAAGAGGGCAACGAACACTTGGCCTTGCCGGATCGCAGACTCTTGAGGGTGGACTTGTAGCCAATGGTGACTGTAATACTGCTGTTAGCTGTCATGCTCGTTAAGCGCGAGTTGACCTTCGACGTACCCTTTCCACTCTTCATGACCAGGGCGAGCCTGGAGTTGAGCGAGTTCGCATCCTTCTTGTTCTTCTTGGGTGCCATTGTGTCTGGTGGTGCCGGTTGACTCTGGGTGTTGGGATGGGGGGTTGTCGTTGTCAGGTTGGAGGAAGGAATGAGAATTTGAGCTGGTGCAATCCGACTGACTTTCCCGAACTTTTCTCGGCGGCCGAGCTTGAAAAGCCGAATTTCCTAGCCACACATCGCTGGAAGGCGCGAAGAGCCCTAACGACCCACTATTCCCCCGGCTAACAGACCAATCATTTACCCGCCACCCAAATTCGCCCGATTGCTGCTACTGCTTTGAAATCAACCCTGGCGGCGGCAAATTCGAGCAGACTTCAAAGAGGTGCCTTCGCCTGACGACATCATCTTCATCCTCCACATCTACCCTCGACACCCGTTACCGGCCAAATCAGTGAAATACCATCAAGATGGCTCGCCGTCCCGCCCGATGCTACCGATACTGCAAGAACAAGGTGAGCACACATGTTTACCTCAAGGGGAAAAGGTTCCAGCGTCGAGAACCGCTTGGATCCATCGTTTATTCGGCAACATAACGCACAAAATAAGCAGCAGCAGGCATCGGAGGAATCCTTGGCAGCAAAATGATCACATCGCTGTCGAGTGAGAAACCTGGTGACGCCACTCCTGTTCAATCGGGTGCGCCGATTTGAGAATGATTGAGATGTAGACTTGGCATGGAAACGGATGGATTTGGACTAATACGATGTAATCTAGCCGTATCCCAAGTCGCGCTTCAACCGTGGTGTCCCCGACCCCAAGATCCGCATCTTCGATCTCGGCCGCAAGAAGGCTACCGTCGATGACTTCCCTCTCTGCATCCACCTTGTCTCCAACGAGTATGAGCAGCTGAGTTCCGAGGCTCTCGAGGCCGCCCGTATTTGCGCCAACAAGTACCTCGTCAAGTTCGCCGGAAAGGAAGGCTTCCACTTGCGCGTTCGCGCTCACCCCTTCCACGTTGTCCGTATCAACAAGATGTTGTCTTGCGCCGGTGCCGATAGACTGCAGACGGGTATGCGTGGTGCCTGGGGCAAGCCCAATGGAACCGTTGCCCGTGTCAACATCGGCCAGATCCTGTTCAGCGTGCGAACTCGCGACTCTAGTACGTTTGGTGAATAATCCAATATGGTCACGTCGACGCTAACCATTCTTCTCCAGACCGCGCCATCGCTCTCGAGGCTCTTCGACGATCTCAGTACAAGTTCCCCGGTCGCCAAAAGATCATCATCTCCAAGAACTGGGGCTTCACCCCTTTGCGCCGTGAAGAGTACCTAGAGGCGAAGGCTGGGGGCCGCGTCAAGGTTGATGGCGCTTACGTTCAGTTCCTGACCAACCATGGCAAACTCGCTGATAACATGAAGCGATTCCCTGATGCGTTCACTGAGGCTTAGAGGCAGTGTGTCGTCATGATGAGAAGCAATGGGAAAGGTACTGGCGTTTAATCGGCTCCATAGCACTGCACATAGCATTGCCATCTTTGTAACTGGCAGTCAATTGAGGATATTGCACTTGCACCAATCAAATCATCGTTCGGTCCTGGAAATGCCATACGATGCTAATAATCAAAGAAGCTCTACGTCTACGAAAAGTATCCATGGCTCATTTATACTGACCAGTTGGTTTCAAAAGTGTAACATTTTCCTGCAGCTCGAAGAAACTAGACCTGATGGTAAGCAAGCAGCACCAACGAAATAGAGAATACGAATACACACATAAGGCGGACCATGATGTGCTAAGTTGAGGCTAGATGCACAATACAAACGGGCCATAGTTCATACGCTAATCATTCTTTCTTGGCAACGCTCTACTCAGCGGTGAGGTGAACTGACGACAACGAAGCCACTGAAAGACATATGATATCTTCGACGTTATCATTCGAGGTGCCCGGATTCGGACCGAGCCTGGATGGTTACCGCTATCAGCTTCTGCGATTCCGGCTTTATTTTGCTTTGTTTAATTGGAAGCGTTGCCAGTGCACCTGGAATGACCCCTAGAAGCTTTGGCGCGACGGGCGCGATAACTCGAACTCGTTGGCTGCAGGTGCAGACGTTTTGACGTCCCCGCCCACCAAACCGAGCTGTCATAGTCAGACAACGCAGGATAGCGGGGTTCCAGTCTATCAGGGTTCATGAGACAATCCTTAAGTGGGATGATGACGGCACGCACAGAGGAGAAGACAAGTGTCGTAACTCGGTGTCAGTGGCTATCTACCAAAGTTCTGTCAAAAACTTATCAGTTATTTCCCTCATTTCTCGAAAGTGTCTTCGAGTCTGATATAATTGCTTGCGAGAAAAGCCACAACAGGCTCTTTGACAGGTCGACTTGCAGGTTGCAGGTGCATATCACCCGCTTCCAGACGTTTGTAGCCAGCGCCAACGAAGCAGTCTAGTGGTGGGCCCAGTGGGGAGGAGGTCCGAGTACACGCGATCATCAACAGTCAGGCCCTCCTAGTTATCGGACACCTGACTTGTCCCTGTCATTGGATTGCTTCATCGTCTTTCGTTCGTTGCTCTCCCCTTCATTATTCCCAGCTCGGATCTTGTCGCCGTGTTGGCAATTTTCTTGGTCTGCTTGTGTTACTCACCGCATCGGCTCGAGTCTGCACATAAGTCGAGCTCACTTGGATACCCTGGGGCTGTCGTTATCTACCATCTTATCTCAGCGGCGCTTCGCTGCCACTTGTATACCTTCACTTGTATTATATCGAATCTTGGCATCGTATCAACTCCAACCGCTATACTCATTCTCAACTCGCTTTACAACACCAGCTAAGTCGGGGACGTACAAGAAGACCAGCTCTTCCACGACGACATAGGGTATCGCAACACATAATCGACCCTCTTGGGGCTTCTCTCAGTCGGGCCGGTTATAATTCCATAAACACACGGCCACTAAGCATCGCCATACCTTTGGTATACTCGTCACCATGGCTTTCCATCAGCCAACCCGGCAGCAAGTTTCTCAGAGAGTGTTCTGCCCCTCTGTTGAAGAGGAAGAAGCGCCGCATGCTCCCCAGACAGACCCTCAGGCCATCGAAGAATCACAGACTTGGGTCCTGTTCTCCCCCGCTACCGACGCCGGCACCACCACATCGTATCTTACCGAAACGCACAATTCCAAATCGACTCTCGGCCGTTCGCGTTTAAGTGACCTTGGAAGTCTCAATACCATTGCGCGATCGGAACAGCCACAATCCGCAAGTATCGTCGACGAGGAGGATGAAGATGCGGAGCTCGACAGTCTAGACAGCCACTTACCCGAATTCCGCTCGAACCCGAACGTCTTTAACCCCTCGCAGCTGCTCCCCCATGCGACACCTGTCGTGCCGGCCCATGATGGCCTCGGCTCGTTTCGCCTGGACCAGGAAGGGATGGGTGCAGATGTGCAAGATCGGTTATACGCATTTGAACAGTACAACCCTCATCGGGTGAAGCGGAGGCGTGAGAGCCTCGACCTAGCCCATAATGTGCTCGAAAACGAACAGGAGCAGGAGATGGACAAAATGCGTCGCATTGAGAGCTGGAGGTTGGAACACAGTCGGTATCTCCTGGAGGAAATTCGGAAAGAAGCAACTCGGCGCAAAACTTCCATTACCAGTGTATTAAGCACTCGTCTCGCTGATCAGAAGGCGGAAGAGCGTGCAACGCTAGGGGCCTTGAGTGGTGTGGATGTCGACATAGCAGACCAAGGAGAAGCTTGGCACGACCAACAAGCAAGTGATCTGGAAGGAGATGATGAGAGTATATGGAGTCGCATCACTCGTAAGGTCATTCGTGATCTTATGGGTATTGATGACAAACTGCTCTCGGTTCTGTTTGGAGAAAGTCTGCCCGACGAGGACGATTTATCCACAACACCTAAAGCCTCTACATTGGTCCAAGAACGCGGCGAGATCGCAGTGGAAAGTTCAACGAATTCCACCTGGCAACTTCACATTTTGGAACGAGTCGCAAAAGAACTGGGACTGTTCGTGAACCAGTTGTCTGAACACCCAGGCGCCTTCTCCACATTCAGCAGAGCGCAGCAGACTGCCATCCCATATGCTGGATTGCCACCGATTATAGAGTCAGCCTATGATGTGCCGCAAAACCTGGCACCACAAGAAGTCCCAGCAACAATACCAGAATTCGAACCGACAGTTATGCCTCAATCACGGCCAATTGCTGTGCCTTCTGTGCGGACAATTCCCGGCTCAACTCATCAGACGACGGGGGAGCAAGGTTCAAATGCCACGGCTTTCACCCAAGATGAGTGGGAAAAAGATCTGGATGTCAGGCTGGTTTTCAAATACCTGCGCTCACGATTCATGTCACGTTCAAATAGCTCAGGAGCAATCGCGGGAAACCCTTATCTCGCCACAGCGAGCACGCAAGATGCGGCGGCCAAGGCTGCGAGAGTAAGGCAACATCACCCGTTGATGAGGGCCCGCCCTTCGGACCGGCGAGCTTTCAAGGCTGTGGCGCCTTCGAGTCCAGTCCTTTTCAGACCTGCGTCGAGTTGTGCTAGTCAAAGCACCCGGATCTCGGTGCGGAAGAGCAGCTGCTCCTCCCGGCATTCATCCCGCCACTACTGGGACATTGGTGCCGGCTCGGTAGGCACTGGGTCGTTGATTGCAGCTGCTGGGCCCATGGGAAGCTGGGGCGAGGTTTGATTTGATGAACCAAGTCTTCCCCTTGGGCAAGCGGCAGCACACGTTGTGTATTTTATAGCATGTGGGAGTACAAGGGTACTCAGTTTTCATTTCAATAAGCTGAATGGGCCGTTGCATTCTCACTCGGCGCGTTTCCGGCATTTACACATACCTTGCGGTATCATTCCGCTCCGTTGGAAACACACTTGATTGATTGATGAACGATTGGATTATGGCAAGGTGATTGAATGCAGCCCCAGTTTCGTTATAGATATACAGATATTTATAGATTTCGGAGCTCATGTCACAGTAATGCCCGTAGTCTCGCCACTTGGTGCTGCCAATTCCAGAAAGTCCCTTGATCGCCTCACTTCGCTACCAGAAAATTTTGCCCAATATGAGCTCTTCATGGGTCTCGGGGCCAGAGAGAATGGGATGAGGCGGTCATGGTTCGGGCTGGCAAGTTAAAAGGTTGCTGGTTGTGAAAGGCACTCGAATTTACCACCAAGTTCTGGTGTGCTCGGCTGAGAATAGTGCACAATAGAACATCTGGGGTTGCCATTGCCGCACAGGGTCCGCAAGTTTTTTGTCCAATAGGAGTGTTGCTGCTTCACGTACGCGACTTGCCTTCCCTTTTTTTGCGTCCTTCAACGCGTAAAGTGGGAAAAGCAGCTCTGCTATCTGGTCAAACAACAGCAACACGGTGCTGAGCTGCCTGTAAGCCTGGCTTCTCCCATGAACCGGGCAACCCATAACGCATAGTATTTCCGGCTGCCTTGATTTCTTCGAGTCATAGTTTGTTGCATTTGACTGCTTGACTGAAGTTCAATCTATCGCTTGCTCCATCCATCTCCTCAATTCACTCGCAGCACAGTCACAGCTTGACCCCACCACCCACCACTATCAGCTTAACCAATCCTGTCTTAGGCGCCTTCCTCACTTTCGCCAGCTTCGACTTCCCTCCATCGCATCAATCGTCCTGCCATTTTGTCGTTCGCATTGCTGTTCTTGTACGCGTCTTTGCCTGTTGCCTCTTACACAACACATAAATATTCGTATTTCTTCCTCCCCTCTCAAGCTCTCAAGTCTCTTCCATTGTCAACTTATCTTTAAGGTTCGTGTACGCGTGAGGAATTCACGAAAACTCGATGCGCTCGAACGAACTGACAGCCGCAGTGCCATGAACTAGAATTCCACAATTGCGACCCAGCTGTGCCTGGCCTGGTCGCTTAGTATCTCAACACTTCGACATACCTCGGAACCTGAAGCGAAGCCTTATCCCCGATCGACTTCTCAGGCATCCCATCAACCTTCGAACCCCCAATGCCCTGAGCTGAATGAGCGCGTCGCTCAATGGCTGGGTCCGCGTCCGGAATATCTCTTCCGAACAGCTCGTTCTTCAATATATATACCGATGGAGGGCCAGTAGCCCGGACGTCGCCCGCCCCAGTTCTTCCAGGCGGGCGGTGCAATTTTGTGGATCTATCTCATGGAGCCAATGGGCCGAAATGTGGTTGTCGCCGGTTCTGGAGTCGCGGCACAGGTGGTCCAGGTGGATTTTCAGGATATTCCAATGGAGATTTTGCTGGAACCGAGGCGGACCAAGTTGCCTGGTGCATGTGTTCCCATCATGCTTGCTACCATGACGATGATACTCAGGGAGGACAAGTTGCTACTGTCACAACCCTTGCTGCCGATGGAGGTCAGGAGAATGAACGCCCAAGGATAAATCGAGAGCCTCTGACCCCTGTGGTTCAGGAGCTGTCCTTCCAGATGCCACCAGTAGCGGATCAGTCCAGGGATTTTCATACAATCAACAATGCGTCGTTTGGTGCAAACATTCAGGGTGGTACATACACGCCTCAAGGCGAAACGGCCACACCAGCGCCGGAGCCTTCTCTGCCCGACACGCTGAGTTGGTCAAACTTCACCCAAACACCGTTGGGCCAACAAAAGACTAGTCCTTTGCCGCCCATTCCCAGTCAATGTTTATTGTCTTCGCAGCCAAGCTCGACCACCTCTTCGGCTCGGATAGCCTACCATCGACCGTTTGCTGGGACTGGACTCCAAACATTTAGTGGTGTGAAGTCCAAGCTACGGGAGGCCCAACTGAACCAGGATGATGACATATCGCCACCCAACAAAGACGCAGTCACGCCAAGCGTTCATCCATCCGTGGATGACTTGCTCACTTTCGTCAACACGCCAAGATCTAACCGGCGTACAGAAGCTTGTGAGAGCGGTAGCCAGGTTTCTCCAACTCCCAGGCCGAATCATGATGAATTCCAGCAACTGTCTGATACGGTTCAAGGGCATGAACTACGCCTTGACAGACTAGAGCACGCATCGTTTAGCAATGATCATGAGGACTGCCATGAAAAACATGACCAAGCCGACCTGCGAGTCACTGAACTCGAGTCACGGGTGGAGGAAATGGAGAAGATGCTCAACGACAGCAGCAGCACAACAAGCAGACATCACCACTTTCGAGCCACCTGTGCTGATGAGTCGGCAGCTAGCACTGTCTCTGTGTCCACTGACGCCAGTGGCCACACCGATCGTGCTGAGCTTTTCAGCCAACTCCAAGCTTTGAAGGCCCAGCTTAGCCAGCTCCAAGGCCTGTCCTCCTTCCCATCATACACGCGACCTTGGGAGGTTGAAGTCGTCTTCCTACCGTTTCCACTCAAGGGCGTATGGTTGCCGTCTCGTGACTTCCCCAGCCAACGGCGCTCGGGAGGAGACGGTGTGAATTTTGACCAGTGGACACAGCTCCCCGATACAGTCTCGGCCATGGAGCCCTCATCACCCGGCTTTAATGAATGGATCGGTCCGGAGTTGCAGTCGGATTGGTTGCTGCCGCGTGCTTGCGCGCCTAACAAAATGGTAGACAAACGACTTAGAAGCCGCGGTCTAGTCAAGAACGTTCTGGTCCGCGGCCCTGACGCGCGAAGCATCGAGCAGGCCATTTCTGCCGCATTCGGGACCCTGTTCCGTACTTTGTCACGCATGCAGGCAAATGTGTCGATGCACAGCCGCGTCCATCAATACCTGGGCATTCAACAGCCCTGGGTCCCACTGCGCAAGGTTCACAAGGACTCCCGTTTGCGTTTCCTCTCACCTGCTGAGATGGTCACGCCAGCGATGTGGGATGTGTCATTCCTGAGCTCCAGCGTCGTCATGAAGGCGACGGGAGTCCATCGGCTGTTCATTACCCAACCCGAGGCTTATCTCCAAGACCTGGATGCATATGACAATGGTTGGAGCTGGCATCGTCTCAGGGAACTCAGTCGTGTCTATCCTGACTCACAGAGCAGCCAGCAGGACGTGCCTGAGGCCGACGCCATGGAGGACTGTTGGGCTTGGAATGATAAGTTGGATGAACATCCATCCAGCCCGACCACCTCTCAGTTTCTCAGCCTGCGCCAGGCGGAACAGCCGAGGTTCAAATCGGCGAGCATGAGCCCCAGCCAACAACATTTCCTCATGGGACGGTCGCCATCTCTGTCGATCAGCCGGACCCGGGCTCAGTCACCCCTGGTGCCACTCAACGAGCGCAAGCCTTCGGTCTCCAGGCCACCACGCGTTCGCACCACCTCGATGCCGCCCGCTTTACCGCCTATGTCATCGCCCTCGCAGGCCCAACGTCGTTTGGCCTCCGCCCGCCTCTCCAACATCCATCCGTACCCCTATGACGGTCGGCTGTCACCGCAACTCACACGCACCAATATGAATATGGGCCATTCCTGGGCCATTACAAAGCGGACGCGTAGCTCCAGATCTCCATCCGGACCTGTGTCGGCCAGGATGAGGAACACACCACGCTGGATCACAGCGAGTCCTAGTCCAATACCAGAGGGCTTTGTCCACGGTGGGGGGGGCAACTCGGCTGCATGCAGGCAGACAACGCCGCTATATTACGCCACCCCTTATAGTAATGCACCGTACGTGGACACGCGCCATCACCGGGGAGTAATTGAACCGGATGATGACGAGGGTAGTGGTACGAATTCATACGACATGGCTGATGTGAACAACGCCCATGGCAGTGAGGACGATGAGTCTTCGGGATACGAAGACGACAGTGTGATGCTTGATCTTGGCCACCCCCGCACCAGGAACGAGGACGATGAAGACTGGCAAGAAGCGCAGCATCCACTGCCGGAGGACGAGCCTTGGCCTGGTATCGAGGATGAGGAAAACCGAGATCCAGAAGCGCTGGCGCTTGGTAGCTTACGGGAGGAAGTTGATGTGTACGTTGATAAGGATGCCATGAGCGATATAGATGATGCCGACGAAGACGAAGAGGCAGAGAAGCGTAGCCGACAAAGCAGCGTACCGAGCGAGTATCCTAGTACTCAGCGGGCGTGGACGGCTGGCCAGGAGGAGTTCAGTGTGTTTGAAGATGGCGATGGCGGCCGCTGAAGAAGCAAGCCAGAGTAAATTGCTTCCGCTTTTTCGGCCCGGGCGGGGAATGGCTCGAGAGGCTGGTTCCCTTCGTAATGTCATGATACACGACGTTTGGATGGGATAGCGGCTAGGCGTTGCGGGTTCGTTGCGGGTTCGTTGCGGGTTCGTTACGGATACATACCACTGCCTGTACAGTTACGGGGCGCGTTTTGTCTCTGTCGTTCTTCCACTTTCCTCGTGGCTGTTATAGTGCGTCTGTCACATGGGACGATTGGATACTGCCTGGATTTCGAGTTGTATAAAAGAGGAGAAACGTGTTCCCTACGTTGACTACACACATATAATGAAGTAGATGGCGACAGAGACATATTGGACAGACACATGAGGACGCAGACTTTGACAAGTTACCTGTCTGGTCAAGTTGTTAACACATTGGCTATGGGAACACTCAGCTTTTTGTACAGGTATTGAGACACAGTCTCCTATGATATACTACTTCTTAATTGGGTTTCATGTCTTTTTCGTGATAAGAGTCGGGAGCGCTGACCCTTGCCGTGCTAAAGCGACGTCATGAGATATCATTATTATGCACGACCACCTTACCTTCAGTCACTTGTAGCATGCATGCATCTAATGATGACATACAAGAGCAGAAATGGCTACAGTTTGTCCTTAATGCTATATTGACGACTTGTATTAATATGCTACGGCACAAAGTGCTACTTTCGTTTGCGTTGACCCAGCGTATCTAATGGTGTTCAAGAGTCGGTTGAACACCTTAAATATGAGCGCGTGGCTATCCAAGCACAGATGCAAAATCATTGAAGGCAGCAAGATCCACCTGCTTGCTCCCGTTCGAGCAACTACGCAAAGCTATCCCGTTCTTTTCTCTGATCTAACTCAATTCTGAGACTCGATGGTTTTGTTAGTAGGGAGTAGGAGCTGTATCTAACGTAATGGATTATCCGTACGAGAAACCAAAGCAGCGACTTGGGGTGCTTCTTAGATATGTGCCTACCTAAGTCGGCTCGTCTAAGTCGTCTCGTGTAAATCATTCTCTTCTCGTTGAAGTGGTTTTCTCATCAATTTGGTTGCTCTCGGCTGTTACCGTCTAGAACGTCCCAATCTTCTCAGCTCTGGACGGACATGGACTAGTGGCTTTGCGGATAGAACGAACTCGGGTATTTATTCACAAACGGAACGTTGTATTTTTAGGTTAAGCCTTCCCACCAGTATGATCGCCGTGTGAGCAAGCGTCTCTGTCGGACGATGGCAATCACTGCAGTATCCACAAACTTGGACCTTGCCCATCCCCCACCCCCGGGGCAGTTGGTTGTAATGTGCACAGAAGAGTTCAAATCATCCATTTATGCTTCTGTCGGAAACGAGATGCCAGCCAACCATTCATACCAACTGTCCAGAAGTCCCAGTACCAAACACATGCCGCCTAAACCGTCCACCGAACGTCGTGGCCTTCACAGCCATTGTCGCCAGATTCTCTCACTTTAGACTGACTGCTGGGTCTTCGAGATACTGAGTTTCTGTCTAGAAGCCTTGAGCCTTTTCGGCATTGCTATCCTTCTAGCCATGTGCCAAGACCGGCTGCTTCCAGATTGGCGGCAACTCATCTCCATTACTGCTTTGGTATCGGGTTTCACGGCCGTCATGAAGATCAGTTTGATGGTAACAGTTACAGAACGTACGTAGGATTACCCGGAATTTACTGGCGGCTGTGTTCGAGGGGTTTGTTTGATACAATGGCAGATGCCAACATGAATTCTAATGCAGACATATAGGCGTCTCGCAGTCAAATTACTAAGACGGCCGGGACTAAGGAAACTTGCTATCACGATGCCGAGGTTAATAAAGAAGATGCGGTCCAAGTAGTGTTGCATTAGCACACTGACGGAAACCGTAAGCTCCCTTAGCTTTCCTCGTGGATTTGGGCATTCTGTCAACCGGATCAAGACCGAGGCAGACCAGCAATTTCCCATGACAATTGCGAATCAATACCAGGGAGGACATAGCACAGATATATCTCGATATTGCCTGAAATTCAAGGGTATGAGGCTTCGATGATTTGACCCTGGGCGAATGATGTTACACCCCATGTCCGTGACCCCGGCCACCAACCCCGACATCTGGAGTAGGCGCACTGTCCAATTACACAGCCATGCGAAGCGAGGCAGGCACCGCTCGCAGCCCAGTGACGTCATTTGTGTAACCTGGTCTCATGGTCGGCAAGTCACGGCACACAATCAGGCCGCCGCCTGCGTAAGCCCCAGGCCACTATATAGTTGCCTACAGCCCTCTCTACTACGCTACACTAGTTCGCGTAGCCTTGCCCTTCAGGACCTACATTGGAACACCTACCACTTCGCAGCAATACCAACCAAAGCCTAGTTCAAAACATCACGCAAGCGACCGCGACCATGTTGCAGAACCCGCTCTCCCTCTTCCTCCAGCTCTGTCTGGCTACCCTCGCCTGCGCTGCTCCTATCGCTGACGATACCTTCACGGCGACGCAAACCCCCTGGCAATACGGGACTGGTGGCGGAGTCTTGGGGTTCCTAGTCTTGATTCTCGATATCCTAGTCTTCAGTAAGTTCTCCGGGCCCGGTTCCCTATCTTGGTCAACCGCACATAGACGTAACGCCATATAAAGCTGTAGATGCTAACCGCGAATGACAGTCGAGGTCCTCAAGTCGAATCGCCCCACCAGCAACAAGGTCCTGTGGTGCCTTGTTGTCTTCCTCTTCCCAATTATTGGCATGGTCATCTACTTCCTCTTCTCGAACCGTGCCGAGCACAACAGTGGTGGCTCTTATGAGCCTCTGCCATAGACACTCAATGCCGTGAATGTATGGCCAGACAAGCAATGGAGGAAGTCATTCAATTTGGGACTTGGTTGATTCCGAGGAGTCGAGGGCCATGAGTCGCGATGCATTACGTACGGGGCATGCGTTTGGGATTTCTACGTTTAGAAGCATGAGACATTACCGCGATGCTCCGGCGCTGTTGCGCACTGCGCATCACTTAATCATCTATAGATGAATGCATAACATCAGGAGAACAACATGTTCGTAATCGTTCGTTCTAAGTCAAAGACGACCCAAAGCCTCAAAGGAAGAGACCTATCCTGATTTATCGTAATGAAATGAGTAACTAACACCGCCGTTGAGTAATATATCTCCAACCACCCACGCATCGTGAAACCTCCTGTCCCAGCCTCCGTGCACTAGAGCGCCATGTTTGTCCATTGAGAAGCCGTCTGCAGAACATTGGACCTCGACAGCAAATCGGCAACTACCCGGGAGCCAACCCATCATTTTGGGTGGCCGTGCCGCTCCATCATGTTCGCGGGTTGGCAGCCCGCCAATCCATTTGGGGCCTCGGGAATTGCTGGCTGGTGATACTTTGCAAAGCATGCCACAATTGTGCATGGTCGACGGAATTGTCGATGCTTAACAGGTTTGAGAGTCACAGGGAGGGTTGCATATAAGGTAAAAATATGATCTCAACTGCATCTAGTTCATGGCCGATAGCTGTTGCTATACGTTATCAAATCTCAACTCCCTCTCGCCCACCCCTAATGCCAAAGTGCAGGTTTATACCAATTGGAAATGTGAAATAACATACAACACCACCACGTGTAAGAATGCGCTGCTGGCCAATAAAAAGGCCAGGGCATGTCACGTTCGGACTAATACAGATGATACTTAATGTGGAGTAGCCCACACAAGTTCAAGTCCTGTGAAGCCGTTTAGCGTATCTGCAAGAATCGACCGAGGCTAATAACTTGAGCTGCAAGCCTTACGTAATCCCAACAAGACAAAACAGTAGAAACATGAAGCAAAAAAGCCAGATACACAATTCTTGGCCACCCCAGATATAAAACGTATCTATGTTCGATCAAAGGGAGATCTTGATAAATTCAAAAAGTTCTTAGAATCGACGTAGAACGGATTTGAACCGTTGCCTCCGAAGAGAATAGATAATCCAGAAGTATGGTAGTACCACATTCTAGTCTATCGCATTAGACCACTCTGCCACTACGCCTTGATTGATTGGATGTTAAATATTGCCCGAATACAGCTATGTATCCACTCGAATGTGGACAGTCATGACTCGACCTCCACTTGCATGAAGTTTTGTTTTGTTGTTCAACTGGCCCACTATGTATTAAGCGTTTTGTGTGAGGGTGCCTAAGAGTCGTCAAGTTGTGCAGAATAGAGTTATGTACCCATGAGAAACCCAAGAGAAAATGCCGTCCTGACCAGAGAGGCTGAAAAGGCGGGAAAAAAGACAGACAAATAGAAGGGGAAAAAAGGAACAGGGCAGTAAATGAAGATTTCGCATAGTTCTTCCTGAAGCGATGTGATAGCTTGGAAAGTCAATCTTGAATCAGGCAGCAATTCCGCAGCGATATTCGCGTTGGTAGTAATAAATCAAAGCCATGCTACGGAAGACGAACCGCCCGAGAAAATGTCAATGTTCTACCCGTTTCGCAAACCAACCATCATTGTTCCTAGTGTTCGGCAATAATTAGATTGCACTGATATTATTCATATCTGGATCGGCTGTGTCCTATTCACATGTAAATGTATTTGAGGAGGTATGAACCAGGAACGGGGGGTTAGGTTACCTCTTTCCCAGGCTTTCAGAGAATCGACCCTTATTCAGCTGAGAGGCATGTCCGAATTTCGAAAGTAGGCGAGACATAATAACGAACCGTTTTGATATTAACAGGGCAACCAGGATATTCTGAATACAATCCCCGAGTTTGATTTTGGCGCGCGGCGGCAACTGAAAAGAATTCAAGAAAATGGCATATCTCCCAGGCCGCATCTAAAACCGTCGTCAAGGAATGCTCTGTCGCTGCAGGAATTCCGGCTTCAACGTTGCACGTATATGGCCTCTCACCTGTAAGTCAAGTACAAGTGAGGCTGCAAGATATCCTGATAGGCTTATCAGATGCGGAACACCGTGGAACAGTTTTGGGTCAGGTCAAACTGTAGTGTTGTTTTTTAGTCATTAATCATCAATCATGCCATTGCTAGTTTGCCCCAGTCTCTGGGTAGGACTGCTTGTGCGTACTTGTGTCTATAATACATCTATTCATATTGCTTTTCTTCGACGGTAATCCAACCCAGTTCAGTAGCAAATTGCCCCCCTTCCCCCTTGTGCGTGAGAAAGGAAATAGAAAGATGTGTGAGAATATGAACCTGCATGTGACGATATCTATCTCAGCGGTGTCGAAATTAGCCTCTTGAACGTCAAGGCCGAAATCTCCCACCACCTGTTCAAGCTCCAGCTTCTGTCAATGGACTTGTTACGCTGACTTGAATCAACCCAGACGAACTCCGTCCTCGTTGCCACCAGCAGTGTTGGTCTCCTCCAGCGCCTCGAGGGAAGAATAGGGGTTGCTGGTTGGGATGCTACTCCGAGCAGGAACAGCCGAAGTCTGACTGACAGTTCGAGTCGGAGGAGCGATGGGTCCAAAAGGCGAGCCATACGAGACTGTGTCATCCATGGTCAGTCCTTTGCGTTGCTCAGATTTGGGACAAGGTAGGGGAGGAAAGGAGAAGAGAGACTTACCCGTGGGATTGCGCGAGCCAACTCCAACTCCAGGACTGGCAATACCCTGACCGCCGAGGCTACGTGCCATGCTCGGACCAGACGACGGCATCATGTCCGCCTGAACAGAGTCACCAGATCGTCTCCAAGCCATATTTCCACCTACACCTCCGCCTCCGCCTCCACCTCCACCTCCGGCGTTTCCAGCACCTGCGCTCATAGTTGCTCCCCCTAGATCGGCACTTCTACCGCCAACTCCGCCTCCACCAACATTATCACCTCTCCGACCGAACCGCTCTCTCTCGCGACTTAATTCTGCCTCCTGGCCCTGCCCCTGGCCATCAGAAGAAGCGTCATCGCCCCCCAGAACCACATCCCGCTGTCGAGCCAGCTCAGCCTGGTGCTTCTTCCACCAGGCGGGCAAGCCGTGGAACAAACCCAACTGGTGCTGGGTGAACTTGTCAAAGGGCATCTCGTGCTTGTACTTGCAGCCCTGCTGAGTGAAGGCGCAGACGCCTTCGTGCACCCACTTGTCGCAGTAGATCTTGGGGCGTCGCTGCGGTATGCCGCTGGGGGTGTTGGTATTGGCCAGCCTCGACGGCGGGGTTGCGGTCGAGGCCGCCATCGAGGGGTGGTGGGCATGGGTTGGCGTTGGTGGTGTCGACGCGACGATGGTGTCGATTCGCGACTGTGTGGCGCATGGGTTGTTAGTCTGCATTTGCAAACAGCCCAAGGTTGTTGTCCCGAGTGTGTTTTGGTACGGTGATGATTGGTAGAGGGCCGAGGGAGTCGGGTAGGCACGTGGATGTGGTGAAAACAACGAGCCGATGGATTGTTGCTCGGGAAGGGCGTTCGAGTTGGACGGAGGCGGAAGTGTTCGGGCTCGCAGAGGGGTGCTTACCTGGATGTTGTCTGCAGGCGTCGAAGGAGTGGCTGGAGGCGTCTGTGAAACATTAGTAATTCTCCGATTTAATATGACTGATACCCAATAGCAGGCACATACAGAGGAGTCAGGGGCATATTGCTTACTCTCAACGGGACATGATCCGTATTGCTCGAACGGCCATTTGGAGACAGAGCTCGAGGCTGTGGCAGGACAACCATGCCAGAACACCCGTATTGAGTGGCGGGCACGTCTCGTAGGGGCGGTAATGTGTCCGCTGGGATCAGTCGTGTGTACCGGCCGTTGCCTCGGTCGTAGCAGTACGCGTAGGTGGCATCAAGCTGCATATCCAAGAAGGTCGCCATGTTCGGGTACGACGTGATACTAGCATTCTGAGGGAACGGCGTCAGGCGTAGGGCACCGTGGGGCATCTGGGTGTTGGACGGGGTGTCAAAGGGCTGGTATATGTTGTCATTTAGAGGCTGGGCTCGCCAGTTGGAAGAAGTGAGGCTTCGTGAGGCGGGTGTAGCCAGAGCACCACCGCGCAGAGATTGGGGCTGCTGCGGCAACTGGTCCGTGTTGCTGTTGTTGTTAGTAGTGCCAATGCTGATGTTGGTGTTGCACTCCGAGGTCAGCTTGATGCGGTGCTCGTTGACCGAGTGGAGAGGGTTCCGATCCATCTTGGGTTGCGAGTCGAGCAGAGTGTTGCTGGCGTGCTCTATATCGCCCAGCAGCGGAGACGAACGATGGGAAGAGGTGTCGGGAGAAGTAATTCGTGTCGAAGTGTGGGAAGCCCCAGACGAGTAAGACACGTTAGAGGGGGAATGCATGGTTGGGCCCACGGGTGTGAAAGTCTTGTCCATGGTGAATCCGAGCAGCAGCCAGAGACACAGGGAAGCCAGATGAATATTTTCCACAAAATTAAAAGAGAAAAAGATGGAGGAAGAGCAAACGGGGAACGACGGACACGCGTTATTTATACCGCGGCTTCCTACCCTCAACAACACCACCTTCAGAATCGCCGAGAACTCCTGATGAGGCACCGTATCGGTTCGATGCTGCTGCGAGTTGGATGTGACCCAGAAAGATCAAAGGCTAGACATCTGACATCTTGAAGAAGGGAGCTCTTTAAAGAGCGTTTGAGACCCTTTGACACTGCCAAAATATGGCTGCCATCATCGCCGTTTGCTGCTGGAAACCTCAAATAAGGTTAGATGCATGCTCCCGGTTACCTGCAGTCCTGTCTTGTGTCTCCCACGTGACAAACGGTTTATACCTGTCTATACATAGTTAGTTGCATAGCCAATAGTCACAAAGCAGACATGCACCAATCAAAGATATTAACAAATCTGGCTCAATTCTCAGTAATATCGTCTCTGATGCGGTGCTTCTCTGCCCGTAAATGCAATAGCAAAGCCCTGTCTAATGCGCACTTTCCTCTGTAGGCCAAAAGGGGCAACTGGGAAATTGGTATATCCTGACCCAGAGCTTGACTCATCATCAATCCCGAATATTCACTTCGGCTTTCCTTGGGTTACTTCACGGAGTCTTTTGGTAAGACTTGCTCGAGTAGCCTGGACAATGGCCTGGTTGCTGCCTTGCCAGGTTCGGAGTGAATCAATGGCGATTCGCAGCGAGATCTCGGAATTCAGATTGATGCAACTCAGGTGGGCATGATGTTGCTGGCAGATGAAGCAAGGCGCCTGGGCTTGACTGTTGGCATTGTTATTGGTTTTGTTCGTAGAGCTAGTGCCGTTGGATACGGCTGGAGAGCGCTGCAATGTGCCTGTATTGGATGTTGGTGTGTATGCAGACGTTGGTGGCTGAGGTATGTTAGAAGATTGGTTGGGAGCGGGGTACTGCCACAATGGGCGAGGGGGACGCACAACGCTCGGTATGGCAACTACAAAGTTCCCATTAGTACCTGGAGGGTTCGGTTTGGGAGGTTGAGTTCGTTGAGCTGGTCTGGCCGCAGCCGTTACTGCCACGGTTCGAGCTGGAATCATCGGCGGGGGAACTGGTGTTTGTCGAAGTGGCCTTGGGCTTTGCTGCTTTTGCGGTCTCGCCGGCTTGGACAGATCTACCAGCCAACTTACCTTTGACTCCGGAGGCGGTCTGAGGTGTGGTTGCTGGGCGTCGAGATCGGGTGCTTGAGGGCGTGTTAACCGTTTTTGCTCTCTTGCTTGAACCTTGTGGGGTGCTGGGAACGGGTGCAGAGCGCTTTCTCATACCTTTCGTACTATTGGACTTGGAGGCGGCGCCCCCGTAGTCATCATCTGCATCATCCTCCTTTTCACTCTCAACGTCGTTGGCATCGATATAGAGTTCGTCTCCCTCAATATCGTCATCAGATCGGTCACTATCCTGTCCTCGAGGCTGTATTTCTGTCAGGAATTGGTCATCTACACCTTCAATAAAGGTACCTACGCGATCGTAGTGTACACTCTGCTCCGACATTAGCATATCGAATCATGACCCAAGCCAAGTCGGATCCTTACCTGAGTTCCACGCCGGCGAGCACCACGGCCGTACTCTTGCTGCTTGAGGGCAAGCTCACGTTGGTGCTCCTCCTCACGATGTTTGAGGATATTCTCCCATGTGTTGGCGTCTATCTGACGGGGCTTTTCGTCGTCACTGTTATCTACTTCGTCATCAACGTTGGCCTTAAGTGTACCGCTGTCGTTTGCCCACACTCGAGCGAATGAGAACTGGGATTCCGCCGACTCATCATCACCCGTGTCAGTGCTTTCCATCTGGCTGCGGTCGATAAGCTTTTCGACCGATGCTTCATCATATATGATGTTGTTCTTCGATGTGTCAGTAAACAAGGTTTCGGCTCCGTGCTTGAGAATTGATTCAAGGCTTTCGCCTATGTCGTCCTCGGCATCCATAGACTCGATCAACGCGTGATCAAGAGCCATTTTTTTACGGCCAATCTGCATGATCTTTTCCTCGACAGTGTCCTTGGTCATTAGTTGAAAACAGAGAACCTTGTCCTTTTGACCAATGCGGTGCGCACGCGACAGTGCCTGGATATCTTGATGGGGGTTAAAATCAGGATCATAGATAATAACTGTATCGGCGGTGGCAAGGTTGATTCCGACACCACCCGCACGAGTTGATAGGAGCATTGCAAAAAGTGGCGAGTCTGGGGCATTATATGCATCGATTCGTTTCTGTTTCTCAAGCGCCGACATCGAACCATCGATTCGAGCGTGTTCGAGCCCAAGTGCTGTCAGAAAATCCTCAATGATGGTGAGACTGTGCAGAAACTGAGAGAATATCAGGACACGATGTCCCTTCGCCGCCAATTTCGGAAGCATAATGTTCAAGAGCAGGAGCTTTCCAGATGCCTCGACGAGGTTCTGTTGAACCTTGACGGGATCCGTAACAAACCTGTCCTCGACGTCCTGGTTGAAGAGGAAAGGATGGCAAAGCACCTGTCGCAGCTCCATAAGAATATTAGTCAAGCTCTTCCGTTCGCCCTGTTTGACTTTGCTTTTCGACATGATAGCTCTGATGAGGTCAGGGTTGCGTGCCATGATGGACTTCGAAAGCTTCTGTTGGAGAACCGTCATGGTCAGAGGAATGATAATTTGTGCCATAGGAGGTAAAAATTTCAGGACTTGGGCTTTGGTTCTTCGCAGGAAGTAAGGCCGAATAAGTTTATGTAATTCGGCGATCTTGTCCTTTGTCAGATCCTGGTATTTCTCGTCAAGCTTTTCAGCACTGAGATTCTCATCGATGAACTGCATCAAATTGAATAGCTCGCGCTTGTTGTTTTGGAGGGGAGTTCCGGTCAGTAGAAGCCTGAAGGGAACGTTCATGTCCTGAAGGGCCAGATACAATAGACTACGCTCATTTTTTAGCCGCTGGCCCTCGTCGACGATGAGGCCCGCCCACTTCACAGAACGGAAAGTAGCCTTGGCATCCACGGCGGCCTCATACGACATGATGACAGCATGTGCTTTCATGCCGTCCTTGACTCCATCCGGGAACAGTTCATTTCTGAAGACGAGGTCTTGAGCTCCTTTTCCGCCGTGATAAGCGACGACGCGCAACTCGGGTGCCCAGTGCTTCAACTCTCGCCGCCAATTAGGACAAGTTGAATTCGGTACAACGATCAGAAAAGGCCAGCAGTTGGGCTTGTCCTGGACGAGGGCGCTGATGAAAGCCACAACCTGCACAGTCTTGCCAAGGCCCATCTCATCTGCCAGGATGACGCTATGTTTAGAATGAAAGTTGTAGAGCAGCCAGTTCAAGCCTTCCATTTGGTACTCCATTAACTTTCCACGTTTCAACCCGGGCGGTTGTGTCTCGAGTTCGCATTCCGTTGCGAAGTCGAGATCGCGGTACTGTTGAATCCGCTCCTCCATCTTTCTACCCGAAATAGAAGGAAAATGCACGCCGTTGACATACTCTTCGTATGCTGCGCAGAAGGCGTCCCAGGGGGCTCCGGAGCCTCGATGTGGAGGAGAATCCCAGACGGTTTCGAGGTAGCTCAGTCCCACGAACTTGACAAAGACTTCCTTGACATCCGATATGCGTGCCAAATCCTGGTTCCTGGTAAGATATCTATTCGTGGCATGTCGGTATTTAACTTTCAAGAGCACGTCAGGAAGCAGCCATTCCTCATCAACAGCATCTTTTGTGTCCATCTTGGGAAGCATGGCCGATTCGCGCTTGTAAAAGGATGTGCGCATGGCACTTGCGGCAGCACCGAAAACCCAGCCGCCAGGCATCCAGATGTCGTGGAAGTGGGAACGACCCTCCCATTTCACCAAGTATTGCTTCTCGTCCTCGGGAACCTCGGCACAGGTGTATCCGTTGCCATATGCTTCCTGGTCAATCGGTCGCCAAGCGACCAGCGCGTGTATCTTTTGAGGCGCACCGTAGCAATCTTTGCACCGCCAGTCGATCGCAGAGTACTCTTTGAGCCGCTCAGTGCGGACATCGTTGGAGATTACGTCATGTTCCATCAGCGGCGGCAAATGCTCGAAATGAAAACCTCGTTTACAAGCCGCACAGCGAAATAGAAGGGTTTGGGTATTGTTGATGAGATTGGGATTGACCTCGGTGATGGGATCTTCCCCTCCGTTGTCCAATCGCAACTTCTCTTCCTGTTTGGGAGTCTTCTTAGTGGAAAATTCGGCACAGGACAAGCCATCCTTTTTGCATGATTGACACATAGCATGGTTTGGCGCATTTTCGTCTTTCTTCTGATACATGCCGATACAAATCCGGCATTGAAGAACGAAGCTGTCCGGCCCGACCTTGGTGACTCTGTGGTCCCTGGAGGATCTGAGGCCGAGACAGACTCTGTGGAACGAATAGGAGCATCCCTGGCAGTAGATGAACGGACCTTTGCCAGCATTGGCGGCACCCTGGCATGTGTCGCATGTTGTCGAATGGAAACTCTCAAATTTCGAATCATCAGGAAGCGACTGAAAGATTTCCTTAACAGAAACGTGCTTGGGAGCAGAAAGTTCCTTCTCGATAATCTCATACTCATCTTGCTCGTCAGGCACTTTCATGCTCTTAGTGTTCCTGTTTGATCTTCCCGATCTTCGATTGGGCGTCTCCTCAAACTCAATCGACGATTCTCTGTCATTGTTGTTGTTACGAGATTGGCTGCTGTAACTAACTCGACCCTTTCTCTTCCGGGCCGAATTTCTGGTATTAGTGGGCGCCAAATCTGATATTACCGGGACGAAGGCACAGCCATCATCGGAGCTATTGACGTTGGCCAACTCATCTTCAGAATAACCGGGAGCAGTATAAGTTGGGAAAGCTACTCTCTTGGGTCTAGTCGTCCGTCGATTGGAGCCGACGCCTGTCTTGGGCTTGTCATCCTCTTCATCAGAAAGCTGAAACCCCTGCAATTCTTGATCATTGCGGAAGTCCGGCTCGTCATCAATAGACTGTTGTCGGGAAACCGTCTGCCTGGTGGAGCGGCGGACTGGGACTCCGATGGCGGTTCGCGAATGCTTCCGAAGGTCATCTTCAATATCTGAATCATCCGACTCATACTCGTGTCTGGTGGATCGACGGAGTGAAGGCCTTTCTAGAGCTCGAGCACCTTTCTTAGTAGTGTGATAAGTATCTGAATCATCTGAGCCACCATCCTCTGTATAGTCATCCTCGGGTCGTGGCCGCTTGCTTGATTGGCGCCCCATCCTCATTCGTTCCAACCCGAATTCTTGATCACGGTGAAAACTCCTGAGAGTTCGATCACCATTAGGATAGGTGATTATATCGTCAAAGGCCACCTAATGATGATTGAAGTCAGCACCAGGGCAAATTTGTAGAAGGCGCATGACGGGGTTTATGTCAAGGCAAGATGGCTGCAAGCAGGCAAGCGCCACGTGAGCATGTTATAAGTATAATCAAGGCAAGTGCGGAATACGTATCCAAACCCTCTCATTCTGCCAGGTGACATACCATCTTGACTCTCCTTTTCAAGTTTGGCGAAGGGCTGGTATATAGATGGCAAATGTTGGGAGATGCAGAGGTCTTGGTAAGGTGTACAGGCTGTGATTGGGAATTCTGGGCATGTAAAGAGGCAAGGTTAGATGCATGGGAAGGTGCAGTCAGGTCTTCCTGCGAGTCTGGAAAACCGCGTTAACATTGACGAGGGTTGGGGAAATAGGTCAGGATGCCTTCAAGGGCAAGAGCTGCCAAGGCACCACTCCAACAAACTTAGTAAAGGTTGGTGAAATATTCAGAACTTGTCCCAAGGGAAGTTTTAAGTAGATGTTTGTGAAGTAGGAGGTGTTTGTGAAGAAGTAAACGGGTGTGTAGTGGTGGATGACTGCGAAGTAGGGGATGGTTGTTGGTTGATTGCAAAGGAGGAAATCAGTAAAGGAGGCAAGGCTTATTCTGGCAACAGAAATATGACTCCAGATCAAAGGAAGGCGCAGCTATAAGAGTGGAATTCACTTACTTGATCAACTCGACCATCGTCAAATTCAACGCTGTACCAGGCCTCACCTTCTTTTAGGTGGATTTCTTCAAGCACCTTTTCCACAGTCCAGCTTGGCGGCAATCGTTTGTACTGGTCAGGATCAGGTGGCGGGCTGAGAAGAACCTCAATGGGATAAAGTCGGCGCTTCACAGTGGTGCTGAGGGGTTTTACTTCGTCGTCTATGATGATACTTCCAGCATCCACTTCGGGTTCAGCAGGCGTATTCTCCGCATCTACTTCATACCCTATGGTTTTACGATTTTCTCCCAATGCAATTTCTGCAACCATTTGGTCTTCATATTCTTCATATGGAGCCATCACCTGGTCTTCGTTCATGTTGTGATCAGCCCCTGGTTGCCCAGCGACTTCCACCTCTCCGTGTATTTCCACATCTTCACCAATTGGGATGTCCTGGTTCCCTTGCGTCACCAAATCCTCACCAAAATCCATGATTTCCAAGTGTAGGAATCTGCCAGCTCATCGGGGTACAACCGCTCGAGGCATGGCAAGATGATCGGGTTCAGCGGGTTAGGAGGTGTACAGGGAGCCTGGATATTGGTTGGCGTTGAATTGTTGTATTGTTGAATTGAACTGTAAAGTGTCAATAAGATGTTGGCGTATGGTCACATACCGTTCTTATAATGGGAGCCTCTAAGTTTGGCAGGCCATTGTGAGTCGTGAACGTCGACTCAATTGAGGTAAGCAGTAGTAAGGTCAGGATTTGTGCCAGAAACGCGACTTTGACTTGACTTTCCTCACCACGCGTTAATGGCCCGAGAGTTTACGATAAGATAAGTTCGACGTCACAGGGGTGTGACTGACCCCAAAAAATTATCTCCGGGTTGATTGAGTGCTGCTGAGTCTTCACATGCGCATCCACCTGGACTTCACAACACAACAACGTTGTTTTTCTACAGTCACACAGCTTGTTCAGCCAGTTGCTGGAAACATGCGATGAGACAATTCAACCCCTCATATTTTAAATCTAGGCATACTCTGTTGTTCACCAGGAACCGTAGCCCTTTTGGACTTGGCAATGGCCTCTACAATCAGTACTCGTCCCTCTCAGCTATCCATCGAGGGCTGCGCGAGTCAGAAAAAGCCAGACCCCAAGGCTTCCAAGCCGGCGCTTTGAAAACGGAAGACTCCAGTCGAATCACGAGCGCAAAAAGAGGCCCTTCGCGGAGCCGACGGGGCCAGGATGATTGGGCAAAGCCGGACTACAAGATCAAGAGGGGCAAAAAGGACATCACCGACCAGGGACCGCAACCGAAGTCGAGAAAGGCGCGTTTCCACGATCCGACCGAGGGCTTTGGGAAGAAAAGCCTGGTCTACCAGCTGAAGCATGGAGCGTTACGGGACCAATTGGCTTCAATGACGACCGACGAAACATCCGGCGGTGATTCACGACCTTCGAGAGGACGAGGACATGGAGACAGGTTTGATCAGTCTCAGAACCGGCGGCCCGCTTCAAGGAGCTTTGAAGACAAGTTTAATAACAAGGTCGATGACAAGCTCGGCAACAAACCGGGGTCTGGAGGCTTTGGAGACCGCCCTTCGTCGGGCAGAGGAAGAGATGGAAACTTTGGAAACCGCTCTTCGTTTGGAAAGGGAAGAGGTGGAGGCTTTGAAGACCGCCCTTCATCGGGCAAAAGAGGCGCGGGAAACTTTGGATACCGTCCTTCGGCAGGACGAGGAAGAGGTGGTGGCTTTGGCGATAGGTTTGACAGGGCTTCAGGTTCTCAGTCTGAAGAACTACCATCAAGGGAACCAGCGAGGTCTGATGAGGGCCCGTTGTTTGGGGAAAGAAAATCTGGTCGTTCGGGAGAAATCTTCAAGCCGCGTGAGAGTGAGCCAGGATCGTTTGGCGAGAGAGGTTCTGGTCAATCAAGAGGAGGGTTTGAATCCCGTCGAAGTGAAACATCATCAGTTGGTGAACGAGACTCTGGTCGAACAGGAGACTTTGAGCCCCGTCGTAGTGAGCGCTTTGGCTCGGACAGATTCCGCGGTAGTCGAGATGCTCGACCTGAGGGTCAGGCCCGGGAGGACCGATATTTCCAACCCAGGGAGGACAACCCCACACGTGAACGATTCCCACCAGAAGGTGAAAAGAGCGATTACTCATTCCGCAAGAGCCCCCCAAGAGACGATATGCCCATTCGTATACACCACACAACCGCTGCGTCTCAGTTTTTGTACGGGCGATCTGTAGTCGAAGCTGCGCTCAAGAACTCGCGCCGACAGCTCTATCGGTTGTACGTTTACAGCGGCGAGGACCGCCAGAATCTCGCTCAAGATGCGCATCTTGAAAGACTCGCTTCGCAAAAAGATGTCGAGATCACTAAGGTCGCAGACCAAAATGGTCTTCGAATGATGGACAAGATGAGTGGCGGCCGACCCCACAATGGCTGCATCCTTGAAGCATCTCCTTTGCCCCAGCTGCCTCTCAAGGGGCTGGGCGCCATGTCAGAAGACCCTGCCAAGCCAGGATTCAGCATCGAGCTGACCCATCAGTCCGTCGAAGATGCGTTGGTCAATGGCACATCCGATTTCATCAGCTACCGGACTCGGGGCGAGCAGAAACCTTTCATACTACTCCTGGATGGGATCCTCGATCCTGGCAACCTTGGAGCTATTCTACGTACAGCCGCTTTCTTGGGAATCACGGGTGTTGTCATCACGAAGCACAGCTCTGCCACGCTAAGCCCCGTAGCCCTGAAAGCGTCTGCGGCGGCGTCGGAAGTCTTGCCGTTGTACTCGATAACATCGACAGTCGACTTTCTCGAAAGATCCAAGGAGTCTGGCTGGATGACGTATGCTGCGGTTCCATCTGGCCCTCGTTCCCGGGGCAATTCGCATATCACTTTGGACCGACTGGAGTCCTATGACCCCTTGTCGACTCAGCCGACCATACTCGTCGTCGGCAGCGAGGGAGAAGGTCTCAACCGACAGGTCAGGCGGATTGTGGACTTTGAGGTTTCGATACCCAGTTATTCTGGGTTGCTGAGTGTCGTTGACAGCTTGAATGTTAGTGTCGCGACGGGTATTCTTTGCTCTGCATTCTTGAAGAAGTCGCAAAATTTCGAGATAGACGAATCGGCAGACAAGCAAGAGGAGGGCAACCAGTTGTGGTAATGGAAGCACTGAGGTGTGCTGGCGTAAAATCGCGTGTAACAGAGGACGTACTCGGATGTAGATATATTGTACCATACTTGTACAATTTGTCATAGACACAATACCCCGTCTCAATTCTTGGGTGTTCAAGAGACTTCGGGGCATGGAAATGAGGTCATTGCTACCTTGATCGCAGCTACAAGGATCTTCAAGATCTGCACTCTGTATGCAGGGGGAAGAATTCTAACCTAGAAGGAGACCATTCTGGGAATGTAGCTATTGTACAGAACACCTGCGTAAATTGCGCATTTCAACCATGAGCAAGCATTTGACAAGATGCGCTGACACACAGGATTAAGATGTGCAGAAGAGGTTTCGAAAGCTGACTCTGAATTATGAAACTGGACCGCGGTCTTAGCTGGTACCCAAGTCTAACGTAGGGCAGAGCCGACAGCTCAAGGTCTCCAACTTTCTACGTTGTGGCTGTTAGCTTTGCCGGCTCCCAACCACTCATTTTGGAGCTTCGCCCGAGCCACCGTGCCATCTCATGTTTCTTTGAAATGTCTAGAGGCCAAGCAGCACCGACTTGCATATTCACTGACCGAGAAGCTTTCCATTTCGAACTTATTATATTTAGCTTGCAGCAACAGTTCAACGGTCGCAAACTCTGGTTCTTGATTGGGACAATGCTCATCATTGCGTCTCGTTAATAAGCTTCAACAGCAGGACGCTACTGAGGCTATCGCGTTAGCTGCCAAGTTGAAGTCGCGAATTTTCGAAGTTCATGGGAGCTATCTGCCAGCTTTGAACCAGGACTCGAAGACGCATTTTAGAACCACCTACAATCCAGCTTGCAGCGACCCTCCGGGCGGCGACGATGCAACTCTTGCCAGGTCTCCTCGGCCTCCCGACGTCCCTGCTGCTTCTCATTGCAACACACGTGAAAGCACAGCAATTGCCCACAGCAGTCAAGAGGATGTCACCCGACGAAGGCGAAAAAATCTTGCCGCATTACCTGGCATTCGCTCCCGACTTCTCTTTGGCTCAGTCTCCAATGCTGGCACGTGGGCTCCTCAGCCCGGATGAAGAACTCCTGCTGTTGGCAAACAACTCCGCCACCTTGTCCTTCAGGCCACCTTTTGGGGTGCTCTACGGGGAGGATAACGAAAGCCCGAACAGCAAACAAAACGTGTTCCGCAGGGCGAAAGATGCACTTGCACGTCTCGGCCGTCGACAGTATGCCTGCCCCACTGACACGGAGAGCTGCGACAACATTGATCAGCCCAACTACTGCTGTGCCGTTGGCGAGATTTGCTTCGTGGTAGAGAATGCGCCTGATGCAGGAAACGTTGGATGCTGTCCCGAAGGCCAGTCTTGCGGAGGGGGCGTGGGCAACTGCGGGACGGGAAGCACGGCATGCCCGGCCGACTTAGGGGGAGGCTGCTGCATCGAGGGGTTCTCATGCGCCTCCGTCGGTTGTATCGCAAGCTCCGTCTCCATTATCACACGGACTACCACTAGTACCTCGACAACGGTTAGATCTGGATCGACACCAACGACGCAAGTCACAACCGTCGTCATCACCATCACATCGTCAGCCGGTGAAAGTGGCCAACCAACGACCAGGAAGGTCACGCCATCCCAGACCGGTACGGACCAAACAGCAACGGAAACCTCCAGAGTCAGCGCACTGCCGCCTTACCGGCCCACTTCCGGCACTACCTCCACTGCTGTAGTCACGGACTCTGCCACAGCCACCAACGATTATTGTCCAACCGGCTTCTACGCGTGTCTCGCAAGGGCTGGTGGAGGTTGCTGTCGCACAGGCCGTGACTGTATTACGACCTCGTGCCCACCGATTTCCTCAACGACTATAACTACAAACGGCGCCACTGTTGTAGTGGGCGGGGACGTGTCAGCCACAACGATAACATCTACTTGCGCCGGGGGTTGGTTCCTGTGTGGAAGCGACGCGGGACCCGTTGCAGGATGTTGCCCCAGTGGTTACTCATGTGGAACGGCTAGTTGCACTTTGAGTGCTGCTACTGCAACAGCTACGATACAGAAGGAATGGCCCGGTTCTGGTGGCAGATCAATAGCCATGAGTGCTAGCTTCATATTCGGGCTCGTTGCTTTTGTTACGGGTATGCAATTGATTATGGTATAACATATACAAAATTTGAAGGATGTTGCAAATATATAGTTTAGCAGTAATATTGACATTTTTTTAAAGAGCGATGAAATTACACCAGTCTTTTCGGATACGCATGTTGCGAGGAAACACAGCATAAAGTGTATATGGATTCTGTTATTCGCAGCTCTGTGAATTTGGAGTGTGAATGTGAAATTGATCAATTATGATACACCAGGAGACAAAAAGAGACATGTATAGATTTTACAATAACGACAGCATCATGACTACTTATCAATTCCCACTTCTAGTTGTTATTCCAAAACATACCACCAATTATAACCTCCACCCAATTCGAGAATGAAAACAAATTTCCTATCCTGTACAAATTCACTACAAAGACACATATTATTGTTGCCTATATCACAGGGCGTAAACAATAGCAACACCGGCCAAGGCCAACAGACCGTTAACGCCCAAAGCGGCAGCGCCAGCCTCAACTGGTGACGTGGCCTGGGGATCCGAAGCACCTCCAGCGGTGCCGTCAGCCTGGGTAGTAGTGGCTTGACCAGTAATCTGGGTGGTGGGCGGTACATCGTTCAAAGTGGACGTGGTGCTGGTGCTGGAGGACGAATCAGTGCTCGACGTCACCGTGCACTGACCCGTGGGCAACGTGAAGGTGCCCTGCGAGCCGGCATCGATAACACACTAAATTTACCGATTAACAAATGAAGCATCGTGTTAGACAAAGATACTTACGTTGGAAAGCGTGGCAAAGCTGGAGGTAGAGGAAAAGCTGGAGGTGGTCAAACTGGCGGAACCGGTAACTCCAATGGTTGTGGTCTGGGCCATCGCGACGGCGGCGAAGATGAGAGGGGTGAAGGACTTCATTTTTGTGGTGTTTGAGTTTCGACGAGTGGTACAGCGATGGGAAGAATTAAAATAGTTTTTCAAAGGTGGAGTGAGATGCTGTAAGAGTGTAAGAGTTGATGGTAGTGGATGAGGGACAGAGAAATGTTACTACGAGGTCTAACGACAGACTTATACTAGCATCGTCGCAAATGGCCGCGGGGGATTGAAAATGTAGGGGTTGATTTAGAGTCGTCATTCTTGATACCGGAAACCTACTTACACGCCGACTTACGTAGTCGCTCGTGCGATCTGTTGCCGTTTCCCTTACCCGCAAGAAGAGGTAGAGTTCTTCAAGATGGCTTGTCTATGTAGGGGGGTCCAAAATTGTGGTTAAGCTCTACCGGAATCGCCTTGAGTGGCCCAGGTCGAGTTGTAACTCGAGATTTGGTAACCAGGCCACAGATCACAACGACTAGGTAGCTCAATTAAGAATCCGCCACAACCCTATTGGGTTTACTGAGTCGAAGGGCGGTAATCCTCCGAGACGGTGCGTCAGTTGAAGAGTTCTCCACGTCCGCCCTGGTTTAGTCTTGCGTGATCGCTCCAACTGTATTGCTAGAAGCTGGAGTGTATCCAGTCTATTTTTACCCGAGGTCTAACTTTGCGGTATTCCCATACAGTTTGCAATGCGCTTCCGTATTATCAAGATTTGGGGACGATCTTTCGCCGTCTAGCTTAAATGAGCATTTTACAACCACAAGGTACGGTAAATGTTGATGAAAATGCTGCTTGGACCTCGACTGAACGACTCAGGTTTGGGGGTCCAAACACATTATAGTTAGGTTCCTAAAGTTCCCAGGAAATCCTCCAGCTTACGGCTCGAACCGCCACGCACATGAGGAAAACGGCGCATGGATTTCTTCCCAGGCAACTATATCCACCGGACCAGATTTTACGCCAAGTTGTCCGCTGCAGTTCCCTCTGCTCGGAACCCCCCCTCCCCCAACAGGTCCGAGGTTTCACACAATCTTTTCTATATAATTACCGCGAGGTAACTCCCTTACATCCAGTAATCGGCACGACGTGAAATTACAAGTTCAATGAACTAGACTTAGGCGTCATGAGCATATTGTTGCGGTACGGCATCCAGTGAGAAATGCAGAGCAGCGATTCCAATCATTAGCGCTCAACTGCCAATGACTTGGTTATAAATTGCGAATAGCTTGATACCTGGCTGTGGCAGTTTGAACCGGAAATTCTGAATGGCTTCAAATAATTATTTCTACAGCTCACAATGTATTGGTGAGGGTAGAGGTTCAGGTAAGTCTCGGTGGTCTTGGCAGCAAGCTTATACACCGAAGGCCATATTTTGGAAGTGGCCCGTAATTTCAAGACTTGCCTGGCATCTTATCAAAAATTTTGATATATGTATTTTGAAATGCTGATTGGGAGCATAGTAGTGGCACGATACACAGCGCAACCATATAACCTGTCATGTGTCGTCGAGGTCGGGTTTGGGCTGAAATGAGATTAGTTTGATAAGCTTCTTCACGCAATTACCAGATTGTTTTCTTTGTTATTCTTGGCTGTAAAGCTCTTTTATTGTGTTCAATATGATTCATCAAGTTAGCGCATTGGGGCTCGAATGGTCGCATGTATAGAGGCTGCATATCGTCATTCTAAATACTATGAGCAGTATACCGCTGCACTACATTAGCCAGTATCAATATTGCATAGTACGCCATATTTTGGAGCCATCCATTGCTTGCAATTTCTTAGGTCTTTTACCATCAATGGCCATCTTCATCCGCCCATCTATGTGACTGCACTTCCATCCACAATTTTATTTCGACAAATATGGAGAAGGCTACGAGATACCATCTTGAACGTCACTTCCAAGACTCGAATACCCGCACGGCCTAAATCTATCTTCTTTCCATCTACTATGGGAAAACTGAGATGGTTCTCCGGTGACAATGGAAAAGTTTGGGCTGCGCTGTGCGATGGAAGTACGGATGGAAGGAGACACAATCCACACTCTATCATAAAGTTTACAACCCCATTAGCACAGAGATTAGCTCATATGAAAGGAATAATAAGAACTGTGAGGCAAGTTAAGCCGTGTATATATCGCTTCCATATAATCCACGCAGTATGGAAACTTAATGAGAAGCAACAGCTGGTACGATATAAACAGAGATTCATGAGCAGCAGGGAGAAGAAAGCAGGGTTGAGGATCGTCTGTTCAGAGGTTGACACAAGGATTCTGGGACGATTGATTGGTTCGATTTCCGGATCATGGAGAAAGGAGACTCCCAACAGCATCAGAAAAACACGCCGCTTTGCGGTGATATTGAGTGGTAAGGATGTTTGAAAAAAGTGACTAGACCTTCGGCCTACGGGACACCATAGTGCAAAAAAAAGGACAAAGCCTCGAAACAGTCAGAAAACACTACGGATAATAGTCGTTGTATCCTCTACGTCCATCCGTGTCCGCCCTGGATTCCACATTATTGTATCCTGAGCGGCCGTCGGTATTTTCCCTTGAGTTGACAGAATTGTACCCAGAACGGCCGTCAGTGTCCGCCCTGGTGTCCACATTGTTGTATCCTGAGCGGCCGTCGGTATCCTCCCTTGAGTCGACAGAGTTGTACCCAGAACGGCCGTCAGTGTCCACCCTGGAGTCTACATTGTTGTATCCTGAGCGGCCGTCGGTATCTGCCCTTGGGTTGACAGAGTTGTACCCCGAACGGCCGTCAGTGTCCGCCCTGGAGTCCACATTGTTGTATCCTGAACGGCCGTCGGTATCTGCCCTTGAGTCGACAGAGTTGTACCCAGAACGGCCGTCAGTGTCCGCCCTGGAGTCCACATTGTTGTATCCTGAGTGGCCGTCGGTATCTGCCCTTGGGTTGACAGAGCTGTACCCCGAACGGCCGTCAGTGTCCGCCCTGGAGTCCACATTGTTGTATCCTGAACGGCCGTCGGTATCTTCCCTTGAGTCGACAGAGTTGTACCCCGAACGGCCGTCAGTGTCCGCCCTTGACTCCATAGTGACATAGCCAGAGCGTCTGTCCGTATCCTCGCGCCTATTAAACCGACATCAGTCACTGTCGCATAATATGATCATCTGTACTAGTAGCACTTTCTCTGACATACCCCCGAAACTGTTGGGATCGTTGGTTTGTATTGGATCCAAAACCTCGCGTTACTGTCTCTCCCTGGGTAGTGATTTCCAAGAGACCAGTGGGTAGCGCCAGGCCAAAGCGGGCCAAGACAATGCACATAAAGACGGGTTTCATTGTGAAGTAGAGAATCGAGAACGAGAGTGTCTGAGGGCTGGGTTCTTTGAGGGATGTTGAAGAACGGAGGCGTCAAGAATTTTCTAGCTCGGGGCGACAGACTGTCCTGCTGAGATTCCTCACCTCAGTGCAAAACTGTTTCATTTATAGTTAGATGTGGGACGTTTCCCATTCACCCAACGTCATATTGCGAATTCTATTTGTACATACCACGAGTGCATTTTTGGCACGTTCAGAATTATAGGATTCAAGATGACTGTGACATGATGAGGCTTAGCCGTGCATATCTGCAGAAATCTTCAAGGATGACCAATGGGGAATGAGAAGGCATTGACAATCGCATATTTGCACATCCATCGTGTTCAAATGCGTGATATCCAAGTTGGGCACGTCCCACAAAAATGGATGTTAACCAGGCAGACTCTATTTCAAGCTGCTTACGGAATAAAATAAGTCTCAACGTGATAGTCAGTAGTCTGTAATTCAGGATTTTAAGCTGAGCAAGCGTGCTTAGTATTGAAGGAATGAAGGGGCCGTACTGAAAGCCACTGATAGGCAGGGTTTACGCCGCTTTCGCTCCAAGACCTATACAGCCCCCAAATAGGCTTACAACACTCGGAATCACCGAGTTCTTTAGAATAGCCTACCAATAGATCACGAGTTCAAACCCAAGCAGAGTCTTTGACAATGAATTGCGACGTCCAACTGAAGAATTGATGAACCAAATAACTAAAGTAATCCGACCCCTTAGCCATACAGACTGACAGTGGTCGAATGCATTTTCTATCATGTCAACTGTTCTTTATATCCTGTACAACGTGCCCGATGATCACCATTTGTGAGATTGCTACAGAACCCGTCGAGTTGAGTCTGGAATATGTTGGCGATGCCAAGTGTCATGTTCGGGTTTAGCGGCCTCCAATGTGACCGATATTGGTCATCACTAACGTACGTTCCCAGTTTGAGGCTCCAACGTGGATCCCGGCCCCCAACCTTGGAACCAAAATCCATGCCTGTGGGCCCTTATCTTCGGCTCCAAAATTTGGGCGCTTAACTTCTGGCGCCACAACTACTGGTCACCTTCCAGCATCGACTTGCCGTGCGCTCTTGATAAGCCCTGGCTGTCGCGGATAACCATGGTGCCGTTCAGTATCCCTGTCCATGATGAAATAATCTATCGATGCTACCGCAGGCTAACATACGTTGTGAGTCTGAAAATGTCCCAAGGATCTAGGGAGACAATAAAGCTAACACTAACCCCAAAGCCCGAGTCCTCGAGCTCTCATACTCCCACAGTTTACTACTGATATATGCAAAGCACATGGAGTAGGCTTGAATATGTCATTGAGCATGTTTTAGCGTGCTAGGGATTGTTTGCAGTCAGTCCCCAAGAACAAACCCCAAACCCATCATGTCCTGGACTATGTAGCTCCATCCTAGTCAACCCAGTTCAGTACGTCAAATCGGTCTCGAGACAGTGATCTACGTAGACCGATGTTCGACACCAAGCCGAGAGTGGGCCGAAACACCACGTCGCAATCCCGGACTTCCAAACCTCTCTTCGACGCCCCTACCCACTAACCCCAAGGGCAAGAACCAACCCAACCGCCGCCACCTGTACACTCCCCAATCATCTAGACAATACCCAGTGTTGGGGCGAGAAGGCAGCACCGAGATCAGAGCTCATCCACGTCATTGTCTTCCACCATTTTGCTCAACGGTCCCTTCTTGACCATCATGCTCATAATCTCGTAGAGAGCATCTGCTGCAGCCATTGTGGTATGCTCGGCGTTCGTGTCGTAGGCAGGCTACTGGGCATCAGCGATCTTTCCTAAAGACCAAAAAATTAGTGATTTGCCTTACCGCAACCTCAACAATGTCGGCGCCGATTAAATTGATATCCTCCAATCCCCTGAGGATAGTGCGCAACTCTCGCGTGCTCCAGCCCCCCGTCTCGGGTGTACCAGTAGCTGGGGCAAAGGCAGGATCCAACGTATCAATGTCGAGCGAGAGATAGACGGGCTTGGTCGTGCCGACACGATCGATGATCTTCTTGATGATGCCATCCGTCCCGATGGTGTCGATCTCCCGAGCCTCTACAATCTCGAAACCACAATAGCCGTCATTCTCGTAGTCACTCGGTCCGCTAAGAGTCGTGCGGATCCCAGCGTGGATGTTGGAGTCATTGGCAAGCAGACCCTCCATGGCGGCATGGTAGAAGTACGTGCCATGGTTGATACTGGCAACCTCGGAGGGCGAACCTCCAAATACTTTGGGTCGCCCTTTCATTCTTTATTAGTTGAAATTAACATGAGGGGGCATGATGTTTACATGTATCCAGATGGCTATCGAAGTGGATGACTGAGACCGGCCCATATGCTCTGTTGATGGAACGAAGTAGAGGAAGAGTGATGGTGTGGTCACCACCAAGAGTAATGACACGAGGGAGTGTTTTTCCCTTTTTGGCCGGGCCGGCCTTCTTGGCATCCGTCTTGGGCGCTCGCGAGAGAATACTGTAGTGGCCCTCTTCAATTTGCTTGAGAGCCCACGAGTTATCGTACCTGAACTGTGTCAGTATCTGTCCACGAGGGGATCGTCCAAGTGCGAGCTCACGATGTCACTGGAATATCTCCACAGTCGAGAACCTTTGCCCAGCCGTCGAAGGGGTTTGTGGCGAGCGGGACGTTATAGCCGCCGCTAAAGCCCACACTGTCAGTACCTGTAAGCTGGTGGAGCTAAGCTGAAGGTCATACTAGAGATTCAACCGGCGAGATCCTTGACGGATACCTGACGGGCCAAAGCGAGCACCTGGCCTGTATGACGTGCCAGTATCGAAAGGAGCCCCTTTTACGCTGTCAGCCAAACGATAGGATTTAACCTGAGCCAATGCATCTACTTACCAATGAATGCAATATCGTACGAGGCGTCTTTATAACTCAAGCAGGGCTGGTAGGGGAGGCGTCCAAAGGTGGAAATGCCTGAGAAAACCGAGTCGGCCTAGAAGTCCCGGTCAGGGTATCCCTCCCAGACTTATGGGCTAGTCAAGATAGACTTACCTGGGTTCCACCGTCACCTGGCAGTGTATTGGTGTACCACAGAGACTGGTGGGGACCAGAACGAGGCTTCTGATCATCGTGTCCCTCATGAGCAACAACACTAGTGGCAGCAAAGCCAAAGGCAAGGAATGAGATCAACATCTTGTGTAACTCCAAGCGGCCAAGATGAATTGTGATAGAAGTTAAGTTGGAAACTTTTCTGATCAAGAACTGGCTTCTGCTTGATCTTTATGATCCCAGAGCTTCATGCAGGGCCAGCTTTTCGTGCTAGGATTGGTAGGAGCATGCCATCCATCATTGCTGCAGAATGTGGCATGGCCCACGGCATCTTGGAGCTTATCTTCAAGTGCCATCCACTCAGAAGCTTATACCACAGCCAGAGAACTTGCTGATGTTGCAGTAGATGTCCAGCATGCATAGTGTATTAACGTGTCATGGAACTCATTACCATTAGGTAACTGGAGATGGTTAGGGAGCTGTCTGCAACGATGACATAGCTTGATTGTGCGGGGCATGAGATAGATAAAGCTTCCGTGTAAGCCAAATCTTTGCTCGCCCGGACCCGATGGATTATTGCCTACCGCCTCCGCAACTTTGGCCGAACCTCCGCAATGGCAGATGTCGTAGGATGTAGTGTGCTCCCGATAGCCGCAAAGTTCAACGTAATCACGCCCTCTCCCCAAATGACGGAGAGGGGAGGAGATAGTATAAGCCAGCCAAATGCAGAACCAAGGTGGGGAAATTCTTGCTAACTTGCGATACAGAATATGTATAACGATCGGATTGATAACAAACTGCCGGGAGTGTGCATATCGGTGAGAAACAGAGTGATCTCATCAATGGATCATATGCTGCACCTGGTCTATTCCAGCTTTTGATGAATAATGCTATGCCACATGCTTCCTACTCCTGCTAGGTAGAGGCGTAATTAAATATGTAGTGACCATTCTGGCTGAACTCGGATCCGTCCCTTTTCATGAAGTGGTAAGTCTGCTTTGAGAGAGATTCTAGTTAGAGCAACTGATGTTCATGTGACAAGCATGCCCAAATGAAGATCTCAAGAATAATTACGCGACAACTAGTGAATGAATACGTTCGGGGTGAGTGGGAAATATGAAGGCCGTTGAGGCATAACACCGTGACCGCCCATCTTCTACTTGGAAGAGGGGCCACTCGAAACGTCCAACCGGGGCAGCTGTGATGCTCAAAGCCGAATGATGCATCGTACTCTATGTCATAAGAATTATTGATTCTAGCGTTGTTAAGCAGTACGCTTTGGAGCTCAAAGTTCAGTCCATGTAGGTGCCGTTCGGGAGGTGCCGAGGTTGCTTTTGAGCTCGAGTGCACTTAGATGACCTTCTTGTTAGCACGTATGAGTAGCAATCCTATTGGACAGGAGGAACTTGACCAAACTGCAACTTGGTACTGGACGAATATCCAAGCCAATCAGATATCGGTTGTTGTTGATTGTCTGCGCCGCTGCAATTTTGAATAACTTGTATGAAGGAGGTTTCTATTTCGCCTGGGACTTTGGGGTCATGATGATTATCTTGCACTACACTGCATAGATGGGGACCAAGAAACGTCAGTGCCCTTGAGATCCGCAAATGAGGTTCGGTCTGTGAGAACGTGGATTCCAATTGGCAATGGCAAGAAAGCACCCACCTATACTCGACACAGCTGAGTATACTCGCCAATCTACAATATACTCAAAATGGAGATGAATGCCAAAGTCAGGTCATGGAAGAGGAGAAAATGGCGGTAATGAGTTGCCGGAGACTGACAGGCTGTCCTTTTCTCAGTCCGAATTCCAGCCACCACCCTTCCAAGGAGCGAAGTCGCTTGGAGCAGATGGTCTCGCGCTCCGGCGATCCGGGCTCTGATTCGACTCGACGTGCTGCACGTCTGCAGAAATGGAACGACAGCTTTGGCCCGATCTAGAAGCTGATTTGTCTACTGGCGCGGTCTTAATGCAAGAGGTCCACGCCCGCGGCCCAGTCGTAATCGTTGTTGTGAAAATTTCGCAGCACAATTGGGATGCAGAACGGATGCTTTGTCCTACACCGTAGTTGGCCACACAGCCAGAAGTAGTGCCCCCTGAACTTTCGACAGCCGTCGAGACCATGGACCCCTCTTTCTGCTGTGCAGCAAGAATCCGATTTCTTGGCAGACTCGTATGCAGCTGTCGCAAGAATTTTTGTAAGAGAACGAGCTACACAGCACGGCGATGTGACGATTCAAAGCCGGTCTTTGCAAACGTTCAATCACGGTACACTGACCTTGTGGGGGCATGTACTTGTCATGTACACAAGGGCACATGATAGCGAACAGAGCAGTTGAGCAGTTGCCGGATGTGGCCATTGCAATGATCAAATGATATCTCGGTAAGATGGAGCCAGTTTGGTGGAACTACTCTGCACCGTCTTCGTCTTCGACTTTACGGACACCGAGTGACAATCTCCTTGTTCTCGTGCAGATGCGACGCGGGCTTCAGCTGTCACTGCAAATCGGTACGTGGTATGAAGTACATCAGCTTTGGCGCTAACCCACCTGAGCATTTGACTGGGCCTCCTACCCCCCCAGCCACTCGTCCACTCGAACACTTTGAGCAAGGCGGGAAGGCAGGATTGAGGGAAGTCAATGGGATCTCCCGTCCAGGATTCGAAGCCAATCCTCCGTCTCTCTGACGTTGGCCGTGAGCGATCCGTCTGGTTTCTTGAGCAGCAGGTAATCGTAACGGCCATAAAACAATACTTCTTTTTTATTTCCGAGTCAGCCAGTCAGTCTTCAGATCGGTACGACAACACAACACCTGTCTCGCAATCGAGTGCGAAATAGGCGCTAACGTTGGCATTGTCGAGTGGCTACGTCTAATAAAGTATGCTTTTTGCATCATGGGTTGCGAGTCGCTGAGCGCTCGGTCAATGTGGTCTCCGTACTATCTCAGCCTCTGCCTGGGTTAAATGACCCCTCGACCTGCAGTTGCTCTGCAGGGAAAAGTCGAACCGCCTCTCAGAAGAAAGGAGAGACGACTGCATTCAAGACAGTCTAGTTCTGCATCGCACAAGTACTCCCCCGAGGCAATACCGCCTACCGCAATAACCTCTGCCTCTGCGCCGTACTTCGTACTCTTTATCGAAAAGGTCCTCACAACTTCAGCACTGAAACGCGCTTTTTCAATATGCGAAGCGTTACCCGCCGTGTCGGACCGAGTCAGCGAGCTTTATGAGTGAAGTCATCATTGCCGGAAAGTGGTGCAAACCACACGCTGCGATGCTCGCACCTACTGAAACCACGTCGTCGACCGCCCAGGCTGGCCTGTATTTCGATCCACTCAAGTTCGATCGCTCCTCCTTGCCGGCTGTCCCATCCAGCCAGAGGGCATTTAAAAAGCACAAAGTCCTCCCACATCCTAGAAACAACAAGCCGTACACCACCTACGAAGCACGACCATCGGGTCAACTGAACGCTGAACCATGCGCCGTGCCCGCGAGGCCGACCCTTCGGTCGTCGAAACCACCGTTACGAAGGGTTAGACCACCTGATCCTCCCCCGACCCCGCCAACGCATTCTCGTGCATCCTCGAGTAGCCAGTCTGTCTTGCCACCAAGTCCAACCTACGTTGAGAGCCCAGCGGCGAGTGCTCCGAGCGCTGCGGGGAGGCTACCAAGCACGCCCCCGAACCAAAGAAGCCCTCCCACTCCCGATGTGACACCACCCGACCCAACGCGGAGACCGAAAGCCTTCCGTCCCGTCCTGGCCGACCGCATTCCTTCCAAGGCTACAACAGCAGATTCCCGCGCTGACTCGTTCAAGACGGCGCGGGAGACTCCAGGTTCATCAGCTGAGGATTTGACCCTGCGTCTGAGGGCGTCTTCTGGTCGAACCTCCCAAAGCACAGTGCGGCAGTCCAAAGATCCGAAACAGAATACAACGCAGGGCTTGGGCTTGCGATTAGAATCCGAAGAAAACTTGACACCGCGGACGAAACACGAGTTTGTTGCTTTTGATGGGGAATGGGGCTCCGCAAACGACGTTGAGCAGGAATGGGATGATAATCTCATGCGGAATGTGACGGTGCGAAAACGGCGGAACCCACCCAAGGGCAAGGGATCGAATGGCCGCAAGCACGAGGTTGTTGAGGTTGTCGAAGATGTGACAATCACGCCGACCAACGCGACAAAGGCCTTACGCTCCATACCCCTGCAAGATCGCGTAGAAACGGTTGACTCCTCGCCAACCAAAGAACTTGGAGACCGGGGCAGCAAGCATTGGACCGCGCTCTCAACCTCGGAATCCTCAATAAGTACCAATCCCAAAAGATCATCTGGTATGTCTACCAAATCTACCGTCTCTACCATCGTGGAGGCCATTTTGGTTGATACGCCGCCTCAACGGCTGAAGACACTGCGACACGTTAAGAAGCAAACGGGACTCAGGGATTCCAGGTCAGACCTTTCTCCTTCCAGCTCTACTACAAACTCGATTGGCTTGGACGAGAACGTGAGACATCCTAGAGGGAGGGCCAGATTTAACGTCGCTCGTTCGGAGAGTCTTGCGTCATCTGGAACTGTCAGTTCCCTAGCCAGTCGCAAAGCACGCCGTGAGGTGTGGAAGAACGGAGGCATTCCGGTCATTGTCATTCCCGACAGAAGGACGTCAATGAAATCTATGGCGACGCCCTCGCTTAGGTCCACGAGCAGTCGCCGGTCTCAGAGAAGCAACAGCCTGAGTTCGGTGCCTCTGTCTAGTGTATCCAAGGCTAAAGAAAAAGACTTGTCACTTTACCTTGACCGGCCTTCTCGTAGGGGTAGAACCCTTTCAGAATCTGACGGCTCACTTCCAGGGGACCAGCGGACTATAGACTATCCCCCAATGGTTCCAGTTCGAACGTCTTCCCTGTCGGCACCAACAAGCAGGAATACGTCCCGTGCGGGCTCTCTTGCGGGCTCTCGAACTGGGTCCAGATCGAACTCGCTGACTGCAGAGAGCCTAACGGCGCACAATGCGGTCCAGGGGCAGCACAAGCGATTGCCACCACCCAAAGTTACTGTGGAACGTGTCCCCTCCGTTGAATACATCCCAGCCGAGGAGGACGAGGGCGATCAATCCCGTCAGAAACAACTTCAACCGGCCCCTTCCGTCGAGTCGCACAGAGATGCGCATGACCACAGGCCACTGGTTGACCACAACGGGGACCCGTTCTTCGGCAAACGACTGACCACGCACAACACACCATTTTCCATAGCATCCGTCGAGACAAACGGAACACACTCTGCAGCAGAGGTTTCGGAAGCCATGGCGGTGAACATCTACCCGCACCAGAACAAATCTGTACTCATGGTCGATCACACCTCATCGAAATCCGGAGAGACAAACGTTTTACAGAGGCAAAGGTCTGCTGGGACGGATGAGATGGCGACGACCCCGGTAATTGATAAACCCAAGATCATAACCAGCAGTCCTGACGGGGGCCCCGTCACACCTCCCCAACCTTGGTTTTCCATGGACGAAGTGGATTCTCCTCTACGAAATCCACGTGCACCTCCCGAACCCCCTGCCCTTGCTGTCCCTCCTCCTGCAATTAAGTTCATTCCAGCTACTCCATCGGGCCTCACTCCCGCTGCGGACAAGATGAAGATGCTTGGCAACTACTTCGAGGAGACTGAGAGGCGGCCTTCGCTGGTCAAGCGGGCTTTGAGTCTGCGCGTAAGTTCAGACGGCAGTGCTCAGCGTCCGGGATTCCTCCTGCGCACTCTGTCCATGTCCAAGAATACTCACAAGGACACATCCGAGAATTCAGCGGTGGAAAAGGGGAAAGACGCCATATTGACTCAATATCCCACTGCCAATGATCCACCGCCTGATGAAGCCAGGTTACATCCATTCTGGCGGCCAACCTCCTCGCTCTTCGACAGCCAGGGCGACGAGGATTGGGTCTATGACATAACCGACGAAGGCGATCGAGTTTACAGATACCCGCCTGTTGATAATCGCCCCTCACCTCCACGCCGCTCCCTTAGTCAGCGGATGAAGAATACGTTTGCCATATTGCCTGTGGCTAACGATGATCATTACACGGCAGCCGACAGCTACGGGCCCGAGAGGCGCACCATCAAACGCACCAAAAGTGGCAATCTTCGTGTCATGCGACATCAGAATAGCTATAGCAGCATGCGCTGGGGCCGTTCTGCTTCGCCCTCGTCATTGCGCCATCGTTCGCAGTCGCAAGCCATGACTGGCCAGGGTCGACCTTCCACGGCGCCTGACCGAACGGGCCGCCGCATGTCGGGAGTCGAGAAGCGTGTCGATACCCGTGGTCGACGGTTCTTTCCGGGCTGGCAAGACAAGTTCGAGCAGTACGGCTTGCAGAACCTGCAGCGCAGACTGAGTGAACATAGAAGACAGAAGAGGACCGACGCGTTGCGTGGGAAGATCAGCGGCCCCCGCGAGGTTAGGGATGGCGTTGGCGAGGTCATCAAACGCAAAAGTTACAAGGGCCAAGTTATCAGACTCCATCTGGCATCACGAGCGACACGGGTGATCGCACCGAACGGCACAGCCAATCGGACGGTGTAGAAAGAGCTCCACGGGTTCAGGTCCAAGTCTAGAGGGCAGATCAGGACGCCTGGATGACGGTGTTTGCCACATTTGACTGAATGTCTTTTTTTCAGTTTGGCTTTTCACTCTGCGGCGCGGCGATGCGATTCTTGACAACAAAAAGACTAAAAGGAGCACGACGCTCAACACACATTTACAACTAAATATCCGACACGCGTTCATGACCATTATGAGAAAATGACCAACAGCAAACCGGCAAGCCCTCTCGCCCCCAACATACCCACACTGCGTATACGAAATACGAGATTGTTGTCACATCTTACAGGAGGAGGGATAAAGGGGGTATTTCGGTGTTCGTCCCATCAAGATGTACAGGGATGACGTTATGATTTGATTTTTGTTTTGGGATTTGGGATGTACGGGGTCCAGGAGATCGTGCTGGGATCCCGGTGCTGTTCTATCACTTATGATGATGATGATATATGCAAAGCAATGAAGGTAGGTTTTTGGGGAGAGACAGGAAGCCGGACCGAAAGAGTCAAAAAAAATGAAATCATGTTGTACTATTATAGATGATTTTCATGATCGATACCACTACAATTCTGAGACGATATTCGCGAGCATGGGTCGTCTTGACAATCTCGGCGGTTTTCGTTGTTGCTCTTTAGACATGACGCTTGTGTGGATGACCCCAGGCCTACTGGGGTTTTCTGTTGTTTGGACAAATTTCGGATTGGCATGAGCTGGATGTTAACATTGAAGACATTTCGTGGCAGACGACTGGCTTTATTTACCCCTTTGAAGTCTGCTCGTAGGTTTTGTTGGTGTATGGTGTTTATTGTACGACTTACTCACTGGTGGTTCGAGGCCGGGGAGATTTCATAGCATTGGTAACCAAATACGAAGCGAGCTGTCTTGCTATCGACTGAATGAACACTGCCTACTTTGGTGGATTTTGTTCTGCAGGAGAACCAGGGGCGAACGTATGGTAACGAACATTGCTGCTAGTTCATACGCATGAGGACATTAGGACGGCCAAGGTCTCGCTTATTACGCCCATACCAGGTGCGTCTCTGCAATAAGCCCTTTTCTCAATGAAACGGTGCGAGTGGATTATGCCGCAAGCTTGGCTGTCATTGCCCACTGCGCTATGAAATCCGGCCTGCGGGATGAACTCATGACTTCGAGTTTGGGTCTGTAGGATACGGCATGAACGCGGCTATACTTAGCAGCACAGATTATAATGACTTGAAGGGCGGGAACTGGCTCACAATGCAGCGTCTATTTGAGTAACATGTGGCCCTGTGCCTATCAATACAATACTTTGATCTATCTCCATCGACGCCTTAATCATGCCATGATGGTATCCTTTGAAACTCTGAAAAGCAACCAAACTCCGGAGCCGAATCGTGCTTACTGCCCCCCATCCTTCCATACATTCTCCCCTTTTGCAAAAGACAGCGACTTCATTTTCAATCGTCTGCGGGAGTCTAATTAAGCAGGTATTCTGATTGCCAAGTCTTTTAGATGGACGTGAAAGTCCGCTGAAGCCTTCATACATCTGATTGTGGAGGAGCGCAGTGATATATCGCTTTGCTTGGTACTGTCAGGGTGTTTCTCCTGATGTCGCATGATTTGAAGCTCACGTCTCCTCTCCTTCGTCCAATGCTACATTGGTCAGATCATCTCACCAGGTTTGCCAAACATATTGACGCTAGTCGCGTCGAGACCTTTGGTGCGGATTCTCCATTCTCCCAGACGGCCTCTGGCTGGGTGGAGTATAATGCTGTCTATTCCATCCAGAGCTTTCATGGTGATTCTCCTATCTCCCAGGAGGGCCTTGGCCGGGTGGACCAGCGAACTGACCCGGAGGCGGCATACCTGGGAAGGGGAAAGGCGGCGCGCCAGCTGCTCCAGGAGGTGGAAATGGGAACGGCATCGGCGGGAGGTTGGCATGGCCGGGACCTGGAGGCGGAAAAGGCGGCATTCCACGACCACCTGGGGGAGCTTCTAGTCTGTCAGATCCCGTTCTTATATCTCTATTTGCATTTCCACCACGACTTGTACCAGAGGGTTGGAAGCGATGAGACGGATTGAACTTACGCGGTATGACCTGCGGGAACCCAGCAGCACCAGGCGGAGGAGGCGCGCCGGGCATCCCCGGGAACGGCGGCGGCATACCTCCGGGGAAACCAGCAAATGGCGGCGGCGGAAGGCCTGCGGGAAAACCTGGGGGTGGAAGGCCGTGACCCCCGTGCAGGCCGGGCTGGTTCTGGGGCAGCATGGGATTGGCGTGGGCCTGGCCCTCGGCAGCGTACGACGACGTGATGGAGTCGATGACGGACTGGGCCTTCTCGTGGCCGATCTGCTCGTAATATGCTTGCACGTTGCGCAGGTGGTTGCGGCCGCTGTTGTGGGCTTTGCGCACCGACATGGAGTCGTGCGTTAGGTAGACATCGCAGTAGTCGCAGAAGACTGTAGACAAAGAGGGTCAGCTCGTGGGTTTTACAGCAGGCGACGACGGTAACGCGAGGGTAGGAAGTCATTACATTTTGGCATCTTGGCTGGTTCGCAATGCTTTTCGCGATGCTTTGCGCGTCCGGTGAAGGAATAATTGAAATGGTCGCAAGTATCGCTGTTGTTGAATGGATTAAACGATGTTGAAATACAACATCCCAAGTCCCTGGGGATTTGTGGTTGCGCTTCATGGAAAAGGCGACGAGGCTGAAGCCCCACACAAGCAGCAAGACCCACCACTAGCTGCACTCGCACTAGTTGATTGGCCGATAGTTCCGAGCTTGTTCCCTGGACGCGGCCCTGTGAAGCACGAGCTGGCCTCTTTACTCGAGTGCTCCTTGCGATATTGAGCAGTAATCTCTTCGCCTCCAGCAGACACCAATTGCTGCTGCCCGACCAAACAACTCTCTCGGCAGTAAATCGCAACCATGGCACCCGCAAGGTCATTGCTGCAGTATGTCTGCAGCATCGTTCTCCTAATTTCTTCTGTACACGCTCTCAAGTTCGACCTCATAGCACAGAACCAACACGACCGAAAGCCCGAGCGATGTATACGGAATTTTGTGGCTAAAGACACGCTCGTTGTCGTGACTGCGATTGTGGGCGGTCAGAAGAGGGATGGCATGACGGTCAACATGAACGTAGGTTTGGTCTTCACCTGCCGCGTCCTGGTGAGATGCTAACGGGCCGTTGTTGTACAGATCAAGGATGCCGTTGGAAATGAGTACGGCCGTGGGAAAGATATTGTGGGCGAGCACCGTCAAGTGTTTACCTCGCATGCCGACGCTGCTTTTGACGTGTGCTTCGAGAACCTGCGATCGGGCAGTATGTTTACTCTGGTCTCGGATTGACGGAAGGATCAGAAAGGCTAACATGTGACCGCAACTATAGCCGGCCGACCCCCAGCTGATGCTACGCGCCATGTGGAGCTCGACATTGATATTGGCGCTGATGCCAAGGACTGGTCCGCCATCCAGGCCAACGAGAAGCTGAAGCCCCTCGAGGCCGAACTCCGCCGTGTTGAGGAGATGATTCAGGAAATCGTGAGCGAGATGGACTACCTGCGAAGCCGAGAACAGAAGCTGCGCGACACCAACGAGAGCACAAACACACGAGTCAAGTGGTTCGGCATTGGCACGACGATGCTACTTATTGGACTCTGGGGTTGGCAGATCATGTACCTCAGGGCTTACTTCAGGTCGAAGCATCTGATTTAAGGGGCAGGGAGCACGACATATTCGGGTAGGACTTGGCGAGAGAATCCATCATGTGGGGGCAACGAACCAACCATGAGCTGCGGCTTCGAGTACGGATGAGTATCGAGCAGGCAATCTCGGAGTTGTGCATGGAAATGAGATGGCATGCGTGTATGCATAATCTGTATAGGCGTCCCATGGCATTACGGAGTTGAAAGAAATATCAAAACGGGCAATGACTGATAGGAAAGGGGCATTTTCAGTATTCAGAATGTTTCATTAGTGATCTCTAAATGATGTGAAAGAGTTATAACTGGATTGATGCCATCAATCAACATTTTCGAGGCAGCATATCTTTGAAACAAATCTCAATTACACAGACTACACCGGCTACATGTTGGGACCTCAGCTACTTTATGAGACATAGACCAGTACAAAGGCCAGAACAAGTTCATATGGTCGGGAGCCAAGCCGCGATGGTAACTCCCGGCCGCCGGGACATCGGCCTCGGCAGTCTCCATTTGAACCTTCGGCATCAAGCGGGTCTCAGAAATTCTTCTACGTCAACGATTCGAACAACCCGTACGGTCCCCTGGTTTCCCCAGATTCTTCCCCATTGATCCTTTCTGTTATACTCAGCCAACAACAAATCAAGTAACTGTTCGAAACCCAAAAAAATAATGTCTTCTCTACAACAAATCCTGCGCCCTGCGCGCCGCTCCCTCACACCTCGTCTCCTCCGTTCTTTCTCCACCGCACCTCGCCTCAGCGCCCGAGTCGGCAATGCGCCGCCTGTAGACCCGCCGCCGCAGGGCGAGATGGGCGTCGGCGAGCTCGAGGGTCTCGAATTTAAGATCCAACCTCTGCGGAGGGTAGGCGAGGACGCCAAGACGATGCGCGCACGCCTGGTTTGTATGCCAGCCATTATTACCAACTTACACCACTGGCAACATTAACTAACATGAGAAAAAGACCAGAGCCGGAAGCGAGGAACCCTGGAATCCGATCTACTCCTGTCGACTTTTGCGGATAAATACCTACCGACTATGACCCTGAAGCAAATGGCGCAGTACGACAAGTTCCTCGACGAGAACGACTGGGATATCTACTACTGGGCGACGCAGGAGACGCCCTCGCCCGCCGCTCAGGAGGCAGCAGCGGAAGCTGCATCTTCCACCCCGGCCGAAAGCACATCAGAGACCAGGTCGTCGCCATCCGCCCAAAGTGGCAAGTCGACCTGGTCACCCACCTCCCCCTTCGCCGAGTCGGTCGCCAACCTCAAGGCCGGGAAGGATGCGGCGGCGGCGGCGGCGGCGGCCTCAGAGGAGCCGTACCGCAAGCCGGGTGAGGGCGAGTGGGCGCAGACCGTGGGTACCTTCAGGCCAGCGTACCGGCCGGTGCCGGCACGGTGGAAGGATAGTGAGGTGTTGGAGATGTTAAGGGAGCATGTTAAGAGGCGGAGTAAGGGGGGTGCCGAGGGGGTGGTATGGGGTTTATGCCCATTTTAAAACCTCAGTAGATTGAGGAAAACAAGTTGGTGGGGCCTCAGATTTGCTGGGTGTACTATAATGATCATTATAACGGTGTGTAAGTATTAGCTAACTAGACGAAGACTGGGTTGTACTGTACAGGTCAAGGAATAGGGGTTCAAATCAGGGCTTCGAAATGTGGTCGATATCAGCCTATTATAGTCGCCCGGTTTGCTACCGAGCTTCGTGCATTGATGAAGGCAGCATCTGTTGACTGTGACTATTTGAGCCTTATGTGTAGATTCTGTGTCTATTCGACTCGAACATACTATTACCGGCGATAAGCTCAAAGTTCATGGTTTCATTGCGCTGTTATGAGATATGATATTGAACTTATGATCTAGGGTAGCGGTGATTTCATCTGCAAATCTGCTCGGATTGCCGGGATCTATCTTCTACAGCTTACGGCGTGAGATTCCGGCCATTGATATTGTCACGACTCCAAGTGACTTGCAAGCCGTCGCTCTTAGATATGGATAAGCCAGAATAAGAATGCATGTGAGAACACGCCATGCATCTCACTCATCTATCGAAGTGAGTTACGTGCTATGCTCAGGTCTTTGCTTCCAAGGCAAAGCATAAGTTGCGTTTGATATTCAAGAGGAAGCCCTGGGATACAGCACTGAAGCTTATGCCTGTGGCTTCTGATTTTCGTCGAGGAGCTCCTGGAGTCAAGCGTGTATTTCGTCAAGATACGAAGTGAGCTGCCAGGGACGACATCGAATTAACGGTGGATAGCTGCTTCTCGAATCTGCTACCTTTGTTCTCCGTTATCAAAAGATGTTGATGCCGCCCCCGATACCTTCTTCAAGTTGTAGAGCATCTGAAATGAGCAAAGCAACCCTTCAAACAGGGATATATATCAGAAAAGCGTATAGTGGCTACATTCTCAGGCCAACTGCTAGGCTTATGGAATTTTCTTATTTGACATTTCTATGATCTGCATCAATCATATACGGGGTGACCTGAAGGTATCCATGCTCTTGCCGCTGCTTGGAAGTTTGACTTGATAATAGCATCGCTAGAGGACATCCAGGGCTACCCATGTCCAGGGGAACAACGAAAGTCAGGTTGGTATTGATAAGGGAAAAAAAACTGCGAAGTGAGTGGGCAGTAACTGATGCCATCAAATGTACACTCGCAAATTGTTGGACCGGGAGCTACAAGATATAGATGTTGCATACCAATTTCTCCCCAGTGTCCCCAGAAGTATTTTGCATTCCAATCCCGTTGATCTCAGATCTGAAGATCTCCGCTCCATGCAACAACCCCATACAACCTGAAGTATTTGAAGAGTGAGCAGTGCAATGGGTCTGAATGGCTCCTAGGCCGTCCTCATTCGGGTCATTATCTCATCTACGCTGAACAAAGCAAAACGGAAGTCTGAGTCTGACCCCTTTCTCCCAAGCCACGAAGTTCAAGGTGGTGGTATCTTCCAACTTCCCGGCTCTTGCAAGGCGCTCCGTCGCCAATGCTCGCGAGGCTTTGGCCCGAAGGCATCATACGGTACATAGGAGTACCTGCAGCGCGTCATCTTCGTCTTTCCTGCTTGCACCAGAAGTTCCGGCCTCGCATTCGTCTCAAGACATCATCGGCTGTAGTCCCAAGTCCACTCATTGACGTATTGCCAGGGAATCGGGATCGCGTGGTAGTGGCAAAGCTCTCCCAAAGCTGTCATTTTGATCGGTTGTACGTTGAAATGTGCTTCCAAAATACCCGTCAAGAGTATCGTCATCCACCGCCTTCTGGCAGTATCCTGCCTAAACTCCTCAACACCTCCATGACGGGCATATCCTTGGTGCCCGCCGCCTTCTTCTCCCTCTCCTCGCGCTCTCTTAATCGCGCTGCGCTCGATTCCAGCACCCTGTCGGCTTCCTTATTTGCGGTATTAACACGTTGCTCCAGCTTATGCACGCTGTCTGCCAGATGATCCACTTTAAACTCCAATGATCCCTGGAGTGCCTGCATTCGCGATTGTGTCTGCAATCTGAGACTAGAAAAGCTGGTAGTCGGCGCTGTGAGCGAAGCTAGCATTTGAGCCTCTTCTGAATCGAGGAGTGACGGGTCTGGTAACTTCTGGTTTTGTAAGGACTTTTCTGATACTGCGAAGAGAGGCGGCAGTTCAGGAGGCGGTTGTTTAAGGGATAGCCAAGCCTTCTTTTCGACTTTTAACCTGCACTTTGTTAGACACAAGTCCTTACGGTGGTTAGAAGCACGAACGTACCGTTTTATCCTGTCCTCCAACTCTGCTATTCTTGCCTCGTGTTCCATATTTCTCGGATTTGGCTTTTCGATGGCTGGTGGGCGGGGGACATCTTCTCGCGAAAACCAATCTGAGAATTCAGATTTTGATTGAAAGTCCTTGAGTAACTGATCTTGAATCGCTCGGGCTGTGTATGGCGTTAGCATTCCTCGAGAATTCGCATTGTCCCATCCTCAGTATCCAGACACAAACCCGTCCTGGTCTTTCCCATGAGTACGGCAAAAAGGGAGGGGTTCAAAACTCACCACCAAGAACGGCATTAGAATTCAGGCTCCCCAGCGGCGGCTTCTCACTCAAGGCACGCTCACCACACCAGGTCAGTAGCTGTTTCATTCGTCGCGGTTCGCTCGGTCCCTCGGCCTCGATATGTTTGTAGAATTCGCTCGAATCGACTTCGCGGTGCGGAATGGCACTATGCCCATTGTCGATCAGCGAGCTTGCCCTTCGTCCGCGCATACCCAGACTACTCCGTCTGCCGCCCGTCTTGCGCCGCATCTCCTTGTTGCGGTTGATGATGGGTGTGTCGCTGAAGGGCAACGCAATCTTCTTGGAGTTGCTTGCATCGTCTGCCACGGTCTCGGTCTGGTCTACGTACATTGGTGGAGGTGTCGCTTGGCCTGCTTGGTCAGGGGAGGGCCCTTTGGGTGTGCCCTCCTTTCTTGATCTTGATGCGCCATTCGCAGCTTTTCGCTGCTCCTTTCCCGCCTTTTCCATCGAAGAGCGCGTGCTCCGACGCGTGGTGCGTTGCGGCGCCGCTGCTGGCACTGGCGGTGGTGCTTCATCCGACTGTATTGCCTGGCTCGATTTCCGTTTGGAAGTCCGTTTGGGCGGCGCGGGTGGCACTGGAGGCACTTCTACTGATGCTTCGCGGACTTTGCTCTGTTTTGTTTTCGCCTTGCTGCTCTTCTTCGGCACTGGAGCAGGCGCGGGTGCCGGATCATCTTCTGATATCGGCTCCGGTTGCGCAGTCTTCATCCGCTTCGACCCTCGTGTGAAGTGGAAGTCGCCATCCTGCTCATCGTATGCTATAACAAGTCAGAGACTGTGTCAGTACAAATTGTTCAGTCGGGCCTAGTGCCATCAACAACATAACAGCCCCGCGGTCGTTGAATGGGATGAGGTGGACGCACCAGCGAGGCGCTCGCTTCGGCGCCGCTTGGGCTGATTGCTCATGCTCAGTACTTGCAGCGGCTGGCGAGTCTGCACGAGGGTCGTCATGGATGATGGCTTGGACGATTCATTAACTGGAAATATGCGGCGTGACGAGGTCAGGTTCGTAGCTTGGCCGTCGGGTCTACGGTGGAGGCGCGTAACCAGCCGTTGGTCGCGTCAATTCGTAATATCTCGATCGTGCGTACCGGCCAATTGATGTTCATACATGGGACCGGTTGTTATTCGTATCGATGTTAGATTCAATTAGTGAGGGGTCACCGCCGCCGTGCTTCTTCATGAGGCGAGGCCTGGTGTCGAGGCGCGAAAAGGATGCGCCTTCCATGTAAACAGACCGGTACAGCGCTAAACTTCTTTTGGCAGCACAGACCAACCGATTGACCGATTGACATTCTAAAGCCTTACCCGCCGTCCGCTGTAACAAAGCGACGGCAATACGTCTACCACACTTAATTAATATACTCACTACTCGGTAGCGCCCAGCTTCTCCATGACTAAAATCTTATGAAGGGAGATATGTCGCAGCCTGATTTAATTCGAACAGCAATATTTCTACACTTAAAACGGTACTTGTCTTTGTTTACATGGACAACCCCAAGTCCACATGAGTCCATCACCATAATCATCATAGTCGCTGCGCCAAGGACTCCGCAAGATAGGTACCGTTAACTAATATTGGAACAATAAATTAAAATTGAAAATATTTATTTCGATTCGTGTGTATTCGCGCGTAAGGTAGCTCTCCATTTGTTGCTCCCGAAATACTCGCTTAACGCTGAGGACTAAATAATTCGTGGAACAGGAAATGATAATGGTTTGAGCCATAATCTTCCTCTCCCCACTCCATCCGTAAACGCCTGTTAAATCAGTCGGGAAGGACCGTTCCCTGAACGCCGTTTTGATGTATGCCTAGCCGGAACGCAGTGAAAGGATTGGCTACTGGCTATCGAGCCAAAGCTCCCGAGCAGCCTCCCGCCTCCCTCCGGCTGTAGATTGTTATTGTATAGCCATGAACCCCAACGCCAGCATGTCTTCTCATCAGCTCAACAATATTATTACAGGTTGGAGAGCGAAAGGCGACTCCTCCGTGGGAACAATCAACAGTTCTTTCGACCGTTGAGAAGGTTCAAATCCATCTAAATATCGGCCCGACCTCCTCCTTATCTAGGCGAGTAGCTTGTCGAGGCTGTCACGGAATCGGCTTTTGTCATCCTCGGACATGTCCTCACTCGTCAAACAAGTGGTCATGCCCTCCTGCTTTACGGCATGATGATGAGTCTCTCCTATAGCTCCGGCGTCATCCTCCTACGAAAAACGTCGCTGTACTGACTGGCCCGCCATGACTGACTGCTGGTTTTGGATGGGAGCACCCATACCGTAAGGATTCATTTGAGGATTGTATGATTCCATAGCCTGTTGCATGAAAGCGCCATGCAAACCTTGTTGTTGAGTGACCGGGCAATCTTTGTGAGCCAGTAGCAATGTCTTCAAGTTGACTACTTCTTCCCTAAGCTGTGAAATTTGAGCAGTCAAAGCGTCGTTTTCGCTGCTAAACATCTCCACCTTGTTTTGAAGGTTAGCTAGCCACTGCTTCTTTCTCTGTCGACATTTGAGGGCCGCAACGCTGTTCCAAATGTTAGCGTAGAGCATTAAAGGAGCACATGAAAGGTGGTGTCATACCGGTTCCGCTCGAGAAAATTTTTCCGCTTCTCCTCGTCCGTCATTTTAGATTTGGGTTGACCATTCTCGTCTTTGCCCATGTGGCCATCTTCGTCTTCATCAGATGAATGATCTTCGTCATCGTTGCTGGATGGTGCCGTCTTCATCTTTTTGCTCGCAGGTTGTTTTGCGGGCGGCTCTTCAGCCTTGCGTCTGCCATTGGGGATCGCGTTACTGGCTCCGGAACCACGCTTGCCCTTCCCTCGAGTAGTGGGTCGTGAGTGTTCCATTTCATCTGATGCGCCACTGGCAGCTTCGCTGACACCTCGGACAGATGATGCGTCAATCGAAGAGCCGTTCCCTTTGCTGTTCACGTGCGGTGATGTGTTGTTTTGAGTGGCTGGTGCGGGATGGGCATGCCCCGGCTGATTACCTCCGACAGGGAATTGTTGATTCGTGGTTTGGCCGCCGTTGCGTTGCTGAGCTCCTTGAGCCAGCATAAAAAGGCCATTCGCGGCGTCGTTGTCGTGTGGATCGAATTGGCCTGACGTTGGTTTATTTTCTGCCTTGACGGCGCCGTTGGCCATGTCTTGTGGTGCTGAAGTTGCAGACTGGTTTTGATCGCGGTTTGCCTTGGCGGCCGCCGCGCTCATAGCAGTTCGATGGAAGTCAAGGGTGCTCGGGGTCGCGCCACCACTTGCTAACTGGTTGAAAAGGGCTTGTGAGTTAGGACTCGGAGCAGGAAACATAGAACCGCTGCCTCCTGGTGTTAAGCCTGTTCGGAGAGAACTTTCGTTAGGTGTAAAACCACCGCGCAGGGTGTGAGATGTATCGCCGAAGTAGTCATTGGTTGGGCCGGACAGCATTGCTGGGCTCAGAGGTCCCGTCCTAAGAGATCCTCCTCCCCAGTTGAAAGGCGTGTTCCCATTCCCGGGCAACAACGACGACGGTGATGTCAGGGCAGCCACACTGGGCAATTTGGTCCCTCCTGGGGTTTCGACGGTGCCGCCGTTGCTAAATGACTGTTCAAAGGGGTTTGGTTCAAGGCTCAAGTTGCTGGAAAAATAATCACCGCCGTTCTCGTTAGGCTTCGGTGGTGGTGCCAATGGTTGACCCGGTTCAGCATTGGTGGTGCCTTCCGTTTTCAGGGACGCGTCACTGGGCTTCTTTTCGCCGTTAGTGGCTACAGTCAACAATCAATACCGTTAGCGACAGGAGGTTATCATATTTTGCTACGATGCGATGACAGAACTACGATGACAAACTCGGATGCGCGCGACTGACAAGGTTCGATGGACAACCAGTGTCAATCAAGTACATGCGAATGATGAACGCGACAATAGAAGGTAGCGATGGGGGTTGAAGTCAGCTAACTCACCTGAAGATGGGTTATCCGAAGGCTTAGACTCGGTAGCAGCCATGGTGACGAAGTGTTTTATTGTTGTGGATGGTTTTGGGTCTCGGGGCAGAGAAATGATGTAACGACGCTTTCGGGCCTGGAGGCAGCTTGCGAGGGCAAACCACCTCTGCGAGTCAGGCAATAGTACACGGGCAAGCAGGAACCGTCTGGTCAGTGGGAGACTGGGGTTGCAATCAGGGAGCTGACTGGGCGGATTGCGTTTGTGGGCGCCGTGTCGAATGCCTGTGGTGCAAAGGTGGTGAGGAAAACTGCGATGAGGTCATGAATGAAGAAGTGACATAAGGGGTGATTTTTCGTGGAAAGATAGGCACAGCAGACGTAAAAGCCCCCGAAAGTTGCTTGGAGCCGAGCTTGGCCAAAGCGTACCACCGCATCTTCGAAGACCACCTAGCGTCAAAGAACGTGATTTGAAAGCTACTTTGGGTACTTGGAAGTACAGTGCGAATCTGGGAATCGGGCCTCCGTCTGTCTCGTCTTACTGTTTACTGGTTCTCAGGTGCACTTGACCGTCTTCAATCCATCCATCCAGACCGTTCAAAATGTGCGTCTTCGTCAGATGATTAACAGAAGCACTGAGACGGGATTAACCAACTCACTACATGGACATAGCCACATTGCGCTTCAAGGTATCAATAGGGCACTCGGTGGTTGACGCCATTTCCCATTTGTCGTGTGCAAAGTGCGAACCTTCGGACTCACCTATACATTGCGGGTCTTCGAGATTGATCTTTATTTTAGTTGAGCAGCGGGCCAGAAACTCCGTTCTGTCTACCTCTGCGTCCATCACTTAGTATGGCTGCTGCCGAAACCCAAATTGCATGCATTCTGCTTCTGCTTAGAACTGCACACCTTGGGGCACATCAACATTGACTTCAACGATGCCCAAAGTTTGATCAATCATCAATGAGGGATGGGAAGATGGGAACTTTGGGTGGGCAACAGACTTCGATGAGACACGATTTCTCCCTGGGAAAGGTGGCATCCAGCCTGCACTAGTGGAAATGCGGCAACCCATTCATACAAGGTGGTGGTGCATGGTGGCAAATATCATACGCTTCGAATCAGAAACGAACAGTCTGCAATCCGTCCCCAAACCCAGTCGTATCCCCACCACCGACGTTTTCTGCCTTTCTCGCGTCTGACAAATGGCAGACGACACTACTACGTAAGAACACTGGTTGGACGTTCGAGACAATTTTGCCGTGGACTTCATTCCTCTCGAAAATGATTTCCTCTTCGTCTATAGAGCTCTTATGCTCTTATCAACTGATCCATTCATGGTTTATGGCAAGCGAGGAATATTGCTGGGCGCGAGGTGGTCGGGGTTAATGTCGACGACGTTACGTCATTTTTTGTCACCTCGGAGCTGGAGTACTTTCCACTACTTGCCAGCACAGTGCTAGGTGGTGCACCACCGCTTCACTTGTCGCGGGATCTCAAGATGGGACAGGATCGTAGATCGACTGAATTGGGGGGCCAGCACGCTTGCCGAGTGTCGCAGCTTGAGATCGTCGCTACATTTTTCTGCTGAAGGAAATTGTGCCTGAGAGTTTTTGCTTTCGACGGCATTGTGATGCCGTGCTGTCCGTCCCAAGCGAAACGCCGCATCATAACCGTTTTGCTAGAGGCCTGGGGTTGGCTATGACGCATAGTTTGCATATTGTTTCCCCGCCGGGTTACTTCGCGTCGACCCGCCAGACGGCATTGAGTAGCGCTGCGATCCTTCGCGCAAGCTCAACTGCGATTGACAACCACAAGCACACAACGAACGACGACTGAAACAGCACATTATTATTTGCCGTATTGAAGTAAACAGTGCAGTGCACATTCTCTTGTCTACATGGAGGCCAAGATTCATCTGTCCCGAAGGCAACAAACCGCACGCGCTCGCGAGTATGCGCCTTCACACTTCGTATTCCTCGAACCGACTGGTAGGGGCTTACGTCGCGCCAACAAGGCCTGCTGTCGTCATCCTCTCGTCGGTGACAACCCTTGAATTTGGCAGGTGGAATTTCGGAAGTTCGGCGATAACTATCCTGACCAATCATGAAGAACATTGTTTCAAACTAGAACCTCGAGTGATTGGGTGTCGAGTTCATCATGTACTACTGATTACTAACACAATACATCTTGGAACAGTTCAGCGCAAGACTCGAGTCGAATAACTAATATTCAAGTTACAGCAGTCAGTTTTTCACGCCAATGCTACAATATTGGTAGAAATCGGGGCATGTTGTCACTCTAATTTGTTAATATCAAAAGTATACACCTAGGTCACTGCCTGGCTTTCAACTTCATGGATAAATTCAGTGGCTGCGTGCCATTTTGCTGAGCTCATAAGGCTGTAGTGCTTTACTTCCAAGTCTGCCATGATTCTGCGGGCGTACTGGCTTGGAGAAAACTTCTTAACGTCAACATAGAAATAGACACCCGAAAATGCTCTCTACGTCCTGCGGTAACATCACGAGTACGAGTCCAGATGCCATGGTCACTCTACGTTGATGAGACCTTCATCTTTCTTTTCTCCTAGGTGGCAATTGTTGTGGTGCACTCGATGATATTCGCCATCCCCTTCCTCGCGATGGGTAGATGTATTCCTGCATAGGCCTCTGAAGGTTCCAAGCCTATTCCACAATACTACAGCTTCAGGTTGCCCTCAGCTTTCTTCACTCTGAAACCATGCCTTGGCGCATGTACGCGGACGGTACCAGACTTGGTCCGAGTTTCTATCACGACTTCTTTGGAGGTTAGAGAAAGCAACTTCCCCAACTCTTTGTGCGCGACGCCAGTATCTGTTGGCCCCAACCTTACCACATCGCCCTTCTTCAACCCTTCGGACACTACCACAGCATCGCCGCCATCGACCTCACCCTCATCCGCCGCAAAGGCCGAATTCAATATCAGCTCTGCCGCCTCATCGCCTTTGATCGTCTTAGGCCTGCCCAGGACCCTTTCCCTGACCTCAGAAGCAGCCGAAAATCTCTCAATCCACGCATACACTTTCGGAAACTGCTTTGCACTCACAATTTCCGCGGTTAAAGCCCCCGGCATGGCTTTCAGCCAGTGGAAGACCCACACAGCTTCGATGTCGGCCAGCTTGGGCCCTTCCGTCTTCAACAGCCAATCTCTCCCGTCAGCCAACAACGTCGTCTCCAGCAACTCCATCGCGTTCTGGATCTCGCTGATGGCCTCGGATCGGCTTGCTAGCATGGCTTCCGGAGTCATGGGCGGGCTGCCCGCCGGCGCCCCAAAGAGTTCAGCACGATCTTTGAGGAATTTCGGGTCTTTCAGCGCAGGCAAGTCGGGCGGCAGGAGCTGAGAGCCCCGCATGAAGATGCCCCCGTCTATGATGAAGTGTGAGAGCAGGCGCTCCATCGCCTTCTGGTCGCTGGTTGAGGCGGACAGCGAGGGGTGAGCTGCGCTGGCGGGAAATAGTTCTTCTAAGGTTTGCAGGATCAGGCGTGTGTCCAGGTAGACGTCACGGCCGATGGAGAGGAGTGGAATTCGGCGGTAGGCTATGCCGAGCTGGGTCACGTCGGGACGTGGCATGATGAGAGGTTGGAGCTGGTTTATATGAGAATCGCCGCTAATTACTCAACAAGTAAGTCCTAAGGAGAGAAACCGACTTACGCATTGGATGTACGGGATGCCGCGTAGGGTGAGATACCAGACTATACGCCTTGCATACGGCGAAAACGTATAGTGATACAGGACGACCGGGAAGTCTGATGGGGCCATTGCTGCGCGAAGGAGTATATCAAGTGCGTCAGCAAGTCGGCGTCAACCCGATGGACTTGGTTTCAGAGTAGTTGGTGGTTATTCAGCAGCTCAAAAGCCAGAATAAAGTAGGGTTTATGTTTTTGGGTTTTAGAAAATAAGAGGACTGGCTTATTTACTTTGATTACAGTGAATGTGAAGGAAGTAATAATGAGTTGTATCGGTTCTCTCAGTTGACGTTTTTGAGTAGGTTCAGAATGAGCCTCGGCAGACGCTTAGGGCCTTTCTAAAACTCTAGCTACCCCTGTCCTATCAGTAGGTTATCGACAGTGTTTGTTGGATCGCTTGTCTTGGGGCTGCAGAACTGCCGCGGCTTGGGTTCTCTTGGCAAGCCACCGTTCATCACTATTAACGTCAGTTCATCAAGAACAACCAACTCGCTCGGCTCGTATACATAGGAGTAGATAATGTTATCTTTTTAGACGAATTCAAATAAGCCCCAAGATTGAAAATATTTCCCAGTTTCCAGTGAGTCTAAGTGGCTGAGGGACTGTCAAAGCTAAAATTCAGATCAAATCCATATTTCATCACATACGACCATAGGCTGCAGAGAACTCGGGATCCCGTCCGCTCTCCCATAGATAAGATGCAAACCAGACTCTTGTCTATGGGAGAGCGGACGAGATCCCTTTTGGTGGCAGCGTGGCGCAGCCGCCTGATCCTTCGATACGGACCGCCGACGGCCCTGTGGGGCTCGTGCGGACCCACTTGGCCGTTTCCCTCGTCCCGACCCCGTGCCGCAGCGGCCTCTCGTACCTCCGTTTTCCCACATCCTTCGGCCCCGGTCTTCTTACCCTTCTTCTTCCCGCTATGAATAGCCTGGAGGGCGTGCCTGTAGCGCCAATCTATGATACCGCGCGGCCGCTCCATCTCGCCATGGCCGGGACCCTTGTCCGGCCGCGCACTGGTCCGCGTTGCCTTCTGTTGGCTCTTGTCGCATCAGATTTCCCGTTCTCGCACGCGGTGAGATTGGCCGGCAGCTCGTGGCTGCTTTAAATTTGGTCCCGATCTCCAATTTTATTCCCATCTCCAATCTCCATACTCACTCGCCCGCCTCTAGGCCATCTTCGCAGGGCCATTTCCACAACACATCGGTTGATCCTCACGAAGTAAGCGACAGGTCCTGGCTGTTAGTCGTCAGTTATATCTCGCTGCCATGACCCAGTTCAATGATCCTCTGCAAAAGGTTGAGGAGGCTTTCAGAGATGCAAATCGCCTCGAAGAAGAGAGACATAAGACCTGGGATGAGGTTGATGGACAGGATCCCCTCAACCCCGAGTCTGCAGTCCAAGAAAAGCCGGGCAACATCGAGAGCAGGTCTGGGCTAAATGGATATCGTATGGTACTGTCGTATGTTCCTCCGATGGATGTGACTGACTATGTACCGAAAGCTATTGGGATTTGTTTCAAGTCGATCCGCAGACCATATGGGTTGACGTGGTCGAGAGACGACTGGTAAGAGGCCGACCTGCCAACCAGATCTTTACTCGCTTCCTCCGCAGGCTCGTCAAAGAATCATATGTTACGAGGCTGTCGCTTTGTCCCGAAGAATACGTTTGATGCCAGTCATTCGTACCATGATCTCAAACTGGAAGCCAATATTATCGTTGATTTCGACATCAAACTGCTCCGTGATGCTGCCAAAGGCGAAGTGGATGTGATTGTAGGTGTTGGTGTCGATTGGTCGGGGCTCATATGCAGGCATTCCTGTTCATAGTTCCACGCCTCAAAGTATGCAACCCTCGAGAACTTTCCTGGACTCTCGCTATTGATGATCTTGGTTCCGCAATTTGAAATGCACCCATTCGTGTCTGGTGCCGCTGTGCCAGAGGCGGCCCCATCCTTTCTGGTATCGGTGCAGTACTGGCCCCAGATATCGCAACAGGCATTGAGAGGGCATTGATTGAGATCAGCAAGCTCAGTGCCATTATTCGGTCTTTGTGGGCCCGGCACTTGCGGCCCGAAAACCGCTCCGTCGATTGCGGTCGGCATCGGAGGGTCACCTGAGCTCAAGCAAATGTTCATGCCGAGCATGAGACCTTGGCAGTCTGTGAAGCCCCACGTCTGCAATCGGTTTGCAAAGGTCGTCATGTTGAATTTGATACACGAAACATGAACCGTCGGCATTGGGTTGCGGCGAGAGGTCGGGAGGAGTGCCGGAGGAGCAGCAACCCGGCATATTCGGCTGCAGACCATCGCAAAACGCACTACCACCGTGGTACTCTATGATCTGGTCTAGAGTGATGCCGCATCGCTGAGTGGCGATACTCCAGCAGCCATCCCCGTTGTTTGACATGACATATTTGCATGTTGCGCGGGCTTCGAGAGACTTCGGCTTCAGGCCAGCAAACATGGGCTCGGAATCTATGGTCGTCGAAACCTGTGGAACCGAGAGAGCAGACACAATGTCGAGTTTCGTTTGCTTCCAAGTCTGCGAGTTGTCTAATCCTTGAACGCAGGTAGCCTGGTCCCACGCCTGTAAAGCCTCTTGTACAGTAGTGATGTTTCCACTGGAGTCCGCAAAGAGACCAAAAGTCTGCGTACTGGGAATGCGATGATCAGCAACGCCGTCGCCGTAGCTTCCGCATATCTGGGCAGCTAAGTTCAGCGATGCATTACCATCTGTCTCCATCACTGATTGTCCGATCTTCTGCACAAAGGCGGCAGCTTGAACCTTCTCTAGCTCCCCCCAACGTAGACTCCGACGACCGTTGAGCCGACGCGTGCAAGCACGGCGGAGTTCTTGCAACTGGAAGCACCAGAAAGATGAGCCGCCAACTGAGAAATTGCCTCGGTGAGCTCGTTGACATTACGGGACGTTGCATCACCCTTTCGGGCCACGTTCATGTCCAAGGAAGCCCGATGGACTGTTGCATCAGAGAGACAGCCTGAAATGGATGAGTGTCGTGTTTGTAGCCTCTGTGTTGAGTCCACACCCGGCTGTGCCTTAGTAGCCGTGCAAGCTAAGATGTCGAAATGTCTTGTGGTGTCGAAGATCTGGCTGTACAGGTTCAACTCAAACAACATGGGGTCGTACACTTATTGAACACATCGCGCCAGTGAACGTGTATCCAATTAGACGGGTTGGGCCCAGTGGTCTCGCACGAGGTGAGACATCGCTCGGTAGCCACATCCGAAGCGTTGATGAAAGGTAAGAAAAGCCAGCAAATGACGACAACTCGCAAGATAGACGCCATTGTCTCGAGCAATGACGAGCCAACCGTCTTGGATCACTTCAAGCGTGTGACATGAAGTGATTACTTAATAGCCCTCCGAAAAGGTATTCCATAGATGGCTGCCAAGAGTCTAACGCCTTCTAGACCACAAGGCTGTGTATAAGCCGGACGGAGAAGCCTACACATTATTGGTGCCTACCGTGCGATCTACACTCTCAATCGGGTCATAAAAAGCGATGTCTATACGAATGACGAGGCAATCTCCGGTTGACAGACAATAATTTCTTACTATATTCAAGGGTATTTAATTGACAAATCCTGGATAGCTAGCCCAGATCATAAGCAAAATTAGGTAAGCGTTCGTAGGTACCTTGATGCGAGTGCATATGGGGTGTGAATTGTTGTATTGGGAAAGGATGCCAGGTCAGCTATTCTGGCCTGGCAGAGCTCTTTTATAGCTCTTATCTATCTTATCTCTAGCTATAGGGCAACCCCCCATGGGGTCACGTATCAGCCTAACACTTCTAGTACTTCTAGTCGTAATAACCATATTACGATCGTGCATTATATAACGTCACATCGACAGTAAATTCAAAGACCGCGCTCTGCGTGTAATTAAGAAACTCGTAGACATGTCGATCGTTCCTAAAGCTATTCTCTAGAATACCCTGTTATATTTGAAGATGGGGTAATTGCTTTTCCGGCTGCTTCGACCAAAATTAACTTACGATTTCTATCTAATCGAGAAACGAAGAGTACCGCGTCACATATATGGACGGGTACTTCCCCGACAGGGAGTGGAGGGCTACATTACTGAATTGGCTTTAGCGACCCTAAAGGAAGCATCGAACATTTTAGAAAGTTTTTGCGTGGAAAAAAATAGCCACAGACAGCACACGAAGCTTTCCGCGGACTGTAAAACCCGCTAGGTTGCAGAAGTCGGGGACAGTCGTGGTATCATTCATATCTTCACGTCAACAGGCGGCAAAAGATTTTGGACCGCGACGATGGTTGACAGAAAAATGGAAGTGATATTAAACACTAAAACGATACATTCGAATCACTGGTCCTATTCATAATTCTTCGTAAAAGCGACTTTCTATGTATTCTTCGCAAGCCCTCGGCGGACTTACGTGAAGACTCTTCTATAACAGCTTCGTCAAAAGTGACAAGAGCCGGCCCATATGCCAAAGGCGGCAACCGTAGTAGTCTGACATATGCTGGGTCGTCAGTAATCCACATCTGACTTATAAGGGCTTCGGAACATGCGGTTTTATTGCATTATCTCCAGCATATTGACCTGATAGATCAGGTGCATGCTTTGAATAATTGTTAGTGGCTCGCGTGGCTTCATTTTTGACGAAGCCTGGTAAGGACAGACACGCAGGTGACCTGGGAGATTCAAAACCGGTCATCTCACTCCGTGGAGCACCACGAAAGCTCTTTTGCTGCGATCTGACCTCGTCATATTTCTTGCGGTCACCTTTCCACCAGGCCACTTCGTCTTCTCGCAACTGCCCCGGAAAGAACTCGTTACGTAAGGGGAGAGCAAATCCGTATCCAACTTCGAGGTCCATGAGCCCATCCATGACTTTACACCTGGTAATGGTCTCCACGAGTTCAAGTGGCAGATTGCGGTGCTGAGGACTCCGCTCCATGGCGGCCAAATAGCCATTCTGGAACATGCCAACTCCCCCGACTAAGATGAGGAACCAAGTATCCTTGTGTAGCGCTGAAACAGTGACGATAAGGACCAGCCACAGAATAGATTGGACAACGCAAACGCAAAGAGTGATCCAGAACCCTGACGGCAAGCCACGCGCAGTCTTCGCCATCATCATTTGTGTTCCGGCTCGGTGGAAATAGAAACTTCCTCGTGGATGTCTCTGCGTTGTTGGTAACACGCTTACCTTTTGTGAGCCGCTTTCTACAGCTTCAGAATCTCGTTGTGCGAACTTCTCCCATGGCTTCCCATTCCGCGGGGTCTCCTGTGCGGAAAGCTCCTCCAGGTCAAGGCATTGACCGTTTCCAATAACTATCATAATATCTTTTGAGCCATTGCCCGACGTCAAAGCAAATACGGCTTTGGAATTCTGCCGGTTGGGTAACTTCTCAACCCGCCACTGAGGAAGAGCTCCTACCACCATGGCGAGTATGGTACCTGTACTTGTAACCAAGAGAATACCCCATTCGCGATGTAGCATCACTGGGATCGCTGCGATCACCAATTGGAAAACCATGATGATGAGACCCCACATATGAATCCGACCGTATGAGTGGTTCGTATGGCGATTTGGGTTCGGCTTCGCTTTCCAAACGGAGATGCGAATAGCATTCCGAAGCATTGGCTCCTCGCGCGCTATGTATGCCTCATTATCGCGAACAAGGCGTCCAATTAACCAATTCCTATTCTCTCGAGAGTATCCTGATCCAAGGTTGAACATTTTGACCGGATAGTCAGGAGGTGGGAGTAACCGCCCACTCCCAATCAGGTTGACCAACGCCATGAAGGTGTAGGCGACCCATCCGAATGAGAAGCAGACCGGCGTGTACCAACATCCTGTCGTCTGCGCCAAAGCTTTCTGCACTACGTCTCCTCCAATAACCATCAGTACTGTGGTGACCTCGCTAGGATTCGCCCACTGCGAAGCAAGTTGTGAGATAGTAGCCGACATTTTGTGCGAAATTCTTGCAATCCACTGAAAAGGGCAATGACAGGCGAACTAGATCGAGAAGCTCAAGAGAGTATATAAACGAACCCTGGCTGGATGACTGAAGAATCAAGACGCTGGAGCCTGGTGTTCTATTTGAGTCAAGTCGCGTAGAGCCTTGCAATACTGTCGCGAGCGCCAATGTGTTCAAGATGTGCATTCGACAGGAAAAGGTGGAGGGTCAGCGCATGCTACGTATCCAATGGTGATTGGCGTGAACTCATTCCTGCCGTTGGCTGACATTTTATTGACATTGTATTGTTCTTCAAACCCCGCTTTTGCCCCATAGTGAGGCGGAGGGGCGCAAGACGTTATCGGGGCTGAAAGGTCTCGACTGATCCCGAGGTCTTTCGCATTTGTGTCTCGCCAAAGCCTCATGCATCCGTTATACCCACAGCCTCACTGCGGACAGATCCTACACCTCGTTTTTGCCTTGCCGAGGCTCCTATTTCCCCTTTGGTGCACTGGAATGGGATTAATTCGTTATTCGGGACTCTATCATCCAATACTGAAGCATATTATCCAAGCGAGTTGCAATTCAGCCCTTGAAAATCACTGAACACGAATTGTTGCTGCTACAGTTCTTTACAAACATGGCTACAGATGCCTCAACTGGGCCTGCAGCTTCATATGACGGACAAGACTTATGTGGCAAATGCAGAAAGCTAGACGTCCGGTCAATACCAATTTCCCAGCGGGTATCATTAGGAACAGTTGATGAACTCTCCAGCCGCGCAACCCAATGTCAGTTATGCTACATGCTACTATCCAAGATGCGCCATCATAGCGTTGTTTCTGCTCCTCCAACGCATGATATCGTCAACGTTCGCGCCACCTTCAAGATAACGGTTGTAAGGAAGTCAACTGACAAAATGCCGGACCGAACGACCTTACACGATGTATTGGAGATTTTGTGCGAGTATCATCTGCCAGAACTCGGCGCCCATCGTATATACACTATAGCAGCTTTGCGTCAAAGCTTACAGCCAATCATCTCGACCCAAGAACAGTTATCGAGGGCTCAACTCGTTCCCAACGAGACGCATCTTGGATATAGCCGTTTGATCGGCGACAAGCAGGCAGATCTCCGTCTTTTCAGAGAGTGGCTGCGCCTGTGTGATTCTACCCATCCTATATGCCAACGTTCCGGGGGTCGAGTCAAGGTTCAGCCGCAGCAGCTCTGGGTCGTCAACGTACGAGAAAATCGAGTAATGAAGGCTCCATTGGACTGTAGATACTTAGCTCTGAGCTATGTTTGGGGCCCTGTGCATCCCCTCAGGTTGACCAAGGATACTAAAGAGATTATCCAGCGAGAAGGGGCGCTTCAACTGCCGCATATTCGTTCGAGGATACCGCAAACCATTCAAGATGCCATGGTCACGGCTTTAGCGGTCAACATAGAGTTTTTGTGGGTAGATACGCTATGTATACCCCAGGATGATCGTGAGACGAAGCAAGAGCTTATGCAACAAATGCATCTCATCTATGACAACGCCGTATTCACCATTGTAGCCGCGGCCGGCGACGATGCTAACAGGGGCTTGCCGGGAATACGACCTGGCTCCCGTGATACACATCAAAGCGTTTGGCAAATCGGAGGCCTGACTTTTTTGGACGTGGAAATGGACCCCTTCGATGGAGTGGGTAGTGGCTACCAGCCTTCACGTTGGGGAACTCGAGCATGGACATACGAAGAAGCGCTCTTCTCCACTCGTCAACTGGTCTTCACAGAACAGCAAGTGTACTGGTACTGCCCTCAGACCGATCCCGGTGGTTGGCGCGAGGACATCATTGCCGAGACAACCAACGCACAACGTATCAGGGAAACGGAGATTGGTGTCTCGTACGAGGGACGGGTTAGCGGCGACCAATTTGAGCGGCATGTGAAGAACAAGTTTTCCAAATTGAAGCATCACGCAAATGAGTACTCGCGGAGAGAACTGACCAAGCCGTACGATGCACTGAACGCCTTCAGGGGAATCGAGAGCGCTATCAAAGAGGGTTACTCTGAGTTTCATTGGGGAATTCCTGAGGCCGATTTCACGAATGGGTTGGTCTGGTATTTTCCCGGATCTATTCGCGGATCAGCGAACCACAAGTTTCGCGATGTAATCGGGAAGCATCAAGATGTTGCATTCCCCAGTTGGTGCTGGGCAAACTGGCGGCTTCCTGTTTCCGAACGCTTCGATCCGAGCTGGAAAAGAGCACGCCATAGCATATGGGGATTGCACTTTGCGACCCCGGTCACTCGAGTCACGACATTCTACCGATCTGATGCCCATGGGGAGATGGTCAAGATACAGGAACACAGCCCGGATGCCAAGAGATCAGGCGGAACAGATGATACAGCAGGGGAGGGACGACACGAGGACAACGAACAACATGAAGATAATGTCATCGACAAAATATTATCCGATATGAGCGTCCTGAGGTGTCGCGCACACACAGCTTCAGTGTTCGTTCGCTGCCACGAACATCGCAAATTAAGAGACCCGATGAGGATACCGCAAAGTCTGGGTGGATTTCCGTGGGACGAATGCTGGTCAATTTTTGTCCTTCAGGACGCATCTGGGAACTTCATCGCCACATCGTTCATGATGATTGAAGACGACCGTGATTTCATAAAGAACGATTCTGAAATAGACGTCCGCCCGAGGCCTGTGGAGGCCGTTGAAATTGCTCGGTATGGGAAGAATGATGATAGATCAACATGTTTATTAACAGTACAAGGCGAAAAAGGTTGTCTCCAAAGGATTGGGATCGCGCACATCTACGACAAAGGGAGCGCGAAGCTTACAAATGAATGGCTGGATCAGACCGTCGAGGATAACCGGTTTGAAGTCCCCGAGGACGGAGTGGTAAAGGGCTGGAAAGATATCCGGTCGCCGAAGAGATTAGTTTATCTGAATTAAGAATTCCAGGAGATTAGTTCGAGAGACCAAACACGTCAATTACTGCCTAGATATATCACTGGATCTTCTTACCCAATACTACCCTTCGTAAGAAGTTGACTGAGCATTTGGGCTCTAGCTGGGGTTAAGAAAACTCAACAAACTCGGAGGGAGGAGCCACTCGGCTTGGCGCTCAAATTGAGTTGAGCGAATTACACCAACCTACCATAGGTCAGTGGAGAGAGGCGGCCCGCTAGTTCTCGTCCAGCTGAGTATGCAGGTAGCAGAGAACGTGCATGATTGTGCTGCTTCTTCACCCAACTTACTTTCGTGCCCCTTAATGTTGACCAACCGAAGCTCTGTGATATACATATTTGCAATGCCCTTGCAGTTTCTCTGGCAGGATTGGGATGTCGGACGACACATCTATTCGTGAAGTACATATAGGGGGGTTTCGCTCCTTTCGTGGACTCGCAGCTATGACTCTTTTGCACTGAGAGTTGTCAAACTTTGTCAATATAAAACTGCTGTGAAATATTATGTTGTACTAGCATCTGATACAAACTCTCCATAAATCCAGGATCAAGTCCCATTGACTCTGAATTTCACTTTATGTGCACTACAGCGACCCGAAGCGTCCTTTGCTTCGTTTCTCAGTACTTTTTGCGACCCCTCAAGAAGCTAATGGAGACTGTGTCCGCCGAGAATGAATCCGACAGGAAATATCCAGTTTCCGCCTCGTGCGATTAATTACGGAGCTCCACTACCACCTGTTTGACAAGGTCACAATCACAAGTCAGTAGCTTGAGCGTTACAGACGTGCATTAATCTGGTTATGTGTCAATGAAAAGTGTTAGTAGTGATGACAATACCGACGATTCTGACGACGAATTCGCTGCTTCGCAACACACATATGCTTGTGGTCATGCACCCCTTGACTAGCATGCCCAGCCGTTGATGGCAGAAACAGAAGAATTCGAAAATCATAGAAAACCGGAAATAATCAATCAAAATGAAGACTACAATGAAGATCTAACGTCCTATCCGTCGCCTCATGATGGCAATCTTCATCTTACTGGCAGCATTCAACGGTAGGCACCAACGGTAGGCTCAACTCAACCAGTGTCCACCTGGTGCGCATCCATCACAACCAACCAAATCTCCTGAAAAATGGTGGGTTGTGGTGGGTTGATCTAGTTGATATTTAGCGGGAGCCCTATTATTAGCGTCTAGCACCTACTAGTTAACCTTGCCAGCCCTGATAGACCCATACAAGGACACGTACGATTGAAAATACCTTACAGCTGAGTAGTGGTTTTACCTCTCGCTCTCCTCCTGTCTGTCCTATATCATTAACCAATTTTTATAGAGCAGAATTCGGCCCTCCATCCGGCTACTCCGGCCTGTCCTAAGGCTGTCGATCACCTGCTCTAGTGCTTCTGCGGCTAGACCTTCTCCGAACGCGCGAATGATGTCTTATCGTGGTCCTTAGTCTATAGATATAATACCCAGAAGGGTGATAAACGGCGCTAGGTGTAAGCCTTATACACTAAAGAGAACCCTAAGCTAAACAGCTCCACTACTAATAGTATTTAAAATACACGTAACCACCTATTTGAGGGCTATTGTGACATCGCAGTGAGCCCGTCACAGCTATCATGTTAAGGCGCCGGATAATAACTGCAGATCACGCTTAGAGCCTCAAGCAGCATTGACGGCGGCCTAGAGGACTATTACGTCTTTTATACCGGTCAACGTAGAACGGCCACAAAAGCAATCTATCGCCAATAGCTTTATCGCACTATTCGATCGTAGATACTACTAACAGCTACTTATATAGTAGATCGTTAACGAGTACAGGCCCTAATACAAGCCCTATCTTTGAATAACTCTTACTGTTAGGCAACCTTGGTGGGCTTTGCTAAGACCACCAAGGTTACCACGTGACTTAGCCCTTTGGGACTAAGTCCAACCTTCGTGCTCCATAGGACTAGATAGAATGTCATGCTTTTACAACCTCACAAATCTTTGACCACCTTTGCGTGTAACACTTACTATGGATTCGTATGTAAGATAGCAACCGCTCGGCTTATAGCCTACGTAGAGAATTTGTTATATAACATAACACTAACTACGAGACCGTAAAGCCCGCCTATAGCGATGCCCTAGGGCTACTGTCAGATATTCACATATTTTGCGGTGTGATGGATGGCGGCAAACTTTTCACGTGCCTGCGACCACAGGATCTGCTAGCCTAGAGCTACCTAGTTGCCACTGAATATGGCTGTTCCAACGATACCACCGGCGATAATACGGATGTCATAAAGTCTTTTCTAAAGCAGGCGGCATCAGCAGGTCAGATTGCATGCTTGCTCGCAGGTATCTACCCCATTGAGGGGCCCGTCAACATTCCAGTTGGCTCCAATGTCCAGGGCTCCAGTTGGTCTCACATTTAAGCCAGACGAAGCTATTTCCAGGACATTGAGAATCCCAACGTGGCAAGGTAGGCGAGCCGGGCAACGAAGATACCACGGATATCGTCTACGTTCTCTTTACCGTCAAGAGAACCACGGGTGGGGCCATAATGATGGAGAAGAACGTCCACGAGTCGTCTCAGGGGTCTGCTGGCATTTGGGACCTTCACATTCGTATTGGTGGCGGCATCAGTACCGATCTTGACGTTGCCAACTGCCAGAAATTCGGCCACAATAAGGCATGCATGTGTGCCTCCCTGCTGCTTCACGTCACTAGCTAGGCCTCGGTCTACTTTGGGAACGTCTGGGCTTGGGTGGCGGCTCACGACAATGGCATGAGTCTCTACTGGGAAATTGACTCGACCGCGTTCTAAACCATGGTTAGATTATATCTCGAGGGTGTCAAGATTACGGTCATGGGGCCATATTACGAGCGACGACAATATAGAGTAATTCTCAGGTTTAGCTAGCGTCGTTACTTTTACTTCGGATCTTCTCGTATACTAGTGTAACGGTTTTAAGGAAGTGGGTTGAACCACCGTTTTTAGGCTTGACGAGTATGGGTCTGAGCGGGCGTGTGAGCAAATACAGGAACTATGTCATCCCCACAGTGGCTGGCTTAGGTGTGGCATACACTGTCCAGATACGGGATATGATAGCAGCGATTCGGACGTCTAGTGATACGAAAAGGTAGGGGGACCCACTGGTTAGGTGAATCCCATTCAATTAAATACTATAACGTTGCTCACTACTGCATTATAGCATCCTCACTCCTAGGTGCACGCATCAGGTCTATTTTAGTACCTCATAATCTAGATATGAAGCATTCTTCCTCGAGTTCGGCGACCAGTCGTGCCCGCCTTCGCTAAAACCAGAGTTTATGTTACGGGCAGCATCAGGACCGTTGACGGTATTGGTCTTGGCAGGCCGCTGATGGATGAATAGAACCTTTGCAAGGACATACTAGAGCGAAAATTAGATGGTGCGGTTATCTCCCACATTGATCCTGGTGAGTTCTGGCTTGCCTTAATGGCGGGCAATAAGAATATGAGGATAGGAGGGATGGGCTTAGAACCCGCGCCTTTGTGGAAAAAGGAGGTTGTTAATCAGTTGAGGGCGGGATACAAAGAGTGGGCAGAGAACAAGAGTATGGAAACGGAGATTGGTTATTACAAAGTATTCGATGCCGAATATACATTGCGTGGACAGAGTCCTCAGCTACTCTCCAAGCCACGAGGCCAATTCTCCCTTGTACTGGACCTTCAACTTCAAGTCATTTAATGGGACATACGTACTCTGAGACGACACCAACTGATACGTGACCGCATGGGCGGTTACCCTGTAGTTATTGAAACGGGGTCAGGCGGTCAGTAGGATATACCTACCACTTAACACACTGAATAGACGGCTCTAGTACCAACAGACCCCATCTGTTGGTCTGATCAGGCGAAGATCGTGGTACTGGCTATAAGAAGGAAGCTCTTGCAAGTCTTGTGCACAAGTTGGTCGGATGTGCCTCGGATGCGTCTCTGTGACTAGCGACGGGGCAATTCACAGAACAAGACGTCTGGCTCTAGGAGACGAATTAAAGCTGTCACTAGCACTGGATTGGTCTGATCAGGACAATATGACGGCCCCTGTGACTATTAAGGCTAAGATAAGAGCAGAACAACGGGATCTCGAAAGTAGTATCTAAATGCATAACGTAGTCCACGGTCCAATTGCACACTTCGGCAGATTTTCGTACGCTACCACTTTGACCTGCGGTTTTTCACCACATAACTATGGTTGGTTCTCGGAATGACAGTGATATGATTCTAGCATTACATGCGCTTCAATCTGATCCAAAATTAAGTGTACGTCGCGCTGGTCAGATCTATAACGTACCTTTTAGAACCCTTGCGTATCGACGCGACGGTAAAACCGCTCGAGCGATTACGCGATCGCCAACGCAAAAGTTGACTCCTTCCGAAGAAGAGGCAATCGTCAGAAATATAACCGACCTAGATTCGCGAGCATTTCCTCCCCGATTGAGTGGTGTTGAAGATATGCCCAACCGATTACTTCGAAGTCGCGAAGCGGGACGCGTCGGCGTCAACTGCGCCTCGAGCTTCGTAAGACGACAACCAGACCTCCGGACGGTTTAAATCGAAGGATCGACTATCAGAGAGTCCTCTGCGAAGACTCCGACGCGTATCGCGCGTGGTTTGACCTGGTACGGAATACAATTGCGAAATACGCGATCCAGGAGTAGGATATCTACAACTTCGACGAGACCGGTTTTGCGATGGGCCAAATCTCGTCCGAAATGGTCGTGACGACTTCTGATCGGCGCGGAAGGCCTAGAGCAGCCCAGCAAGGAAATCGGGAATGGGTTACAGTTATTCAAGGGTTGGGTCGTCCGGTTATGCCCTCCCTCCGTACATCATTTTCGCCGGCAAAACCTGTCACGACCTGGGTTGCATCGCATTGGTAGAGACCTCGATTAGGTGCTATCGACGAAGATTCTACTCTAAGGAGCGAAGGAAAGAAGATCACAAACTTAGGTTTGAGGGAGCGCGACTAAGTCGTCCACGCTTGGCGGGGCTCCTGCAGGGGTTATGATTGGCTTCCCACCTGGCACTGCCATGGCAGGTGTTCCAGCTGTAAGTCACCTGGTTGTAGTGAGTCTGCGAGGGTTGACCTTCACAAAACCCACCTCTCGTCATGGTACAAAAACAGCCCATTACCGCCTGATTGGGTTATCGCAGTTACTAAAAATGGCTGGACTACGAACGAGAGAGGCGAAGATTGGATAAAACACTTCGATCATCACACCAAGTCTCGTACGAAAGGTACTCATCGCCTATTGATCCTCGACGGTCACGAAAGCCATCACTCGATCGATTTCGAGGTATATTGCAAAGCTAACAATATCGTCACGCTTTGTATGCCTCCTCATTCGTCGCATAAGCTCCAGCCTCTTGATGTTGGTCGTTTTCGCGGGTTGAAAAGAGCGTACGGAAAAGAAATCGAAGATCTCATGCGAGCACATATAAGTCATATCTCGAAAGAAGACTTTTTACCGGCGTTTTTAAACGCGTACAACGCAACTTTCACGGTTTCAAATATCCAAGGAGATTTACGAGGGGTAGGAATAGTTCCGTACGATGCAGATTATGTCATATCACAGCTCGATGTGAAATTACATACGCCAACACCTCCGGGTAGCTCGGCTGGTCTCCCCGTCCCTTGGGAATCAAAGACTCCGAACAACCCAACCGAAGCCCAATCACAAAGCGATTATGTGAAAAATAGGATTGTACGACATCAAAATAGCTCACCAAGGTCAATTTTTGCTGGAATAGATCAGATTGCGCAAGGTACAACGAAGGTTATGCATCGGCTTGCCCGTTTAGAAGGCGAGGTCGAATCACTTCGAAAGGCAAATGAGACCTTAAGTCGACGTCGCCGTGCGAAGAAAAAACAGCTACAGAGTGGAGGGTCACTTCGTATACAAGCTGGACAGGACCTACAGTCTCAACGAGAGGTTGATGGGCAGTTACATGACGAATTTCGTCAAATTGGTGGTCGTACGAGGCGGCGAATTGCGCGTGTACGGCGGTGTAGAATCTGCGGCGAGCCCGGACATAATGCGCGCACTTGTGGAAATGATGTAGAGACGTCTGAAGATAACGATTCTGAGTAGTTTTAATTGATGATAGGCGTTGTGGTCGAATTAACTTATACATTGTCGTATAAGGTCTGCCAAAGTGTGCAATTGGACCGTGGACTACGTTACGTTATTCTTTCTTTTAGCTTTTTCCAGGTTTTAGATAACGTGAATGTACACCGAGCTGGCCACCCTTACATAACCTCGCATAGAAATTTTACGGTAGTAAAACCACAACGCCGTAAATCAATTGAAACTACTCTGAATCTTCCTCTCCAGAAGATGGCAATGCGATCTTACAAGTTCGCGCATTATGCCCAGTCCCGTTGCAAATACCACAGTGCCTCGGGCGCGTTTCAACACGCTTTGCGCGACCACCATTTCGGCGCTCTTCTTGCTGTATCTGCGTCGCCAACTCCCTAGAGTCCCGTAGGTCCTGTCCTTCTTGGAAAATAAGTGATTCTCCTTCCCGTAATTGCATTTTTAGTCCTCCGGCGCCGGCTTAGCATCTTATTTGCCTCTCGAAGCTCAGCGCACTCGGCCCGTACGAGGGCGAGCTCGTGCATTATCATTTTTGCTCCCTTCGCAAACTGGTCGACAGCTGAGAAAATATTCGTCGGAGAGCTATTCTGATGCTCGGAAATGCGCTTTTTCAAAAAAGTAGACTGTGCATGAGCCTCTATCGGGCTCTGTGGCGTCTTTGATACCCACGGTCCGGTTGCGATTTCTGGGGAGCCAACAGGCGTCGGGGTCCGTAATCGTACGTCCAGCTTTGAAATCACACTTTCTGGGTTGAATGGAACAAGTCCTGCCCTTCGAAAGCCAGCTTGAACGTTTTTTTCGCCGAAAACTGCAAAGAAGGGGTCTTTGAAGATAGGAAAGAAGTCCTCCTTCGCGATATGTGTTAGTGACCGGCGTATCAATTTCTCTACCATCTGGCCGTACACCCGCTTTAATGGACCGAAACAGGCCACGTCAAGTGGCTGGAGGATGTGAGATGAGTGCGGAGGCATACACAAGTTACAATTTTGTGTTCTTTGCAATATAGCTCGAAATCGCCGGAAACGTGGCTCTCGTGACCGTCCAACACTAACAATCGATATATCCCGGACTTTCCATCTTTCGTACAATTATCGAAGTGTTTAATAAATTCCATACCGATCTCGTTAGTCGTCCATTCTTTTGGACTAGGTCTTTCGGAATGTTGTCGTCTTCGTACCAAGAAGAGAGGTGGTATCGGCCCGCAACAACGATGAACGGCGGCAGCGCCCAACCGGTAGACTGGACCGCTTGGATTACGGTAACCCATTCCCGGTTACCTTGCTGTATTAATTTCGGCCTGGCACGTCGTTCGGAGCTCGTAACTACTATATTGGTTGAGATCTTGCCCATCATAAACCCAGTCTCGTCGAAGTTGTAGATGTCCGACTCTTGGATACCGTATTTCGCGATAACATTCGCAACAAGCCGAAACCAATCTGCAATAAGCTTTGGATCCTCGCATTGGACCCTTTGGTAATCGTAAGGACGGTTCCAACGAGTTTTCAACTCTTTGCGACGTGCGACGAACCTCGAGGCCCAGCGCGTTCCAATGGCCCCTGCGTTACGTGTCGCGCGGATAGAATTTGCCATTGCTTCCACATCAGCAATCCGGGGCGGAAACGTTCGTACATCTAAGTCCAGTATATGCTTGATAATGACCTTCTCTTCTAATTCTGTCATAGTTCGTGAATTGGGCAAAATATCGCGTCGGAAAGGTACGCCGTTTTTACGCGTTTGGAGGGTGCTTCGGGGGACTTGGTAAGTTTTTGGTCATTTTTGAGAGCTTGAAGGGCTAGCATTAAGTCTGCTTCGTTGTATGACTTTGCCATAATTGGTTGTTGAGAAAATCAAAGATTAAGTTGGCCGGTCGCGTTGGCGCATGAAAGTGGCCAGCTCGGTGTACATTCACGTTAATGTTTGTTAATTTGTATCTGCTTTTTGACGAATCCTAATACACGGATCTTGGTCAGGTATAGGATAGTTATATTGGTCTTCCAGTGTACAGCCTTTGCTGTTGCTATGTTATCTGCCTGTTTCAGATATTCATCTCTCACTACTTGATGCAAAGTCGAAGTCCCTGGAAGTGAAGATTCACTGTGTCGAACCATTCCACTTAATTCTCTACGTTAAGGATTAGGACTGGTACCTTATAGGAGAAGGGGTCTTAGTCTCGGTTGTTGGACGATATGATGAAGCGGTAGGTTGATAAACCTTTGGTTGTAGTATACCTCACAACTTAACCCATTTATATGTTTTCAAAACGAATTGTATACATAGGTGACCGCTTGTACCGATTAGTCCGATTACTACGGCATTCTCCCCTTCCTTGTTGGGCGCAGACACGACGTCGGAGCGAGAGGTCTGTAACGAGAACAATTGAACCGCAAGTCATCAAGGTACCCGGGCTCATAACATATTCAAAAGAAGGGCAGTATGGAAGTAATACTAGGCCGCCAATGGCATAAGGGATTCAGTTGACAGGAAGCAAGCATGGATGGTGATTCTTTTGACCATAAAGAGGTCGAAAGCAGAGTTGGTCAAGACTGACCAGAGGTCCCTCAACGGAGCTGTTTTTGTTTTCATCACAGTCTTGACGTCAGGCTCAGATGAAGCCTTCCTTTCCAAGTTGGAATTTCCAAGGGAGCACGGCCGGTACTTGCCTGGGCTGCATCTCAGAAAGCGCTGTCGCATTTATCCAACAGTGATGTTAGGCACCTATGATAATCCGCAGGACTCTTGATTATATTGCTTGAAGTTTTCCTAGGAACATTTACGCCAAGAAATACACGTCTTCATGGCTCGCATCATGCCTAGGCCTCAGTAACAAGTTCATCAATGGTCTCCGCAATAACCCTTATGGGATCGAAGCTCGTGATCTCCTCTTGTATCCTTCGACAAGCCTTCTTGTACTTCGGATCTGAGATAACCTCATCAATCGCTGCCCGGAGAGCTTCCCTTGATGGTTTGCCTGTCTTGAGATTGACCGCTACCCCAGCCTACGCTGCTATAGCACACATCTCCAGCTTATCCTCGGTTTCCCCTGCCACCACCAGAGGAGTTCCATGCTTGATACTGTGCTGGACACCTCCGTATCCACCATTATGGACGAAAACGGAACAGTACGGAAGAATGTCATCGAACGGGAAATAATCCACGACTCGTACATTATCAGCAATGGAGACGCTCGAGTCGAGTGTCGCTCCTTTCATGCCAAGCACAACGATGACAATTGTGTTTGGACGATCCTTTATCGCTTCTAATGTGGGTATGATTAGATTTTCATAGTTCAGTTCAACAGTACCCTGAGAAACGAGGACAACGTCCTTCTTTGTTGGATTGTCAACAACTTCGTTCCACCACGTAGGCTTTCCTGAAGCGCCTGTTTCAGTGTTCTTCGGAAGCCTTGGAAGTCCTCCGGTATAACGAAAGGTCTTTGGTGCATCGCTCCTTGGATACTGGGTTGATGGCGGGCACATTTGCAGGAAACGATCCGGCCATAGATAGACTACATCCGAATTAAGGCGGTAGCCATCCGGTATTTCGGCACCGAGTTCGTTCAAAATGTCTTTGAAGACCTTTAGCGGCTTTTCCCAGAGTACTGATTCGATATGCTTCCTCATTTCTGCATACTGGGCGACCTCACTACCAAAGAATTAGCACTCCGAAACTAGCCAGTGAAAACGTGTTTTTTCTTTTATTTGGGGGGGAAAGGAAAAGCTTGATTACGCAGCAGACGTGGGCAGTTGTAGACCGGGCCCAAATGGAGCGGTATCCACGCTATTCAGAGACACGAGAAGGACACCAATGCCGATAACTCCATCAGGCTTCACACCTCTGGCACCTCTCGTAATTGGAAGCGAGCCCAAAAAGCCAGATTCGTTGAGCAATATGACGGGTCTGTCAGGATACTTCGCTCTAAGCATCCTGATAGCCTTCTGAACTGCAGCGAACTGGTCAGGTATGACTCTCATGAAGCTGTGCTCCATGGTCCAAGAAAACTGCTCTGGTCCTGGGGGTATGAGAGCTCTCTCGGGCCATTTCGCATCACGCTCTTCATCCCAATAGTCTCCATAGCCCTGGATGGCAACGTAGCTGCATCCAACCGCCTCGAATGCGTTCTGGTAGTGGCTGGATGATACGGCTGTAACTTCGTAACCGTTAAGAATGAGTGCCTAGTAATGAGTAAGTCCTTGATTATGCGAAGACAAGCTGGTGCTGCGCATTCCGAGCAGCTCCAAAATAAGACGATAAGAAGCTGGTCGTGTGGATAAGGTGGTAGGGAATATTTAGTTACTTTCGCAAGAGTCTTGACGGGATTAACATGACCCGCGCCAGGTGTACTGGTCAAGACAAGCAGAGGCTTTATGGAGGCTGTCATGATTGATAATAACTGCAGATGAAGATAGGAGCTGGATGGGTCTGGGAAGACAATGTAGGAGAAGCATGATATCGATATTGTCTCGATGGCAGGGAAAACGAAGTATTAGCCTCTTTCTCTACAGCTCAGTTCTTTATATTTACATATGTATCGTTATGTACGTGTATCTTTGTATCGCGTTTAGGGTGTAGCTTTACGACGGTCTGTTGAGAAAAGCGGCACCTTGACGAGGATAAGCGGCAGTAGCTACCTAAAGGGGTTACATGTACTTCAAGCTTATGCAGCATACTGTAGTATGCAGGATGTGGTTACTGCCAAGAATAAAAGGTGGAATAGAAGGAAAATAGCTTTGATCCTAAAAGCGGGGATCAAATTGAATTGAGGGAGCACTGTGTTCCGTAGCGACTAGGATAAAAAGTGGAATAGGGGAAGCTTACGAAGTCTAGCAAGTCTACAATGCATACTTCGTATTGGCCAGATTTTCATGCCTGTCACTATCGCGAATTGCCTTAGTTCTTATGTCAGCCCGGCGTTTATATTGAACATCCACTTTTCGCCATAAGCTGATCTGAGATACAGCGACTCAACTCACATTCATATCGAACATCCGCGTGCGACCTTTTTCGACAACGAACGAATTGATGACGCGGAATCATCCATTCCGACATGGCAACTCCAAAACCCAATCCCACGTCTCGCCGGCATTACCTAGACCAGCTAAGAACCTATTGTACAGCACATGTTATCGTTCATCACACTGCGGGTGCATATGGTTACGGGGGCGCTGAGGGACCTCACTCCGCATGCTTCGATAAATCCTCACCACTTTTGACAGCTTTCCTTGCAGTTAACCTGGCATTCGGCCTGGGACAGTTCTTCTGGCTATCTGGATTCTTGTCAGCCGAGTCGCTCTCAAGGTCCACGGACTCGAAGTTCGTGAAGAGCAAACTCTTACGCCTAGGAGTTCCAACGCTACTCTATTCTGCATTTCTCGATCCGCTCTTTGCAGTTTTCCGTCTTCGTCAATGGGACTTCGATTCTATCAAGAAGGCATACATCGAAGCATTCCTCAAATTCAGGGGCGCGTGTGGCTCTGCCTGGTACACTGCAACACTACTTGTTCTTGACCTATGCGCAGTTCTCTTCAAGCGCTGCCTCTACATCTGGGGTCTTGGAAAATTGAAGTCATCAAAGTTACGGAGTTTGACCCAACTTTATGTAATGTTGTGTCGCTGGGGGTGGCTAGTCGTGGCTGGGGGGAGTTTCTTGATTAGAACTCGTTGGCCACCGGGCAAAAAGTTACCAATTATCGACGTCCAACAAGCCTACCTTCTCCAGTACATTTACGCCTATGGACTCGGCCACCTCGCGTTCCATGCAAGAAAGCCTAGGATGGTGGGCTTGCTCGAGCGTGACGTGCCGGACTACACTCCCTTGAAACCGTCACCCAGGCTCTCATTGGGCAAGGCAGTCGCCTTTTCCCTAGGAACGCTGCCGATCTTGCTTCTTCCGGGGTTTCTGAGTAGGCTGAGCGCCAAAAAGACTGGCTTACCAGTCGACTCTGAGGCAGACTTGCAAAAGGCCGGCTCAGCAGACAGTAATGAGACAGAGAAGGAAAAAACTGGTCCACCAGCTGGCAGTGAAATGGGCTCGAATTTAGCGGGCTGGACCACGGCAGCAGCCTTCTATGCCTTATGGAATGAATTATGCTTCAACAGTATTGGGCCTGCACAAGTTAATTACTTTGAACGAAACCAAAATCAACCCGCAAAACGGAAGTTGTGGTCCCCTCGTTATTCTTATGGAGCATTCCTCCTTCATCCGCCGGTCTCGTGGGCTATTGGAGAGGGCGTGGATGCCCTCTTGTGCGCGGAAGGAAAACAACCAGCTTGGATGAAGTCAAGAGTATGGAAGGATCTCGGACCTATCCTCATGACTGGAGTCGTGGGCACTGCTGATCTTGTGGCCTCTTTCGCAACGAGCATGCTGTTAGTGGACTATGTACCAGGTGTTGGCAAGCTTATCTGAGACAGTACTGTAAACCTCTATTATGGGACATTTCAGCAAGAGAACGTACCATTGTCTGGTTGCGATTGTGTTCAGTTTATAGACATCGCTCCCAGGCACATACCCTTTTCCGGACGCTACATGGGCTTGGCGGCTTTGCAAAATATATTCATGGCTTCCTTGGATATAGTTTTGTGTGTGTATTTGATAGATATCAACATGAAGTTGCAAGATATGATCGTTGTCCCCACGTAAATGAATAAGCATGGAGGAAAAGTAGAACTTGCTTGATGAATCAGAATTCGACATCTTTTGGCGGAGTTTGGAAGCCAAAAAGCTTCTCCGCATTACCGGAATACACAGCGCTTTTCTGATCTGCGTCAAAGAGCTTTTTGCAACCCTCGTCCATCTGACCTGCTAGACCAATGACAACTTTCTCGGGGGTAAAAGGATAGTCAGTCCCATAGATTAGTCTTTGCTCTCCGCCCTTTCCCAAAATCCTGAGCAGTCCGTGGATCTGATCCGGAAAGGGAAAACCAGCCAAGTCAAAGAAAAATCTCTCCCGCAGTAACTTTCGGAATTCATCGCTTTGGCTCTCTCCTCCCGTAGTAAGCGTTGCGAAAGCGCCGATACGATCCACGATAGAGGGCAACGCACAGCCGCAATGTGACATGATAAAGGTGATATGGGGATATTTTGATACCGTGCCTGACAAGAGAAGGTTTGCTATGGCACGCGTCTCATCAAACATAAACTCCATCATGGGACGAGGATATTCGTCAAGTGGTCTCATCGTCTGTATTGCGGCCCCGGAAACAAGCAAATTGCACGTCGTAGGATGGATGAAAAGGATAGCTCGGCGTGCGTTGAGCTTCTCGAAGACAGGTTCCAATGCCTTATCCCCGAGGTAGACTCCATTTGCGTTGGACAGAACTGCGAACCCAACTGCCCCAAGTTTATCCAGTGCATGATCAATTTCAGTGATGGACTCCTGAATGCAAGGAAATGGCAACGAAGCAAAGAAACCAAAGTGCGAAGGATGGTTGCTACAGACTGCAGACAGCTCCTCATTGGTCTGACGGGTCATGCTTGCAGCATGTTCGTCATGGTTGGTGGACAGGTGTGTTCCCGGAGATGTGATGCTTAAAATTGACTTGCTGATATTCAGCCTCTTCATGAGGGCAATGTGTTGCTCCGCACTCCAGGCCTGAGTTGGTCAGTGAGAATAGTGGCACGAGGGGCTGGCTTACAGGAAGGGCAGGCATCCCATCGGGCTTCTCATGGCCATTATCAAGAGCATACTGCCGATAGCCTGGCGGCACAGCATGACAGTGAATATCGATTCGCTGCATTTGGTATGTGAACAGGCTAACAGTGCAAAAGAGTCTACGAGGAGAAGCCTGAGATGAGTGGTGGGCGGACAAATCTCTTGGCAGAGAAAGTTATTGAGAGAAAAGGGGATGATAAGAGCTTGCTGGTAACATTTGCAAGAGGTACATACGGAAGCTCCCTTTAGTACGGAGTAATACCAGGGCCGCGCTACTGCAGGGTCGGGTCTTACAGATACGAAGTTGCTCTCATCCTTCGGACCGTCCCACTTTATCCACCCCTGCAAGAAGTGCATTGTGTACGGGGCTGCTAATCTAAGAACCAGCATTCGCTTGCAGATGCTTCAAAATTCCCTTAGAAGAATATGTACCTATGTTGTATCTATACAAGCTAACTTCATGATTCTCTTTCAGGGTCCTGTAATTATTCCACAATAATACACAAACAGCTAACCAAACTTAATCTAGCGCTCATTTTTTCGTTATGGCAGAGTGGCTCGATAAATCTGATAGTTTACAAAGACAATGCCGATATCGAACCTGACTATACAAGGAGTGCAGAACTCTCGACTGAACGCGTCGTGCAGCATTGAATCGATCATCCTCTCAACTACTCCTAATTTAGTGTTCGAACTAATCCGAACTCCACATACGAACATCAATCTTATGACAACCCACTAGTATACCGAAGACTTGGAAGCAGAACAATAATCATGTCTGCTTCGACAAAATACTATTTGCTGTTTGGAGGCCAGGGGTCGACTACTGTTTTCTCGCACAGCGCGAGTGCAGCTGCAGAGGAAGATGCTCACTCAGCGAGCGCCGGCAGCATCCTTCTATCGAGATGCCATGTGGCTTTCTTGCAAGAGATAGCGAGTCTAGACGCACGATCGCAAGATGTACTTGCAATCGACCTCGGCCTCTTCCCCCTTCCCCGTGACCTGCTCAAGCCGGTCGCACAATACCATACACATGCAGTGCTCCAAGCAACCACCATCTATCTCTGCCAAGTGTTACATTACCTGGCAGAAATACATCGCGTCGATGGACGATTCGAGGACTTCTTCGACCATGTTCGAGAGACAGCGGGTTTCTCCTCGGGCTTGCTCCCGGCTGTAGTAGCCGCACGCTCACACAGCTTGGACGAGTTCATCACTACCGCAGTGGAAGTATTCCGCCTTGCCTTTTGGATTGCATTTCGCACTCTCTTCCGGGACATCAACACCAATACAAGCCTCGCCACCGACGGTGACATGGCTTCGCAAGCGACATCGTCACTCGTGATTCGTGGCCTCTCACCGAGCCAGGTCGAAGAGAGACTAAAACAACACTTTACGACGCAGGAGCTGGGTCAATTTTCCCAGAAACCACTTCGACGACTGCAGATATCTGCCATCTCCAGCTCTAGTGTTGTGTCTGTCTCTGGCCCTGGAGTCGAACTCAGTGCGTTCAGGAAGCAGGCCGTCCCTGATCTTACAACAACGTTCGCACATATACATGGATGGTATCATGGAGGCGACCAACTTGAAGACGTTGTCAAAGAAGTCCTTGAAGATTTGCGGCGGCGGGCCATCTCCTTTCCCAAATGTTCTGGGCCTACAAAACCCATTCGTTCAACCGTGGACGGCACGTTATTCGATACTTCAGATGCCGACGCTTCAAATTTGCTTGAGTGGATAGTTCGGCACTTGCTGGTATACTGTGTGAACTGGAGCGACACATCTCTTCAGATCGCAGTAGATGTTAGGGGGCTTTTGGTACGGGAGCCCGCAACAGTCGTGAAGCTCCTGTCGTTCGGACCAAGCTCTGGTTCTCTCTTCCCAGACTTCCAGACTCTTGATCCTAGAATACAACTTCTGGATCTATCGTCATTTAAAACTAACAATAAATCTCGGTTGCCCTACGAGCACCGGGATAGTATTGCCATTGTTGGGATGAGCGTAAATCTCCCCAAAGGAAAAGGGACCTCGGAGCTATGGGAAACGCTTTCCCAGGGGCTCAATGCCGTACAAGAGATTCCTGAATCCAGGTTCAAGGTCTCCGAGTATTACTCAGAGGATTCGCATAAGCCGCGTTCGATGCCCACCAGGCACGGCGCATTCCTGGGGGATCCCTTCTCGTGAGTCCTTTGGTTCTCCGATTTCACTTCTTTCTTTCGGTTATCACCAGTAATTATAGCGAAAACTGACTCACTTATCTTACAGCTTCGACAATGCCTTTTTCAATATTTCTCCACGAGAAGCAAAATCTATGGATCCTCAGCAGCGGATCCTATTGCATGCAGCTCAGGAAGCCTTCGAAGATGCGGGCTATGTAGCGGATTCATCGCCGTCTTTCCAAAGAGCTTCCATGGGATGTTACATCGGCCTTGCTACTGGGGATTACACAGACAATCTTCGTAACGATATTGATGTCTTCTACTCTCCAGGAACATTGAGGGCATTTCATAGTGGAAGGATATCTTACTTTTATAGGCTCAGTGGCCCGTCCATTGTGACTGATACCGCCTGCTCATCCTCCATGGTCTCCGTGTACCAGGCATGCCGAGCCCTACAACATGGAGATTGCACAGCAACTATAGCGGGCGGCGTCAATGTGATTTCGAGCCCAGATGTCAGTATCTCCACCGTGCAAATTTCAAAAATCGGAGCACAAATGCTGACAATGAACAGATGTACCTTGGTTTGGCCCGAGGCCACTTCCTCAGTTCAACAGGAGGCTGCAAGCCCTTCGATGCAGCTGCTGATGGATACTGTCGGGCTGAGGGGTGTGTTCTTTTTGTGCTGAAACGATTATCCGACGCTATCGCGGAAAACGATCGTATACACGGAGTCATTAGGAACATAATGATTAATCAAAGCGGCAATGCGCACTCTATCACACATCCTCACAGTCAAACCCAAATCGATCTTTTCCAACGACTCCTCCAACAAACCAATGTCGATCCCGGATCCGTTGGTGTCATAGAAGCACATGGGACAGGCACACAGGTACTTATCCGTCTCCTCGCTCTGATTTATCCAATATATTGGTACCTAAATACCTAGAATACCGCTAACTCATCACTTACTTGACAGGCTGGAGATGCACGCGAAATTGAAAGTTTGAGAACCATCTTCGGCCCACATCACTTCACGGCGGCGAACCCTCTTGTGGTCAGTTCTATCAAGGGAAATATCGGCCATTGTGAAGCCGCGTCTGGCGCAGCTGGTTTGGCTAAGTTGTTGCTTATGCTTCGCGAGAAAAAGATCCCAATACAAGTCGGATTCAAGGACATCAATCCATGTTTTACGGACTTGGAAAGCTCTAGCTTCGTTATACCAAGGCGGACCACAACATGGAACCACTCGCAAAGGTCACCAAGGAGAGCTATGCTAAATAATTTCGGCGCTGCTGGCTCAAACACGTCTCTCCTCCTAGAAGAGTGGGTTGAGCCACCTGTTACTCAGCCCAGGAATCGGGAGCGATCAGCATTTATCTTTGCATCTTCTGCAAAATCACAAATTACCTTGCGAGCGGCTGTACATCAATACCTTCAGTTCTTGGAGAAAGCAGAACGTCGGCCGTCTTTGAAAGATATCTGTTACACTGCCACTGCGCGGCGTCAGGTCTATGATCACCGCATTTCCATGGTATGCACCTCTATCAACGATCTGCGGACCAAATTGGAACATGTTAAAGCTATCAACTCCGTCCCCGCGCGTACTGTTTCAGCCACTATCTTCGTCTTCTCTGGACAAGGCGGTCTGTATCAAGGTATGGGGAATGATTTTATGTACACATTCCCTGCTTTCAGAGAGGATGTCATGACTTGCGAAGGCATTTTACAAGGATTGGGATACCCAAGCATGCTCAGTATATTATGCAGGGATCAGGGCGATGCAATGGCTTTAGACAGCGCCGAGCTGATTATCGCCTCACAATGTGCATGCATGGCACTAGAATATGCTCTCGCGAAAATGTTCATGTCATGGGGTATTTTGCCCAACTATATTATGGGTCATAGGTAAGTACGTCAGTTCCTTAGAGGCCTTTATGTACTAACGAGCTTATCCGAACAGTCTCGGCGAATACGCTGCTCTATGCATCTCAGGCGCACTGTCATTAGAGGATGCATTGCGTGTCGTGGCAACTCGAGCGAAACTCATGAGCGAAAATTGTCTTCCTGGCACGTCTGGGATGCTGGCGTGCAATTTGTCCCCCGAAAAAGCTGAAGAATTGATACTGGAGAACCAGAACACATCCCAGCTCACTGTCACATGCCTAAACGGCATTAGTGACTGTGTCGTTGGTGGACTGCTCGACCAAATCAGTCTCTTCCAGAAGGAATGTAAGAGACGAAAGGTCAAGTCAAAATTGCTAGACGTTCCTTATGCATTCCACTCACCGGCGATGGATCCAATACTGCAACCCCTGCAAGAACTGGGGCGCTCAATCAAGTTCAAGCGACCTACGATTCCCGTCATATCGAATGTGTTTGGGCGAATCTTTGAAGAGGACGACTTTTCCAGCGACTACTTCGCGCTTCACGCGAGGCAGCCAGTGCACTTTAGCGAAGGTCTAATGAGTTTGCAATCGAGAGAACTACTTGACGACTCTGTATTCCTCGAGATAGGCCCGCAACCTACAACAATACCGATGCTACGGAGCTCGATTTATTCACAATCTTGTACCTACCTTAATACCTTGCAAAAGGGCCAAGACGCGTGGGCTTCGATTAGTTCGACACTCGCCGCGATATCATTGCGCAAAATTCCGGTCAACTGGCGCGAGGTCTTTACTGGTACGTCAGCGAAAATGACAAGCTTACCAGGTCATCTACTGGAGGGATCATCCTTCATGATCCCATACCAAGAACCCCTTCAGGTATTCAGTCTCCCCGGGCAGAATATGACGAATCCCCGCACCAAAACCGGTTTTGGTCTGCTACCGTGGCTGAAGACTCAGGCCTCTTCGGACGAGGAATTTGTGCTTGAAACTACACTAGCAATTCTTGGGCCATTGATCTCTGGTCATAATGTCGGCGGAAGTCCTATTTGCCCGGCGTCAGTGTTCCATGAGCTCGCCATAGAGGCGACACAGACTATTCTTGAACCTCTCGAGCGGCAAGTATTGGTTGTCAGCGAGATGAACTTTGCCAGTCCATTGATATATGTAATATCGCACAAAACTGATGTTGTGACGGTGTATATCACCAGAAATGATTCAACTTCTAGCGCAGACTTCAAGATCACGTCATGCTCGGCTCAAGACCAAAAGGAGACTTTACACTGTACGGGTCGCGTCGCTATACAAAACTTCTGGACAACGCCGTCACACTGGATGAAGGACGCAGCAATTGTGGCAAGGCAGAGTCATTACTTCTCTGGAGCCGGGAGAAATCACATCAATACTTTCCGAACTAAAGTTCTCTATGAGGCTATCTTTACACGTGTGGTTAGGTATTCCCTGGAGTATCAAACTTTGGTGTATTTGAATGTGGCCGATTCCAATCTCGAAGGTATTGGCGAATTCAAACTACCTTCTAGTTCTCAGACCGAGTACCTCGCACACCCTGTCTTCACAGACACACTTCTGCATGCTGCAGGATTTATCGCAAATCTTGCCGTAAGGTCGGACGAAGTAGGCATTTGCGCCCGCGTTGAGTCAATCGAGATATCATATCGTGATATCGATTACACGGGTTCCTTCACAGTCTACTGCAGCTTGCTCGAAATCAAAGGTATCATTTTAGCGGACGCAACAGCCTTGGATTCTTCTGGTAAAGTAGTCGCCGTTGTCCGTGGCATGGAGTTCAAGAGGCTTCGGCTGTCTGCTTTCCAGCACATGTTGTCGCTCAAGTCCATTGCCCTCGAACCTCGGGAAGATCCTTTGGAGCAAGCGAAACCGCAGCTAGTGACTGGTTTGATCACTCCTCCGATAACTGGCGATGACATGAATTCTCTCATCGAGGCTCCAGGTAGTCTTCTTCATGACGTCAGTCAAGCACTGAAGGGTATCGTCATGGATGTTGGCGGTTTCTCCGAGCAAGATATGGACTACACAAAGTCATTGGATGAACTTGGTATTGATTCTCTCGTGCAAATTGAGATTATCTCCAAAGTGACATGCACATTTCCTGGTCAGGCTGGGCTGGACCATCATGCGTTGTCAGAGTGCGAAACTCTCGAGTCTTTGGAGAACAAGTTATCATCCATTTTGCAATCCTCGATGGAGATTGCTGCGCTTACTGGGCCTCCCGTGTCCACTAGCCAGCAAGATTCACGTCAGCCTACTCTTATTCCTTCATATTATTCACCGTCTGATAGTGTGCAGAAGAGTCCAGTCACGCTGCATATTTCACAGGGGACGGAAGCACCGCTCTGCCTATTTCATGACGGTAGTGGGCAGGTCAGCATGTATGCGCGTTTGCGCGACCACGACCGCAGTACATACGCCTTCTCCGACCCGCATTTTGGGAGTGACAAGCGACCTCATTGCAGCATCAATCAGATGGCCAAGTCCTACGTCTCACTTCTTACTAAATCGAGTTTTTCTCCCCTAATAGTGGGTGGTAAGTCTGCGTCCCGCTTTACATTAGACGAAGCTGATGAGTTAAGGTTGGTCTTTCGGCGGCGTCGTCGCTTTCGAGGCGGCTCAACAGCTCATGGCCGAGGGGTTTGAGGTAAAGGGCCTCGTATTGATTGACTCTCCAAATCCAGATGACCACAAGCCTCTACCCAACGAAGTCATTGCCAATATTTTAAAGCCGAGCGGTCAAACTCTTGCGCTGAACAGCCATACCGCATTGAAGGAAGAATTCCAATTTAACGCATCTATGCTAGGAAATTACAAGGCAGTGCCCCTTTCAAAAACAAATAAACCCAAACTGAAGACAGTCATGTTGAGAAGCCAGGATATCTTCGATACTGAAAAACTTTGCGGGGTTCGCTATGACTGGCTCAGCAACCAGGATACTCGAGATGCCGCTATCGTCGCTTGGGAAGCATTGGTCGGTGGCCATGCCGAAACCCTGCCGATACCAGGAAACCATTTCGAGCCCTTCTCAGAGAGTAACGTGGGTTGAATATTCCTGGATACATTTCATCTCTTTTTCTTCAGTACTAATTCATCCTAGATTAATGAAACCGGGGCTCAGCTGTGGAAGGCGTGTCGGTACATTGAAGACTGGAGCGAGTTTTAGTTCTGATACCAACGAGTATCACTAGAACGCATCGGTACACTGAATATTTGAGTTTGTAACATAGCTCATAGATTAATTACAGAAGAAAATATAGTAGAACTGTTGATCTCTATTCTTTGTAGGACTCTACTACCCTTGAACAAGTACAGTCAGGCTCCATAACTCTGGGGACACTTTACGCCAACGCGAAAATTCGCGCACTTCGCACCTACACCCTCTAACATTTTAACCACCACAATTATATCAAAATGAGGCCGAATCTCACCGAATTTGCGCAGCAAGTAATGGATGATCATCGGCCTGGCTGTGAGTATACTCAAGTCCAACGGGCGGCCATGGTAACGGCAGTTATGTGCGGTATCCCGCAGACTACCGTGGCTAGCCTCTTTAACGTACACCGACCGACCGTCACGAAATCCCTGGTGTCCTGGAAATCTCGCCATAGCTTCGATTCGCTAGCTCAAAGCGGTCGTCGCCCTAGATTTTCACGTCGGGGTAAGCGTTTCCTCGTTCAATTATGCAAGCGTAATCGAAATTGGACTTATAAGGAGCTTATGCAATCTATGAGTGGCAAGGTTTCGAAGAGTACCCTTCGGAGGTACCTACGCGCCGTTAATATGAAGAAATGGCGTGCGCTTAAGCGCATACCACTCACCAAAGAATTAGCAGCTGATCGCCTTGCATTTGCAACTTATTGGCTCGAAAATCTGGAGGAATTGATGACGGTATAGCCTCCGGCGTATCGAGGGTTCCCCCGCTAATCTAGTCCACAGGTAATCTTCGACGAGTCCTCTATACAGAATTCTACGTCATCCCCGACCGCCTGGGTCTTCCGATTTCCGAGCGAGAAGTATAATAAGGACTTCGTGAATCTTAAGGCACACGTAAAAGCGAATATTTCGGTTATGGTCTGGGGTGGGATCTACGTCGAGGGAGGAGTAGGGAAGAAGAGCGACCTGATCGTGATGGAGCGACCCCCCCAGGAGGAGGGTAAGAGACAGAAGGGCTACAATACCTGGAGTTATCTTAAGGCCTTGAGGGAGGGCTTACTCCCATTTTGTAAGGATTGGCAGCATTTTCAGCAAGATGATGCGAAGATACACCTCTCGGCGCAAGCTATGGAGTGGTTCGGCCGGCACGCTATTTCTCTAATAGACTGGCCAGCGCATTCCCCAGATCTCAACCCTATAGAGCACGTATGGGCCTGGTTAAAGAGGTATCTATCTAGGGAATGCACTGAACTCTTTATCCTAAAAAAACTAGCTGGATATTGAGAAATTTAAAGCTGCGCTGCAGTTAGCGTGGAAGGCAGTACCGGCAGCGCTGATTAAGAAGCCATACGACACTCTAGAGCATAGGCTCCGCGCTATTATTAAATCCCGCGTCTCGTATACAAAATATTAATCTACGGGTTATAAGCTTCGAAATGACTTTATTTTAATACCTGTAGCCTATATATTCATAGAGACATAGTGTCAGAGCCACAAGTGTCATCCGAGGCGGGCCGGCTTCCACCAGGAAGGAAGTCGTTTGTGGCGAATGAGAGCTGTTGAAGCCGTTTGCAGCGGATAGGGAATCGCTTGGTTGCAGATAAGGAGCCGCTATCCAAGATATTGGCCGAAGTCGGAGGAACACAGACATGCGGAAGCAAACATCCAGAATCCAACAGAGAACCTCGGCTGGCTATAAGTAAGGAGTCGAGACGGAGGAAGATAGAGAGGGCAGAGATCAATGAACTACTGTGGACACCCCTACCTGCCATCATCAAGTGACCACCAGGGGAACACGCCTATTTCTCCCCTTCACTCTGTACTATCGCCTTCGGTCCAGGCCGTAACCTGACACTGGAGCTTATGTGACGAATGAGTAGGCATACTAAGTGTAATAATAGTATGCTCTTTGCAATATAGCTCGAAGTCAGTCGAGTGGTGGCTCTCATGCCCGTCGAGGATAAGAAGACGATAAACACCCTTCCTAACGATCCTTCGTATAGCGATCAAAGTGCTGAATCCAGTCTACGCCTCGCTCATTTGTTGTCCAACCGTTTTTGGTTACAGCGATTACCCAATCGGACGGGAATGGGCTATTCTCGTACCAGGATAAGAGGTGGTTTTGACCCGCGACAACAATATACGGCGGGATAGTCCAGCCGGAAGAATTAATACCCTGGATTACTGTAGCCCATTCTCGATTGCCTTTTTGGACTGTACGAGGCCTTCCGCGTCGTTCGGCACTTGTAACTACCATCTCGGATGAGATTAAGCCCATCGCGAACCCTGTCTCGTCGAAGTTATAGATATCCGCCTCTTGGATACCATATTTCGCAATTGTATTTCGTACAAGCGTAAACCACGCGCGATACGCGTCAGGATCTTCGCAATAGGCTCGTTGGTAGTCGATTCTTCGATTAAAACGCGTCCGAAGGTCTGGTTGTCATCGTACGAAGTTCGAGGCCCAGTTGACACCGACGCGTCCAGCGCCACGGTCACGGAGCAGTCGGTTAGCCATAGCTTCAACACCATGGAGCCGGGGAGGAAATGATCGCGAATCTAGGTCAAGTATGTATTATACGACCGCTAACTCTTCTGATTCCGTAAGCTTATGACTAGATTGTCGAGTATCGCGTCGAGATAGTAGTCTGCGTTTTCGGTTAGCTAGAGTTGTACGAGGGACATTGTAGAGTTGGGCAGAGCGTCGGATGCTTAATTCGGGTTTCGATTGAAGCGCCTGACACGCTAGAGTCATGTCGCTTTCTTTCCAATTCGATCCCATCTTGGTATGTGTAAAGATGTTAATTAAAAGGTTGTTCGTACGGTGCCAAGAAAAAGTGGCCAACTTGCTTGTGGGGTACGTTATCCCTAAGTCAATATATCGTACTAGTATCGCTACGGAGAGTTTCTCTACAACAACCTTGTATAATTAGCCTCCGCGACCATGTATATTATTATAGTCTTAACAGCGATATATTATTATTATTATTAAATACGCCGTAGGCTCGAAGCCCCCGGTACCTCTACTAGTACTCCCGTATGTCAAACCGTGCCCTAATGGCTGGACTAAATACATACGCTGCGTCGTCGGTTCGCCCTATTGGCGACTGCGTTGCGTTCACTACCATACTACGTTGGTTCTCAACCTACCAACAAAGTCCCCCCTGAGAAGATCGATGCTATCTGGGCCTTGAAGCTGTCCGACCCGTCCCTAGCAGCCATCTTACAATAGTCCCACTAACTACTGGTTCTCCTGTTGCCGTTGCGAGGTCTCTGCGAGAGTATAGTGGCCGTGGTGCGATGGCGGCCCGTAATCGTTCCCTCGGTCCTTCCAACAGCCCGCAAAAGAGGATTACGTGCTCTGCCGTCTCAGGGGCATCGCCACAGCGGCATAGCGGCGAGTACACGCCAAAAGCCCCTGTCTTGAATAAGAAGGCTGCTAGTCCTATTTTTTCCGTCCTGATCTGGCACAGCGTAGACGCCTCCAGTCGGTTCAGGCCGAAATACTTGCCCCCTTTCGGTATCTGCATCGAAGGGCCCTCCGGTTCCTCAGCGATAGCGCGTCGCTGGCGATCGTGATGCTCTGCTCCGGTGAGCCATCTCTTCCTCCAGTGGTCGAGGAGGGCAGCCGGGACCTCCTTTTCCTCACTCATCCACTCGGAGCCCCGGGCCTCCTTCTCCATAGTGTACCCTGCCGGTCGGAGTAGCTGCGACGCCTGCTTCCTCTTCGCCGGCCTATCCTGCCGGAGTATATGTGACGCTTTAGCGCTCGCGCTGCGAAGCAGATTTCTCTTCCCGCTAAGCCGTAGCCGTTCTTCAAACTTAGCAGCCCGGGCACTAAGATAGAGGTCTAGTGGCGGGATTGCTGCTTCTGCTTCCAGGTGGCGAACCGGCGTCGCTTTGTGGGCACCACAGACTACCCGGAGGCACTCGTTCTGTATCCCCATCAGGCTCTTAGCTGGCCCTGCCGGTTCCTCACTTATAGTATGCCACGCAGTCGCCCCGAAGGCGATTGCGCTACGGATAACCACCGTATATAACAGCCTCGCCCGTATAAGATCGCAGCCCCACGACATATTGACTAGCTTTGTCAGGGCTAGCTTTTGAGTTGCCATTTTTGTTTTAACACGCTCAACATGGGCGTGCCACGTCAGTTTGCGGTCGAACCAGACTCCTAGGAACCTGGCTGAGACTACCGGCGACACTGTGGCGTCCCCAAGGCGAATACTTTGCGGCAAGGGCTCTCGGGCCCTAGTAAAGTGCATTAGCTCACTCTTGTCAGGAGCGAACTCCATCCCGTGCCTCACTGCCCACCGCTGACACGTAGCCCATGCGCTCTCCAACCGGCGGCAGGTCGTGTCTGGATCGGTGCCGACGCTTAGCAGGTTCGTGTCGTCCGCGAACCCGACTACTAAAAGTAGTGGATGCTGCTCCGCTAGCTCCTCGTACAGCGTTGAAATGTATAATATAAACAAACAGCGATATAGGTAGGCCGTAGGAACGACTTCGGGTTGACATATATAGCGCTTAGACCCAAAGATACAGATGCTCGCCCTCTGATTTTTATTTTGTCTATGACTCCTCTGCTGTGATCTTCTTTGTTTCTGTCAAAAGACCATAGGCAGTCCGATTTCGTAGGTAATTTAAGGTCTTAAAGGCCTTGTCAAAGAGTTCGATTGGCAGGTCTACCAATTTTAAGGGCGCTTGTAAAGTCTTGAAACAGGATCGAGTACAAGACATCTGTTGTCACGTTCCAAAGTTCTTATGAGTGAAGCAGTTCGCATGACTTCGCAGGTTCACGCAGCATCTTTAATATGCACATACTATAGACCACCCCCCCCTCCTTCCACAGTGAGGCATGTCGAATGCAATTGAATCAGGGTGTGCCTATGCCCAATTCTGGGCCCGTCTCAAAGGAGGATGTGTCATTCGTGCCGTGCCCGGTTAAATTCGAGATGTAATCGCCATAAAATGACGAAGCAGGCGGTGACGGTGTCCCACAAACCCAAAATTCCAACACCCTAGATTTATATGAAGGCCAAAAAAGATGTTTTTTTTCTTTCTTCTATGATGGTTACTTCTGGTTTGAGGCGGGGTTTTGTAGCCCTACACTTGGCCGTACCTTCCCACCTACCCTACACCTCGTTTTCTAAGCACCACCAAAAGCCAAAAGGCTTTGAATATTAACTCCGCCAAAGCCACGTTGGCGCAACAGTGCCCGGCCACGATGAACAGGGAACTCGGCCACAGCGATAGCGCTGACATGCTCGGCATTGATGCCAGCTTCACCTAACAGCTGCAGAACCGCACAAAACGTCTCCCCCGTAGCAAGCACATCGTCCACCACCACCACTGACGCGCCCCTGGGGACCACGTCTCGGTCCATCTCGATCCTCTTCTCTCTCGGCTCGTTGGGTGCTGAAGACGAGATGTGCGACGGGGACTTGATGGTGGAGACGGTGGGTGGGGGGAGCTTGCCGGCTTCGCGGATTAGCATTAAGGGCACATTGACCCGCAAGGCTAACGCCGACGCAAAGACAAGGCCACCGGCCTCGCAACACGCCACCGCATCGACTTTAGCCCAGTCACCGGTGAAGTGGGTTTGCAGCAGAGACGTGCACAGGGCCAGCCCACCCGGCTGCTGGGAGATGCCAAGCACGTGGCGGAACTCGATGCCCGGGCGTGGAAAGTCGGGTACCGAGCGCACCATGTTGGCCAGTCGTTGCAGGTCCTCATGGAAGAAGGGAAGCAAATGTTGTTCGGCAAACCGCGTTGCCGCCTCGTCTCCGGCCGTGTCGTTGTCGAAGATTAGGCTCGGGCGGTAGTCCACGGCCGTCAAACCCGACTTGTCGTTATTGCTGTCATTGTCGTCCTTGTTGTCGTCACCATCGGCACCGCCGCTGTGACAACCTCGTCGAATCTGTCGCGTCTCTTCGCCAGCCTTGACGCGAACCTCAAGCAGTCTGCTATCTGGCACTAGATGCCATAAGGCTGCGACCGGCGCCTCGTCTCTCATCCCGGTGATTAGCAGCACGTCAGCATCTACAGCACCGTACACCACATTCAAAAAATGTTCCTGTGGAAGCCAAGGTCGTTGCCGGACCCGGCCCTGGAAAAATGTTGTCAACGCTGGCCGGTGTTGCTCCTTGTAGGCACGGTCGCAAAGCAGGCGGCTCAAGTCGGCACCAGTAGCCGCGGCGTATGTTCGCTTGATCTCATCGCTAATGCTGACGACATCCGCCGTGAGGCTTTTGTTGGCGTATTCGATGAACACAGAGGCCCAGATGTCGGCGCAGTAGTCCTTGCCGGCGCAGCTGTCGCCCGTAACAAGGATGATGAGCTTCTGTTTCATCAGCGCTTTCGGGAGCGGGCAGGCGTAAGCTAGCACATTGCGTGGGTCCAAGCTGCGTTTGAGACGGGCCAGGCGTGGCCGGTTCGGTCCGAAAGCCTTGCCCGCCAGCGCGGCGTCTCTAGGGTCCGGCCCAAGGTCGGCGCCGTAAGCTCCGCTGCTCAGGGGCAACAAGTCCCCGGCGACGTTGTAAACCCACTGCTCGGCAGCTCGGGCGGCTTCGGTTCCATCTTGTTCACGGGGCCAAACACCCGTGATCACGCAGGCAAAATCCCAATCTCGACAGCCGAAAGCAGTGGCATCGTCCGCCACGTCGCCGACCGCTCCGCCACCTTGCAGCAGATGGAGGTAACAGAGTGGGGAGGGACGACTCTCGACGGCCGCCACCATAATGTCTACGACGTTCACTGCTCTGATGCCCTTTAGGAATAAACAACGCTTGAACGAGGAGTTCTTGCCGCCGCCGTGCCCGCCGTGCATCCCGGTCATGTACATCTCGGTCTCGAACAGACCGACGCTGTCCACGAGCTTGAAATTATCCTCTGGTCCTAAAATTGTAACTATGGGCGAGGGGATGGGTGTGGGTGCCGCAGAGGTGAGCCCAGATGTGGAAGATTCGAACGTTGTCACGCCAAGATGCAGCTGGCCGATGTGCCAGTACAGATATGCGTCTGCAGAACAGTTCCGGGGGAGCTTAGCGGCGACGAATTGATCAAAGTCCCCGAGCCTGAGCCGCGCCTCGAGGTTGTCGCGCAAAGGGATAACCCAGTTTCGAGTCAAGAAGGTCGGAGCCGGGTAAGCCGCGAAAGTAACGCTGATCACGATGCCAAAGTTAGTCCCGGCGCCTTTCAACGCCCATAGCAGATCGGTTTCGTTTTCCGGACGCACGGCACCGGCCGGCCGGTGTTGGCGTGGTACCCGACCAACGCAGAGGACTTGGCCAGAGTCGACGCTGACCACTACGGCACCGATGACGGCGTCGCACGCGAGCCCGTGCAGCCTCACCAGGTGCCCGATGCCGCCTTGTAGCCACAGCCCGGCCCCTACGCTTGGGCGGGCGCCCAGAGGCACTGTCACACCCCTCGCCATGGTCTGACGGATAATGTCCCCTGTATTGCAGCCGGCCTCGGCAACGACCACGCAACCTGGGTCGGAACCGGGGTCTCCTGCATCCCCTCCAGCCGTGAGAATATGTATTTGGTCAAAGGCGCCCATGTCAACCGAGACGACGTTAGGCCAGAGACAATGACCGCTGTGACCCCCACCGACGACCGTTAGGCCGAAACCGTGCTTTGTAACCCATTGAACGCACTGCTGGACGTGTCGAATCTCTGTCGGTCTGATGACCGAGGCGGGACGGTGGAGGCGTGCCTCCCGATTTTTGACTGTCGTCTCCCCATTCACCACTGGCAACTGCGCCGTCAGCTCCGGCAACGTTGTCGAATGCCGAGTAAAGGTCGCCACGACGTTGGGCGAGCCGAATAAAAGATTGTCTTGGGGATAGGCTTCCTCACGACGGCCCAGGGCGCGGCACACCTTGCGCCAGTCGACTCGGATAGCCTTGTCCACATCTACATTCTGCATCACAAACCCCGCAATGAAAGGAGCAAAACAGTCCAGCACCTCATCGGTATCTGCCACGCGAACGACCCCGGTAGGGAAAGAGGCCGTTTGATGGCACACCAAGCCGTCGAGGTAGAGCGTCCCGTCGTGATGGAAAACCACCACCATTCCCCCTTCTGGCCGCTCAACAAGCATTTCCAGTGCCCGTTCGATAAACTTATGTTTGGGCTTCATGCCGTACATGCTGTGGCAGAATAGGATGACGTCGAACTTTTCGTCGCTATCACTCGTACCGGTACCGCTACCGCTCCCTACGAAGCTGTCCAGAACGAAGGGGGTTCGATGAATGTCGGGCGGGCTTTTCAGACAGGGCAGCGGTAATTTGGTCTCCAAAGTAGAGCAAAGCCATTCTTCCAACCTAGTAGCAAACAAGCCGTTTGGCTCGAAAGCAGCGTATCGGCTGACCTTCCGTCTCAGACCGTTGGGCAAGTATCCGAGTACGCTCTTCGGGCCAGGTCCGATTTCTAGCACCGAGATATGGATACGCGAGTTGAATATAGGGGCAAGCAGACGAGATAGTTGAGGAAGAATGAAGTCTTGGTACGTCATCCATCCTAAGTCCCGCACTAAAGTATCGAAGCCAGCACTGTACTGTGTGTTAGACAACGGCTGCTCTGGAGACGATGCCTTTGCCGTGGCTTTCTGCCTAAGGGCCCGCTTTAGAGAGTCGAGAGTGGCCATTGTAGTTCGGCAACAGAAAGAGGGTGTGTATGTGTGAGTGTCTTGCACTGGTAGGGATGGCAACAAACGTTGATATGGGTGGGCATTATGGCATTGTCTACTTAGTTTGAATTTCGGACCTTTTCTTTCTTAAGGGATGTGTCAGACCTTATAACTACCAAAAATGTCTCATTCTACAGCGAGTGGGTCCCTCGTCTTTTGACGGTCAATTTGGTTCAACAGGATGCTTGATTACCAATCCTGCTAATAGATCATGTTATTGAGGGCTCTACTATAACCCTTTGCTACCCAGTCCTGCAGCGACATCCCTTAAATGCCCAGCTGGTTTACGCGGATGGCGTATACAGGAAATTGCAAGTACGATGCATCGAGGTGGCGTGATGATACAAACTGTCATGACAACGCTGCTTAATATAGTAGATAAGATTGTCATGGGCCTCTAGAAATGCCTGGTCTTGCGTCTAGACAGAGTGCAGTCATTTGGGCCAGCAGGCTGTGTGTATGCTGCAACGAGGTGGGGAGCAGTCAGCCACTAATTTTGTCTCGGCGGCAGACACAGTTCATCAGGCTGCAAGTCACTGCGTGCAAGTCACGCTGCACGGCAAGGGTTAATTCAGGCTAACCGCCTCGCTTGCTAACTTCCATGGTCTTGCCGGAACTGTGCAGGAAGCTGAAGAAACCGCTGCGCTTCAACGTTACAATCACAACGGGGAAAGCTGTGGTTGCGTCCGGCAGGCGCTTAGAGTAAAAGTACCCAAGTCCAGCATGCGTGACTATCACTTATTCACACGCCACATGCAAAGGTGATGCAATTGAGCAGTAAATAGAGAGTAGGTAAGATGCGTTCAAAGGCTGTGTTGGAACCCGTCAGCAGTGTTGAGGATTAGTTAGCAGCAAACTGTTGTTAAATATGGAGACGAACGGTTTGAGGGCGACACCGCCGCCAGAGACGTCGAAATATCACGTACCCGACCATTTCCACAGCAATACTCCGGAAGTTGCCTTATACAAGCCGTAGCTGCAAGGTCTACTTCAAGAGCGGGCCGAGTTTAGAGATCCGCACGATCTACTATGCGCAGAACTCGAGTACATTCGCCGCAGCTCTCACGAAATACGTCTAAGGCACATACCGGACGAAGCAGGCCATGTGCTCATCCACTATCTCCACACGGGTACGTGAGACTCGTCGCTAGATGCAGCGAGACATTTGACTCGAAATCGGCCTACATATCTATGCCGCCGCACAGACCTACAAGTTGGTTGATAGCGCTTGCCGAGGCGAAGATCTCTCATTATGCGGGAGCATTGCCTGCTTCGGAGATTCTCATTTTAGCATCTGATGCTTGTCAACTCCTGGGAGAGGATGGCCTCTGGTTCTTGTCCTTCACCAGAGTACGCATTCAGCAGATGTTCGCAGACTCGGCCTCATTGAACAAGACGGGCTTTCTGGGATGCTTTGAAAGCGCGACGCCATACTCCAATCCTTATTTTGTTAGTCCTTCTTTCTTTGGCTAATTGGAGAATGATACTCTTGCAGAGACTGCGTCTCGAAGGGTACTCTGAAACACAAGTCGTTTCCGGGGACTTCGCGTCCGCGTCGCTGGGAGAGCTACTGACGTGCAGCGGAGACGGGGTTTCAACTCCCCTGCAGTATTCCGCGCCGCAGACAGTGACAGAAGCTGAGTCTCCGCTACTATGGCCCGGGGATGGCCTAGAAATGTAACAGAACCAGGAAGATTGGGACGCTTTACTTTTTCCGGATCTTGAGAAACCCAAGTTTAGTTTTTCCGTGTGTTTCAACCGCCGACGAGTCATATGGCATTCCTCTATTAGAAGTCTACTGGGCGCAGGTAGATATGAATCAGTTCTCGTTCGTTTGTTTGAGTATATCTATAACCTTTGTATGAGGTGGATGTGCCATTATTTGGTTGCGACATTGGAGAAGAGAATCAACGCGACAAATGCGTGTATCCCGATGTTGGAGGCCTGGAAGTCCAAGTTTCAATGTACTTGCCGGGACAAGAGCCTAGTTACGTTGAACTCTGAAATAGATTAAAAATTAGAATAGTGTTTTTTTGGTATATCTTGATATACGGCTGTGTAATGTTCTTGGTCTTCGATTGAAGCTGTGGAGAATCATACTACATCAAGTCATGGATTAGGAATAAACTGAATTTGGATGTTAACATTTTAAATCATGGTGACGGCATTTAGAGGCTACTGCTACCGGGTTTGGACAAAAATAACATCTCTAGAGCTATATCCGAAGACTGTAGATTTGAGTTCAATTCCTATTGTAGATATATAAGACACTTATAGTCAATGTTTATGGCCATGCACCATATGGCATACCTTGGCAGGTAAGCTATCCATCATGACGTCTGTCAGACCTTATAACTATCAAAAATACCTCATTCTACAACGAGTGGGTCCCTCGTCTTTTGACGGTCAATTTGGTCCAACAACTTCAGTGTTACGTAAACCTTCGTGATATCCTGATTTGACCCTTGAAAGCTGCGCCTGACTTCCTCATCCTCGTCCGAAGCACAGTTGAACTTGGCCACGACCTCTCCCTTGAACGGCTCCGGCGGCTGACTCCACACATGATTAACGGCATCATGGAGACACTGGATCTGAATGCCGCGGAACCCCTCCGCCGCCGACTTCCGCATCATGTACTGCGCAAGCAGCTTCATGAGTCCGCGGCCTTCTTCGCCCGCTTTTGTCGCTGTGGCGTTGCGGAAGAGCACCTGACCAGGGCCTGTAGCTTGCCAGCTTTTCGGATCTCGCGTATCACGCTCTTGAAGAATCCTGTTTCGTACGCCGAGCAGCGGCATGATCTCAACCAACGGCGTGATTCGAGCCATGTCGAGCGGGTTGGAGCTGTCGTAGGCCATGGCCACAGATACCAGCGGGAAATCCATCTGCTCTAGCAGCGCGACCTCATCCGCGCTCTCGTCGTTCAAGTTCCAGTACAGCTTACCACCCGTTGCCACCGACTCAGGGCGCTTGAACTTGTACTCCTTGTCGAAGATGCCGAGAGACAGGCCGGACTCGATCTGGTGGTTGATCAAGTGTGCGCCCACCTTGAACATGCTATAGCACATTCCCGTCTTGCCCTCGGAGTAGATTTTCGACCAGACTGGTGACGCGAATGAGGTGCTGTGCATTACGATTGCGTTGGCCCAGTCTGAGTGCTCTGGGCCAAGTGTGCGGATCTCATAGCGAGACGGAAGACCGGATTCGATCGCCATCTTCCAATGACTAGGCTTAGGATCTCACTGAATTAGAGTCTTTTCAGGCGATAGAAAAGGCTTAACGAGAATTTGTAGTCAATGCAAGGTTTGCAAGACAGGCAAGCTCTCCGAGGGAGCTAGATGAGTTGAGAATATTCAATCCAGCTCCCTATGAGCGTCATGTGAGAACCATATGATCGGAGGGTCAGTATCACTCGATTCCTCGCTTCCTCGCTTCCATGCATCCTCCGTGTGGCGCAGCGGCTGTAGCTAATGAAAGAAGATGAATTAAGTAGGGATAGACGTGCCAACCAACCTCGTGATATGTCAGACTCCAAGGGCCTGTTCTTTTTCGTCCTCTGTGATTCCTCAATTCTGCGGCCCGTGCAATATCAAGCCAGCCGGCCACAAGCGGGGGTCCCTTATCCTTGCCGTCACATCTTTAGACAACTGCAGTGGAAAAAAACATGTTACTGTAGTACTTCGCACTCCCTACTCCAGCGTCAGGGGCTTTTACATTTCGAACAAAAAGCCGCCTATCAGGTGAGATTGCGGCCAAAACATCGTGAATTAGATTAACAAGAGCGTGTAATGAAGTGCATGTTACTTAATTCGCCGTAGACAGGCTGTGAAAACCAAGTTAGTCCATATGCCACAGCCAGCATTCGCGGGTCTAAGTAACGGTAGCAGCTTGACAAAATTCCATTTGATCACGTGGAGTAGTGACAGATCAAGGGTATAGCCGTAACGGCATTTATTCCCTAACCTAAAGTAGCTTTGAGCGAGCGTGGAGTACTCAGGGATACAGACATTAGCACATCACGCAGACGGAGAACGTCTCGATGGCTTCCAGGTGCAATCATCATTCTTGTGCGCTTGAATCGTGTGACCAAGAAGTATTGGATGTCGCACTGGCCGTAGAGACCTAATCTTTCAATTGCATACGGCTGATACAACGTTCTTCCTACACATCCGCCCGCGATAACCATGTAAACAGCCCTGTTGAATGTATATTGCGTTGAAGATAGTCGGACTGTGTGACCATTTTAAATGCAGGTGTGTCAGTCAACAAAATGACTTGCTCCGTGAAGAGACGGCGCAAACTTGCAGGCACACAGCCACATTAGAACTGTAGATTACGGCTCAGTTCTTCCAGCGAACCACCCCACAGTCGGGGAATTTGCGCCAAAGAATGGCGTTTAGCTCGTGAGTTGGCCGTTGCTCCATGGCAGAATGAGCGCAGTGATCCGTGTGCTTCCATTGCGACAAATACGAATCGATTGAATGCAGGCCTCTTCTAGCCATGGCTGTGAAAAGTCTCCGGTTCATTTCGGCGCAATGACGCTGGTGATCTGCGAAATGTGAGCCAGTGCTTACAATATGTATAGCAAGCTTCCGAGCCAAAGAGCATCACAAAGTTGAGAATACTTACATTCCCACTCAACAAGTACATAGTCGTACTCCCCTTTAGCCACCTCATCCCAACTACGCTCTTCTGTGCGATTCGGTTGAAGCCAAAATTTCCAGTCTGTGTACTTCCTAAAGTTCTCCTCTGTTTCTTCGTCGTAGCACGCTTCGGGTAACCATGCACCGTACAACATGCCGTAACGACAACCTCGCGCTCTTGCCTCAGCAGCGCTCTGTCCGCAAGGATCTGTGTGTAAGAACTCAGCATGCGGGTTCTTGTAATCATCACGGACCACTCCATCAAAGGTATACTGTCGGTACGAATCTTCCGACTGGCATGTGTCGCCGTTGTGTCCTCCTTTAATGCCCGGCTTGCTTACGCCATCGGCTTTCGTGTTGCCGGGAGAGCCGAAGAAGGTAGGCGCAAGCCAACTTGCAAGAAAGACTACCAGAGCTGCATGCAAAATTAACACAAATAGCAGAAGAATTGCTTTCAAGGCGAGGTTGTAGCGCCTATGCGTGGGTCGTCTTCCTTCAGACACATAGCCTTTCTCGTCCTGAGACAGCAACGACTGGGCTGTTTCATCCGCACTAAAAGATATCCGATCCACAGGCGAGTACTCTGCTCTACCCGTCATCTTGTGGGAGTGTCTGCGAAGTGACCACTTTGACTTGGTAACTTGGAGGAGATGTTAAGGATGGGAGAAAATATGAGAGAAGATGTTGAGGACAGTATGAGTAAGTAGGACTATCCTGTAAGAAATAGCTAACACCTTTATTTTGTATATCGGCTTGAAGGATCCTGCCGGCGTTGAGGGGTCAAAGAATTTGGTGAATTTCCAACTTTCCCACTGGATTCCGAGCCAAATCAGACACAATGCATATGCATCAGCTCATCTATAACAGATCACATACAGCGTAACAAACCCGATTGGCCCTGTCATCTGAGCAGATATGAGAGGGGTGGAGTAGCATGTAAAGGCTTGGAAGGGTTCTCGCCACTCTCGAGACTCATAAGACTCATAATTCCAGTCGTGATAGGAAGGGATCTGCCGATGGCAAAGTGCGGGGAGTAAGTGTTGTGGCACCAATGCAAGAGATGTGATTTTGAAACCTACATCGGGCCAATCATATAGAAGATGGCGGATTATACCGCAGTAGCCGTAGACTCTTGCTTGCTTGGCGGCACTGTAACTGCGTCTGCCAAAGCGGGCTCAAACGAAAGCTTACGTGGTATAAGGCATCATCGTATGCAAGTATGTGGGTTGCCAGTTGAATAGTACGCTAATCACCTTCCACAACAGCAGGCGAACACCAGTCAGGAACTAACAAGTCATCAGTATGCAGTCAGCTGATATGTGAAAGGTTGAATCCTTCAGGAATGCAGAAAGCAAGCTCTACACCACCTGCTCGAAACCATAGGGGGAGCCATCCGAGCTATCCGAGAGGCACATGATGAGTGGAACATGTCAATCGCCCAACCTCATCTCGCCAAAGACGAATATAGTCTCTTTGAAAGTTTATAGATGGCACTGCATCTCTCAAACTCTCTACTTTGATTTCGGTTGCGATTCAGAACATTGCAGCCTTTATACACTACACAAAAGCAACACACTTACTTCTCCCATCATGCAGACGTCCCTGGCTGCCCTTGTGGGCATATTCTTGATCGCAAATACGCTAGCTGCGCCAGTTGCTACTAAGGAGGCAGAGCCCTTCACCACTATCAAGCGCGAGGAGGCAGAGCCCTTTACCGGTATCAAGCGCGAGGAGGCAGAGCCCTTTACCGGTATCAAGCGCGAGGAGGCAGAGCCCTTCACCACTATCAAGCGCGAGGAGGCAGAGCCCTTTACCGGTATCAAGCGCGAGGAGGCAGAGCCCTTCACAGGTATCAAGCGGGAGGAGGCAGAGCCCTTTACCGGTATCAAGCGCGAGGAGGCAGAGCCCTTCACAGGTATCAAGCGGGAGGAGGCAGAGCCCTTTACCGGTATCAAGCGCGAGGAGGCAGAGCCCTTCACAGGTATCAAGCGGGAGGAGGCAGAGCCCTTTACCGGTATCAAGCGCGAGGAGGCAGAGCCCTTCACAGGTATCAAGCGCGAGGTGGCAGAGCCCTTCACAGGTATCTAGCGCAAGGAGGCAGAGCCCTTGGCACAGGAGCACAAAGTATTACACCACCCTGTCTTGTATAGTTACACAGGAGACTAATTTCTTACAGTCAGATCTGAAAATTCACATTCGTCTCCCAACTCAAACTTTCATTCAACCCCAAGCGGTCTATTGCCAGGGCCGACGTCTCTGAGGCAGATAAGACGGATGACCATCGCTGTAGATGAAGTCAGGACAGAAGGAATCAGGAGAATGAAATATTTCCATATATACATTCATTACCTAAGAATCGATTTAAACACTTTAACTGTGGTTAATTTTGGATTTGCCTCTATTAAGATGGATTGCCGCCTCATCCCGATCAGCTTCTTGCAAGTCATGTCTTCGTAAAAAAGGCAGGCTTATACTTGGGAAAGGATGACGCTTTGCGTTGGTAATAGAAAACGCCCGAAGGGCATTCGTCTGTGAGTTGTTAATGGATGTTTTGTAGCCGATTTACCCGATAAAAGTGCCGATGTTTAGTACGGAATGCAAATCACAGACTTGGACAGAGTACATATCAGTCCAATTTCTATAGTATGTCGGAAAGTATTCGGTCTATTTACCGTATATTCGCCGGCGGCCTCTTAGTGGCCAAGTTATATGTGTACCTAAGACGTATGACGCAAGGATCTCGGCGAGTATCCGGCGGGTATGAGACAAATATCTCAAGCACTTCGGAGGATGAGGACACTTTCCAATCAGATGACGTTATTTTGATACCCCTACCGGATTGTGCTGTGCCCCCCGCAATCGTAGTAACCAATAAGTGAAGCATTTGTGGCACCAGGTAAGTTTCCTTAACGATGGCACAGTCGAGGAGAAAATTCATCTTGACCCAGACAACGCCAATGCAGTCCAACATTCGGGAAGAAGCGCATGTATACCGCATTCGGACATCTCGGAGAAATTTAGTTTTTCATGGGTCTCGGGTTGAAAAGGCGAACTAACTGCACCTGGCTCATAGCTGGGGGTAAAGGTGCAGCGTTCAATCCCTTAGGAAATAGCAGACACGTTCCATCCGGTCATTAATGGAGTCGCACATTTGCGCCTCTGCCCTCGCCTCTTGTCCATAGCTTGATTGATCTGCAAAGTACGACACTGCAACGTAGAATAGACACTCTTCCATCCTCTGTGCGCGTTCGAGTCTGGTTTTCGCTGCAGCTTTCTAAGTTAACAACATTATGGCGTTCGGCATGAGCCTCTTCCTGGGCATGGTACTCAGCCTGCATTCTCCTATTTGCCGAATCTTCACAACCTTTACTATTATGCATTATTGGTTTCAATTTCAGTTCCAAGCTGCTACGTCCTGAGCCTACAGTGCGATTCATTTCCACGTTACGAGGTTATGCGGACAATGTATATTACGACCAATTTGCCTATAATGTAGTCCACAAGCGAACGGGTCACCCAACCGAACGGGTCACGCCCATAGCAAAAAAATAGAACTAAACTTCCTAACTTTACCACGCAACTAATTCTCGATGGATTCTGCTCAAAAAGAATCTCAATTATCCTAGCAACTCAAGCTATCAGAAATGACTTAACACTTAGTATCTGACGTGCTGCAACAATCTACAAAGTCTCGAATATTACTCTCCAGGCGCGTCTTCAAAAACGTCAATCACGTCGCAATATCGAAGCTAACGGTCGGAATTTAACAAAACTAGAAGAAAATACGATTATTCAAAGGATAATTGAGCTAGATTCACAAGCATTTCCTCCCCGGCTAAGTGCTGTTGAAGATATGGCAAACCGACTGCTACGCGACCGCGACGCGTTACGCGTCGGCAAGAACTGGGACTCCAACTTCGTTAAGCGACAACCACAGCTCAAGACGGTATTTAGCCGTAAATACGACTATTCTCGGGCCTTATGCGAAGATCCAGAGCTTATTCAAGGCTGGTTTGACCTTGTGCGCAATACAATTGCGAAATATGGGATCGCCGATACCGACATCTACAATTTCGACGAGACCGGCTTTATGATAGGTCAGATTACCGCATCGATGGTTGTTACGAGCTCTGAAAGGAAAGGTAAGCCTAAGATAGCCCAGCATAGCAATCGGGAATAGGCTACGGTGATCCAGGGCGTCAATTCCCAAGGCTGGACGGTCCCGCCATACATCGTTGTCAAGGGCCAATACCACCTCTCTTCCTGGTACGAAAACGACGCGTTGCCGAAGGACTGGAGGATCGCCGTGAGCCCAAATGGTTGGACTACGAACGAATTGACCGCAGATTAGCTAAAACACTTTGACAAATACACCAAAGGCCGGAAATTGGGTGTATATCGCCTTCTTATCCTGGACGGCCACGAAAGCCACCATTCCGACGCTTTTGAGCAATATTGCAAAGAGAACAAGATTATTACACTTTGTATGCCTGCCCACTCTTCTCATATCCTCCAGCCACTAGATGTGGCATGTTTTGCGCCGTTAAAAAAAGCCTACGGCTCGCAAATTGAGAAGCTCCTCCGAGCCCGGATTTCGCATATCACAAAGGAGGACTTTCTTCCGGCATTTTGCGACGCGTTCAAGAAGAGCCTGACCGAAAGCAATATTCGTGCAGGCTTTCAATGGGCTGTTCTTGTGCCTTTAAGCCCAGATATTGTTATTGAGAAGCTGGATGTGAAATTACAGACTCCAACGTCCTCCCGGCCCCCTACGCGGGAAACCCTTCCTTAGGCTTCTCGGACGCCAAACAACCCAACCGAGGCTACTTCGCAATCCGGATTTATTAAATCTCGAATTTCTAGGCATCAAAATAGCTTCCCGACGTCAATTTACGATGCTATCGATCAGTTTTCGAAAGGAGCGCGGAGTATTATGCATAAGATGGCTTTACTCCAAGCTGAGGTCGCCGAACTTCGAGAGGCAAATGCTCTAATTAGCAAGCGGCGCAGGGCCAAAAAAACACGAGTACGGCTTGGAGGATCACTTAATTCATAAGACGTACAAGATCTTCAAGATCAAAAGGACGTTGCGCAGCAAGTACAGCAGGAAATGCGTGGAAATAGCGCTGGATCAAATCGTGGCCAGCCACTTTGATCCAGCCACGGCAACGGCGCTGTGGTGTATGCGGGAAGACCGGGATAATGCGCGAACCTGTCAGGTAGAGATAGAATCATCTGGGCAAGAGTATTCTGAGTAGTTTTAATTGATTTACGGCGTTGTGGTTGCGAAATCGTGTTGAATTCCATGTTTTGCTAGTTGGCGTGACCCGTTCGGTTGGGTGACCCGTTCGCTTGTGGACTACATTATATCGAGAAGCAGTTCGCAAATTTATCCCCACTCATAGGCGATCTCATCCGTGGAGATCTCCTTTTTTTCTATGGCTACGTGTTATATGTATTTTCGATCCCTAGCATGCGAGGTGAAGTGCGGCGCCGCAGCCTCGGACTTCATAGACCACCAGAACCTCGCAGGTGACACTGGCTGTGCGCGGTGTCGTCGAGCTTTTTTGTCTGGTAGAGCGAGAGGAGCAAGTTAACCGGCAAATCCTCGCATTCCGCGTCTTGCATGACCATTGCTCTGTGATGGTATATGATCATTATCCGGTAATTGATGCAGATAACACGAGTTAGTTCCGCCATCCAATTCACAAATTTGACTTCAGCTCTAGATGACAAATAGGACTGGACTACAGTAACAATTTACCAAGAATATCTACGATAATTGGATGCCGAGTCATTTCAAGAGGATCTGCTCGGTCATTGACCAGCTGTGGTTGTCGCCAAATGTCAATATGCAAGGGCCTTCGGAGTCCACACGCCTCTCCCGAAGTCTTTAGAGTCATCACCTGGTTTCGGAGGGTGCGTCTGCTTCACGTCCTGATGAGGATAACCAGGCTAGTCTCAGTCTGTGTCCCCAATGTACTTGCCCTCGTCAGAGTCGCTATTATATCGCGCCTCCAACATCTTCAGCGTTCCGAACAGCACCAGAAGGCCATTAACAACGAAAGCGCCAGGCTCTACAGTTTCAATAAGTTCATGGGCATCAGAAGCAATTTCAAGTGTTTCATTGGGAATGGATTGGCCCCCCGAAGACTCCATAATAACTGGCTGGACTACGAGCGTCAATTGCCAACTCAAGATCTGATTCTGAGACGCCTAGATGCTTAGCCGGTGAGTGGAAGTTAGGAGTTTCCAAGAGCGAGAGTTCAAATAGGAGGTAATTAACGAAAACGGAGGGATGATTAATCAGGCTGCTATAGAGGTGTCAACCTAAGGTCTAGTGGCTCTGGCTTGTCTGGGAGAGCGGTACCGGGCTGTGAAAATCCTAGCAAGGCAGATCTGCTTGTATTGGTTGTTGGAAATAAACTGGACTCCAAAAGTGGGATCAGCTGGGCAAGAGTCACACCGAGCCTTGCCGGGTCCATTACTTAATCAGTTCACCAGGTGAAAGGGTACATACCCCTATGTCCTTTCCAGCACGTGATGCTGAGGCGACGTCACGCAATCCCGCACTTCCAGTGAGAATAGACTCTCGAATCAGCCTATAAGTAAGTGCAGCTCCCTCAACAGCAGATTTTTTCTTGCGCGACTATATCAAAAGCCATCTACAATTATATCACTAGTGTACCCTCCCTGTCACTATAGACTCTGAGATCTGTCTCATTATTCCGCTTCGTCCCTAGTCCGTCCTCGTGACCTATATATTGAACGTGTCATACCAATTCTACGCTGTATACCAGTACGCTCTGAGCACTACCAAATGGTTATGGATATCACCAAGGTCTCTGAGCCTCCTATGGTGCACACTGAACTCCCGGAAGAGCTTCTCGCTACCGCGGTTCCTCCTAGTGACATCCTTATTGCGCCGCTTGACCTAGAAGAAAGCCCCAAGATTCGCACAAAGCTGCGTCTATACATTATCCTAACGGCGCTCTATGTAACCTATCCCGTCCTATAGTGTTCAACCAAAACTACCAAGTTAACAATACTTTGCAGCTCGCCCTGTTCCTATCCGCCCTCGATACAACCATTATCGCACAATCAATTCCGACAATATGCACTGATCTGTGCTCTGCTGCGGGCTACGTTTGGATTGGCAGCGCCTACCTGCTGGCCAACGCCGCTACGGGTCCAATCTGGGCGAAATTCAGTGACATTTGGGGCCGTAAGCTTGTGCTCCTTACAGCAGTCAGCTTATTTGTAGCCGCCAGTATACTTGCGGCGCTAAGCATCAATATGCCCCTGCTGATTGCTGGACGAGCGCTGCAAGGCGTAGCTAGCGGTGGCCTGGTGCAATTATCGATCATCATCATCTCAGATCTCTTCAGTGTGCGCAAGCGATCACTATATCTGGGCTTCTCTGGTTTTGTGTGGGCTCTGGCTGGATCCGCTGGACCGCTGATCGGGGGAGCCTTCACACAGTCCGTTACTTGGCGCTGGTGCTTCTGGATCAATGTACCCATATGTGGCATCACGTTTGGCCTTTTGCTACTTTTCCTGGACGTGAATAACCCGCTCACGAAGCTAGGCGAAGGCCTCAGGGTCGTTGATTGGTTTGGAATCCTCTCTATCCTGGCAATAACCACTCTACTTCTCGTTGGACTGGATTTCGGCGGGACGATATTTCCCTGGAATAGCCCGAAAGTCATCTGCTTGATTGTGTTCGGGATGTTAATAATCGGCTTCTTCCTCTTAAACGAGAAACGCCTGGCCAAATACCCCCTCATGCCGCTGGTCGTGTTTAAAAGCTGGTCTAACGATGCAGTTTTCCTTGTCGTCTTTTCGCACGGTATGGTCCTCATCGGCATCGAATATTATATGCCGCTATACCTTCAAAGCGTACAACAAGCCTCGCCTCTCCGGAGCGGCGTTTTACTACTACCACTAATAGTAGTACAAGCCGTCGGCGAAATTATAGCCGGCTTCCTAATTCATCGCACAGGCTGCTATAGAGAGTTCATATGGGCTGGTTCACTACTCATGATGATAGGGACAGGGCTGTACATATTTTTTGGAGCTGAGACGTCGGTTGCAGTAGTCGTTGGATTGGAAATCGTTGGTGCTCTCGGCCCTGCACTTCTTTTCCAAGCGCCTACGGTTGCTATCCAGAATACTGTTAGCCAGGGTGATACTGCGGCAGCCACCGCATCTTTGCTGTTTCTCCGGAGCATTGCCATGTCACTGTCTATTGTAGTCGGCGGTGTGGTATTCCAAAACAGTATGGATGCTCGGCAATCATCTCTTGCTGCCGCTGGCCTCAGCGCATCTGTCCTCGAGGCCCTATCGGGTAGCCAGGCAGTAGCAAACGTGGGCATCACGCAGTCGATCCAGGACGCTTCACAACGTCAATTGGTCTTAGAGGCTTTCGCGTGGAGTATGAGGAACATGTTCATATTGTATACGTGCTTGGCGGCTATTGCCGTAGTAGCCAGTATGTTCATCAAGCACCGAAAACTGAACACGGAGCACACCGAGACGACGACGGGAATACAGCATTTGGCAAAGGTTAAAATTGCTAAAGAGTGATTGAAAAGGAAACGCAAGCTTAATTTTGCAATATTAGCCCCTTTTTAAGAAAGAAGAACGCTTTCTGGTTACCTATCCTGAATAAGCATTATCCTCCATCTCTCTAAACCAAGCCTTGTCCTCTTCTTCTTCCTCCTCCTACTTCTTACCTCCACCCATAGCTTTCTTCTCTACGTTCTTAGCTAACAACTCATCAGGAGTGCCAACCTCCAGCACTTTACCCTTGTACATAATAAGAATAATATTAGAGTCTCTGATAGTATCCAATTTATGAGCTATCGTTATGGTAGTGTGCTGAGTGAACCCCTCCCTAATGATACGCTGCATGAGCTCGTCTGTCATTGCATCCACGTTACTCGTCGCTTCGTCCACTAATAAGATGCTAGATCGGTCTTCAAGGAGAAGAGGCTGGGAGAGGCCGAAGAATTGGAATTGGCCGTGCGATAAAATGGAATCTTTGAGCGGTGCCTCAGGGGATGGACTCCTTTCTTCGCTGTGGAGGCAGCGTTTGCGTTCTCCTCGTTAGCCGGCAGTGCGGTCCCAATGGGTGCTGCAGTATTGCTGGCGCTACATTTGATGATGTTCCATAGCTAGACCTTGTCGAACGTTGCGGTAATTTTCTCGTCGGAGGCGGTGCTTGAGGGGTCGATGTTGAGCCGTGTATTGTCCTTCAGAATGAATGTGTCCTATGGGATCGTTATTATTCTTGCTCGAATCGTCTCCCGTGCTAGAGTGCATAAAATGAGGCCGTCGATTGTGATGGAACCTGATTTTAGCTCAACCAGATGCAGTGTTGAGAGCAGCAGAGTGGATTTTCCACCGAACGTCGAGCTTTAATATCTTGCGCAGCTGCTGCCAAGGCGAAGGGGGTAAACTCGCCTTCCAGTTCGACCGCAATTTCTACTCTCTGGCCGGGTGAGATCTTCATATAGATGCCTTTCAGAGCGATCATCTTAGGGCTGCACGAAGTTAGTTTCGTCCGATGAGAAGAAGGACAAGTAGGAAAGAATGCTCACCTGTATGCAGTAACACCTTCCTTGAACTCAATGGCACCTTTTCCAGACCACTCAGGAGACGATTCGGAATACTCGCATTCCTTGTCTTACGGTAGCAGAGTCTTCTCGAGCAACTTGATACAAGAGGTTGCCCCAAGTGAGGTTTTGAGTTGTTTCCATGACTGCAAGAGGCGCCTAACAGTAGTAGAGATAGTATGAACGATGTTCAGAGCGATGCAGATCTGTCCCGCAATCGTAGAAGCTTTGAAAATAACAGCGAGGCTGACGACCAGAACGGAGAGACCTGCTACTAACATGTCAAGAACGAGGGTAAGGCACTGTTGAATAGAAAGCATCATATGATCATCAGGCCCGGGGCGCATACAAGAAGCAAGGAAGCAATAGAAAATCGAGAAGGTCAACAAAAATGGTAACTGAGATGATCTACTATCCCCATTATCTGCTGATTTTATCAATTGGAAATATACCGAAGTGTCTACTTGGGACTTTCGGTAGTCCCGCTCCAGCCGAAGCCGCATATATTGTACTCTAACCTTGAATATTTATAATGTCTGGTTTGGTGTTCAATACTGAAGACAGAGTAGGGGCTGATGGCTGTTATGATTGGTTCTGCCAGCTTCTCTTGGTCGTGGCCGTTTTATATTGAGGTCGCCGCTCTTAAACTGATTAGAGGATACTACCTTGAAATTCATAACGTGTTCGTTAATGCGCTGTTCGATAGCGCGGTCTACGTGGGCTTTCAAGTTACTGAGGTTTATGGCTCGGATGTTTGCAACAGTAAAAAGGTCTCGGATATACACGATGATCTTCCTCTGGATTTGTATGGGAGTCGTCTTAGGGCTCTGTGTATTGTGGATACTTGCCACCAGGCCTCTAGATGTCATTGCGGCATACGAGGGCATGGCTACCATACTGTTATTAATAACAGGATCGGCTAAAGACGAACGCTCGTACAACTTTCGAACTACTGCTTTTTAATATAACGTACCCTACCGTCTAACTGAACACTTTCCCGCATTTCTGTATAAACTAGGTTTCGTCCCTTATTTTCCACCTTCTACTATAGTAGGTAATTAGGAAGAAAGCTATATTTGTTTAGCGCTTCAAGAGCTTTGAAATAAACCTAAAATAAGTGTACGATCCGTATTATATGTTTATAATGTCCCTTATATAACTTTATATTACTAATATCGTGTTGGTAATTTACAATACGATGTTCAGCGACTAACGTAAAAGCTTCCTTACCGACGAGGGGCAATAAATGCCGCAGGCTTACGGTATGAAGATGATGGCAATAGAGAACAAGATCCTCAACAAGACCTTACTATTCGGGAGGGCGAAAGAATAACAAAATCTAGAGCCTCCTGGTCCCGATCGGAGTAACAAGAATACCTAAGCAAGTACTAATAATCGACTGCGCCTCAACAGGCACAAAGAGAATAAAGTCTCAACAGGTCCTAGACTTCAGTCACTTCAGCAGATGAACAACAGAACCAAGCCTTAATAGGCCGGAACAGATCGTCTTGAACAATAAAAGTACCTCAACAGGTACGGACAATGACCTCAACAGGCAGAAGGAAATGGAACCAATTGCTACTTGCTTGGCCGCTTGCTTTTTCTTCTTACTTCCCCAAGAGAGTGACTACAAATAGATCCTTAAATACCATCGAGAACACGCTTATATAATTCATCTGAAAACCGCGGGGCGTATAGGCGTTAATTTGGCTTTAGGCTTCGTATAAAGAACGATATATGACGATAAATAGACTCCGGACGCATTTTAATCAAATAATTAACAAATTTTTTTTAAATACGCCGTAGGTGTTAACCCTCGGTACCTGTACAAGTACTCCCTTAAGGGGCTATAGATGATATAGCGGGCCCTTAAGCCGCGTCGGGCGGTTATACAGGTGAACTTGTAGCCAAACGACTACTAAACCTCCTGTCCCTCCCTAAGTCTGTGCTACAACCCCTGCCTGAACTACCGATAAGTGTGGTAATGTGGCACTTAAATTCGTCCTCAGGGGTGGGATGCTGCTGATGTGCAGAAGATGCTCGACTATTTTTTGTCGCGACAAGTCGTAGTATCTGCTAATTGGGGTTCTCGTCGAGCGTATACATCTCAACCATACGCTCAAGTGGATAGACCGTAACGTGGTCTAGACGCTCGCAAGAATCGCGGCGAGAGGGGGTCCGATAAGGGGTCGGATTAACGATTCGAATTCTGGACCGGCTGTCGAGTTATATTCCGCCGACGTAGTGCTTGACAGTCGACTGGCTAGGATACTCGTAATCCTAAACTGCACCAATCCCCCTATCATCGCTAGGTAGGCGAAGTCAACAAGGTGGGCAGCGCGCCGTAAGGGTTGACTAAACCCCCTTGTGTGTCAGCTGCGAATTAACAATTAAAGAGTCCTCTACGAAGATCCTGACGTATATCGCGTGTGGTTTACTCTCGTACGGAATATAATTAACAAGTAGAGAACTGAAGACGACGATATCTATAATTTTCACAAGACTAAGTTTATTAAAGGTTAAAAATTATCTATAATAGCTATAACAACGTCTAATAGACGTAGAAGACCTAAATTAATGTAGTAAGGGAATCGGGTATAGGGCTGATGGGTAAGCATCTGGGGCGTGAATAGTTGTATGAGGAAAGCTGTGACGCCGGTCACGATGCCTGGCACTTGGCCAATGAATAGGGACACCCTGAAGTACACATATTCTGATGGATAACGAGACTAACAGGAAGACGCTGAAGGACTGGACCTGGGAGATATGGTGGGTAGTTCCATAGGCCCGTATTGACCGCTAATCAACTCTGTGCCTAGCCGCGTCAGAGAGCTATGTCACGTAGGAGGTTAATACACGCACGGTTGGAGAGGAGAAGCAGGCTTCAAACTGCATGTTCTATTATTGAATTCACTTAAGAAATACTAATACAATTAGGCCGGAAACTATGGTGTTGAAAGTCAGGATGCCTCGAAGTGGACTTCGTGCGCTCGAGCCTTCTTGAGCGTGATTTTTAAACGCGACAGACCCGAAAGTGGGCATCCATCTAGCCAATTGGAACACCAAAGCTCCGTCGACGATAGATAACTTATCGTGAGGTGACCTTCCACAGTTAGACAATCATTAGTAGGTGCCGCAACGACCCTGCCAAAAAGTTGCCGGGATAGGCTTGCGGGTGGGACTGAGTAGGCCGCTGCAGCTGATACGCCGTTCACGGCCTGAATTTGTCTACGCGGCTCGGGGGAGACGAGTTTTATTAGACTAAGATTTTCATTATAAATATCCAAATCTGCCCGAACTTCAGAACCTTGGCTTTCCCTCTTGATCGTCTATACTCTTTCGTCTGAATTGTTATGTTTCCGTAATCGCAATCGTCAATCACATCCAGCCTCTCCATAGCACCTGTTCGAAAGCAGTAAAATTGCACCCCGTATAGCACAATGGTTCGGACCAACCTGGATGAAGAGAAAGCCGGTTACACAGCACCCACGGTTACGGACGATGCCACGAGTGACTACGTTCCGGCGCACTTGCGCCAAGCTCCTGACACCGGAATTCTTGGCAAGCTTCGTGGCTTTGAAGAGGCTCTAGATCGAAAACTGGGAGTCGAATCGCACGGCATTGCGCGCAAACTCCCGGAGGAGCGCGATCCTGCTTATGCGAAATGGTCGAACCAGCTTGTACGTGGTTTTCAACACTAAGCTATTGCCACCTCAACTTAAAGCGAGCCCGCTGATAAGGAGGAAAGGTCATGTTTGCCCTGTGGGCTTCGGGAACGATGAACCTCTCGTGTTTCGCTACTGGCTTTTTAGGCTGGGAACTAGGCATTGATCTGCGGCGAAGTATCCTGCTTATTGTTTTTGGGACGTTGGTTGGGAGTGCCGTCACTGTGAGTGTAGCATGTTTCCGAAAATTCTCTTCCGAAAGCTGAGACACCCTAGGGGTGGTGTGCGACGATGGGGGCGCCCACGGGTCTCCGCCAGGTGTCCATCTTCCGGTACTCGCTCGGCTGGTGGCCAACCAAGTTCCTGGCGGTCTTTAATGTGGTTGAGCAAATCGGCTGGTCCTCAGTAGGATCTATCACTGGTGGTCTGGCCTTGGCGGCTGTGTCTGATGGGAAGATTGGAAGCGAGCTCGGCGTCATCATCGTCGCCGTTGCCGGCTTTATCATGTCCTTCCTGGGACTGAAGGTCGTGTTCCAGTACGAGAAGTTCGCGTGGCTCGTTTTCCTCGTCATATTTGCCGTCATGTACGGCGAGACGGCCAAGTTTGGAAACCTTGAAGCGCCAGCGACAGCGGAAGGTTCAACTTTCTCTGGCGTGGCACTTACACTTTTTGGTGTTGTATATGGATCATCAGCCTCGTGGGCGAGCATCGTATCCGACTTTTACGTGGAGTACCCGGTTAATACACCCAAAATCAAGGTGTTTGTGTTGACGACACTTGGAATATGTAAGTTTTCTAGCCCTTTGGGTAGACGTTGGCAGAGCTAAGTCGGACTGTCTCTAGGTGTACCAACCTGCATTGGTATGTTACTAGGCGCCGTGGTCGCCTCTGCCCTGCCGGGCAACGATGATTGGAGCACGCAATATGATTCCGGGATCGGATTTCTTGTCCAAACGATGATCTATCCCCATGGCTTCGCCAAATTCATCCTCTTCCTCCTGGTACTTTCGGGTGTCGGCATGAACTCTATTGCCATCTACAGTGCTGGCCTATCCATTCAACAGTTCGCACGCCCGCTGGCTGTAGTCCCCAGATTCATCTGGACTTCCATCTGCTTCGTGGCCATCATTCTGCTCGGCCTGGCTGGGCGCGACCAACTGCTGGTTTACCTCGAGAATTTTTTGAGTCTGATTGGGTATTTCACGACGTCCTTCTTTGTGTGCCTGATCGTCGAGCATTACCTGTTCCGTCGCGGGTCGTATGAGAACTACGATCTCGACGCGTGGAACGACCCAAAACGCATGCCCATCGGGTTCGCCGGTGGCGTAGCTTTTGCTTGCGGTATTGTTGGAGGTAAGCTAGCTGACTGAGGCATGAACTCTATTATGTCGCACTTCAACTAATTCGATCTAAAGCTGTACTCGGGATGCAAACAACATGGTACACTGGTGTCCTTGCCCTTATGATTGGCGACTTTGGTGGCGATATTGCGAATGAGCTAGCGTTTCTTTTCACGCTGATTGTGTATATTCCGGCGAGATATTTGGAATTAAAGGTGGTAGGGAGGTAAGGACGATGTTACATGTTTTTTTTACAACATGGGACTTTTAGAATATACGTAATGATAATGAAACTCTAAGTTGTTGATATTTGGCATGTTGATACATTATCACTAGAGTCTCAACGTATATATGCATATCAAATTGTTATTGGTGAATAGTTCGGCGAACGTAATGAGAAATTGATCTGTTCCGCAACATTGCATTTTTCTATCCTGGAGTCCCCACCACCGTGTTTTGTACCTAAGCTAATCTTCTTAAGGTAGGTTAAGAGTGTCAGTTATACTCATCTAACGCCAATAGGAAGGTGGGTAATTGGTTAATTAATCAGCGTGGCGGACTACGATGTACCCCACCATCAGATTTCGTTGCAATAACGTGGAGCCTTTAGATCAGCTTACTTGAGTGTTCGATGCCCGGCAAGTCGTTACACCATAGTCATCGAGATGGAAGCAATGCTGCGTTCGCGAACCGCGATGGCACCGCCATGGGGTTGAGGATTGTGCCCAAACCACTACAAGCAGCAGTGACGTGGTTCCTAAATCGACCACCAACTTTCCAACTTTCCAATATCGGCTACTGGACCACACGCACGAAGCGCAACTCGTGCATGCGTCTGTCAGATCGTCGCCGTCGTACCAGTTTCTTACGCCTGCGGTAGCTCAAGGAGATCTGAGTTGGTACAATGAGCGCAAGCTGCGGATCACGCCAAGTCTGCATGCGCTCCTCTTCCACTTGCGCAAAGCGGACTTGTGGGTCAATCTGTAGGTAGATCAGATACGCATCAGCCAGGAGGACCCCGGGAGCAATGACACTAGTTTCAGTTGATGGCCAATATCTATCAGAATGCTGACAGCGTGTTGGTGTGGCTCGGGAGATGAATCGGTGAAGTCAGCTGGGAATGTGACTAGCTCCCCATGTGCTGGAGAAAAGCGTGTCTCATCCACGAATCGAGCTCAAGAGACAAAACCTGGCCTGCTTGGAACTACCACGGTGAATTATCCCTCAATGGGAAGCACTCGGCAGTCTGCTGAACAAGCGTGGCTCAAACGGACCTGGGTGATCCAGGAAACGGTTATGGCGAAGAAGGCATTGGTAATATGTGACCAGGAAGAACCGAGCTGGGCTAGGCTCATGCAAGTCATTCATACCGTTAGATTTGCTCCGCACCTCAAGACGATTGGAAACGCGCGCATGTCTACTCCTCAGATCATCCAGCCGTCAACAAATGTAGGCGGTTTTGGAAGAGCGGTCGTAGATAGCCACTGGGGGGGGTTGCTTACTCGCTTCCGGGGCTGCGAAGCAACCGATAGCAGAGATAACGTACATGCGCTTCTGGGCATGACCGACAGGTCCGTCACGCCAGATTACACAAGCCAGCTACAAAGATATTCCCCGATTGGCCCTGTTACCTGATGAGCCCCGACTCATGGTGGGACCAGTATTGCCACCAAGCTCAAGGTATTTGGAACAAGCCACGCGGGAAAAGACTATTATTATCGGTGGGAATTAACAACCAACGTACGGCCCTCCGATCTTGGGTGTCTGACTGGAGCATTAAGCCCAGCCAGCGACCCTTCTGACGTGGTAACAGTGCTAGATACCAAGCCGACGGAGGTCCAAGGCTGCAATATTGAGTTCATGTCAGGGGAAAGACTCCGCATTGCTGGGAGGAGTTTCAACACCATCACCAGGATCACGCACATATTGGACTTCAGGAACACCCCCAGGCCATGTAGCTCCAAAAGGTAGTCGCATTCTGGTTTTATCCCGCCGGTCCCTTGCCTCCCAGCTCCCCGCCACATACAGGAACGGCAGCTTGACCGAAGACGCTTTCAACCGCACACACACTTTGTGCAAGGATCGGCATGAGTATATTGTGGTAACGGAGCCTTATGTACACGGCCTGATGAAAGAAGAGGCGATGAAACCATCGCATGATAATTTTCTGGAGTCTATGAAGCTGAAATGAGGTATGAATAGAGAGGCATGCAGGACCAATTCAGGACACAAGAGGTTGTACATTTTGGTATCCTAGGGGTATGATGTGAGAGAGCCATTCCTCTCAGGACCTCTTTTCTTTAGGAACTACCACGGATACTATATTCAGTCAACCCCATGGGAGGAAATTGAGCGAAATACAATGAGGAAATCGAGTTTATGAGTCCCTGGAACTGCTCGATGCCGAGGGACTGGGCAACAAGAACTGGAACAAGATCTAACCTCGGATTGAATACCATAGAAGCTCAATATTCCATGTGACCCGGGTTGATCCAACTCTAGAGTGAAATACCGAGTAAATGGTATGTCTCTACTATCATGTCACAAATGGAATATGTCGGCATAAATGTACAGCCTGCCAGGACAAGTGATCTCGCCATCCTTCTTCCGGCAGGGATGTTCAGTGTCCATGACGAGTCGCTCAGCCGCGTCGTAATATACCGCATGCGCACGCAATAGATGGTCGGTAAGAGCGACTGGATATTTCTGCGAGTCCACCAATCATCGACCATCAGTGCCTCTGCATTGCCAAATTCGGATTCTGCCAGTGAAAGGCACCTCGGCAGTCTTGTAGTCTACTTGAATCCCGATGTTGTTAAAAGATAAAAGATATTCCCGTGAATAGTGTGCAAATCTGTTAGTTTTGCAATATCGTTTCCGACATCACACTGCCAGGTAGATGCCAATGTTCGAAGCCCTCGTGGCGTAGTTGGGCGTATAGGCGAATTTACCGGCGCCGTTCACCTCGGCATGTCGGTTATCCCCATAGTTGCATCCAGGAATAATAAGTCACAGGATATTTCCTAGGCTGAATGCAAGGCAAAGGGGATGGATCTTTGCTCCATAGCGGACGGCGACATGCTCTACAGCGCTGCAGATGGATAGGCAGGAGGCGATCTGAGCTGAAGCTGCTTATCACTCACGCATGCAGCAACTTTTCTCACCGCAACTTCCTACGACACTAAAGTACCAATCGCACCAGTCTGATGATATCTACTTACACAGGCAATCAGGTAGATACATGAGCAGAATAGATGCCAGCTACCGATACTGGAACCACACGGACAACATCCGTCTCACCGCAGGTTTCTGACCCCACGAATCCGTTTGTCCCTCGGATAGCGGATTTCCAGTCACACCAGTCATCAATCCAGCCTATTTTCGTGAATGAAAGTTTGTGTTCCAAAAGTTGCGTCTTTTGCTCATGGTAATCGTGACTAAAGCTGACGTCGACCGTGGCCGTGGGGAAACGAAGAATTCCCCGACATTCTTGGAACGTTGTCGGGAAATGCGATGTTGTTCCCATGTAACTACCCCGCAAGAATTCCGGATCACTTACACAAAAGTAGTATGGAGTACCCTGCCAACCATGCTCTTATCAGAGTCCCAATCGGGTCAATCGAATCGCGCCAGCCTTAACGTTAGTGCAAGGGACTTAAGACTCATCGGTCAGCGACCTACCTTGTTGTCAACCAACAACCGTCGGGAAAAAGACGAAGCTGACCAGTGCCCGACCAAGGAAGGCTCCCTGACATTGACAGTTGTCATCGTATGTATGGGGGTGACATGTCACCGACAAGAGTGTACGAGAAAGGTTCAGCGCTGGCAAGCTCGCAGTCTTGGGGATTTGGTTGCCTGGCTTTCGGATGGGATTTTCGCCCACCGAAGCCACCACGGGTTGTCAGGAAGTTTCTCAGGAACCAATGATATGTGATATAAGCAACACTTGCCAGGATTCAGCACCAGATCCCTCCGGATCGCGTGGGATGACAGCGCGGTGGTCAGCCCCAAAATCCTGGTTCGTCTGCTCCTGGCATTGCGCTGCTCCAAATGTTTGCGACGGCATCCAACAAGAAGTCTGGGCGCGGCGGGCTCGGTTACAAGTTGGGGGTGGGACGGGGGGGTTCACAGATTAGAATGTAAATAGACCATGAGAAATGACGTGCCCTCTCAACAAAGCCGGCATTTGTGGTGCTATGAGAATAGAAGTCGTGATGTCAAGTCTAGACCTTATTGAAGCATTTGGCTCGGGTTGCGAAAAACATAGTGAAGAAGTATCTTTTATTTTGACTTTCTGGATCTCCAATGGGGGACGGGAGAGTCCCGCGCAAAGAAGATATCGGCGCATTCGGTGCCTGGCCAGTTTTTCCCTTTCCAGAAACTCCCCAGGGCTGTCTCCACATCTTCTGTCCAAGTTTGTGGGGAAACGCAATCCGGGGGAAACACCCGACAGAAAATGTGAGCAAATTGGTCTTGCCCCTTTGCCCCCAATCTCTGCGCCGTATTTGAATGCAAATTGCATTTGGGGCTGATTTCTTTTTTCCGTCTGGTAACACCAACCAAAGACACCGAGCAAGCGGTTCGATTTGCTCGTACAGGTACTCTGGACGTCTTGCAGCATCGGGTGCCAGTTGGTCACGATTTGGCGAATTGCACAGGCGGGCTGCCCCTGGACAGCCATGAACTCCAGAGTTCCAGAGTGGATTGTGCTTCAGGAAACGTGATACGAGCTGTCTGCAGGCGCCTTGCCATGATGAAGCCGACAAATCTGTGTGGAGTGCAGCCTCGAAGCTTGATTGCTAGTGGTGGCTCTGTGCGAGTATCTGTAGGGGCACCGAAATCTGCCAGCACTCAGGCACTCAATCTGTGACATCTTGTCCCCGGCCGTATTGGATTGTACAGTACTTGTCCCGAAGACACCCCCATCACAGCATCGTCAGGCAATCCCAGGAATATTAAACGTCGCCTGAATTCCTGGCGTGCTGCAACCCATTTGTGCCCCCAGCGCCCCGGGAGTCAAGGACCTGTCTGGGGTTGAGAAGCATGCCGGTGAGCTGTTTGTGAAATTATGTTTAAGTTCCCCAGACCTACGTATTTGGGCCGAGCAATGCTGATGAATTCATCCCATGTGTGTGCCTTTTACTCAAATAGCTAGAGCCCCCCGTTCCACCCCTTTCCTCACAACAGAAACCAAAGTTACTCGGCTGAATTTGGCAAACTCCTCGCTATTGTTCCGAATGATTCACCTCGCTTACTTATGAGTACTTGGAGCATTCGAATTCACGCGCTTGACAAGCTTGAGACAAAAAGTCCAACCTCGGCATCCTACATCTTCAACACACTTTCAGTCGACTTGGGTGGTTGTAGCTCGATCCTGCTTTTTTATTCCCCTGAGATAACTCACACCTTCGGCCACAACCGTTCTTGCAGTTTGGTTGTATGACTTACATTGCATCCACCGCTCTTTCCCACAGTGACATTCCGCAGGGTTGCCACTTTATTTCAACCACCATCCTGCCCCGTCCCCCGAGAGCGTTCTTCTTGATTCTTCCTCTCTCGACAGGTTTTCGAGCCACTCCCACCGCATCAAGGTCTGCGTCGCCTCGCATCATCTTCATAATTTAGTTGTTCTTAAAGACAGACCGACTTCATCTAAAAACAGAAACACTTTGGATTGGCAAAGCATAAAAACCAGTAAGTCTCGACCGTCCGGACTCATTTCTGCTTGGTTTCTACTTTTATTTTCTACGTCAACCCACCGCTAAAGTCACTGACCGCCCCTTCCAGCCATCCAACATGCCTAGCCAGATCGCAACACCGATTCCCGTCACGCCTCCGCGCAAGACGATGCGCCTGGTCACCTCCGAAGACCTCTTCGCCAGCTTAAACGCTACTCTGGCATCCACAGGCAACAAGCCGCAAACACCTGTCCGCAACATTAAGGAACGAGACTGGGATGTCCCGGCACCTCCGCCCCCAAGCCCAGTGAGCTTCCATCAGTCGGATCAGTGGCGAAACGCCATCCGTCATTAATCCATCTGCATCAAGAAAGCACATCACCATTTTATGACAGCCTTGGAGGGAACCTGTACGGTGTGCGCGTTGCATGCGTCTGAATTGGGGAACGAGTTCTTGCCGTTCTTTTTAGGAGTCAAGGTGTATAAAAAGCATGGGGCCGAAGGGGCCAGATGTCGGTCGGGTCTACACAAAAGTCTCATATTTTCATCATCATCGGAAGGGACAAATGGCGTCGATATGGAAATCACCGCCGAGGAGGTCGGTATGGCTAGAGAAGTTTCACTCCCCGAGGATGTATCACTACGAGCAATGCACATTGGAACCAGTCGTAGCTGGTAAAGCTGGAAAGGCGTAATATGAGAGGAGCAATGCTTTTTGCGACTCGCAATGATCTCGCATTGTTCTGACTGTGACATTTGACCATCGATCTGATAACAACATGGATGGCAACCATGGGAGAGCCAACGAGAGGCCTTCCTGCGTAGGTTCGCTCGGAGGTGCCGTTCCGCATATGATTGGCAAAGCGGTGTCGTGTAGCTAGCTGGTGGTGACTTGTCAGGGTGCTGAGGTGGATCATGGAACATGGGGTGCGCCATAATGGTAACACTTATGGATTGTCTAAGGTGGTATTCTCGAGACCGCCAGTGGGAACGCAACCCAACAGCCTGATCAAGCGTTTTTCGAGGATTTGCAAAGAAATGATCTGCGCAAAAATCGGAAGAGGTGTGGTGTTCCTTGTTCTGCCTTCCAAAGCTTGGCATTCACGCTTGGGCCGCACAATCTTGCAGAAGCGACTTCTTGGGAAGTCGGAAAGACACCTATTTACGCGTCCGGGTCGCGGGTGTGGGTCCCTTTCACGCGTCTCACTGCAAAAGCCGGGCCCATCACGACTTTCTCAATTCCGGAATTGCTTTCCACTTTGCACCAAGCCGGTTCCTCCTTCTTTACTTGCAAGCTGCTCCTCCTCCCACTTTCCCTAAACTCAATTGATCTTAACCTAGTCGTGATCTCCCATATACAATTGTTATACTATTGTACCTTTCAGACAGCACCACCATCGAGATGCCTGTAGCTATCAAGCGCCAGAAGGCGTCGGCCAAGCCTAGAGCCGCTCCTACCAAGCAAAATGCATCAGCCAGCATTGCCAGCTTCGCACGTGTCTCCAAAGACCTTGGAAGCAGCGACATGAAGGATATCACCTCCACCTCCACCACCTTCACCTCAACTCCAGCACAGGACGCCAAGCTTGCTGCCGTAGCTCGTTCCTCTCGAAAACGGAAGGCTATTGCAACCATCGAAGACGACTCATCTGGGGAGGAGACACCCACCAAGTCACACCTGCCATCCTCCACAACCAGCACCCCTATCGCATCGACAAGACCAGTCAAGCGCACTCGAGGACGTCCATCTAAGAAGGCTCGCCCTGCACCCAGACCACTGAAGCGAGCCCGAAGTTCCAGTGTCTCCGACTCCGACCAGTCCACGGTCAACACTGATAAGCTTTTCAAGCGTCTGCGTCTGGAGTCATCGCCGCTGCGTTCTTCGTCTCCACTTACAGCCGACTCGTCCATCGCCGACTCAGAGGCTGAGTCCAACATCCACCTCAACTCGGCGCCAACGCTCCCGCGTGAGGTCCTCGACTTGATCAGTCTCCATACTTCCCTACTGAAGACTTTGACACTGCACTACGCACACAATGGGTTTAATGTACCAGCCGACCTGCGCATTGTGTGTCCCAACATCGCCCGGGCTTGGGGAAAGAAGAATGTCACGGAGGCTGACGTTCGCACCTGTATTGGGATTCTTAACAGAAATAACAGCAACATTCTATTCACACTTGCCAATTATGGTCGCGGCAAGATTTGCATCGAAATCGACTCCTCTCACGGGTCTGGCCCCTTGAACGAGAAGAAGCTGAACGACCTCTTTCGCACTAACCTCGAGGCTATGTGGTCTAATTTCGCTGTCAACGGGAAGCCGGACGCAACCAAGTTCGTCAGCAGCCTGCCCAAGGCCCCTATCACAGTCTGCGACTCTCTCGCCAAAGCAACGCCTATGATGGCAAAAGGACAAAAGCGTCTGGAGGAGTTGAAGCAAGGATTTGCCGCGAAGAGGCTAGAGAAGGAGACGAAGCCGGCTACAGCTACTGCCTCTTCCATGACAAACCCTGACGGCTCTAAGATGAGCCTTCTCGACCGCATCCGACAGAAACAGCTCCAGAAGTGTGCACTTCCAGCCGGCCTCTCGCCCGCTCAACTGGAACGACGAGCAGCTTTGCAACGCGTAACCGAAGTGTCAGCTATGATTGGCATGCTGAGTCGGGCGAGCTCGGGAGGCCAGGGACGCATCTCGTTTACTATGGCAGTGATGCTCGAGAAACTGAAGGACTCGTTCAGAATGGGGATTTCAAGGGAGGAGGGTGCCGTTTGTGTGCGGCTCCTCGGAAGCGAGGTTGCACCGGAATGGATCCGGGTTGTCACGATTGGACAGAGGGAGAATGTGGTCATTGAGACTGACCGACAATTGAGTAAGGCGAATATCGAGAGCAGAGTCAAGGCAGTCATTGCGAAGGAGCAGAATTAGTCGTATGCATGTTGGGAGCCGTGGGGTTGACGGGCCGGAGTGGTAGGGTTGATTCACAAGGGATATTGGAGCATGTCGCAGGGGAGGATATACCACTGTTTTGATAGTGCCATAAACGCACCGCAGCTGAGCTGTCATGAGTCTTGAATAAAGCCCAGATTCAAATCTGAAGAAGTTGTGGTCGAATCTCTTGTGTCTAACGGTCTAACGTGATCCAGAGCCACTTCTCAAAGAGTGGTCATCTGTAAAGGGATCGAATGCTAATAAAAACGTCTATCCTCAATGGCTACCTTTGCTGAACAGTCCTCATTTCCCATTTCTGCCAGCTAGTTAGTTAGAGTTTAGTCCATCACCGACTCAACCCTTCTTCGATTATTTTCACGAAAGTCCCGTTTATTTCTTGTCGTCCTTCTTCTTGAATCGGGGCTCTCCGATGCCAGTGCCGCGGAGCTTGACGTTGAGGACGCGCTCCATGGCACCAAGAACCTTCTGGTCGGGGGTGGCGGTGCCGCGCTCAAAGTCGGCGATCACCGTGGGGGTAGTGTTGCACTTGGTCGCCAGGTCCTTCTGCGTCATCTTAGGCTCCATCTTCTGCCGCGTCTGGCTGATGGCATCGCCCACCACCTTGCCTACCGTGTTGGGTTTGATGATGTCGTCGGAGCGGTCGACCTTGGTCAGGCGCTGGCCTTCGACGCCGGGCTTGCTGGCCTGAGTGGAGGGGTTAGTCCGATGTAGTCCCATGGGAATAAAGACAGCAGAGGCAAAGATATCAGAGGGAATGTAGTAGACATCACGACTTACGGCGTTGCCGGCTGCGAACTTCTTCTCGGCTGCAACGTTACCGCTGCGCATGGCGGCGTTGAGGGCACCCTTGCCGCGCACGACAGTTTCGCGCTGGGCACCCCCACCAGGGCCACGGCTCTTGCCGATAACAACGGGCGTGTCATCTACGTAGGACATAGTGTCGGTTTATAATGCGTATGTGCTTTTGGGGTATTGCGTTGATAGTTGGCTTCGTTGCGGATTGATGACTGTTGGGTGGTCTTATATGTGTAGTGGTGATAGGAAAGGATTTGAAGATGACGCCGACTGATGGCAAGACGAACTGTGGTGGGTTTATTTGCCCCGCTGACTCAATCGGGGAAGGGAGGCCACGCCACCGGCCACCTGCACCAGGCCCTGAAAGTCCAAGCCCGACGACAGTGAGGCTTCAGATGTTCAGGTCAGGCGAGGACCGTGCGCTCAGTGGCGCAAACATTATGGGTCCAAGTTCGAGCTGTTTTCTTGGCATGATTGTGGTGCAGACAGCAACATCATTAATCGGATTCAACTTCAACAACTAATTTCACGATTCAGTTAAGTTCTTGGCCAGGTTGTCTTGTTTGCTCTCAAACTGTCGTGCGTTTGGTTTTCTTGCGTACTAGTTGTTTCCATCGGAAATGTCATAATATCCCTGGACCGGATCTATGGGGACTACATTTCTGGTTGGTTCTGGTCGTTTCGTCAACGACTTGATGGACGATACTTTAGGGATGTCACTGCATTCCGCCCTCATACGAGTCCCCGCATTATGCTACTACATGGCGCTTGGTAGCACCGGTGACGCCGTGTTACTTGCTGGTTGTGCTCTGTGGAAGAAGCGAAACTTATTGCTTGGACTTATTGACCCTGTCCTAGAGCCTGTCGTGAAGACAATCGTGTTGGCGGTCGTTTCTCTCCTTGTCTTCCGACTCGCTCGACTATTAGGGAAGTCTCGAGAAGTAAAAATTCCGCAATGGGTGAGCCCAGCAAAGCCGATGTTGTTCCCTTGTCAGACAACCCACACAAGGCTATTCCCTAAAAAACACTCATTCGCGTACTCGTATCTCATGGTCGGAATCCCTGTTGGCTGGGAAGGTGTCGCGGGCGGCATGATATCAACGGGCAATGCGTCATCTAGCAAGTCTAGGAAAGGGTGGTATCAGATTGATGCTGCCGATTATCTCGAAAGAGGCAACGGCCATATTGGATTAAGAGGCAAATTGGATTCTTATTTGGAGTCACAGGTATGTCTTATTTCAATATGTTTGGTCCATGTTAGCTGATAAATACAGGGCGTTGGACCATCTCAGTACCCATATGCGTACTTGGTCACAGCAGCCAAGTTCCTGGGTTATCATTTCAACCCTGTGTCTTTCTGGTATCTCTATTCTACCGAAAAAGACATGACAGCTGTGATACTTGAAGTCAATAATACGTTTGATGAGAGACGCATGTACTTCTTGCCTTCCAGCGAATCTTCAATCAAAGCACTGGATGATGTCGAAGTTACTAGCTCAAATATGCCTGCCTGGAATGGTCCCAAGAAGACGAGCCCCAAACCATTACGAAGAGCCTGGCCGAAAGACTTCCATGTGTCGCCTTTCAATTCTAGAAAGGGAGACTATTCTCTCGTTTCACATGATCCTCTGGCTCCATCGATGGAAGGGAACGGATCGATCGACAGTACGATCAACCTATCATCTTCCAAGGAGCATACAAAGTTGGTGGCTCGTATCATCTCGGAAGGCCCAGCCCTTGACCCAGGAACTATGAGTGCATGGCAGAAACTCAAGTTTCTTTCGGCCTGGTGGTGGGTTGGCTTCGTCACATTTCCGCGTATTGTCAAAGAAGCCGGCGCTCTGTTCTTCAAGCGCAAACTGCATGTCTGGTACCGGCCAGAGCCCTTAAAGCAAAGCATGGGGCGGCGGGCCGATGAGACAGAGAGGCAACTGGAGACCCTATTCCGGAGATATCTGCGGTATATGGTTGATCAGTGTCCCGCCGCGTTGGTGGTGCATTATGTACCAAGTGGCTTATCAGACACCAGCACGGAGACCATGACATCGCCTGCAGCGAAGAGTAACTCAGACCTGGTATCATCAGAAGAGATGGAATTCAACGTCTTGACACCAGCGTTCTATTCAAGGTTCATCCACTACGCGCACGATCTGGAAGCAGTTTTCTGTGAGCTGAATGAAAGCCGCACGATCTGGGTATCTCGGCCAGAGCTTCTTCCGAAGCTTGTCCTCAAGAAGCCGCCGCCACCTCTACACACATCGAGTTATCTCGACTATGGGTACTTCAAACTTATTCAACGCCTTCGCCAAAGACCAGAGAGAATCGAAAGGCCGATGACGTCGAGCCAACCTTCGTCTGAGGCTTCCGACACTCATACAAAGGTGGATATTCGAGATTTTCGACTCGCATCCATGGACGGTTACGTGCTAGCTCACGAAGATGGCAAGTCCCGACAGTTATACAGATCTTTGGTGCTGAAGTTATTCGTTGCCAATGGTTTGGCCATGGGCAGCGTGGAGTTGCTCTGGCTCGAGCAACTTTTTGTCAGGGTGTTGCTGGCCTGGCTTTTGATATGACCTTTACTGGAGCTTTTCATCCCATGCCACAACTTCAGGGCTTGCTTTTAATGTTTATGAGCATTTAACATCAACTATCCGGAATACTTGTATGCCAGCCGGAATGAGTTTACTTACCCAATTGAGCGCTCGTTCCATTCAATCGCATTGTGCAGCTTATACAAAGAACCAACACATGTTTCGACAAGAATTAAAAAGCAGAAATGTTTACCCTCTGAGGCCCAAGTTATTAGGAACTGAATCGTCTGCCCAGTGATCTGATCCACCAACTTTCCAATGAGTTTCTATTCAAGCCCAGCTTGCTCTTGATTGGCTGCGCGTCTTAGGTGGCATGCTCTTGGGCGCCAGCCTGATTTGCGGCTGAGGTCTTCTTTCCGCCGAGTCTGCCACAGCCAGCACATTAATCCGATTCACGAAGCGAGCTACACGACTTGTACTTCAAACGGCCTGCTCTGGGTTGCAACAGCGAATATTGAAGCAAGCAAGCAAGTAGAGTTCCAGGGTTCATACAACATATAACGCCAAGAAGAGGTTACTAAATGCTTGCGTGAAGCAGATGCCCGATTTCATATCAGATGATGATATTTCACCTTACGCGATACTATCGCACACTTGGGGTAACGACGAAGCGACCCGACAGATGTGGCAATCCATACCTTCATCCGAGTTGCAACTCAGGCAAGGTTACCTGAAAATAGAGCACTGCCGTAAGCAAGCCGTTAGAGACGGAGTTGAATGGGCTTATTCTGACACGTACGTGATCGAGGACATTGGAGTCACGGCAAGCTGCCGATTAATTTTGCACGGACAAGACTAGCAGCGCTGAGCTGTCTGAAGCCATCAACTCGATGTACCGCTTTTAGTCTAATGCTTCCTGCTGTTACGCATATTTCTCGGACGTCGAAAAGAAAAAAAAATAAGAGACGGTCGTCGAGTTAAATCTCTAGGAATCTCGATGGTTTACCTGTGGACGAACACTTCAAGGATCGTGCTGCACATGAACTTTGCCATTCTGGAACAACTGTAGAGAGACAAAGTTTGCAGCGTTAATCAAAGCAAGCTGACCGAATGATACATCACAGCACAGCACTGCGCTGCGTATGGGATGGACAACGACCTTATTATCATATAACCAAGTATCTTCCTAGCAAAAATCTGGAGAATTGTAGTAAGTACGTACGTATGCTATCGTGCGAATATATTGAAAGAGTGTACTGCAGCTAGAGCTAATATGTATTTTATGGAAAACCAACCTAACCCACACCCCCTCCCCCTTAAATCTCCCTTAAAGAAATTTCGACTAAATAAAAGAATTCGCGCGTAAGCCAGCTACTAAAGAGTGCACAAATCTGCCCAACCAGCTCGGTATCTTGACTTCTTCTTGTTGTTTGGTTCGGGGCAAGAATTCCCAGTCCATTCAATACATTTCTGGATACAACCCTGCTCCCGCAAGAGTCTCACTATCATCTTTTAACAGCCCTTTAGGCACTTCCAGCTTTTGGTTGTCCGGCCGATGGCTGAATGCACTTATGTTACCAAGACTGAGAAACAAGGCTCGTCCTAGAGATCTCTTTGGTGAAATTCTCGTCCTCGTACATGTAGCAAGTCACCGCGCTACCGATGTTTCCATCCCCAGATGCCCTGAGACGAACGATGGGTTTATCTGTCACCTTGATACAAGTATGTGAGCACCAAGCAAGCGAATTAGCTTTACCTCTCTTCGCCATGGATTGTTGCCTGAAACAGGCACGAGAAACTGCATGGTCGTGGAACACGTTTCGGTTTCTTAGTTGTTTTTAAAGTTTTGGTTGAAAGGACAATACAAGAAAGACAATGGGTAAAGGTTGCTGGTGATCTAGTATTGACGCTTTCATATAAAGAAAGCTAGCATTTATATTAGAAGATACGGCTCATGATCTACACACACTCAGCCACACTGGTTCAGTATTGCCCAGACGAGGCAGATCCTCTTCATTCTGTAAATTCATCTTTATTAGTGGAGATCGCCGTTTTGTCTCCTAGGGTGTAACCCTAGCATGATTTGTGTGATGTTGCACAGATCCAAGTGAGCTTATGTAGGAGCATATTTTACGTAGTACACGTCCGTACGCAAATATATTTACACGAAACAAATATACGAGAGAAGCATATACGAAGGATAGGGGTGTTGGCGCTGAATAGTCGCTCTGTTATCGTCACAAATTTACTTGACTAAGCTCCTGGATTCTAAGGTCAGCCAAGGTTGCACCTGAGCCTAATCTTACAAGCCGAAATCGTAGGCTGTGATTTGAACAAGGCGACCTGATTGAAGACATGCAATAGCTCATTCCAAATATTGTCAACCCATCAATTTCACTTGTCAGCCAACTTATCTACTTAAGTACAAGCAATGTTATAACTGTCTGATATGCTTTGTTACAGCGCAGCGAATAAACAAGACTGGGCTGTGGTATAGATCACTTTGTGTTAAAATCTAATGCTGACGAACTGGCTAATCAGTTGCTAACAGCAACTGACGGGCCCAAGCCGTCACATGCTTCCAGCAATCTATGAGAGATAGTTCCACACAAGCTCATAACCTAGAGATTCAAAATTTTGAAATACCTTCCTCCTGCTCTCTTAACAATCGTGCTAAAATATAATTGATGCTAATCTGATATGGACGTGGCTGTGCGCGAACTTGTAGGATTTAGGCAGTATGAGGGGGTTGTCGTCAACTGTGAATATATTATCACGGTATGGACTGTTGCCTTGTTACTTATCAGCTACAGCTCCTACCGTATGTGATGTAGCATAGCCACTTGGGACAAATTGCAAGCTGGGATTGCAGTTGGTAATCCTTCGCTTTGCAATCAGCAATCATATACCTTATATGATGGTATTCGCGGTCCCGCTGACTCGGGATGACTTTGGCTGACGCCCGGGCCCCCGACACACATACGGGGATATCCACGTCGTCCCCCTAGTTAGGGGAACGTGGATATTCGTTTATCTCCTTCCACCATACATGGCGGCTGACGGCCCCGCTGGCGACCGCCTAGCTTATTGGCTACAGGCCCCCTGCCCCCTGAACCGCTAGGCCTCTACAAGGCCAAGTGCCGCTGACTGGCGCCCTAAGACCCCTCCGACCCCACCCCCCCCCTCCCCCCTCCCCCCCTCCCCTCTCCCCTGGCCGGCTGCGATACAGCGCTTCGTCCAGTGTTTAGAGCCGCTGGAACGATAGGCCTAATACTGCTAACCTGACCGAATACAAATACAGGGGCGGCACAAGACGATGTACGATGTAAGTTGCCCCGCGCTCTCCCCTTTCCCTCCTCTCCCCCCGGCGCCTCACCGCTCTCCTACCGGCTATCCGGCCTCGCTACTTATTTGTCTGTCTGTCTGTCTGTCTGTCTGTATATGGCGAGGACGAAGGAGACGGGGCGCGTTGCGCGTCTCGGAACCGATGCCGTTAATAGAGCTGAGTTACGGGCTAACACACAGAGGATCCTATCGCTTATCGACCAGTCCAGGCCGAAGAACACTGTTATAGCGTACAAGCCGAAGCAGAAGGAGTTCCAGGTATGTTGTTCGCTTACCTATCGGCCCCGTAGGTTGCCCGGTACGTAGCTAACGTCTTTATATATAGGAGTTCTGCCGGCGGAAGCAGTATGAGGATGCCGATACGGTTACGGAGGACAAGCTCCTCCTCTTTCTTGTTGAGGTCGTTACCGACCGGCCCCTGAGAGCCTGGAGCCGGAAGGCCGACCAGGGCGTCCCGCAGGAGGAGACGCGGCTCGGGTGGCGCTCCGTACGGAGCTATATTACAGCTATTACCGACCTCTATCGGACCCAGAGGACTTTAGGGATGAACACGCACCCCTCCCCGCGGGAAGACCACGTACGTGAGTACGTCCGGTCTCTCCAGCGGCGGGATGCGCAACGGGAGAAGGATCTATACGCGGATAAGGGCCGGGAGACCATCTTGGACGGCTATACCGAGGAGCAGTTCGAGCGGATCTGCTACGAGCTTTGGGCACATAGCAGCTCCTCGCCCGAATGTCACTTTCGGACACTCGTTGACCTCCTTCTCGGCCATTATATGCTTACTCGTGGCGGCGATCGGAGGGCGGCCGAAATCTCGGACCTGTTTACGTTTGAGCTGCAGGGCGAGGGCTCGACCCCTTGTATGCCGGTTATCCTAACTACCCGTGCGGGGAAGCAAAATCAGCATGGACGACTTGAGACCGCAGGGGCACTCCGCAATAGAAAACCGCTTATCTGTATGCTAGGTGGCCTTGCTTTTTACCTGCTGTACCGCTGGGATCTAACCGACGAGCCCTTCCCGGACCTGAGCCGGCGGTCGGCCTGGTACGATATCCGGCTGATCAAGGGGAGCGGGGCGGATCGTACAACAGCCTTCTCGTATAACGCGCAGCGGGACTGGGTTACTAAGGCCTTCCAGTACGCCGGGGTAACGTCACAGAAGAAAACGCATATCGGCCGCAGCGCTGGGGCTAAAACAGCTGAGTTGAAAGGCGTAAGCGAGGAACAGATACGACGAGCGGGCCGGTGGAACCAGGAGCAGATGGTCGGGTGTTATCTCAGCTCGTTACCCCGGAAGTTTATGCGTGTAATGGCCGGGCATCCGCCGCAGATGGGATGCTTCGAGGTCCGGCGGGCTACTATCACGCCCCCGGAGGCCCTGCTTAGGGAGATCTGGCCTGAGCTTGACAGCTGGAGGGATAGGTTCGGCCCTAGCCAGGACCAAGTTAGTGACCTAGCAGCTATGGGTCTAGTCGAATTACTCTTCCACCTCCGGAAGGTTATCCTACAGGACTCGGCCCTGCTACAGGAACAGTTCCCTAATAGCCCTATATGGGATCACCGGGTCTTTCAGCATAAGGCTTACGCGCTATTCGCCCGGCAGGTCCGAACTACAGCCCAGGAGGAGGAGCGCCCTAGCCAGCTAGCTCTCCTGACTCAGGCTATGCCGACGCTAGCTGACTACCTGAGGTCGATCGACGTACGCCACGAGGCAAGGATAGCTGAGCTTCAGCAGCAGACGGCGAAGCTTCAGCAGTCTCTCGATCAGCTCGTACACTCAGACCGTACCCAGTCTACGCAGCTCCAGAAACTCACGGCCGGCGGCCTTACCTTTCGCCTTGAGGCTACTCCAGTAACAGCACCTGTACCTTTACCTACAGAGGTAACAGTAGTAACAACAGTACCGACAACAGCATTAGCACCGGCCATAGCAGAGGGGCAGATACCAGTATTACGTAGTAATCCCTCTAACCGGTCGAACCTAGCACCTACCGGGCGACCTACTGAGCGTAGTTCCCTAAGTCCGCAGCCGTGTATCTGGGCAGGAAATCCAGCGCCCCCGAAGCACAGTATGTGCCGTACGACGCGTACAGTGGAGGGGCTATGGAGGGAGTGGACGATCGGGATCCATGGCCAGCCGTCGGTTACCGAGTTAGACAGGCGTTGGGGCAGCCGGTGGAGATCTGGCCGCCGGAGCGAGGTACAGTGGTACTCTTTACGGGGCGAGGTTATCGTTGAGATTAGGAGGCAAGCACAAGCAAGGCGATGTAGCGAGGAGTCGGCGATGTGGATACTTAATTTGCAACAGCAGCAGATAGGCTGTTCTATAGACCAGCTATGTAAACGGTTACGGGCCGGGAGGAAGGCTCGCCTAGTATAGTAGGACCTACCCTAGCGGCCGGCCTTAGCCTACCAATAATACGTATATATTACGGGTACGAAACGGGAATCGACGCCTTACCTAGCTTTGTATTATATCTTTTACCCCCCGGAGCATCTCTCCTACCTGCTAGTTTGGTATCCGGACGTCGCCGAGCGGCCGGCCGTTAGGCCGGCCATCCGATGTGGTGATATTTGGGATATTCTCACCTGCTGACTGCACGGACGGTGTTTCGCCCTAGTGTGGCGCTCAGCCGCTGAATCCGCCCGCCAAACACCCCTGAAACGCCACCGTGGATATCCTATTGATAACCAACTGCCAAGCACCGTGTTTCGTGATAGTTGGAAAGTCACCAATTAAAACATGATATTGCCTTTGGACGGATCACTTCGGATTATCAATCATTTCAGTTTTCGAAGCAGTCGCTAGCGCAGGTCCGATGGGAACGCAATGAAATAGTCAACACCAAAAAGGATCACGCATGATCAAGGGTTGGAACAACCTCACCATGCTAACCTGGTGAGTTACGTTTTAGCGTGTATATACACCAATACCCTCACCATTCTCCGGACTTTGGTCGCCAATGCTAACCTTACCGGAGGCCCTAGTTAGGCAACCTGGTTAGTTTATAGTTACTAAGGCTCAAATCGCTATTTTACCCTGCTGCTGGTCCCTGATAGCCGAATTTCGGGGTAATTTGAAGGTGCTGGAGGTCCTTCCTGTGAAGGTCAACCCTCGCAGACTCACTACAACCAGGTGACGTACAGCTGGAACACCTGCCATGGCAGTGCCAGGTGGGAAGCCAATCATAACCCCTGCAGGAGCCCCGCCAAGCGTGGACGACTTAGTCGCGCCCCCTCAAACCTAAGTTGTCATCTTCTTTCCTTCGCTCCTTAGAGTAGAATCTTCGTCGATAGCACCTAATCGAGGTCTCTACCAATGCGATGCAACCCAGGTCGTGACACTTCCGGTCCTTTAGGACCCCCTGTAAGACTTGTTCGCTTGCAAATCTCTGCAAATGTCTGGTAATCTAAAACTTAGCTATTATATTAGTATTCCTGTGACGCTTAAGCCGCTACCCTTATGCTATAGAGGGTCCAATTGCCCCTACAACGCCGTCTCTGGTGGTATCGCTATCTCGCCAGGCCTCCGCTGAGGCAACTCTGGTAGTCCCCGGGGCTTAAAATCACCTTTTCCAGTGTTTTTGTAGCCTCACCGTTTCTATTATTTACTTGCCCGATGGGTCGTTGACGGTAAAAAGCTATTTACGGAAGTAGAGGATGCGAATCTGCGTGCCATCTGTGAGTACCTATCCCCATCGGTCCGTATCCAATGTGGCCATCTGTTAGCGCGGTCCGTACGTCAGAAGATCGAATCGGAATACAACAAGTACTGTGAGATAGTGAAGGTCGCGCTATAGCAGAGTCTTAGCGTTATTCACGTCGCATTTAATCGCTAGACCTCCCGCAACCATTTGGCTATATACGGAATCGCTGCTTTCTTCATAGATGAGATGAATCGGCCGAAGAAGTTGGTCCTCGGATTGCTATGTAGCAGTCAAGACGCATTATACCGGCTAGGAAATTGGCGCTTGCGTGCTTCAGGTTATCAAATTTTACGTAATACAGCACAAGATTAGCTATTTTACACTGGATAAAGTAGAAAACAACGACACAGCGGTCAAATAGCTCGGCTACCAGCTCGGATTTAATGGCTAGCTAGATACTCTGCTTGGGGCCCTGACGGCTAAAAGACCTATGGAAAATAACTGGCTGGATGAACCGGACGAGGCTACAGAAGAGGCTACAGCCAGCTCACCAGTATGTTCCCGGGGGACCGCGCCGGCGAGGTTGGCGATAGCTTCAGCTCTTCGCAGTAAATCCAACCAAAAAGTCACCATGACCCAGCGCTCTGTCTCCTCGCGCTTCTGGATTTCCTCGACGCGATGACTACATCTAGCACATCGACATACGTAAAATGGTGTTGCGTGAAATCGCCATCGAAAATGCTGTTGGGAAATTTCGCAGATGTCTGATCAAGGGAAGAAGTCCAACATATAGTAGATCCGCAGGCGTCCAAGATGTGTGTTATTTCGGCCGATGGCGATGGCAAATCTTCGTGAACGAGTCATCTTAAACATCACGATGATCTTTGCCTCAAGTTGACGTTTCGTCGCCTTCATGTGGCCTTGAGGTCAGATGAGGTTCTGGATAGTTTCTCTGGACTTGTTGGGAGCGGCCGTGATCTAGGTATGCAATTGAATGGGTCATAACGGAATTGAGTGTATTGACCCAACGTTGTGCTCGAGCTGTTTGCTGAAATCACTTTGAAGTGTGCGGACACAGGGTAAGTATTCATCCCATGTCATCTCTCATGACTGACTACCAGACTCAAGCCCTTAAATTGTGAACTCACTCTTCTGCTTAATGGTGATACATCGCTTCTCATGACGATAAGCATTTCTGGACATTGGCTCACTATGCGGGAAAAATTTCAAATGTCAAAACTTGACCAGGTCACAGTGACGCGGATGTAAAAGCCGCGTAAGGGTGCCCTGAACTCTTGAAAAACCTATGATCGAACGGCTTCACATAGCTCAGTCCGTCGATGAGGCTCTGAAGTCATTGCATAAAACGCGGACCTGCTTTGGTACAAAAGAGATGGGACCAGTCCGGCAACTTCGGAGAGGTAAAGGGGAGCTGTGACTACTACCGTACCACCAAGTACACAAGAGGGTACAAAAACATGAACTCACCAAGCCTGGCTTCTAGAAAATACTTTTACGTGTTTAGTTGTCATGCAAGACGAACGTCGCTCAAGCCTCGCGGTGTCCGGGTTGATGGCAGTATTGCCGCAAGCCAGCGGCTTATCGGTCCATTTCAATCGCGCATTGCGAACAGGCGAGAGCAGAGCTTCCATGCAGAAGTAGGAATTCCAAATACTCCAGCGCCAACGCATGAACTACGGTAACTAAGGCAGCTGAATTAGGGGCTTGCACTAGTGACGTTCCTACCGGGGCAATGACAAATGACGTGACGTCTACGCCGCACTTCAACTTCATTCCTTCTGCATTACTCGTTTGATCACGGAGTACCTAATGAGGCCACCGCGGGGATTACTATCACTGCAGCCGCCCTGGCAGAAGCGACTAGGCTAGCCGCCATGATTTTTTCTCCGAGCTATTGTAAGCACGAATCGAAGTATGGCTTACCGAGAACTCAAGACCAAGGATTCGACGAATGATAGCTCGGTGGTAGCAGAATTGAGGGCTATCTAACTTTGTGTTGTGGCAAAGTGACATAGTACCTAACCCTTAACACCAACAGTTAATAGAGACCCGCTATCGCCTAACCCCCGCCATCGATGTCATGATATATCCCGAAGACGTCCCAACTTTAGAACATGCAGACGAACATGTAATCTAGCCGATACAAAACGGGAAAATGCATCCGGCAGGGGTCAATTAAGCCATCCAAGGCTATCTGTCTTCAACAATATTTAAACAAGAAGTCTCCCACTTTCGCCCTTAGTAATTCCGGATCTCACTCAACTTGAGACTAGCTACTTTTACTTACCCCACCTTACGACCTGCTTCCATAAACGTCAAGCAGCACCCTGGCTTTCCAGTCGTTACATCTCAACGCTGCAAACGATCAAGCATACATTATCAGCACCATGGGTCTTTCCGGCCATTGTCTCTGTGGCGCTGTCAAGTACACGGTCGACGCCGACCCTTTGCTCGTCGGCTACGACCACTGCGATGATTGCCAGCGCCAAAGCGGCTCGACGTATTGTAAGAGCTCTTCCAACCCCCAGCTAGACAGCCCTAAGCACCCTTAAACTCGTTCACGATCGCCAATTGGATCAAGTTACACACGTCATCATCAGTAAAAGCTAAGACCGCACTCCTCACCTCGCAGCCCTTGTCGTCGTCGTGCCCAAGGACAAGATGAAGATTACGGGCACCACCAAGAGCTTCGCGGGCAAAGGCTCGTCCGGCAACGCGGTTCATCGCATCTTCTGCCCGTCGTGCGGCAGTCCCATCGCTCATGACCCCGACGCAGCGCCCGATATCATCGCTGTGAAGGGCGGAACCCTGAGTGTGGAGGACAAGAAGAACCTGAAGCCTGTAAGTGCAAATTGTCTTGCACCTCAGATAGCCCAGATCCGGTTTAGCTAATAGAGCCTGTCGTATTGCAGGAAACCGAGATCTGGACTGTCAGCAAGCTCCCCTTCTGCTCGGAGCATTTGGCCAAGCCGTTCGAGTACATGCCGGAATGATTTGGCGTTTTGGGGAAGACAAACACGTATTTCGAATACTTCGGCGTCTGGCAAATGGGTTCAATGGCGATTTGGGGTGCTGAAGTGAAGCATTGCAATCATTACGGTTTATGCTTTGGCGGGGCGCATTAGCGGCGGACGGGCTGGTGGATAGAGCGGAGTAGCTAAAACAGATGGTGGGTCGTTTGGATCGTCACCTTCATGAGGCCGTACCAACATACGTAATTCAGTGAATGAAGTCGCTTATCCAGGTGATTTTGAGAGGTCTTCGGGAGATTGTGTCTTGTCTCTAAATGAGATGAATGGCTCGGTTGCTCTTCCTATTTGATCACACCCTCGCCCTTCTATGAAGCTCCTGCTAAGTGGAAAAGCACGCGTTTCCAGGATGCATGGCTTGGTCGATTATTTACTTCAATGTCTAAGTCACGACGGGATAGCCTCGAAAACATGCAGTGGCTGAAGGTGCCTCACCAAGCACCCACACAGAAAGATGTTGGTGATATGGTTATCATATCCAGCAAAACCCCTCGTCATTCCGCACCGCCTGATAACATCGAACCGTTCACTAGCCAAGGCTTCTCACATTCGCACCTAGATCCGCATGTCATCAAAGGTCCCCTTGTGATGAATGTACTTCAGAGCGGTATTCAGAGTGCGAGTTCCAGCTTCCTATTATTTAACGGCTGACTCCAGAGAACGGCTGACTGTGCTCTCAAATTTCCTCCAGATTTTAGCCTACATACCAATGCTGTAGGTCCATACTATCTAGTTTCCAGTGCGGCTGAGAGTCAGCCACTTGCCGGCCGCCTTTGTGAGAATGGCACAGCTACGCAGAAATATGACCCCAGAGGAGCAGTCACTGCAAGATGGATTTGCGCGTCGAGGTCAAAAGGCTGGCCACGAAGCGCAGCTCGCATTAATTTGGCGATGATGCCAAAGACATTCTAATTTTCCAGCCTCATATGTGGTGGTTATCTTATGGACTAGATCGTTAGCTGTTACGGCTCTGAACCAGCAGATTCCCATGAGTGCGTAGGAACATTGGGTAATAAGAGGCTGTGACCCTGGCGTCTCCTTTTCGTGTCTTCCCCAATCACACTTTATTCCTCAATTACCTGGCTAGTTGAATACCGGGCGACGTTACACGATGCGTGCTATTGGTCTCAGCTATCTGTCCCTGAGCTTTGCTCGGCCTGTGTTGTCCGTTTGCCCCCGGTTACAAGAGAGTCTAGTCACCGCCTTAGGCAGTTATGCAGGTCTCTCGACCTTCCGAGAGATGCTAAACAGTCATCCTGGGTTCTTGAACTTGGTGGTGCCAAATGACACGGGGAGAGTCACAGCATTGATACCCGATGATGAGGCTCTGCATGCTTTCTCGGCGCAAAACGGCGAACTGCGGTCGATACCTGAAGATGGACTAGTCACCATCTTCAAGTATCACTTCATGGTCTCCGAGGTCAAAGGCTCAAGTTTCATAGCGCCGGTTGGAATTAAGGTACCCACGTGGCTTGAGAATGAAGAATTCAACAACCGCTCTGCATCGGCGGCTTTGGCGCAGCGGTTCGGTCCTTGAGCCAATGGACAGGTCATATTCACCTCAGCAGATCCCATCCAACCTGTAAAAGTCAAGGTCCGAGACGGAGGTGTTAGTGGAGATGTCGAGCTTAGAGGAGGCATGGGCTTAGGCGGCGATCTCAATACCCTCGACGGCCAGTGGGATGGTGAAGTAGTGCGCAGCATTAATATGTGAGCGATCTGGCGCTCTATATATTGGTGAACAATTACTGACCACCCTGAAACGTCCTAACACCACCCACCAAATGCTCCACCACCACCCGCGGTCTCTCCTCAACCCTCGGCGCCCTCGACAACGCCCTAAACCGCACCAAATTCTGGGGCAACGTCGATACCACGGCCAACATCGCCTGTCTAGCACCTAACAGTCAAGCCTTCGCGGCCGCGGGGAACCCAGACCAGAACCTTGACAGAGACCAATTGAAGAATGCCCTGCTTTTCCACACTCTGCCGTTTCCGGCTTACTCCAACTTCCTCGAGGACGGCCAGGAGATTGTCTCGCTGGCGAATATGACGGTGCGCGTCAGCATGCGCAACGGTGAGACGTACTTTAATGATGCGAGGCTCGTCTCTCCCAATGTCTTAACGAATAACAGGTTGATCCATGTGCTGGATAGGGTCATGTCGCCGTTGAATGATCCGGCAGCAGCTGCGCCAACGGGAAGTGAAACAGGGACTGCCACTGCTCCGGGTACGCAGACGGAGACGGAGACGGCTCAACCAAGTACGAATACCGGTAGGTTGATGGTGCGAAACGAGGTTTTAGCCGGTTTGATTGTATTTTCTTTCGTAGGCCGAGGGATGTAGTGTAGTGCAGCTCAATTCGGGATTCGAAAATTCAGATACCATATGTCCAGTTAATGGCATCCCAGCAGATTTGGAGATTGAAATTAGATAGATGCAGGATCTATAAAGAGGTATCGATAACTTGCGAGAGTAAAAGCACTGGGTCACCACTTAAGAATGAGTGCAATGGTAAGGTGGCGCCATAAGATGTTTCTTAATCCTGTGCAAAACGAGCTGAGGGGTTTGACCGAGCTCTCGCTTCCAGCTAGAATATTTGGTTCTACTCAGTTTGGTTCGGCGCCATCTACCTTTGCTACATGTATAGGTACTGTTTTCTTTGGAACTACTGTATCTTATAAACTGTTCCATGTGTTATCGAACTGGGTTAGACCTCAGGAAGCATTGAAAGGCGCGATCTTCGCTGCCTTACAGTGCAAGAAACTATGTGAGAAGCGGGAACTTACGACGCCAGTATGAGGAGCACGAAGCTGCTAGCATCTGGCTTTCTAATCTGGAAACTGTCCCAGGGCGTATGAAGATGGAGTATCAGGCCGAGTTTTCCAACCGTACATAGATTGCTTGTTCCGTCTTTCCATTTTAAACAATCAAGATCTGATTGGAGAGGTTGGCACGTAGTATCGACTACGTACAAATTGATAGAGTAAAGAGATTTACTTAGCGTTCAGGAATACCGCGACCTTTTTGATCGCCACTCAGTCTTGCGTGCTATTTCGCTTGGTTCGGTTCAGCCATAATCACGGAGTGACTATCGTCCTCCTTGGCTCTATCAAAGCTTTCACCCCTGGACGTATCATACAATGAGTGATAGTGTACATTATGTTCAATGACTAATAGTTGTATGTAGTGTTCCAGATTCAGCTCGTGTCTTCTCGCGTGAGATAGAATCATGTACGTATTTACGATGTAGGAACTCCATCCATGTGCAAAATGATATAAATAACTGGTATATTTTAAGTGTCCCAATGGTTATGTTTGTTATTTGTGTCTGCATTTGCTCGGTTTCACCGGCGGCATATTCTTTGGTCTGAATATCAACATCGCTAGCCGTCATTGAGATTCCAGAGACCTACAATCCAACTTGGGTATGTGGAGGCAGAAATCCAGTCTCGAATCTCTTAACCCATGCTCACCTATTAGAAGTAGCCTTCTATTTGTCCAGTCGGAAAACCAACAAACGACATGCATAAAGGTAAACCCACTCAAATAGAGGTTGAATCAAGATGTGGTCCCCAAAGCTAGTTCGATTTTCGTCTCCCACTAATCAGAACTATACGATAGTTGTATGCCCTACTGGAAATTGTCTCCTAGCACTGAAAACATACAAGGGAGTACCCGGGGAGGCTCAGTCGGACGCACGTCGTTCGTACCCTCTTACCCACCACACTTACCTCCTGGTAGAACCGTTGGGAAAGTCTTGGGGTGAGACAGGGCTATATCGAAAACCAGAATCTATTCTGGCTCGGTTTGAACATAAACTCAAACGCACGTTGACTGTACTCGATTTAAATCACTTTATACCAGATAGAACGCAGTCTTGGAAGGGAGCTCATCCCGGTTTGGTCGGCCGGAAAGGAGCACAACTAGCTTCTGGTTCGCTGGCAAGCAACCAAGATTGCACATATGTACGTGAGTACCAACAATTAACTGGAAGAGAATCATTCAGCTTAGACTATGCCCATTGGCCCAGCGTCTTACGCACCAGTGCACTGAACTGTGGCGACAAAATAGAGAGCAAAACTATGAAGACCACGCAGAGTGACGATTTCCAAGTCATCTACAAAGCCAGTTGGGGATAGAAAAGCATATGCACCATTTCACAGTTATCCCCATACTGCATCTTGTCGCACAATCTCTTCCATGGCTTTCTTGGGTGGCCTGATCTGCTACGGTCATCGGTCATCGCTGGTTGTCTTGCTTTGTCGTATGGTTCCTGTGCAGCGAATTGTACTTGGCTACCTACTTGAATGGACAGAGACGACTGCTAACAGTCATGTTAGGGGAGTTCCTTACAACAACTTGGTCCTGTGCATTGGAATAACAGCTCGAACTTGAAGTAACCCAATACGGACACTGGTGCAGCATAAATTCTTTTATGTTCCAACACGTTAGTGAAACAATCGGTCGGGGTACATCGCCGATCCAAACTCCTTGCGTACCAGCTGGAATACCCAGCATGGAATAAAGTGATCGACTTCAGGAAGATTGAAGACCCTAGACTCCCTGGGCTCATCGTGTGGTTATGCAAGTAGTGGGGCCATGGCAGATCGCTTCGGGTAAAAGGATGTCTTTGAGTGGAACTCTTGCACGGATGCCAGATTACCGGCATGAAAGCAATCTCCTTACGTGAATCTCCTTACGTGAATCTCCTTACGTGGATTAATTGGTCTAACAAGTCTGTACACTGGGCCGACGGCAGCCCTGAGAGCGGGGTAATTGACTGATGATCAATGGTGTTCATCATCACAGCTCCGAAGCTCGCAACCCGTCGCTATTTCAATAGACTGCCACATCGCCTGGTCTCCTCATCCAGCTTGAGGATTTTACCGCCCGCCCGATTCGCCCAATTCTTTCGCGTTGCAAGATTTCAGTAGGTGCGTCGTTGAATCTGTTGATACAAGATGGCACCTCTTGGTATTGCCATTATTGGCGGTGGAATTTTCGTTCGAGAGGAACACCTGGTGAGATGCACATTGCGGGACGATACAGTCCGTTTCGAGGGTGTATAGGATAGGAGCTAACGACTGCGAATAGCCGGCGGTTTTAGCGTGTCCCCTAGTCTCCCTCAAGGCGATATGGTCCCGTTCCCGAAAGTCGGCTGAAGAAACGGCTCGCATGGTGCCCAGCGATGCTGGCGCTGTGGACCTCTACTCGACAGAGTCAGGTGATGGCAAGTCGTACGATGACCTGCTTAAACGCTCAGATATAGTTGGAGTCATCCTGGCCTTGCCAATCCTGGACCAGCCAGCATTCATCGAGAAGGCCCTGGCAGCTGGCAAGCACGTATTGGCAGAGAAGCCCATCGCATGGGATGTTGCTCGTGCCCAGGAGCTGATAGATTACTACCGAAAGGTGTCTTCCGAGACCAAGGCAACGCTAGCGATCGCTGAAAACTTTCGTTTCAATCCAGGATGGGCCTACGGTGCGGAGGAAATCAAGAAGCTCGGCAAGGTGACTGGCTTCGTCGTACGGCTAAACTGGAGGATGGACGTTGAGAACAAATACGTCCAGACACCCTGGCGAACTCAACCAAAGTTTCAGGGCGGAATCCTTCTCGATGGTGGTGTGCACTTCACTGCCAGCCTGAGGAAGCTGCTAGGGAAGGAGAATGCAATCGAAAGTCTGACGGCTTATTCTTCCTTGGTCTCGAGCCACTTGCCCCCGGTCGACTCCATCAACGCTATCATGAAGACAAAGTCTGGCGCTGTTGGTTCGTACATCACGTCTTGCGGAACGATGTTCAACGCTTTCCAATTTGAAGTCGCCTGTGAACAGGGACAGGTCAAGGCAGAAGGGGCCAAGGTTGTGACGATTAGAGGCACTGGTGAGAATGCCAAGGTCGAGGAGAAGGTATGGGAAAAGACCTCGGGAGTCAAGGAAGAAGTGCGAGCATGGGCCGAATCAATGTTATCGGGAACACCAAATCCAGAACAGGCCCCTGAACTTGCCCTCGGCGATTTGGAATTGATGGAAAAGATGTTGACAAGCGGAGACCAAGGTGGTGCGCGACAGACACTGGAGTTCCAGCACTACATCTAAGGGCCGCCCTGAGGTCCTTGAGAAGCGCTACTATCAGAGTTTGTCGGAGATACCTGAGATATGTAACACCCAAGGTGCTTTGTCAAGCTGTCGTTCATAACGTTAATGCTAGGTACCGAGGTAGATAATCCCACGAATGCACCTCTAGCAATACATGCCTTGTTCGTACCGGCAGGGTCCTGTCATCAGAGCTTGCTAGAGATGCCGGGGACCACCAACTTTTCAAGTCCCTTCCTCAATGCGTCGTTCATGCCCTTGATATTGGGTCTTAGGGTAGCGCGATCCACAAAGACGTGAACAAACTTGCCCACTGCCTTGACTCCATCGATGTTCTTCTCAAAGAGGCCGACTTCGTATGTGACGCTGGATTTTCCGAGCTTGTTTACACGCAAACACAGCTCAGCAACCTTCGGGAATGATATGGCGGAGAAGTAGTCACTATGCGTATGTGCCATGAGAGGATGTTGTGCCGACGTAGGCGGATCTAGACCGCAATGCTCTATGAGGTAGGTATTGATGACCGAATCAAAGCTTTCGGGCCCATGGTCAGCAACGTGTTGCGCATCATGATGGCTGGATCCACGTACAGAAAGTTGTAGATGGAGTTGTTCATGTGATCATACATGTCGTTATCAGCCCTTGGGATGGTCAGAACTACGGATACCTGGCACAGCCACATACTCAACGATAACACTGCGAGACTCACCATCGTGTACGGTATTCTAAGAGGTACGGATAGTCCCCCCTCGTTCGTGACTTGAGCTCGTTCGTAGAAGCCATCCTCTTTGATACTTCGAGGAGTGGTTGCGAAGAAAATGATGACTATGGAAAACCACTCTAGATACGCTCTCAACTGCACAGTCCTCTCCAAGACTTTAACAAATGCCTTTGCTGCTTATCCGCGGTTCCGTAGGGATTATGGGATTCAATGGCAATAAGGCGGAAATGGACGAATTCGACGGAGGAAAGTGCAGTCAGGGATACAATGGGCAATTCCCCGATCCGCCACCCCGCCACCGGCAGCGGCCCCTGGGAGGCATTCTGCCGTTCCACTCCGCCTAAAGTTAAGTCCAAAAGTAGCTGTGTGATGGAATTGCAAATCATAGACTACTCCTGGATCTAGTGACTCATGCGGCCAATATTCCGTTATACTATTCAGAATCGACAGCTCTCTCGGTCCCACACGTTTGCGCGCGACCGCGATTGCAGCATAGCACCTCTCGCCTCACTGCTTGCAAGGGGCAGGCGGCTTCTGAGCCCCATCATGGGATTGCTCGCAGACGGCGGCGGCGCAGTTGCCTTGATACCAGCTTTGACCCCGACCAAGGAAAAGCACGATGAAGTCGCCAAACCAGCCATGCCAAAGGCCAAGTTAACGAAAGCCACGAGGAAAGCGCTCGTCCTGCCCTCGTGCGACGAAATCTGGCCGCGGCCATACTACATCGAAAATGGGCTGCGGCGCATCGCCCCGTACCACTACACCTACCAGACCTGGTGCAAGCAACGATGGCGCGGGAGGGAGTTGTTGGATGTCTTCGAGAGCGAGTTCCGCGACAGACCCGTAGCGTATTACAAATCTGCAATGGAGAACGGCAAAATCTGTGTCAACGGCAACCCGGTCATGCCAGACTACATCCTGAAGAACGGCGATCTCGTTTCCCACAAGATACACCGCCACGAGCCGCCCGTAACAGCAGAGGACATCGGGATAATCCACGAAGACGACGATATGATCGTCATAAACAAACCCTCAGGGATACCCGTCCACCCAGCGGGCAGATACAATTTCAACTCCGTCGTCGAAATCATGAAAGTGGAGCGAGGCCGCGAGTGGATAGCCTATCCTTGCAACCGTTTGGACAGACTCACCAGCGGCATTATGTTTGTCGCAAACAATCCAAAGGCCGCTGAGGATCTTAGCACTCAAATTGCCCAGCGGAGCGTGCGAAAGGAGTATATTGCGAGGGTCATGGGCAACTTTCCCGATGGTGAGGTAGTATGTGACCAGCCTATCCTCCAAATCTCCCCCAAGCTCGGACTCAATCGAATCCGAGCCAACGGAAGGGACGCACGAACTGTGTTCAAAAAGCTCGCATACTACCCTTCTCATGGACCAACCCAGGACTCCGGAACTGATCACCATCACGATCCTTCAGAAGCCAAACAAGAGGATTTAAGACCGTGGATGCGCAAGGCCAACGACGGCTACTCCATCGTGCGGTGCTTGCCAGTTACTGGTAGAACCCACCAGCTACGCGTCCACCTTCAACACTTGGGCCATCCTATTCAAAATGACCCTATATACGCCAACCAACGCGTTTGGGGTGCAAACCTGGGACGCAATGATGCGGAAGCCACGGAGAATACTGACGACGATATTGTAACGCGGCTGAACCGCATGGGCAAGGAAGAAGCGGCCGACGCAGTGGCTTACCACGATGAGATGGTTGATCAATACTACAAGAAGAAGGCCGAGAAAATGTCCGGTAAACTCTGCGAGATCTGCGACACTCCATTGTATACCGATCCCGGCGAGCAGGAGCTCTCCTTATGGTTACATTCGCTTCGATATGAGGATGCTGGGGGCGCGTGGAGCTACGTGAGTCCACTTCCCGACTGGGCTCTGCCACCCTCAGGCATGAGTGGTCCAACAGCAGTGGGTAGCCTCGATGCACTTGTTGAAGCAGTGAAAGAAGTCAATTCTGAAATAGCTTGAGTCGCTCGGTCACTCTTGACTTCCCCAGTACGTTCTATTTTTCGCGGAGTCAGGAACTATAAGTCCTTATCACGGCTGCTCCAGAATACCTGGCCCCGTCATCTGCCAATCGTCAATTACGTCTTGTTACAGCGAAAGGCCATATACAATGAATGGAGAGCAGGTGTAATGAAATACGAGTCCACACCGTCTCTCGGTAACGTTGGACCAATCGAGATCAGACTAGTCCCTGTTTTCAGTCACTAGACAGACACTGCATGACGAGCATAACCTCCTCGGTTGAAGTGCGAGTAGTCTTGTCTCAGTACAACTTTCTTCTGGCTGATAACAGAGTTTTTCTGTTGCAGGAGAAGACGCAAAGAAGAACCTTAGTAGCAGACCTGACCCTGCCGTTGGCGAATGCCCATTAAACTCTGTTCACCAGTCGCAACGGCGCGCTCCCAGGTGAATTTTGCAGCCGTGGTAGACGCCACGCCACGTGCAGAGGATGTTTGGCGCTCGTTCATGGGTGGATTGGCAGCGAGATTCATGATGCGGCTTCGACGCTGGGCGAATTAAGCCCGGGGATCACCCAGATGTCGAGTACCCTTCGAGCCACGTTATCAATTTCAGCCTTGACCGAATAGCGACACAGCCCACAACGAGCCAAGCAGCCGTGCCCATAGGTCTTATTGGTAGATCTGCGACCTCTACGCCATTCTGGTTTGCGTCAACCCACCAGCCGGGTCTCGCTGAAAGCAATAGACAATTAGCAATTTGCAGCGGCGTTTCTCTCACACCAAGCGAACCGACATTGCCTCAATCTAATACGGGTTGAAACCCTGCGTCCGCTCCTCGAAACTCGGAGTACTGCGTTTGCGCCTCCTGTGTATCTTGCAGCGTATCGTGGCCGCATTCCTTGGTGGTTTGTTGTGCTGTTCACGCTATTGCCCGTCACAACCCGAACGCGCTTTTATCAAGGACGATGCTCGGATTTGCGGTCTGGAAGCTGGAAGCTGGGAAGGTCTTGGCTTAAGTTTCCAAGAGACATGCCCAAGGGACTTGAGCACACTCACGAGACCCTGAGCTGCTGCCCTAGATAGTACGTTGTGTTTCCTTCCCTACAGTGTGTATAGCTGCTCGGGTCCGAATGAGAAAGTTGACGGTCAAGGACGACCCAGGTGCTGCCACTATCATAACGGTCCCAATGCATTGCATGTCTTCCTTGCTGCAGATTTCTCGGGACCTTCCAGGATTGCTTTTTTCGGCGGAGCTTGGGCATTTGAAGTTAGTCCCAAAGGGAGTGTAGCGCAAACTCTATTTAGCATATCCATCCCTGGAAGTAGACCAGCGACTACCGGCCATGTTGCTGTGCCCACTTGACCACCTTGAACCTGGACAACGATACTTTGTGCGCTGGTGTGCATTGGTCTGCGATGCGGTGCAGTGTCCTCAGTTGGGCTCGCGGCCGGAGGACTGGATATCCCTGCTCCAGCTTTCGGGGCGATCACCTGGTTCGCTGGTTTGCTGGTCCGACGGACTCGTCCAGTGCCCACGATCAGGTCAAGACCAGAACCACCTGCAGAGATCATTGGTAATGGGCTCAACCGGCGCTACTGCCAAAGCTCACAGACACGTCTGGTGTCTCTTCGAGGATCGAGGCTGCTGCGAAGGCTTCTAGAAAGGAGCTAAGCTGCGAAGGGTTTCCTGCGCCGTCGCATAGCCCCCCCCTGCTGGCATATGGCATATGGCATAAAAGTATCTTGTACTGTACTGTGCTGGCTTGCCCCAACCTGAATCCTGGTGGGGGTTCTCAATCATGGTTGCAAATGCTGCCATTGCAGGCAGTCCCTGCGTAGAGCCACGCCCACACAATAAGGACTTGGCTTTGGCGGCCGGGGTCCATTAGTAGCCAGCCCAGCTGCTCTAACCGCGTGTTCATACTTATATAACACCCTGCCATGACGCCAATAAGACCCTGAATTTCCTAGAGCCTTTTTCCACTTCAACTTCTTGACAGCTCCCAAGGCACGGCCTTAGTCTAGTCCGCAGCTTACTACCACATTGAACAACTAACTTCATTCATCATTCAACTGCAACTCAAACACAATACCACACACCTTTCACCATGACCAAATCTTCTTCCCCAGAGGCCTGCAAGTCGGCCAAGCGCAAGGGTCAGTAACCAACTGCGGGGTGGACCTCAACACCTGAGCTCAGGCAAGACTGACTTATGCCACAGGTACCAGAAGCGTCTCAACGCTAACCCCTTCGCAATTGGCCCGAAAGCGGGCGAACGACCGGGAAGCACAGCGGGCGATTCGAGCACGAACCAAGGAGCACATTGAGAACCTCGAGCGAGAGCTTGACGAGTTACGAAGCCGGCACAACCGCGATGAGACGGTGCAGGACTTGATGAAGAGGAACAAAGCCCTTGAGGATGAGCTTCACAGACTGCGGGAGAGCGTGGGGATTCCCAGTCACGGGTCGAGCGGCATGTACCATGCTCGTAAGTAGCACCCAACATCATGCATCCCCCCTTCTGTCTTGTTGTTATGGAAAGCTAACGGACTGCACAAGCTTACCATAGCCCACCCTCGCGAGGCGCACCCGAAGTTGGATCCTACGAGGGCATGTCCCACTCGTCGGGAGACTCGTGGACGCCAGCGGTGCCATGCTCGGTGCCATCCACCGTGTCCAGCCCCTCGTCGTCCGGGGCTACGGATGAGTTCGGAGGCTCATATTATCCAACGAGCGCCCCAGCAACAATCCTTGACAGGTCCAATATGTCATCCAACATGAACTCGCCAACCGTCTCTTGCATAAATGGCAAAATGAATTATGATGACATCGAGCCAGGTAAGCCATACCTGTCGTACAACCCAAGAAATGCGTCGGAGGCTCATTGCTCGTCAGATATCGGATGCCCACAACTCAACATCGTCCCTATCCCGTCGCCATACCAACAGCCACAGCCGTGGAACGTCTATCCCATGTATTACCAAGCATCACCAACGCTATAGCCGAACAAACTCGCATGAGGATGCCGGCTACACCGTTTACGGTCGCACACTGGACCAATGAATTGGGCCCCAGGTGTTCGCCATTTGCACAATTTGCTTCGGTTACGGAAAGGCTAGTACCTGAGATTGCTGGGGGTTTTTCTCATGGCCACAATGGATCTCCCTTGTTAAGAACCATGGTCGGATCCACACGAAAACCTCGAGGCGCAGCATCAATCGTCATCACCGCCTCGCCCGCAATCAATTGCCACTGCAGCTTTCAACGTTGGTTGAATTATACGAGCGTATTGGAAAGTTGCGCGTTATTTTTACTGCAAGATCAGGAAATGATTAACTGGATGGGCCTGCCAAGATGAACGAGTATCTGCGCGCGCACCCCTTCGCACTGTCCTGAAATGACGGGCGGAACCCAAAGCAGTGCTCTTAGGGGCTTTCACCAAATTGGCGCCACTAAGCCAACAAGGCTGAGGGTTATCATTCAGAGCTATTTGGTTCTGCATTTTTCTTTCCAACACCCAATTTCTTTCGTTTGTCATTTTTATTTTTTGCATCATTGGCTTTCGGGAACATGGCGTTGAAGAACGACTGTGAATGGGGGGCGTTTACCCCAATCCGGGAGAGTTTGTTCCTATAGAATTGCAGTAGTGTCAGGACTGCCGTGTCGACTGGCGTTCTGGGTTGGGCTGGGATTGTGACAACCGCGGCTGGGGCGGGTGGAAGGAAACCAGGAAGAAGCATTTTTATACCAACGGTGCACCGGAGTTACGAGGTCCCCTTGCTCAAGGACCGAGGGTTGGGCAATGCATCATCATATGAGACTGATGGTTATCACATGGGTGAGGTCAGCATAAGCAGGAAGGCAAGCCGCGGAGTCGCTGTCGGGCAGTATACTACAGACAGAGTTGAGATCATGAGAAACCAATTCCTCAAGCAACTGAATTCCTCAAAGCAACTGGCCACGCTCGTCGTGAAATTGAAGCTGATTCGTGCTTACCCCATGATTGCCTGACTCGAAGCCGCCACGGCTTGCGATGCTTAAAAAACTGATTTCCACAATAGCTCTCCACTGAGCATAATGGGCCATGATGCTGTGCCGCGGCACGGAGATGGAGAAGTGTTCTTCAGATGGATCAGCTTTTCGTCATCTGGAGAATCTGGGGAAAATGGTCCACATGACACAGAGAACAATGCTACTTGAGTATTTGTCCGGTCAAACGAGAGGCTATTCACAGAGACGGAACAAAGACGACATTGTCTTAATTACCCAATTCACACGGATACGGATATGTCCACCCGGAAGGCTGTTTTGCGAATACGGCTAGATTAAACACTATGCCCCCGATGACCACGGCAAACTGAAATCCCCACGTTCATCGCCCCGTTCGTGCCAAAACAAGACCCAAAGACCGGGCGCAGGCCAAGACCTTGCGTACAATGATTCACGTTGCTGTCTCAACATCAAAGAACTAAGGTCTGCTGTCATTTGGCTGGGTAGGGTATGATACATAAGACTTGCTAGGGCCCAAAGTTATCTTGCAAGGCGGTTTTTGGTCAAGGCTGTGGCTGTACGACCCGTTGGTAAGCCCTGCTACCCCTTCCCTCTTCGTTGTCACACACACACACACACACGCTCACTCTCTCTCTCTCTCTTTTTCCGTCTTCAAAACTCTGGGCCTGTAAGTGGGGTATCTACTATCGGGGTGTAGGCGACGGCAAGGGCAGGGCAGGACGGAGTCTGACAAGGCTATGCCTTTTCATTGGCTCTGGTGCAAATGGACCCTGAGTCCTTTTTGTTCCTCTTTTGTTGACTTTCGAGGTTCCACTCAGGGGTGGCTAGCTGCAACCTGAACCTTGGCAATAGCAAAGTTACGGCGTAACTACCTTGTTACCATGGTATGTCTGTACGCATGTGCGCGTCTCAAAGGAGGGTTAATCTCATTGGATTTCGAACAATGGTCCTGCTTTCGTGAACGTGGGACAGTCAGGTGGCTCTCATGATGCTCCCCGTTTCCTCCCCCCGCTTCCCTCAATTACCCATGGGTGCAGGGCTGGCTCCATCCTCTGGCGTACCGGCCGCGCCGACATTGGCAATTACGTGAGAAATCAGTCAGAAGGTGAGCACAGGTGCTCGGAGTAATGACAAGTCCGAGGCGGGAGAGGAACATAGAGAATTTAACAATGCAGCATCCAACTGGGTCCCGACAACAGTGTCAACAATGACGATCGCCCAGCGTCGGCTGTCAACTCGGCCGTTTGGCAATGTTTTAGTGCTGGAGCAGGAGCAGATATTTGGGACTGACTGTGGAGAGAAACTGTCGACACCGTGCTGGTGTTACAAGTAAGGCTTTCCAAACATCTTTTCTTTTTTTTCTTTTTTTTTGGGGGGACAGGGTGGGTTTTTGGTTTTTTGATTAACACGTCGGAACCGTCGTGTAAGGGTCCAGCTTGACCTTCATTACTTTAGCCGTTACGCTGATTGGTGCCGACATGGTTTCAAAAGAGGAGAGAGTCTGGCGTCTGTATTCAACATGTATATACTCTGACTACACTAGTGTTCACTGGCGGCGGATTGATTCCTGCTTTCGAGCTGCTGTTCTGCTACGGGTAATCAAAAGGCAGTTTTAAGTTCAATTGACGGGAGACGGCTTATGAAACGGTTGGAAAATGCCAATGCTGATCATTGATGCCGTGTACACCATTACCTTGCTAGCCAAACGCCTATCGTGGACTAGCCTCATTATGATGTAGAGTCGTGGGTAGAGATAATTTCACACAGAGTACACTGCACACCAACTCGCGGTTCACCGCCGCATACTCTGCTGCGCGAAGTTGGGCCATGGGGTGGGTAACCAACATGCTCCCGCCTCTAAGGCGCCTGCTTTTCCCTGCTTCCAACACTCGAATTTTCCAAGGGAAATGCTACTCTGTGAAACCGGCGAGTGCAAACCCATATCGCACCCACCATGGCTAATATTTTCCCGTACTCTGCTTTTAGCACGTGAGGGCCACCACCTTGTAAGGCTTGAGTGGCAGTCACGGTGGAGTGCCGTAATCATCGTCAAAAAGCATCCCCACATATACGGTTGCGCACTAAAACTTGGGAAACTGGGGTCCCCCCTTAACCGACCGCATGCACCTTCCTTGGTGGCGGGCCTGTCGCACACCAATAGTACGCAATCATGGGCAGACCCCAGAAACGTGGGATGTACCCTTACCGGCTGTACTTTCTCACTATTGATGTTTCTCAACTCCGTGGGGCCGTTTCACCTTGTCTGTTTGGCTGAACCTTAAAATATCCACACGCGACATCTGCCTGAGCCTGCGTCACTCACTGGAAGGCACGCAGCTACTAAAACTTATCTGTCCAATTCCGAACCTTGGAATACACCCACCTGTCCACCTGTCCACCATATCGCACTCGCCATTTTATGCACTATTAGAGTTCGCCGGCGTCAACACTTGATGAGTCGATCCGGACCTGTTGGATGTTTTTCCTAGGAGATGAGCTGCAGAGATGGATCCGTCGAGGAGATGAGAACAGGAACAGAGTTATGTCTCCCACGTGGCTCGAAGGTGGTAACGACCAAAACGGACTGCTTTAGAGTACCGAGCGGTGGCGGCGTCACAAGCCCCCGATATTCGATACTCCATATCTCTGACTCTGGTCGCGAGAAATTCTCCTGTCGTTGAACGCCCGGAATGCTCGTTTCCACGCAAACACGAAAGGACGGGCGCTACTACGCTTGATGGGGGGCATGTTGCGAAAGCCCGAGACCGTGCATATTGATGCGCGCGCGCGAGTGAGAGAAATAGTGAGAGTGAGAGAGAGGAGAGAAAGCACGGTACATGTAAACCCACAACAGTGACGATTTCATACCCTGATATTCTGGCTTCCTTTCCTGGTCTTGATTCAACGCTACAGATACGACCCAGTCAGATAACTCTACTGCACAGACTGCCGCCTCGTGGAAGTCTTGTGCAAGTACAGCCTCCCAGGACCATGGGGAAGACTATGGCAACGTGGTAACAAGCGTTTCGCGCCTACTTTAGGAAACTAACCAAGACACTACTGCTGCTACCACCACATCCGAGTTCAAGGTGAAGCGATAAAATCCGTGCTCAGCGCATTGGGTCTGTCCAGTCGGCCTGCGGCAGCTGCCACAGTCTACGTGTTCCGGGGGGGTCTCGGACACGCCACCGTTTCACACGATAGCTCGGGGTTTGTTTATTTTTCAGTCTGCGATGCCCAGCTCAACCGGCGGAGCTCTTGATCTGACAGTGGCGACATGGTTAAGCCACAGTTTGCGCTAACAAACCACTTGCGGTCCTGCTATCTCTGGCAGATGTCGGGCCCGATGTCGCAGCAAGCCGGTATCCAGAAGCAGAGTGCCGACTTCTTCGCCGAGGCGTTGAGAGACTTTGCTTCTTGGAACCGAGACACCGCGTCCCGACGTGGGGCCACAAGGTCCGATATACCGGCTGGCACATCAAGATTCACCATCCGAGCAAGCGCCTTCAGTCCAGCGCCCTTTGCTCGAGAGGGGTTTCTAGAATACTGGAAGAAGCTCTTATTGCACGGTATCAGACGGACACACCAACAAAGTAGTCAACTCGGCAGGGGCGTGTGGTGGCACGCGTGAAAGTCTCGGTGCATGGCCGGAAAGTGTGTAGCGTCCCATGCTATCCCTGATGTCGCGTGGTTCGGCAACGCTACATGCACCTCACCGTCGCCACGCACGTGGTGCCTATCACGGAAGGGCTAGGCAGAATTGACACACTGTCTGCCACAGCAAAGCATCAAGCAAACCCAGGTTTAGGCGGGCACCTGCTGGGACGAACACTGCTAGTTGAGATGTGCCTTGGCTACCTGTGGTCTGTCTTGCCAATCATGATGATTATCTCAAGTCTGGATTGAACGTCACGCCAACGTCACGCAAACGTCAGACAGGCACGGCAGTCATGTAAAACCTTATATCGCATTCAAAGTAGCATTTGCTTAA